AGAGTGCCCTGGAGAGAGTGCCCTGGAGAGAGTGCCCTGGAGAGAGTGCCCTGGAGAGAGCCCTGAGTAGGATTAGTACCCCATAGGAGTGCCGAGGGTGCCTCTGGGCGTGCCTCGACTGCCTAGGTACCTACCTACCTAGGGACCTGAGTAGCCCCTCGGCCCCCAAATGCCTAGTAGGGCCTAAGTTGGGTAGTCTATATGCTAATTTGGTTTAGGCTGTAGACACCTGTAGACACTCGTTTGTAGATACCCCGATACATTCCCCGTCCCCGCACGAGGCTGAGATCCTGCCTCTATCACAATAACCTCCCCTCACAAGGCTAATGTTCTTCCGTAAAGACTTGGAGAGATCACAGAGGGGTATGGTGGATACGCGGGGAGCTACCGAAATGTTGATTTGCTCGAACCCAGGAGTATGTCCTCGGATCGAGGGGGAACCAGTCGTTGATGGGTTGAGTCAGTCGTAGTACCATTTAAGAAGTGACCTAACCGGAGATCTGCTCAGGTTTCACACAGACAAGAAGACCATATATACGCCCTCGGCTGGAATCTGGCATCTATTAAATTCACACTCTATCACCCCTCTGACGTTTCTCAGTTTCAACTAAGAACGCTGATTTAAGGATAAGCTGATCAATCATCATTCGCAACCATGGTCGGACGCCTTGAAGGAAAGATTGCCATCGTAACAGGTGGTGGTAGCGGTTTTGGTACCGGCATCGCAGAAAAGCTGGTTCAAGAAGGAGCTAAAGTCCTCATCAGTGATCTCAACAAAGACAGCGCTGCCAAAGTTGCCCAATCCATCGGGTGTGAGTATCTCGTGGCCAATGCCACCAAACGCTCCGACTGGGAAGCATTGCTCAAAAAGTCCATCGACACCTTTGGCGGATTAGACATTGTTGTTAACAATGCCGGCACAACTTACCACAACAAACCAACAGAGACTGTAACGGAGCAAGACTACGATTTGGTCTTTGACGTCAATGTCAAGAGTATCTATCTCTCTACCAATGTCCTGTTGCCTTACTTTTTGGACAACAAAAAACCTGGTGTCTTCATCCAGATCGCCTCCACTGCCGGCATCAGGCCCAGACCCGGCTTGTGCTGGTACAACGCCTCCAAGGCCGCCGTCAGTGTCGCTACCAAATCTATGGCTGTCGAGTATGGACCCAAGCAGATCAGATTCAATTCTGTTTGCCCAGTAGTTGGCAGCACTGCACTGTAAGTCCAAGTCATAAATAAGCGAGATACCTGTGTTACCCTTCTAACGTTTTCATTTTTTTAGGACCCATCTGTTCATCGGCAAGCCAGATACCGAGGAGAATCGCGCTGGCTTCGTCTCTACCATTCCACTCGGACGTCCGAGTACACCCAGAGATATTGCCAATGCAGTCACCTATCTCGCTAGCGATGAAGCCGACTTCATCACTGGAGTAAACTTGGAAGTGGACGGAGGAAGATGTGTCTAGGTGGAAGCTTTCAACTAGCCTCAACAACTAGGACATGCAGTCGCTTGTAGTGATCCTCATCCTGTTTAAAACCAAAAGCATCTGGTGTCGAGGCACGTGGGAATCTTGCGAGAAAGAATAGCGTCAGACAAATTATTATTGACCAAAAGTAGCTTAGCTCCTGCGGTATTAGCAAATGACGTACCCCCAATGACTCGAATTTATTATTAACATGTCCAACATCATCCTCACCTACTCCTCCATCTTTCCGGTCATTATTATCCTTTCGGTTTAGGGCTGGCGACTCGAGTCCAGCATGTTCAAGAAGAAACCCCAAATCAAGAACCTTGCGCCTCTGCGTTCATCAGACCGTCGTAGGCTTGCCGATCAAATCATTACCGAGTACAAAGTCCACATTCCTCCGGTCCAGGATCTCGAGCCGCCCTCCTCGACTACAGAACAAGCCTCTGCCACTCCTAACAATCTCAGCCCAGCCCTCTCACTGATCCGAACAAGTCTTTTGCCAGAAACCTGCTTGTCGGCTCGATTTACCACCCACGCCGGTGCCAATGCTACGCTTGTCTCTGGAACCATCTATGTAGGAGCCCACCCTGGCCAGGAAGAGAGAATATTGTGGATTCAATATGGCAAAGAGTCAAGATTATACCCGACAGTATACACTTTATGGCAAAACCCCGGGCTGGTGCCTCTGCTGCACACACCCGACTTTGTGGTAGACAAGCTCCGCACTGGGGCCGATTTGATGACTCCGGGACTGGTCGGCGGTCCACCCTGGCCGCAGAATGCACAGCTAGGGTCTGTAGTGGCAGTTGCTGGTCTCGAAAAGGACACAGTGCCCATATGGGTAGGGACTTGCAAAATCGACATCTCCAGTCTTGGTCGTGTGCAAGGTTCTAAGGGTGCCGCGGTCGAAGGGATTCACTGGGAAGGCGATGAACTTTGGGCATGGAGGCAGACCGGAGCCGGTGGCCGGCCTTCACCTGATCGGATCAGTGGTTGGGACAAGAGAACCGAAGAGTCAACTAATGGACTACACCGGTTGGTTCTAGACGACCCCGAGGACGAGGCTCAAGATGAAGGAGGCGTTTCACTTGATCTCAGTGTAGATTCAAAGGTGAACACAGAGGCGGCTAACGGCAATCAACATTCAGAGCCAGATCAAGATGAAGAATCACCGCGTGAGCCTACCACTGCTGAAGTTGATGATGCATTTCTCGCAGCATTTCTCTATTTTTTACACTCAGCCAAGACAAACAACGACCCCCCTCATTACGGGATCGATTTTCCCATACAACCATCATTTCTAATCGCAAACATGATCCAACCACACTTGCGTTTCCAGAACCAACACTACAACATCAGAAAAACATCTTGGAAAAATGCCAAAAAGTTTATCAAATATTTGGACAAGAGCGTGTTGGTCAAGTCCAAGGACAGAAATGGCGGCGAGACTGTGATTCTTGATGTGGACTTTGACGATGCACGAATCAAGTCATTTACTCCCTACAAGCTGCCGAAACCAAAGGCATCCACCACCACTAGCACTAGCGAAAACAGCTCTAGCGCAGCAGCAGGTGCGGACCCATCCCTGGGACAGAAATTGGCCATCCAGACCATTTATCGTGCGTCGAGCAAGCTAGTCCCCGATATGATCCCATCCAAGTCGACATACTACACATCCTCGCAAATCTCAGGTTTTGTTAAAAAGTATATTGAGAACAACCCCTCTCTTTCAGAGAATACATCTTCGCCTCGGTTCATTAGACTTGATCCCTTTATCGCCAACAACATCCTCTCATCAAATCCCTCAGCATCAGATACTCGAATACTCGCTGCCGGAGAAATCGGGCGTGACGTTCTTTTCAGAAGAATACTTGAGGATGATCATCTGGCAACTCCCCACTGGTTATTGTTAAAGAACTCCCAAAGCTATGACCCCGAAAAGCCCGACCCAGGACTGAAACCCAAAGCTGGAGCTTCGCCACATGTCACCATCACCATTGAGAAGAGAACAGGGACCAAGGTGGTGACTAAGATTTCTGGACTGGAAGTGTTTGGAATCAATCCACAAATCCTTAGTCCCGAATTGCAAAAGAAATGTGCTGGGAGTGCCAGCGTTGGTCAGCTAATGGGCGGTAAGCCAGGGGTGATGGAGGTTGTCGTGCAAGGTGACCAGAGAGATGTGGTTGAGAAGGAGATGGGAAGGAGGGGAGTTGACAAACGTTGGATCGTCGTCGATGACAAAACTAAAAAGAAAAAGAAGTGAGGAGCAGTGGAGGGCTGGCTCAGTTCACCCTCAAGACAGATTGATCGACCTGGCTGTTGTTGGGGCGGAATGGATCATGACGCCGAGCCAAACTTGATCATTCATACTGCTCAACAGATACAGACGAAATGATACCCAAAGCTGTCAGGATTTATCTTCTTCTTGCTCCCAGGGACTGATGTCAATGTCTGTAATCATGTCCAAACAAGGCTACCTCAGCCTGTCTCTATGACTCGCCGTACTAACATGCTATACGGCGGATCATTTGCCCACTCAACTTGAGTGATGTCAGTCGTCAACTTCGCACTCGAGTCCAAGGCTGCGAAGATCAATTCCACCAGCAGTACCACCTCTGTCACCACCTCATTTTGTCTGCACATACATGTCCCTCCGCTTGAAGCCTTGCACAGTCTGGTCTCGATCCATCTAGCTCAGTTCAGTATCAAATACCTAGCCGATTATTTTCCGTTCACACCACCCCATTCATCCTCGACACTTCTATCCCACCACTACCACCCACCTCACCCCCCAACCTGGCAACTTTTGCTCTAGCGCACGCTCTTCGTCGCCTAGAAGAAGAGCGGAAACAGCGATCAGGCGAGATGGGGGACTTGCAATTCGCAAAAACATTTCTCACCTCATTGGACAATAAGCCGACAAAGTATCAACCAGATCATGTTTTCGACCCAAAGACGTTCCAACTCCGAACACCGGTATGTCGTTGCACCTAGAAAGGACAGACACCTATCTAACTCCGTTCTTCAGTATACGCTCCCTAAACTGTCCACTCCACCTCATCCCTCACCTCCCAAAGCAAATCAGACATCGATCCCAGCTCCGGGGTCTGAAGCCGCTGCACCGTCCGTCTCTGTCATTCTCAAATCCGCACGAAACCCTAACATGACATTGACTCTGACATCTCTCAACCCTTCGACCACAACAGTTCAATCGCTCAAAGAATCAGTGCAATCACATCTCGGTGGGCCTTCAGTCGTCGGTATCGACAAGATCAAGGTTCTGTTGAACAAGAAACCCATTCCTCCGTCCAAGAAAACGATCGCCGATGCCCTGGAAGGTACTTCGTCAGAAGGCACGGAGGTAGAGTTCGGCGTGATGGTCATGGGAGGCGCCCCGGATCCCCCACCACAGGTAACCACTCCCGTGCCAGTAACGCCGGCGGTGCTGGACTCGTCTCCAGATACCAAGCCGCGCCCAACTTCTGAGATGGAGGGCGTGGAATCAACTCTGAGTGACCCTGTACAGCCCGGCAAGGCCAGTGGCAGTGCCGTGCTGGAATCTCCCGAGTTTTGGGACGATTTACAAGGGTTTTTGGCGCAGAGATTACGGAATCAAAGTGAGGCAGAGAGGGTACGAGGAATTTTTGAACGAGCTTTCCAGAGCGCGAACTCGGCGCCTTGATAGTAGGCGCCGAAGCTTATGCACAAGAGTAGCAAGGAGAGTTATCTTTCATCAACTACGCACCACCCGGTTTCAAGAGCTTTGAACATGACAACCGGTAGCATGGCGAGAATGGACCTTTATGGTTACGAGCAGCCATCTTAAGCTCTGAATTGTGGGGCAGGGCGTGGCAATGACCGAAAGTGGTACAGATATAGATTTGTTGTACTGATGCATTCAATCACAATGAACATAACAGAGAGGAGATTGATGCCACAGTATATACATATGACTATTGTCCGCGTTCCCAGGCGCCAACGTGCCTCGCCAAATGAAATGCTAGTTTACATTTCCGAGGAGAAATGAGTGAGAGACGACCACTTCAGCCACTTCAATAATGATCAGATACTACCTACCTTACGCAAAAGGAGATAGATACTCGAGTACCTAGGATGCACGTGGTGATGTTGATTTGGATAGCGGCGTGCTGATTGGCTGTTGTCTGCAGCGCGACAGCCTCGTCGGACGAAAGAAAAGACAAAAGACAAAAAGTTAAGCCCGAGTCGGTCTTTTGAATTCGCCGAACGCAGGCAACGTCAGGAACTTGATTCCTTGCCCAAACCCGAATTGAAGCCAACAACTTTCCTTTTTTACTCTTGACTTGCACGACCCTGCAACAATAGGCCGCAAGTCAACTTCCTCCCCACACAACGGCACCTATAGAGGACTGAGAACGGGGATATTATGTCCGGTTGGAGTGGGATGCGAAGCCTGGTGTCAGGAAACCTGAGCAGAACTCTACGCCATGATATCAGTGCTCGATGGTCTGGACAGCAGATGCGAAATCTCCACCTTGAGCTCAATGCCACATCTCCGATACCTTCTCCTCTGTCGCGATGTCGACTGCGTCAAGCTCAACTACAATTGAAAAAGGATCAGATCCGGACACACGTACGGGCGTTGGAGATGGGTCGTCGCAAGTTTTCAACCACCTTGGGCCAAAGACACGGACACATTGATCCTCCCAAGCCCGGCGAAGAGTATGTGATGACTCCACCAACCGATTCACTATACTCATACTCCCGGCGATGCTGATTCTTATGCGCAGGCTACATGTCACCTTTATCGACAAAGATGGAGATCGACATGACTTTGAGGTATCCCAAGGGGACAACCTTTTGGACATTGCCCAGGCGAATGACTTGGAGATGGAAGGTAAGTTTGATAGCTGTTCGTCCATTTAGAGAGCAAATTGTATGCATACTCGGGCATTCCCTTCTAACACGTTGTGCTACAGGTGCATGCGGTGGCTCGTGTGCTTGTTCCACTTGCCACATTATAGTCGAGTCGGACGAAATGTATGATAAGATGGAAGAGCCCAGCGACGACGAGAACGACATGCTGGACTTGGCCTTTGGCCTCACCGAGACGTCCCGCTTAGGTTGTCAGGTGGTAATGTCTAAAGAGCTGGATGGTCTTGTGGTCAAACTCCCCAAGATGACCAGAAATATGCAGGCCAGTGATTTCGGGAATTGACCTGGACCTGGAACCTCCAAAATCCATCTATCTACGTCCCTCCCCCACACACGTCTCCCAGCGTACAGTGTACTATTATAAGAGCCAGGCTCAGGCTTTCCTCCGGTTGTGTATCATCATCTCGTTGAGGGAATCTGTCACGGTTCTACCTGCGTTACAGAGGAAAGAATCTCCACACCAAACACACACATATATACATACAAGACCAGAGATTTAGATCCAGGTTTAATGTACCGCTGTCGTCGCGACGTCTTTCTTGCCTCCGATCAAATCCAGAAATCCTTGTTTGCTCATCTCGTTCACCTTTTCTTGCCGGTGTTGTATGCCGATCGTGCCTTTCTTCCTCTCCTCTTTCTCCGCCTGCTCCGCCTTGACCTGTGCTGCTCGTACCGCATTAAACAACTTGATCACACCTCTTTGGGCAATCTTGCGTAACCTCTTTTCCTCCTCGGCAACCTCTCCTGCTTGCCCTGACTGTAATCCTAGGATATCTTTGATCCTTCCCCGGTCTAGCTCTTCCTTCTTCTCTGCCCGCAATTTGGCTCTAGCTTTGCGTTCTAATCGTTCGTTGGCTAGCTCATGACTGGTTTCCACTGCTTCGCGACTTCTGGATAACACTGGGTCTTGTCGCGCTGATTGCGGCAGTTTGGTGGAGAGGATTTTGGCGATCGAGGTGGAAAATGCGGAGGGGTTATTACGCTTGCTCGTATTCCCTTTGGACGACAAATTGGTTTGGCCATCATCTTCTGAATCTGCTTCTCCGTCTGAATCTTCCTCTTGTCCTGAAACAGAAGACTGTTCAGAGTCTTCCGCAGATTTCGACACCTTTCTGGCTGCTTTTTTGGTGGGCGGTTGAGGTTTTTGGATAGATTTTCGACTCGATGTTGCTTTTTCTACTGGTTTGGGGGGGTTCTCGTCGTCCGAGTCGTTCAAATTAACCGCTGCAAATCCTTGCTCTGAGCCATCCGAGTCTTCTGAAGAACTGTGGTATTCTCGTTGTTTGCGGAATCTTTTCTTGGGGCGGTCAGTTTTGCCGCGCATGCCGGCTTCAAGTTTGCGCTTCTTCTGAGACATGGGAGCCATTTTGTATTGGTGGACGAGGGCAATACTGTGTTGGCTGTTGGTTGCGGCTCTGTGAAAGTCGGTCTGTCACCTGGGAAAAATTATGGAAGTTCTCGATGTTGGTGTCGGCTCATCCTCGGCCATAGATTTTGTAATGACCATAATCATATTCCCCACCACCACCGAAAGATGGCAAGTACAAGTGGCACTCATGCCAGTCGCTACTTCCCCCACACTGACATTCACTTTCAGGTGCGCCTTCCCAATAGTCAACGACACCCACTGCTTCTTTGTTCCTCATACATCATCCGAACTGGTCGACGACACTTGAGAAAACTTCTACTCCAGTACCGGTCTCAACAGATTCCTTCGAGACCTCTTGCTGCCTTGACATCCTTCTAGCAAGATGGTTCTCTCAGACCTGGGCCGGCGCATCAATGCCGCAGTCCATAACCTCAATCGAGAGGCCAACCTCGATGAAAAGGCCTTCGATGCTATGGTCAAAGAAATTTGCTCTGCCCTACTATCTGCCGATGTCAACGTACGACTCGTCAAGCACCTCCGAAGATCAATACAAAGCGCTGTCAATTTCAAAGACCTTCCCCCCAACACCAGTACAAATGCCAAAAAAAGATTAATTCAGCAAGCCGTCTTCAATCATCTCGTTCAGTTAGTCGATCCTCACGCGGAACCCTACAAACCCAAGAAGGGAAAGTCCAATGTCATCATGTTTGTCGGGCTACAGGGCGCTGGTAAAACCACTACATGCACAAAGTTGGCCAGATATTATGCGCAAAGGGGATTCAAAGCCTGTTTGGTTTGTGCCGACACATTTCGAGCTGGTGCCTACGACCAACTGAAACAAAATGCGACAAAAGCAAAAATTCCATACTTTGGCTCTTTGACACAGACGGATCCTGCTGTGGTGGCTGCTGAGGGTGTTGCCAGGTTCAAGAAGGAAAAGTTTGAAATCATTATCGTCGACACATCAGGCCGACATCAACAGGAGGCTGATCTATTCGAGGAAATGGTTCAGGTACAGAATGCAATCAAGCCAGATCAAACGATCATGGTACTGGACGGCACTATCGGTCAAGCTGCTGAATCACAATCTTCGGCCTTCAAAGCTACTGCTGATTTTGGTGCAATCATCATCACCAAGACCGATGGTGGTGCTGCAGGAGGTGGAGCTATTTCTGCCGTGGCCGCCACCCACACACCTATCATCTTCCTGGGCACTGGTGAACACATGATGGATTTTGAACGATTTGCCCCGAAACCATTCATCTCCAAACTCCTAGGATACGGTGACATGACTGGGCTGATCGATCATATTCAATCCGTCACCAGAGACTCGGCCGGAATGAAAGAGACACAGAAGCATTTGGCCGAAGGAATTTTCACAATTCGTGATATGAAGGAACAAATTTCAAATATAATGAAGATGGGCCCCTTATCCAAGGTCGCTGGCATGATCCCTGGACTGGGTGGCATGATGGCCGGTAAGTCGTCTTCCAGACTCGATCAAACTCGACTGTTCAGCTGACCTCCTGCAGGAATGAGTGATGAGGATGGCACCGAGAAGCTCAAGCGAATGATCTATATTTTCGATAGCATGACAATCAAAGAGCTTGATTCTGACGGCAAGATGTTGATCTCAGAACCAGCACGAATGGTCAGAATAGCGTGCGGCAGTGGTACCTCGGTGAGAGAAGTTGAAGAACTTTTGACACAGCACAAAGTCATGAGCGGCCTAGCCAAGAACATGAGTGGACAGAAGAAGAACATGCAAAAGGCCAACGCCATGTTGCAAGGTATGTCTTGGATTGTCGGAATTAGGAAACCACTCACTTACGGCCTATATAGGTGGGAACAAGCAGCAACAACTTGCCGCGCTGCAGAAGCGGATGCAGTCCATGGGAGGACGGGGCGCTCCCGGTGGCGGTCAAATGCAGCAAATGCAACAGCTCATGAGTCAGATGGGCATGGGCGGACAAGGAGGTGGCATGCCCGATATGTCAACTCTAATGTCCCAGTATGGCAACATGTTTGGCGGAGGTGGAGGTGCCGCTGGTCGAGGTCGGGGACGCTGAGTCAAAGCTCGGCCCATTGTCGAGCAATATGAAGAGCAACAAGGCATCACTGCTCCGTCATCGAGGAACTAGGTCCTCTTCCTACTCACTCATAACCCTTCGACACACACGCCCACAACCTCATACCCATGGAGCTACTTCAAAAGCACTCTCGCCACGCCTAAAGGGCATTGAAAGAGAACATAAACATGTTCGGCCTGTGTGTTGAACAGACATTGGGGTTCAGGCCTGCAGACAACCACCACGCACCCATAGCTGGCTCTCTGAAAATGCTAAAAAGTTGAGATGAGGGCACTGCCCATGTCATATGCCAACAGAGACTCGTGGCACATAGCTGGTGCTTCAAATGGAATGCCATCAAGATTATGACTAACCGAACGAGAGGAGACACGCAGGGTTATAGAGCGTGCTTGGATTGCAGCTGATTCATCGGTTCTTTCGCGGATGTACATGGCATACACTTGGGTTGGCCGTGAATGCAGTACGCAATGCATCATTAGCATGAACAAGCGGGAGCGATGAAATATTCAGATACTATTCTACCAAATGTCCAAGCATTCCAGGAATCTTCTCCTGTCCTCCATTCATACTATCATGAGCACGTGATTTGTTCATTTCGGGGGTAATCGGAGAAATACTTGATCCGGCCGAGATTCCGTCCGACTTTCTCCAATTCTCAAAAGTCGCCGCCACATGGAACTTTTTCTCGATGCATCAATCCATCCACCCTAGACACATCTCCATTGTTTGTTGCAGTCCGTTCTTTTGTTTGATTCGCCTTGGCCTCAAGTATGTCTCTCTCAGGAATCTATGGACCAGCCGGCGGCGGGGCCAATGCTGGGATGAGTGAACAAGAGCAGCAATATGTCAAGATGGTAAGATGCCTTCATGACACGCCCAACTCGGGCCATCGCTCGTGCACATGTCACTAACTTGGATATAGATGCAAAAAGGCATGGAGTCATGTGTTGTCAAATCCATTATGGCCGGAGGTATGTAAAGACCGTGACCACTGCAGAGACAGGCTCCAGGTCTCGTTTTCAATTACAAGACGCTGACAAGCTGCGCAGGCATGGGTTTCGCCCTCGGCGGTGCCTTCGGTCTCTTTATGAGCTCCATGGCCTACGATACTCCCTTATCACCCCAAGGCCAACAGATCACCTCTCTCCCCGTCCGACAACAATTGCGGCAAGGTCTGAAAGATATGGGCGCCAAATCATTATCTTCGGCAAAGAACTTTGGCAAAATCGGCTTGCTCTACTCCGGCGTCGAGTGCACAATCGAAGGATTTCGTGCAAAGACCGATCTCACAAATTCGGTCAGTGCTGGATGCATCACCGGCGGAATCCTTGCCTATCCAGCAGGCCCCCAGGCTGCCCTTTTGGGATGTGCCGGCTTTGCCGCTTTCTCCGCCGCCATTGATGCCTATATGCGCATGCCGGAGAGTGATTGAAGAGATGGACAAATACATTACATCTCAAATGTGATATGGACGTTGGTTATTGCCGGTCAATACCTAGACCCACCATGCACAACGTTCAGGCAACAGCCCTGTTGGGGAAGGAGAACAACATCGGCAGAATATGGCGAAACTCTACTCCAGGAAACCATGTACAACATATCCACTCTTCATTGTGAAACCTCAAGATTTCCTAATCAGTCGGTGCCTCTGGCGTCGCAAGAGATATACAGATCTCATGCCACGACGACATGGCCCTTCCTCGACGAGCCACCACACCATGGCACTTCAGGCTCCACTCAAATCCACCCATTCGACGGCCATTATACGGCAACTACGATATATCGAGCCAGGAACTGATTGTGAAGACCTGATACTCTAGGTCTGGGTTCCCTTCCTGGCAACCAACTCCCTCTGCCGAGCGGTTGTCGACAAAGCCGTACACAGCGGTGATCACGGAATTGAAGTCACAATGCCGCCCGAGTTGTTGGCGCCATCGAACCATTACCAAGATCGAACAAGGGTGTTGTGGGGCTCCTTGTCTGGTGATGAATGTGCTGAGACGAGGCTCCAACCAACCAAATAGACAGCTCGTCTAATATGGCGATAGAAGAGATCTTGTTGTACGGACGAAGCCACTCAAATATTACGCCCTTGAAAGAGCCTGCAAACTCGGACACCTTTATATCTCATCCCAGTGGCAGATGCTACTATTCTGTTGATGCAAACGAGGGCGCTTCGTCACGTGCATTGGCTCGGGTGTGGCATGAGACGGATTCAAAATCATCCACAGTGAATGACCAGTCGTTTTAGCGACCTGCGCCGAGGATCATCACAGTGTATCAGATGTGCAGGAACGCAAACCAACTTCTAGATAGAATGGTAAACATATCAACCGATCTATTCGATAGCGCAGTATCACCTCTTTGACAAGTCCTTTCTTCGGATGTTTGACTAAGGACATTGTAATATCTCCATCGTTGATGAGGACGTTCAAATGGTCTTGACTCAAGTCTCCGAAAGCCTACATGAAATAGAGTCAATATTTAGTCCATCTCTGGAGCCTTAACAAGTCAAATGCGAATTGAATCCGAATACGAAATGGTGGGAGTCAAATTAGAGTTTCACAGTGTGTATGGATTGATGGACTTCAACAGACATTGATTTCCCAAATTGTCATTATTCCACTCTTCTCATTTCACTTCAACCTAGCACCTAGTACAGTGTACCTCAGTCACAGTACCTCCAGGCACTAGGTGCGGAATAAAGACTTCCATTGACACAATGGCACCACCTACGACGCGACGCGTGACACGGTCATCGACCACCAAAGCACCACCGCCACAACAAGAGGAGTCCACTACGAGCAAATCAGACCAGGGTTCCGATGTGCAAAACAAAGTACCAAATGCACGAGGCGGGAAAAAGCGCCTTGCATCATCTTCAGTCGGTGTACGCGATGAACCAGGTCTACCAGCAAAGAAGGTAACCAAAACATCCCGCGATGGTGGCAATACTAGTAATCTGAAGAAGCCAAATGGAAAGACCCAGAAGCAGGAACAGAAAGATGTTGGTTCTTCAAAGACGAAAAGTGCCACCTCCAATGCCACCTCCAATACTACGATATTCCCAAAGTCGAAGGTCGAGTTCAGTGCATTCACCATTGCAACATCCTCAGCCTCGTCCTCGGCGAGCAAAAAGCCCGCAGCATCTTCGGTCTTGAGATGTCAACGATCTGACCCAGACGGTGCGGTTCTGCCATCACTGATCTTCACGCATGGGGCTGGTGGGGATTTAAGTGCACCGGCCATGGTTCATTTCTCTCAGGGATTCACGTCGACCGGGTCAGGAATGGTCATGTTCGAAGGTAACAGCAACCTCAAGAGCCGAGCGGCCGGATTTGAACGGATACTGGAGCATGGTGGGAGAGAAAAGTGGTGGGATGGAATGGGGGTTGGTAATGCTGATGACAAGACCGGGCGAGTGAGGAAAACGGCTACAACGGCAACAATACCTGCCATGGGTGGTCGTAGTCTTGGGGCTCGCGCGGCCGTCACGGCGGCATTGCAACTCGACCAATCTTCCACATCGCCGTCGCCGTCGCCAAGAGTCAGTCTCGTCCTCTCTTCATATCCGCTCATCAGCCCGTCCGGCGATGTACGTGACCAGATCTTACTTGCACTGCCGCAGAACATGGACGTTTTGTTCATCTCGGGCGACAACGACTCCATGTGTCCTCTAGACCGTCTTCAAGCTGTGAGGGCAAAGATGAAGGCTCCCTCGTGGTTGGTTGTCGTCAAGGGTGCTGACCATGGCATGAAAGTCAAAGGTGGAAAGGACTTGAAGACGGGTTGTGAGCGGGTTGGTTTGGTCTGTGGTTGGCTGGCATGGCGGTGGTGTTCCGACAGAGATGAACATAGGCAGGGACAGGGAGAGTCAAAGGGACAAGGCAAGAAAGATGACGGAAGACAGATGACGGTGAGGTGGGATGGTGATTTGCATAGTGTGGTCTTGGATGGTTGGGATGGAAGTGAAGAACAGGTCATCTGGGATTAGTAGAAGCACTGAATTCTAAGTATGATCATATCTTTCCCACTTCTCTTTGCCCCTTATCATCACGACACACAATGCCAAGTGATGATTAACTTCTTGTTGTATCGAATTCTTTTGAACGACATTCAATTCTCCTGGCTTGATCCGCCCAACACTTGTCGGAGCAGGTCCTCGAATCTCTCCTCATTAACGATGGCTCCAAAGCTAGATAGATGTCTGTGTCAGCAAAAGCCTCTACTCTGTGATTGAAGCACATCTTGTCGCGGCAATAGAAGCAGAGTGGGACACAATCCTTACTGATAGCAATCGACCTCAGGAATCAACAGGACCTTCAGGGCCTCCAGACCATCGCGGGTCAGGGAGGGGAAATTGGGATGGCGACGGATGCGCCACCAGATCTCAACCGGGGTGATTTCACCGTCGAGACTGAGCCGGTCGGCACACTCGAGAAGTCTTTCGAGTTCGATGGCCGGGACCTGCCAGGAAGTGCCGTCAGGACAACAGGATCCGGATGGAGTCGTGTGTTGGACCGGAGGCGCCGGCGATCGAGACATGATGGGGCTTAACAGCATCATCTCGTGGCCGCTGAAGTCGCGCTCTCCGCCTTCATGGAAGGTGTGGTGAATGATACAGATGTGTTCGAGCGCCAGGACAAAGTCAATTCCCACCTGGGTGGCGCCCAGGCCTTGGGGATGGGCGACGGGTACGGGCATATTGGAGGTCGCAGCGGCTAAAGTGGAAGAAGACTCTTCTCCAGCAGAAAAGTCATGCGCCGTCGACGTGTTGGCATCCGAATCGGTCACGGTGGCGCTACTCGAGGGGGCGCTGGGGGTGGTCCAGGGCAATATATCCTCCGTCTCATACGTGCTCGAGTAATTAGGCGGGAAGTTAGTACGAATTTCATGGGTTTGGTCTGTGGATGTGTGGATTTCAACTGTGACAAGGGGGCTCGACAACCGTGGGCTTGATGCCAAATCCGGTGGCAAAGGAATATCGTGCTGTCGGAGCAGATCCTTCAATTGACTGATCGTGTCTTTCAGGGCGGCAAGATCGGCATAATGCGCGGCATCGTTGGCTCGTAATCTGCTGAGTTCCGCTTCGATCGTTTTGATGTATGAAGCCCTGCGCTCTCGATGCGTCCTGAATAGAACGAGAAACGTCCCTTCTCAGTCATCTCGCTCGCTCTTGTGGAAGTCGGTCCGCCTTACTTCTGAGCCTTTCTCACCTGCTCCCGGCGACGAGCATGTTTGAATGGGTCCATCAAATAAAATGGTAGGCTTCCGCACGGAGTGGAGGCAGCCTGAGGATACAATGCATCCACAGATTTTAAACCAATGAAAGAGATGGCACGAGACGAGTCGACACGAGAACTGGGGGTGTGGGTGGTGTAGAGGTCAAATTAGAATTCACAACAGAGAGAAGATAACATTGATTACTGGCTCGTTATTTTGGATCTAATCGGCTGGGTTGGAATCTAAAATCATGATTGGGACAGAATTCCTTACCCACCGGCTATTTTTCTGAGCCGCAAATCGGTACCTCCAACGTGATTATGGAATCATGGTCATGACCATATTTGCTGTTGCATGTATGGTTGAGCATCTATTCAATGGCATGGGCAGTGTATAGAATATTTGGGGACGATTCAGATGCGAGTCAAACAATTAAGAAGATTAACTGACAACCCATGGAGTTGACTTTCTTACTCACGATGATTATTGAAGATGGACCTGGGATTACCTTTACATAGCTGATGATGGAGTTGATGATCTATTTGAATAGGTCTAGACGGCATCTGCACTCTGGGCACTGGATGAGATACCTTTGCTCGGATGGAGACCTCTATTGTCTCGACCGCCATTACAGTGTCCCGATCTACTTCATCGAATCTGCATCATTGATCCACCACTTTCATGGTAACCAGGACATCTCATCTAGCGAGACAGGTACCGGATCAAGCAAGCCCAGCCGCCGATCTGCAGGCAGAAGATGAGGAACCAGAATACTAGGAAGGGGCCCCTCCTCGGAGGTCGATGGTCTTGCGCCAGGCCCTCTTCATGCGCATGTCCAGGAACACGGACTGGCCGGGACAAGAGGTTGAGGTGATAATTACCGACCGCCACGTCGACAATAGGCACACGCACCGTCGGTGGGACGAAGTGGTAGTGGAAACCATTCGCAGTTTCCTGGAAGTATTCGGCTCCACCAAACCTCACCCTCCTGCTGCGGCGACGCACTGAGACTGGTGGCAGGTCAGTCGAGGACTCAGCGCCTTCGAACAAATCAGCATCGGTGATGTCAAAACCTCCTGGTTCCTCGTGGTTTGTAGATTCGCCCTGACCAGGAGCGTTGGTTGGCGCTGTCACAACAACGTCGACTCGCCCGGCATCGAAGTTGGTCCCAAGCTCCGTACTTGGACTCTGATTAATGTCAGAGAGCTGCTTGCCCAAAACACGGCCAGAAGTGATGGCCTGAACCCACTTGCCTTTATCGACTTGCCAGGGAGCCATTTGGGCCTGCCAAAGGCCATTCATTGTCTGAGCGGGACCCGTGACACTTCTGTCGTTCAAGCATTGCTTCATTGATCCATGTGAACTCATCTTGGACCTCAAAATATTTCCCTTGCCTCAGTAATGGTTTCGATGGAAATGTTGAGGAGAAGAACCGAGGTACTAGATGATTAGATTGTGAGAAAAATAAAATTGATGATGGAAAGAAGTTTCCTTTAGATTTATATGAGAGAATAGACATGTCGAGGCTGCGATCCATGTCACCGTAGATTGACACTTTTGACAAAGAAAACAGTGATCGACAGAACGAGACAAAGGAGAACAGTGATAAAATCACAAAGGACATGTGAATTTCATTGTCTCAATTGTGTTCATGTGGACGGGGTGCTTGTCTCGCGACTTCCTTTGCATTGATACTGCTCATGCCAATCTTCATGGATGGCCTTGGTGTGGTAAGCCGGGGCAGTAATGCCAACTCGTGTCTCCAGCCAGTTCCCAGGCTGTCTCTGCATTGTTTGATTCTGTCCAGGTGGGAAGCGGACAGACTCCCCCATGGCTCATGAATCGTTCAATCTTGTTCTTGAGACCAGTGGACACATAGGGGCCTTCGTAAGATGTCGCGGCATGGCACGACGTGAAGTCGTCCAAGGTATGAGAATGCCACTCGCCCTCATCCTCATCCACATACCAAGTGCCCAAAATAGAGACTGACTCCAGACGCTTATTTGCGAGGTATTTGATCAACGCCATCATGGAATCAGTCTCCAGGCGACCATTCCTTAGAGTCAAGGTCTTGACATTGACACCTTCATCCAGCAACGCTCTCATATCACCGAAACGGCATTGAAAATTGCAAAGAGAGAGAGACTCCAGGTGGGGCATCCAGAGACGAGGGAAACGGTCGAGGTTTGTCCTATCAAATAGTTCGAAACCAAATTCGGCCTTTTTGAATTCGGGTAGCTCCAGACTCAAGTGTTGGAGTCGAGAAGTACTGTTTAGTAGTCGCTTCAATGCTATAGCTGATTGATTGCGGCCATTGACATATATGTTGGCCATACCAGTCCGACCAAGCCAGTCGCTGTGCGGTAAAGCGTTGATTTGAAGATTGAGGGTTTTCAAGTCCTGAAAAGCATTGGGCCCGATTTCTGGGAGTAGTTCATGGGGTATGTCTATAGCAGTAAAGTTATTCAAGTCGCATTTGGACAAACAAGCGGCCTGGATGAAGTGACTGAAATGGTCCAAGCAATTTCTTCTTCGATTCAGGATTCTTCTCCTTGGATCGGGGTCAAACGGTTGTTCAGTGTCGAATAACGAGGGATCAAACTGCTCGAGTTCTTCCAACCTGATTTGCGGCTCTTTCATGATCATCCTGAACTGCAGATTGGGACATATGGCGCTGAGTACGTTCAGAGTTTTAATCAAGGCCTCCCGAGTTTGGGCATTGGCCATGAAAGCCGCTTGTTGGTCAAGGTGCCACCTATACAAGTCATATCGGTACGACAGGTTGGGGGTGAATCTGGCCTGGAGATTTTCGTGGAACTTTGCATAGTCTTCTTTCGAAGGGCCTTTGGGCAAAAGGCCTGTGGACCAATTGCTGCTCTTCTCGTGATAGACTTGAGCTTGCCAGTATCGATAGTCAGCGTACTCGAGTTGGATACCCGACTCGAACGACAAGCACCTGAGTCGTGAGGCTATTGATCGTCGTGCCGTCAGCTTGTCCAATTGATAGAGACGATGGCTGCTGGGGTATAGTAAGAATTCAAAGTCGCGAAAGAGATAATCTTCTGCCAAAGCAGCGAAGGCACTGCAGGTAAGGCGGAATGCAATCAGGGAGGACTTGTCAAGAAAAGAACAGAGATGAGAGACGAGTTCGCTAGGAAGTTGATCCATGCTTGAATCAGGGCATGCTAAAAAAGGGGGGTCTTGTTGCAGGATCGCTTCGACTTGAAATATATATATATATGTTTTGGGCACGAAGGGTGCCTGAATATATCGACCAAGAACGCAAGGCAGATGTCAAAATACCCAGTAGCCTGAAATGACTGACAACAGACCACGTCGGCTCAAACAACAAACAGCATTGCCTGGCGACGTGGGAGTTGATGTCAGAAGGATGTTGGGTTGAAGATGTTGTAGTTTCTAACAACCGTATATCAGTTGATCAAGAGTCGGTAGGTACTTGACTTGATAAGCCGCCTGGTTCAAATGACGTCCACTCTGCTCCATATTTGGATGAAAGACAGTCACCCATTGGAGAAGAATCGACGTCGACCTGATGGGCGAGATGCCTCTGGGAACAATATTCACCTCTTGCTCGCTCTGTCCAGATGCCCCCGGCCCACCAGTTCCAAACCACTCGCTTCAGGATGATATAAAATCTGTCCAACATGCGGCGCTCCCCATTTCGAGCCGTCCGCTTGCCTCGTCCCTCGCTTCGCTCCACACGCCTCGGTCGACGTTGGCAGTCAACCAAAGAACCAGAAAGCCCCAATAAGTCCAGCCCATCGATCGAGAAACAGGCTGCCACTCGAAGCAACTTTGATCGACTCGTCGCACGCACACCCCGATTCCTGAGACCTACTCTACTGGGCCTCAAAAACGCCCCTGTTTCTCACGTCACTGCTTTCTTCATCCTCCACGAGTTGACTGCGATCGTCCCCCTACTCGGTCTTGCGGGTGCCTTTCATTACTGGCAATGGCTGCCCTCTTACTTTGCAGAGGGACAATGGGTTGTTGAAGGCGCTGAAAAGTTTGGACGCTACTTTCGAAAGAAAGGTTGGATTACTCAACAGGACGAGCATGAAGTCCAAGACAAGACTCTGGAAGGCCAGGCTTCCTCCTACGAGAACCTGGCTGTCTCCCAACAGTCTGGTCGTAACTACAACTCCACCAGGTGGATCGTCGAGTTGGCAACTGCATATGCTGCCGTCAAGGTATTGCTACCTTTTCGTCTTGCTCTCAGTGTCTGGGCCTCTCCTTGGTTTGCCCGCTGGACAATTATCCCTGTCGGCAACGTTGTCCGTTCTATTTGGACCCGGTAAGCCGCACGCTGCCTAACGAGATCCCAGCATTACATGATATGTCACATTAGACTTGTACCATCATTTTCTTGATTACCCAATTTTGGATACATCTATTCATGCCTGTCTTGACTTCATGAGTTGACATAGACGATGGCCATCCTAGAAGGTGTTGGAAAACTTGACCCTCGTATCATGTACCATCTATCGTCTCACTCGCTCAACAATTTATGCCTTCTCGTAGATCCAGTCGAACTGGGCCGACTTGTAGCTGGCAACCTCCTCGGGCTTGAACCACAAGGCAATCTCCTTCTTTCCGTTCTCAACGCTATCGGAGCCGTGGCAGACATTGCGGCCGACGTCAATGGCATAGTCACCTCGGATGGTACCGGGGGCAGAGGCAAGAGGGTTGGTGGCACCAAGGATCGCTGGTGTAAATAGTCAGAAAATTGTCATACATTCAAGTTGATCGATGAACTCACTTCGGCCAGTCTTGACTGCGTCACGGCCTTCCCAGACCATAGCAACGATAGGACCGCTCAACATATCTATCATGATGTTAGTGCACGACCAACAAAACCTCTAGTAGATCTTCATACATGTGACAAGGCCCTTGAAGAAAGGCTTCTCAGAGAGATCGGCATAGTGCTTCTCGAGATGCTCCTTGGAGGGAGTGACGAGCTTCAAAGCAACCAGCTTGTATCTGCATGTGTTCAGCTTTGGTCCATTGTAGTCGCGGGATACCTCCTACCCTCGCTTCTCGAAACGGGAGATGATGTCTCCGACAAGGCCGCGCTATGATAATCCAGTCAAAAAGAAGGTCATTAAACATCATAGAAGTCGAGATGTACCTGAACGCCATCAGGCTTAACGGCGATGAAACTGCGAAGATGGTGTTAGGATACTTTGTACTTGGCAACGGCCGCAGAAATGGCTTACGTTTGTTCAGTAGACATGATGAAGGTGATGTAAGAGTGTTGAGCAACAAGGACACACTGAATTTGTTGTTTAGAGAGCTTGTGAGAAGGGAGAGAATGAACTTGTACTTGCGGTCAATGCAAGTAGTGAAATATTTTATGAGCGAGTGTGGGGCAAAATGTTGCATCGACGAGGAAGGAGGGGCAAAGATTGGACCTCCTTCACTCTTGACTTTGCAGGTGCGATCATGGGCTGGCCAAGCGGCAGACGGTTCATCGATTGGATCGTTGGGGTAGTCGTGGGTAGCTTCCAGGCGCTGGTGCTCGAGCCAACCGTTACCGTTTAGGCAAGACTAGGTCTGATATAGGCTTTCCTGTGGCATTTCCAGGTACCAAGACCCTCTGCAGCCCACCTGTAACCTTGGAGTAACCTCCCCGTGTTTCTCGTTCAATAATAGTGGAGACTTAAACAGAGGCCTCAGTACATCATCAGGACAGATCAGTGCTCAACAACCACAACCACAACCACCTCCTCTGACTTGTTGATCTCACACATGTCGCCATTTCAAACGCCGTAAATGACCATGGCGAGATCTTCCCGGAGAAGCTCTCATTGGGCTATCCCATACCTCTCTCTCGTCCTGCTGTTGTTCCTTGTTTCTCCTGCATGTAAGTTCGGTCTAGTGCATCCGCTTGATCAGCATTCAACCTGCTGACCCTATCATAGTCTCTGTTAAGCATCATGATTTCAAACGTTGTGACCAGTCTGGTTTCTGCAAACGAAACAGAGCGCTTGCGGACTCTTTCATCGAAAAAGGAACCTCCGACGGCTCTCCGTATCAACTAGACGCCGCCTCCATCAAATTCAAGAATGGCCTCCTCCATGGTTCTGTTGTCAAGACACTGAGAACGGGCGACACAATTAAGCTACCTTTGACCATCGCATTCCTCGAGACCGGAAACGCCAGAGTTACAATCGACGAGGAAAGACGTCAAAAAGGCGACATTGAGCTACGACATGGCAGTGTCGCTCGGAAGGAACGATATAATGAAGCTGGCGCATGGGCATTAACTGGAGCTGGACTTCAGAGTCAAAAAACTGCGCAATTGAAAAAAGGTTCGGACGGAACAAGTGAGGTTTCTTGGGGCCATAACAGTCGTTTTGAGGCAATCATCAGACACGCTCCATTTGGGATCGACTTCTACACAGATGGCGAGCGGCAGGTGGTTTTGAATGGCCGCGGCTTCCTCAACATTGAGCACTGGCGCCCCAAGGTGGACAAACCTAAAGAAGAAGAGAACGCTACAGAGCAACAAACACCTACCGAGCCCATCGAAGACGAAAGCACATGGTGGGAGGAATCTTTTGGCGGCAACACCGATACCAAACCCAAAGGACCTGAGAGTGTAGCCCTGGACATCACGTTTCCAGGATACAGCCACGTGTACGGTCTCGCCGAGCATGCTGGCCCACTGTCTCTTAGGGAGACCCGTGGCGGAGAAGGAAACTACGATCAACCATATCGCATGTACAACAGTGATATCTTCGAATATGAGCTGGACAGTCCAATGACACTGTACGGATCTATACCGTTTATGCAGGCACACAAGAAAGGCTCCTCTGTCGGAGTGTTCTGGCTGAACGCCGCCGAGACGTGGGTGGACATTACAAAAGCACGACATGGCACCAATCCCCTATCACTCGGGCTCGGGGGCGGCGTGGTCGATACTAGTACTCACTGGATGTCAGAAAGTGGTCTGTTGGACGTCTTTGTCATCCTTGGCAACAGTCCGAAAGATTTATCGAAGTCGTACGGGGAATTGACTGGGTATACCCAACTGCCTCCGACGTTTGGAATTGCATATCACCAATGTCGATGGAACTATGTCAGCGATCAAGACGTCAAGGACGTTGATCGTAAATTCGACAAGTACAACATCCCCTATGATGTGATCTGGCTGGACATTGAGTACACGGACGACAAGCAATATTTTACCTGGGACCCTTTGAATTTTCCAGACCCTATCAGCATGGAGCAACAGCTTGATGAGAGCGAACGCAAGCTTGTTGTCATCATTGATCCCCATATCAAAAACAAGGCAGGATATACTGTCGGGGAAGAGCTCCAGAACAAGGGCTTTGCAGTGAAAAATAAGGAGAACAATATCTTTGAAGGCTGGTGCTGGCCTGGTAGCTCGCATTGGATCGACGCGTTCAATCCTGCAGCCAGGGCATGGTGGAAGTCCCTATTCAGCTTCGACCGGTTCAAAGGTACTCTGCAGAACGTATGGCTGTGGAATGACATGAATGAGCCATCCGTGTTCAATGGACCTGAGATCACCATGCCGCGGGACAACATCCATCATGGAAACTGGGAACATCGCGACGTCCACAACATCAACGGCATGACTTTCCACAATGCCACATACCACGCTCTGATTGAGCGCAAGAAGGGCGATCCTCGTCGTCCCTTTGTGCTCACTCGGTCTTTTTACGCGGGATCTCAACGGTCTGCCGCCATGTGGACTGGGGACAACCAAGCTAGCTGGGACCACTTGGCAGCGTCAATCCCCATGATCCTCAACCAAGGTGTGAGTGGCTTCCCTTTTGGAGGAGCCGATGTTGGTGGATTTTTTGGAAATCCCAGCAAGGAACTCCAGGCGCGTTGGTACCAAGCAGGTGCATTCTATCCCTTCTTCCGGGGACATGCGCATATTGATACGCGGAGACGAGAGCCGTATCTGCTCGGGGAGCCATATACTAGCATCGTGACGCAGGCTTTGCGTTTGCGATATGCCCTGCTCCCCGCCTGGTATACCGCATTCCACGAAGCGTCAACAGATGGGTATCCTATCCTTCAGTCACAATACTACGTGCACCCAGATGATGAGAAGGGATATGCCATCGACGATCAATTTTACCTGGGTTCAACGGGCTTACTGATCAAGCCCGTGGTGACAGAGGGGGCCGAAAGTGTGGACATTTATCTCTCGGACGACGAGGACTATTTCGACTATTTCGACTACACTATCTACCCTGGGGGCTCTCGGACACACACAGTGCAAGCCCCTCTGGAGAAAGTTCCTATCTTGATGCAGGGTGGTCACATCATCCCACGAAAGGACCGACCACGGAAGAGCTCCGGGTTGATGAAGTGGGATCCTTACACTCTGGTGATTGTTCTCGATAAAAAAGGTGAAGCCACCGGTACGCTGTACGCAGATGATGGAGAAACATTCGACTACCAGCACGGAGCGTATGTGCATCGTCAGTTCACATTTTCGAACAATAAGTTGACTAGCTCCAACATTGGTGCAAAAGGGCCCAAGACATCTGCGTATCTCAAGACCATCAAGGACGTACAAGTTGAAAAGATCATTATTGTCAACGCACCAAGTGAATGGGCGAATGATAAGTTGGTATCGGTGTCGGCGGTTGGTTCCAGTTCAGCAGACACTGAATTGATTTACCATGGTCCTGCTGGAGGCAAGGCTGGTTGGGCGTTGGTTCGAAGACCTGGCGTAGGCATTGGGGTCGATTGGAGCCTCAGCTTCTTGCAGACGTCGTCGAAGAAAAGCGATCTGTAGCCCTAGATGATAGCTGTACCAATAGTAACATGATATCTCGGATTTTGCCAATGGTTGAGGAGGTTCTTTGTCCCGAAGTGAGGGAGCGTAACAGAGCATAACCACGATGAAACCAAGCTTTAACTAACACGATGATCCCGTGGGGGCGACAGCGGGGCCGAGAGAGCCTGAGAGGCGAAGAAAATAAAGAGAGAGTTCGAGCTTGGACATCTGGCTCGGGGGGTCGGGAGGTGCCCTTGAAGCGTTGAACGGTTGGCTCGCCATCATTGGCTCTTTCGGCGCCCCAGGCCCGCTCCGGGCGATAGTCGACGCCATCGATAAGCCGGTACTAACTTTTTCTAGATGCTCGTCATCATTTCAGCCAACGCCAGGGGGAAGAAATCAGGAACGGGCGGAAAGCAAGATTGACCTTGCTGACAACTCGTACAGTTGGATCGAGTCCAGCAAATACACCCCTTGCGTTGTCTGTTCTGTCGAATTCTCGCGTCTCGCATTCTTATAGTCGACTTGTCGCCATGTCCGTACGATAGAGAGTGTTCAACTGTCCTGCAGCTGTTTTTCAACCCCTTTGGGTTGTTTGGGGAAACTCTTGTTGGCGGCCATTTTGAAGTCATCGATTGGGAAAAAAAGTTGGTTCAACATGTTTGGGTGGCTCACCTTGATCATTGACTACTTTGCGCCGTTATTGTAAGAAACAAACTCGATATCCTGACTCCTCAAGTCATGTTTGGCCTCTTTACTGACGCTGCTCTCCTGTCTGCAGTCTGATCCTGTCCCCGATCACATCCTATGCCGACCAGATCGCTTCCATCCACCGAAGGAAAACGAGCGAGGGGTTTTCGCTGGATATTCCCTTGATTATGCTCCTGGCCTCAATTCTGAAGTAAGAGATTCTGACAGCAGAACATGCGCTAGAGTGTGCATTGACAATATTCGCAAGGGTCTTCTACTGGTTCGGCGCGTACTACGACACATCATTGCTCGTGCAGGCATGCCTGATGATTGCGGTTCAGCTGGTGCTGTTGAAGGTCGCCCTTGACAATAAGGCTCCGATCGGTGTAAAAGACGGCGTGGCACACACACCTTTCCATGAGTACACTGCGGAGGATGGACTGAAAGATCTGTTGGCTGGTCGACGGCCATTTGATTTCTGGCGTTGGAGCAGTTCCAAAGCGTAGGTGGTTTCTCTCTCTTTCTCTTCCTCTGCCTGTGCCCACTGCGAGAGCGATGCTGACCCCGCGCGTGCAGGTATTTTTCATTCATAGGCTATTTTGCATCAGGCCTTGCAGTCATCCATATCTTTCTTCCCTTCATCTCCGGCTCGCCCGCCTATATTGCCCTACTAGGCTACCTGGGACTGGCCATCGAGGCGTTGCTGCCCATTCCCCAGATTCTCAAGAATCACCAGGCTCGATCTTGTAAAGGGTTCCGGCTATCGGTCATTATCAACTGGCTGGCCGGTGACACAATGAAGATGAGCTACTTTTTTCTCAGCTCCAAAGTGGTTCCCTGGCCGTTCCGACTCTGTGGTATTTTCCAGGCTTGCTGCGACAGTTATCTCGGCTTGCAGTTTTACATGTACGGAGAGGGCTCGATCTCGGCGCCAGGAATTCCAATGGAGTCGTCGGAAAAACCGGGCATCATTGGCTGAGCAAAGTCATTGGCATGGTGATGCAGAGATCTTGGTTGTTCACGGCCAAGATGCTGAGGACTTGGTGCTCAGAGAGGAGGCATAACGGAGCCAAGGTCTTACATCGGGGGGAAGTCCTGTCGAGAATAGACACATACGTTGGCGATGAAAACGTGCTCATGGACAGAGATTGTGCTGCGACGTTTCCAACTTGAGAGAAAGTTCCATCGCAGCGAATACTTAGTTCAGAAGGACTTCTGGTATACACATGGTTTGACTGGGACAACGTTCAGCCTCTTCGACCTGGTGCCTGGAGCCAGAACAGCGACCCGATGCGAACGACACTCTAGAAGGTATGGGGACCGACCCAAGGAACATTGGTAGGCAATTCTGTCCAACCAAGGGTCATGGGCGCTCGGGAGTGGCGTCATCATGCCTGAACACACGGCCAAGGGGCGGAAGTTTCGGGGTGGGCGCCAATTGGTTTAGGCGACCAATCATTACCAAAGGTCCACCAACCCATCATGCCACCATCATTCAGTCAAGGCTGAGGCCACGCAATTCTGTACAGTGGCACGGTGGCATTGTCTTGTTTAGCAAGATTCTGCATAGGGTGATTCGTTGCAACGTGAACAACGTAACGTGATTTCCCAAACCCAGCTTTGGCGTCGATACTGGGTATACTTGGCAATAATGCAGACGAGATAGCACAAATTCCGCAAAACCAGCTGACTGACAGGGCTTAGGATGATGGCCTTCATTTATGTCCGGAGTGCATGCTGCAACATCAGCACTTGGAGTCTCACTTCACTTAATTCTCCATCTACCACGCTCATCTGTGTCGACATGGGCCTACGAGGCATCCGTTTTCGTCGACGCGGTCAACATGGACATATACGAATGTGCATCTGGGGCATCTACAACCTTATCGTCCCGCCACATGCGCCAAAGGTGTGAAGGTGGACTGACAGCAAGACTGGGGTCTTTCAGAGACAAAAGAAGCAAACACATTAAACCACATTAAGACGACCTGTTGAATAAGATAACTCGGATTGTTGTCGAAACGAGAAAACATCATACCTACGTCATTTGCCTGGTAGAAGTGGAAAGTTGAAGCCACGAATACGAGGTTCAAGCCACAGATACGCAGGGCCGGGGCATCTGACGGGATGTGTGGATGTTAGCCAACATCCGATCCAGGGTAATACCGATCTCCGATAAGGCTGCCTTGGTTGAGTTGAGAGGAATTGGTGAGGGAGTTCACGACAAAATCGACCGAGATGGACGAAAAAGGACGATCGCGCGAGAGAGAAAGACCAAAGAGCCAATCGGAAAAAGAAAGAACCAAAACCCCCGGCGGACGTACTACTTAAATCCTCCGTCCAATTTGCGGTCATATTTTGGTTTCAATTGACACGAAGGAGGGCGAGCCCTCAACAGACGAGGGAATATCACCGGAAGGCTTTATCCGGGAGGGCGGAATTTATGTTATCGCAGTTCTAACTCCTGAGGACTAGGAGGCAACCCATTCCAACCCAGGACAGAATTGCTGTAGTCAAGGGTCAATGAATTCAGAAGAATGTTAAAGCACAGACCGGGCTTCGTAGAATGATAGAAAGAAAGCACGATGGAAGTCAAAAGTGACGCCTGCTGTTTACACTTCTGAAGAGTTCCCACGGGGGTGGGCGGGAAGGTGCGATAACGCAACGGCAGGAGGGGAAGCTACGCTGCGCTTAATTGTTTAAGCGGGCACTATAAAAAAAATGCCCGAGATTTGAGTCAAATACCTAGTAGCGGAATCGTCTTTCTCCTCGCTTGACATGTGCCCCGAGAAAGGGTAGTGCGGTACAGTAGCTACTCGGACAGTGCATTGCATCGATGATCGACAATCTCTGACCGCCGACCGTACTCCGACGTTCGACCGTTAGAGATTATTCACGGGGATGGAGACTGTAAGTCTCTCTTTTCGCAAAGGAAGGGCAGACGTATGGGCCCAACAGGTACAGGTACTGGTACTTAGTCCCAACCTTGGCTCGCACGAGAGTTTATTTCGGGCTGTGGCACCCTTGCAGCCCTACTCGTACGAGCTGCGTTGCTGTCTCTCTGGTCCAAACACTATTGGTAGTAGCGTCTGATTAATAAAGACCCTTGCAAATATATGCCTGCAACTTCCTATTTTACTATAGCGACAAAGAGTTGACTCGTCTTCGAATCCTCCCGTTGACCACCATCGTCATCAGAAATGCCATCCACTTCCTCAAACTAATCACCGAATGATAGCGCCGCACTCTGAAACTCGTATCCTACAACTCGCCAATCGTCTGTGCCCTGTACGCATTTCCTATTGCCGCATTAAGGTCCTAACAGCGGCCACAGTCAGCGACATCAGTAGCGCCTGCCACTTACGATCGCCTTCCTGCCACAGGATTGGTCAGAATTCCACTCCCCGGCCTCCTCCTGATCCTCCACTTGATCCTCCACTTCTTCTCATTCATCCTCCTTCTTACCATCCGGAATACCCACCGCGTCTTGTATCAAAAACACTGTCTCAACCTCATCCACTCGCTCCCTAGGTACCCTTTACTCCGACCATCATGCAATAATCTCTCTCTTTCTCCAACAATCATCGAACAAAAGCCGAACTCACGCATCGTCAACGAGGCCGGCCATCTTCCGCTACTCTGACGTATGCCTCACGAGAAGGCTGCCAAGGTCTCCTATATCATTCCCAGGTGCATCAAGTGATTGGTCCCCTTGATATACCTCGAAAGTGGTTCCGCTCATCCTCGTCTTCCTTCAGAAAGCGACCAGTGACGTATACTCGAGACCATATATCTCTCATCTACATTGTCGAGGTTACATATCATTCTCCTATCACACCTCGCTCGGACCTATCTTCCACAAGCTCCAGACCCTTACAGCATCTTCAACCTATCGTATCGGTCTTTATAGGTTTTCCCCAAACGATTCCCCGGGCTGCTTTGGTCATTCCACTCAATCCTATCTCCGCCTGTCCACGTATACTGCTTGGACATTCCTTGCTTCTCTCATCAAAGTCACTCATACCTCATCGCACAGTGTCGTATGCTGTTAAGTTAAATACACATTGATTCCACGGATCAGCAAATTTCAGCACAAAGGCCGCTTGGTACAATCCTCTTGTACGACGTCTTTTCGGTCCAACAACTCTCACGTTCACAATTTGACCCTGTCAAACCTCTATACGCTGTCCGACAATCCTTCTGTTGATCCTTCCGGCGACAAACCTCCGATTGGCACGAGAAATTCCCCCTGCATGGTTCACAGGCGGTATACCCTCGCAACAGCCATCACATCTCGTGCTAGCTCGACCGTTATTCCCCTACCCCCAACAAACGGCATCTGTTTTAAATCCTTCACGCTCAGAGATCTCCATTCCTTCAAATCACGGACGCTCAATTGACGAATCCCCACATCTTTGCTCCACTACCACAGCTTCACATCAGGGCTTCCGACTTGCTGCTACTGCTTTTCCGTTGTTGGCGAAGGACCCTCCTGGAGGCTAATGCATGCGCAATCGTCCCGTTAGAGCTTGGAACGCATTCTATCACCAAAAACTTTGTCTCTCCTGCCACGTCTCGCTATTTCCTGCTGCACCATTTGTCATTTGACATCCTACGAAGAACCAGATCTGAGCCCAGAAACCACTATTGGCCTAAATACCCTCACATTCAGTTGGTTTCACCAAGCAATTATCCGTCCTTCGCGTCTCGTAAGTGCTGAGTAACCCAAGTCAAGGCAGCGGGGGTCACGTCTATTGCATTCAGGCTATGAGAGCGTGCCTCTAGGTCGACATACACCAGAGTTTATATTGTTGATTTTCCCTTCACAAGTATCTTGACCGGATCCTCTACATCTCCAAACCCTGGAATATCTAAATACGTGGTTTTCAAGCCATTCCCAATTTCGAGATGCCTTCTCGCATCAGCGGCGCCTGCAACGGTTGCCGAACCAAAAAGCAAAAGGTATGCTATTCTTTGTCATGGGATTTCATCATCCCATGGTGCTCTTGAGCTCGTCGTAAGCTGACCTTTTACAGTGCAGTGGCGATAGGTATGTTTATTCTATCATCTTTTTTGATTGCCGAATCAATGGGGAGGACCATGTCTCTATACCCTGTTCTCATCAATTATCTTCCCGTCTATAGCCTAGAAAGGTGTTAGAATTCAGGGACAGGTAGATTGTTTTGCCAAATATTTCAATTATGGGATTGCAGGCAGCCATCGACTTCACAGCGCCGATCGTTGCAAATTTGCACAAAGTCCCTGTGTTCGAGGATGCCACCGAGGCACTCTTCTTCATCGTTTACAGAATGATCATGAGCTGATTACTTATCACTGAAACAGATCCGGATGCCTTCAGTGCCAAGCTGCGGGAATACAGTGTACCTGGCCAGAGCAACGAAAACGGTACGTCTATGCCCGCATCAGCGAACGCAAGGACGATGGATTTCATCCTTGTCCCTCATCCTTCATCCTTCCGTTTCCATTTCCATTCGCGATCTTCCTCATCTCTCACGTTTCATCTCACTGACAGATTCTCCTAGTGGCCCTGCGAAAGGATACATTGAAGGCTTAGAGCACCGTCTCCACGAAGCCGAGTCATTACTTCTTGCACTCCTTCCACTCGTCACTGCTGCTCAGCTCGACAATGCCACCGAAAGTCTGAATCTCACTGATGCGGCCGGAGTTGGCCAGGCATCCAGAGACTCAACATCGCCTTCCCCTCGCAATGTACGATCTTCACCTCCGGTCTTGAACAAAAAGACCGGCATCGACTACTGGGAATCATTTCCACTCGACACGGTCGAGAATATCCGAAGATGGCAACAAGACTGCGCGATACATAGTCAACCGCCCAGCACCGACCGACATGCGTCAGCACGTGACTCTCTCGACAATGTTAGCCATGCTCGTCTCCTCAACTCGAATCCCACCTCTCGTCAATCGTCCATGGATCTGAAGCGAGAAGCCTTGGACGGCATATTTAGCGCGAGTCTTCAACATAATAACCGCAACAACGAGAACTTCCGATCCCTGTCCTCAGATCCTTATCGTAGCGGAACAAATACACCTATCAATGTCACGTCGGCGGCCCGCCATTCCCCCATTCCAGGTCAGCAGTATGATCAACACCCGCAGCAGCGACTATCTAGTCAGCTCCAGTCGTGGCAAAACTCTTCACTTTATGCCTCCGGTTCAAATCCCGATGCCACACGTGGTGACGCTTCAAGCAACATAACTCTCAACGCCGAGGCACTCCTCCTGCAATCACTTGCTGAGAATAATAACCATTGGGCGCAGCCCGACCAAGTGGGCAACAATAACATGCTGATGAATATGGGAATGGCAATGTCCATGGCCATGTCATCACCACCGAACCATGCCATAGAGTCAGCTCCTATGGAGATTGACACAGGGTTCTTCAACAGTGATGTGCAACGGCGACTGTTCTGGTGAGGCGTGGATATGGCATGTCGATATTAGAATAAGAGATTCATTTGTGATTGGATATGAGATTATGGGATATGAATTTTGCGATTTCCTGGTCTCGAATGGCCCGTGGATATCTTGTATGGCGATGTGGGAGTTATTTCGTCGCTTGGAATCAACCATCTGTACATTTCATGTTTCATGGTTGTCTACTCAGGCGTTTAGTTGCGAGGCGGCGGATGGCAAAACGTCTATACCTCAAGGAGTTACTATGCAAAACGCTCAGGGTCGAACTATGATGGAATATCTTTGAAAGGAGGGACACTTGGAGGATGAGGTGCAACCAAGATCCCAAGAGACTGTAATTTGGTGATACTCAATTCATCGCCATAGGTAACTTGCAAGAAGAATTACCTCCACTTGTGACACAGGACTGAATCCCAAGGACGAGAAATTGCCTTTAAACCGGTGCCTACAAAAAGTATATCTACTACATAATGGGGGTATCGTTCCAGACATCTTGATAGCTGCTTGTCAGCCAACTCGACACGCCCATCCGCTCGCGTGTATCACGTTCCCTATCCTTGGTGGGTTGCCGGTATGCTCCCAAGCCTAAAGAATGCGCCACCTCGTATCTTTTGATTCCCGTCTTCTCAGCTGTCCTTGGCTTGCAGATCTCGCTTAGCCCGCCACAACCTTTTGCCTGTCTAACATAGATTAATCTTATATTCTGCCACATAGTTGTTACTTTGCTCTTGCTGCAACGCCCCTTTAAGAGACATTTTCCTGCACTACATCTCCCAGCCAGTGTTGACGCCGCCGCCAGGCGCAAACGGGCCCGTCATGTTTTCCCATGTGGCGCTTCCGAAGATATCCGTCACGTTATAGTCCATGTTCCCCCAGAACATGGGGTCTGAGTATTCGGTGATGGTGCCTTGATTGTGTATGTCACCGCTGCTATTATTACTAGTAGCCGCGGCCCCGCCGAGCCCCGAGCCAGACGCAATATTCATTGTGCTTTGCGCAAACGCCAGGTCCTGTGGAGTGGCGTACACGGCGCTGCCGATGCCGTGATTGTACTGCGGTTGGGTGGTCGGATGCCCACGATCCCACTGGGAAAAGTCAAAGGCCGACGCGTGGATGCCGCTGGGATTGGACAGGGCAGATGGATTGTTTGTCTCGAAGGTCGCAGATGGCGCCCAGGACGGAGTCGAGTTGTTGGTGGAGGACGGGTGGTGCTTCAGCCGGGGAGGGTTGGTGTTGGACGGCGGCTGCACAGGGCTGCTGTGGGCGGAGTCAACACCAGAGGACTTGCGTGGCGAGGTCTGGCCTTCGTCAGCATTGGTGCGCTGACGCTTGCGGCTGGGTTGGACAGGATCGACATCGACAGAGGGAGAGGAATTTTCGGCAGAGGGCTTGGGAATGGTCAGAAATCCGTTGATGGATGCTTTGCGTCCTTGGATGTTGACCAGAAGCAGCGACAAGACCTTGTGGCAGTTGCCCACTGTATACCAGCGGCTATTCATGGCATCGAGGAGATTCAGACACGCTTGCATGTCACTCAGGGCTCGGGCTTTGGCATATTTGCCCAGTTGACAAGCAAAGGCGATGATGAGGCCTGACATCCAGGCCGCGGAGAGTAGTCCTGGAAGGAACATGGACTGGGCACTCTGTTTGTGCTCCTTAAGACCGGTGACGATGCCACGGGAGGCACGAATGCAGACCTGTAAACCATGCTGAAATTCTGGTGTGGACTGGTCAAGTGAAAGGCGTGGTCGGTTGACGAGAAGGAGCAATCGATGGTAGAGAATCTTGAAGAATGGGGCTAGATTCTGCTGAGAGGGAAAATGGGGTGTCGTGCTTCCACTGGCTGGATGCCCAGTTGCAGTGGTGGATGGATGTGCGCCAGATCCGCCGGTGTTATCAGCATGCTCAGGATCTGGTAGGCTCTCAGAATCCGCTTCGCCAGTGAGGAAAGGGGGCAAGTCATTCCACCACGTCTCAATGTCACTTGTCAATCGCAGGATTTGTTGGTGCTTGGGAAAGCGATGATTGATGCTTTTGTGGAAGACTTCGATGATTTGACCGGTCAATTTGCTCCATTGGACATATGCTGTCAATGCAGCTTCTCTGGTTCTCTTTTCTCGAGCTTCAGGCCCGTCATTATTCTGTACTCTAGGATCTTCAGTCGCGAGACGGGGCGGCGGCATTTGTGAGGCTGGAGCATCAGTGTTGGGTATCAATTGGCGAATGACAGCTTTGTGTAGCTCAGGACCTGAAAGACAGACATCGATATCATCGTCTTGAATGGTATTGGGATCCCCCAGACTCAGACTGCAGTGGCGATCAAGGGCATAAGCTGACCAAAAGATGCGTTTTCGAATGTCGCAATCTTCTTGTGAAAGTTGAGCGTAGCGTAAGGGGCAACGATGTAGACCAGCGTGGTAAATTAACTTGACTATGGCACCGGCGACGGTGCTGGCTTGACGTATAGCAAGAGAGGCAACCAGGTAGAGCTCAGCGGCCAGGAGGGCCTGAATGGTGGATAGATCATGTGAAAGAGCAAAGCAACCAGCGACACGGCTGACGTCTGCGGTGGATCTGATTCGAGATTCTGCGGGGAGATGGATGTCGGAGCGGTCGAGCGATGCAATATTGATGATGAGCTGGAAGGTGACCAGCCTGCGCAGCTCATGAGGGGCAGGTGAAGTGGTGGAGGTGGTGGAAGGTCGGCGCTGGCGTTGATATATCAACTCCATGTCTTTGAGGAAAGTGGGCCCATGTAAGAAGGGGAATAGAGGGTGCCAGGTGGTGAAAAAGGACATGACCAGATCGTTGGCAATCTTGCGATCAGGTGGCTTACCCAAACTCGTGGCCAACAAATGCGGAAACGGATCGGTTGTGGAGGGACCTTCGTGTAGAGGACCATTGTACGAGTGGCCGTCAGCGTCTTCGCCGGTGAGGATATCTTCACTGGCAGGGACAGCATTGGGCCCGGCGAGGTGGGACGAAGCGAAAGCAGCGGAGAAAGCACGGCGGACTGTGTTGACAAAGTAGACGCCGGAAGAACTTCCTAGCCAGGCGGTTTGGTGATTGGGTAGTTTCTTCAGCGTGCCGATTTCAGAAGTATGAGTTGGCCTTTCTTCAGGCTGGTTGTCGCTGTCCGAGTCGTTGGTCCCAACAGCTGTGGTTCCAGTGGTGACTGAGGGGACAGCTGGAGGGGTGGGTTGGCCCACACTTGGGGACTGGTTGGATCTAGGCGTCATGTCGACGGGGAAGTCTGGAGTGAGTATTTGAGAGATGAGATGAAGATGCGGATCGATATTAAATCGAAAGCCAGCCGATGCGCATCATGGATCGTAATGTGACACAATTGGTATGCTTTGTCGAGGGCGGATGGTTGAAGTGGGCCTTTGTCCAAGCCTTAGGTTGGTAGGTGTTTGCCCAAACTCTAGTCGTCTGGTGGCGGATTATCCAATGGACGAGTCCGCGTGGTTGTCGAGACGTGAATAAGAAGTACTATCGCAGTTGTTGCATGGTCTAAAGTATCTTCTGTAGTTGTTGTGTTCAGGTTGAGAGATGAGTTGAGATGAGCGACGTCGAGGTTTTACAGGCGAAGATCTGGAAGGTGCCGAATTGATCAACAGGAAGGTGCCACTAACATAACCATTTCCCCGGCTAAGGTTTGATGACAAAATGGGAAGGAACAAGCCCGATGTTAGTTAGGAGGGGCTACGGCGAATCCGATGTCAGGGCCAAGGCGCTAGTCCATTCACAGACTTAAGCTGTACTTAGATAGCTTTTGTAACGACTACGCACGATAACTCTTACCAGTGTTTAGCCTGTGAGAGATCCTTTGGAGGCACTGAACACTACATAAACTTATGGAATACAAACTGTTCTTTAGACTCGTGCACAGGCGTGTCGATGGATGAGATTATGTCATTCCTCGCCAAAGCTGGCTTGAAGTCAACAGCTGTGCTAGACGTCCAACCTCATTCACCTTGGCTCTGTCGTATTCTGCTTCTTGGGCTGTCAACGGGCTGATCTAATCATCTCGAAGTTTGTCAAGTGGGTCGTTGGTCATAAATCGTAGGCGCAGTCAGGCCAGAGTGATGCTCACATGGTAACTGACAGGGCAAAAAACATGATGGCTCGCATGAAATTGAAATTACGGCCAATGACTGTCGCTATCGAATGTTCTTTTGTCTTAATTGTTCGCAACCGAGAATTCAAAGCAGATACTATGTTCTAATGCCCATGATTCATACTTGCCCTCGACTGTGTTATGGCATGTACACCCTGTTTGCCTTCAACAGTATCTGGGCTTCAGCCTTTCGCGGGCTCATGATATTGACATCCCTCTCCCATGGCCATACATGGGCATAGTTCTTATCCAGCCTCTTAATGGTCTTTTTCATCCTTTTCATCTCTGTTGCCACCACTCACACTGCAGTGTTATACGTGTTTGACCAAGTTTTTCTGTTGGGCTGCAAAAATCGCTTCAAGCCCATGGCGGGGGTATTGATCGGAGACTCGCCAGTGAAGAGGAAGGTGTCGTATAGCCAACCGCCGAAGAGACACCCACAGAATGGTGCCACCATTGGAACCTGACTTGACATCAGCTTTGCACAATCAACATTCTCTAGCTCAAACTCACCCAAAAATAATAGTTCCCTGCTCGCCACACCTCTGGGCCGTATCCGATCATATAAGACACCAGCCTCGGCCCAAAGTCTCTTGCAAGATTGATTGCATATCCTGTTTCCCAGCCGAAACAGGCGCCGATTCCAAAGATGACAAAGAAGAGTGCTAGGGGTGTCAAGGGCCCGGCTCCAAGGTTGCCGTCATCTTGAAGGGCATATATCAAGAACATGAGCAGTGTGCTCGCGATGAACTCGGAGAAGAATTGGCCTGTGGTTGTCATGAATGGGGCCGGGTAGGTGCAGAATATACCCGCAGTTGCCGTCTCCGAGTACCCTGGGACTGTTCTGATGTTTGATCCGCCTTCGAAAACATCAATCGCAGATCGGTAGTTGGCATAAACGATGGCCGATGCCGCCATGGCCCCTAGGACCTGTGCAACCATGTACACTGGGAATTTTCGCCAAGGGACCTTTCGATATACACAGTCTGGAGCAAAACAGTCAGTCATCAGTGCCCAGCCAACCTTTCAGAGCTCGACATATGACATGACAAGGTTAAAGAATATACTTACTGGCAAGTGTGACTGCTGGATTGATATGCGCTCCACTTATACCGGATGTGTATCTTTGGATAACAAGTCAACAGAACGGCTCTTCATCCCGAGCGAGATCACTTACACTCCCAGCATGACACCAATCCTGGGAGCGTTAGCTGGTATTCACACTTTGAGAAAGGTCAAACACATACCCCCAACCCCAAGAGATGGATTGGTAATCACCTTTGGTCCCATCAGAAAGAACAACCTGAGCAACGACGCCATCACCGAACAAAATGAGGATGAAAACACCAAAGAATTCAGAAAATGGTTCTCTCATGAAGTGGCGAACTCGACTCCAAAGAAGGTCAGGTGCTGCCTGCACAGTGTCCTCCTGGGGAATTTTATGATCGACCAGAGCTCCATGTTCGGCATATGCTGGCTGACCCTCAACTGTTGTGGGGCGATAGGTTTCCGGCGCGTGGAGGTGGTGATGGGGATGCAACTGATTGGAATGCACGTCTTCGTTATGCACCCCTATGCCAGGTGGAGTTGTTGAAGAAGCTGATTTCTCATGAGCCATTGTTTCGGCACTCTGTGGAGACCCAGTGGTATCTGGAACTGAAGGGGTGAGATTCGTAGTCAGAAATCTGGGGACAGTCGGGAGCCATTGACCATCTATATATTGCCATGGAGGTCTGAGTAGTATGCAATGTCGAGGCCGATGCAGGTGGAGGGGGTAAGTCCTATTCAAGCATGGCCGGCCGTATTAGTGTGTTAAGCTGCAAGCGGAAGCCTCGGATCTACAAGGATCGACTACGCAGCACACGTTAGAAGAAGACCCTCGTGGTGGTCAAGCGCGAAAGTGCTGACTGCTCGGTGATGGTGACACCGAGCGTGGCCCTTCGCAACCCACAGCGGCATTGCAATGCTGGGCATCCACTTCAATTGTCTTCAGAGTTACATGGCAGTCGTACAAGATGAAATAGTCCGAATTCGACATACTCTGTCGTGCTGGGCACGGAGCGAATCACCCAACGAGGCCACTGCCAATTATTCATACCGCGACTGACCCAAGCAGCCCAGACTGCAACGCTGCACCAGGGATACTACGAGGCCGAGCTGGCAACAAGCGTATTATCCAGCTGGGCGAGTCACAAAGTGTGAATGTACGAAATCCAAGATCCCCGCTGCCAACTCAAACCACCCACGCCAATGTGAAACTCTCAGACAATAATGTGCGACTTCTGTGTTGAGCGCAGGGACGACATTGTGACTCTGGCAGCAATTGATGGCCTAATGATGACCTCGATCCAACGCGGCATTACGTTTCCGATTTCCCTCTGGGATAGGCCTAGGGTGAGAAGATGAGCAAAACTCAACAGACCACAGTAATCATCACAAATGCACCGAGCTGACAATGTCATACGATTATGTTACTCGATACGGATGGATATATTCCGCGACCAGGCCTTCCAATTCGTGCGGCATAATTCGATTACCCCGCGAGCTGTTGAGTGCTTCTTCTAGACCAGGGACATTGGGGCGGGATTGTCTCTCCTCCAGATGAACTGTCTCTGTCTCGATACATACACTCCATCGACTTGACCGGTAACACGTCTCTCGCACCACGTCGCCAAGGTCTCGGTGTCTGAAAGTCCGTTTTCAAATTTGCCAACCTTTTAGTGCGCTGCAGAAAGAGCGGGGTGATAAAGGTCGGTAGATCCTCTCTGGTACTAGGGTCCCTGAGGTTGCAGTGAACGAGGAACCCCTCACGTATTTGCAGGGTCCGTCGACGAGTACCTCATCTCATCACTCCCGGGGTCAGAGTCTTGACTCGGGACCCCCGCATCTCATGCGTGGTTAAGCGACCGCGGAGCACGTATTGCATTGACTTGCGGTAATGACGGTCATCATGCTTGAGATGGACTGATGCAAGAGAGAATATCCAAGTTGAGACCCTCGGGGTTGTAAATATGGCCGAAATGACAAGCTTTGGGACTTCATGCGGCTCGGGCAATCGACTCCGAGTAGCCTTCCCGTGATCCGAATCTTTAATGGCCTTAGAACAGCATGCAGCCAAGCTCAATACTGGATCAACATCAATATGGTCTATTGTTGTAGGATCATTTCTCGGTCTCTTGTACCGAGATGGAGATACGCCACTCGAGATTCAAACCCCAAGTTCCAAGCTTCCAAGAAAGGATCTCTCCCCCACGGGTTAATCTAAGGGTAATCTTCGAGAACGTCGAACGGCCTTCCTTGACTTCTCGTCCTCTTCCACATTGTCGCCCCTGTCAAGAACTAAAACAGTGAGCTCCCAGCAAAGGGAGCCTCTTGGGAGACAAGTGGTAAATGATTTATCAAGCAGTTAAAGACTTGGTCCGAAAATATCGGCGCATCAATAATGACACACTAACCTTCAATACTCAACTCGAGCAATGCCCAAGGTCACCAGTAGAGATCAACGAACAATACGCCACAGTTTCGACAAGTTGATACAGATCTGGTCAAGTGTGTGGCTTGCACCTGAAGAAACGGCAATGGCAATGGATCAGCACTCTGGGGTTGGTGAGCGCGGCACCCCAGGAACCCCAGGAAGACTTGCCCGTTACACAAGAACCCTGTTTGCCAACAGTTCTGACTAAATTTGTCTAGACTGTGTATGCGTAGTATTTGGTGAAGTCACCTGATGGACGGACAAACGGGTCAAAACACGGAGGGTATAACATGGATCGTATAACACGGAGCGTATAACACGGAGCATCCACCGGGGCCTGAAGATCAGGCAGCCCCAGGCTCGAATAACTGATGAGGCATTGCAGACTTCCGCGGCTAGCCATAGCCGTGCCTTGGAGAACGGCACAGGTCGGGGTCTAGAGATGCTATTCGTGGAGTATTTGGATTAGGATACGACAAGCAAAAAGGTCAGGGCCTGGATTAACGGGTACGAGTACTCCGTAAAATCGAGTGAGCATCTCCCCTGTTGATCCCCTACGCGAAGACCTCCTGACCAGTCGTCTACCCACGGAGAAAGCCAAGTTCGCCCAAGCAAAATCTTCGATTGCCAGAGACGCCGGAGTGGGACTGACACCTTTCTAGCCCTTGGGTAGGTTTTGTGTCTGACAATAATATTAATTTCGTCCATTCGCTCTTACGGCCAGTCTTGAGAGTCGGAGTCACCGATTACAAAGCCTATTGTCCTGTCATTGATGTCCGTGGAGAAGATGTGACGGGTTGACTTGTTTGTCAGACAAGTGATCGATATCATCATCTGCCGAGCCGTCGCGCCTGCATACGAGTGCCCACTTCCGTGGTTCTAGAATTCCCTTCCACGATACCCCATTTCGTGATTGCGCCTCTTTCTTCGTCATTGCCCCAAGGAAATACGGAGTATTCATCACGACGTGGGCGGTGCGAAGAGGAGTCACGTCGGCTCCAAGTCGTCACCCGACCTGGGTGGGCCATGTCAGTCACCATGGTAGCATTTAAACCTCACAATTCCCGCCTTAGTCTTCATCGCCACGCTTTGCTTGTGTTCTAAATAAACAAATGTACCTGAGAGAAGAGTCATGACGCGCTTTTGTTCTTCTCGTCTCCGGAGTCCCGCCGAGAATCTGCTCCGGTGACACCTCCTTCATTGACGCAACAGCATCAGTGATATTTGATAGAATGGATCCTGATCAACCCATAGACGCGTCAAAGCCCGAATCACTGCGTCCGACGCGATGGCAGTTTTTTCGCAACCTTTCCTCTTGCGCAAAGTCGCTGATCCTCTTGAGCATTGCGGGCGTGGCACTTTTGATCATTATTGCAGTCGTCGCTTTCCTGTATCTGCCTCGCCATGTGCCAATGGTTCTTCTTCAGCAAGGTACTTACCAAGGTGTAATGATGTTCCGCAGTGATTTCAACACGGCCGTTGAGGGGTTTATGGGTATCCCTTATGCACATTCACCGTTGGGAGAACTGAGGTTCGCTCGACCTAGACCAGTTTTCAATTCGAATGAAACGTTTAAAGCTTCAAAGTACGGTCCAAGGTCAGTGCAAGCAGTCTCATCAGTGAGTCGCTCAATTACTAATCCAAACAGTTGCCCGGGGACTTCTCTGACCAATTCGTCTGAGTCTGATAGTAGCAGTGAAGACTGTCTCACTGTCAATGTCTTCAGACCAGCTCTCGAAATCAACGAACCCCTTCCTGTTGGGGTTTACTTCCACGGAGGAGGCTTCAGTCGTGGCGCGGCTCGAAATCACGATACTGCATCCATGGTTTCTTGGGCTGAACCATTCATCGGCGTTTCGTTCAATTATCGACTTGGTGCATTAGGATTTCTCAACTCAGAAATGATGCACGAGCAAAAGGTCCTCAATCTTGGCCTTCACGATCAAGTGATGCTTTTGGACTGGGTTCAGCAGAACATTGCAGCATTTGGAGGGGATCCAGAACAAGTCACCGTCTTTGGCAACTCTGCTGGGGCTCATTCGATTGGACACCATCTTTATAACAACAAGACAGTCTTCCACCGTGCAATCATGGAATCTGGAGGGCCCTTTTCCAGAGCGCTCCATCCATATAACTCGACCCTCAACGAAAAACAATTTCAGACGTTCATGTCGGAGGTCAACTGCACAGACATTAAATGTCTGCGCAAGGCCAACATCACGAACATTCTCAATGCCTCGGACACGGTGTTTAGTCGGTGGGGTCCTTCCTTGCGGTGGGCATGGCAGCCTGTCATCGACGGCGAGCTAGTACCTGGTCGACCACTGGAGAATACCCCTCGCAATGTGACCATCCTCACCGGGTTCAACACCAACGAAGGATCGGTATTTGTGCCTCGGAACTTGTCAACATCTACAGAGTTTGATAACTTCTTCAACACTCTGCTCCCACAGCTCAACCGTTCCACCCTCAACACCACTGGCGCCACCGCTCCTACCATCAACGAGACCGTCGCCGAGATATACCCTGAAAAGGAGTACGTGGAGTGGAGGAAGGTGGGCAAGCAATTCAGACGATTAGAAGCCGCGTACGGCCAATATGCATATTCTTGTGCAGTCAGACAAAACGCCGCCATCTTCGATAATGTCTACCTATACCATTGGGCGGTGAACCGAACGGTACTGGGGGGCGCTAGCCATGGCGACCAGGTGTCATATGAGGTGATGAGCAATGACGTGAGAAGGATCTCAAGCACCCAGCGCCAACTAGCTCGACTGTTTCACGGCTACATCACCAGTTTTATTGTCCATGGAGACCCGAATGGTGGTTATGATGATGATGATCGGCCGAACTGGAGCCAGGTCAGCGACCGGAACAAAACCATGATTATCGGCCTAGGAAATAATGAACGAGCAGGGGGTTCGTCCAAGGGTGTTGTAGCACAGTTGGTTCATGACACCTGGGCCATTGACGAATGCGAGTACTGGAGCGTCCAAAGCCGCAATTATGAGGACTGATATTGCTTATGATTATGATGATGATGACACATGTATGATAGATAATGTAAAATGTATAGCCTGAACTTTCGCGGCGTTATATAGCCATTCTGGGAATTTAATCACCTTTATAATGATCTTTGTGCCTGAATTGGGATTGATTATTGAGTTTATACGTGTTTTGAATTTCCAGATAGGAAGTATGCGATATGCATATGAGGGTACCGAGTGCCTGACGGTTATCGGCACACGTGCGGGGAAATAGCTTCGTCATTCTATCGATTTCCCCCACCAAGGCATCCCAATGAGAGGCATTACTCTTCGAAAAGACCCTCGTCTTTACAAGGGAAGTTGTCCGGTCACGTGAGTTTGCCGAACAGCATTGGAAGAGTGTTTTGCCCAAAGTTCCGGCTAAGCGGCACAGATCTCGACCCCCAAAGTCCCTGAATCTGCATAAACAAGCACCATAGCGACAGCCTAGCGTGACTCCAGGTCGTGGAGAAACGCTGACTTGGGTTGCGTGGCTTTAGGCTCCCCAGGCGTGCCAGGCCAGTCAGTCCTTTACCTATAGATTTGTTTGTCGATGACCAACCAAATAGGCTAATATGCTGCTAGAATAGAAAAGGAACAGATAACTAATGAGGACAGGATATAGGAGGTAGAGATAAAGATGGCAAAAGCACAAAAAATAACCTCCATCGGACACAAATGCCGATAGCAATGACGATGACCATGCGGCTAATAAAAGCCGGCTTTCAAGTTGGGGAAAAAGGTACCCTGTTGACTTCTCGGGGCGAACTACGGCCCCTATAGGATGTCTTTTCGCAATCTTGCCGTCTCTAGTCTCTTCACCCATCGCCGGCCCGCGGATGGAGCAAGCAGTGGGGAGAGACGATCCCAAAAGAATACTACCTCGAAGTACTCTGTATGGGTACTCCAATAAATGAGGTCTGGGGTGGCGCGCCTTTCGATCTTGTTGTCTTGTACTTTGCTTGTCAAGGTCGTCAAACCCTTTCTATCGATCGATTTTCAATCATACTTGCAATCTCAGTTCCACATCATCTCATGCCTCACCCCCATCCGCAAAAGGCAACCAAGGGTCGATATAAGTCTTGAGCTTTTGCTTCGGTGAAAAAGGACAGTCGGTTGTTACTATTACTGCTCTGGCTGTTGGTGTCGGGTTTTGCATTGGTTGGTCGCTGTCGCTGTCGCCGCTGTCGTTGTGAAGGATCGAACTGAAACCACATGATGCCGATTGCGGCCATTCATCATGTCCAGCCGAGACATGGATATCGTCGAGAAGAATAACGGCGATCAAGTCAGCCAGGACCATGGCGCAACCCTCGAGAGGTCCATTACGGCCGATGACTCTTCGCCCACAGACATCAAGCGAACCACGAGCAATACTCTCAGCAAAGTTGCTTCTCGTCTGAGCACGCGCCACATCGTCGACCCTGGTCCACCACCTGATGGCGGCCTCACGGCGTGGACACAAGTTGCGGCGGTGTTTCTGTGTAGTTTCACGAGCTGGTAAGCCATCCTTTGACAACGCCGTGGGCGAGTAAAGGGGGATAAACGAACTGACGAAGATCCTATTTAGGGGTTACATCAATTCATTTGGCATCTTCCAGACATACTATACCGAGGCCCTTGGGGAGGCGCCGTCGACGATCTCATGGGTGGGGTCGGTGCAATTGTGGGTGGTATTCGTAGTGAGTACGTTTTCCGGACGAGCGTTGGACGCAGGACTGTTGATCCCAACCTTCATCGTGGGCGTGGTACTGCACATCATTGGGATATTCATGACCAGCCTGTCGACGGTGTTTTGGCAATTGTTGCTGGCCCAAGGGGTGTGTACGGGGTTGGGCAGTGGCATCTTCTTCACGCCGACCATGGGTCTGATCACCACCTACTTCACCAGTCATCGAGGCCTCGCTATCGCCATCACGTCGACGGGCAATTCGGCCGGTGGCGCCGTCTACCCCGTCATTGTACGGCAGCTTTTACCTCGGATCGGCTTCGCGTGGACAATTCGAGTGCTCGGCTTCGTCAACCTCAGTATGTTGCTCGTCGTTCTAGCATTTATCCGACCTCGACTTCCGCCCCGACGGTCCGGCCCTATTGTCGAATGGCAGGCTTTTCGAGAACTGCCATATACTCTGCTGATCGTTGGCATGAGTTTTGTCTTCGGTGGCTTGTTCTTCACCTACTATTACATGGCGTCGTATGCGCGCACGATCCTCGAGATGAGCTATGAAGACTCACTGATCGTTCTGATCGTCTTCAACGCCGCTGCCATTCCAGTGCGTCTGATGTCGGGCTTCGTGGCCGACAGGTTCTTTGGGCCCTTGAACGCTGTCATTCCACTTCTCTGCATCAATGCCATCTTCGCCTTTGCCTGGACCTCTGTCACCTCCAGGTCTGGCTTCTATGCGTTTTCCACTCTGTTTGGTTTCTCTGCTGGTGCATTCCAGTGTCTTCTGCCCACTACGGTCGCGAGCTTGAATGATGACCTGAGCAAGAGTGGGGTTCGACTGGGCATGGCGTTTTCCATCTTCAGTTTCTCGGGCCTGGCTGGTCCACCGATTGGTGGTGCGTTGTTAACTTCCAACGGTGGAGGCCGAAGCGGCTGGCTGGTCGCACAGCTGTGCCTGGGCTTTACAACTTTGATTGGCGCCGTGTTTGTCGCTGCGGCTCGAGTGTGCAAGCATGGTTGGAGTTTGAAGATCAAGGTCTAGAGATTGAAAAGACAATTTCATGAGGGGGATACGTAGCATGTTTAGCGATGCGAGATATAAAAATAAGTTCAGACATATTATCAAGTGTATCAGCGAGGTATTTAATCTGAGATGTGACTGATTGGGTTCAAGCAATGTCATGATAGCCACGTGTGATTACGCCAAATATGCGCCGAATTTGTCTCTGCAGATTATAAAGGAAAAGAACCGTATATGGGGTATGAATTCCGGCCTAACCTGCAGGGATGGACCAATGGAAAACACTATAAGACCAGTGTGGCATGAGATGTTTGGATTTCAATGCCATTCCCTTCATCCAATATCTAGTATCCAAACTGCTCATCAGGTAGTCCCCGGTCACATTCGAGGTCCACGCAGTCCGCGTGTATGCATAAATGGATCCGTCTCACAAGTCGATCTAGTGCACCAATAGCTGGCGATAGTTCTCTCATCTCACTCACGTGTGGCCAAATGAATGTGGCCTGTGGGTGATTGATCCCATAATAAGACCGGAGGTAACTTTGACTACTAGTTCTTACTTGTCATCCTCACCACCAAGGATCTTGTACGGAGATAAACTAGCGATTTCCCATAGCCCGACACCGATGTGCAGAGTGGTTTGTGTCCCAATGCTGACTACCCCCTCGTGTCCCTCCTCCTACTGCCTTTAATTAGCTCCACCAAAGTCCTCGTAGTCTCGCAGGCCCCTATCGGGTCAAGCTCTTTTGTGGTTCAGGGTCCCAGAGACTGGATTTTGGGTTTACCGAGGGCCGAGTATCACAGACGTCAAGAACCTCGATTCGCCGAACAAGCTTCATTACTCCGCACTTGGTCGATGGTCATACTGACTCGGAAGTACTTATCATACAAAAAGTTATTTACCTCTTTTTTAATAAACACACGAAGAGACTGTTCTTACCATGTTCTAAGGGTCATTTGGGTGAAATCCATACCTGAAAACCAATTCTGGTGCTGTGGTCGACACGAGCGCAAACCAGTTAACTACAGCGACAGTGATACCTTCTCCACACCTATAGCGTTCTCACAAGTATTTCGTCGCCCATCATGAATTTCGACCTACCCAACGATCTTCAAGACTATCTGAAGAAGATAGACGGCTTTGTTAACAACAAAATCCTCCCTCTCCAGCACAAAAACGACAACAACCGATTTTTCGACCATCGACGAGAATCTTCACGTACACAATGGGAGAACCAAGGCCTACCGACCGACGACTGGGAGGATCTCCTAAAACAAGCACGCAAATTGGCTGATGAGGCGGGATTTTACCGATTTGGCTTTCCCAAGCAATTCGGAGGATCGGGCAACCCAGACCTCAATCTGTACATGTGTGCCATTCGATATTTCCTGGCATCACACCCAGTCTATGGCGGCGGCGTCAGTCTGGCCAACGACCTGCAGAACGAACACAGTGTGGTGGGCAACAACCCCATCATCATCATGTTGCAGCATTACGGCACCAAGGAGCAACAGGAAAAGTTCATTCCCGCCAGCATTCGCGGTGAATTCCGTGCCACTTTTGGTTTGACTGAGATTCACCACGGCTCCGACGCCACACATATGGACACGACGGCCAAAAAGATCAAGTTGCCTAACGGAGAGGACGGCTATGAGATCAATGGCAACAAGAAATGGCAGACGGGAATGCACCATGCGACGCATTGTTTGGTCTTTGCCCGTACTTCGGGCAAAGCTGGCTCGCCGCGTGGAATCACTGCGTTTGTAGTGCCGAGAGAAACTCCTGGTCTCGAGGTTGCGTCGTTCGAATGGACACTCAATATGCCAACTGACCATGCGACCATCATCTTTGATAAAGTGCAGGTTCCGGCGTCGGCTATTCTTGGACCCGTCGACAATGGATTGGCGATTGCCCAAACTTTCACACACGAGAACCGTATTCGACAAGCTAGCTCGAGCTGTGGAGCAGCTAAGTATTGCATTGACCGGAGCGTCGAGTATGCGAATCAGCGCAAGGTTTTTGGAAAACCACTTTCATCCCATCAAGCGATCCAGTGGCCATTGGTCGAGCTCGCTACACAGGCTGAGATGTTGCGCTTGTTGATTCTTCGCACTGCTGTGGAGATGGACAAAGTGACAGCCGCCTGCTTGAAGACTGGCCAGTCACCATGGATTGCCATTGAGAAGCAGCTGGGCCATAAGATTGGCATGTGCAACTATTACGCCAACCGTCTGTGCTGCGAGGCCGCCGACCGGGCGATCCAGGTGCATGGGGGTGTTGGCTACTCAAGACATTATCCCTTCGAACATATTTGGCGACATTTCCGTCGGTATAGAATTACCGAGGGCAGTGAGGAGGTTCAGATCCGAAAGGTTGCTGCATACTTGTTCGGATACAAGACTACAGGGGAAAAGGATAGTAAGAAGAGCGAGGCTAAATTGTGAAAGAAAGGCTGAGATCTCCAATGCTTAGGAGGTGCAGGTTCTACGTTTTGGGTGTATATAATCTATGGCCCGGTAGTGATGGAGCATATCAGCACACATCCTCGATGACCAGCTTCTCACCACTGGGTTCTCCAAGATCGAGTTTTAGGCGTCTTCCAAAAAGCTCCAGTAACATTTCAAAGCACACCTTGGTGATGGCTGGATCATAGCGCCCCTTGCTCAACTCATCGCGGATAAAGGCATGTTGCGCCCCAGATACCTCGTAAAAGGAAAAGTTGACGCCGATATCGTGGAGGGTCTTACGGATAAGATCGCGTCCTTCTGGTGGGACATGATTGTCACTCTTGCCAAAGATCATGAGTAGCTCGCCCTTAATATCGCCCGCTCTCTTAAGGCTGTCATCATTCTTGCCTAGGCCAAGGGTAGAACTATGGATGTCGGTCGCAAAGAAGCAGACTGCGGCTTGGACGCGAGGATCCAGGGAGGCGCGGTAGGCCAGATGGCCACCCAAGCACATGCCTGTGGCTCCTACTTTTCCACTGCAAGTCTTCAGGCCGAGCAGAAATGACACTGCCAGCTGGGAGTCTTCGTCATATGCGGCCACCTTTTTCTTGATCTTCCAGTCGTTGCCAGCATCAGTGCCTGGAACATCGTATGCCAAGGGCTCGGGGCCAGTGAATTCGTGGTAGGAACTAGGAGCGGCGACGATGTAGCCTTGACCTGCGATCTGTCGAGCAAAACGGGAAACTGGACCGGTCACTGAATGATGTTTAGCTGTTTGTGAGTTGGCTTGAGTCGGGGTGGGTGGGTTGAACCTTGATAAATCTCTGAGAAGACGACGACGCCTGGGAATTTCGCCTGAGGGTAGCCATGGATGACTGGATGGAAGAGGAATATACCTTGACCAAAACGATCAGCTCATGACAAGCCAAAGAGTCATAGAGTGGTCAGTGTCACGTAGGAGATGTCGTACGCATTGAGCCCTGTCCATCAGCTGTGGTGGCCACATCTTTGTATGATTCCTCGATCAACATGGTGAAAGATGATATGCTCTGCAAGTCTAGTGCAAAAGGTCGAGACGAGCAAAGAAGATTGACTTGCGGTCTGGGTTGGTCTGAGTTAGTCTGGGGGCAGTTCAGACTTAAGAGTGACTTGTTGTGATTGTGTTGGACTGCGTGACTGCCGTGACTGCCTCCGCGGCTTGTCACTGGAAAAAACAAGCGGGGAAGGAGCGTGCTCACCCGAATTCTAAGGAGGAAGGTGCGGGGTTCACAAGCAGAGAGTGGTGTGAGAGGAAGGAGCAAGTGGGCAAGTGGATATTTTTATGTCCAGAAAGGCTGATCATCTCAACGTCTTTGTCATATCACATCGCTTAATCAGTCTTGGGTCTTTAGCTTATGCACGCCAATTCCACACCGTTGTACATATCATGGGACCATGATGGTGAACGGTTTAGTGTGATGTATTCAATGGAACCTAAATGACTCTAGAGAATGAGACCATTTCCCATGGTATACACCCATGATGAGAGGCATAAAGCCTCATGATAACAAGGTAGGATGGGATATCTATGAGCAGAATTACTGAGACGCTTCAACTTTCCATACCTTCGACTGACGTTCTTCTTACCTTCGACGCGAATTCATGCCAAGGCGGTGAGTCTGCAACGTGGAACAACAATGGGCTAAACGTGTCTGCACTCCAAAGGGCAGCAAAGGGATTTCATACGGAACAACCCGAGTAAGATCAGTTCATCTCGTGTCAGTGATCTCACTTATGAGTATCTCATCCTCAACTCCCTAGCTATTTTCCTCGCTCTCATCCCTGCGGCAGCAGATACTAGTCCATCATGGAAGAATTCTCCAACGATGACGTTGATTTCCTCAATTTCGCGTCCACATTCGCCTCACAATCTGATCAATACCAGATCAACGACCAGTCCTTCGATCCTGTGTTGAACATGGAGCCTTTTGGTGCGATTTACACCATATTACCTGAATTATATGCTAACTATACAGGTTCATCGCCGACCGACAATAACATCTCCTTCTCCGAGTCCAACCCATCTCCGACTTCGACCCAGACCACCATGACACCCACATTCATTGGAGCCAGTCCCGACCAGGTGGTCAACGTTGACTTTACCAGGGCATGTCTACAACGAATCAACCTCCTCGCTGACGTAATGGGAGCACACTATCTGACACTCAATGAATCCGAGGCTCGAATCAAGCGAGGCTTGAGAGAGCTGTGGCAGGAACATTCCGATATTCGCAAACGTGGCTTGCTGGGTGGAACGGCTCGTGCACAGGCTCGGCAGAAGACATACGTCCCCCTCAGCAAGATCCCCAAGCATGACCGAGTTCGACGCTTGGCCGTGGAACAGAAGGATTATGCTGGACGGAATCGATTGGCAGGAATCGCCAAAGCACGGGAGATCTTTGAGGCGGCGATGTGGCATCTGCAAGAGCAACAACGCAAATGCGAGGAGATATTTGGCTTTGAGCACAAATACAGCCAGGGCGAGGCACCGTGGAAAGAGGCGCAGGTGGTCTAGGAAACTCAAACGTCACTTGAAGACGATGTGGAGATTTTTGATGCGATTCAAGACATGGTCGATGCATTCGGTGTCTGGTTCGACTTCAACGCTTGAAGGAATTGGGCTGGAAATCCATCCCTCTCATGGCTTGTGTATGTCTTACAGCCTTGGTGGTAATTTCAGTGTTCTTGATTACGATCGACCCTTACTGGAGAGAGGGAGAACCACAACAGGATAGTGAGAGACCACAGTATCCGTGATCATGTATGATGAATCGAAACAATCGCTTGTGGATGAATGCCTTGCTTAATTGTGACTTGCGACTTGTGATTCATCTTAATCTGTCCCAACCAGACCCCGTACCTTCAAACAACGACTATCTGGCGGTTCCTTCCTCGTTTTACAGATCAAGGATCAGAGGCAGGAACGTTACGCCACACCTCGCAGATCGCGCCTGCTGCCTAATCGAAAGTGAAGTGCAAAATTCCAAAAATTCCAAATTCCAGATCAACCCGCCAAGACTTTCTGGACTACAAATATCTCCTTCTTCCTCGACTTTTTGCTTTCTTTTCTTTTTCTTCTCTTCATACTTACCTTATCGAATCGATCCGAGCTCAAGCTTTCGGATTTGGTACAGAGATTCTGCCCATTGCACATCGGACAGGTGACTCTGTTTGAAGTCTCTTCGGAACTTCATCGGTTTCATTTTTGGCCTTTCATTTGTTCTTTTCATCTTTTCATCACATTTCCTGTCTTTCAGATGGGCTGTGGAGAAGGGTTATGGGTTTAGCGTTTGGGGGCAAGGGAGATTGACAATATGAGACCCAACAATCAAGTGGGAAGTTCATGGACTCACCTTGGAAATGGTCAATTGATCGACACCCATGAGAAAGTCACACATAAAGGAGTGAAGTAGAGAACTGACTAGGATCACGCAGCCATGGGCCAAAAGTCTTTCATGCCACCGGATACCTATAAAGATCTAGCCTTCTCGTTTGAAAGGGCACCACGTCACTGACTTTGGCTTCTCGTGATCATCCGTACACAAGGGATAAATGTCCGTAAATGTGTGCGTGTCGGTCAACGGTTCGACGAGCCTCTGATGGAGGCTGCGGTGCAGTTGTATCTCAGATCAATGTTTTCCAAATCAAAGGTGACCACTGTATACCTTAGATCCATTCCTATCCAATGGAAGTGTCGTCGTGATGTTCCCTCCAGAGCCTCCGATGCTGCAAGATGACGCAGACCCTGATTACCGGTGCAGGAAGCCAATGCTGACGTAATATGATGTTCGCGGGGAGCGGGGGTGGGAACGCCTAACTCCCCAGGGAGGTCTGTATTACTAGGTACCTACCAAGGGACGATAGGCTACTCGGGATCCCCGTTCAGCCGCGGACATGCCTTGCTAATCCCCGGATTCTCAGGCCCCAGCGCCCAGAGCTCTCTGTACTCGGAGCTTCACGCCTTAAACCTGCCTTATGTAGAAGAACTTTCTACACCCAAATCCTTGTTTTCCCCTTGGCAGGCGGCAGGTTTCAGTGGGCTTGGGCTCCTACGACCACGTTGTGATTACCTACATTCATATGTAGACCTCTAGTCTACATCCGAGGCCTTGGATCGGCGCCCGAGGCACATCATGAATCGACACTTCAGGCCCACAATCGCAGAAATCTGATCGAACCCATCGACACAGTCAGCTCGAGTAAGTGGATACGATTCAGCGTCGTATATAACCTTTCAGAAGTCACAGTAGTAAGTAGTGAGGATTGTCTCAGCGTTCATCGAGCGACAAATCTAGCGTCTTACCTTGACCATGGCTACCGAATACGATTCTGTCATTTGCTATGCCCCCAATCCTGGTCCCAATTGGAAAGTTGAAAAAACATCAGTGTCCCGACCTCTCAAGGCCTCAGAGCTGAGAGTGCGTATGGTCGCCAGTGGCATCTGCCACACCGATGTCTTTGTGTCTTGCATCCCTGAGGGAGTACCTGGAATCCAATACCCTCGAGCCTTGGGTCATGAGGGCGGAGGCATCGTCGAGGAGGTCGGTCCTAATGTCACTGTTGCCAAAGTCGGCGATCCCGTCTTACTTTCCTACGACTATTGCGCCAAATGCAACTTGTGTAGCACCAGCCGAGAACCGTACTGTGACGATTTCCCACTCTTGAACATCGTTGGCGACCAAACCATCAAGAATAGCAGTGGAGAGCCACTTCAAGCAAAGTTCTTCGGTCAGTCGAGCTTTGCAGGTGAAAGCATCGTCGCCGAGAACAGTGTGGTCAACGCTAAAGACCTGATCAAGAACAACGATGAGCTCAAGTTACTGGCCCCTCTAGGCTGCGGCTTGATGACGGGTTCTGGAGCCGTCATCAACAACGCCAAGGTCAGCGAGGCCGACATCGTTGTTGTCACGGGCATTGGGGCTGTCGGTCTGGGTGCCATCATGGCAGCCAAAATCGTGGGAGCGAAGGAAATTATTGCCGTCGACAGAATTGCCCACCGACTCGAAACCGCGAAAGAGTTAGGAGCGACCAAGATCCTCGAAAGCAAAGCCGATACCGACCTGGTAGAAGAGCTGGGCAAACTTGCTGGCGGCGGACGGATAGCCTTTGTTTTTGAGACCACTGGTGTCATTCCCGTCATTAAAGCAGCGGCCAGCGCTCTGGGAAGACGCGGTAAACTTGTCCAGATCGGCGTCCCACCCCCTGGTGCCGAGCTGACACTGAACTTCTACGAATTCTTCTCTGGGAACAAGATTCTGGACTGTTTCTACCTGGGCGACACGACTGGCCGGCAGTGGGTTCCCACGATGATCCAATGGTGGCGCGAGGGCAAGTTTCCCATCGAGAAGTTGGTCAAATACTATCCTGTGACTGAAGCATTGCAAGCCTTGCATGGAATGGAGTCGGGCGCTGCTATCAAGCCTGTTCTTGTTTGGTAATGATTTGCTCGAGACAGTTGATTCTGAATATGTTCAATCGCTTCACCTACCTTTTACGCGTCTAGCTCGTCTCTTTACAGCAGACGTACGACTACGTTAATGGGAGAAGTTGCCAGCGGCTTACTCGTGCAGCGATAAATGATGGAGTAGTACAGTGGCTGACTTGTGCCACACTTGTGCCACACTATCAAATACCACCACGGTAGAAATTGAAGCATTTGATGGCATAGTCCATGTGGCAGTCCTATTCTTGCTGCTTTAAACTCTATTCTCGTCCCTGATTTCCATTTTGTATGGTGCACTCTTCCTCATCCTACGGAGCGAAGTATACGTGCATTCAGTTGTCGGGGAAAGTTCTGAGCGACATGATTGGTGTAGAGGAATGATTCGCTGACACTAAGAATTAGCAAGAGATTTTGGTGAATTGATTGGCCATCAGGATCTTGCAGCACCGTGGTGCGGAAGAAATCGTCCAGTTCTTCCGATAGAGTGTGACCAGGTGGGGTGTCTAGAGGAGTCGGTGTTTTGAGAGGCACGAGAGGATAACCGAGAGAAAGCCTGACAGTGCTCAACAATGTCAGACATCTCTACATGTGACTTTGCATTAAGCCTGAGAATTGCTTATCATTGTCACAGCTCCCCATGTAAATTTCTAAGTCATCAGTCGATGGCTCCTCCATCCGACATGACGGCACCTGGAGTAGCGGGGTAGCCTCGTCTCTGTGGTGGCCGCGGCTTGGTGACGGGTATTCCCCTCAAATGGACAAACCTTTTTGAGCAGACCTTTGAAAGGCTTTAACTCAAGTTAGATATCCCTCGATTGCTAGTGCGTTCTGGCCAGGAAACATGGGCGGAACCGAGTCTACCTCGGATACTGCTTGTTTGCAGTTAGATTGGCTGTGACCACCCATCTAGTCGACCTCTTCTGGCGTTTAAGCTGTGATTTAAACCCACCTTCGACTTCTCGTCTTTGTCTGTAGGTACAGAATCTGTGTCTTGCAATTTCTTGTGTACATACAAAAAGGGTGTCAGCAACCATGAGTGACGCAATCTCTGCGACGGGTCGACGTTTGAGCCAGATCCGAGACTCTGTGCTCGGCAAAACAGCGACGACCATCCCTTTTGATCCAGACAGCACATCGTTCCCTACGCGTCACAATTTACCTGCAATCCCTGGTGCCCCGGAGCAGGCTGCCTGGGTCTGGGGCAAAGATGACTATATCGGTCGAATTAATCTATTGACCCCTACTCGCGTCAAGGCAGCCTCTGCTGAGATCCGCACTGGCGAAATGGCTCGTCTGGACCTGCCAACCAACGTGCCAGAACAGCCAGCTTTTGGTAGGCAGAAGTTTGAGATGAAGATCCTCGATCTACACGGAGGTATTTCATACGACGATGTCTATCACATGAACACCCAAAGTGGAACCCAATGGGATGGCTTCCGACATTTTGCTCACATCCCATCCAAGACCTTCTACAACAACACTCATCCCGCTGACGTGATTGGCCCTGATGCCAATCTCAAGTGCAGCATCCACCACTGGTCAGAACATGGATTCTCAGGCCGAGCGGTACTCCTGGATTACCGGTCATGGGCCGACGCCCAAGGCATCAAATACGACACCGCCACCTCACATGCCATCAGCTACGAAGATCTCGTCAAGGTCGGCAAATGGCAGAATGGGCTAGACATCCGACCTGCTAGTCAAGGTGGTGATATCAAGATTGGTGACATCCTCTTGATTCGTTCGGGGTGGGTGGAAGATTACTACCGTCGCACCCCCGAAGAGCGGGCAAGACTTGCCCTGCGTGGACACGGCGATAGTCATGGCGAAACTGCCTGCTGGGCGGGAATTAAGCAGGAGGAACCCATCAAGGACTGGCTGCATGACTCTTATTTCTCCGCGGTGGGAGGAGATGCTCCGTCTTTTGAGAGGTGGCCTCCACCGGACAACTATTACTTGCACGAGTACATTCTCGCTTTGTGGGGAATGCCTTTGGGTGAGATGCTGGATTTGGAAAAAGTCTCCCAGTTGGCCAAAAAGCACAATCGTTGGACCTTTTTCTTCACGAGTAGTCCGGCCAATTGTCCAGGTGGTGTCAGCAGCCATGTCAATGGAACAGCCATTTTCTAACCTAACTGTTGAGGTCGGCTTCTTTGGTCAAAATAGAATATGGTCGTGGCTGAAGTCTGTATTTTCCTATGGTCTGCTGTGAAATATTTCCCTGAGGATGAACCAGACACGAGCAGCTACCAGAAGTCTGAGATTGATGCAATGTACAACTTTCCACAATTGTTAATTTCCCTTCGTGAGAAGCCCTAGTTCTTGTTTTGACCAGACCTTCTATGTCTTTGTACAAGATTACATTAACCTTTCGTGGCCCTAACTACCAGAAGCCTGCCGTCCTTTTGCCGAAACGCTCGCCCGAGTTTGCCAACTCCATTCTATACTATGTACAAGTATCATCATGTTCCATGCTTGGGCTCTCAATCGTGCACTCTCAACCATTTTGGCCCAAGGTCATGAAATATGGACCTGAGTCCACTGCTCAAACTCTTTGGAGGTGAAGTTTGACTGACGCCAGAGCGGGCAGACACACTAGTGGCAACAGACAACAGACCGCCATCGTCATGAACGACATTATCTCTCTGATCCAACTTGACAACGCAGTCGAGGTTCTCCAACAGATCGACCACACGAGGCAGACGAAGGTTGGCAGCCCAGATGAAGATGCTGGTCAACCTCGAGAACATTGCCTCAACGTCCTTGGGGTCGTCGAGGCTGTATGCGCGGATCATGGCCGAATGGTGGACTCCATTATCCAGGCGATGCAGGTTCAATGATGCGACGGTGCCGCTGACGGATAGTGAGAAGCTCTCCACAGTCCGTTGTGAAGTCCAAGTTATGGAGCGGCCTCGTGTGCGGATGCTTGGGTCTTCGACTGCGCTGCTGAGTATTGTCAGTGCCGTGTTGCATGCTACGGCACTGCTGGCAGCGGCATTGTGCGCCGTGTATAGCGATTCCTTGTGGCATTCAACCAGGAAGAAAGGCCAGAAACAGTCTGCTGTCGGTTGGCTAAGCTTGCTCAGGTCGCACGGCGAGCCCGATGGACTGGCAATGACTCCAGTTTGCAGTTCATGCTCGTGATTGTTGAACGTTGCTGACGGAAAACCCACTGTCAGTGATGGCTTGGGTGTTGGGAGTTGAGGTGCCGATGTCGATGTGGGAGATGACAAGGCTTCTCTGTGGAATGTCGCTCCGGTCTTGACCACAAACTTGCGGTCGTTTCCATTGCGGCCACCTGGCAAGCTACTTCGTGCTTTGGCCATGGCAGCCTCAAGCAAAGTGTTTAATCCCTCGGTAGCCTGTTTCTCGCTTAATCGACCCTTGGACCTTACTGCTCTTTGCACCTTGTTGGCAAATCGTCTCGTCTCGGGTGAGGCGCAATATGAGTCGGCATATGGCATGCCCATGGCAAAAGCACATCGAGACCAAGTCTCGTCTTCTAGGATGGCCGACTCGACATAAATATTATGCCGTCGCAGGATCTCGGCTCGGTAGGAGGGAGACGAGTAGACTCCATTGGAGCTTGTGGATGAGTCGGATGAAGTGGATGCATTTGATGAGCTTGTAGAGGTAGTCGATGATCGGTTGGAGAAAGCGACAGGTGGTGTCAGGGTTGCCATCTTGATAAAATGTTTTAGACTGGTTGTCAAGCAAATAACTTTGAAGAAACTTTTTGACAAGATGAAACAGTTGATGATGCTGTGGTCACATTCTGTATCCCCGGAGCTCGTCCCACATCTATATACTTGGTTTTAACATATGTCGGATGAAAGAAACAATCACAAACAGCCCACACATATAGCACATACCTCATGATAGTCGATGGAAGCGAAAGCTTAACTTTGCCAACCGCCGCATATCTCATGACCTATTAATGTTGCTAGCTAAATTTATCATCAAAATACAATAGATCATACTTCAGATTGTTGTGGGGAGGCTGAAAGCGCGACTGGACAAAGGTGAATTTACCTCATAGGAGGTGAGCAAATCAGGTACGCACAGGGGTGGCTTGATGTTCCTGAGATCAGATCGAAGCTAGAACAAGTATGAGCAAGCCTCATCTTCTGGGCGCTTAGTGGCGCAAGTGAGTACGGGATGTCGAAGCAAATAAGGCCTCAACCTGAAAGTGTGGTCTTTGGTCATTCTCCAATATTGGGGTGTCGCGGGGTCTATCCTGGTCGCATCATTCTTCTGTCCCACGAGCAGATTTTAACAGGTGGTTAGGCAAGGAACCTGTACCTTTGAGAGTGGTCGCCAACACTATCGCCCTCTTGGTCTAGCACTCACCAAGGACGTTATCCTTGGAAATGACAGACATAGTGAGCCATGTCCTTCAAACACGGCCGATCTAATGCTCGTGGCATGCAAAAGATTCTGCAGCGACACGGATGGCAACAAGGTATGTCGTCAACATGAGGAGACCATCGAAGCGCCTTGTGGACGGGCGAAGTTGGACAAGAATATCCGAGAAACGAGAAAGGGGCAGCTCATGTATGATTGGACAGGAACAGATCTGTACGCGCCAGGCTTGTGCTATTGCATATAAACTTGCCCTAATTAGGATAAGGCCCGCACTAGCCTCGCATAAATCAGAACCTCACATGGCATGTTTCTAACTTGGGATCTTCACACCATTCACACCATTCACACCAGATTTTGTGTGTATGTCCAGTCCTTCGCCTCGAGATGTCTTTGTAAGCGCCGTGTCTATCAACGTCACTCCAACCGCCATCTGTGCTATTCTATATACACGATCTTGCCCAAGTTCATCATGGTGAAACACCCCGTTAAGCTTTCTCCGTCCCCTGCATGACGTCCTCCCGCTGAACCAAAAAATACAATGTGCGTGATTGGATTTGTTGTACATGGACTTTGTGTGAAACACTTGTTTATTCGTGGGGTTGGGCCAATCATGGCATCGAATCTGAAGGGCATTTGCCCATCAACGTCGTCAACCACGCCTCACATGAGCTCTAGACAAGAAGTATCACAGAGCGGTGACGGTGCTCCTGAGGTGAATACGAAAGCTAAGTATACCCGCCTTTCTTATGTCTGTCTATGAGTCTCCTCTCTGTCCAGCTTGCCATCGGATCATCACTGCTCAACTCAATTTGAAGGATTCAAAGTTTTCTTTCTTGGCCTCTCAAGTCGAGGCTCCAACCTTCCAGTATAGGCCCGACATTACAACATGTCTAGCAATAGTGGCAGCAGTCGTGAAAGCAGCATTGATACTGAATCTGTGTCATCGGTAACGAGTGACTTGCCTTCAGCATCCTACGATGGCAGTCATTTGCCCTGGCGAATGTTCCGCTCGGATGTACTCGGCCCTCACCGTATCCGCATATTGGAATCACCACCAAAAGATCGTATCCCGGCTGCATTCTTGGTCACAGTGGAGGCTCTCAGTCAAGATCTCGGCCGATTCGACGAACAGAAGAACTCCTTTTGGGGGCAAGTTCTGACAGGTCGAGGGTTTGGTCCGTCACCGTTGTTTCCTCCCAATTTGTTGCCACCCATCGAGCATGAACCTCGGCTAGCGAGATGTATGGTTCCATCATTCAGCCGCGAGGCTCTTCCCGAACGAACAACAAATCAGATGGGTCCTCTATACGAGATCTCTGTCCCCCACCCTGGTTTAGGGTGTGGCTTCTCGTCAGGTGCTTTTACTGCTCGAGAACTGGCGACCCTTCCTCAGTGGCTTCATGCGGGAGGAACGGTTGTCAACTTTGAGACGGGCTATATCTCGTCCGGTGCGGCCATGTACTGCCCATTTCTCACCTTTGAACGTGCATTTGGGAATCGAGAACATCGGGTGGAATCAGCCAACAATCAATGCGCCATTGGCGGCGCCTTCACCTCGCGAGCCCTCCAAATGCTATATGCCAAAGCATGGAAAGGCCACATGATGCCCGAGCTTCCCATCTCCTTCTCTTGCACCATCGACAACACCTTTGCGCTTCTTAACCTCCATTGGATCGACCATGAACAAACCTACTGGATGGCTCCGCTATGTCAATTCGATCTGAGCAAGGACGTCCATTTCAGTCAGTTCTTGGTCTGGACACAGGCGATTGGAGATTGGGCTGTTGCTCATATTCTACCTCTTGTCAAAGAAGCCCTCGACCGTCTTCAAACATCCGAGCATGTTCCTCGAGCGCCTTCCAAGCTGTTTATTGATACGTCTGTCAATCACAGCGAGCTTCTACTTTCTGGATTGAAAACGACGTTTGAGAATATTCCTTGGCGCTTCGAGAGCGAGGAATTCACTCCTGTGAGCAGCAGCACAGCGAGTTGGGGGAGTCCATTAGTCAACGACCAAACATTTGCAAACTTGTCGTATCCCACGGTGCATGCGCCAAAAAGCACGCCTCCTCTGAGCGCAGCGGCGTTGATGAGACGAAGAATGGCCGCGATGGAGCGCAGTCCCGTTGTGCCAGCGGCGGGACAGACACAACCCCAGACTCAGACCAACGACTTTGTATGGCAGAAGCGTCTCAATCACGCAATGTCTGAGATCCACGAGTTGCAGAACCAGATTGCCGCCATGAAGGCGGACATGGCCCAGGCCAAAGCCGAGACTAGAGTCGAGGTGCAGAAAGAGCAGATGTTAGTCGACATCAAGACGAGCACAACCTGCACCGAGAGCGAGCCCGCCACTCCAAAGGCTACTTCGGGAGGATTCCTGTCACCTGCTGATTCATCATCAAGATCACCATCCTCTTCCTCTCCCATGTCTTCAATACCATTATCGACACCAACCCCATCACGCTTAGACAATTTCAACAGACTCGCCACGTCAATGGCACTGCATGGAGTTTCTGCCCTGCTGTCTCACGTGAACTTACGTCCAATGACGTACGGATGTATGGCGAATGCAGATGACGGCACGGACATGTGGACACCATCCTTGCTGAGATTACAATTTCCTTTTTTCTGGCGTTATCGATGACAAGTAGAGAGAGCTTCTGTACACTAAAACACATGTATACATGATGGGAAGGACTACAGATTGGAGCGAGGGAAAGGTGAATGTCAGAGTATTATGGTGGATGAGGTGTATACATACAGACAGACATACCTACCTACCTACCTACCTACCTACCTACCTACCTACTTATCATGGAGATTATGAATATGACGACCAAACATGTCACACTCTACAAATTAAAAGAGTACGAGTAACTATGAATCGAATAGTTGACTGACGAATCTCTCCTACCAGGTAGGGAAGCACCTCGCTTGGCCAGTGAGTGAGTGACCCGTTCGTGCCCGTGTGACCTTAACTCCGAAAAGCGACAAGGCTGCAGACAAGGCTGCAGAAATTCAGGACCATTCTCACGAGTTCGCCATCAGACTGACAAATTCTCCCACAGCCTTGAGCAACATCTACATCAATGATTCTGTTCTGTATACACCCCCAAACAATCTTGAATTCCTCAAACAGTGCATCTTTTCTTGACGGATTTTCAACGACAATCAATATTGAATCATCTCAATGATCGTGAACACGGATGAAAGTTCGGCGGATTTAAGTAGAGTTGGACATGTTTCGTCCGTTCAACCACTAAGATGAAGGAGTTGGAAGGGTCCCCCGGGAGCTCAGTGCCAGCTCAACTGCGTGCATTGTCTGTAGATTTCCTAGTCTTCTTCGTCGCCCACTTTGCGAGTCTGGTTTCTTCTGATTAAACCTTCTCGTTGTTATTCAGTGTTTGCTATCACTTCTCTCTTTTACACCTTCTGAGAATAATAGAAACTCGATAGTATCATCACGCTCTGTGAGCCTTTCCTCTGTCACCATGTCGAACCAAGCCCCTCCTAAGATCAAGCTGTACACTAATCATGGCTGTGGCTGGTCTCAACGCGTCCATATAACCTTGAAGGAATTGGATCTGCCCTATGAAGAAGTCTTGTTGGACCTCGATAAGCCCAGGCCAGATTGGTTTCTCGCGTTGAATCCGGTGCGTCGTTTATTTCACCGACTTTTACTGGCACTGCCCTAACTGACATGACTGTATCAATTCCAGCGTGGCCTTGTTCCCGTTCTGGAGTACACCCCTATCTCCAGTGGTCAAGGCTCACCCTCGGCCACTGCTGAGGTAAAACCCTTCATCCTCACCGAGTCCGGACCTATTGTCGACTTCCTCATCTCTCTCCACCCGTCACACCTCAGTCCCATCCCACCAGCACTGGCGTCGAGTGCTCTTCACCCCGAGGCAGCCTTCCGCCACTACCAAGCTCGCATCCTCGTTGACATTTACTTCACCAAAGTCAACCCCTTGATGTTCAAACTTGTAGGGGCCGCAACACCAGATGCTACCCAGGCTGTTGTATCTTCTCTTCTCAACATTTTAAAGGCTGAAATTGAACCGCTGGTCCAGGCCCTGATTTCGTCCAATGATCCGGAGGCCCCATTTTACACAAAGTCCAGTAATCTGACTTTGGCGGAAATCATGATTGCGCCATTCTCATTACGGCTGTTGGATTTTGCCAATGGTGTCATATTCCCAACTTCTCTGAAGGAACGAATCAAGACCGAGACCGAGGGATTCTATAGGTGGACCGAGAGAGTCAGGAAGCATCCAAGTGTCGGTGACACATGGGACCCTGACTACTATGTGCCCAGGATTGAAGAGAGGCTGCCGGCGGCCAAGACCAAGTATGCGGATGCTTGAAATATGGACATTTCTGTCGCTGATATCATCATGTCTTCGCTGATTTGACCCCGGTGCTATGCAGCTGGAGGCTGGTTCATCGAACCGGGCAGTTTCTGGATGTGATAGGAGAGCCAGGTAGATAATCCGTGCTCAGATGTGGATCAACCAGACGGACTGGCATTAAAAGTGGAATTTGAAAAGTGTTTTCAATCGGCAGAGTCTCAGTCGTCGTCGGAATCGTAGTCGCCTAGCCCTAGTCCCACCGGTTTCGTTGCGGGAAGTGCTACTGTTGTCGCAGGCGCGGTTTGTGGTAGTGGTAAGCCAACCTTTCGCACCAATCCTGGAACTAGCGGCTTCTTGACCTTTTTAATCTTCTCAAACGAAGGAACGGGCTGGGACTGGGTACTGGACTCGTCTGGAGAATTGATATGTTGTTGATCTTGACGGAGTTCTTCGAGCCTGACCTTTTCCACGTTTGCACCTTCAAAGGCTAGACGTGCAGCCTCGGCATCTTCAAGTTCGGCAGCTCTTTGGAGATTTCTAGCATGATCTCTGACTTGGTCGAGTGCTTCCTGATCTTTGGCCCCTTTCTCTCCACGTTCGATGCGTGCATTTCTTTGCATGATTTCATCCAACGCATCGGCGACTTGCATTTCGGTCTTGCTCTCTTGCATCTTCTGTTCGAGCTCTTCCATGGCATTTCTCTCGGCATTTTCCGCTTCCTCTGCTTCCTCACGCTCCAAACGATCCAGCCTTTGTTCATCGGTCTCCTGGAGCTCAGTCGAAGTAGGATCGCGCCACGCCTCAAAATTCCGCTTAGCCCCTCGCTCGGCCGTGTAATCCATGTTTTTCGGATCTGTTTTGAAGGTGATTTCGGAGGAACATCTCGTGCATCTGATGTAGAAGCGGTAGATGGTGATGTTGAGATACTTCTCCTCGGTGGTCTCCTTACGGGCGTTGAACTTGCGGCCTTTGTAGATGTATTCTCCACAAGAAGTGCACTTCATGCTATATGGAGCCATGAGCCGGACCGGTATTGTCTTGGGGCCGGCTGGGCGCAGATGTTTGGGAGTCCGTGCGATCTTCGAAGGATCAAACTCGGGGGGGTAGTACTTGGTGAGGACTTTTCGTTCCGACATGGTGGCGGAATTGGTGTCGAGAAGGAAGTAATGTGGATGTCGAAAGTTAGAGCCTTGGTGGTGGTGAGGACCGTCGGGGAAAGGTGGCGATTGTGCTTGAGGACAACGACGAGCGCAGTCGCAGTCGAAGTCGAAGTCGAAGTCGCAGTCCCAGGCTGATCAGCCTGTTGAAAATATAGGAATCGAAAGTAATTCAAGGCAAGAGCGACTGCCCGCAGAAGTTGATTATTGAGGCAAGAATGACGCAGCCAATCGGAGTTTCAAAAACCTCCAGGTGTGGCAACCACGGCTTTTTGGCGACTGGCGCCTTCCCCACGTTTCAAATGACTCTAATGACGACCGTGTCTGCATTCAAACCGCGACTGCAGCAATTGCGAAGCCGTTATAAACAAAACACACAAGGGTTCCCATGGACCAAACTGCTGCAGATCCTTTACTCGCTCTTTCAGCAATACTCCAGCCAGTTAAACTGCGGACAAGGCTGCCATGACTGATCCACTCCTACAGTAGAATCAGGACACGATGGACAAATACCTGAGGACATGGAGGCAAGATGCCCTCAACAAAGGCCAACATGATGCGGCCATCTACATTGGAGACAAGGTGCTTGCATTGACCAGTATGTAAGTAGACCATACGTGATCTGGCCACTCTCTGAACAATCTCTCTGTTAGACAACGATTCAGACGCCTTTTGGCTAGCCCAAGTGCATTTTGGAAATAACAACTTTACTCGAGCGCTCGCCCTCCTCTCACGCAAGGATTTGACCAGTCGCAGCCTGTCATGTCGGTATCTGGCTGCCCATTGCTACATCAAGCAAGGCAAATACGAACAAGGTCTCGAGCTCCTCGGTGAACAAAACCCTACTCATCTCACCACCACTTCTCACAATGCTCGGAGGAAATTGGCCCATGTGAATGGACGAGCCCACCGGGGCAAACTGTTGAGGGAACGAATCGAATTGAGCGAGGAACGAGAGCGAGACAGGGAATCTGAAAAGGAGCTCAAGTTCCAGGCGGGCATGTGCTACCTGCGTGGTCTTTGTTTTGCCAAACGCAACGCCCTGGACCGCGCAAGAGAATGCTACAAGGATGCGGTGCGGATAGACGTTCAGTGCTTCGAGGCCTTTGACCAGCTGATGAAGAATTCCATGATGTCGCCCGCCGAAGAGCTTGCATTTCTGGAAGAACTGGACTTTGACTCTATCCGCATTGAGGATTCTTCCATGGGACAAGAAGCCGCTCACTTTACCAAATTACTCTACACCACCAGGCTCTCCAAGTACTCATCGCCGACGACCCTGGCCGATGCCACGGAAACGCTTTCGACACATTATAATCTTGCATCTAATCCAGACCTACTCATGACACGGGCTGAGACCCTATACACACAATGTCGATTTCACGACGCGCTCGCCATCACGACGAGCATCCTCAACAGCCAGGAACACTCGAATACATCACCAGAGGCATCCAGCAGCAACAGCAACGCATCTCTTGGCCACAGTCCTCGCCTCTACCCGCTACACCTCGCACTTCTTTACGAGACCGGGTCGCACAACACGCTCTTCCATCTCTCACACACTCTTTCCACACATGCCCCCCACGAATCATATACATACCTGGCCATTGGAACGTATTACTTGTCGACTCTTCGCATATCAGAAGCACGACGGTTCTTTTCCAAAGCATCATTGATGGAGCCGCACTCGGCGCCGGCGTGGATTGGCTTTGCTCACACATTTGCGGCAGAGGGGGAACATGATCAAGCAATCGCAGCATACTCGACGGCTGCCAGGCTGTTTCAAGGTAGTCACCTGCCTCAGTTGTTTCTTGGAATGCAACACCTGGCTTTGAACAATATGCAACTGGCGTGGGAGTATTGTATAGCGGCATTTGAGAAGAGCAGCGGGGTGATCAACGCCGACAGCGATCAAGACCTGGGAACGAGGATTTCGAACAGTAGTGCACAGATTGGCGGGGATCCTCTTGTGCTGAATGAGCTCGGTGTGATCCTCTACCACCAAGCCAACCTTCCCGCCGCTGCGAAACTGTTTCACAAGGCTCTCGAACTAGCATCAGAATTGGGGTGCAACATGAGTGCTTGGGTAGCGACCAGAGCGAACCTAGCGCATGCTTTGAGACGATTGGGTAAATTCGAACAGTCATTGGCCGAGTTTGACGAGTGTCTTAGAACAGCCACGGGAGGTGCAGCGACAGCAGCGACTTATGAACCTAGCCGGGGTATGTCCGCATTTGCGAACCTGAGCATCACTGGTTCGGGAACCAGTCTCCTGCCCAGTGGAGCAGCCAGTGGCTACGACGAACGAAATTTGATTGGCAGCATTCACACGAGTCGAGGGCTGGTGCTGTTGAGTCTGGGCAATCGAACCAAAGAAGCCGTGATGGCATTGCACGAAGCAGTCCGAGTGCTTGGTGGGGACGCCGGAGGAGGCGGAGTTGCTGGCACGCTTTTGACTCGGGCGATGGAATTCTGGGCATTGGAAGAGGGCCATGACTTGGATGTGGAAGCCATGACGGATCAGGATATGCCGTCGAGAAAGGCTGCAAGAAAATCATGGGCCAAGGGTACGTCAACACGTTCCGGGAAGACAGCATCAGAGCGGATTAGCAACGAAGAGAAGGTTGAACGGGGGATGGATGAAGCTGCTGATGAGATCCTGGGAGCAGCATTACGATCTGTGGGATGAGAGTGCAACAGTCACGAGGTCTCTGGACGGCGAGCATTGGATAATAAAATAGATCATTCAGGCCGGGGCTCATCATGGACTTGGGTCAAAAGCGTGCACTGTTGTGAAACTATTGTTGGTAGAGGGAGGTGTACGAGTACGAACAGAACACAGCGCTTGGGGAAAGGAGTCATGCGAAGCCTCTGGCCGTATCAGTCACCCAATATTGACATTAGGTGGATTGTACTGTATTGTTGTTGGTAATTGACTTTTGGACAATGTTGGCGACAAGATATGAGATCAAGGAACAAGATCCAGTTTTATTATTACCAACAATCTGTACAATGCCGCTTGAAGTACTATGTAGGTATGATGTATATATTATCTAGGTATGGGGACAACGTAAATGATTGTCGTCGAGTGGCGTGTCTCGTATCTCCTTGTCTCAGCGTTCGTCGTTTCAGCCTTTGCTGCTTCGGTCGTTGATTGGCATTAAATGTTCTGGGCAAAGGATTTGAGGGAATTCATTGGCTGAGTTGTTGGATTTCCTTCAGGGAAGCTGCAATGCGGCAGTGCCCCCTGCACGTGCCCTCCGGTGACGGGGACTAAAGGCATGGGCGGGCACGAAGGCACGCAGGCACTTAGGAAAGCCAAAGTCTTAATCAAAGCGGATTTAGCTTGGTTCTCTGTGGCTCAGCCTCCTTGCCTCGCCTGATGCCCCCTGTAGACCCCCCATTGCCCCCCAGTTGCCCCCCAATCACACCCGTTGAACCTGCTGACACCCTGACCCTGAGCACACCCTCGCGGTACCTCCCGCGTGCGAACGCGTCCCTTCCTCAGCCAACTCCTTCTCCCGCAGCAGGAGCGGTACCCGTGCGTAGCATCCTGCAACTTCTCCCCCTTTGGGCGCAGCAACTTTGGATGTACTTGTGGGAGGCTGACTTCTTTTCATAGAACCAATACCACTACACCATCACCACCACCATCAAATATCACTCATCCTTTCAGCTCGTCACAGTGTCTTCACTCGCTGGTGTTACCACTGCATCACTCTTTTTTATTCTTTTCGACGTCTTCTACGATCAACGTCACCTCTTGCGCACTGTCCGCCGGTCGGTCTCTCCATCTACTCTCGGACCATCCACCACCTCCAACCTCCCACCAACCTTCCCATCGAAGAAACCCTAGATTGGGTTCGCCATAGTCGACATCCCACTCGATAGCACTCCATATCACTGTGCAAGATTAAATAATTGTCTTCCAGTGTCATCACGCACTCTACAACTTGCAACCAACTACTATTTACATCTACGGCCAACCATGAGCGATATCATTAACAGCGTAACAAGCGCCCCCAATGCCTTCACAAGCTGGGATAAGTGTATGGACAAAGCCTATTGCAAGTGTGTACCCATTCATGTGTTCTATATTCAGTCTGCCCCTACTAACATTATAATAGATGGCCAGCCATTGTCGGAATCGTCATCGGTTCTATAATCCTCCTCTCCTTTTTAGCATGCGTCATTAATTGCGTTTGCTGCGGCGCTCGCCTCTGTTCATGTTGTTGCGGCGGTTGTGGTAGTTGCTGTGGCAGCTGCTGTCCTTCTGGTCGCAACAAGGAAGGATCAAAGTACAAGGATGACTACTCCCGAATGCCAGCAACCCCTTACGGCGGCTACCAACCACAACCCGCACCCGCCCCAATGACATACGGCTACCCACCCCCTGCGGCACAATTCGCAACTTTCGATGAGCCGAGCAGAAAAGTCAACGCCGACAGTTTGCCTGCAATGCCCAGCTGGGATACTGCCACCAAAAGGAGAGTCGAGGATACCAGCATCCCTGATGACCAACCCCAGAACGGAGATTTGGAGATGGGAAGACTTGATTCACAGTCGCAGAGAATGCGAGGAGGCTATAACACTGTCCCAAATGCTCCCTTGTCCCCCATGTCACCGAACCCACAGGGCGATTATTTCCAGCACGACTCGGCCACGAACCAGGGCTACCACTCCGATCTCGGTATGCAACGCATCGATTCTCAGTCAAACACTAGATACGACGGGTTCCAGTCGGTGCCCCTTAGCCCACCCCCCACGTATCGCACCGATTCTATTGCTCAACCTTCCATATCCGACAAGTTTGCCACCGGCGCGGCTAGTCCAAGCCCGGCCGACTATGACAGACAAGCCTTGTATCAGCATCATCAGCCTTCGACTTATGCTCCCAGTACCACATATGAGCCTCCTCAGCAAGATTATCAGCAAGATTATCAGCAGGACTATCAGCAAAACTACCAACCATACAACGGCCAACAACAGTATCAAGCCCGTCCTCCCAGCTTCTTGACCCCAGGCAGGAAGCCGGTCAATGGCAGTTACCGTGAAGTGTGAACATGCAGATGAAGCTCGTGCTAAGATCAAACGTCATGCTCTATACAGGTCATGAGAAAATCTCAGTATACCACAGCAGACGACCCATGTCCAAGGTTACCGATCCTTGAGCATAGCCCGCCGCCAGTCTACAGTATGGTGACGACCGGCGCCGGGCCGAAACCTGGCCAAAAGTTGGACCAGTAGCCCAAAATAGCATGGTGACTCGACCAGAGCGACGCCTGCAAAAGACTCGCTACCATGGCTTTGGCAAGCAGCCAATCGCAGCGTGAGCTGCTGTCGTTGCCGTCAGCGGGCGTGTGTTCACTTGACCAAGAAGAAATCGATCAGGTTCAAATATGGTACACCCTCCACAGTTGAGTGGCTGATCTACTCATATGCTGTCTTTGTGCCATATCGAAGCCGCTTCAGATTTGGTATGTTCGATGGCAGTGGCTGGTGAAATATGGTTATGCATATGATGACAACAGCTATCATGGTTTGGCATAGTGTCAGTGTTTTATAATTGTACTATCAGCGAACTCGGCGTCTGGATGACAGCTGGAAACAGATCTACTTGGCTTGAAGATCAGACAGACCTTGAATAATACATATATACCTGTTGTATACAAATAGTATCAAAATTGAGACATAGTAGTTCGGGTCACGTGTCTATCATAACACGTGACTGTAGCTCGACTCACGTGCCGTTACGTCTCCAAGGCTGCCAGCGTCGCGTCACCAAAAGTCATCCGTGGCAGCAGCAAAGCAACGCATCGCATCGTCGAAGCCTCACTCATTCTCCCGCTCATCACTCCCACCCTCTCTTCATCATCTCGCCTTGTTTTTGTTTTGACTTGTACCACAATTCAGACCTTTTTGTACCAACACCCTTTTCTTCCCTTGTATTCTGAATCATTCAACTACCTTTGCCGACCGGAACCTTAGCAATCACCACCCTGCGAACACCTTCTCCAGACACACCTTGCGATCATGGATACCCTCGTGGCCCAATACACTCAAGCTCCGTTTGGCCACGAAGGCTTTCCATCGGAAGACCAGCAAGACTATCAAGATGCCACACCTCCGCTGTCCCTCAAGTTTGCCCTCCCTCCTGTACCTCGACCATCTGCATTCCTTCGAGCTGCCACCGATGATTATTCCAATCCCAATTGCCCCATCAAGATTGCCCACGGAACAACTACCTTGGCTTTCCGGTTCAAGGGAGGCATCATTGTAGCGACCGATTCAAGAGCCACCGCAGGAAACTGGATCGCCTCACAGACCGTCAAGAAGGTCATTGAGATCAACCCCATGTTATTAGGAACCATGGCCGGTGGAGCTGCTGTATGTTGATCTGCAGATTGCATTCATTCTTCTGCTCAAACAAACATCTAACAAAATGTCTAGGATTGTCAATACTGGCTCGCATATCTCGGTATCCAATGTCGTCTGCACGAACTGCGGCAGAAACAACGAATTTCGGTTGCGGCTGCATCCAAGATCCTCGCTAACCTGGTTTACTCATACAAGGGCATGGGCCTGTCGATGGGAACCATGATCACTGGAGTCACGCCCTCGGAAGGACCGGCGCTTTATTACATCGACTCGGATGGCACACGTCTCTCGGGCAACCTCTTCTGCGTCGGCTCTGGCCAGACATTTGCTTATGGTGTGCTTGACGCGCAGTACAAGTATGATTTGGAGGATGACGAAGCCTTGGAATTGGGTCGAAGGAGTATTCTGGCGGCCACCCACCGAGATGCCTATTCTGGCGGTTACATCAACCTGTACCATGTCAAGGAAGACGGTTGGGTCAAGCACGGTTTCTTCGACACCAACCCCATATTCTGGGAGACCAAGTTGACCAAGGGAGAATTCTCCAATGTCACAAGCGACCTTTCGTGAGCATTGCCTTGAGACAAACATATTATGGGCAAGAGTCGCCCTTCATGGGCTTCTACCTTGACTGGGTTGGTTGGCGTTTTCTCGGCGGACACAGAGACGACTGTGGAGGAGTAGTGTACCATCACTCACACATAGCACGTGTGACCCCATTAGATCGAAATACAATCAATCACCTACCAGCAGTTATTGACACAAAGACGAGTAAGATAATAGTCTACGTGAATGGTGAAGGCGGCAATCCTATGGTATCAAAATAGTCTCTGATGATTGGACCGCCCATCGATCAGGCCGAGGCTCTCGGTTGCTTCCATTGCGCAACCGGCATAATACCAAAACCGATCCCAGGCATGTCGAGGTCTACTAAGTCAGGCATTCATCCTTGGGAAACCAGACCTGTCTTAAAGCCCCCATTCGCTTGAATCGTGAAAGGCATTCATCGTCGTTACTTGGATCGGGTTTGAATCTCCCCGTATTGAACTCAGAACTCCCAGTCCCAAGTCAACGATAATGATCTCTTTACAATATCGCTGGCATGATTCGTCGTAACATCGTTGAATGAACATAGGTGAGCAAGAGAGGGTCAAACATATCGTTTCTACATCACAGAATCGATCGCCAATCTTGTTCTATTTCATCTTTTTCTGTCAAACATCCTCAGCACAACCCATCTATATATCTTGCCCGGCCAGCCATAAGCCTCGACTTGGCCACCAGCCATGTCTATCTTCTCAGCCTCATACCAGGCTTCCAATCAGGGGATCACACCGCCAGACCTCGCACATTTCCAATCAATGCCTTGGACCAATGCATTTCTGACTGATCCAACGTATCGCGCCATCCCTCGATACACAGCACCCGAAAAGAATGACGGCCACACTCTCATGGGCGAGACATGGAACACAGATAGAACCATTGTCCACATGATCACTTTTGCAAAAGCCTCGCCCGAAAAGGCAAAGAAACAGACTGATGCCCCATCAACCATACTAGCACCACTCGCCGTGCCCACGCCCCAAGACGATCCGACTTTAATCACCCGATTTTACACTTTGGGCAAAGGGCTCAATGCTCATCCATCCCTCCTACATGGCGGCGTCATTGCCACGATCCTTGACAGTACCCTTGGTGCGGCAACTGGAATTCACATTTCACTACCTTCAACACTCGCTCCTTACGGACCTGGTGCACGCCTGACTACCTTTACAGTCGATCTGCGCATCACCTACAAGAAACCCGTAAAGACGCCCTGTACCATTTGTGCCAGGAGTTGGGTGGTCAGAAGTGAAGGCCGAAAGGTGTTTGTCAAGGGTTGGATAGGCGGAGAGGACGGAACGGTGCATTCTTTAGCAGAAGGCATCTGGGTCATGGTACACACAAATAGCAAGAAGGGAATAGAAGGGGATAAGGGCAAGGGAAAGGACAAGGAGAAATTATAAAGGCTCTGTATGAGCATACAAGCGATTGAGAGTGATAGACCGAATAGAGAGAGTTGGGAGACATTTCCCGAACTAGTGAATATTCACATTAGGACATTCACTAAACCAAAACAAGACTTTGCATAACCACTCTATTGCCTCCAGCCTCGCGTTTCTCGAAAATTGGCGCGACTCTGGCTTCGTTCCACTTGATTTCGCGAACATCATCCAGACCATATGATTATTGACCCCCTCTCATCACAACACTCCTCGTTCTCCCCTGGCCTACACTTCCTTCACCCTCACTGCCTGTCATGACCCAGATGCTCAAAGACCCGGCAGCGGGGTTGCCTCCCCAGCTGGTATGTTGAAAAGAATCCTTCGCAAACGATGCCAGGAACCCATTTCCTGAACCCGCTCACTGACTCGTATCGTTAAACGCAGGTCCCTCACATGCATCTCATCTCAAAGCATCGCTATGCTCTCGCAAATAACCCTTCTTTCGAGACCATCACGAATTATCTCCTTGAAGCACCCAAGATTGTACGCGATCTGCAGCCCATGCACTGGCAATTCCTCGACACTCCTCAAGATGGCACCATGATGCTCACATGGCAGCCATTGGAATACCTCGCGACGAACTTTGCCAGCGACGGATATATTTGGGCGGATGTAGAAGTTGTTTTCAAGACTGAAGTGAAAGGCTATGTAAGGCAGAACGCAGCGTCTTGAATCCTTCACTACTGACTCTCTCTCTCACCAGACGTTGGAAATGTTCATGCAACGATCTGGCTATCGCGCTTCAGGAGAAGCAGTCGCCTCTCATTGTCGGAGAAGATACCGTCTTGTTGGCGTGAACCAGGGTGTCGGTCTCCCAAATCCCGACACCAGTTTGTGGATTGTCCACTACTCCAAAGCCGCATCTCGAGACCACATCCCCTCAGCATCAATTCCTGTTCCTCCACAGATCCAAGCTCAGGTCCAACAACGTCGCATCATCCAGGCGCAGGGCCATCTACCCCGGAAAGAATTCATGCTACATGATCGAGCCAATTGGCCCATGATTCATCTTCCTCAAAATCTTGCCAGGGCTCTGGGAGCCGCCCCGCAGGCCGTCGCACACCGGAGAGGTGGTAGCATCACCCAAGACACTCCATTGGAAGATGAAGAAGACGTCTCTCGCGGTGATCTTTTCGACTTCATGACCCCAAGAGACATCAGCCGGCTACGGTATGAACAACACCATGAATGGATGGAGGAGGTTGTCCAGTCTCCGCATCCCATTAAGTCGATCGTTCCCAGCGACTTGGGACTCGGCCGCAAAGGTGTATTAGAAGATTTGACTCGGGATTTCTTCGATGCGCCCACGTCTGCCCTACGTGAACCCTCAAGTCAACCTCCTGCCGCAGCCGGAAAGTTGGCGGCCGGCAAAGCCCAAGAATTCACCAAACGCGCAGAGGCCAAGTTGGCAGAGATGCGAGCCGAACTCGAAAAGATGAAAAAGATCCATGCAAGGAGAGTTGGTAGAATGGAGCGTTCTACCGTGCTGAATACCGCCGAGAAGAGACTTCGAAGTGCACCCAACACCACCGAACGACGTAGTTTGTCTCACGGTTCGCAGGCTGATGTCGACCAGAACCAGGCGCAAGACGTGCTCAACACCATCGTTGCAGAAGTCGAGTCGGTGTTTGGGAAGAAGATTGAAAAGACGTCGAATGTGACTTTGATCAACAGAGGAGGGTTGGAAGATCGCGCTCCTAGCACTCCTGCTGCCATCGACCGCCCCTCTATACAGTCACCTGTCAAGACTGCCAGATCTAGCCTTCCTCCTACCACTTCTGCGACGGTGTCGCCTTCGGGCCCAAGTTCGACTGCACCCGAGACCGAATCTCAACAGCCACAAGCCATTCCTGCACCAAGCTCTACTCAACAACCCCCAGCTGATAAGAATGAGCCAGCCCCAACCGAAGATAAACCCCAGGTGTCGGCTCAGCCCACTCCTGGCGAGCCTCAATCTCATGCCAGTGGCGACGACTCTAATGAAGCTTCAACTACAAACGATGGCAAAGATCAGATTGAGACTCCACAGGTCGACATTGCGGAGAGCAATGGCAACAACAGTGGACAAGAGGACACAAATATGGAAGGTCAGGAATGGGTCATGATTGATGAAGATGGTGGACAGAACGGCGACGATCTGGAACTTCCTGATGTGCCTGATGTGCAGGAAACCCGCGACGATCAACAATATTCCGGACAAAGCACACATCAAGAACAGAGTCAGCCAGCACAACAAGCACAAACACAAACACAGGCACCAGAACAGACACAGGTACAGGCTCCAGAAGCGGTCAAAGAACCATCACCGAGACCAGAACTTGCAGCTCAGACAAATCAATCTCAACAAAACGACGACAATGGTCTCGACACCCCTGATTTCGGCATTGGTGGGGACTTTGATAACGTCGATGTCGATACCGCTGGAGATGCTTTGGCAAGTTATGGCAATGATGAAGGGGATGATGACTTGAATCTCGATGGGATGGAAGACTCGGCTTTTGGCGACGCCTTCCATCCTCAGGAAGATGAAGAAATGACCTAGGAATAAGTTTCTCCACTATCATGGTTGACTTGTGTATATTACCTGGCCAAAGCTTGGACACTTTGAGCAGCGTGTAAACTTGAACGACGAGTCCTGGATCTAGAACTGATTAATCAAAGACCAACAGAAGTAAGGGATGAAGCAATAAATATATGCGATCGTGTTGTATGTCGATTCAATGATCTCTACACACAATTCCTCGATGGGTTTGATAGTCTCGACATCTTGTGATCCTCGGAAATGCAGCCAGAAGATCGATCTTCCATCTGCTTTAAATACTTCTCCATTGTCTTGAAGTCCTCTTGGGTGAACAAACACCCAGCGCCCTCATGCATCAACCATGATTACGCTTGCTGAGCATCATATCCAAACAACCACTCCCTCCTCTCTGAACTGCCCCAAAAAATCGGATTTTCATCCCCATCTTTCGAAATCAACTCATCCCTTTTAACCTGCTCATCCCCATCCTGCAAATGATATGCCGTCTGAAGTAATCGCCCTGCTTTCTGAATCCGCGAAACCCGTGGTTGTCGAATCCGTTGATACTCGTCCAATGCATCCCTCAGATTCTTATTCCTCCGCAACGACGCCGTCAAGACAAAGGCATCCTCTGTCGCCTGTGCCGCTCCTTGCGACATATACGGAAGCATGGGATGACAAGCATCTCCCAACAAACAGGCTTTCCCACTCGGATGCACCCAACGATCAACAAGATCCAGATCGTAGAGTCTCCATTTAAGGAATTTAGTCTGTCCTGCCAAATGGCAGAGTTTCAGGATCCGTGGTTCCCAATCACCAAACCGACGTAACAGTTCCTGATTGTTCTCGACGAATACTTTACTGTCGATGCCCTGCAGTTTGGCATCGTTGACGGTTTCTGACGCGCAACATGCTACAATATTGTAGATCTCGCCTCCTCGGACAGGATAGCCGATGAAATGTGCGTCTGGTCCGCACCAGGATGTTACCCATGGTTGAGAAATCAGGTCGCGGAGTTCGGGATCGCGCATCAATACGTGTCCTTCGATGAGGATTCGATAGGCGATGTCGCCGGTGTCTTGGGGTGGAAGTTCGCGGCCGAGGACTTGGGCGCGGGCTTCACTTTGGACTCCTGAATTGGGAAATAAAATGAAACTGATTAGCTCTTGAGGTTTTAAAAAGGGGGGGAAGAGAGGGATCATGATCTTTTCCTCAAGCACAAGACCCTTTAGAAGACTCACCATCCGCAACCACAATAAGATCCGCATCATAACAAGACCCATCCGCCGTTCTTACAGCAGGTTTCTCCCAATCATACTCGACAACCTTTTTCGCTTTCAAAATCTCCACTCCCACGGCAAAAGCTTTTTCCAATAACAGAGAATGATAATCTGCTCGATGGACCATAAGATACGATCCACCAAAATCCAATTCTGGCACGCCATGCGACATATGTGCTAGGACTGCGCCGTCTGAATATCTCAAGAACCGATTGCCATTTGAATGTGTTTTTCTCGTGTGGCTGAAATCAATGCCTAAGCTGTGCAGGAGTTTGAAGCAATTGGGTGGAATGCGCATGCCGGCGCCGACCTGATGAATATATATACTTGTTAATGATTTTTTCTTTCATAAGTTATTGACATGGACTGGGAAACTTTTGATCATTTGACCATTTGTACTGACTTCTCCAAATGCTGTTGCTTCCTCGAGTACGAGAACGTTGTGGCCATCGTTCTTTAATGTTATTGCTGTGACGAGTCCTCCAATCTGTCTTTACTGGTCAATGCTGTAAAGCGATTCAAATGATAAGAGTCCGGGGAGCAAGTACTTACACCAGCGCCAACTATAATGATATTGTATACATTTCGCGGAGAGGTCGAGTGGTCAGCCATGTTTTTTCGATAGAATATCAGAGAACCAGAGACTCAAGACCCTCTATGACACTTGACGATCATGTTTTTTGTTCATATTGGTCTATGACTGAAGTCTCGAATAATTATCTATAAAGCCGAGTTTCGACCTTGGAGTCATGATAGTCTGTAAAAGAGACTTGGCCAATGTTGTCCTGTCTCGGTAATGCAGTACGGCAAGCACGCGAGAACCGTTGCACATCCCGATAGATTTGATCAATTGTTAGTAAAATCACTATCCGAGTCCCGACGTTGGCGCCTTGTCAACGGGTGGATCAACTGCAAGGCCAAGTATCATCCCCGCATCGCCTCAGGAAGTCCGAAGGGGAGAGGTTGAGTTGGAGGTCGGAATATAAGAATTAGTAAGTTTGACTCTGAGAGTATAGTGTGTCATGGTGGTTTGTTCCGAGAGTCAGATATATCATTGTGTATTTTTGTTCGTTAACGCGGATTTCACCTGATTCAGAACCGTGCATAGGCTGTCTCGACAATAGGCTAGAGTGCCCTGACCCTGCGACTGATGATAATAATTTAATTTTATTTCTTGTCCTACTTGAACCAAAGGTCGCATTCTCTTCTTCCGGCTCTCCTTCCCCACCTCATATGCAAACCTAGATCCAATGTCACAACCAGTATCAGGTTCAGTTCCTCTCCCATCAACTCCATCAGTCTCAATATGCTATGTTGTCAATGGACCCCTAGACGGATCGAAACCGATCATCGCATTATCCAACTCTCTAGCCGCCAGCACCAGTCTCTGGGACGAATTTGTCTCAGAAATCCAGACCAAGTTCTCCGTCATTCGATATGACGCTCGATTCCATGGAGACTCACCGTTATCGACGGATCCTGAATACGATTATTCACAACTGACCATGGATGACTTAGCTGAAGACCTGCTGGTCGTCATCGACCACCTCAAAGTCGATAAACTGCACGGCCTGATCGGATTGAGCATTGGCGCAGGGGTAGCATTGATATTTGGCTCCAAGTGGCCAAATCGCGTCGAGCACGTTTTGGTAGTCGGCACTAAAGCCGCCACTGACGATACCGTCAACGCGACATTCGACCAACGCATCGCTCTGGCGAAAGAACATGGTATTCCATACCTAGCGGGCCAGAGTATTTCACGGTGGTTTCCTCAGGAATGGATTGACACGCACGCTCGCGAGGCCACCGCTCTCCAGTCCATTGTTGCGCGTCAACCTCTCGAAGCGTATACCGCAAGCGTTGCTGCTTTGAAAGGGTTGAATCTTTTCCCTACGGTGGAGAGGATTGCAGCTGCCGGTGACGGTGGTCGCTTTGTGTTTGTTGCGGGCGAGAATGATGGGACCATTCCTCAGGAGAGTGAGAAACTGGCTTCCATTGCCCAGAGCAAGTTTATTATGGTCCCTAATACTGGGCATATTGTTCATATTGAGAGTCCGGAGAGATTTGGCGAGATTGTTAGCAGTGTCCTATAGATCTCTGCGAAGAACAATAGAGCATAGATTGTAATATTCTGAGAACCAGAACTTTATGATTCTGAACTTCTGTGAGATGATAATATTAAGAGGAGATCAAATAACATGACTAAGCAAGCCAAGGCTGAGCCACGTGACCATGATCTCTCTCTTCCAATGACGTCGACGCTTTGCACGTGGGACAAAAACAACTTCCCACCCCACGTGCTCCGTCCGAGAACAACGTGTGGATTCTTGTACATGTATCTGTGTGGTTGATAAAGCTACAACCAGCCACTCTGATCAGCATGTTCAACAAGATTCGACGAAAAGTTTCCAGAAGGCCACCAGAGTGAACAAAATAAGAAAATGTCGTTACGCGGTGTAGCGCAGGGGAGTCTGTATGGGCTGGTTGACATGGGAAGGTAAGTTGATGTTGATATTCCTTCCCCAAGTGTCCCAAAAGGATCAGAGTTTTCGAGACCCTGCATAGGTTTTCCAGGGAATCTTGGATATCGATCACTGGCTAGTCTTGATCTTACCATCAAATGGTCAGATGGCACGCTCAGTCACCGTCTCGTCCCCCATAGTCTGTCAATGATGTGAACATGTCTGACTTTCTCGTCCGATACTAGCAATGGAATACGCTTCTCCATCACAGACCTGAGTCCATCAACCGCTCGTTCACTGCCAACGGTATATCAAGATCGCGAAGGCATTTCACTCTATGACGCACAATACTCGTACGCGGGAGGGGCGAAGGGACCGATCCCGCAAGAAATCATCGACGCAGTGGTGACTTCATTGCTCAAATTCAAGACCACCTGTGCCGACTTTGGAGTTCCCGGAACCAATATCCGTATCTTGGCCACCGAAGCAACACGAACGGCCGACAACTCAGAGGATTATCGTCGGCAGATCCGTGAGGCTACAGGATGGGAAGTCGACTTGTTACCCAAGGAGATCGAGGGAAGAATTGGAGCGCTTGGGGTTGCCAGCTCGTTCGATCAAGTGAGTGGCTTGGTCATGGACCTAGGAGGCGGCAGTACGCAAATCACCTGGATGATAGCACAGGATGGTAAAGTGCAAACCAGCCACAAAGGTTCATTCAGCTTTCCCTATGGGGCAGCGGCCATGACTCGACGACTCGCTGAAATTCAACTCCAGCGTGACGGTGCAAAAGCTCACGCTGAGCTCCAGGAGACAATGAAGCAGGAATTCCAACAGGCTTATCGAGACCTCGAACTGCCAGAGTCGCTCCAATATCAAGCCAAACACGGCGGATTGACCCTGTACTTATCCGGTGGTGGGTTCCGAGGATGGGGTTATTTGCTCATGTCTCAACATCGGGTATCTCCATATCCCATCCCTATCATCAATGGCTTCAGTGTACAGAAGAGAGAATTCCAGCAGACGGCGACAATCAGCACCGTTGCGGCCGAGGAGTCGGTCTTTCGCATCTCAAAGCGAAGAGCAGCTCAGGTACCTGCAGTGGCTTTCTTGGTCAATGTCCTTGTGGCGGCACTTCCCATGATTCAGAATGTCCGTTTCTGTCAGGGAGGAGTCAGAGAAGGGTTTCTTTTCGACACGTTAGATCCAGCCACCAAAGCCCTCCATCCTCTCCAGGCCGCCACTGCCCAGTATGGGCCCAATTCAGCCGAAGAGATTGGTCGACTCCTTCTATCAGGCCTTCCTGGAGAGAATGACCTTGACCGCCACGTTCCACCCTCGTTCACCCGCTCGTTCATCCGGTCGGTGGCTGATATGATGTATTTGCATTCGCCTTTACCCAAAGAATCACGATCAACGGCTGCAATGCAAGCGCCCTTGGTTGGGGTTCTGGCGGCAGCCCATGGTATTTCCCACACGGATCGCGCACTGCTCGCCCTTGTTCTCTGTCAACGGTGGAACGTCGACCTGGCCCCTCCAAACTCCCACACCGAACAGCGACTTCGTGCCATTCTGACTCCACAGGAAGTTTTCTGGACGAACTATCTTGGCGCACTGGCTTTGTTGGTGGGTGATGTGTATCCCGCGGGCCAGGTGAATTCGAAACAGCCGCGCTTAGAGTTTCATGCTCGCTGGACGTCGGGTCTGGGGAAGAAGGGGCTTCAGGATGGTGTAGCGCTCGTCATCAAGTGTCGCAAGGATGACCATATGACGTCGCCGGCGGTGTTGAATCGTTCTATCAAGGAGGTTGAGGCTGTAGGAAAGAAGAAGAATCGAGTGGGAGGTAAGGAGCATGGGTTTGGTGTTCCAATTGAGGTGGATGTCCAGCGGGTTCTGGGTTGATCGATAGGTGATATTGGATGGCTGCCGCAAAGACCGTTGATATTGGGTCGGGCCAGATGCATCTGAGACAGATATGGAGGCGGATGGCCGTGTGAATACAGGAACAAGAGGACAAAGAAAAGGTGATTGTCTTCATGATTTGGATCGATTTCCAGCAGGGATGAATGGTTGTCTTGAAGAATGATGGGAACTGACTGATTGTGATCGATACCATCAAAGACACGCGAGTCATTCACTCACTATCATTCACTATCTCGGACTCAGTCTTCACCTCAAGTCACGCGACAAAATTCGCTCTATAACGCGCGGGGTCTCAGAATTCTCTTCCAATATCAAGGTGACGTGGTGCAGTCGGTGAGCACATCCTCCCTACGGGTTGCCAACCTCAAAGAAGCCGTCGGTACCCCTTCCGCCCACAGTCCCCATCTATCCCCACTTGTGTACACCGGCTCGGGCCCGTGCTGGGGTGTGCTGTTTACAACATTGAGCTGGGGTGTGCTTTTCACATCATTGAGCTGGGATGTGCTGTTCGCAACATTGCCTGGGCCGGGAGTCCTTGTGGGGGTATTTGGGATGTATGGGGGCGGAAGGGGACAATACCGACGCGCGGACTTGAGTGGCAAAGGGGTGAGGAAGACCTTGGTTCAAATCCAAGCGTCGCCACAATCTTTTTTTTCTTCTCTTTTTTTGGTCTTGCGCATTCACCTGGTGCTGCCGCATTCATGCATAGCTTTCAGCTATATGTGCCATGTGCCAGCAGGTGACTCAGCTTCACAGATTGGCTTGAAATGATCGTGATCCTGAGGGGTTTTCACTGCAACCCACGTAAGCAGGTTCCTTTGCATTTGTAACTATGGCATCTTGGTCCTTTTTATGCTAGACAGGAGATGCCCGCCTACCAGCTTTTAGCTTCAGAGTCTTGATTTCTCCTTGGGTGACCTAGGTCGGAGTCGAGGCGTTAGAACCATTGTCCTCAACCTGTCTTAGATGCCACCTCCTCTCCTATGCCATTCTCACTTACGACTGACCAACTCACTTACTTCAGATGCTCTTCGAACCACTGCAAAGCCTGGATGAAGGCGCTTTCCTTTGCATATTTGGCCACAGGGTTATTCAAATCCCCACGCACAGCGAAGCCATGCTCAACGCCAGAATACAGATTGATCTGGTAGGGGTAGCCAACCTCTTTCAGGATGACCTCTGATTCATGACGTTTCTCGGTAGGGAAAATATGGTCGGTCTCAGCGGCGGAAATTGCGAGAGGGCCTTTGATGTCTCGGAGCTCAGCGGCATCGACAAATGAGGGATGTGCCGTGTATCCAACGTCAATCTTGCCAGAATCCGGTCGGAGATGTCGCACTACGTATTTTCCTCCGAAGCAGTAGCCCACTGCACCGATTTTCTGAAGGGGCCGGCATTAGCAATATACTCTTTCCGCTGTGGAGATGCATCATATTTCACTCCACCTGACATACGTACCTTTGCGTTGTATTTGGTGCGGAGCTCAATAATGCATGCGTCGATGATGGGGTCGACCACAGGAGGAAGATGGGCTTTCTTCTGCGGGTGATATTCACCCGACAGCCATTTCATAATGTCAAAGTCGCCCGGTCGGTTCAAGGGGATGGGGTCCTTGTCGAACAAGTCTGGGGTGAGGACAAAGTAGCCATTGGCGGCAAACTGGTCAGCGATCAATTGAGCATTGTTGAACCGGTGGCCGATGACATCGGTAATGCTGCATCGAGTGTCGTCAGTCGAGGCGAAGAGGTCAGAGGAAGAGGACATGGGCAACATACAGCAGAATGGCGTGTTCAGTTGACTTGTTCTCTGGCCAGCTGACGTATGCTTCAAAGTCACCAATGGTGACAAATTCGCCAACAGGGTCGCCCTCGTGCTTGACGCCCTTGTAGCAACAAGATCCTGGAGGATTTGATGCCATGGTTGACGTGGAAGAATGGTCGATTTGTAGGGTTGAAAGGCTCGTCAAGACTTTCTTGAGTTAAGTCTTGCCGTTGGATGTCTAGTCAAGGTGGACAATGTGGACAACGTGGACAAGATGATGCCATGGAATTCTTATCGAGGGCAGTCGCGGGGTAATATAGGGAAGGGAAATGTACTCCAGGCAGGCGCGGGTCACGTAGGTACGATAGACATGGGTCGGCAGGAGCGGTTGTTTTCTTTGGGAAGGAAGCATGGCACACAGTGTGTACAAGGGTGGCATTGGGGGTGGCATGGGTGGGAACTCTGCTATGTAATCTATGCGGGCCTTTGCTCATATCTGACCAGTAACATAAAGTGGAAGAACCCTCCATGGAACGCCATCGATCGTCTTGCACAGGTCCCAAAGTGAGATTTGGGTTAAGATCAGTATTGGCAATTCTCGGGCGTCCTGGCGATCGTAAACCAAAATGTTGTATCGGCCAAAATGAGCTGACGTACCAAGATACTTGAGCGGAGACCTTGAGTTAGTACGACACCACAATTAGTTGTGTATTATTGGTGCCATGCCCATCTTGTCATCCATGGCCTCCATGGCCTCCATGGACCCAAGGGGAGGGGCCGAGGGGCTCCGTACTCCGTAGATGCTGGTTCCGACCACGGAAGCACCGTTCATAGGCCTAAAAACCAATCATGGTCCATCCATATGCAAAAGCCCGCTGCATAATTGAGAATGAATCTTTTAGTGTGTCAAACTGCCTATCATTGTCCATGCGATTTTGCCCACCCACATCTAAATCTTCAGTGTTTGGGCTTTGTCTGCGGCTAGAGCGCTTTGAATCTCCATCTCGCTGTCGTACCCAAGATCTGGTGGGGCAGCAAGATTCTACCCCCCCCCCGGTGTTACTCAGTCGTCCGGAGATAATCCTATCAGGACTGATTGCGGATCGTATTCCCATTGGTATCAGGACTTGGGAAGACGGGTCTCTCGGTCTCTCGGTCTCTTCCATCCATCTGTCTGCTATATTACCTTGCCACATTTCCGAGCAATGGTCGGGTACGGTAAAATGACCGCTTAGTTCGAAGCCTCCCACCCAGGATTCACGGAGTCTACTAAACCCGAAACCAACAAAGAACCTACCCATCACCGGGCCGTGAGAACAAAACGTGGATTCATTCACTGATGCTGACTGATAGTAACGAAGTCGACATTTTTTGACATGGCGACTGCAAACTTACATCACAAAATGTACCTGAAAGAGCTTCCATAATTCTCCACACCCACGTTCGTCCCAGGTTGGCCCCCTTCGTCTGTCTTGCCAGATTTCTTCAAGACCCCATACTTCTTGTCCAGCTTCTTGTTCTCCCACACCAGAAGTGTACGAAGAGACAATGCAAGGAATGCGTTGAAAAACATGAATGCCGCGCAGATACTTTGGCCTTTGACGTAGCGTGGCTTCTGGTCTTGGGGAAACACCCTCGTTCCCAGCAAAGGCCCGCATTGACCGACGAGATTCAGGAGCACGATACTGTGGCTGTTAGCATTGCATATAACCTTGCCATTCCATTTCCTCACTTACCCCATGCCTCTCCTTGAGTCGGACCCTTGGTTGTTCACCACCCATGGGAGAGTATTGGCAATGGCCGGAAACACACCGGCCGCCGCCAGGAACGTCCCAAAGTATCTTGGCGCGACCGCGGTGCATGTCGCCAGCAAGACATATCCAATGCCTGCTACACAGCTCAGCATGGCAATCATGAGGCCCCGTTGCTGCAGTCGATCAGCAATCCAACATGTGGTCACTGTCACGATGGTAGAAACAAAATATGGTGGCGCCGACAAGCCTTGTGCCGTAATCGAGGAGAATCCCATCTCGTTCAGGATCGTTGGGAGAAACACTGGCAACGAGGCGTACGACACATTACATGAAAAGTACATGAGCTGTCGATTGGGTCAGTCCACGCCAAAGAGTTGGATGTCTTTGTTGTCGGCACTCACCGCGGTGAACCAAGCCTTTGCATCTAGTAATGTCTGCCCGATTTCCTTGAAACTGATCTTGTGATCCTCACTATCGTGCCCATGTTGGCGGATGACGCGGGCTCGAGCCACCTGCTTCTCCTCCTCGCTCAAGAATCGAGCGGTGGTCGGGCTGTCAGGAAGGAAGAAAAATGCCAACGGTGCTGCCAGTATGGTCGGAATCCCTTCGACCAGGAACAGGAGCCTCCAGTTGGCAAGTCGAGAATGTCCACTGGTAATGCCATATGCCAACGCTCCGGCAAAGGTGTTAGCCAGTGGGGCGGCGGCAAGGAAGATGCCGCTGCGGAAGCCATGTTCGTGTCGCAGATAAAAAAATGACAGGAGATAAGGGATGCTAGGACCGAAGCCTGCCTCTGCAGCACCGAGCAGAAATCGCAAGGCCATGGCTCCACCCCACGACTGTACAGCCGCTTGACACGTTGCAATGATTCCCCTGATCCGGGTGTTAGTGATGCTCATGTTTTCTGTACGTGAATTGAACTACCATGCCAAAGTGATGATGCATGCCCAGGTGTGTGGCTTGCTAAAGGACACTTCTGTCAGAGGATATTACTTGAATGTAATTTCGGGGAGCCCAACATGATTTTCCACATAAAAGCCTGGAACTGGAACACAATGTAAGAAATGTAAAAGATGGTGAGCAACCAGTCGTATCGGTCGCCGGTCAAATTGAGGTCTTTCTCCATTCCCGCAATTCTCGCATTCCCAATATTGCTCCGGTCCAAAAATGACAACAGGCTGACTGTGTCAGCACAATCTGGCTATGTCCGTGCAGTAGTCAACCAACTTACAATAGAAAGGTCACGAGAGGTGGGACGTGCCAGTCAATCTTGCGTAACACTCTCTTCTCCAGTTCGGGGTCTATGGTGATTGCAGCTGAGGAATGTTCATGTTGGTCAATGCCGTGATCTTTTTCGTCTGCATCCCCGCCTGAGTGACTGGCTGGCATGGTGACACCGTTGCTGGCGTCTAATAATGAGGACATGGTCACAATCTGGACTTTGAGAGATCGGATACACCGAGACTGGGAATTTTGAAAACTGTGGTAGATGTGTGAGGGGAAGGTAACTTGGAGCATTATTGTAAAGCGTCTTACCTCGAAGTCAGACATATCTTCCATTGTTGAGCGGCCTTTTGCCGTTCCTTGGGAGGATGAGGTCATTGGAGGGGTTTTTTGTACATCAGAGATGCCATAGCTGGACATCAAGTTACATCCGCGGATGTCGTCGAGCAAGGGTAGGGTCGGCCGAGACTCGTACACTACGACAACCGTGGTTGCATGTAAACAGCACCTCTTGTTGCAGATCCATTGCCTGTGACGACGAAGTGGTCCGGGGTGTGGCTAACACGGCACAACCAGGAGGCTTCCGATAGTCAAAACCTTGGAATTTGCCTCAGAAAGAAGCTTTGGGGTAACGGTGGTAAAGTCGCACCGCGAGAGGGTCTCAAAGTTGAGACTGATCAGTCAGTCCCCCACCTTTGTGAGTGAGAGAATTCGAGAAGTGAGGCGGCATCGTTGGCCACACTGCGGTTGTTGTTTCTTACTGTTCTGTTCCTTCCTATTTGGTGATGCGTGAGAACTGGGTTGCACCTTCCCTGCCTCAGAGAATTTACTCCAGGTCCTCCTCTATCGTGCCTTCCCTAGTCCGTAGTTTCCCAGGGTCCATCGACAGCCGCCTTGGCACCCGTGCGCCTTGGTGAGCTTGTTTTCTTCCGTAAGCCAACCACCCATCAGAGCTCACTTACCACTGCGACGCGTGCCACGACAACTACTCCGTACTCCGTATGTTCCTTCCTTCCCCCTAGGGCCTAGACAACAGGATTAATACTTTCTCCGAAGCCCCTCGGCCCCATCATTCTCATCCACGACTTCAGCTTTCTTCTCTCTCTCTTCCTCTCCATTTGTATCCCCTTACCTGTCATCCCAGATTGTCTGACAGCACTCAACTGCCGCACGTTCCTCTCTCGGATCCTTCCTTACTCACTTTCTCCACAGTAGACACGATCAGATTACCTACATGCAATTTCATCTTGTACCATCTACACCTTATTTTTCTCACTGGTGCCTGGCCATACGATCCAAGCTACGAGGCGGAGTAACTCGTCGCCTAGCCTCCTGACCACGTGGTACTGCTCGATCGGTCTACTGGAACGTGTGCATCTGGATCTTCGTGAATATTTACGTCCATCCGGGGCAAGAGAAACACCGTCGCCTTTTACGGACCGCCAATGCTTCTCCTATGATCGTGTTTCACGTACACAAATATCCCTATGCGAGAGTCATGTCATGCCACAACCTCAGTCGTCCCCTGGATTTTCAATCATAATGCACGGTGGCATATTGTCCTCTACGCATGCGACTTCCTTTCAATCCCCATGGTTTGTCTGTCATGGCCCGCGTACCAATCTGTCTCACTCAATGCATCATGCCAATGTTTTCCAAGCCATACAGCGTTCTTTGCTCCGTACTTACGAAAGTCAGCTTTCCACGCGAATGATCACGTCCAAGGGTCGAGACACCTTCCTGTGCCCATAGTCCAGGCCTCCTCTGTCTTGGCCCGTGCAGGCTTCATTTCCGACTGGGCTGTCATAGATCTGACATCTGACAACACGCCAGAAATCCTGCCAGAGTCATGACATCCCGCTGTTAGAGCCATTTCTCACCAATGGGTTTTGCTCGTGCCCTCATGCCCTCCCCACTACTCTTGGATTCGACCAAAAATGGACTAAGCCTTCTCTTTCCGTCTTCCACTCTCAGACCAAAAGGATCCTCGTGCTGGAGCGAGTCGTCGAGATGGCATCCCATTCATCACAATGCCCAACAGGCCGAAAGCCGTGATCGACACACAGGGCTCCAGTTCACGGCATTCCCGCGCACGAACCGTCTCAAGATCCTCGATATAACTCCCTACCCTCATCCCCAGCTTTTAGTCTCTCCCTACTCCGATCCTGTAGCTCACCGCCTAGATCGCCACTTCCCTTCCACCAGCGACACCAGACCAGCGTCCAGCGCTGCGATGATCTTCACCAGGCTTTTTATATTGATAGCCTTGTTCCTCGGCCTCTGTGTTGGGTTTGTCGTCCCCAATAAAGAGTCGACAGGGGCGAGCCCTCACCTGGCCAATGATCTCACCAAGCTCCATCCCATGAACAGACCCAACCTTCTCACATGCCGCAACACCAACCAACGCATGTCCTGTTACGGCGGGCCTCCAGTCACCCTCGACACTTGTCGAGAGGTGTGCACCTGCGAGAATGGCCGAATAAACTGCCCAACCTACAAGTTTTGCGACGATGAGACCATGGATACCTTCTGTGCTGGTCTGTGTGCTTGTGCCTCAAATCTGCCCAACAAGCTCCGAGCCAATGAAGGCGATACGATGATCAGTGCCCATCGGTACCACAGATTAATCGATGAGGAAGAAGAGGCCGACGAGGAAGACGAAGGTCTCTTGCGCCGCCACGCTCGTCAACGTCGCGACTATGGAGATTCAGATGCTTCTGGCGTTGCTCTCTGATATCTCGTCGAATGCTTGTACCACCATTGGGTTGACAACTCACCCAGCGATTTATAGCCTCATTGATGCATTTCAAGTCCCAAACGACGCGGCAGCCTACTCATCTCCACAGTGAGGCGGTACTTCTTCTTCCTCTTACTCTCACCTCGCCATACTGCCACACTCATTGCCACGATACCCTCAATATTCTTTCTAATGATGTCTTCTACCCAACCAGCATCGGCGTTTCGGAGCCTCACAGCTTGCTACCTTTCTTCCAAAGAAAACCCTCACGACGCGTATATTTCGGTTTCATCTGTATAAACCGGATCATGGCTACCACCACGGCCACAGCAGCCAAAGCCGACAACAGACATGTCTCATGATTCTTGACATTTAGGTCAAGCACGACAATTGTATATACAGAAGTTCTACTCTGGCCACCATCCTGCATTTTCCTATATCCTTTGGCGACGACGACCAGTCACTTTTATCGCACTACTTCAATCATACTCTATGATCTCAGTGTTTTTTGTTTCTAGCATATGGATGTCTACATACGGCGACACACTTTTGTAGCGGCGCTGGTATGTTGGACTTGCTGTTAGAGGCCTACCAAAGCCATGTCCTGGTTGAAGTTCTTCTGTGGAGTGTTGGCAACAGAAACAGGATAGATCTACATGAAGGTGGACAGTGTGATGTGTATAATAACCAAGGCGAGAAGCCAATCTGAGCCTAGAGCTATGCGTAACTTAGCGAGATAGTGTCAATGCATAAGCTCTGCTCGACTGTAACCACCATTGGAGTTTACTATCGTGTAGCAGGATGCCACTCGGCTCCGCACATTCAGTGATTATGCATGTTGTGGCCGTGATCCCCTCTTAGTAGAGTGGCTGAATCGAGAATTGGTCAGAAGAAGATGCATGGATCTCAGTTATGTAAACGTAGAATTTTTCACTGCCAACATAGAGTCAAACGGCTTATTGCCCGCTAACGCAAGTTGTGTTTGAACTCAAAAAGACATCTCCTCTCCAGTCAAACGCGTCACATGGTGAGCTTCCTGGCATTTACGCTCCAGCCTTCTCCGCAGTTCGCATGAGGGCACCTATACAATCACGTCAGCCTAGTAAAAGGGAAGATTTTTGGAAAACCACAGAAAAGGACTCACCAACAAAAGTCAGGACCAAACGGGGCCGACCCTCAACAATATCATCTGGCAGAAGGTAGATGGTTGAACCTAGAAATAATTAGCAGGAATCCTTTTTGTTCAGCTGCAAGGTCTTACCAAGTTTTCTGGCAATGCTGATTGATAGCTTGGCGTTCGAGTAGGCATCTTCATGTGTCTTGCCAGGCGTCACCAGATCATAATCCACATAGTTTGCCTTGATACCATTCAAAACATCGAGTAGGAAGACGCCGCTGGTGACGGCGGGATCCTTGAAAGTTCGAATCTGTGTGTTCTTGCCTCCTTTTTGGGCTGTCTGGTTGGCCCATTTGATGATGTCAGAGTCTGATAAATCACGCTTGCCCATGCGCTGTGCAAGGCCAGATAGTGTGCTGACAATATCTCTCCGCATCAACTGCCACACCAGACCCAGCGTCAATGTCTTCTGGCCATCCGTGATATCTGCACCTTGAATGCCGACAAGGGAAAAGTGGTTCTGCTTGCCCAACTCGACCGCATAATTGGTGTTCTCGACAGCCTTGAAGCGCGAGATCTCTCCGCCGTGAGCTGGTGGTTTGTTCACGTGACGCTGGTTGACACTGCCTGGGATGACTTTTTCGTATGCCTGTAATAAGACGGTTCCATCACGGAGATCGTTCCAAAACGAGTTGACGGTTGGCTGAACATCCAAAGAATTGAGCCAAAGAGTGAAGACACGTGCCTCTCGCTCGCCTTCAGCATCAAAGTCTTCAATTTCAGGCTTTTCGCCTTCTTCGAGGGGATCAAGACCAGGGTGGGTGTTGAAGAGATTGGCCACGAAAGCCAGGTTGAGTTTGGGATTGCCGGCCACAAGTGCGGTTGGGGTGAGGAATTTGCGGCAGTCAATCCTTTCGGCATTTTGCAGCACTTCTTCGGCGCGTTGGAGGAGGTCGCGGGTCTGCAGAGGGGCTCTTGAGCAATATTCGGGCTTCAGTTGATTCAACAGAACTGTGTAATTTTCGCCATCTTTGACATCGCCAGAAAAGTTGGTGACCCTGCGTTGCCAACCGGCATTTTTCAGATGATAATTGAACCACCGCAATAGAATCTGCTCCGGGGGGAGTCGCAGGAATTGTTCCAAGGTTTCGTCATCCTCGAGCAACCTATAGAGTTCAGGGTGAAGCTTGATGTCAATTTTGCCCAAGAGTCCCCGGCGGATAATTTGCCAAATCAGACCCAGAATCAAATGTTCTCTGACCTCGATAATGTCTCCAGCGCCAATATTGACCACGGAGCAGCCAATACCCTTGGCTGACTCGATAACGATGTTGTTGTTTTCGGTTTGGTGGAAAGCATTCAGGGTCTTTATCTTCTTGCCGGGTTTGTTCAGGACTCGTTCGTCAATTGTGTCAGGGACACTGTCGTTGATGAGCTTGGACAGAACCAAACCATCTTTGCACTGATCAAACATCTCGAAGGTGTCGGTAGGAAAGGGAAGAAGATGGCCGATGTCGGGATCTCCGGCAAGAACGGCGTTGATGTGAGTGGTGAACGCTGTACGTTCCTCTTCGTTGATTGTGTGTGTTACGTTGGCCGAGGAGCCTTGCACTTGGATTCTTCCCACGGATCCTCCACCCAGACTTGGTTTCGAGCCATGTCGAGGGCTGGTTGGTATGGGGCCAGCTGCGGCGGGCCTCTGGGAACCCGAAACGGCACGCTGTTGTGCGGGAGATGAATCGCGGACTTTGGCGATGAGGTCGACATAGTCTTCGAGTTCGACCCGCCGGGAGCTGTCGAGCTCTACTTCTTTCAAGGCCTGTCTGACAGCATCGTACGACTGTCTCTCGGACTGCTGGGCGGCCTTGATGACCGTGGCTTCGTCCAAGTAGCCTTTGTCGTCAACATCGAGTTTTCGAAAGGCGTCTTGCAGGGCAAAGATCTCCTGCTGTTGAAATTGAGGATACTTGCGAGTGAGTTTGAGGATGGCAGCCATCTTGCTGGTGGGCGCAGACGGTTGCGGGTTTTCGGTGGCAGGCGAAGGAGGAAGGTGGGGGAGGGGTGGCCGCGATGGTGGCGGACGTGGCAGATGTGTCGCAAGGAAGGAGCTTTGAGTGCAGACTGTTTGTTGCAAACCACGAACAGGAAAGACTCAGGCAGTGAGCGTCAAGAAAGAAATAAAAGATGAGGTTGGGGAAAGTAATGGGGTGACTGTTGATTGCGGCGCAGAGCGTCAATAATAAGAATAATAAGCAGGCTATTGGGGCGTCAATCCTTGGAAATATTTGGAAAGATGACGGAGACAACAATTGGGGACGTACGGGTGTCGTGCAGGATGTGGAAGTACCTAAAGTAGGCAGCTACCGGGTGGAAACTATAATTATAGGGGCGCCGACTCCACGAGTGGGTTGAAGAGAGTGAGGAGATTGAGAAGCCTACAGACACTGAGGAGGTCAATTCCTGGAGGCTCCTGGAGGAGGGGAGATGTTGCGTCAGGCTGCAGCAATACTTGGGATGTACTGTAATTACCTGCGGTTGCGTCTAACCACTGGGTAATAGGATGGAGCCTATAGTACGTGATACTGCTAGTGTCTGAGGTACTTCAGTAATTGCTTTAGGCGGCACTGGTGGTTAGGTACAAGGTACACCCTAGGTATTTGTATCGACTCATACACTCAACCTGCTTGGAGATGCCAACTCTATGACGCACTCCCGTCCTCCAGTCCCCTTTTGATTGTCAGGTGCCTGAACATCACTTGTTTAGGGTGATGACTAGGGATAGTTGACTCAGGCAGCAACCAGACGATCTCAACGAAGATCTCACTATTAGTAAGAGGCCACGAAGCCAAGGTCATGATGAATCAGTCCCATCAGTCATGAAATCTCCGTTGTGGTCCAAATCCCAAATCCCCTCCACACGCGTTTGATTTCAAGTGTGGCTGAGTTGTGGCGGGAAAAAGTGGCACTTTGCCAAGCATAAAACTGTCACGTGCCAGGATTTCGTATCCGTACTCGTTCCATTCAAGCCGCAACCAACGTTCCAGGTTACGTATGTCTTGCATCACATAACATGCCCAAGACATCAAGCCTCGCTTCTTGTACCCCTTTGTGTGTATCTCTTGCGAGTCGTTCATCTTTCTATTCCTAACCCAACGTTACTACTGTCAACAAAAGGCCAAACGACCTAACGCCCTGCAACCACCTGTACACTATACGCTTGACAACGTTGTCTTCTCCTGGGAACAATCCTAGACGATGCCTAACTAATAAGGTCTCTCCTCCGGCACATCCCGCTAGACTTACATGAAGTCAAGTTGGATCGATTCCCAGCCTTGCTACGGGCTGTCCGAAGGGGCATGGCCGACGCAGCAAAGCCATCCTCAACATTCCTAAACTCGATATCTCCTTGGTCACGCAGCAGCACGCCACCGCCCAAATCTCCCTTGCAGCCGCCCAAAGATGATTCAGCTCGATTGAAGCAGTCTTCAGGAGTGGACCACACCATCAGTCTCAGACCAAGCCCTAGTCTACGCAGATATCCAAAGGATTGTCCACCTCTCAGGACAAAATGGTACTACGCTGTCGACGTGCCAAAGCGGAAACCTTTTGCAAGTGAGTCGAATTCTGACGAATCCACCAAGGCTACTGTCCAACCCAAGAAATTCGTGGGCTTCTCAACATCCGACTCTCAAGCCATTGAAAAAGCCTTTCAGTCACTTGATACCGATCGGCCGCTCAAAGATGACAAGTCGGAACCCACCTGCACAAAGGTGCCAGTCAATGAGGACTACTTGTTTGATGTTCATATCGAAAAACGTGAACTAGGCCCCGCCTACTGGCTGGGTCCTGTGTATGAGGTCCGTCGAGGCAGCTGGTTTTACTCCGACGGCACAACGTTGAAACCCACGGATGAAAACCTTGCCAACCAGCTCGAAGAGGGGTATCTGAAAGCTGCCCCGTGGAGAAGACTCGGTGTTACTTCACCTCGATCCACATCTCAACCAAGAAGCCGTCCAAGTTCGATGAATTTTGACAGCAACTCCACAACCCAGCCCAGTAAGGCCGCTCCCGCCCAGGACGACCAAGCATCCAATCCCAACACCCATCGTCTCTTTGGCACTCATATGAACACGACGGTCACATATCAAGATGCGACAGTTGCTTATCTATCTTCGGATGACTTTTATTCTCGCATGAGCAGTATTACATATGGGAGATTTGTCGGCTATGGTGGTACCAAAGTGGTCCGAGGCTGGTCCGAACCGGTGATTAAGGCTACAGATTCCAAAACGACTGACACCAAGGAAAAGCGAAAATCCGCGAGAATTCCCACAGAGCCTGCACAAACCGATCAGAAGACCGGCCTTCCACAAGACAAGGATCGTGAAGACGCTGAACCCGAAGCCAAACCTCGTCGTTCTGCTCTTGAACGCCAACTGTCATCCTTGGCAGGAATGTCACCAGACCAAGAGAACGATATATCTGCGGAAGAGGAAGCTAGGGAACAAGAACAGCAAGAAATGGAGGATGCACGTGAGAAAGACGGGGATGACCAAGCAAGACAGATCGATCACCTTGTCCTCGTCACCCATGGCATAGGACAACGCTTGGGATTGAGACTTGATAGCATCAATTTTGTTCACGATGTGAATACTCTTCGCAAAACAATGAAAGCTGTCTATGGTTCTGCTCCAGATCTGCAAGCTTTGTCTGCCGACCCAGTCAATTGTCGGGTTCAAGTCCTGCCCATTGCTTGGCGACATCTCCTCGATTTCCCCAAGCAAAGCCTCAAGCAAAACCGAAAGGAGTTTGACCTGGGTGATGCAGATGCCGACTTTGATGATGACTATCCTTCTTTGCAGGATATCACTGTCGAGGGCGTACCAGCCGTTCGAAATCTCATTACCGACCTGGCCATGGATGTGCTTTTATACCAAAGTGCATACCGAGAACACATAGCAACCATTGTCCAGCAAGAGTGCAATCGAGTCTATCAACTCTTCAAAGAACGCACCGGCTTCTCCGGCAAAGTCAGCCTGTGTGGACATTCTCTGGGCAGTGCTATTCTCTTTGATATTCTCTGTCGACAAGAAGATAGCAAAACCCGACCTCGACGAGTATCAAGCAGAACCTCACGCGATGCGACCCATGATCAGGCTAACCTGCGACTGGATTTTGAAGTCGAGAACTTCTTCGCATTGGGCTCTCCCATTGCCCTCTTTCAAATGCTAAAGGGGCGAACAATTGCAGGGCGACAGTCTCTGGCATCGACATATGGCACCACCATACCCACCTCTCCATTCGACCCGGACCCAATGACCAATGACCCCTTCGACATTGCTGCAACAAAACCAATCGGAGGAGGCCCAAATGTACAAAAGGACATTATCCCCATCACGACCTCATCCCCTAAATGCAATGAACTGTTCAACATTTTCCACCCTACAGACCCCATTGCCTATCGTATGGAACCACTGATTTCAGGGGCGATGGCGCAACTCAAGTCTCAACCTTTACCGTACACGAAGAAGGGACTATTTGCTGCGCCCGGCATCGCCAACATATCTGCACGTGTTGGCCAACAAGTCATGTCATCGTGGTACAACCTCACATCAGGTGTTGCCTCCAGTCTCATTAACAGAAGTTTGGGCATCACGGGAGAAGAGCAGGCATTGCCTCAAGACAAGGCCAAAGCATCCGCATCGACCGGTGCGAACGCAGTTGCTGGGTCCAATAACTCTGCTCAAACACCGACTCAGCCGACAACCAGTATGCCTATCGTCGACCGCTCTCGACAAGAAGCACTCGCGGATGCAGCACGTTTGTCACCGACAGATGAACAGGCCCCGACACTCATCGACGCCGAGATCGAGACTCTGTACTCTGGATTCCAGAAACGGAACCGTTCCAAGACACCAACTTCTCTCCCTCGATCGGTCGATCCATCCGCGTCATCGACAGATCCGTCGTCAGCATTAGATCCTTCAGCCGCGAACAGCAAAAGCGATATTTCGAACTCGCCATCGACGCCGACGACAGAATACGCCATCTCAATGGAACGGGCGCGACGGCTGAAACGCGAGGAGGCGAAAGTTCGGGCACTCAACTCCAACGGGCGAGTGGACTACCACATCCAAGAAGGCATGTTTGACGTGTCTCTCCTGGCTAGTATCGCGAGTCATCTCAGTTACTGGGCCGACGAGGATGTAAACCATTTCATGATGGGCCAGATGTTGAAGACTCGTGGTCGAAAGGGCCATCGAGGAGAGAAGAGTACTGGCGTTTGAACATAGTTACCGAATCGACCCGAGAGTGCTGTTGCAGGACAACTCCTACTTGGTTGGTTTTGAAATAATTTGCTTGGTTGGTTGGATTTGCAACAGTCGGTGTCCAATTGCTCAATTACATAGAGTCTTAGATTGGAACATGTGGCGTTTGACTGGTGGTGTGAGAAAATCAATACCATGCCTTGAGACTGTTGCCTTTTAAATCTATGTCCGCTCATTCTTGTTTCCTCGAAACCGGGGTATTAAGCCTAGACTGTCCGAGCCTGTTTTCAGACCCATGCAAGGAACTGGCACTGATCCTCCAACACTCGAATATCAGTTTATTCATGTCAAAACTTCATTTTGGTCTAAATTGACAGTAATATACTCCAACGCTAAATGAAGAGACCACGTGCAAGGCGAAATGATTGGAATGCGGTAACGAGAGTTACGTCCCCTGCATGCATTGCCAAAAGTTTGCATTTTCATATCAGTATTGATCGTCAGATACTCCTCACGAAGCGGTTTCGACATAGTTGGAGGGGAAAATACCCGTCCGCCCATCTTCTGTCCGGCCTGTCCACCAATCTGACTTGTTCTCTGTTCTCTTGGTGATGGTGATGACGTCTCCCTTTTTGAACCCCAGATCTCCTTCTTGATCCGCATCAAAAGTGAACAAAGCCACCGCTTGATCTGATCGTATATCAGCTATCCCCGTCTTTTGCTTGAAGATAGGTTTGGGAGCTGTCGGCCGACCAGGTTTGTTTGACATGCCCGAGTAGTTACTTTGGAGGGTACTCGAACGATTTCGGTTGCCCATGTTATCAAAAGTTTCGTTAGGATCCGCTCGGCCACCGGCGGGAACTCGATCGTAAACATCATCGGCCCAGGTGTTGGCTCGTCGTGGGTTGTCACGATACTCATATTCATCGTCTCTGGAATTCATGGTTGAGGATCGATTGACACGAGTATTGGCGCCGTACGCATCCCCACTTCGTCCTTCCCAAACCATGGCATCGTGTTGATCATCATACACTGGAATGTCGTTGTACATGTTGTCGTTGAAAGACGATCCGGAAAAGACTCTGGTATTGAGAACTCTCATCAGGGGTTCTGCTGCAGGTGGTGGGGCGAGGGCGCCTTCTAATAATTGACGAGCTGTGACACGACCGTTGTACAATTTTTCATTGGCGTCTCTTCGTTCGATAATGATGCTTCCTTCCAGACTGACGCCAGCAAATAAACCTTTTGTCTTGCTGTAGGAGAAGACACCAGCAACACCCTTGAGACTGGCCGCACCGGCGGCCTCGGCGTTGCGGCCAACGGGGCCGGCTGCTATACTGACGTTGCCACCAAGTGTGACAGAAGCAGCCTGAGAAAAGGCACGGACGGCGGCATAGTCGTTGAGGATGAAGACGAAATCAGTGAGTTCAAAGCCGATCTGACCACCGAAACCACCACCGGCCGTCGCAATTGCGGAGGGAGCGGACCAGGAGCCGTCAGCAAGTCTCGCGACAACGATGCCAGAACCAACACGGCCGGATCCAAGGAAGCCAGCTTTGAAGACTGTGAGGACGGCCAAACCCTAGAGGAAGATTAGAAAGTATTCAAGGAAGAGCGCCTGGCGCATTCTGACAGACCTTGGCGTTGCTCAGAATTTGAGGAGGAATGACTTTATCCGGTCCAAAGCTTTGTCGTGGATCAACGAAAGAAGCCAAAATCTTGCCCGCCTTTTTACACTCGCCTGGAGAGGTCAGCGAAGAGAAGAAGTGGATAGTTCTTGGAGGGCATACTCCTCATGGAAGAGGGCAGTGGATTGTTGATTCCGAAGGGCATTTTGACAAGAAAAGCAGCTGCTGGATATTTGTCGGAGAGCTCTGAACAACACCTAACCTTCAACCTCTTCTTCCTTGACGGTGCTGCCCTACAATTTACCAGAGTATATAAAGTGAGATAGCTGGAGGTGCAGTGGGTTCGAATGACGAAGGGCGGGGTGGGACGGAGATAAAAGCGACCGGCCGAGGGTGGATTGCAGCTAAGAGGGTAGATAGCACTGAACCTGATGGAGTGGAATGGTAGAGGGGGGCGGAGTAAGGTCTCGATGGGGAATTTCAAGGGAATGAGGTCGAGCAGTGCGATCCAGGCACCATGATAAAAGAAAAAGCGCAGTAAGAAAAAGGTGGTGGTTGTACAATCATCTTGGGCAAGGGCGACCAGGCCAGAGCGCCAACGCCAACGCCAACCCACGTATGCGGAGTAAGAACGAGTCCTACGTATTCTCCTCAGCTGCGCCTGCTAAAGGTTGAGTGAGTTCGCAGGCAGAATCCAAAGACTCGGAGAGGCCGGAGGTCACGTGAACTCCCCTCATTGGACGCTCTTGCCTTGCGAGAGGCTGCCACGCGGAAGGTGCATACATCGAGTCTTGGCATTATCATGCGTCCGCCTCTCTTTCATGGGTTGGCCTTATCTTCTATGTTCCTCTTCTCCTTCACCACTGCTGTGCCACAAACAGCCGGCCAATGTCGCCCTTCTAAAATTGAACCTGGAACCTGGGATGCGTCCGCACCTTTTCGCCATGTTTGTACATCGCCCAGCTTATTGGTGTCATCGCAAGGGCAACCAAAGCAAGCAAGGTACTTCCCCAGCCATATCCTAATGCTTCATACATGCCTGGTCCAGCCAAAGGGAGAAATGCACCGGCTAGTGAACGCAACAACGTGGCAGCTGCGAGCACAGATGCCGAATATTGGGGAAATGAGTCCACGAGGTAGGTCTGAATTGGCATGAACGAAGCAACCAAGCCGGCCCCAACCAGCGCTGTCCCCATAATAGGCATGATCCAATGCAGGTGCCTTTCCGCGGACCACCCGTACCAGAGCAATCCCGCCGGTGTCAGAATAGATGCAGGGACCAATAACGACAGACGAGATTCCGGCTTCATAACTCCATTGAACCTCTTTGCGTGTCGTTTGACCGTTCGATCCGACACGGCGCCAAATACCACAACGCCCAGGAGAAGTCCGATACCAATACCGAGATAGGTGAGACCTACTTCTCCAGTGCCGAATCCAAAGTAATCCTGGAACACTCCTGGTAGGCTTGTGAACAGGAGGTAGAGGTATCCGTATACAATACCCATATACACCGAAAAGACGCACACAATCGGTGAAAAAATCAGCATGCGCAGAGGTCGTACTAGCGATAACCACATATAGTCCTTTTCCGGGAGAACAGATTTCAGTCGAGATTGCAACTGCTCGTTGGGCCTCTGCTTACGCAGCTTGTCCACATGTCGCTGCAATAGAATCGGTTCGTAAGTTTCGTTCTGGACAACCATCGCCAAAACCGTGCAGATACCAGACTATATGGGAAGTCGTCAGTGACGGCCATTGGCTGAGGCACAAATGAGCGTTTCATAACATATCATACCGCAATCGTGAGCACCCAGAAAACCCACCGCCATCCAGGAGACTCAGAAAGATAACCACCCATCACGGGTCCCACACAAGGGCCTAGCATCGGTCCCAACGCAAAGACTGCGATCGCACCCCCACGCTTTTCCGTCACGATCAGGTCAGTGATTGACCCTGCGCTGAGAGTCAAAGAACAACTCCCTGCAACCCCAGCCAGGAATCGAAACACCAACAAACTTGCCACGTTTGGCGACAAGGCACACGCCATCGTCCAAACACAATACATGACGTTAGAAGAATGGTACACTGGCAGTCTGCCATGCATCTCTGACAAAGGCGCCAGAAAAAGAGGGCCAACCGAGTAGCCCAAGATATATATTGACACGACAAATGCAGACACTGTCTGATTTGAATACTGAAATTCATTCATAATAGACGCCACTCCGGGGGCCACCATTGAGGATGCTAATGGGGTGAGGAAGGTGAACAGCGACACCATTGATAAGTTGGCCCATTTCTTTCTCCCGCTCCAGTTGAGTGGTCTTTCAAGGTCCTGCTCACCTCCCTCCCAATATATAACCTTGGCATCTTCCGAGAGTTGACTGCTTGATGCGTGTTCGAGGTCAGGCGTCTTGCTAGAGACTACTTCGGTCTCAGTCTTGCTCTCATCCGTCATTTCTGGTGTCTGGTTTATACTATCAGGTCTGCGCTGGGTTGGCTGGTCAGTGCAAAGCACAGAGCTTTCGGTTCAAGATAGAGAGCACATCGATAGTGTTATCTTCCTGTTGTCATGAGTGTCGACTCAGGAACTTGTCTGCCGAGCCCTCCTTCTTGGAACCCCGTCAAGTCACCAGCCTTATTGTCGCATGATGGTTGTCGGTCATGTGCTATATGGACTGAATTCCAATCGACGTGCACGGCGAGATCGGAGACGGCCACATGGCACTACTTGCTGGTGGGGCGCTTGTTTCCAAACACCAAAGATAGAGTGTTTGGGGGTTGCGCCCAGAAACCCAAACCGATGCTAACGCTGATCAAATTGAGGACCCTGACTGCCTTTTGGGCCTTTACTCGCCTCTGCTCGCTTTTCATCAAGTTGCCGATATAGCAATAGAATGCAGCTTTTACTGTCGCAACCAGACTGCTGTTAATGCACTTATCATTATCCCATCTAACGAAGATGGGCCATAGCCTAAGCAACGCCGAAAGCTGTATGGCTGACAACAGTGAGTCACTGATTCCTTGGCTAGTCTCAGAGAGCATTACAACTTCAAGAATGCTGGGGTATGTCTTCCGCTCTGTACCACCAGGCTCGGTCCATCTTTGTCTCCACGCCGGTTTGCGGAGCAGACACTAGCTTGTTACCCACGCGGTTTATACCGTGACCTTGAGCCACCAAGGCTTTGACAAGCGAGATTTGTGGATCCGCCAAGTTGGAGGATTCTCGACGACCAACGACCACGACCTTGCTCTTTTTTAGGCAAAAGATCTCCCAACATGCCACAAGATCCTGCAAAAAATGTCTGCGTTATATCTCCTGAGGGATGTGTGCACGAGCATGGACAGTGTCAAGTCATAGAGCGACCAGTCCGTTATCGGAGGTTGCGGTATGAGAGCTATTTATGCTTCAGACGATAGCCAAGATGACTATAGTCCAATATCCCTGCAGTACTTATGATGCTCATCCACGGCATGTAGCCTTTGACTCTGTTCAAATGAGAGCACTTCAAGGTATTGCTTTGGCGTCGTCAATATGAGTGTCCACGTCAACCACAATTCAGGCACAGTTGAAGCAGGCCCCTTCGAGGGTTTACCAGCGACACCAGATCCAGGTCTGGATGGGGACAAAGAGGCCAAAGGCCCAACGGCTTCGACAACTCCCGCTTGGCCGGCTGCGCGCAGTCAGGAGCTTGGGCACACAGCAATTGCGCCAGGAGTGGCTCGCATGGAAGCGATCCATGCTGAGCTCCGCCTCCATGACCGAATCATCCTCTTCGGCAGCATTTTCATCGTCGCGTATGCATATGGCCTCGACTATCTCACCCGCAACACCTACCAAGCGTATGCCACCTCAAGTTATTCGCAGCATTCGCTCCTCTCCACCATCAACGTAATTCGTGGTGTTGTGGCTGCCTCGATCCAACCCCTGATCGCCAAACTCGCCGATATCTTTGGTCGCGTTGAACTTTTTATCATGGCCGTTATCTTCTATGTGATGGGCACCATCATTCAAACATTTGCTTTGAACGTCCAGACATTTGCCGCCGGTGCTCTCTTCTACCAGATCGGCTACAACTGTAGCCTGTTGGTGATTGAGATCATAATAGCAGACACTACGTCGATGAAAACACGCATGTTCTTTGCATATCTCCCTGGGGCTCCATACATTATCAACACGTGGATCAGCGGCAATGTTGTCGACTCCGTTTTGAGAACGTCGACTTGGAAATGGGGCATCGGCATGTGGGCTATCATCTACCCCATCTGCAGTATTCCACTCATTGTCGTTCTCGTCCTAGCAAATCGACGTTCACGGAAGAACGGGTTCCGACCACCACCAACATTTACGGGCAAGAATACGAAAGACTCGGTCCTGCAGTTATTTTGGAAGCTGGACCTTGTCGGAAACCTTCTCTTGTCAGGGGCTTTGGCCATGATACTTATTCCCATGACTCTCGCTGGAGGCCAAAGTCGAGATTGGCAAAGTGCCAGAATTATCACGCCGATCGTGATTGGATTTCTGTTTGTGCCTGCATTTGTGTGCTGGGAACGAGTAGCCCCTTATCCAATGGTGTCTATGCATCTGCTCAAGGACCGAGGGGTGTGGTCTGCGCTAGGGATTGTTACATGGGTCACTTTCTCATTCATGATTACCGCATCGTTCCTGTACACCGTCCTTGTGGTAGGGTTTGACTTCAGCATCGCTGCCGCTACCAGGATTTCATCCCTCTATTCCTTCTGCGCAGTGACGACGGGTCTGATCCTGGGCCTTATTATCTCCAAGGTTCGACGATTGAAACCGTTCATCCTTGCTGGTGTTGTACTTTGGTTGGTAGGGTATGGCTTGCTGGTTCAGTATCGAGGAGGCACCGGGAGTCCATCACGATCTGGGGTGATTGGTGGTCAAGTGGTTCTGGGAATTGCTGGTGGTTTCTTCCCATATCCGGCACTTGTGGAGATCCAAGCAATGGCCAAGCACGAGCATGTGGCGGTGTTGACAAGTCTGCTTCTGACAATGAGCAATATGGGATTCGCCCTGGGCAATGCCGTGTCGGGGGCACTCTGGACTCAGACCTTATACAACCGACTACAGGAAGATCTTGCCGGTTTTGATGATGGGACTCTTGCGGCGGCAGTCTATGCGTCGCCATTCGCCGTTCTGCCAGAATACCCTGTTGGAACCCCGGAACGAACAGCCATAATCTCCAGTTATCGATACATTCAGAGACTGTTGAGTATCACGGGCATCTGCATGGCCATCCCAATCGCGATATTTGCTCTGACAATCAGGAATCCGAGACTATCCGACGATATTACCCAACAGGATGCAGAAAAGAAAGTAGTGGAGAACAGCGATGGCTCAGAGGCATCATCTTTGCCCAAAGGCGTTTTCAGCCGCTGGGGACATCGATTGATGCACGGGTAGTCAGGTTGATCTCGTGAATGGCCCGCTGGTCAAGTTAGTAATAATAAATCTTTTTGGAAATATTTCAAGCTACGCGGTCCCTCCCAAAAAAGCGGTCATATTGCGTGATCAGCAGTGTATGACCTTTTCAAAGAAGATGGAGGGGGTCGGTAATCTGATGTTGTTTTGATATCTGGCGAGGCTGAGCCTTTCCTCTAAAGGACTAGCATCTACCACAAGGCTGAAGCTCTCGTATGTCTACTGACAATCAATTGTCACTACCAAGTAATCGACTTGAATTCGATTCAAGAATTGTTGCCGTGCTCGAATTGACTCGCGGTGGCATAAAAAGTTGGCAAGGCTTCATCATGAAAATCCTTGTCACCTGCTGAGCATCCATGACACGCTGAATTACCCTTTGCCATCCACAAGATGGCCGCCGTTAGAATATGCGTCTGCGGCGACGATGGTTGTGGTAAGTCCAGTCTTATCACCTCACTTGTAAAGGATACGTTCGTTAGCAACAAGATCCAAGCCGTCCTCCCCCAGATCACCATTCCTCCGACGCTGGGGACACCGGAAAATGTCACTACTACGGTGCTCGACACATCTGCGCAGCCGCAAGACAGGGCGCACCTGGCGGCCGAATTGCGACGATCCAATGTCATCCTCCTCGTCTACTCGGACCACTACAGTTACGAAAGAATTGCGTTGTTTTGGCTGCCACACTTTCGCTCCTTGGGGGTCAATCTACCGGTGATCCTGTGCGCGAACAAGTCAGATCTCGTCACCAGCAGTACTGCCGCGCAGGTGGTCGAGGAAGAGATGTTACCTGTTATGGCGGAATTCAAGGAGATTGATTCATGCATTCGAACGAGTGCTCGTGATCACTTTAATGTGAATGAAGCTTTCTTTCTGTGCCAGAAAGCTGTGACACATCCCATTGCTCCTCTGTTCGATGCAAAGGAGTCGGCCCTCAAGCCAGCAGCTGTCGCAGCTCTGCAGCGAATCTTCTATCTATGTGACAAGGACAAGGATGGGCTCTTGAATGACAAAGAGATGCAAGATTTCCAAGTCAAGTGTTTTGACAAAGGGTTGAGCGAGGAAGATCTGCAACATATCAAGGACACCATCAACCAACACCTGCCTGGGTCCGTCACGGCTCGCGGAATCAACTCGCAAGCGTTTCTCCATCTGAATAAGCTTTATGCTGAAAAAGGACGACATGAAACGATATGGGTTATCTTGAGGACATTTCAATATACCGACAGCCTTTCTTTGCAAGAGTCATTTCTCCATCCCAAGTTTGAGGTGCCAGAGTTCTCATCCGCCGAACTGTCACCGGCCGGGTATCGCTTCTTTGTGGACCTGTTCCTCACTTCTGACCGGGACAATGACGGGGGATTGAGAGACGAAGAATTGGCATCTCTATTTGCTCCAACCCCGGGCATTCCTCAACTCTGGGTGGACAACAATTTCCCCGTTTGTACGGTGCGAAATGATGCTGGACACATCACTTTGCAGGGATGGTTGGCACAGTGGTCGATGACGACCTTCACATCACCCAAGACGACGTTGGAATATCTAGCATACCTAGGATTTGAATCGCCTGATCGTTCTAACGCAACGACTACCGCGGCTTTGAAGTTGACCAAGGCGCGAAAGAGAAGACAGAAGCCGGGCAAAGTAGGTCGAAATGTGATTATGGCACACGTGCTCGGTGCCCCTCAGTCAGGGAAGTCAGCATTACTCGACACATTCCTGGCTCGATCCTACAATCATCTATACCTACCGACGATCCAACCTCGAGTGGCGGTCAATACGGTTGAACTTCCTGGCGGGAGGCAATGCTATTTGATTCTGAAGGAATTGGGAGAATCGGAAGCGGCAGTTCTGGAGAACAAGAACAAACTTCTGGATCAATGCGATGTGGTTGTGTATACATATGACTCGTCGGATCCGGATTCGTTTGCGTATATTCTCAATATCCGCAAGATGTATCCACACCTGGAGGAGTTGCCGTCTGTGTATGTGGCACTGAAGGCGGATCTCGACCGAACGACACAGAGATCGGAGCATCAACCAGACGAGTATGTAACTCAACTACAACGAATGCCGCAAGGACCACCCATCTCGACCAGTGTGGCGTGGCCTTCGATTCAGGAGCTGTTTGTTTCCATCTCTCTTGTTGGACTTGAGCCTGTTATTGGGTATCCTCGACCGCTGCAAGAAGATGATAATGGCCAGTTGATGAGGTATGGGTTAGTTCTGGGCGTGGTGGTGTGTGCTGGAGCTGCAGCAGTGGTGATTTGGCGGAGGGCTGGGGTCCCAACTTGATGATCAAGCGATAATAAAACATCTGCATTGTAGAACTGTATTAACATGATGAGTCTTACTCTCTTAGATATAACGCGTGTTCGTGATTGGAGGGGTGGTGATGAGAATTACCTGAGAATTCAGAAATCATCATAGATATTTCCTTGTAGCAATGGCTGTGAAGATCTGGATGAGAGGATATGTTTACATGCAATGCAAACACCCAGACACCCTGTCAGCCGGATCCATATGCAGGAAAAGGTAAAGTCTTTTTGGCGGTGGTGGGATGCCTGATGAGAGTGTGGAGGGGGGTTTGGGATTCTTCGTTCTGAATTCAAGCGCACGACATCATTTTACGGTCCAGGCGAAGAAAATCTTCACCTCATCTCGCACTCTCTCTCTCAACTAGACCCATTTTCAACTGTAGAACCACCATCGACATCGCCACATAGTATCATCCTTTCTCTCTCAAGATGTCTCCAAACGAAGAATTCCGAATCCCAGATTCAGAATACAGCCGCAACCTCGTGACATTAGCATCCGGCAGCATAGCTCCAACAACATCCACCTCCATCACCACCACCATCTCAACCCTCAACCTCCTCCCGCACATCGAAGGCGGGTTCTACGCCGAAACCGACCGTGACCAGCTCCTGGTTCCCAACCCATTCCAAAACCTCCCTCTTCTCACCAACGCCACCAGCACCGACACATCCACGACTCGAAACGCCAGCACCACCATCTACTACTTGATCGCACCGACCTCACCCGTAGGGTATTTCCACCGTAACCGAGGCCGGACAATCCACACATTACATAAAGGTCGTGCGCGATATGTGATTTTCCACGCTGATCAGCGAGATCGTGTGACTGGTCAGGTTCCAATCGAGACGTTTATCGTGGGTCATGATATAGCCAAAGGGGAGAGGTTGCAGTGGATTGTCGAGGGAGGGAAATTTAAAGCTAGTTTTCTTCTTCCGGATCAAGAGGGTGGGGAGGCGAGTGTGGATGGGGCGTTGATTTCAGAGACGGTGGTGCCGGGGTTTGAGTTTTCGGATCATGATTTCTTGACGGCAGAGGGGTTGGAGGATTTGGTGGGTGGGAGAGAGGATGTGAGGAGGGAGGTTTTGTGGTTGTTGAAGAAGGCGGAGCAGGAGAAATTGCTGAGACGGTGAAAGGCTATGAGGGTATGTCTGGGGTCTAATTTGGTCTTATAATAAGTGAATATAGTACATGTATGGTGTGGTGGTCATTTATCATCATCGTCGTCGTCTGGTTCGAGAGTGATTCAAGTGTTTGTCAACTTGTCATGTCATAATAGTTCCAAGTCACCCTTTTCAACACCTCTCCTGACATCTCTCCATCGCACCACCCAGACTTGACCTCTTTTCATCCTTAGCTCGACACTTGCGCCGTCTTCTAGACCTTCATCGACTTCAGCCTCGTTGCCCCATTCGTCGTCTGCCAGACATCGCACCACAACAGCCTTGCCTCGATCCGGCCCCTCTACCATCGGCACACCACCACTATTATCATCCAGTCGTCTCAACGCAGGAGGAAACGCGTGAAGAAAAGTAGCATCGTAAAACCCAGACAGCAGCGCTTGATGATTCTGCAAGAATTGGATTTCAGACGGAGACAAATAGCTAGTCTTGTCATCCCGCTCAAGACCACTGAGATAATAGGTTGCAAACTTGGTGAGCTTGCCGAGTCGCTGACGCAGATAACTGCGGAGGATGAATTGAGTGCGTGAGAGATCGGTCTGGAGGATTGAGAGGGTCAGGTTGGAGTTTGCAGTGGACTTGCCCGTGCCACCGTAACTATCACCCATTCCACTGGCAAGGTCTTCAATGGTGGCGATCTGCTGTTGTAATCGCGACATGACGCGTGTCATGAGTTCAGTTGGGTATGGTAGTAGGTCTGGAGCACATCTTTCCGAGATCCATGACCGGGTCAGGAGTTGGTGGTCGGTGAGGACGTCAGTGTCGAAATATGGTGTCGATGAATTTCCTGCTGCGGGGCGAGAAATGTCGGCGAGAATGTCTGATATGTCGACGTCCATGGTTGGGAAGTGATGTGTATGCTGGATAGGAATCACATGGGTATTTTGTCAGTAACGAGTCGTCGTGATGAGCCTTGCGTTCAGCCGTGTGTTGACATGTTCATTGATGTTCTGATGTGATTCGATCGATTCCCTTGAGACTATGTGTTGCCCCGCGTGCCTTCCGTGAATTGGTGGTGGCTGCCAAGACGCCAATTCCTTCCCAATTCCTTCCCAATTCCTTCCCCGGTCGTGCCTTCCCAGGCGTTCATAGCATCTCTCTCCCTGGTCGTGCCTTCCCTAAGACGTGTACTCCGTAGTCATGGTTCCTTCCTCGTTCAGCCTGGCGCTTGTCCCAAGATTTGATTGGATGTGAATTCTTCTTCTTCACCGTTCAGAATCACTTCTCAATGCCTCTCTCCCTCTTCTAGTCACTTCCCGAGATGCGGCCGCAGACATAGACCGGGGTTATCACTGGTGCTACCAGTGCCTGATGAGGTTTCATAGGTAGGCTGTTATCTCCAAACATCGAGATGCATCAAACCATACCTACCCTGCCACCCCAAGCTTCTGATGAATTCGCTGCGCCTTGCCGGTAAGGGAGGGTGGCGCCCCAAACCCTCCCTCTACTTCTTCACTCTTGACCCAACTCACATGAATTCTTCATTCTCTCATCAGTGCATTACTATCTCTATATTCTGATTCCCTAATTACCGCTCACCATGTCAGGAATTGAAGTTCTTTCTTGTGCTGTTGGCCTGGTCTCACTAAGTATCCAGCTCACAGAGTCCGTGGTAAGGCTGAAGCGGGTTTATAATGCCGTCAAAGATGCCCCACGGCGCATCGAGTCTGTGGTCTTCGATCTCGAAACAATGGCTATTGCTCTCCGAGAGCTAGAACATCTTCGGTCCCAAGGGAGATGTAACGACGCTTCCCTTGCACGTTGCGCCACCAGTTGTGAACAACGTATTTCAGAGATCAGGGCGGTCGTTGACAGAATAGAACTCTACATGGCGAGCTCGTTTAAGCTCAAAGGCAGGCTCTATGCCGTCTTCAAAACGTCCGACATGAAAGATCTCCTCAACGATCTTGAAGGGACCAAGAGCTCACTCATGATCGCTTACGCCATGTACAATGCTGCAGAGCAACGGCAACGAGATGAGGAGCAAGTTCGGCTCATAAATGACCTTCAGAACCAGCTGATGGCTGCAAATGCAGACACTTTGCTCCAGTTATCCACCCTCATACCCCCGGCTCAGACATTCCGACCATCAATCCAAACGACAGAACGTACAGCTTCAACCTTTGAAAGCCAACTGAGCAATCCCCAGCCCACTGATACAAGCCCCCAGAACCAAATACAACCACACCCTTATATCCCACTACGCCGGCCGAGGCGGAACAACGGCGAGAAGAGATTTGTGGCAAAATTTCGTCTGCCAACGTGGTTGTGCTCACGTGTTTGGAACTTCGCCGTGATGTCCAATCTGCATGGGTGGGATGTTCTTTTCCGCACCTATCGCATTGTACCGAGAGACTCTCCGATCGTCCTAGCATGCGCAGTCGGCAATCTACTAGAATTTAGGAGATTGATTGAGAGTGGTGAGGCATCATTATTAGATGCGTTTCACACTGGATGGTCGGAGACGAACCTATTGGAAGTATGTATCCTCCTTGAACCTTGTGGTTTCAAATTCTAACAACCCCAGTGTGCTACTATGTACAGCCAACTTGAAATATGTCGCTACATTCTTACCATGACTCGTACCTATAACAGCAAAGCACTAAGTAGCGCTTTTTTACAATGGGCCATGCGCGGTTCCGGCTACAGAATAGATGATGTGTATCGGCTATTTCTAAGTCACCCCGGTTGGGACTACGATCTCGACACTGAAGACTCGTCTGCTTGGCCCTTCGGGCCCCTCTGGCTCATTTTCTGCCCCAATTCATTCTGCTTTCAATTGATCCTGCGTTCTCAGTCTCGGGAACTTTGCGCCTGGTCTGTGGAGGACAGGTTTGAGCTCTTATATGCTAATGGCGAGCTTGGATGCGCGCAATTTCTCGATTGCATCGGCTTGACTCAGACTGACCAGAGGCTGGCCAACCTAAAGACTCGCAATGGCTATACCCTTCTGCATCATGTTGCCAGCCATTGTAGGAAGTACGGTTGTGATACTCAGCAATGGCTCAACCTGGGCAAGACCCTGATCCGGTGGGGCGCAGATCCTTCTGCTATCAAATCATCAGGATACTACACACCACTAAATGACTTGATTCAAGCAGGCGAGCACGTGGGACCAAACATGCTGCTAAGTCGCCTTCGTCTTTGGATCCAGATGCTGCAGGAGGCGGGTATTGATCTTGAAGATTATGGTGCGAAGGAGAGCCGGACATGGGGACCAATTCACGGACATAGATTATTCGTTGAAGCCTTGACATACGGACCTGTATCCACAGACTGGAGCTTTGTGGTCAGATCGATCCGAACGGTGCCCATATACAGGCTACTACAGCCTCCGGGAGCCTTTAACATCAGTCACAGTGTCCCTGACAAGATATTGTGGCATCCTGGTCGCGTGGAGTTGGAAGAAGAAGGCCATTGGACACAGGCCGGCACATTCAGTCAAATGTCACCAACAGTGGACATGCGAAACATGTTAACCGACACGGAGGAACATTTCCATCAGCTTTGCAGATCTTCACAGGACGACTCGGGGACGATCATGCTCTTGTGTGATCGCGCTGCTTCCCGACCACTACCCCGGACCAGGTCGCACAGCCAGCCTCCGTGCCTCAAGCGGCGAGAAGTAGACTACTTGTCCTTGCGATCTGTACGAGCCTGGCTGCCACCCGTTCACTATTGCCCTTCTACTTTGCACTGGAGTTTCGAGCATGGTTCCACATACCAATCATACCAATGGGATTCCCTTTGTGATGGTAAGGAATACAGAATTGAGGATCCTAGGTGTTGTGTGAAGGGTTCTGAAGGAGGTATAAGCCACTCAAGCTGTCTTCGGTCGTTCCTGCCAACGGAGCTTCGACACACACACACCCTCTCTCTTCTCGTAGATATTTTAGATAGACAAGATAGCATTCTCAATAGTCTATGAGGCATCACGATTGGTGGGATTATTGGTGGCTGGGTGGGTTTCTGAACGACGTGGAAAAATGTCAGTCTAATGACTTTGAACCCGAGAAATAATGTGAGAGATATGAACATTCTAGAACGCCAGAATGTTTTTGGGGTTGCAGCAAAATCGACTTGGACAAGTTGGCTGGTCTGGTAGGGACTGGGTGGCGTCAAATCAGATGCTAATGTCCTTCATCGAGGTGCTCCTTATCGCGAAGACAGCCCATTAGGAATATAAACTTAGCAAAGATCTATTATTCGCCTGTCTTCCACTGTCCGTATGGGTTTATGCCGCTCTCATGGGTGAGAGACTCTTATAGGACTCGACCATTGTCATAGGCAATGGTTTCCGCGCTGACCACCCACAGAGGATCCTTGGTCCAACTCGATTCAACCAGAGTGTGAATTTCGATACTACGCCAGCCACTCCACCAGAGATAGTCTCCCACCATTTCAAGTCGATCGTTTTCGTCAATTTTAAGCCACCTAGAAATAGCCTTTGTTGGAAAGCAACGATTCGAGATGACAAGGTGAATCCTGCCACCCTTTTTAGTGACGTGCCTGATGCTGGAGAGTACCTCGACCGGTTTGGTCAAGTAGTCGATAGAGACGACGCAAGTCGAGGCATCAACTTCCCCCCTATCTGGTCCCGGTAGGCGTACGTCTAGATCTTCATTCAGATCCTGCACAGACCACGATTCCAGGACTGGGTTTTGCCCGAGTTCGGACTTGTTCATGCCCATGCCGAGCACATGAAGATCTCCCGACTCAACAGCATTGATTATCTCTTGCGGATAGTGTGAGACCCAACTAGAGCAGAAGTCCAAGATCCGTCCTTTCTTAGGTAGCGCCTGTTCGTAATATTTCTTGAGGTGGACAATGGCGTTATCGTCAATGTGGGTCACGAAGCGAGGGACAGTGTAGAAGGTTGAGTCTTGTCCTGGATCCATGGGCGTGAGGTCAGCTTTGGAATATGGGAATGGCCCATCTGGATTTCGCGGTACGTATTTGCGTACTGGGGGTGGCGTTGTATCCATCTTGGATGCAAACGCTGTCGAAAAGATGGAGATGGATCGTAACGTCGTTCGATTCATGAAGCGAGGCATTGGCCTGATACTGCCTCGTCACTGAAGCTTCTCTGGATCCTTCGCATCAGGCCACATCCGGTCTAGATACTTTTGGTCAGGGACAGAAGTTTGTACTGAGAATCATGATATGGTAGGAGTGACATCCAACCTTCAAACAATCCATGACGTTGACAAACTGAAGCACCCGGATTAACGTTATTCCTCGAATTACAACGATTGACTCTTCAATCCATGAATCAGGTCGACATCATAAACCCCAAAGGGTAATCAGCAGCGAATGCTCGGTCCTGTAGCCTTCGACTTCGCTGCTGATGCCTGAGAAAGGATTCACCGGCCCATGGATTTCTAATACAGCGGGGTCTAGAAACCATCAAACTGTAAATATCCAGACGGGCGGGCATGGGCATGGACTCTACCACCAGCAAAGATAGTCCCTAGATGCCTAGTTACACATCCAAATCGATAATAGAGTGACTAAGCGGCATCATCCCCAGCACTATAGTAATGGTCGATGTGTGACATGATTCCGTCATAGCTTGTATCGTCAGTCAAGGAGATCGATCAACTTTGAAGTTCCTCTACTCAGGTATGCTTATGAATACCAAAGCTCTAGACCTTCCCCGGACCCACACCAAAAACCCGTAATCCTGGCATATCGTCCCAGGATCCCCCCCGCACGCGGTTCCATCAATCAATTCGTCGGTGTCATTGGACATTTTGGTCCTGCTGACCTCATTGGAACCTCCCTGGGACAGGCCACATCTTCTAGTCCAAAGTTCCAACACAAGCATAAAAAGGTCCAGACAAGACGTGGTTTCTTCCAGGAGGAGTACTGCCTGAAGCCTAGACAAATGTTCAAGAGAGTGGCCGCCAGAGGCATATCAACTACACATCCTGTCACCAGACTATACCACCCTTCAAAGAGCAGTATTCAACCGTTTGCCCGTGCAAGAACTTCATCCCGGAGAACAATGGCAACTGCGTCGCATGTTGAGTTGGATCCCGCTACGGCAGGCGTGTATCACGCCCCAGATATCTCCAGCCAGTCAGCAAAAATGGGAAGCCAACTGCTACAAGAAAACCACGACCAATTTCACATGTATTTTAACAAATCTGGCTTTCATAACCATAATTGCCACTTGGTACTAACATTATATGCCTTGGGTGCATCCCCTACTGAAATCCAGCAAGGCTATGACCGCAACAAATCCTATCAACGACGGCACTTTCCTGTGAACTCTTCCAACGTCGAGGACATGGCTGATCGAGCCAAGTTCAAAACATTCCTAGGGAAGGAACGATATTTCCATGATTTTGAATCGTTTTTCAGCGGAGAAGTCGAGAAATCAGGATGGGAGGAGATCTTGATTGAGCATCTCTTTGCACGGGACGAGCACGCAGACGATTTGCTATCGAGGATGTATGCAGGTACGAAGTAACCTTCTTTGACTCTCTGGACATACTGAGATGCATTAGGATTTCTTCATCCATTGATCCATCTAGGCTTCGGGGTCGAGTTCAAGCAGCCGGCCATTATTATCGAAGCATTGGCCCAGGCGGCCACGCATGATGATTGGGTCAAACCATTTCTCTTGCAGGCCGAGGAAAAGGCCAAATCATCAAGCAAGTCCAAGACCTTAGTCCAGCTACTCTATGAATGTCGAGAAAATGACAAAATTCGGGCATCGCCTCACTGGGAAGATGGAAACAAGGTTCGCGATGGGGTCCTGATGCGGGCGCCAACGGAGATGATTGACCTTGCCTCGCAATGGACTGTTAAACCAGAAGAACTCGAGCAAAAGACCGCTGAAATGATTAATGCGGCAGCATTCTTTACGGGAGCAGCTCAGAATCCTCCCAAGAGGCACAAGATTGACTTTTTCTACATGCATTGCCTCAATTGCTCAATCTTCTTCTCAGCCCTTATCAAGGAGCCTTGGTTGAAGGTCGAAGACAAGTGCAGGATGTTGGAATGGAAAGGCCGCCTCGATTTGGCCCTCTATGTTTCAAGAGGCTGCCCTGAATTGGTGATCGATGAGATCAAGAACTACAAACCGACCCGCCCGCATGATTCCTGGGCCGATATCATCCGTCGAGTCAACAAGTTTGGCGATGATGGACACGCAAGCAAACTGATCCGAGCAATTGCAAACGGCGCTCAAGTCACTAAGCCGTACGAGGGTCAGCAAAGTGACGTTTTCCCCATCCAAGGAGACGATACTTGGTTGAAATTTGGCCACATGGCAATTGATTCAGTGGAAGGATCTGGGGCGGAGGGAAATTGGGTACGAAATACTGGGTTTGAGCAAGCCTGGGAGAATGTTGCCGAAAGGTCTAGGTTGTAATGAACAGCATCTAGGAATTGCCTACACGCGTACTGTAAAATAGGTTCCTGCTTGACCCAACAATGAAGGGATTTCTGAACGAGGCATTTATACCTGTCTAACTAATCATCGTCAGACAAGTATTATATCACCCCTTCACTCTAATTGCGCGGCTTGTCAAGCCAAAACAGGCAATATATATCGTCTGACTTCAAGAATATTCCCTTCCAATCATTTCCTCCCAATGACAGGCCCGCGAAACTGCGAAGCCTGGTCGTTCCTTCCATGTGATACAAACCCCGCGTGGCGGCAGGCACGAACCCAGCACAACCTCATCTCGTCTCCAGGCATCCCTCATTCTCTTCCTCATCATCAAACGCCGGCCCTGTTCTCCCAAACCCCTCGCTTCGATTCATCCTCCCATCCTTTCATGCATTGCTATTGTTTCCCATTCTTTTCCTCTTCTTGACCAGTGACCATGACGAACGACAAGACTCCTCGAGAGTCACCCATTCCTCCCCCCCTCGACCCCTTCCCCACTTATCAGACTCCATACACTCGCCCCGAAAGAGACAGTGACAACCCTTTTATCCAGTTCCGTCGAGCAGCGGATGATGCCTTTTCCTCTTTCTTTCAAGGAATCCCCCACCTCTTCGGTGCTCATTTCAACGACACCCATTGGAAGCAGAACGTTGACGAGACGATGCGGAGGAGACATGAATTGGAGGAGGGGTGGAGGAAGCAGTTTGAACAGGAGATGGAAGAGATGAGACAAGAGCTTGAGAGATCAAGGGTTGCTACTTCCAAGGCTCTGCAAGATGCCTTTGCCCCGATCCGAGACCAAACACCTACCCTCGAGTCGATGCACCAGAGACATGAGGTAGAAGAATCTCAGAGGACAAGAAGTTCGAGCCATGAAGTTGCGAAACCAAGACCTGATGCTGCAAAAGCAGTGGAAGATACATTTGCCATGAACTCAGAACGCTCGCCTTCACCCTGGTGGACAATTGGCAATAATGCCAAACATCCTGCCTCGAGCAACACCACTCCCCAAGACAATGCTAAAAGATGCCCCGCTCTATACGATGATGCTGGGCAGCCCAAAACTGAATTGGATCTTTATAACAACCTCTCTCCAACTCCAACACACGATCCTAAGCCTCGACAAACATGGTCTCAATGGTTTGTCCCAGGAGACGTGAAGTCTCGGGAGGCCGCCATGCAGAACGACGACAAAAGTTCGCATGATGTTGTTACCACGTCTCAGCCTACCCGCTACAGCATGTTTGGTGTTCGCCGCTTAGACCCCTTCGACAATCCTGATCATACCATTCCCTGGCTTATGCTGAGCCCTTATTCTCCCATTTATCTCTGCAATCCAACACAGCCACGCATGTTTCGAGTCAGGATCCAAGACTCGGAGAATACGCCCTTACAAATTTCACGACCCAGATTCTTCGACCGCTGGTACTCAGACGTGGATGAGAAACTCGCAAACCAACTTCCCTGGGCAGATGCCTTCGAGGATTTAATCAGCGTTCAACAAACTGGAGAGATGGTAGATCGAAACTATTCAACGTTGCGCACGCCCCCCACCTGGATCCATGATATGGTTGCTCGTGGCAGCTTGGGAGATCGCTGGGGCTTTGATGCCAATGGCTTTCTAGTGAAGAAACTAGCTGGATCACGGTCTCTCGCAACGACGGAAAGTTCAAAGAATGGTTGTGCTTGGAAACGCGAGGCTAAGGGTGCACCGTCTTGTCACAATGAGAAGACGTCCGCAGTGGAGAACAACTCAAGCGAGGACACCTCTATCGATAAGTTTGTCGACGACGTTACCGAACCTCTTGCGCATTCTCCTATCTTTGGAGGTCTTCTTGCAACCGCCGATGCCATTGTCGACGCTGTTGAAAGAGGCATCGAAGATTCAAAACACAATCACGATGAAGCGCAAACCGAGTCTTTTACAGAACCGGAAGAAGAAACCGAAACCGACATCTCGCGTGAACAAGAAGAGACTGGTTTCCCTCCCTATCACTCCTCATCTTCGTCTTCTTCCTACGAATCTTATTTTGCCTCATCGTCATCATCTGAAGTCCCTGATTCAAAGTCCATCATTTCGACGTTGACCTCAACCGTCACACGAACTCTTCCTGACGGGTCCATTGAGACTAAACGAGTGCTGAAGAAGCGGTTCGCTGATGGCTCAGAGGAGACTGATGAAAGCACCGAACGTCAAAATGCGCAGCGAAAGTCCGTCGCCAAACAAACTCAGACCTCATCATACAGAAACCAGCAAGCCACAGCTCAGGCTAACCAGTCGTCTGGTCAAGATGATTCTGCCAAAGGCACGGTCCAGAAGGCCATTGAACAGGCCAGATCAACCAAGGAACAGCACCACCAGGTATCTGAGAAGGTTAATGAAGCTCCCACAGGAAATCGAAGAGGAGGCGGCTGGTTTTGGACAAAGTAGGGGTCAGAATTTCTTCTCAAAAGCCAAGCTCAATTTGCAGGATACTTAGGATCAGAGAGCCTCCTCCTTTACACACCTGACCACTCTCCCCTTACTGCTCTCCTCCACCAAACACAGTATGTACAGATAACATGACCTTCTCAACTCGACATATTCTACCATTTTCATCCGGATTCATAGTATGACATGTGTATGAACAATCACAATTCCACATTCTTGGTTTCTATACTCCTATTCTGAGGATGCTATGTAGTGCTTTGCCTCCTGGTCCAGGTGAAATCCTCTATTGTGCTCAAGTCCGCACCCTGCTTCACGGGGTCATTGTTGGTCCAACGCGAGTATTCATCACAGAATCCCATCTTGGCGTAGAAGATCTTCTCATTAGTTTCCTCGCCCTGTATGATGTCATTCATCCATGTTCACTTCTGCATCACTCTCCATCTGCCATCTGGTCAATTCGTGAAGCAAGGGTGTGATCATCCAAGATCTGTTCTCAGCCACATCATACATTACGGAGTACTTGGGAGATCGAGATATTCTTCTGACGCCACAGCTTTCTCCAATCAAGTCAAGACATTGATGCTCGACCCTGTATGCGCCACGCAATGCGAGCTGACCCTGGCCCCTCCGTCCGCCAATGTTAAGCTTCGGATGACGAAAGACAAACGAGAAATAGATTCCCCGTGTCCACATAAAATCCCGTACAAAGCAAGAAACATGGCCATTAAGACAAATCCTCATCTCTCGTTGGATGGTCTTTGACAAAAGGATGGAGAAATAACCGTCATGCTCCACCTCGTCTCCGCATTCTACGGCGTGGTTGAACCCTGCCATCGTGACCCATCAGCTTTCCTCAAACAAATGTGTCACCGATGACGATAGAGTTGCCAACTTTTCCCAATTGTCAGCCGTGTTATAGGTCAAGTATATGATATGTCTAGGTAGGAATGAGGTCTGAGAATACTTACTCTCCTTTCCTCCCTACGACTCTCCTCCAACTGATTTTCTATAACCATTCATCTAGAAAATAACTTTCTCGTTTCTTCACCACCATGCCATCCGTTGTCACCAAGATAAAAGATGCACTCCACGGGGATCATGACAGCCGGGACGAGTATCGGTCGGATGGACTAGAAAGATCCGACGACCGAATCTCAGGTACCCACGGCCATGGCTCCTCCAATCTTCCTGGATCGTATCCTGGTCAGGAGTCAGGAACATCGCAAGCTGTCCATCAGGACGGCCGAGAATATGTCGCTCCTCATGGAACTGCAGTCGGACAACAGAGTCAAAATACTGGTGGCTCCCTCGACCCTGTTGGATCTAACCAACCGCATTCTAGGACCACAACCACGACCCAGACATCAACCCACGGCGGGTTTGGTGACGCCTCACAAGGATACGGGACGACAGGACATCCGCAAGACCGACCCCTTGGTGAAATTCAACCTGGTACCCGTGGCCAGAATGAAGTCACTGATGACCGTAATCTGATGGACCCTGCTTCACGAGGCACAGGATCCAATGTCCTCGATGGAAGTCGTACTGGCACCGATACCACCAGCGGTGGCGGGCTGGGACATGATTCTCGCTCGACGGGGTCCAATAAACTCCATCGCCGCGACGATCCTCGAGGCTACGAATCCAACCCTGGTCATAGCTCTACTACTCACGGCTCATCTAATGTTGCCGGGAGCGGTGTCACAAGCGGCCACAAGGGTCAAGGCCAGCATCTCCGCGAAGAGATTGCTGATCCAAATGATCGCCGTCACGCAGGTGGTTCGTACGGGACCGATCAATATGACGATAAAACCCGTTCGTCGCATCATGATCCCAGCCGAGCCGCCGCTGTAGGGGCAGGAGGCGTCGGCGCAGGTCTTGCAGCGTCACAGATCCCTGATCGCTCACGCCGTCATGACAATGATGACTCACGACACGCTTCTTCCAATATAGGTGGGAACCAGTCTTATGATACTGCAAGCAGTGGAACCAGCCGACATGACTATGCCGGTCGTGATACTGGCCGTGACACTGGCCATGGAGGTATCTATAACACTGTCGTCGGCGCTGGAAGTGAAGACGATCACACCCGTCCTCACGGCGCTCACGGTACTCACGGCTCGGGAATCGGATCTGGCTCTGGTCCTGGCCCTACCGGCAGCGGCCGCCAATATGAATCTCATCCCGGCACAACCTCTGGCCTCAGCGGCCAAGGTCACGTCCCTCGTGAAGCAGGCGATGGTCGCCACACCACGTCTGGAGGCAGATCAGGCCTATCGGGCCCCGAGGCTGCCGGTCTAGCTGCTGCTGGCGCAGGAGTCGGCGCAGCCGGTGCATATGGTGCATCACGAGCCCATGACCGTGATGGAGATCGTGCCCAAGGTCAAGGCCAAGCTGGCGGCCAATATTCAGATACAGGTCTTGGATCTCGCGGTGGTGGTCCGGATACGTCGATGAATCCATCTGCATATCCCGCCCAATCTCAATCTCAATCTCAATTCCAGCAGCCAGGCGCCATGGGACAAGGTCCTACCGGCCGAGGTGCGATGGCAAGAGACTCAAACGCCATTCCTGGTGCGGGTGGAATGGGGCCTTCGTCGTCTTCTTCTTCTGGTGGTGGTGGACATGGATTGGATTCCCTCCCTCCTGGCGCCAGACTACTGCACAAATGTACCCATTGCGGCCAGGACAATGATATTAGCCATTATTTGAGGAAAGATGTGGCATATCGTATCGAGCAACAGTGAGAAGTTGGTTGGTCTGTTGCGATTTGATTGAGTTAGTTGGCTTTGCCTCGTCGGATAGTACAGTATGTATATATCATAATATCAAGCGATTTGTTAGCATGAGCAACTATTTCCATTGTAAATTCAGACAGTCCTCAGTCATTAGCCCACACTCGCGAGGAAGACGATACATATATGCTTTCCTAATTCCTCACTTCAAGTTTCAAGGGTTTAATCTAGGAAGGAACGAAGGTCATGGTGACTCGGCATAGATCAGGTATCTGTATACACGTATATCTCACCCCCCTTTTAGAAAAGTCCTGTCATTGTCAACATATCACATCACCTATAACTACCATTATATCTTCCTATTATATTCCCTAAACCCCTAAAAGAAGTTTACCTACATATCCTAAGTGCTCAGGCAAAACTCGCAACTTGTCACTCGGCCCTCACAACCACAGTTTGGAGAAAAATACATCATTCTGGTCAACTATCTCACAGGAAAGAGGTACAGAGACAGATCCTGATGATTGGAAAACACACATGTCTTGTGTCATGACAATAGACCTGACGACGATCCCATTACCTGACGCAGTTGTCGTGCTACTCGCTCTGATGATGGTGACGGTTCTAATGCTGCTCCTTCAGCGAGCTTTATGGTCTTCGAAGTACTTCCCCTGGTGGCCTCACTCCTACTATTGTGGACTGGTCCGACGTCGTCTCACTATCAAATACGATCACCACCACCAGCATCAGCATCCTTCTTCTCAACACCCGACCATCTCAGACATCTACTGTATTGCATTCCTACTCGCACAAGTCATGCCCAGAGACGTGGTGCCCATTGTCATGGACTATGCCGAGCTATGGCATTATTTCCCCCTTGTGAGGACCAACCGGTTCGTGGAGATCAATCACCGAGTTGGGAGGCAGATCTACTTGATGGCAACGATTCCTCGATCTTTGCCACCCGGGGCGGTTCGTTCCTTGACTGTCAAAATCCTCTCGTCGGATTTAAACAAAGGCCTACGGACTTTCAACCATGGTGGTCAGAATCCATTTTCGTTTTTCCAATTGTCCTTGATGACAGCTGCGAGAATGGCTGTCGATTTGGATTGTGATGTCGACAATTGGATCAGAGATGATTCGTCCTCGATGATTCTCAATCACCATCATTCACAGGATTATACCATGTACAGTAGATGGTGTAGTGTGCATGATCCTGATCGCGAATCACGGGCCCTGGTCAGGAGTATAGGTCCGGGAGATAAACTTGCGTTGATCATGCGGGTCACCAAGGCAGCGTATGTGAGCTCGGCCAAATTTGCAAGTATAGAGTGTCAGGTGGCGTTGGTCAGGAGGATGTAAGGGTCGTCATGACGTTGGAAGACTGTGTTTGTCTCCTCAATGGATCAGGATTCTCCTTTTTACCGCCTTTTGACCATCACTTGGACAGATTTCGGGTTATAGATCAACTCTTCGCCTATTTGAGGCTCATCATTCCCCTTCTCCTGGGACACCACCTTCTCTCCGTCCTCTGACTTCTCTCACCAAACCTTTGGCCTCTTCAACTTCGTATCCATCCATACACAGCTCTTCCGCCAGTCTTTCTGCGCGGTCGAAGTCGCCTTGTTTGACACTGTATCTCGCAAGCCATAGACGGGCTTTACTCGTCGTTGCCGTGGTTCCTGTACCAAATCCATCGCCTTCGCCTTCACCATGCCCGTCTTGGGCGTCACCATCGACGCCATCCTCCTCGTCCGATCGACTGGATAATATCTCAGTGTCATCGTCACCCGCTCCGGAGAGGTCAATATCTCCATCTCCATCCATCTCGGATCCCGCCTCTGCTCTCAGTGCTGCTACACGTTGTCTTTGCTCGTCCCTTTTCGCTTCTCGTCTTGCTCGTTTGCGCTGCACCTTCTGAACGGTCAAGCCAGTGGCGCCCGTTTCTTGTTGCACGCACAGATCCATATATTTCGCCGCCTCATCCTCCTGAGCCATGCGTTCGTACAACAAAGCGATCTGGAAAAGCGTCTCTGGATCGAGCAACTTGCGAGATTGGGGTTTCTTGGTGGGCGGGATGCTGTTCAACGATGCACCTGCATTGAATGACTGTGTTCCTGCCGACGCCGCGTCATCCTCAAAATACGCTCCCGCAACCAGTGCCCTCTTGAGAGCCTTGATAGCTTGCTCTGTTCGATCCATCTTAGAATAGCAGCTACCCACCGCCTGCCACATTTTAGGATCGTAAGGTCGTAGACCAGCGGCTCGTTGATAGTAGAAAAGAGCGTAGAATCCCATATCGAGAACCTCATAGGCTTGACCAAGGCCGTACCATGCACGATAATCCTTCCGGTTGACGTCGACCGCACGCCGGTAGGACTCGATGGCTGCGTGCGTGTTTTTCAGCTCGATGTATTCGTGGCCCATCAATGTCCAGGCTGAAAGGAACGACCGGTCCAAAGTCAAGGCACGCCGAAAGTACATGACGGCCTTTTCATGCTGCGAACACAGCGAGTAATAATTTCCCACCACGCAACATGTTTCAGGGCGGAATTTGTCGACCGAGGTAGCCAGGTGAGCCAAAAATGCAAGTTTGGGGCGATCAGCCATGACGTATAGAATGTTGGAATAATGATCGAGACCATCGAGACGGTGGGGATGCGTGGTGAGGAGGTCTTGAAACAATGAGGCTGCGAGCTCGTAATCCTTGTTATGGTAGTGAGAGAGCGCAAGCTGGTGGATCAAAAAGGTTGAGGTCGGGAAATAGGAGAGCAAGATTTTGAGGTGGTTATAGGTGGTGGATTGATCTGATGTAGAAAAGAGATCGACACTGACATAGGTCTGGTACATGATCGACATGATGTTGACAGGAAGGACATGGGCGTTGAGGTCATCGATAGAGCTCAGCAGAGCGCCAAGTTCCTCCCACGCGCCCCAGTGGTAAGGATTGAGTCGGACACTGCGTAATAGCCATTGCTGAGCCAACTCTTCTTGTCTGGACTTGGCCAAGACAACACCATAGAGATATTCAAGCCAGCCCTGGGACCGCTTAAGCTGGACATCTTGTTTGTCTCGAAACTGAAAATAAGATTCGAGAGCTCGTGTTAGGGCCACTAACTCGCGATTTGTGGTCTGACCTCCGTCGGCTGGACCAAGAACCATCTCACTCTCCTCGTCTTTCCGCTTTTCTCCTGCAATATATCGAGCATAGAGGGCCAGGAAGAGAGACTTCTGGCTCAGGCGTGGGAACGGGTTTGTGGGTGAAGGACCATCCTGTCGCGATTTCCCTTTGGTCTTTGCCGGCGTAGTATTGGGGGTGCGGCCTTTTGGCTTTTCAAATATAGCAAGGCCACCTGCTGGAATGGATGGTGGCAGAAAGACGGCGGCACATCGGTCGAATTCTTTGGTGTCAAAATAGGATTTGGCAAGGAGGTATTTTGGTGCTTCCTTGGCTTCAAGAGAGGCTTCTTCTGGGTCATCATATGTCGTGGAGAATATCTGGTACGAGGATTGGACGTTATTCGTATCATTCGTTGGGAAGTCGTTGCCGGAGTCGTGAAGTTCAGGAAGAGAGTCTAACATTTCGGCCGCCCTGTAGTGATCAGTGGGCTGACTTTGATTGAGAGCTCAGACACATCTAAACACACACCATTTTGCAGACTGGTACAGACAACGCTCGGAGCATTTTATGGAAGCCTCGGCCAGTCGTAAGCGTAATTCTTCAACAACTTCGGCATCGGTTTCGGCGGCGGCAGAACCGAGACTATCAGTCTGTCGATTGGGGCCCATGACGACAGAGTATACAAAGGATTCAGTCGACAATGAGGCGTTACATTCGCATTGTCAAACTCTGTCTTAGCGTAACATAGTCGGCAACTAGGAGGAGAAGACACAGGGGAAACGTCGACCAAGGCGAGAGTGGGATGGAGAGGGAGGGTGAAATGTTGTTGTCTGTCGCTCATAAATTTGTTGGAGTTGTTGGAGAGGCAGGCGCAACCGCAAGCCCAAACGCGTCGCGGGGAGATGGCGCGTCTATTGAAATGATCCACCGCAGCCTATATGCAAGGCTGAGTGCCAGCCTTGCGAGGACTTCTCCGCTTGTCTCGACAGGGCGCATGGTGGATTCTTTGAGTGATTCAATGTTCACATCGGAGTATAGTAGATGGATAACATATCAACACAAGTCTATCATCAAAGGAGCACATTGAGGCGACTCGATCAACATGGATCTATCAAGGCTGCTCCCTGCCGGATCTGGCAACTCCATCTCGTGCGTCGACATGCATACCACTGGTGAACCGACTAGAGTTATTGTGAAGGGTTATCCTAGACTCACTGGGACACTTCTGGAACAGAGGGCTCAAGCAAAGTCAGAATTCGATCATGTTAGACGAAGGTTGATGTTGGAACCTCGAGGTCATTACGACATGTATGGCGCCATTCTACGGCCTGAGACAGAGTTGACCAAAAGCGGCGAGGCGCATATCGGGGTTCTTTTCACCACCAACGATGGATACAGCACAATGTGTGGACACGCAACCATCGCCTTAGGTCGGCTACTATTGGACACGCATGATCTCGACTTCTTTCCTCGTAGGAATGATATTAAGCACGACGCTGAGACGAGGACCGCCACCCTCAACCTTCATGCTCCTTGTGGTCTACTCAAAGTGAGTGTTCCAGTCAATGCAGAAGGTTCAGCTTCAGATCCTACTCGGCCAGTGTCCTTTGTCTCTGTGCCGTCCTTTGCAACGGGAACCGATGTTATTCTGTCAATTCCCGAGGCCAATCAATGGCCTGAGATAAAGGGTGGCAGTGGGAAGTTGCGGGTGGACTTTGCGTATGGAGGCGCGTTTTATTGTTTTGTGTCGGCGCAGAATCTTGGCTTTCCAGGAGGGTTGCATGGTCGGGATCTCGATCGATTGAGCGTGGCCACGGCCTCCTTGAAATCATACCTCATAGCCGACTCTGGCTACAAGTCATACTTTGAGCATCCAGAACATCAGGACCTTAGTTTCTTGTATGGAGTGATTGTGACGGATGATTCGAATGAGGAAGAAAATGGTGGTTCAGAGGTTGGGCTGTGTTTCTTTGCCAACCAGGAGATTGACAGATCACCTACTGGGAGTGGAGTGGCAGCCCGTGCGGCACTTGCCATTCAGAAGGGCGAGAGAAAGATTGGTGAGGAATGGGTATATCATTCCTTGGTTTCTCGGGAGAAGAAGGGCCCCGGGTTTACGGGCACGGTGGTGGAGGAAGTGCAAACTCCCAGGTCATATCCAGCATCAGCATCTCATCAATATCGGGTAAGGGTTGAGGGCAAGGCATTCTACACAGGGGTCAGTACATTCCTTGTGGAAGAAGAAGACCCTTTAGGGGATGATGGATTTATATTTAGAGAGTTGTAAAGAGATGAGACAGAAGATAAATCAGACATGAGAGTGGTGAGAAGAGAAGGACAAGGAGAAGTTGAACGAGAGAAGAAGTGGAAATGGATTTGAAAATGGAAGGTCCAGATAGGTAAACACGGGCAGGCACGACTGACACACACGTGGGGATAAAGCCACAGTGCACTTCTGACAGCAGCCACAGCGGTCAGGCACAAGCCTCACGTCATGTGACATCATCGGCAAAATAGGTACAATGACTTTTGATTCACTTTATTCCAAAGGCCAACTCACGCACTTGTTCGTCTCAACCTCCACCAGAGTCTCGACCGTGTTCCCCATTGCCACTCCAACACCTCCCTCCTCTCGCACCCGGTGACCGGCTTGGTCCTCCTTTGCTTGATCCCACCACTCATCAACTCGTGTCAGGACACAAGGCAGCCAGACACTGGAGGACACCGTTGCAGCATCACAAAACCCTCAATTTTCTTCAACCTCTGCGTCGCACAACTTCTGAGCCATCTCGTCAAAGTCTTTCTCGCCTTCCTCCATGAATACTTCATCGTTGAAATAAAACCCACAACCCATTACAATGTCAAAGTGCGTCTTTTCAGCATTCCTCAGCGAACAAATTAATTGACACCTCCGTATAGTAACCGCTATTCATCCCTCAACCGACGAGCCCCCCCTTCATCCTCACTCTTTCAAGACTATCCTGGCTCTCGCCCCTCTAGTTCCTCCTCGACTCCTCGACCCGGTGGCTATGGCGGTTATTCCTCAAATTCACATACCCAGCCCTCCGCATCTCCTTACCTGAACCCATATCCTCAAGACAATACGCCCTCTTCCGCTTTTCGACCTGCTACTCCCAACTCCAAAGGCCAATATTCAACCTCGGTTCTAGAAGAGCTAGAATCCCAGAATGAAATCACCGCCACAACATTACTGTCCCAGAAAGTCTCTCAATTGAAATCCCTTACCGTAGCCATTGGCGACGAGATTCGTGACTCGAGTTCACTGGCTGCTCAAATCAATGACTCGTTTGAAAACACTGGCGTCCGGTTACGGGGCACCATGAGGAGGATGTTAAGGATGGCGGAAAAGACAGGTGTCGGGTGGAGGGTTTGGCTCCTGTTCTTCATCGCCGTCTGGGCCCTCTTTGCTTATGTCTGGCTGTTTTGAACCTCATGAGCTATTCCCAACAATGGTCCCTCTTCATTTCCTTGTTGCGAGCGACACTGTTGTTGATTATTGATTTTGAGCACGGCGTTCAGGAGTCTTGCATCAGAGCCATTCTCGATTTGCCGAGGTGTATTGTGGAATTATTTTGCACGAGCAGATACGGTCACCGTTGATCAAATATTCCCTCGCTGCTGTCATACGACATGTGCCGGACGGCCCTGGTCACCTTCGTCTCTGCGTATCCCGCAGTTTTGCGCAGGGCAGAAGGATGCGAACATGTCATTTATGGACTATGTATTAAGAATGCAATGTATATATATCACCAAAGGTGGCAATCTGCCAGTAATTTAACACTTCTCAAAAAGTATTCTATTCATGTTCAGATTAATCATTCGCCTCATGAGCAAGGTGTAGGTCTATGCTTGGCCATGGTCTGTGGAACCTTCCTGGACCCATGCTGTTTTGTTTACCATATACAATGACTCTAATTCTCACAGGTATTTTCTGCCCGACCAAGTAGGCTTCGAGGTTGCATACTCACCACATGCCCGTCAGGAGGAAGTACCAATTTCACACCCAGTCCGCATGCCCTCGAATAGATGGACGTCCCTGAATCACGTCTGACCATCAACTTCACCTCTCCGCCTCGAGGTCAGGAACCTACCACTCCTCCGACTCGTATTCTGGCTCTGAACGCGGCGATGGGTTGGATGTACGCCCTCAATCGAACCATTTCCGCGTCCTTGTCCAATTGGCGTATCTCCCCAACCATCATTCCCCATCTCACCAGCACTGTTACCAATATGAGAGAGTTCAGGCGTAAAGAGACCACCGCTTGAATTCGACGCAATCGCAGGATTAGTCGTACCGCCATTGCCGCTGCCGCTGCCACTGCCACCAGTACCCTCATTTCCAATCCCGCCTCTCCTTGCTGCGCGCCCGAACAATGTCCTCCTAGCACTTCCGCCCACGGCCGCCGCAGCACCATCGAGCCAGGCCCTAGCTGCGCCCGTTCGTGATGATGACCCAGGGTTCGAGTTGGGATTCGACGCTGTGGCATTTTCCATTTCCAGACGGTGATTTGCAGCTGAGGCCGCGGTCGCCGCATTGGCTCTGACAGCTCGGAAGTTCGCGTATCTGGGGTTTACGGCGACACCGGTCGATGTGAAAGGGTCGGGGCTGTCCTGGTTCACATCTTGATGGTAACTTCTGTGTTGACTTGAGCTGTCAATTGTCGCGGGTGAGTCGAACGTTTCGGGTGTTGCGATGTAAGCTTGATGTCGATTACCGCTGATTACGCGTGTCGCGCGAGGCGGTGGGCCAGGCTGGAGGAATGAAGATGACGGTCCGGGCTGTCTGGTCTGAGCGGAGATCTGGGAATCAGATGGAACATGAGGCGAACGTTCTGAAATCCACGGTCCAGAGCTCCGACCGTGCGGTCGGCCACTGGTTAAGCCACCAGACATCCGCTCACTGGTACCGCTCATGCCACCCAGGCTTTCGCGCTGTAGTTGATTGGGTAAGATTGAGATGTCCATTTCACTCTCATCAAGTTCCGTATCAGTATGCTCCCAGCCTTGTTCGGATTCTGGCTCAGGCACATCGTCATCGAGATCGCGTTCGCCGTCGTCGTCCATCTCCTCGTCTTGATCAAAGATCTCGTCCTCGTCGAGCATGGCGTTGGCAAGGTCTTCGGCTTCCCGCTCGTCATAGTCGTACTCACTTCCTGGCACTGGAACTCTGACTCCCGCCACAATTGCCGTGCCGTGTCTGAAGTGGCCAGACCTTCGACCATGATGCGGACTGCCGCCACCACCAGTAGTCCGGACTGCGCCTGGCAAAGATGGATTCAGCTCAGCTGTCTCCTCGTCCGTATCTGGTTCTCGTCGTGAATCGTAAACCCATGCACCGTTCCCACTTTCGGGGTCTGGTGACATGACATCCTCGTCTTCATCCCCAGTCTCATCACCGTCGTCATCAAGATCAAGATCTTGGTCATCCGCTTCAGGAATATCATCATCAAGGTCGCCCTCCTCCATGCCTTCCATCTCACCCTCGTCTTCTACTTCTTCATCCCCTTGATCATCAAACCCACCATCATCATCCATGTCGGGAATATCAGCATCAAGATCCCTCCCACCCTCTGGCTCTCCCGTCTCAGCCAATCTCGCCTGCCGCTCCTGTTCCTCGCGCTCCATCTCCATCCGTTCCTGCAACTCCACCTCCCTCAACTGTCTCTCGACCTCCTCCCTTTCCAATTCCTCCTCGCGTCGACCTAGCATAGTCTTAGCGCACCCTGCCGGCTTCAGCCAACTGTACCCGTACATGGCGATGGCGAGTTTGCGTTGCGTAATGCTCCGCTCGTCAGCGGAGAGAAGAGCAAGTGTGCTGTTGCGGTTGTTGTTGCTGGGTTTCTGTCGCCGTGAGGCATGGTGGTGGTGATGGTGGTGATTGTGCGCATGTTGGTTATTGGAAAGACTCGGGTCAGTGGACGAAGCCACTGGGGGGAGAAGAGATGATGAGGGTGGCGGTACAAGTGGGAGAGAAGATGTAAGTAGCATTGTGTCGGTGGTGATAGGGTGTGAAAGTCTTTGAGGTCGTCTACTTCTTTACGCTTCCATTAAAGATGAATGGTGCCAGATCATTGAGATTGTCCAGAACCGGGAAAAGACTGGTGGTTGATCAGGAGAGAGATCGAGTACCAGAGAGCATGGGTGACGTGACGCGGTCCACGTGACGGAAGGCAATCTTTGTTGTCGACCTAGAGGTCATGAACCCATTCTTGAAGTTGTCAATCTCGTCATCACTAGATTATACCTCAATGAAACACGAGACTATAGTATAAGTCCACAGTTGGTTATATTGCCGTTCTGCTAGATGACGCGGAGAAACGACGATATGTAAACACGGCGAACTCGAACTTCGACTTGCCAAGAGGTATATCCAAATCGGGATATATTTAATGCCGCTTTACTCGTCATCTCGCAACATCCCAACAGCGCCCTAATCATACATGCATTGATGCCTGCCATCGCTATGGCTGTACTATATTCGAGGAAGAACTCGAACTGAGCAATGTCATCTTGTAGTCTTAGTCCATAGTCTGTTACATACCCTCTCTCCTCGCTCCCCTCGACATGAACAGCGAGGCTCGTCCATTGCAAGGCTCTGCCCTGACAGGATATTTTAAGGTGCGGACGAAGCATGTTTTTGGACCAGGGCGTAATACTATTCCTTCTTCAGTCTGATGCTATGGAGTACTAGAAGCTAAATTGTTGATAAAGTGGAAAGATATCTCATCCAACACCGAAATACCTATAGGAAGACCAGACGAGCAGAAGATCTTCCATTCACACCAGTTGCCAGCACAACAATCATAGCTTTGTTCACATCTGGAACTCTCTTCTCTTCAGGACGGTCAATTGTCACAGGTTTAAGATCCGTCACTGCTTCCCATGCTCCATTCGAAAGCTTGGTGGTCTTGACTTCGTCTCCATCGACGAAAACCTTCAACGATTCCACCTCATCTTCTTTAATGCTGCCCACGATTTGGACCTCGTCGCCTGTTCGCACAGTCTTTTGTTCATCCACCGTCAACGAAGGAGGCGACTGACCCAGTTGTTTTGGTTCTGGTGTAAACGAGATAGCATCACTAGGCAACTCAGGGGTTCGGCTGGGCTTCTGGCGGAGCTTGCTTGCATTCTCGAACGCATATGCATAGCGGAACAACGAGTTGTCGTCATATGCCTTGGATGCAAAGGTGAGGTTAACTGGCATCGAGATATCTGCCATGTTGCCCATTGGCACACTGACGGTTGGGATACCCAGCTGGCGAATGGCGCAGTTGCCGTTGGAGAAGAGGACTCCGTTGGCCCAGGCATGCGCGGCGGATTCTTCATTAATATCAGCGTCTGCTTTGCCTACGTCCGCGTTACATGGCCACACGACAGCATCCAAACCTGAGGCGTCGAGCCACTCTTCGAAATCTGCTTTTCGTTTTGCTTCGAGGTTCTTCAATGCTTGACCCAATCCGGGGATCTCATATGTCGGAACTCTGCCACCTGTGATGTGTTCAACAACGGCAGTATGGCGAACAAGAGGATCGTCGACATCATATTTGTCGGGAATGGTTCCTGGAGGTTGTGGGAAGATGGTAGCAGAGTCGATTTTGCCGAGGGATGTTGCGACGTTGGCGTCGCCATTGGCAACGAGAAAATCATCCCAGGCATAAGACATGAGTTGACACATGTCGACTTCGTTTCGATGTGGAGGAGCGATGGTTTGTGGCGCGTTTTCAAATCCTGGCTCAGGGGCCTCGAACTTGGTGACAACAGGGAAATCAACTTCTTCGACTGTTGCACCGAGTCCTTCCAATATCTTGCGGGCATTGTTCCACAAGTCAATGACGGATGCGCGAGTGTAGACTTTTCTGGCCGTTGGGTCAGAGTCTTCTTTGCCGATATACATCTTGGGAACGCCGATTCTCTTCCCAGCCAGTGCATTGGGATCAGCAAGGCTATCAAAGGTTTTGGGTCGAATGCTGTCGACTGCCGGGAGTGGCACGAAGGGCTGTCCTCTCCAGAAGTCTCCTAACTTGGTCTCATCATGTGCGACAATCACATCCAGAAGAGCAAACATATCACGCACGGAGCGAGTATGTGGCACCACGGTGTCACAAGTCGGGAACAGTGGCCAGTTTCCTCGGATTGAGATGAGTCCTCGAGAAGGTGTGTATGCAACCAGTCCGTTGTTGGAGGCAGGAGATCGGCCAGATGAGATGGTCTCTTCACCCATACCAAATACACCAAAGCTTGATGCAGTAGCCGTTGCTGAGCCGTTGGATGAACCAGATGCAAAGGCTCCTGTGAGGTAGTCTCCGTTGTATGGTGATTCAGCACGACCATACACACCTCGCTGCATACCTCCGGCAGCCATGGGAGGCATGTTGGTTTTGCCCAAGATGACTGCACCGGCTTCCTTGATCTTATGCACGGTGAAAGCGTCTTCAGTGGCAATCAAGTTTTGAAAGGCAGGCGAGCCAGATGCAACGGTCATACCCTGGATTTTGTAGGAATCCTTGATGTTGCACGGAATCCCGTCCAATCGGTTCAAGGTCTTGCCAGCGGCACGACGGTCATCAGAGGCTTGAGCCGCCTCGAATGCCTTCTCATTGATGATTGGGATTGCATTGAGAATGGTAGACCGCCGGTCATATTTGGCAATACGGACAAAACTTCTAGCTGTCAATTCAACACTGTTGGTGTAGCCATTGGCTAATGCTAAAGAAAGGTCTGCAACAGAAGCTTCTACAATAGAGAGAGACTTCGTTGGAAGAGTCAACAATGAACACAGCATGGGAAGGAATAGTTCGAGATGCCTTGGAGGGTGCTTACCGATGGTACCTCAACAGACCCCATTGTGAACTTGCCAACTTGGTAATCTTCTGGATGATTAGTTATGAGTGATTTAGACAAAGAAGAGGTTGTTGAGTTCTGAGATGCAATTCCAATTTGTTTCATGACTTATATGAGGCATTCTTGTACATTGATGTGTTGTCGGAACCATTCAATTCCAGCTGTTAAATTTCGACTTCAGCAGCTATAGAAATATATTAACAGCTGTTATCAATATTTAGAGCTGCAAAATTGATTATTATCAACTACGCCGATTCGGTTGAACTTCTGCAGCTCTTAATTATTGTCGTCTCAGCCAATTATTATATATGCCGAGCTATCTTCTAAAGCTTGTCTGCTTATCCTCTGTTGAATCTTACGTATGAATTAGCAATGATGCTGAGCTCACAATATAGACATCGGCCATGAGCAGGCCAGGGTTTGGAACATTGAACAGAAATGCAATCATGATGGTAACGCCTCAAAGTATATATGATGGACATGATCGTAGCTTTCTTCGCCTCTCCTCGCTCTCTCTTAGACGCATCCTGACACTCTCATAATCCCTTGACTATTACAAAAGACAAAATTTGCTGAACATGGCGGTTACCCCTGACCAAGATCCCAATTATGTACCTGGCACAGTCTACCTTGTCGATGTGGGTGGACAAGTATCCTCCTCTCTCCATGATGCATCCCATCAAGACATCGTGCTTGTCCCAAGGCCGAGCTCTGATCCAGAAGATCCCTTGAATTGGTCACATCGCCGCAAAGTCGTCGCAGTCAGTATGGGCTACCTATACGTATTGGCCACAGGCATTGCAACCTCTCTTCAATACTCTGTCCTAGCCGATATCACCTCTGACACTGGCATCTCGACCGCCGAACTGGTCCAGGGCACTGGTGTCATGTTTTTGTTCTTCGGATGGGCATGTCTTATCTGGCAACCGATTGCTCTCACCTATGGCCGACGTGGAGTCTATTTGATCACAATATTTCTCACCATTCCCATCATGGTCTGGACTGCGTATTCAAATTCGGTCGGCCAGTGGTATGCACATCGCGTCTTGATCGGCATTGTGGTCTCGCCTATTGAGTCACTGCCTGAGGTCACGGTGTTTGACCTTTTCTTTGCCCACAACCGTGGCACATACATGGGTCTATATGTTTTCATTCTGTTCGGCTCCAATTTTTTGGCCCCGCTCGTTGGCGGCTGGTTGAATGATGCCTATGGATGGCGATGGACCATGCACTTCGGTACCATCCTCTTGGGAGTCATCTTTGTCATTCTCTTTTTCTTCACCGAGGAGACGATGTACTTCCGCGACACATCTGACGCACAGAGTCAAAACATCGCTCAACGGCATTTGGGAAGTGGCGACGACGTCACTAACTCACAAGAAACGAGCTCAACAAAGGAAGAAGCCAAGTTCACCACATCCGGTTCTCCTGAGCCATCGGTTCTCGACGGTGCTGGACACCCGCCCAGTATCAACTCAGGCTGGCGCAAGTACGGACTATTCAAGCTTCTTCCTGGACGACCAAGCAATGTCGACATGCTCCGCATGGCGTACCGACCGGTTCTCATGATCTTCCGGCTTCCCACCGTGGCATGGTCTGGGTTTCTCTATGGAATTAACCTGGCATGGTACAACGTGCTGAATGGGACAGCCAGCCCAGTCCTGTCAGGCAGTCCGTATAACTGGTCAGCCGCTTTAGTTGGGTGTGTCTACGCCGGTCCCATCATCGGAGCAGCCTTCGCTTCACTGTGGGCAGGAAATGCCGCTGACTGGATTGCACTCCAGCTAGCACGACGCAACAAGGGTATTCGCGAGCCAGAGCACCGCTTGTGGGTCCTAGCAGTCTCTGGAGTCATCAGTGCAGCTGGCCTGATCACCTGGGGAGTTGGCGCCTATCACCATGTCCACTGGATCGGGCTGGTCTTTGGTCTCGGCATGCTGACTTTTGGATGCGTGACTGGCGGGTCCATTGCCGTCAGCTACAACGTCGACTGCTTCAAAGAAATCGCCGGCGAGACCACTGTGTCGGTCATGTTGATCCGCAACACCATCGGCTTTGGTTTCAGCTATGCCATCACCCCATGGTGGACAACACAAGGGTTGCAAAATTGTTTCATCACCACGGCTGCAATCTCCCTGGTTTGTTCCCTCACATTTCTGTTCTTCATCGTGTATGGGAAACGAATCCGCCGCTGGTCCATTCCCGCGTATCGCAAGTACATGGTGACTCAGATTGTCTCACAGGAATGATCGAGAGCCTATGGTTAAACTTCGTGGCGTGTTGGATTGGGAAAGACCAGAGACGTGTGACTCTGGGGTGTTTGTTTGCAACTCTGCAAGTGTTCGGTCTCACATAGAAGTGTTTTCTGCTAGTTTGAGCAGTCGTTCAGCGGCGGCCGCGGCGGAGGGGATGTCATGTTCCAAGTTTTGAACTAGATCTCCGATGAATGTAATCAGACGTTTAGCTTCTGGAACATATTGTCCGTTGTCGTATCGAGAGACATTGCATATCATGTGCCCAACTCCGAGCAGCTGATGAACGATCTGTCCACTGGCAACTTTGAACATGATCAAAGGCGCTTGGCTCAGTTCCTGAAGGAAAGTCTCTGCGAGCGACATGACCTCACCGGCAGGGGCTTGACAGTACAAGAGACCCAAGATAGTCACAAGAGTCTCGGTGCAGGTGATTTGAACAGCCATGTATCTGCATCTGTTAGTCTGAAAATGGCTCGAGTCGTCGGGGGAGTCGAAAATTGAACGAGGTTTGTTGGCTTTGAGTCGTGTGAGACTATCAAGCAATGTCGTGGGCGAAGGACGATCACAAAAGACAGCCAACACGGCTTTCCGAGTTTTGGATGCACGGAGACTGAAAATGGCGTACTCCAATAGTCGAAAGAGATCCGTGATGTAGTCCCACCCGGCTGTCCATGCCTGGGCCTCGGGGTCCATAGCTGGGGTGATTCGAGGATAGTTGACGGAGACCTGTGACTCGGGCAGTCGCACGACGTGGCCGAAAACGCATGCAGAGTGGATCTCCAGACGATAGACACACCAGAAGAGTCGACGTCTCTCATCGATCTCACCGATAGAGATATCACGAGGCCATCTAGCTTCATCGTGAAAGCCATGCTGAGCCACTAATGCATGGTACATACCAAGATACCGGTGAAGGTCATTGGTGTCGCTTCGCTGGAGGGAATAGACGGAAAGTAGACCGAAGGATCGTAAATAGTCGAGATTCTGTGATTGAGGGAAATGAGCGGGGATCCTGGATACCGCTTCGGAAAAGTATAGATGGCTATCGGGTACACCACATTCTCCCAGCAAGCTGTCATCAAAGACTGCGTTGAAAGCAGCGGTCTGAGAGCTGACCGCGCAGAGAGCCATCAGCAACAGGTATGATGGCGTGGAAGGATCCGGAATCCCACTGGACCATCGTACCAAGAGATCATTCTCTGGGAGAAACGGATAGCTAGACGGGATTCAGCAACAGCATAGCTCAATCATCTGTCGAGAGATGGCAACCTACTAGCACTGGTACATAGTGTCACGATAGATGCGCAGAAGTCGCCAAATTACATCCAAAGACATGTAACTTGGAGTTTCAATTGGCGTTCTGATTCGAGGAATCTCCACATCCTTGGTTTGTGGCGTGCGAGGCTTTCTGCCTCGTTTCAACACCGGACGGTTATTTGTACATTCGATCTCGTAATCTTTGCAAGTTAGACAACCACGCTGCAGTGTTTCTTGTGTAGGATCGGCGCCTCCCGGCGCCCAACGACACCGGAGACCTCGAGCATGACAGAAGTCACAAGCGTGTGATGCCCGCTGTTTCTTCGGAAGCATATGTGACAACATGTTTCATGACAAATGGCCAGTTTTTCTGGGTGGTTGGGGTGGAAACAGTTGGTGAATCGTGTGGTCAAGTGTGGGATTAGCGACATTGTGGCCTTTACGGGGGATTTTCATTCATCAATTCAACCGCTGGTAATTTCATGCCTGCCAAGAGAGATAGCTAGAAAATTTACGTATGATAGATGTCGCTCTATACGTCGATGGAAGATCAAACCCCGCCGAGGTCCTAGCTTCTGAAACTACTTAAGATCCTGCGGAGATTCACGGCCCTCATAATTGGTCCATTGTTCGGGTAGGATCGTACGAATTGACATTGCATTAGATTATAAGAGCATTACTTGATCTGTTTTACCTGATATTTTTGGGAGTTGTCCCTTCAAGGGGCCTCTGGCCTCGACAGACCAAGGCATTCAGACAGATAATAGAAGATGTCGATGCTGTTGTATACACCTCCGAGAAGTTCTTGGCAAGGGCCCTGCGAGAACACTGGTACATCGGTCAGGGAGTGGACACCTTGGTCAGCCTGTCGCGAGACGGTTAGCAGCAATATCTTGGTAATTACCGACATTTGGACAGAACTCACCGAGACCGGAAGGGTTCCGTTAATCACGAAGCCAGTGACAGCGTCAACATAGTTGACATAGAAGTCATCGCTGTCGAACCCAGTGATATTAAGGGCTGGAACTCGCGGGCCATTCTTATGAACTTGGTAATTCTCGCGGCGATCGGGGTTGGCTGTGACTCCTTGATAGAAAGTATATCGAGGATCCCAGTTGGCGGGGAAGTGGACTCCAGGGCCATAGACAAGGTTTTGGTCGCTCCCAACAGGAGCAGAGCTGTTGGCGATGAGGTAAGCAGACAATCCGGATTGCTCGTAAACGCCAATGGCCTCGCGTTTATCACGAGGATCCTCCTTCTCGTTGAGCCATTTGGTGTCGACACTGCCCATGACATCAAAACCGTGACCGTGATCGGCAGTCACGACAACAAGAGTGTCATCAAGCTCACCGATCTCCTCGAGGTAGGCCAGAGTTGCCTTGACAGTATCGTCAAGTTCAAGCAGTTCTCCCAAAGCACGGTCATAATCCAAAACATGCATTTGCTTGTCGATGCTGGCTGCCTCGGACATAAGGAAGAATCCAGCTTCGGGGTGGCGGTTGTGAAGAATCTCAACAGCCTTGAGCGTCATTTCCTTGAGCCCGGGTTGATCAGTGGCGCTGGAATTGGAGCCATCAGGGGCAGTCTTTGGCTTATCGACGTTTTCGGGGTATACCTAATTTTGTTAACATGATGATTTCTCCACGATAACACCACCTGAACACGCTTACATTTCTGTCCAGCCACTTGGCCATGTTGCTCACAGAGAAAATGCCGAGATGCTTGGATGAGTTGTCCGAAGCTTGGAGGGCGGTGTTGTTGAGGACAACAGTGTAATCCTTGTTGGCGAACTCCTCATAGTAATCCTTGCCCTGGAAAGATCGCGAATTGGGATAGAACTGTTCAGCTCCACCCCCAAAAAGGACATCAGGGCCGGTCCAGTTTGTCCAGGTGTAGTTGGTGATTCCATTGAGGAATGAGTCTACGACGGGACCATATTGGCCACGGTCTCGGGTGTGAGCAGTGAGAGCTGCTGGAGTGGCATCAGCGATGAAGGCAGTCGAGACAATGCCCACACCGCCACCTCGCAGTCTGTGAAAGATTTCGGCAATGCTCTCTATTTTTGGGTCGTCGGCCGGGCTTTTAGAGCTGTCAACATAGACCCCAAGAGCGTTCACGGTTGTTTTGTGGCCACTGTAAAGAGCTGTAGCAGAATTGGCACTATCGGTGATGAAACTGTCGATCGAATGGGTCATTTGATGACCAAGAACAGGGAATTTGTCAAGAGCCAAAGTCGTTTGATACTTTCCATTGATGGAGTGATGGCCGAGCAAGCGAGCAGCTGTGGGTACTAGTTAGAAGATGAAGGGGAAAAGCTCAAGAAGGGTATCCCTACCAGTGATCATATTGGTGGTCATTCCGTCACCAATGAAGAGGATGACATTCTTGGCACGTTGAATCGGGGCAATATCTCTGACGGTCCAGTTGGCCACTGTTTCTGAGCCATTCTGATATGAGAGAGTGGCGATGTATTGCCCTGGCTCATAGAGGACAACCCGCCTGTATGCCTTTGCAGCGACTTTGACAAGGGAAGGGGTTTTCGCAGCCTCGGCATATAGATCCTCATACCAGGTAAAGTTCCAGTTCTCCAGTCTGGGTTCCTCGACCGAGAAGAACTCAGCCGCTGGCACAGCATTCCCGCCGTCCTTTGCGATGGTGAAAGTGAAGTTGGAGTCTGGCTCTTCGTATGGCACTCTTTCACTACCATTTTGTGGGGCGTGAACTTCAAGTCTGATGTCGAAGTATTGTCCAGGGAGGAAATCAGCTTGATCAGGTGGCAAGATACAACCTAGAGTTGGACAGGCGCCCAAGCGATGAAACGCAGTAGCAGAACATTGGGCACTGAAGGCACCAAGGAGCAAGAGTTTCTTCATGCAAAGCTGAGTTCTCATCTTGACTGATATGAGACAAGACTGGGACCCGGAAATTTCGAGGACTGGCCTACAGAGAGAACTGAGAAATGATCGTTAGGTAGAACATGATCTTTTTGTAGCTTTGGATGGTTCGTGGGACTACGGAGTAGTGGAGCCGCGGCAGCATTTTGCGTTCGCATTCTGGAAGTCCGCATTCCGAACCACATCGCACAAGTACACTAGGGTCTTCCGTAGTCCCATCGCGGACCTTTGGTTGCTTGAAGGTGTTGGTGGCAGGACGGCAGAAAATACTTTGACGACGGTGGCACACATTGGCTTACCATGGTTTTGGAAGGAGGAAACCAAGGTGTACCTTTCAAGGCTATATGCCAAGGTGCTAGTGCCGATACTAAAGTCCGGAGACTCCAGAACAAGCTTTGTCAGCCTATCAAGAAGCCCACGTTGCTAGCAGATCGACAAACAAACACCCCACTTGTCTCTATCCAAGAGCTTAGCACTCGGCGGAAGTGGTATGCAGGAAAGATATGCTACTGCTGTCCCTCAAGGTAGTATTTTTCAATCGACTCCAGTTATACATGATGCGTGCCGTCGCTCATGATTTCGATTGGAGAATCTACAGTCAATGTGTGACTAGGGTAGGTCAGTACCCGCCATAGCTGCGAGCTGTGTTGGATCAAATGAAAATTCCCAGAGCTACATCCTGGACTGAATGGCGTCATTGATAGCCTCGAAGGTGAGTGACATCGGCAAATGGGCCAAACCTTGCAGCCGAACGTGGTTTCTACTGACACCGTGCTTCGTTCAATGGTTGACAGGCGACGTCCACTGGTCTATATTGACAAAATATTTCATCCTTATGTGGGTATGAGCCTTGACTACTTGGAAACGAACTCTTGGTGGTATGAATTACGCCGAGCATCCGAAAGGCGAGAGGTATTGGCTAGAAATCTTTTGATATTGTAACCGGGGGACATGCGTCACCCAACCCTTCAATTATGCATGTCGAACGGGCAAAAACATCTGTCCTAAGTCTATCGCCTTGTCTTTACCCAACTCGCCGCAAGATATAGAGACAGATGGCTCCAGAATTCGATCATAATGCCAGTGGACAAGGTGATTGTCGACATGTACCAACGCCTCGGAGCTCCATCGTCAGAAGTCTAGTTCTCGTACCTGATCCGATGGATGGACGTACTAGCTCCATTTCGGCCACATGGCCACGGGAGTATACTCTCCGCTGCCCTGAATTTCTGCAAGGAACGAAAAACTAGTTTGACGAAAGCGGAAGTGATCCTATGGCATAGGCCCATCCACTAGAGGATGCCAGCCTCCCAAGATGTTGCATGTGTCGCAAACATTGTTCGACAGTACTCATCTCTTCTGGAAGGCTGGGTGAAGTCATCTTGATGAATTAAATAAGTCGTTGAAAAGGTCTTGGAGACCTCTCCAATCATTTGTGGCCTGGCATGGGTGGACTTCCTGTGTTAAGAAGTCTCCATTGTCTAGCTCTCCATGTCTCACGAAGAGACAGAAATTGAGGTCAACATAGGTCGTTTAGTCCAGGCAGTTGCCTGGCTGGCTCCTGCTATCGTACTTGTTCCTGCCGTTATCGGCTATGCAGCCTCAATACTTCCCAACAGCCGGGGTAACATCCAGTATACATGAAAAGTGGGCAAAATGTCGGGAATTGCACCAGCACTGTCCAGTGTGAACCTTTAATTCACTCCATGAGCAAGCTCGCCTTGCATTTAATCTTCCAGCATGCATGAGTAATTGCAGAAAGCCTCTTAAGAACGGTTCGGGACGTAGATGTACCTTTCTCAGCTGATCGCGAACGGGAAGACGACAGCCAATCGCAACAGCTCGTATTGGCTTACTGTCCCATGTCAAGCCACCACATATAAAAACTTCAGCTATACTAAGCCAGAACCCTGAGAAAGATCATCAAATTCAGTGTTTCCAGATTACAACAAGAAATAACGGTGTGTCTTGTTGCTATAAGTAGGTACGTATATGTTTCTGTCTTGAATAATGAATAGTCCATCGATCTCCTCAACTATCGCACCGCCGTCCAGACTAAAACACAACGCAGCTGACAGTACTTCTAAAACCCCTGCAATAAATTACCTAACCATTCCTTCCCTCTTCTCCCATAATGTCAATGTCATCAGCACTCCAACGAGTATTTGCACAAGTCCACTCTGCACAAGGCCTGCCATTTCCCAGTACAGTGGCCGCGCTACTCGCTCTTGGAGTCACACGATATCACGTCGACTACAGCGGCCAGTGCGTAACAACATATACACAGTCACCAGGACAAGTGGATCGAGTGTCCTTCCCAGCACCGACAGTTCAATCTGATGCAATATGGAATGCAGATGGCGTGGTTCAGGCAGTGCGAAGAGTGCAGGCTGGAAAAGCGACCTATCATGAGTTTTCTCAGGAGTGTGTTGATGCTGGAGTTTGTGGGTACTTTGCTTTCTTGACGGGGAAGAAAGTCATGTATTATGGTAGTCAAGGCGATGTCCATGCGGAACATTTTCCTAGTACCGCGCCCAAGAATGCTGACTGACTGATGGCGATTTGTTGAGCACAACATCGAATTGCGAGAGAACACAAGGGAGATGAGCCCGAAGGTAGTGAGTGGCCTGGTGCTGGTGGGATAAGGTCCTCTTCGTATTCAGTCAGTAATCAACTCTGTGGTTGATAATTGTTTAACAACGAAATACTGTATCTGCAACTGATTCGAATTAAATTATGAGACTACTTAATCCCGTTTATGCCGCAGATGGTGCAGGTATTGGTGATGCGCACAGAGTCAAATACAGTTGCACAACTGCCTCAGATGCCCACCCACCCGGTAACAGCGTTGGGAAGTGCCAGACAAGATACTGTACAAGAGCTTGAGTCATCGTCCTGAGCCATCTCTCATATTAACATATTGGTGAACCGCGGCTTAGATCGAGTCTAAAGACCGTTATCAGCGGCCCAATCCAAGATCAAGTCATATGCAGCCGTGGCATTCTTGTGCAAGTTGATACCATGTCCAAAGTGAGGTAGAACAATAGCTTCCACGTTACTGCTGCCATTGAACGCTTGAATTGCCGGGCTATCCTCCTCGAACAGGCCGGTGCAATTGGAACCGCAAAAGATAAGATCATGCTCTGCTGCCAAATAGAGTACCGGCCCAGTAAACTCGGGAGCTGCCCCAGGGATGATGGTTGCGGTCAAAAGTTCTCCCAAGGTGAAGGGGTACTTGGTTGCCTCGGCCTGCTCGAGGACTGCCAAATCGAAATAGGGATATTCAAAGAATGAATATTGGTTGGCGAACTTATCCACCCATGTGATGTAGCCGGGGGGATACAGTTCCTCAGGGAATCGCTCCGGAATATTGTCAGATGCAAGACGGAAACCGGACGAAGCAAGAAATAATGGTTGGTATTCGACGCGATTCGAATATCCGGTGAGAACTATACCGTCAGATAGCTCGGGCGCCACTGCAGCGAGAGCGAGTGATAGTTGTGAGCCCCAGCTGTGTCCAACATGAACGACCTTTTCTGGGATCGGGACCCCTGTGATGTTGCCGACTCTGGCCAGCGTCGTCAGTCCAGCCAGTAAGGCAAGTTCCACAGTGGCCTGTATCTCTGTCAATGGATCGGCAACAGTCGAGGGCTCAATGCCGAGACGACTCCAAGATAACGTGCTGTAACCAGCCCCAGCGATACTATCAACGTACGAATATTGCGCATCGTCGGTCGCGTTGGGGAGGTAAAAGTTCCAATAAGACTTGTTGAAGCCGAGTCCATGCGTGTTGATGAAAAGAGTGGAGGATTCCGGTCCTGGCGTCTTCGGGGCACAGTACTCTACGCTGATATTGAACGTCTTTGTCAAAGTCGTCAAGTTCACTTCTGGAACCGAAGGGGTGCGAATCGTGACGACGTTGAGGAGTGCGGTGGCAGCGTACTGATCGAACTCCGCAGGAAGGGGAGGAACGATTGTTGTTACATTATCGACGGGAATTGGGACGATGAAGTCACTGCATGTGTAAGACTTTTGCGCAGTGGTCGACTGAACAACTGCAAAAAGAGATAGAAAAGCGAGGTGAAAGAGCTGCATCTTGTCGTTCTCGTGTAAAATTCTCTGTGATCATTAGGTAACGATAGATATCTCATCTTGCAAAGCGAGCACGTTTATCATCTTGTACCTTTTATACCTTTGTTAAAGCATGAATAAAGTCATTATGAGCGGTGTTGAGTAATTCCAGCAATTTGGAATGGCAGAATAGTGGTACTTGGCTCAAGACGAGAGATGCTGATGTTAGCTTGTATCTGTCAGCTTGGTCTATTGCAAATAATGTCAACCAGTACCGCTTCAGGTAGTTGCTAGAAGGTTTTAAGAAAAGGCTTTAATTTTTGCTGCCTACGCTACTTGAGCCTCCAAGGCCCTAAAAAGCTGATAGAAAGGTCGATTTAGGGCCTTGCTGACTTGGTGCCGAGGTTGGGATATGGCGGCAGTGTGACGTTGTATGATGAGGACGCCTGGTGACGATTGCCAAAACTGCCAGGCACAGGAACTGTACTCCGTAAGGTGTCTAACAGGCTTCGGGCGTAGCGGAACTTCGGTTCCAATAATGAAGGTCGGCATCGGCTCTGCAATGGTGTGACTAATCACTGGCGACCGAAGGATGGGCTAAAGTGGGCTTGGTGGATGCTGTGACATGACAAATCTATGGTAGATCCCAAAGGAACTCCGCAACATCATTGTCGAGCCCGATCATGGCATACTAAAACCAATGGACTCTCACGCCTCGTGGGAGGTCCGTGTAATTGAGACGCTGAGATTGGCATGGCTGGAAATTTTCAAAAATACCTAGCTCCCAATACTGGACTATCCATTCTACCCCGAGTCGTCTCAAGATGCACATGATATTAGATTTGCTTTGAATGTAAACTTTCCAGGGCGCCGAGAAGATGGCTTAATGTTGACCCTAAGTCGATTTATCCAAGCGTATTGCATGCGACAGCAGCTGCAGATGGGATCGAAGTGCCTCGTTGGATGCAACCGAAGATCCACTTGTACCCACTCTTGTTATGCAGCAGAGAGAATGGCTGATTCCAGAAGCTCGCTAGAGATGACGTGAACAAGATCGAGAGGAAGAAAGATCGTGTATACGAGGGCTCTCAAGGTGAAATACCGAAAGCATCCGGGAGTGGGGTGAGGTGGGAGGTTTGAGGTTTGATGTGTGGATGGGAGACTGCCAGATTATAAAGACAGTTGTCTAAAGCAATGGGTAATGATTGAGGCCGTGCAGTCAGCCAACCTCAAGCTGCCATTGATTCTAAGGCCGCCAGATCAGGAACGAGTTCATTTCGGATAGTTCAATACACTGAAAGCCATTTCAAACTGCAGCTGATGTTAGTTTGTGCAAATGCAAAGAGGAGTCTAACTCACGTCTTCATCCGTCTGGCAGACCAAGGTCCGCTTGGTTTGACTCGTTCCAATGTCAACAACATCATCGCCATCAGAGGCTTGCTGGTTCTTTTCTGAATCGAGGGTAAAGCCTAAGCAGGCGACCCTGGTACTGACAACTTGACGTACATAAGCACTCTTCTCTCCAATGCCGCCGGAGAAGACCAAGGCATCGACTTTGCCATCAAGCTTGACGTAGTAGTTGCCGATATAACCGATAACTCGGTCAACAAAGATATTGAAGGCAAGCTTGTGGGTGTCGGGAGCATCTGGATCGGCGATTTTGGAAAAATCGGTCGTTCCAGTGAGCGCTTTCCAGCCTGACTGCTTGTTCAGGATCTCTTCTGCTGTGGAGATATGGAGGTCTTTAGTACTATTGGGACTGAGAGCACTGGCGTCGGAAGTATAGTGGAAGACCAGGCTGGGGTCAATATCTCCGGATCGTGTACCTCCCGGCAAACCGGAGACGGGTGTCAAGCCCATGGTGGTATCTATTGATTGGCCATTCTTGATGGCACAGGCGGATGCGCCGCTTCCCAGGTGCAGAGCAATGATGGAGGTCTCGGATTGGGGCTTGTCGAGAAACTCTGCGATTCTCCGGGTGATGTATTGGTAGCTCAGACCATGGAAGCCGTACTTGCGAAGTCCCTTCTCTTGCGCAATCTTCTGGTCGATGACATACGTCTTGACATAGTCAGGCATGGAATTGTGGAAGCCAGAGTCGAAACACGCAACGTTGATGGCTTTTGGGAGGTCATCGTGGCAGGCAGTCATCAAACTGACAGCAGAAGCATTGTGTCTGCAACATTAGTCAGTAGGTTTCTCGCTAGGCACCATGGCAGAGGAGAATCAATCTCTCACAATGGGGCGAGGTCGGAGAGCTTCTCAATCTTGTGGAAGGTATCCTTGTCAATCAGATGCACCCCAGTGTACTCCCCACCCTGGACCACTCGATGACACGCATAGTGAATGCTGTCCTTGCCTGAGACCTCGGGGATCTCGGCGTCAGAGATGAAGGCATCTAGGACATAAGCGAAGGCCTCGGTGTGGTTGTGAATTTGGCCTGCGTCGGAGGATTGTTTATGAGCACCACGGACATATTTTAGTTTGGCGGGGGGCGAGTTGATAGCCGAGATTTCTGCGGAGGCCAAGCGGCGGAGCCCTTTGGAGGTGGCTGGACCTTGTTCTAGGAATACTGTCGTCTTCAACGAGGAGCTGCCTGCGTTGATGGAGAGGATAATGTTGGCCATGACTGGCTAATTGTTGCTCAGATGTCTGTGCTGGAGGTCTTAAATCAACAATGAGGCCAATGCCAACACGATACATATAAATATATCGCTCTCTGGGCCAGAAGCCGAGAGATGTTGTCTGTTGAGGTCCAAGATGCAGTCGATCGTGATGGTCAGACCACGTTTTGCTTGACAAGCGGAAGGAGCGGCCAAAGCTTGACTTAGTCAGGGGATTTCAAGTCCCACGTAAGGAAGGCGCGACTTGGTTATCGTTTACACCTACCTTCTCTTTCTGCTGATGTTGATGGACATTACGTCGCCGTCATTTCATGTAAAGGCCACCCTGAGTCTTCTTCTTCTTCCTCTTCATTCCTATATATGCGGTGCAACCTGGACCTGGCACACCTAGCATGATATTCGCGTCCTCCGTCGTTGTCTCAAACCATATTCAAATCCAAAATATCCTTCCGCTCCCGGATCTGCATGTGAAAAGATGGTAATTGGCGACATTGGAGATATGTCTCCAACCAAATTGCATCACTTCCAACTTTATCTCATATCAAACGTCACAATCTGATAACCCCCAATTGACCTTGTGCCTACGCAGGTAGGTAAAAAAAGATCATTGGCATCATGAAGTAGCACTGCGTGCCGGCTTTCCAGAGGGAAAAATTCAAATGTACGACCTAATATTGGTGTCGCTGCGACAGCTTGTCTTTATGTATAAATAATACTTACCTAGACTAACCAGTTTCCTGCTTCTTTTTGGATCCTAACGATATCCTAACTGACCGACTGACCTTTTGCTCACCATGCCTGGGGAAGTGATTGATCGTCCGAATCCGCAGCCGGCTCCTTCAAATATCCCCGACTATGTCTCTGACCTGCTTGTTAAGTTGGAAAAGCCAACCTTGGCTAACAAGACGAACGATATCATTGCAAAGTATAGACGTGCGGCCAACTATATTGCTGCCGCCATGATCTTCCTACAGGACAATGTCCTGCTAAAGCGAGATCTCAAGTTCTCCGACATCAAACCAAGACTGCTAGGTCACTGGGGCACATGCCCAGGACTCACCTTGGTATATTCCCACCTGAATATCTTGATTAGGGAGCATGATCTTGATATGATATATGTCGTCGGTCCAGGACACGGTGCCCCATCTATTTTAGCCAATCTTTGGCTGGAGGGTTCCCTAACAAAGTTCTATCCGGCCTGTTCCCAGGATTCTGCAGGATTAGCCACGTTGATAAGCGGCTTCAGTACAACCGGTGGCTTCCCTAGCCATATCAACGCTGAAACTCCCGGTGCTATACATGAAGGTAAGCTCGTCCGCGATAAGGAACTCGATCTTATGTCGCTGACCTTTGATCTCCAGGTGGCGAGCTCGGCTATGCATTGAGTGTCAGCTTCGGGGCCGTTATGGACAATCCTGATCTCATCGTCACATGCATTGTAGGCGACGGAGAGGCTGAATCCGGTCCCACTGCCACCGCATGGCACGGTTACAAGTACATTGACCCAGCAGAATCCGGAGCCGTCCTTCCTATTGTACATGTCAATGGCTTTAAAATCAGCGAGAGAACCATATATGGTTGTATGGACGACAAAGAGATGGCCGCGCTCTTCACGGGCTACGGCTATCAGCCAAGAGTCGTCGATGATTTGGATGATATCGACGCAGATCTCTCTAGTTCACTCGAATGGGCACTTTCTGAGATCAAACGCATCCAAAGCGCTGCCAGGAGTGGGAAGCCCATCATGAAGCCCCGATGGCCTGTCTTGATTCTTCGAACCCCCAAAGGATGGTCTGGCCCAAAAAAGGTCCACGGCCAAATTGTCGAGGGTTCATTCAAAGCACATCAAGTCCCTCTCGCGGCCGCAAAGACTGACCCAGAAGAACTGAAAATGCTCCAAGACTGGCTGTTGTCCTATAAACCGGAGGAGCTCTTCAAGGAGAATGGGGATGTTATTGACGAGATCAAGTCCATCATTCCTGAGAACCCAGAGCGACGACTGGGTCAAAATAAAAAGTGCTACAATGTATATGAGGGACTGAAGCCCATGGACTGGCGGAAGCTTGCAGTGAAGAAAGGCTCCTCTGAAAGCTCCATGAAACAGGTGGGAAAGCTATTAGACCAAGTCGTCCAGGACAACCCCTCGACGTTTCGGATCTTCTCACCCGATGAATTCGAATCCAACAAACTCGACGCCGTCCTCAACTCGACTGGTCGGAACTTCCAGTGGGACCAGTTCTCCAATGCCCAGGGTGGTCGGCTGACTGAGACTCTGTCTGAGCATCAATGTCAAGGCTGGATGCAGGGATACACGTTGACTGGACGAGTGGGCTTGTTTCCTAGCTATGAAGCCTTCCTGGGTATCATCCACACCATGATGGTGCAGTACGCAAAGTTTGGTAAAATGGCACGCGAGTTGACTTGGCGCAAATCAATCGGCAGTATCAACTACCTGGAGACGTCCACTTGGACTCGGCAAGAGCACAACGGTTTCTCGCATCAAAATCCCAGCTTCATTGGAGCAGTCCTCAACCTCAAACCCGACGCTGCAAGAGTGTACTTCCCGCCGGATGCCAATACCTTCCTGTCTACCATGGCGCACTGTCTTCAGTCCAAGAGTTACGTGAACCTGATGGTCGGCAGCAAGCAACCTTCGGCGGTGTTCCTGTCGGCAGATGAAGCAGAAAACCATTGTCGTGCAGGCGCCTCAGTCTGGAAGTTTGCCAGTACCGACGACGGCTTGAATCCGGACGTCATTCTCGTGGGCATCGGAGCTGAATTAACGTTTGAGGTTATTGCGGCGGCAGACCTGCTTCGGAAGAAGGCACCAGCGCTTCGGGTGCGAGTGGTCAATGTGACGGATCTTATGATCCTCGGCGCGTCTAGCAGTCACCCCCATGCCCTGTCCGACGACGCATTCGACGCCCTCTTCACTTCCGATGTGCCCATCCATTTCAACTACCACGGATATGCAAACGAGTTGAAGGGCTTGCTATTCGGGCGGCCGAACTTGAACCGAGTGACAATTGCAAGTTACAAGGAGGAAGGCTCGACAACCACGCCATTCAACATGATGCTGTTGAACGAGACCAGTCGGTATCATGTGGCGATTCAGGCCGTCAAAGGCGCAGCGCTGTCCAATGACCTAGTCCGCTTGCATCTTCACGAGCTGGTGAGTGAGCTCGAGGGGGAGATCAAAAAGACGCAGAGGTTTATCGTCGAGGAAAAGACAGGTATGTTGACTCATGTCCCACAGTTACAGTCTGGCTTACCTTTTTGATGCAGACCCGGAACATTTGGGCAATGTTGGCCTGTTCAAGAACGACTCCAGCTCTTTGAGCGAGGGCTAATACTCGGGTATCTTGGAATGGGAAACGGGAGGGAGGCCATCTCGATCAAGTTTCACTTTTCTTGGACCATGGTGTTGAGAATGTCGTAGAGTCCTTGGGAATTAGCACCGCATTTCGTATGGGCACAGTCCGATCACTCAAAACAGATGGTAATGCCAACATCTTGAACCTGATCGACCCAATCACTCTGCCTGTCACAATCCTTGTTTCAAAGTAGCATAGTCACGATGCGGTCTTTGACCATGGTACTCCGGACAAGAGACAATTTGGGATATTTGTAGAGGCTGTGACCTCGACGACGGATGTATGTTCACTAAAATGGTCTCCCAAGACGGTGCAAGGCAAGATAGGGAATGGATAGGATGGCGGCCGACTTTGGTCAAGGTCAAGAAAAGAACAAGACAGAAATTATGCCTGGTCTAGTTCGGAGGAGGTCAGACGCGCTCGACGCCGTACTCGATTGGGACGAAAAGAGGGGTATGCTTCGCAGCTCGGCGGTACAATGGTGGGTGGGTGACCATAAGCGATCAGAAGACGACTGTGTCATGGTTGGCGAGGATGAATATCGAGATGGCGATGCATTACCACCTGAAGATCTCGAGTTAGTTTCTCAGAGGGTACTTGTAAGGGAAGAAACACAATGACATGTCTCCACTCGCAGGAAAATGTCACCTGCAACATATTTGGTAATGTCGAGGGAGGATGTATAGGACTCGAAACCGCAGTCTGGACCTCAATATCTTATGAGTGTTCTCTCATTATTCGTCGTCGACACCAATTTGTTCCATGTTGCAGCCAGTAGCCACTCGTACTCTATTAATCCGGCTCGGGGAAATGTCATGTTTTGAGCCGAGGCGTGTGGTGGTCCGTGCGCTGTGACATTTGGCGGCCGAGGGGAAAAACGCATGTCAGGGTCATCAACAATAGAAAACAAAGGAGCCAATGAGACCAGTCGGATTAACATGCGAGCTCGAGCTTCTGGCCGACAAAACTCTCTGGGGTGTAAAATGTCATGCAGGGCCACGGTGGAGCTGTCCAACAGGGAATTTTGTGCCCTTGCTCCGACTTCGGGGCCGACTTTAGTTGCCGTGCAAGGTTGAACGAATCATGTTATCTGTAAGAGGAGTGCTTAGGTGCAGTAATGGAGATTACCGTGGGTCAGGCTTTTCAGAAAGAAACGCCGGGGGAAAGGAGAGGAGAGAAGAGTTGAGTAGTCAGAGTCCGAGTGAGAGAATGCACACAAATTAAAGGTAGGTAGGTAATAGAAATTCGAGTCGAGGTCACTGGCTCGCCGGAGCTTCCGTTCAACTCCGCGAGCTCCTTCTGAACGTCCAGTCACATTGCTTGTAACAGTCGAGGAAACAATAAATGGAAAGTGCAGAACTAATGAGGAGTGGAAATGGCACCTGCCCTCTGCGTAAGCACATGCCTGCCAATATGCGTACCTGCCTCGTGTAATCACCACGTGTGCGACATTGTGACGGGCGCCTAAATGCCATGTAATGTCCCATCACCATAGAGAAACGAGGTCGTTAGCAATTTGTACGACTTGCTCAAAACAATGTGAACATCGAATTTCTCGTATCCTTGGCAGGGCCACGGCATCGGGCTTGATTGAGGGGATGGGAGATAGATTGAATGCACTGCTCTTGTGACACTATTATTGCATAAACGATTGGTCGCTCACGAGACGAAGCGACAAAGCGTGGGGTGCACTTGCTAAAAGTACAGCCCACTTGCATGAAGAATGTCCAGATCCCAAATAGGACATGCCGAGGCGTTCACCAGGTGCTTTGTGAGTACAGTCGATGGACGCAAAATCACATATTAGTAGTGACCACATTCGTCTCTACTACTGGGCAATATTCTAACCTGGTGAGAATTACAATTACTGTGGACACTATGATCCTGGCTCCTTGGAACGAGTCATCGCCTGGAAATTCCCCCATTATTGTCCGGCAAATTCACGGAGGCAGGTGGAAGTACCTGGCATGACAAGATGGGTTGATATCCACCAAGAAGCAATCATCCATGGTGAAAAGTTTTTCATTCCTATCATCAGTGTCAGGTCTCTTGGATCGGGAAACGTCGGGTGGTGGGTGGGAGAAAATTGACGAGAATCAAGGACCAGCCTGTGAAAATTTATTCATGTCTACGTGGTCTGGTGCGGTGCTAACAGTAGTGTCGTGGTGGTGGTAAGCGTAGAACCACTGTCAGCGTGGGCGAACAGAGTGCAGGCAACAAATCTTTTTGCTTGATCTCGAGTTCTAGGCATCCAATAACTCAAGGCTGAGGGCCAGGTTGAGTTTGGAGTTGGCCACGCCTCGCTGTCAAGGCCGAAGGTCATTTGGCCGCAGTTTTTGGCCGAGATGAGAATCCGAGGCGAAGAAGCTACCTAAGCCAGTAAGAGTGTCCAAGCCAGAGCCTTCCTTTGTGCAGTAGGCGAGCACCGTTCCAGATCTGCCGCTGGATTGCAGGTGGAGTGCAGCATGACATGACACACGAATTCACTGGCATGTGCGGAGTACACAGACATCCTCGTATGTAGACTCTAGGTAAGGTAGGTCCCTAGAGGGGCAGGGGATCTAACAAGCACTGAGAGGACCGAGGGGCAAATAATTCTGTCTTCAGGCTAGAGACTGCAAGGCAAGCTTGAGGCTCGCGCAAGGCCAAGGTGCAGACTTTCCAAGCCGCATCCAGCCAAGCAAACGCCGGTAGCGGACACTGAACTTGCCTGCTGAGAATCGAAATGGTAATCGATGTCAAAAAGCGAGGCTGCGATTGGCTAGTGGGGTCCTTATCAGCACATGTAAGAAGCTGCACGATGATGGAGACGAGCCCGCAATGGTGGAGGAACCACCTACAGTGACAGGGATACCCACCTATTCCCACCTTTTACGAGCTAGAGTTTGGGTTCGCCCACAATGCCACAGGTGCCTCTGGCTTGATCCCCCACCATAGCAACAAGCTGTGTGACGCCCACGAGCCTCCAAGGGCCAACCCTCCCGGGAAACCGTCCACCGTTCACTGCATTTGCAGCTGGGTGCACAAAGCATTCTCCGTCGTGTTAGGCGAGATGCAGCCTATAGCCATACCCACCTCGTGCCCGTACACCCCTGCTCCTCCCCACCAACCCGCCTACGCAACGTCGTCTATATGTATGAATTACGACACCTAGACACCTGTTCCCCTACTCGTTGGTCCTAGAAAACACTACAGCGGGCGAGCTAAGGCCCAAAAAAGACCTCGGACTTGCTTCTCTTGCCACGCAGTCGGTCGAGCATACTGGGTTCAGGACACGGCTATTCAAGCTGCCAACATCCGCTGGCTGCTGGTTAAGCCTGACGGACAGACGCAGCAGTGACCTGATTGTCCGTAGTCCGTGGTCGGTCCATACGTAGACAGATAGAGTTCCCCTTTGGTCCTAAATATCCATCTCAGTGGTCAGTCCATAGCACGCTAGCGAAAGATCTCGTCGGTACACCTCCAAACCCCACATCCTAGAACCCAATTTCTTTCTGCCTCTTGTCTACCTACCCTCTCTTCCATCTTTTTTTTTGCATCTCATCCAGTGCTCTGCTTGCCCTTTCTGTCAAGACTCGACGCTGCCATCTCGCATACTGCAATACAGACTTGATCCCACCGAGCAACAGCCTCCTTGCTGTTCATCAATTCCCGACATCCCTGCGAGCACTCGTCCTCCACACTCTCGCCCTCTCTCTCGCCTCCCACCTTCCTGCCGCATCCAGGCCACCTCTCACCACTCTTTAACGCCCTGCCATCTGATCCTTTGTCGCTCGTCGACTCTAGGATGGGCCTGGAAGCGGAGAAACCCATACAACAAGAGATTGATCCATCCGACGTTGAGCAAGAGTACACTCCCTACAAGCCCGAAAAGGGCTATGGCTGGGGTGAGGCTTTGCCAGAGAAGCAAGGTCTATACGATCCTAGCCTCGAGAAGGATGCCTGTGGTGTAGGCTTCGCTGCGTATGTTGCACCATCCTTTGTTCCTTCCTGACGTTTTGCTCATCGATTCATAGCCATATCAAGGGCAAGCCAAGCCATAAAATTGTTAGCGATGGTGAGTGCTACCTTGTCAACAAATCCCATATTCCGCAGCTAATCCCCTCTCAGCTCGCAATCTCTTGTGTAACATGACCCATCGTGGTGCCGTCGGCTCAGATGCTCGAGATGGCGACGGTGCTGGTGTCATGACATCCATCCCCCACAAATTCTTCATCAAGAACTTTGCCAGAGAAGTCGGCGTAGAACTGCCTCCTCTGGGTCAGTATGCCGTGGGAAACCTCTTCTTCAAGCCTGACACGGAGATGCTCAAGCATGCCACCGTCAGCTTCGAAGACACTGCTCAAGGTCTTGGCCTCCGGACACTGGGCTGGCGAGAAGTTCCTCGAGATTCTACTCTCCTAGGCCCCGCCGCGCTCTCTCGAGAGCCCATTATCCTACAGCCCGTCGTCGTCCTTGCCTCTGCCTACGGTTCTGGAAACAAGCCTGACAATGTTGACCCCGAGCAATTCGATGATGTAGAATTCGAGCGAAAGCTTTACATTCTCAGAAAGACCGTCTCACACGATGTTCGGTGGAAGCCATGGTTCTATGTCTGTTCCCTCAGCAACCGCAACATCGTCTACAAGGGTCAGCTCGCACCCGTCCAGGTCTATCAATACTATCATGATCTCGTCTCCGTCGACTACGAGGCTCACTTCGCCTTGGTTCATTCTCGATTCTCAACAAACACATTTCCCTCCTGGGATCGATCACAGCCTCTCCGATGGCTCGCGCACAACGGTGAAATCAACACGCTACGAGGTAACAAGAACTGGATGCGTGCTCGTGAGGGTGTGCTCAAGTCAGATCTTTTCGGCCCCGAGCTCGAGCAACTCTTCCCCATTGTCGAAGATGGCGGTTCTGATTCTGCCGCCTTTGACAATGTCATGGAGCTACTCGTCATGAATCGTGTTTTGTCTCTTCCTGAAGCCGTCATGATGATGGTTCCTGAAGCCTGGCAAGGAAATCATGCCATGGACCCTGCAAAGGCCGCTTTTTACGAGTATGCCGCCTGCTTGATGGAACCCTGGGACGGCCCCGCTCTGTTCACCTTCTCCGATGGCCGATACTGCGGTGCCAACTTGGACCGGAATGGTCTTAGACCCTGCAGATATTATGTCACAGACGATGATAGAATTGTGTGCGCATCAGAGGTCGGCACTATTGCCATCGAGCCAGAACGAGTTATCCTGAAGGGTCGATTGCAGCCTGGCAAGATGCTTTTGGTTGACACACAAGCTGGCCGCATCATTGATGACGCCGAACTCAAGGAGACGGTTGCCAGCAGACAGCCATTCCGACAGTGGATCGACAAAAACCTGATGAGAATGCCTACCGTCTATGAAGGCCTCGCCCAGGAGATGGACTTGAGCTTCAAGCTGAGCGAATCCACCATCCAAGAGGACGTTCGACTGCGTGCATTTGGCTACTCATTCGAGCAAGTCAGCTTGCTTCTAGGCCCCATGGCCGCCGATTCCAAGGAAGCCTTGGGCTCCATGGGCAACGACGCTCCTCTGGCTTGTCTCGCTCAACAGCCACGCTTGCTCTTTGAGTACTTCAGACAACTCTTCGCCCAAGTCACCAACCCTCCTATCGATCCAATTCGTGAGGCTATTGTCATGTCGCTTGAATGCTATGTCGGCCCCCAAGGTAACCTTTTGGAGATGGAAGATTCTCAGTGCGGACGCCTTTTGCTGCCTTCGCCCATTCTTGAAATTGAGACCTTCAACGCGCTCCAGAACATCAACTCCTACAACAAGGATTGGACTGTCAAGACCATCGACATCACGTTCGACAAGTGGGCCGGCACTGACGGCTATAAAGACGCTCTTGATTCTATCTGCGATGCTGCCACCGCTGCAATCGAAGCTGGTGACAAGATCATCATTTTGTCGGATCGTGCCACTTCTGAAGACAGGGTTCCCGTGTCTTCGCTCCTCGCCACTGGTCTCGTCCATCACCACTTGGTTCGTAACAAGTGGAGATCCAGAGCTGCGCTCATCGTCGAAACTGCCGAGGCTCGAGAGGTTCATCACATGTGTGTTTTGGTTGGTTATGGTGCTGATGGTATCAACCCATATCTGGCCATGGAATGCATCTTGAAGCTCAACCGTGAGGGCCTTATCCGCAAGAAGCTCACCGATCAACAGATCATCGAAAACTACAAGTCCTCTTGCGATGGTGGTATTCTCAAGGTCATGAGTAAGATGGGTATCTCCACCTTGCAGTCCTACAAGGGCGCCCAGATTTTCGAGGCTCTTGGTATCGATGATAGTGTCGTTGACCGCTGCTTTGCCGGCACAGCCACCCGCGTCCGGGGCATGACGTTTGATCTTATTGCTCAAGATGCCTTCGCATTCCACGAAAAGGGCTATCCATCCCGTCATATCCGCGAAATTCCCGGTTTGCCCGAATCTGGAGAATACCATTGGCGTGATGGTGGTGAGCCTCACATCAACGACCCAGTCAGCATCGCCAATATTCAGGATGCTGTTCGAACCAAGAATGACAAGTCCTACGAGGCTTATTCTCTGTCCGAGTATGAACAAATTAAGAATTGTACTCTCCGAGGCATGCTTGATTTCGATTTCGAACAGCGTACGCCTGTGCCGATTGATCAAGTTGAGCCGTGGACTGAGATTGTCCGACGATTCGTGACAGGCGCCATGTCCTACGGCTCCATTTCCATGGAATCCCACTCGACATTAGCCGTCGCGATGAATCGCCTTGGTGGCAAGTCCAACACCGGTGAAGGTGGTGAGGACCCCGAGCGAAGCTTGAAGATGGAAAACGGCGACTCCATGCGGTCGGCCATCAAGCAGATTGCTTCTGGTAGATTTGGTGTCACCTCCAACTACTTGGCTGATGCCGATGAGCTCCAAATTAAGATGGCTCAGGGTGCTAAGCCCGGTGAAGGTGGTGAACTTCCCGGTCACAAGGTCTCCCAGTCTATTGCTCGCACTCGACATTCTACACCGGGTGTTGGTCTCATCTCCCCACCTCCTCACCACGACATCTACTCCATTGAAGATCTGAAACAATTGATCTACGATCTCAAGTGCTCCAACCCCCGAGCTCGTGTCTCCGTCAAGTTGGTGTCCGAAGTTGGTGTCGGTATTGTTGCTGCTGGTGTTGCCAAGGCCAAGGCTGATCACATCCTGATCTCTGGTCATGATGGTGGTACCGGTGCCTCCAGATGGACTGGTATCAAGTATGCCGGCTTGCCCTGGGAACTGGGCCTTGCCGAGACGCATCAAACTCTGGTTCTCAACGATCTTCGTGGCCGTGTCATCGTTCAAACAGACGGTCAGCTTCGTACCGGACGTGATGTTGCTATTGCTTGTCTGCTTGGAGCCGAAGAATGGGGCTTTGCTACCACTCCTTTGATCGCCATGGGATGTATTATGATGCGAAAGGCAAGCTCTTTCATTCTACCCATCCTCGCTCAATTATTAACATGATTATAGTGCCACTTGAATACATGCCCAGTCGGAATAGCGACTCAGGATCCAGTCCTCCGAAAGAAGTTTGCAGGAAGCCCCGAGCATGTCATCAACTTCTTCTATTACATTGCCAACGAGCTTCGTGCAATCATGGCTAAGCTTGGTATCAGGACTGTCAATGAGATGGTTGGTCACGCAGAACTTCTCAAAGTTCGCGAGGATCTTCGCACACCCAAGACCGAGAATCTGGATTTGTCACTCATCCTTACACCAGCTCATTCAATCCGTCCTGGAGTAGCCACCTACAACGTTCGAAAGCAAGACCACAAGCTCCACACCCGTCTAGACAATAAGTTGATCTCCGAATCAGAACTTGCTCTTGAGAAGGGACTTCCTTGCCGCATCGAAACCGATATTGTCAACACTGATAGAACTCTTGGAGCAACTCTATCTTACCACATCAGCAAGCGATACGGCGAGGCTGGTCTACCCCAGGACACTATCCACGTCAACATTCGAGGTTCTGCCGGTCAGTCTTTCGGCGCGTACCTCGCACCTGGCGTTACTCTTGAACTCGAAGGCGATGCAAACGATTATGTCGGCAAAGGCCTCTCTGGCGGACGACTTATTGTCTACCCTCCTCGCAGCGCCGTCTTCAAGGCTGAGGAAAACATCCTCATCGGCAATGTCTGCTTGTATGGTGCTACCCAGGGTACATGCTACTTCCGTGGTGTTGCCGCCGAACGATTCGCTGTTCGCAACTCCGGGGCCAATGCCGTCGTCGAAGGTGTTGGTGACCATGGCTGTGAGTACATGACTGGTGGTCGGGTTGTCATCCTTGGCAGCGCTGGTCGCAACTTTGCTGCAGGCATGTCGGGTGGCATCGCATATGTTCTTGATATGAACCAGGACTTCCACTCGAAGATTAACATGGAGATGGTTGAAGTTTCCGGCGTGGAAGACCCCACAGAGATTGCTTTCCTTCGAGGCATGATCGAGGATCATCATCATTACACTGGCTCTGAGCTCGCAGCTCGCATCCTCCTCGAGTTCACCCGTGCCCTTCCTCGCTTCGTCAAGGTTCTTCCCACTGACTACAAGCGCGTTCTCGCAGAACAAGCTGCCAAAGCGGAAGAGGCCAAGAAGGCAGAATACCCATTACCATTACTCGCCGGCAACCCTGTCAGAAACCTTCATCAAGAGCAACGTGAAGTCACCCAGGAAAAAGAAGCCAAGCAAAAGAAGGCTGAGATGCTCGACATTGAGGAAGGTATCAATGGCGATGCCGAAAAGGCCAAACAGAAGGCTGCTCTCGTTCTTGACAAGACCCGAGGTTTCATGAAATATACTCGTCGAAGCGAGAAGTATCGTAACGCCCGAACAAGAACCAAGGACTGGGCAGAGCTATCCAGTCGACTCAACGAGGACGAGCTTAAGTATCAATCTGCACGATGCATGGACTGCGGTGTACCCTTCTGTCAATCCGATACTGGCTGCCCAATCTCCAACATCATTCCCAAATGGAACGAATTGGTGTTCGCTAATCAATGGAAGGACGCTCTCAACCGCCTTCTCATGACCAACAACTTCCCCGAGTTCACAGGCCGTGTCTGCCCAGCACCTTGCGAGGGCGCTTGCGTCTTGGGAATCAATGAGGATCCTGTCGGAATCAAGAGCATCGAATGTGCCATCATCGACAAAGGCTTCGAGATGGGCTGGATGGTTCCCACTCCGCCCACCGAGCGAACTGGCAAGACCGTTGCTATCATTGGATCCGGTCCTGCTGGTCTTGCTGCTGCCGATCAGCTCAACCGTGCTGGACACTCGGTTACTGTGTACGAGAAATCTGATCGAGTTGGTGGCCTCCTGATGTACGGAATTCCAAACATGAAGCTTGACAAGCGCATTGTCCAGCGACGTGTTGATCTCATGGCTGCTGAAGGTGTTGTGTTCAAGACTGGTGTTCTCGTGGGACCTACCGAGGAGGTTAGTCTTGAGTCGCTCCGAAGCAGCAACGACGCTGTCATCATTTCGACTGGTGCCCAAGTACCTCGAGATCTCAAGATCAAGGGCCGTGAGGCAGAGGGCATCCATTTCGCAATGGAGTTCTTGCATGCCAATACCAAATCGCTGTTGGACTCTGAACTGAGCGATGGCAAGTATATCAGTGCTAAAGACAAGCACGTCATTGTCATCGGTGGTGGTGATACTGGAAATGACTGTATTGGAACATCTCTCCGACATGGTGCCAAATCCATCACCAACTTCGAGTTATTGCCTCAGCCTCCTCCGGAGCGTGCTCGGGACAACCCCTGGCCCCAGTGGCCACGAATCTACCGAGTCGACTATGGTCACACAGAAGTCAAGACGCACTACGGCAAAGATCCTCGAGAGTACTGTGTGATGACCAAGGACTTCGATGTCAAAGATGGGCGAGTTGTTGGCATGAACACCACACGTGTCGAGTGGACCAAGAGTGCCACTGGTGGTTGGGACATGAAACCCAAGGAAGGCAGTGAACAATACTTCCCTGCCGACATTGTCATGCTTTCCATGGGATTCTTGGGACCTGATGAGCATCTTTTCAATGCTGAGGTCGAACTCGACGGTCGCAAGAATATCAAGACTCCCAAGGGACACTACAATACCAATCTTCCAGGTGTGTTTGCCGCGGGCGATTGTCGCCGTGGTCAATCTCTGATTGTCTGGGGTATCAACGAGGGTCGCCAATGTGCTCGTCAAGTTGACAGCTATCTCATGGGAACTGGATCGATCCTCCCGATTACTGGGGGCATTGTGCGACGGTCCCCACTTGACAGTGTTCCAGTCGCAAAGCATAGCAAGACACACGAAGTTGCAGTGGCCTAAGCTTTTGAAAAATTTAAGCGCAACATAGACAACCGTGCTGCAGCTTAACTTCGTGGCTTTAAGTTTGAGAACAAGGTGAAAAAAGGGACAAGTTAAAGGGACAGGATCAAAATGGGTGGCATTTCAATCGTCTTTGGAACAAAGTTTCAGTCAGCATGGTGAGCGCGCACAGTCAGTCATATCTGATACCCCAGTACAGCGCTTTACGAATGAAATGAAGAAGTTTGGACAGCTGGACCTGACACGAACTGGCGAGATACACGCAACTGTCGAAGCCTGGAGCAAGGATGAATTTACGGCAATGGCACGGTCTTCATTCGTTTCAACGGGACTCTTGTCGAGGCTCGTTTCTTGCACTTGATTTACGTGCTGATGTGTAGAAGTTGATGCAATGGCCGCAAAATGGCAAAAAAGAAATGCAAATGATTATTGATTTGATGAGCTTTGTTGGGAGGAAATGTGTTTTCACGTTGAACAGAAGACTGCAGATCAATACCAATGGGAAATGTATCATAGAGAGCAAATTGGTAGGTAGATGGCAGATTCGATCAATTCATTTTACAATAGGTTTCTGTTCCATTTATTCAAAGCGTGATAATATGCACGAACCTCAGGTTCGAAGGATCGGTTCTTATATCTCTGTTTCATTGTACATATAATCCCACAAGCAATATCAATCCCATGGGACCACTTCCGCTTTATCTCGAATGCCGACATTGCAAGTGAAATTGCGACTCAACATGACACCGAATTCTTCTTGACCACTGCCACCAGTAGGATCATGAGGAATGACATTGTCACCATTACCACCACCACTATCACCACGGTCGTCGTCATCATTATCATCCTGTTCACCATTCATATTCCACCACCACTGACTCCCACTCAACATAGCATCCTGATCATCAAATTCATCATCCACCCGACTCGGACTCGAAGACAACCACTGCAAATCCTCCAAACTCGCCTTGGCCATCCAACCCCATTTCCGCCAAAACCAAGGTCTTGCTTCCCAACTCCGGCGACTCCACGCCACACCATCGCCCATAGTCCTTCCATTCCTGGCACTAGCCCGTGATCGACCCCAGCAGACAAGTCCATCGTGCATCAAGTCCAGAAACAGACTGAGATGATCGAGTCGTTTCTCACTCGACAGATAAATTGCCACGCTGCGGAAATGAGGAAAGGGGATACAGTCGAGATAACAGGGGTGTGGGAGCATTAATTGGTAACCAGTGGGGCGTAGATCTTTGGGTAAGGCGTTGAGATTTAGAGTCGAATTGTTCGAGCCAGTGAAGGGAGATGGGTGGTCGTTGAGATATGCGGGGCGGGCGATTCCAATGCTTTGAGCGATGGAAAGGGTGGCTGAAAAGCAGGATTCACCGACAAGTTGGAGATGGTTTAGATATGGTGATGGATATGCACTCGTCTCTGATGCCCATGAGGATTCTGGAGTGATTGGACCTAAGGAATGATGTCTTGGATAGCCTGAGAAGGTAGAACCTATGGGCAATGCCTGTGCGGAATTCCACTGTTTTCCAATCGGACTCGGCGGTGGCTTTTTGTAAATCTTGAGATATAGCTCCTCAGGGACAGGCCACAAGTGTCGCATGTCCTCGTGGCCTGGTTCGGGGGGAATATAATAATAAAGTGCAACATCCAATGGTAAATCTGGGTCTGGGAGAGGTGGTAAAGGTAATGATGATTCTGGTTGTGGCGCCTGTTCAGTCACTTCCTGCATAGTGTCAAGAGTCGTCACACTTGACGTCGACGGTGGTTGAAGTGATTGTTGATGTTGTTGTGAGAGTCCATGGTCTTGTTCATGGCGACTCTCCAACGAGTCGCTGACAGTGGGAGTTGATTGTTGTTGGAATAATGATTCCAAGACTTTGGCTTTCATGTCCTCGTCGCGCTTCTGCTTCTGTCTCTCACGCCATAACTTCTGGGCCTGGCGATTCTGTTCTCGTCGAGCCTCGGTCAGCTTACGTTTGTATGGTCGCCGAGGCGACTCTGCTATGTCGTCAACGGATGCCATTGTTTTTCTTCTAGTAGTTAAGGTGTTCTTCTAAGTTCCATGCTTTGTTTTCGGATGCGACAACTGTTTGATTGAGTGTCTGAAACTGGGGTTTCTTTTGCGACATCTATATTCTCAGTTTGCTTGGGCCAGGCAACAGAAGGTCGCCAGCGAGTACAATCCACCGCCATGATTGGTGGCTAGTTGAATTAGTGATAGCGGCTTCAACCACGTGATATTTGGCTTATGAGATCTGCATGTTCCTCCGGATTTTATTAAGGAGAAGTGGGACAACAAGTGACGCACTCCTTGCACTCATCATCATCATCATCATCCTCGTGCCACGCACCCACCCACCATCAAATTCGATTTCTATGACTTCAGAGGTTCGGACATGACGTCCGCGCCTCTGCCATGAACATTCATGCGCGAAAAACCCCACCGTGGATGTTATGTTATCCTATGAAACTTGCGTATTCATGCCCAGCCTATCCACCACAGATCTCATGCAAACCCTCGTAAGTGCAGGAATATATTCGATCCTGAGAAGACATTTGTAAAGGTAAGGACATCTTTACTGATCAGTGATTTACCTCATTCGCTTCATGTCACAACAAGGCAATTCCAGTATTGGCAGCCCTCGCACCGATCCCAAAGACAAGAGCAGACGCCTCCCTGCTCGACAAGACTCGTATTCCCTTGCTGGGCCCAAACGACCAAGTTATCAACGTACCACAACAAGTAGATCCCGAGGAAACAGCCTCCCATCTGTCGCGGAGCACAACACAAGTGACGATCCGACGCAGCAGACAATATGGGGTTTAGCAGCACCATTGCCTCACATTCAACGGCCGGGAATGCAATCCACGAGGACCAGGACTGGGACTGACAGCTCACTCCATCCACAGCCGTCCAAACATAGTTCGTCCTTGAAATCCTTCAAAACTCCACAAAGTACCCCTGCAGCTCCCGAGGCCGTGCAGCCTTCTGCTCCCACAGGAACCGCCCTTGCTCCTCAGATAGAAGTAACCCCAAGTCGAAATGCCAACAGCAAGAACACGAGGGCCCAGCCTGCGACAAGACCTCGACCTAGTGCCGACACAGAACCTGTCAGTCCTTCACTAGATTTACTCCGTCATGCCACCACGGCCAGAATATCAACATATCGTCCAGAAGATGCCCACGCACATGTCCCCTTGCCATCAGGGGCTGTTGTCAGCACAGACGCAAACCAGCGCCGTCAAAATTTGAGTCGAGAGCACGTCAGCGCTCACGATCAAGCCACCTCACCGATAGCGAGCGCAGAGTTTCCTCAATCGGAACCTCATCATACTTATGACTCGGCGCTAAACCGCACCACGAATCTCGTTGGAGATGACCATGGCCTCGACGGCAACTTGAGCGACTACGACATTGTGGAATCAGGTCGGCGCCGCATGCAGCAGTTTGCCGACACGGCGAGCAGAGACAGTGGCGTTGCTCGTCCTACAGCCATTGACTGGGAAGAATACAACCAAGTAGACGAGCAGTCTGACGGTACCAACCGACCGTTCTTCAATTCCTGGGGAGCCATCCGGCATCGTTTTCGCCAACCCTTTGCTGAATGGCTCGGCACCCTGGTTTTTATGATCATTGGGCTCTCTGGAAGCATTGTCCATATGACGGCACGAGACGAGTACGGCGACCTGCTGACTGCGTATCTTGCATGGGGATTGGGAGTGATGCTGGGGATATATATGGCGGGTGGCGTTTCAGGAGCACATCTGAACCCGGCCATTTCGATTGTCCTCTCGATCTTTCGCGGCTTTCCTTGGTCGTTGTGTGTGCAGTATATGGTCGCACAAATGCTGGGCGCAGTCATGGCCTCAGCCATCGTCTATGGTCTATACCGGGACGCGATACTCGACTATGCCGCGCACGACGTTGTTCGAGCTGGCCCTGCCTTCTACACTCAGCCCCGCGATGGGTTGAGTAATGCCTCAGCCTTCTTCACCGAGTTTGCAGCCACCGCCATCGCCGCAGGGTCGATCCTCGCCCTGGGCGACGAGTCCAATGCCCCTCCTGGCGCCGGTATGCATGCCTTTATCATCGGCCTCCTCATTACCGCCGAATGCATGGCCTTTTCATACAATACCGGCACAGCCTTGAATCCTGCTCGAGATCTTGGTCCCAGACTCATCGTATGGGCTGCTGGCTTTGGGAGCCAGGTTATCACTCTCCGATCTTGGTGGTTCATCTGGGGACCTTGGTGTGGTACCATCTCAGGTGGCATTTTCGGTGCCTGGGTTTATGATGTTTTCATCTTTACCGGTGGTGAGAGTCCTGTGAATTATCCTGCAGACAGTTCTGCTCTCGAGCTCTTCAAATGTTGGAGATTAACCGATAGGAGTAACAGGACTATTGAGGGAAAGGAAGGTGACTTGCAGGTTAAACCGGATAGTTATAGCTTTGCCTAGAACGATAAAGTGAATGTGGGTTAAGCATTATTCTCATATGAGGTTTTCCGAGACTTTCACCATGGTGGCTCGTTTGGCTGTTGGTGGTTCGGGTTCTTCGCTCTTCCTACTGCCTTCAACGGTGATTTGTCGAATGAGTTCAGTCATGACAAAAAGGGGCCACGCTACTAGTACATGGCATGAAGATAGCGAAAGCTGAGTATTGCTCATGTGTAGGTACTACTACTATGGAAGCAGAAGAGAAAAGGAGGACGAAGCTTTGGACGAAGCAGGGGTTGAGGGAAAGAGCAGTGGAGGTCTGATCTCGAGGAAGGTGGCATGTGTGTAACTCTAAGAGGCAGGCACGTTCTTGGGCAGCGCGTGCTTGCCTTGTGGCTGAGCACACGTATCCACAAAGACCATCGTCTAGGATATTGATGTATTCATACTGATGCATTGAGTAGAATCCGCTCACTTGGCTGCTAACGAGGCTGCTAGTTGCCCCAGTTGTGTCTTGAAGAATTCTCCACAGAAGAGATTTTGTCTCAAAAACCAGAGGTAATGTCACGAACCCCAGAGGATGTTGGCTGGTGGTCAGTACGAAGTAGTGCCTGCCCAGCAGTACTTTAGTACCTACAGAAATGGTACCTACCTTAGTCAAGACATCGAGTTCAGACACAGCCATATCGAAGTCAGCCTGTTCCACAAAACCACACCTACTCCCTATACTCGAGAGCTGCATACTCAGGGACACTTCGTATTTTATACGAAGCTCTTCGCATTTAACGTGGAGATCGAAGCTAAATACGTGCATGAGCCGAGGTCGGCAATGGTGACGTGTAGACTACTGTACTTACCTAGTACTCCGTATTGCACAGCCGTTTCTAGGCGGTGCCATCCCCAGATTGGCACCCAGAATCGCCCGTACCGCCTCCAGTCAACCCCCGAACCAAGGCTCGTCCGTCCCCACTAAAACCACTTGCATCTCGTGGGTTTGCCCATATTCGGCATCGCCAATGCCTGCATCGTCTCGGCAGCTTCTTGCTGGTCTTGGGTTACTTAGGTGGCTTCCACCACGATTAAGTTACTAGTTTCGCATCTTCTTCAATATAGGCAGCAATGTTTCAGTCTTTCTCAGCTTCGATACACCAAGCGGGCTCACGGTTTCTCAGAATGTCTTGTGCGACTTGTATATATTCAGCACCTATTCAAACACCTTGACTGCAGTGGCTCTCAACCATCGATCGATCGCTCCCACGCCCCAGAATCCCCGCAGCGCGCTCTGTCCGGTGCCCACCATTACCGTAACATGACCAGCTCTCATCGCCCTCAATGATCCTGTTCTTTCGTCAGGTCTGGAGCCTGACCTTGAAGAATCTTCTTATATTCTTCATCCGACATTCCTTCTCTACAACTCTTCGGGCTTTCATCTTGCCCTGCATCTACGTCGGATTTCTGTGCGTTCGATGCTCTCCGGCAAAAACAATCCATATCAAAGACTAACAATCATAGTTCCTACGCCCGCTATCTATTCATTTCCCCATCCGTCTTCGGAATTGGAGAGCCCACACCTGTCCGAGCTCTATCCTCTGCCCTAGACCTTGCTTCTGGCGGCAGAGACCGACTGGTCTTCGTTAACAATGGCTTTTCCGGTGGACAGATCGAGTCGGTCATAAATCAAGTTGTCGATCAGACTTCCGGCTTTGGTGGTCATGTTGAAGTGTTTTCCGAAGAGGAGGAGCTATTGACAAGATGTCGCAATTCCATCAGAGGCACTTCCCGCTGCATTGCCGCCGCTGTCTTCTTCTCCTCTCCAACAGAAGGCCCAGGTGACCTGTGGAACTACACAATTCGAGCCGATGGTGGCCTGGCCAACAAGATAGTGACCGACTCGGACGACAATGATGCCGAGATCTATCTGTTCCCTCTTCAACATGCCATCGATCGAGCGATTGCCGAGGAAGAAAACGGCAGCGACGATGCTACTTCGATCCCCGAGCTAGTCGATGAATACCCCTATACCTCCATGACCAAGGAACAACGTCAAGCTCGAATTCGTACCAGGTATCAGGGCGGCATCATTGATATTCTGGCTGTCGCTTTCTTCATTCAGATGGTCGGCGTGACCTATCAACTCACTGGAATCATCGCCACAGAACGAGAGATAGGAATGGCTCAACTGCTCGATTGTATGATGCCGAATGCAAAGCGATGGCAACCACAGATGGCGCGAATCATGGCAAACCACCTTGCATTTGATATGCTCTACGGACCAGGTTGGATCGTCATTGGTATCATCCTTTCGCTAGGCGTCTTCACCAACACCTCTGCTGCTATCATCATTATTTATCACATCCTGTCTGGCCTCTCCTTGGCTTCCTTTTCCATCTTTGGAGCCGCCTTCTTCAAGAAAGCTCAATTATCTGGTATTACTTCGGTCATCGTGAGTCTGCTCCTGGGAATCATTGCCCAAGTCGCTGCCAAGGCTGGCACTGCGTCGGTCGCCATATTGTCATTGCTATTTCCACCGATGAACTATGTCTACTTTATCATCTTCATTGCTAGGTGGGAGCGGCAAGACCGGCCTGCCAATCTTGTCCAATCCGCCCCCGAGAATCCTTCCACTCTTCCTGGAATTGCGCTGTGGATATTTACCATCATCCAAATCCTTGTTTTCCCCGTGTTAGGGGCTTTTATCGAACGACGTCTCTACGGCACGGCCTCCAAGAGCAGGAAAACAAATTATTCTGACTCGCAGACCGCAATCTCGCTCGATGGCTTCACCAAGGAATACCCGCCAACACATGCTGCCAGATTTCTCTCCTTTTTCACACGCCGCTCAGCCAAAAGCGTTCTTGCCGTCGACCATCTCACACTCCAGGCTGCGAGAGGCCAGATCATGGTCCTCCTTGGAGCCAATGGAAGTGGAAAGTCTACCACTTTGGATGCAATTGCAGGTTTGCATTCCATCACGTCCGGTGAAATCAGCATTAACTACCCGGAGAGCAAGACTGGCCTTGGCCTTTGCCCACAGAAGAATGTGCTTTGGGACGATCTTACTGTCGAAGAACATGTGCGCATCTTCAACCGAATCAAAAGTCAAGTACCGGCCACTAAGCAGGAAAACACTACATTGTTGGAGCTGTGTGACATCTCGAAAAAGTCAACCGCAAGGTCCAAGACTCTCTCCGGAGGTCAAAAACGCAAACTTCAACTCGCTATGATGTTCACTGGTGGCTCTCGCGTATGCTGTGTGGATGAAGTATCTTCCGGCCTTGATCCTTTGAGTCGCCGCAAGATCTGGGACATTCTCCTGGCTGAACGGGGTGCAAGATCCATCATCCTGACTACGCACTTCCTCGACGAGGCTGAACTCCTGGCTGACCACATAGCCATACTATCCAAGGGTGTATTGAAAGCATCTGGCACGTCAGTTGAATTGAAACACAAACTAGGCTCGGGATACCGCGTCCATGTCTACAACACTCATGGAAAGCTAAACATCCCCAAGTATGACGACGTCAATCACGTCTCACATGATGACCAGACCATTTACAACCTCGCCGATTCCGCGACCACTGCCAACTTCCTCCGCCGCATCGACGAACATGGTGTTTCCGAGTATCAAGTCAGTGGTCCAACCATTGAAGATGTCTTTCTCAAGGTGGCGGAAGAAGTGTCGACCGCCAATACCGTGCCTGAGAAACCGATACCGGGACAAGAAGCGTCGACCAGTTCGACGCCGGAGAAGATGATGCAGATCCAAGAGACTGGCAGTCGCAGCAGCGCCGAGGCACCGGACGCGCCTGGAGGTGAAATGGCATCCGATGCATTCTATGGATCTGTGAAACCTGCCGAAGTTCCACAATTGCTTGATGGGCATCGTATCGGCATGACCAAACAAGCCTGGGTCCTATTCAGCAAAAGAATGGTTGTCCTCCGACGAAACTACTTCCCCTTTCTTGCCGCTCTTCTGATCCCTATTGTCGCTGCCGGTCTGGTGACTCTATTCCTGAATGACTTTCAACTGGCTGGGTGTACCCCAGAGGAGACGGTTGGCATTTCCGATGTAGAATCCCTGACGAGTCAAGAGGACTTTCTGTTAGTCGCAGGTCCATCTGACCGCCTCAGCATCGAAGCCGTCAGTAGACTCGGCGACACACTATCGGGCACCATCGGCAGCAGCCTGTCTGGATCTCAGCTGCTCGACTCAGTGCATGTGGTCGACAGCTTGCAAGAGTTCAACGACTACATTCAGAACAACTTTGCCAATGTTACGCCGGGAGGATTCTTCTTAGGAGATGGAGACTCTCCGCCAACGTTTGCCTGGCGCGGAAATGGAAACGTGGCATTTGGGACCATCGTACAAAACCTCATGGATACGCTGTTGAGCAATATCTCGATTGCGAGCCAGTACCAGGCGTTCGACATGCCATGGCCCCAGGATATTGGCAAGGCGTTACAACTGATCACCTATTTTGGGCTCGCCATGTCGGTGTATCCATCTTTCTTCGCTCTTTACCCTACCATCGAACGACTGCGTAACGTGCGAGGTCTACATTACAGCAACGGGGTTCGGTCGGCGCCTCTGTGGCTTGCATATACCTCGTTCGACTTTATCATTGTGTTACTCGCAAGCGCAATAGCCACTGTCATCTTTCGAGCGGTGACTGACGTCTGGTATCACATTGAGTATTTATTTGTCGTCTTCTTTCTCTATGGGTTGGCATCTACACTCTTGTCGTACGTCATTTCGTTGTTCGCGAGATCCCAATTGGCGGCATTTGCTTTCGCTGCTGGAGGCCAGGCGGTCATGTTTCTTCTGTATTTTATTGCCTACATGTCGGTGTTGACATACTCGCCGATCGATCAGATTGACGCAAATGTCAACATCTGTCACTTTGCCATTGCCACCATCTCCCCCGTTGCCAACCTCACTCGAGCACTTTTTGTTTCGCTCAATGTCTTTTCGATCACGTGCAGAGATCGGGATTTTGCTTCGTACGCAGGCTCAATGACCACGTATGGAGGGCCAATTTTGTATCTCATCTTGCAATCATTTTTCCTGTTTGGACTATTACTTTGGTGGGATTCTGGCCCTCTTCTGAACAAGCTCCGCAGAAAGCAAAAGGAGGAGGAGATTGAGGACCAGGACACGGTGGAAGCCGAGGTGTCGAATGAGCTGACACGAGTAGTGTCATCTCATGATGGACTTCGGGTGGTCAATCTCACCAGGAGGTTCAAGAAGAACATTGCAGTCAACAACGTCACGTTCGGTGTCCCGAAGAGTGAAGTCTTTGCCTTACTTGGGCCGAACGGCGCGGGCAAGTCCACCACCATCTCGCTCATTCGAGGGGACATACAGCCTTCGCATCGTGGGGGAGACATCCTGGTTGATGGTATTTCGGTGATCCGCCACCGAGCTCAGGCGCGGTCTCGGCTAGGAGTATGTCCTCAGTTTGATGCGATGGACACCATGACCGTTGTTGAACATCTTTACTTCTATGCTCGCGTGCGTGGGGTCACAAAGCCTGCGGTCAATGTGGAGGCGGTGATGCGCGCCGTGGGGCTGGAGCAATATGGAGACCGCATGGCAGCGAAGCTTTCTGGAGGAAACAAGCGGAAGCTTTCACTGGGCATTGCATTAATGGGCAACCCGAGTGTACTCCTCCTGGATGAACCGTCTTCTGGAATGGATGCTGCAAGCAAGAGAGTAATGTGGCGGACGCTAGCATCGGTGGTGCCTGGCAGGTCACTCGTACTGACGACTCACTCGATGGAGGAGGCGGACGCGCTTGCAACCCGAGCGGGGATCATGGCTGGGAAAATGCTGGCGCTGGGGACGACGGATTACCTTCGAAACAAACACGGCGACTCGTACTATGTGCATTTGGTTCACCGGCATGCACCGCATGCTTCAGAACAAGAGATGCAGCGGATTCGGGATTGGATCGAGTATAATCTTCCTGAGGCAGAGATCGAAAGCAAGATTTATGCAGGGCAGATTCGATTCTCGGTACCAAGTTCAACGGCACGCAAGGACAAAGAAGCGGGAACTGAGAGCAATTCGGGGATTGCACAGCTATTTACCTCGCTTGAAAAGAACAAGGAGGACCTGCAGATTGAATATTACAGCGTGAGTCGGGCTACATTGGACCAGGTTTTCCTCAACATCGTGGGTAAGCACAATGTGGAGGAAGAAGGAGCGGCGTCGGAAGCAGTTCGATCCTCGAAGCAGAAGAGAGGTGGTGGGTTCGCCAAAATCGGCAAATGGTTGAAACTCGGGAAATCCGTCAGCTGAAATCAAATAAGTTGATGATTACTTGGGCGTGGGGTGGTTTCATTGCTTGTTGGAATGAATGAATGTTTGGATATACTGAATGTACTGTATGTACTGAATACGTACCTATATATACAAGACAACTGATTAGTTGATGGACATGTCAACTGCTCCTATCGCTCTGTCAAAGGAAGTCTCCGTTCTTGAGTAATCCCATTATGAATTTCTCGGAGTTGGAACCACATCGTGCCGACAGGATCGTGCCAAGAAATTCATTAATAATCCTCTGTTTCGCACCTGCCATCTTCCCAGTGCCACCCTGCGTTCTTGCCTACGGAGTAATTATCACAAATTTGAAAGCCAAACATTGGCCCGAGGTGCCCACCGGCCACTGACTCAGTCACTGAATATGTACGACGCAAGTTCTTTGGAGTCAGGAACGAACGCCCCGTAGCCCCAGTGGCCCCCCCCACCCCTCGACCTTCTCCACCATCCTCCTTTGCTGCATTTTCTCTTAATTTCTATCTCCGCCCTAAGGCCGTTCGTTACCCGGAACGCGCACCTGTTTCTAGTTTCTCAACATGGTTATATTCGTGCGAAACATCGGGCGAACCTCTGTCAGGAAATCAACATGTCCACCAGGCAACGTTTGGAATTGCTGCATCAACTTTGTCATTGTTGTGTCGTTGACATATCCCTCAAACCTGTCTGATTGTAGCGTAGCTGCGGTTGTGAATGGGGAAGGAACGATTTTGTAGACATCAACTACAGAAGGAACGCCATGAGGGAAGGCACGCGTCTTTGTAACAATTACTGTGATCCGCACTTGCCTCGAATCTCTCACGGGCATCTTTTTGTCATCCCCGCAGTCTTTTTCCTCCTGCGTCTCACCAACGTCGAACATTGCTGCTGATGATATCCTGTACATGGATGGGGTCATCAACACGCATTTGCATCAACATGGAAAACAAGCATCTCGACTGAGGTTAGATGGCCTTTTATTTCTTCCTCCATTCGGACAAGAATGACCCCACCGGAACCTCACATCCACACGTGGATGGTACTCCGTACTCATCAGATGGGCTCCTCCACCAACGAAAAAAGAGCCCTCGTCGCCTATGACTCACGTCGGAAAAGAGCACTCACGTCCTTGTTGCCAGAATGGTCGACTGACGGTAAAACTCCACCTCGGTCGATCGCCCGCCCACCGCAAAACTCGATCCATTCAGCGGCAAACTTCCCTCCTTTTGACCCACTCAAAATACATACTATCCAACCGAGACCTCCAAAAGCCCACCCACCTCCAAACCCACTACTTCAAAGCAGCTATGATGGCTTCCGTTCGCCTTGTTCATTCATACTACAATATATTTTCGTCCTTTCTTCGCCTTTACCACCATCGTTTGTGGTATTGCCAGTGGCAGCGTTCTTGGCCACCGCAATCCTTTTGTTCAAAAGTAGCCTGTCCTTTCCCTCAATTCGAGCTAGTATTTCTTCTTTGCCGGCTCCGACCCGAGAGCTCCCAAGCGGCGGCACCAAAAGTTACTGTCACCAGCCATTAGGCTGGACCCCTTAAAAATGGCCGATACTTCGTTGAGCCAAACGGACAAGCCAGATTCAACCACTCAAGTACACCAAGATACAGATACCAACACCACACAGCATCAAAGCACAAGACCCTCCCGTGCTTCGGAAACCATCACTCGGCAAGCCTTGGCGACCGACTCCTCGAGAAGGTCCTTCGACTCTTATGGCTTACAGCGAACCCAATCTGGCGTTGATGTTGAGCGGGCAGAAAAGGAATTTGCCGACCTGAGTAGGGAGCTAACTTCCCTCAGTCGTCGCATGTCAAAGACCCATTCTAGGCATTCCGTCCCAAGACCAAGAAATGACCTCGAGAAAGCAGTCAGTTCGTCAGATGACACTTCAGACGATGCCTTTGATTTGGAGGAAACTCTACGTGGCTCGCGTGAGGCAGACTCCGAAGCTGGCATCAAATCAAAGTATATCGGTGTCATCTGGGACAATCTCACTGTGCGTGGCATTGGCGGCGTCAAGAACTTTGTCAAGGTCTTTCCCGATGCTTTTGTCGATTTTTTCAACGTCCCTGGGACGATTATGAGCCTTCTTGGACGCGGGAAACGTGGCAAGGAGTTCAATATCTTACACAATTTCCGAGGAGTTGCAAAGCCAGGCGAAATGGTTCTTGTCCTGGGCCGACCGGGTAGTGGGTGCACTACCTTCCTCAAAGTCATCGCAAACCAGCGTTTCGGATATACTGCCATCGATGGGGAGGTTTTATATGGCCCTTTTGACTCCAATACATTCGCAAAAAGGTATCGAGGCGAGGCCGTCTACAACGAAGAGGACGATGTCCATCACCCAACTCTAACCGTCGGACAAACCCTGGGATTTGCCCTGGACACCAAGACCCCAGGGAAACGTCCACCTGGCATGAGCAAGAAAGACTTCAAGCAGAAGGTCATTGAGCTATTATTGAAAATGTTCAACATCGAACATACAATCAACACCGTCGTCGGCAACTCCTTCATGCGAGGCGTCTCGGGCGGAGAGAGGAAGCGCGTTTCAATTGCCGAAATGATGGTCACCCGAGCTACTGTATGCGCCTGGGATAACAGCACACGAGGCCTCGATGCCTCAACTGCATTGGACTATGCAAAGTCTCTCCGAATCATGACCAACATCTATAAGACCACCACCTTTGTTTCACTCTACCAGGCCTCCGAAAATATTTATAAACAATTCGACAAGGTCATGGTCATCGACCAAGGTCGCCAGGTCTTTTTTGGACCCGCTCAGGAAGCTCGTGGATATTTCGAGTCTTTGGGATTTCTTGAAAAGCCCCGTCAAACCACGCCCGACTATTTGACAGGGTGCACCGATGAATATGAGCGAGAGTACAAGCCCGGGAGGTCACCAGAAAATGCACCTTCAACTCCAGACTCATTTGTCGAAGCTTTTAACAAGTCCATTTTCTCGGAAAATCTCAATAAAGAAATGACAAAATATCGGGAATCCATTCAGGAGGAGAAACAGATCTACGATGATTTTGCTGCTGCTCATCAAGAAGCCAAAAGGAGACATACTCCCAAGAGCTCGGTCTACTCGGTACCCTTCTATCTCCAAGTATGGGCTCTGATGCAACGTCAATACTTGATCAAGTGGCAGGACAAGTTCTCCCTGGTCGTCTCCTGGCTCACATCCATTATCATCGCTATTGTTATCGGCACTGTTTGGTTGAATCAACCTCAGACCTCAGCCGGAGCTTTCACTCGGGGTGGTGTCTTGTTCGTTGCTCTACTTTTCAACGCCTTTCAGGCCTTTTCAGAATTAGCCTCGACCATGTTGGGCCGCCAAATAGTCAACAAACACCGAGCATATACGTTTCACCGACCAGGAAGTCTCTGGATTGCCCAAATCTTGGTGGACACGGCCTTTGCAGCCGTTCAAATCATGGTCTTTAGCATCATTGTTTACTTCATGACTGGCCTTGTCCGAACCCCTGGCGCTTTTTTCACCTTCTTCATAATCATCGTTACCGGCTACTTGTCCATGACACTCTTCTTCCGAACCATCGGCTGCCTGTGCCCCGACTTTGACTATGCTATCAAGTTTGCTGCCGTCATCATCACCTTGTTCGTCATCACCTCGGGCTACATCATTCAATTCCAGAGTCAGCAGGTCTGGTTGAGGTGGATCTTCTACGTCAATGCGCTTGGATTGGGCTTCGCGTCACTCATGATGAACGAATTCGAGAGGATTAGTATGCGATGCACGAGCGAGTCCTTGATTCCCAGCGGCCCTGGATATGACAACCTTGATAATCAAGTTTGCACCCTTCCAGGTTCTGTCGCTGGTTCCCCTGACGTTCTAGGCACGGATTACGTGAAAACCGGCTTTTCATACGATCCCGCTCACCTGTGGCGTAACTTTGGTATCATCATTGTGTTGATTGCCTTTTTCTTGTTCACCAATGTCTTCCTCGGAGAAGTCATGAAATACGGTGCAGGTGGTCGCACCATCACCTATTTTGCAAAGGAAAATAAGGAACGGAAAGAACTAAACGCCAAGCTACAAGAACGAAAGCGTCGAAGACAAGCAAAACAGGATGGTGATGAAGGATCGGAGCTCAACATCACTTCCAAAGCAATCCTAACCTGGGAGAATCTCACTTATGACGTCCCGACGCCTTCGGGGCAATTACGACTGCTCAAAGATGTGTTCGGCTATGTTCGCCCTGGACAGCTCACAGCTTTGATGGGCGCAAGTGGTGCCGGCAAAACCACACTGCTGGACGTGCTGGCCTCTCGAAAGAATATCGGTGTCATTGGCGGCGACCGACTGATCGACGGTCAGCAGCCAGGAGTCGGCTTCCAGAGGGGTACTTCGTACGCCGAGCAACTCGATGTCCACGAATCAACCCAAACCGTTCGCGAGGCTCTAAGATTCAGTGCCGACCTGCGTCAACCATACGAAGTGTCTAGAGAAGAGAAGTATGCATACGTTGAAGAGATCCTAAGCCTTCTTGAACTCGAAAATCTGGCTGATGCCATCATCGGTACCCCCGAAAGTGGTCTCTCAGTTGAAGAGCGAAAGCGTGTGACTATTGGCGTGGAGCTGGCTGCGAAACCTCAGCTCTTGTTGTTCTTGGACGAGCCTACCTCCGGCCTTGATTCGCAGTCTGCCTTCAATATTGTTCGATTCTTGCGCAAGCTTGCTGCCGCCGGACAAGCCATCCTCTGCACCATTCACCAGCCCAACAGCGCACTTTTCGAGAACTTTGATCGCCTGCTTCTTCTCCAACGAGGCGGCGAAACAGTTTATTTCGGTGACATTGGAAAGGATGCTCATGTTCTGCTTGACTATTTTCACCGATATGGCGCAGATTGCCCACCGGATGCAAATCCCGCAGAATGGATGCTTGACGCCATTGGTGCAGGAATTGCAGCACGTATTGGCGATCGCGATTGGGGAGAGATCTGGCGAGAGAGTGATGAGCTTGCCACTGTCAAGGCTGATATCATCGAAATGAAGAGCCGCCGTCAGAGAGAAATTTCTAATGAGCCCCAACTCGATGAGAAAGAGTATGCATCGCCTCTCTGGCATCAGATCAAGGTGGTGTCCTCGCGTACACATCTGGCTTTCTGGCGGTCTCCCAATTACGGCTTTACCCGTCTTTACAACCATCTGGCTGTTGCACTACTCACTGGACTGGCTTTCCTCCAACTCGACGACAGCAGAGCGAGCTTGCAATATCGCATCTTCGTCATCTTCCAAATCACCGTCATCCCCGCCTTGATTCTCGCTCAAGTTGAGCCCATGTACGATTTCTCACGGTTGATTTTCTACCGCGAATCCGCTGCAAAAGCTTACAAGCAATTCCCATTCGCATTTGCTATGGTTTGTGCCGAGATGCCATATAGCCTGCTGTGCGCCGTGGGCTTTTTCTTTCCCATTTACTATCTCCCGGGATTCAACAAAGATTCGTCTCGGGCAGGTTATCAATTCTTCATTGTCCTCATCACGGAGCTCTTCTCTGTCACTGCTGGACAGATGATTGCCGCTCTAACCCCATCAAGTTTCATCTCAAGCTTGATCAACCCTTTCATCGTCATCATCTTTGCACTGTTCTGTGGTGTCGCCGTGCCCAAACCACAGATCCCTGGTTTCTGGCGAGCTTGGCTATACCAGCTGAATCCCTTCACCCGCCTGGTCAGTGGCATGGTGACCACAGAACTCCACGACCTTCCGGTCGTATGTCGCAGCGTCGAACTGAATTCATTCCCTGCACCGTCTGGACAGGATTGCGGCGAATACATGTCGGATTTCTTCCAGAATGGTGGTCTGGGATACTTGGTCAATAACGTTACAGATACATGCGAATACTGCGCTTACAAAGTGGGCGACCAGTTCTATTCTGTCCTGCAATTGAGCTTCGACGACCGATGGAGAGACCTCGGGATCTTTGCAGCTTTCATCTTCAGTAACCTCTTCTTGCTGTTCATTGGCAGTCGATACTTGAACTTCAATCGTCGATGAGAAGGTTAAGAAGATGTTTGTCTGTCTCGAGTCATGGAGTATCATTATATGGAGTGGGCGTTGAAGATCATATCTGGACAAGGAGATGTCATTCAGCGTTGAACATATAAGTGTGCGGCATATATCAACCAATAATACCACATAGCATAACACCACATAGCAAGCAAGCAAAGAAATATGTATATAATTGACTCAAAATCAAGAGACCAGCTACTTTAGTGGTGATTGTACCAAGTTAGTCTGGCGCCTTCTGGACTCGGAGGAATCAATGTCTACGAAGAAGACACATAGCAAAACAAGCAATGCTAGGCAACCAGAAACTATGGTGAGAGTATGGTAGGGTAGCAACCACGGTCTATATATATATAAACTTTTGTGAGAAACATGAAAACAATATGCGAATGATCATCACTACTGTCGTTTGAGTACTAAAGATATAGGATCCAAAATTCATTCTCTCTTGCCACAATAGAGGCGTCCTCTCGAGTCCCAATTGACTACCAGATGTGAGCATAGTGTAGAACACATCGCATCTTCTGCTCTCCGATGTGCTCCTTGGTTTCTCGATCTAGTCCATGAGCCAACCCATTTTCATTCGTTGGTACACATTCATTCACCTTGCATGTCCCGCAGCGGGCAGTTCAACCGCACCGATCTGCGGCTGCCCATGCTTTTTGGCTGGCGTCGTATCGAGTTCCGACCAGGTTTGATTCTGTGGGTATCCTGGAAAGTTGGGATCGTGTATCGACGACGGACTAAGTTCCATCCCATGTTTATCGAAATGGCCGATTGCGCCTCCTTGCATTGTAGGTGTGTATTGTTGGTGTAGTGGCTGTGATTGTAGTCGTTGTCGTTGTCGTCGTCGACGCCATATAAACAATCCTGCAACAATGCCCATTACGGCAACGCCAGCAACTACCCCGCCGGCAATTGCGCCCACGTTGGTGCTGGATGACCCAGTTGGGGCTGGCGAGCTGGGAGATGTCTGTGATGCTCCATTGCCGGACTCCGTACCAGTATTGTTGTCATCATCATTATTGGTGTTGTCGGGACTTTGCGCGGGAGGTGAGAAAGCTAGAAGGCAGGGCTGTGTTAGTCAACTAGATCTTTCAAGGATCGATGATTCAAGTTTAGACGAAAGAGAAACTCACCAAATATGGCTGCCAGATTCGTGTCGCTCCAGTCAGGCACTTCGTAGCTCGAGGTATAGTAGTCCTTGACCACTTTAGGCGAATCATAGACTTCGGCGCTGGCGTTGTATGAGTCGGTCCAGGTGAAGCTGGTCATGTCAAACACGCCTACACCACCAACCCAGGGATCTCGATCGAAACCCAGTGGCTGTCTGGAACTGGGGAATCGTCCGCCAATGGATATCATCTGTCGATTGCCGATGACGCTGCAGGTATGGCAGGCTCGTCGGACGGGAGTCTTTGACGGGGATTTGAACCACTGAAATGCTGGAAGCGACAGGGTGTACACATTGAGATAGCCCTCGTTATCGGCTTGAATCTGGTCTAGAGTCCTGTTGGTAGAGCCTCCATACACGAAACTGTAGAATCAACGTTACATGTCAGTCTTATGGCCTTTCTTATAACATGACAAGAAGAAGGGGGTACGATGAGGAGCATTTGGGTGGTCGTACATTTCGTAGGACGAGTTATCCGCCGATGTGGTTCCCACAGCACAGAACTCGACCCTTGGAGGCGGAATGTCGCCTGTAGCCGCCTGGGTGTACCAGGTGCCCGAGGCCACGTCGAGAAGAGTGATGACAGACATGTCAACCATGTAGGTCCCCTCTTCATAGAAAGACTCCTCGGTCGGCGGGGCCTCTCCTCCAACAAAGGCGACAAAGCCTTCGGCACCAAAGTTGGGGACGTGGAATGCCTTTGCCATGTTGCGATAATTGTTCTGGCCAGGGATGTCGGTCGTGTCGTTCCTCCATAGTCCCGTGGTAAAGTCGTGCCTGACCACCCCTGAAAGGACCGTTTGATTCGGCAACATCGAACGCCGCAGCACATTGCCCCCGAGGCTGTAGAAGGCCGTGTCGCTGTACGCGGCCGCCGGTGACATGGGTCCCTGTGAGCCTTCCGACAGTCCGTTGGTCACTGGCGACGTTTCTAGAGTCCATGCCGGATTGGTGACGCCCACTGGAAATGACCACAGCTCGCTTGGCATAGCCTCGCTAAGATATGGCCACCCTCCATATCTTTTGATTACGTCGTTCACTTTATCGTAGAATAAGACTGGTTGGCGCACTGTTCGAAGGTCTGAGGGGCTCAGGAATGATGATGTCGCTGTCAATGTTTGGTTGGTCCATGATCGCGTCAGGTCAACAACCAGGCTCTCGTTTCCTGATGACCTCAGCAGCTGGGATATGAGTGGTGGATGAGACCAGGTCGACTTACTTATATAGTTGGTAATCGATGTCGAGGTTGGAGACTCATACTCCTCCCCGCCCGAGACATACAGATAGTCACCGACGACGATTGCTTTCACATGTTAGGAACTCGGGGGTCAGTGCGCAAGGAACTCTCAAGGGGTCGTACATGTTTGCCAAATCCATTGTGTGACTGTCGAACGGATCAGATCTGCGCCGGAGCAGCGCAGAAGAACAGCGAGCACGAATAAAACCAACATTTGGTGTCGTGGTTGGTAAGAGTTTTTGTGTTATCATGGCATCTGTTCAGGGTTATACTTTCCTGGTGGGGTGTGACGAGTCTACAAACGTTTAATGTTTGCAGAGGGCATGGCAGAGGGCATGGCAGCCTTATGAAGAGAAGCCATGACGCGTGGGCTAGGGTTCCATATGAAACACTAGGCTAGGCATCGAATGGCGACCGGCTGGATGCGGAACCCTCTGCGCAAAAGTTTCGTACTATCGCATCGGTTGGGTGAGTGCAACCACTCCAACGTCCAAGCGCGCAGGCGAGAAGGGTTTTGATCTCGTAGTGTCCCTATTTGGTCCTAAGCGGCTTGGGAGCTGTCTTTGAGAGCGCTTAATAGAGGCGAATACTGCAGAGCGCGACCAGACTTGCCTCTACAAGTCAAGTGATGGGGCTGAAATCTTTCTAGCCGGTCCATAGGTGCTAGGAAGGGTGACTATCTCGTTGGAGTGAGTTTCGATGTAGCAATGGAACCAACGTTCTCTGAAGCTATGACGACAGTCTGCATACCTTTACAGAATTGAAGGGCAAGGGGGAAGAGGGTTCGGAGGCAAGGTGATCCTCAATCACCAACGCCAATTGTTTTTGATTTTTGACATTTGTATATGCCTACCTGTTCATAGAATGCTTAACTCTATGGTGTTGCACGAAGTGACCATATCCTCATGGAAACTCTGATTCCGTGAAAGATTAAGCCCCCGTGCCTCCGTCAGAATGAATGATGACACACACACTACTCGGTCAAGAGGTAGCTTGTCTAAGAACTGGTTAGCATGAGCAGACCAAATGATTCGTGGCAGTGCTGTCCACGTATAGAACGGTCTCTGGCTCCCAGCTTGAAACACTAGCGCGTCCGAATACAGCAAGGTGAGTTGAAGGATTTAGACGAGGCAAAGGACTTCGGCTTGGTCTCAGATACATTCGGTCCGTGTCCCAGAGATCGATTACTGTCGTTCAGTCGAAGAATTGAAATTGGACACCTTTGTCAGGGGTCAAGTCAGGTGGGTGAGTGTCTTATCGATTGTGTCGAATTTGTTAAACTTCTTGAGCAGATATCAAAAGTGGAAGAAGGATTCAGGACTGAGGTGCCTAATTCTGGTGCGGGACATGATGTTCCTGATAGCACGAATGAACAGCAAAGAGTTTAGTCGTCAAGTCAATATGTAACATGAAGATGATTATTGGACTGGAGTGAACCTTGACCAGTCGTTCCTGCCTCTTCATCTATGGCTCTGTCGCTCTTGCCAACCCAAACCATTCTCTGCGTCTGAGACCTTTCTGCTTCGCTGTATTGTTCTCTACTCCTGATCATTCGAGTCTCGAGTGGCAGCCGTCATGTGTTGGCACGTGCGCCTCACAGGCATCACCCCCCACGTGTATCATTTGTGGACTTTCGCAGATGCAGGCAACTTTTTGAGTTGTCGCATTGCATCAGTCAGTCTGTGACGCCACATCAATCTTGGAGAATGCATACAATGGGTTATCTTTTATAACATTTCCAATCGTGTTTTGGTCTACACATCCTTCCTACAGACAGATCATTGAGGCTTCCTTCTCCAGTCACCATGTTTAGAGCTGTGGCGACCGCTTCAAGGTCTGCCTTCACTTTCTACAAACCAGAACTTCAGGTCTGCACAATCATCTACACCAGGAAGATCACAACTGCTCCTAGAAGGAGGTACCTATCAGACTCTACGAAACCAGGACAGTCTGCCGCATCTCGTGCTTCCGGAGCTCCTCCGCCACCTTCAGCCGATGGCGCAGATTCAACAGGACAACCTCCCAAGCCTCCGTCGCTCGCAGATGTCCTAGCCAACACACCGGCACAGGACAACTCCTTACTAGCACCCGTCCACGTACCCGAAGATCCTAATGGCATCCTAAAACCCAACCACCCAGCTACCGACATTTTGATGAAGTCAGGCTTGGTGGTGCAGCGAGAATTGGAGGCACTGAACATAATAGCTGGTATAGAGCAATCCAATAAATATGTCATCCTTGGCCCACAGGGCGAACATGTCGGACATATTCTAGAACACCAGGGTGGAATTGGAAAGGCAGTTACCAGGCAGATGGCCAAAACTCACAGGGCTTTCACGGCCAACATCTTCGATCGCTATGGTCGGGAAGTGCTGCGACTTCATCGACCCTTTTCTTGGATCAATTCGACTGCGCGGGTGCATGACGCAATTGCCCGTGATATGGTTCTCCCACCGCCCGACTCTTCCACGTCCGCGGGTTTAAGCATGGTAAACCACGAACAACAATGGCAATTATCAAGCCTGCCAATCGAAGCAATGCCTGTCATTGGCGAAGCTCATTCTCAGTGGGCACCTCTTCGTCGAAAATACAATTTGTTTCTATCCCACGAGCAAGCACGCGAAACAGGTTTGGCGATGGAGAACGATTCTGCCCAGACTGAACATGCGTTTCGACAATTCGCCGCCATCGATGAACCATTCTTGTCGTGGGACTTTTCTCTTCGGGGCAAGGACAATGAACTGATTGGGTCTGTCAATCGCGCATTCCGTGGATTTGGCCGCGAGCTTTTTACCGACACGGGCAGTTATGCTTTGCGCATGGACTCGGCAGCGATGGAAGAGGGAACAGTAACGAACGAGAAGAATTTGCAACTAGGCCAGAGTGACAATGGGTCTATGGAAGTCGTGAGCCTCAGAGAGCAACAGCAGGGAATGACGCTTGACCAAAGAGCAGTCATGCTGGCCACTGCAATCACTCTGGATATTGATTACTTCTCACGGCACAGTTCCTCCGGCGGTGGTTTTATGCCCTTGTGGTTCTGGGGCGGAAGTGGTGCGGCGGAAGCCGGTGGAGCGGGAACTGCTGCTGGAGCCGGCGTGGGAGAAGCTGGAGTGGCGGTTGGTACGGCTGGTCGTGCAGCATCTGGCACGGCATTGGGTGAGGCGGGTGCAGTAGAAGGCGCCATAGGAGGAGCAGGGACTGTTGCTGGCTATGAAGCATGGTCGCGGGGGTCACAGTCACAGTCACCGTCACAGTCACCGTCACCATCGACAGGATCTGAGCACGCCGAGTCACCCAGCCAAAGCAGTGGGTTCCAGGAGCCAGACACACCAGGTTCTCCAAGCCCAAGCGATGATCCCTGGACCTCAGACTCACCAAGTCAAAGTGGCGATAGCTGGGGTGCGGGTGATGCAGATCCGTGGAAAGACGGGGCGGGAAGTGGTGGTGGAAGTGGCGGAGATGGAGAGGGAGGCGGAGGCCTCCTCTCAGAGCTTTGGAACTCTTTCTTCGGAGATTAATCGAGCAACGGTACAACGGTACAACGATGCTGACCACGTGTGCCACGCTGATCTAGCCTCGATGACGAAAGGGAAGGATTTCGTGGATGTACATTTTCCATACCTCACCTGTACAACCAGATACATACTTACTGGAATTGGAATCGGAATCTCCAATCGTAAAGCCCAAAATAAGACAGGCATCATTGCATACATATTTGGATACTTTAGCCGTAGAACCAATACTTGATCAGAGATGGTCTTATCTGAGTGACATGGTGCGTACCATAGATAGACTTCCAGAACGAGAGCGATTCTTGGCATTAATCACGCTTTGCTTAAGCTATTGATGCCAATTGGCCAAGGGAATAGTATGACTGTTGATACGGGGATCTGCAGCGCTTTGCATCGGTTGTCTTGATGCAAAGTAATGCAAAGTGATGCCAAGGACTGTTGCCAAGATTGCCAAGTCCCACAGTCGTAAGTGGCGGAGGGATTCAGAGGGAATCATCACGCCAATGGATCTGCGCCAAGTGGTCAATCCATGTTCATCTTTACAGCAAGCGTGAGCAAAGCAACAAGATCCATCATCCATGTTCCATCTGATTGCAACCCTCCATCGCTGGGTTTTTGCTCTATGCCCCTGCTGGATAGGTATCGGTGGCATACGAGTAGGTAGTTCGCCTGGTCGTGCGCCTCTCTCGCTGAGCCCGTATTTCAGATTGACAGCCTGATCGTGTCTGGTTTCTAGTGCTTGTAACGGGGCACCAAAGCGTGGTCGTGTGCCTTGCAAAACAAAAGTTCAGATCAACACACTAAGTAGTCTGCCTTGCTCTGTCGTCTCATCTTTCCAGTCCGGAGTACACTATGACGCCAGCTTCAAAGACGCTTATTGTTGACAAGGTTAGGTGTGGGACCTCCGTCACCCCAGTCTCCTCTACTCTGCTATCTTTCTGAGATAGTCCATCATTCGACGCTAGCCGTTTGTCTCCCAGAACGCCTTGGGCATTTCTTGGAAAAGTCTCTAGAGTGGGCGTTCTCATGTTTCTTGCATCACGGCGTGGTATCTTTGCATCGATCCTAAACATTGACTTCACCATTAGCCGACCTGGTACCAGCCAGTATCAGCCGTCACTCACATATCTCAAAGTCAGACGATCCCACCATTCAATCTTGGCGAGGTCATCATCCTGGTAAGTCTCGACCCGTTGACGTCGTGAGACAATGTAACACAATCTGCATGATGGTAAGGAATTGCACGCGTTGTCAATCCTCGCCTCTCTCGTTCCTGCCCGAGATAAGTACTGCCATCGCTCTTTCCTCTCCGCCCAACTGAGTTCTCTTTCCTCTGTAACTTTGTTCAACTTTTCATCAACCTCACCTCAGCCCATCGTGACTGGTTGTCAACATGAGTGACCTCCATCATCGAGATGTCCGACGAAGTAGTTCCTCTCCCCATAGTCCTGGGGGGAGTACTTTGGAGGACCACCATGACAATGAAAAGGGTCACGTTGTCGGCCCTGCCCACGCCCACACCCATGTGGTCGAGTATGAGGCTGGCAATCGTCTACACCGTGGACTCAAAGCCCGTCACATCACCATGATCGCTATTGGAGGTGCCATTGGTTAGTCTATCCACACCCGTGACCATCTTGCTACCTCTAACATGCAATTTTCCAGGTACTGGTCTGATCATTGGTACTGGATCTGCTTTGGCTCGTGCCGGCCCTGGTTCCATCTTCATTTCATACACTGTTGTCGGCTTCTTGGTCTTCCTGGTCATGTGCGCTCTGGGAGAAATGGCTGCATGGCTTCCCATGGCATCTGGCTTCACTGGCTATGCTACCCGTTTCTGCGACCCTTCTCTCGGCTTTGCTCTTGGTTGGACGTAAGTTGTCACCCGAGTGAAATCTTGCCCGACATATCTAACAGAGACAGATACTGGTTCAAGTACATCATCGTCACACCGAATCAGTTGACAGCCGGATCTTTGATCATCCAGTATTGGCTGCCACGCGATCGCGTCAATCCTGGTGTGTGGATCACAGTCTTCCTCGTCCTCATCGTCTGTATAAATTACTTCGGCATTCGTTTCTTTGGAGAATTCGAGTTCTGGCTGTCCACCATCAAGGTCATTGTCATCATCGGCGTCATCATTCTCTCTCTCGTACTCGCCCTCGGTGGTGGGCCTGATCACGATCGCAAAGGCTTTCGCTACTGGAGAGACCCAGGCGCCTTTAAGGAGTATATCGACACTGGAGCTACTGGCCGCTTCCTCGGATTGTGGTCAACCATGGTTACTGCCACATTTGCCTATCTAGGTACCGAGTTGGTTGGTGTCACGGTTGGCGAGGCTCAGAACCCTCGTAAGACCATCCCTCGTGCCATCAAGCTCACCTTTTACCGAATCCTCTTCTTCTACTGCCTCAGTGTCCTTCTCCTAGGAATGCTGGTCCCCTACAATAGCCCTGAATTGGCATTCGCCAACAAAGCCTCAAGCTCAGCTTCGGCATCTCCATTCGTCGTTGCCATCAAGCTCTCTGGCATCGCCGCTCTTCCTGGCATTCTGAACGGTTGTATTCTCCTGTTTGTCTTCTCTGCCGCCAACTCGGATCTCTATATCGCCAGCAGGACTCTTTATGGGCTCGCTAGCGAGGGTAGTGCTCCTGCGATCTTCAAGAAAACCGATCGCCGAGGTGTCCCGATCTTTGCCCTTGGACTATCTGCTCTCTTTGCATTGCTCGCCTACATGAATGTCTCGGATGACTCAAAGGTGGTTTTCGGGTATTTCGTCAACCTCACAACAATCTTTGGTCTCTTGACCTGGATCTCCATTCTTGTCGCACACATCTATTATGTGAGGGCTCGCAGAGCTCAAAATGTCCCGGACAGTGCCCTTGCGTTCACAGCCCCTCTCGGCATTGCAGGCTCTTATGGTGCACTGGCTCTTTGCATTCTAATCGCCATTACCAAGAACTTTGCAGTCTTCACCCATGGTACCTGGGGCAACTTTGATTACAAGAACTTCATTACTGGCTACCTGGGTATCCCAATCTATCTCGCCCTGATTTTCGGTCATAAGTTCTGGACAAAGTCTAAGGGTGTCAAGCCAGCTGAGGCCGATCTTTTCTCTGGCAAGGATGTGATTGATCGAGAGGAGGAAGAATTTCTCGCCGCAAAGGCTGCAAGAAAAGGGTCGATTGCGAAGCGAAAGGGTGGTTGGTTCTACCGGACTTTTGTCTCGTGGTTGTTCTAAAGCAGGGCGACTCACGTTTCAGCATGCCATAGAGGAATTCAACCGTACAGGTGCTTGGTGTTTGTTTAATTCGGGCAGATTAAGCTGAATAAATCAATCCGTGAGAATGAGAATGAAATCCCAAAAGAATACACAATTGATAAATGTGCTTGTCAGGAATGAACCGTTTCCACTCTCATGTCTTGAACCTAGAAAGCCTACCAGTACACTCATGAGACATGGAGTAAATGATCCGTTCATTGGGTCTCTAAGCGACAAAGCAACCACAGCATCCCTAGCAGTAGCCTGGTCTAGACCTTTTGCGGGATCTATTTAGATGATAACAAGTACGACCCAAGATCCATGTACAGTACGGAGTAAGTCACAAGTCGGTAAGCTAATCCTCCACATGCATAAGGTGCAATGTAACTAAGGCCGAGGGGACCAGGCGTGACACGGCACTTGTATCTACCGAGTACGCTATACTATACTCGACATGGTGGTTCGATTCTGGCATGTTTGCCTGGATGGATAAATTTCAACGTGGGAATGAGGGGCCGAGGGGCCACAATGATCATACTCCGTAGACTTATCCAGGAGCATCCTTTGCACAAAACTGTGGCGTCTATTCTGATCTGTACGCCATGCCCATGTAAATGAAGGACAAGGTACTCCATAAGTACTTTAGTCCAGTCAGCGGCCCGACCTAGTCTGGCGCCTCCCAGCGGCGCCTCCCACGCTCCGCAAGCCACGAGCTCTCGGGCCACAACTTAAACGGCCACTCCGAGAATACCTACTGTAAGTTAGTACCTTTAGCCTCCTCGGAACCATTTGCAGATAGACTAAGTACTTACTTACCACTTACCACTTACCACTTACTACTTAGGTAGGCATAGGAGTGCTTACCATGGATACATACGCGAACTCAAGCTACAGCGAATTGTCACCCTCCTTGGAGTAACCTGACCCCGTCGGCCCCAGGGCTGGCTGATGATTTGGTAAACGCGGTACAACACGCGACAGTGACGGTACCAATGGAACATCGGCAGTCCCATGCTTACATACATCGGTTACAGCTGAGGGCGACCGATGGGGTTGTTGATTGTCAATGCTAGATCTAGATCAGGTAGTCAGGCCGAAGTCTACCTTAGGTACCCAAGGTATCTAGGTCCCAACCTACATACGAGTACGAGTGTGTGCTGAATATATCTGTCCTCTATTGTCTATATTCTTATAGTGCTTAGAAATGTAGATAGATTATCTATAGGATTATAATGTACAATATATGCGAGCAAGGCTCCTATACTGAGCCCGAGAATATTAGCCAGGATTCGTCTTTGATAAATTTCCATGGCTTTTCATCTTGTGCATCTTGGATTCAAGGCCGTCCATTCGAATTCCACCTTGACTGTTGCACGAATGCCTTGGTGTTTTTGTTGTTGTCCAGTGTTTAATTGTTCTGGGCCAGCGTGAAGATGCTCATTCTCAACGGCGAGCATACCCACGAAATACTTCTTGATTGTGGTTCCGACGTCCAGTAAGCGGTGGCTATTATGGTCATGATCATGATCATCGATCGTTTCGTCGTTGTCATGATCGTCACCATCATGGTCCAGGTCTGCAATGATGCTTTTTGCACGCTGGTCCACAAACACAACCAATTCAGGTTGCGGGTCCCTCGTCACCAAGCTTGATCGTTGACAATCTTCCAAGCGACTATGTTTTCCTGTCCAGGATGCAAGTAACTGTCTGCCAGTGTTTTGGATTTCCTTGGCCGCCACATTTGGAAAGGTTGTTTCGAGGAATCTGATGACAACGCGGTCAGAGTTGACACTGTGCCACCGTTTAGGCTCACTCAGGGCGTTAGTTTCGCGCCGTAGGGATGTGTCATCCCACCGAGACGTAGTAAGACCATCATCTGAAGGTTCTCGCGTGAGGCAGGAAGTCACGAAAAGGTAAGCCAGTATTTGCGTAGCATCAACTTCCCGCTCCTGTTCACCTGGAGAATCATTGGCTTGCCGGTCAGGTTGCGGGACAGTCCACCCGTCAGCAACTTCTTCCTGTTCATTACGACTGAGCTTACATGGCCGGTCAGCGACTTCAGCTCCAGCAAACCGACGCTTCGAGCACGTGTCCTTCGGGGCTAGATCGTGGTCTGAAACGCGAGATACTGATTGAGATCTTACAGGCGAAATGTTGGAAATCTCTGCAAGTGGTTGTCGAACAGTCGAAGAACGCCTTGATCTGGCTGTGGCGGAGGTTTTAAGTTTAGGAGTCCGAAATCTTGCTGGCGGATCGAATGGTGGGATTGGATTTGGATGAGTAGCTCGTCCTAGGTGTTCAGTACGTTGTGCAGCAGACAGAGTCTGCTTCTCCGCTGCGGCAAGCCTCTTCTTAGGACTTGACAATTTAGTCATGTCCGTTATAGGTTGAGCTGGTGAAGAAGATGGTGGAGGTGTCAACACCTGTGGTTGAAATAACCTGCGTCGAACTTGAGGAGCTTCATTTCTCGGTCTTGGGTGCGCCTCCGTTGTATTGTCGCCATCAGTCAGGTCAATGAATACTGGCGAAGGACGATGTTCGATCCTAGGTGAGGGGAGGACTAGAGTGGTGTCCGGCGACACTGTTGAGCTCCATCTCTCTGAAGTAGCCACCTTCGCTGGCGTGGCTTCCGAAGAAGTGCTCGTCTCATTCTCTTGTCTACCATCCGCTCCAAGGAGTCGATCAATCCATTCGGCTTCTTCTTGTCGCCCTGAATCTTGAGCTCTGGTGAGGGCTTCTTTGGCCATCACTTGCAACTCATCAAAAGTGTTTGTGTCCATGAAAGTGCGATCAGTATGTAGTCTGGCCACGTTTGCTCTCGGGAATCTGAGCACAAAGTAAGGAGTGTCCTCAGGTTTCTCGAATCCAGCACCCATGACTTCCACGACAAAAGGCTCTTTGAAGAGTTCGGAAGGCTTCACTGACCGAAGTGGTTTCTGGTCGATGGTAACATCGAAATAATCCGACGAATCTGCCCAGGGAAATTGAACGAAGCCGCCTCTCCAATTGAGATAGAGAATATTGCCCCTAGAAAGACAATGGTGATCCAATACACTGAGAATGCGAAACATTGGTTTTGTGGACGCGTCCTTGAGTATCTGTTCTTTGTTTTCCACACACGCCAGATGGAATGATGTCCACGATAATTCTCCCAGGCCTAGATAATCGACAACAGCTTGCTGACGGCGTCCTCCGACGATGCAGAGGTCGGCAGTGTCACCTAGTCCTGTGATGTAATCCTTTTTGAGCTTGATGACACTAGTGCTTTCCGTCCAGTTGAAATAAGGATCTTTGTTCCCTTTCAGGACGAAGCCTTCCCACCGTTGGACAATGCCTTGAGCAAAAATCTTTCGTAGAGTATCCTTGGAAGAAGATTCCGCAAAATTGACAAGTTTCCGGTAACACAGCTCTCCAACACCAGGGATGATCTTCACCAGTTTTTGTAACTGGTATCGTCTTGCGGAATGAGGTTGCTGTAACATACCGATGTTGTCGACGAGTAAAACGTCGTAGAACATGATCATTAATTGCTCGTCAAGTCTTCTGGGTGAATCCGCATTGATGCCTAAGAACCTGCCACCATGCATCACATGTTTTCGGATGACGTGAAAAGGGGCAATTTCTTGTTTGGTCCGGTTCCAGATCAGCAGCTCTCCTTCAAGAATGCAGTTTCGCTTGAATGGGCAATCTGGCTCATCAAGACGGAGACTGGCGATTATTGCTCCATGGAGACGGATTCGATCGTTCGTCGAGTCTTTCCCACTTTTGGAGAATATTTGGATTTGGCACCCTGGCGTTCGAGTCCTGTCGATGTGAATTTGGCAATATTCACCATCATACTTTCTCTCTACGCTCATATATCTCCGATCGGTCATGTTGTAACAATGGGTGATGCTTCGGGCTTTGTAATACCGTTGTCGTTTAATCATAATCCCTAGCTCAGGCGCCAGATATCGTTCCACGAGTTGTCTAATGCTTGCCCTTTGATCTATTGGGGGAGCGTGAGGGTGTTGTCGCAAATCATGGTGACCAAGCACTGTAACCGCAGCCTCTATCGAATTTTTGACGACAAGAAGCTCTGGGAGGAGAAAGTGAAAGCATCGGAGGACTGTCTGTTCTGGGAATTCAATCGGCGCATACGACTTGAGAATCATGCGAACAAGCCATTTGGCTTCTCTGCTTGTCAGTCTTCGGAAGATAGGAGACAGCACTGCCAAAGCAGAGTTGTCTTCAGAACCTCCTGGCGAAGTGGAAGATATGCCAGCGACTGACAGCGCGATTCTTGATAAAGCGTCATCAATCTCCTCCAAAGTCACATCCTTAGATGGGCAATTCTCGGCCTCGGATACAACTTGCTCGACGGCGGTGGCGAAATCAATGTTGCGTTGCTCGTAACTTCGTAATGACGCGGCTCGAGTAGCTCCAAGGCAGAGAGCGAATGATATGACAGTACTGAGTGTCTTCTCTCTCAATCGATAGCTCCGGTGAGGTAGGCGTTCGGGAAATAAGCAGGATAGGAACGCAACAGCCGATCGACCATGGCGTTCAATTTGATGGTTGTGCTGCTTGAACCAGTTCACCACCACAAGGCTTGCGGAACTCAGGCCTCGATCGGCCTTCCTTTTTCGGGCTGCATCTAGCTCCTCAAGTAATTGAACTAACCATTTGAACTTGATGGGCGCCATTGTGAAAATATTGGTGGGGGTAGACCGCGTGATGGAATCTCATATTGGTCCAGAGCCGCAAGACCCTGCATTTCAAGGTGAAAGTCGTCCTATCAAGAAAACCCGTTGCTTGATAGCCATGATGTTTGTTCCGCTGTCATAACGATGCTATTAGCGCGTTGCACATCTTCACATCAGATCGCCCTGTGTGTGAGACGCGTTGGAAGTGTTAAACGAGGAACACTTGACGTTGGATTCACGTGCAAGTGCGTGTCACTATCAGTCACGGGATCACAATTCTTGGCCATTGCCAAGTCCGATAACGTGACTCGCATCTTAAGGGGCTTCTCCTATCTACATACCATCCCAACTTCTTCATGCTATGTAAGGTGTATAGAAGGTTTGGATGGTCACATCCCAAAGCTACGGTATCAACGTCGATCAAACGGTGTAGTCTATGACCCTCTTTGCCACTCTTCCACCAGACCTTTGGTCTTGCACATGAACCTCTTTCTCCCTATGTTATCTCCTCATTAGGCACTCGCTCAAGAAGGGCGGACATGAGGTGCAATCATATTTTCTGGCCGTACGTGGCGATCATACTCCTCTTCACTCATTACTTGAAGCTTCATTGCAGCCTCTTTAAGCGTTATCCCTTCTTTATGAGCGAGCTTGGCAACCTTGGACGCACTATCATAGCCAATGACTGGCTGTAGACAGGTCACAAGCATCAAGCTTGAAAGGAAGTCAGTATGGCTCTGTCTTCAATGGGTGATGATATGTATACCTTTGTCCAAGCAGAGCTGAGATGCGTTTTCGATCTGCTTCCAATGAATCCAGCAAATTAAGCCGGAAGCTGTTCATTCCATCACTGAGTAACCGAATAGAGTGGCACATGTTGTGAATCATCAATGGCTTGAACGCATTCAGCTGAAATTGTCCATTCATCCCTCCAATGGTAATTCCCGTATGGTTGGCAATCACCTGAGTGCATATCATGGTTAGGGACTCACACTGAGTGGGATTTACCTTTCCAGGCATGAACGACGATCCAGGTTCGTTTTCAGGGAGGATCAATTCTCCAAGCCCACACCGAGGCCCACTCCCTTCGAAGCGAATGTCTTGGGCGATTTTGAATAGTGAACATGCAAGTGTGTTAAGGGCACCAGACACGCTCACGATGGCATCATTGGCAGATATTGCCTCCATCTTATTAGAAGCAGTGACAAAGGGAAGTCCAGTCATTTGGGCGACTTCAGCAGCAAAGTCTTCGGCAAATCCTTGGTATACGTTGAGTCCAGTCCCAACTGCTGTACCACCCATTGCAAGTTTCAAGACTTCCGTCATGGTAGTCTTGACACGTGCAATGTTATACTCAATCTGTGCCGCGAAACCTGAAAACTCCTGGCCTAGAGACAGAGGCACTGCGTCCTGAAGATGCGTTCGGCCGATCTTGATGATATCGCTGAACTGATCAGACTTGGCCACAAGAGATTTGTGAAGCGCGTCCATCGTTGGTAAAAGTCGCTCGTTCAGGTCCAGGGCCGTAGCTATATGCATGGCAGTGGCAAAGCCGTCGTTCGAGGAGCCTGAGAGGTTGACATGATCGTTTGGATGTACGGGACTTTTCGAGCCCAGCTTGCTACCCAAAAGTTCGTTGGCTCGGTTTGATATGACCTCATTGCTGTTCATGTTTGTTTGAGTTCCAGATCCTGTCTGCCAGACCACGAGTGGGAAATGGTCGACTAGTTTTAATGAGGCCACTTCTGCAGCCGCCTTTTGAATGGCCTCTCCAACATTGGCATCTACAGGTAATCAGTTCTGACTTCCTTGGTTGGTAACATAGAGAGTTCAATATACCAAGAGCACCATGACGAACATTGACGGCAGCGGCAGCCCCTTTCAAGATCCCATATGCTCTGACAATGGAGATAGGCATGCGATCGCGTGGTTGGTTGATGACGAAGTTCTGTAGAGATCTATCGATTGTCAACCAGATTCATCCAATCGCTATCTCACTTGAGTTTATCTTACCGCTGAGTCTGAGCACCCCAGTACTTGTCCGCTGGCACCTATTCGACTATCAGCAAATACATAGATAAATCTATTGCACATGAAGTTGATCCTAACTTGAATTTCGCCGAAGGCATCATTTTCCGTTCTTGTATTCATCGTCTTACAAGGGAAGGGTTCTTCTATCTAAAACACTTTTTATTTTGATACTGCTGTACTCCCACAAGACATATTTGGAGCACCTTTTTGTACGTCTACTTCTAAACCAAGTCTATCTATCTATTAGACATCACAAGGTCTCTCGGTAAAGCAGCCTTTCTCCCCGACTTGTGCGGAGACTCGTCTCCATCTTCCCCTCAATTCACCTTAATTCGTGACTCTAAATAGTATTGCTGTCACGCCATCCGAAAGGAAGCTCCACGCGGAAAAGAAATTATTGCCGGGATCTATATTGGCATGGCAAAGGAGTTACTGCTGGTAGACCTCACCGACGGCGAGTCGTTAGCGTTGACCCAAACCTTTTGCTGGTGGGCCACCATCGACAAAGTATCAAGTGGCCACACCGGCGACCGGCATGATTGGGCTGGCGAGACGGGGATGAGATTCAGTCATTTTTCTCAGAGACGGTGGATCAATCAACAATCAAATATTCAATTCGGGTGCAAAAATGAATGGCCTTTCCAGCCGCCTTGTCTGAACCAGCAGCTTCGACTATCCTGCGCTGAATTCGCCGACTCCGCATTCTCCTTGCATTGCAATAACAAACATCCTAAGAATCACCCATAACTCCCAGGCGAGTGTGCCACCATTGATCGGTAGGCGGAGCGCCAAGTCATGCAAATGTCCAGTCCTTTACAAGGGGTATCAATAATCGTCCTAGGCGAAATGTGAAGGTGCAATGGCCTGCCGATCTGCTCAAACCCATGAGCCACTTGAACTCATCAATTCATTTCACTGGTTCTGCTGGAAGGGGAACTGAAATGGGAACGTGGGCATTCCATTCGTCATGTTTCCAAAATTCATGGGGAATGGGATGTTGTTGGGGTTTTTGTCGTCGCGATGGTCATTTCTGTTGTCTCGAGACGATTGAGGTCCACGCCTTCCTCCCTGGTCTGTGGCAATACGTCGGCTCATCGCTGAAATAGTGAGTTAGTGATGGTTTCAACACCGTTGGACGGACAACTTACCTTTGGATGATACACCGGCTCCGATTTCGATGTCAGGCTCCTCAACCACCAAACCTTGCTCAATGGGAAGCCCGCCGGTACCCCCATATTCGGCCGTCACGAGCCACTTGCGATCGGCATCTGTCAATCTTTCGATTGGAATGATACTAATGCCCGTCTGATAGTCGCTGCAGTCGCGAGGTCCGAATCCAACGCCCCATTTGGTCTGTTGTGAATGTTAGTCCGATAATGTCAAAAGTGTTAAAAGCGCACGGGTAGAACTTACGCGGAGTTGTGTGTCACCATCTCGATATTCTTCCATGCCGTTGCGTGCACTCTCGGCATCGCGGCGGTTGATCATCTTGACAAATGCATGGCGTTTGTCAACGTTGACGATACATGTCTGGACGACGCCATATCGTGAGAACAAATTGCGCAGGTGGGCCTCAGATGAGGTTACGCCACCGACGAAGAGAGTTCGGCTAAAGACTTTGATATGTCCTTTGGGTAGACTTGGGTCTTTGATGACATTCTTGGGACCCGGGGGTGGGAGGGATTGGTTCTGGGGGGGCGAGGGAGAGCGGCGTCGCCTTCCATTGGGGCTTCGCTGACGATAATCGTTGCCTCGTCTACCATCGCGGTCATTACGGGCATCACTATCATGGCGTCGTCGCGGAGAAAGATCTCTTCGTCTGTCATATCCGGGCGAACGAGACCGACGTCGGAACTGGCCCGGGGGTGACCGGGTGTGTGCATCACGTGACTGGTCGCCTTGTGCACCCCAACTGTTGGCACCCGGCATTGACGAAGGAAAAGCAGTGCCATTGTTCACGCCAGCATTTGCACCTTGCAACAGTTGCAATGCGGTGGTCCACTGGTCAGGAGGAACGCCTTGAGCAGCGAGAAGTTGCAGGAGTTGCAATTGAACTTGGGCATCCGCACCAGTCGGGGCCCCATTTTGAGGCATTTGAGCAGGTACTTGCGGTTGAGGCAAGAATGCAGCAAGTGGATTTGGAGGTACGTTTGCAGGACTTTGTGTCTGAACACCATTATTCAACCCAGCAAATAAAGCCCCCAATGGGTTTACAGCCTGGCCGTTGGCAGGAGTAAGAGAAGCGCCTGGGTTTACGGTACTGTTGGGCTGTACGTTTCCACTTTGCGGGCTTAACAGATTATTCAAACTAGCTTGTGGGGTAGCCGTGGGATTGGGAGGGGGCTGCGACACAGCGTTCTGTTTTGCCATATTCTTCAGGGCCTCCAGGATTGCAGATGTGTCTTGCTGCCGTGCTGGCTGCGCAGAGGCAAATGTGTTAGAGGGATTCTGCTGACCGAGAGGGACGAAGCCTGGCGACGGAGATCCTTCTGGGGTGGTTGAAACTAGATCCGAGTCAAAAGAGTGACCCTTTGGATAGGGGCGACAGGAAATGAAATCTTTACCTTTAGGAGCGTCAAGTCTTTCTTTGATCGAAGCAAGGAGCGGGGCTGGAAAGGTATTGGAGCGTTCCCAGATTTCCACCAGCTTCTTAATTTTGGCCTGTCATGGAGAAAATACGTGAGTCTATCGCGCAAAAACAGAAAAAACAGGGAGACGAGTTTGAGGGCGTTGCAACGGCAAACAATAGTCCAACCAACAACAATTGTGGTAGGTCGCCTCAGCATTCGCAATCCAGTAATAGCACGACGAAATGAATGATTCATACCTTTTGATCTTCTGGAGCAGCATGGGTGATGTCGTTCATGAGTACGGGGAGCAATTCAGTCACATGACTTACGCCAGCAGCAAAGGTTCCATCTGGAGCCCCGCTACCCAACTGCTGGCCGGCTTTTCTTGCTTGATCTACCCATTGCCGTGATACTGAATCTACAACATAGAGTACCCCTAGCTTGTGTGTTCCTGGTGTTTTTTTGAAGTGTGTGTAGATCTTTTGGATGAGGACTGACTCGGACTAAGGAATGAGTTAGCAGTGCTGGGATGGCCACAGGTTTATGGCCAGAGACGTACTTGGATGTTCGCGGTACAGAGGGTTGTGATGGTGTTGATCTTAGATCCGGAAACGCCTGGAGGTTTGAGAGTCAACATAGACTGCAGGATTGCGTCCAGTTCTGCCACCGCAGACGACATGATGTGCTACCCCGCCTACAGGACGCCACGCGTGTCAAAGTGTTGTCAAGTGCGCCTCACAAATCCTCAAACTCTTGATCAATGCCTCAAGCTGAGATGACCGCGGGTGTGTCTAATGTTGGCAAGTGTTGTCCAATGTGTTGATGGTGAGGTTACAGACAGCGGCCAGATACGGCGGTGATGTGAGGTAAATGATGAACGAGAAGAAACGAGTGTCCTGATGAGGAGTTTTGCAACTCAGAAGACAGAGTCTACAGTCCAGATGGCAAGAACAAGCCTGCACCTCCACAAGAGGGTTGATCTGCGACAGTTGGGGGACAAGGATTCTATCGGTCAAGTACAGCAAGAGAAATTGCGATGACTTCTGATTACAAGGTCGAAAAGACGCGACACGCGTCCAATGAACAGTTTGGAGATGAAGAGTGATGAAAAGGTGATGTTGGTGACAAGGTGGTGATGAAAATTGATTCAAAAGTGAAGAATTAGCACAGTGGCACGTTGAGGGTGGTTGGAAGTGAAGGAAAGAACTTGCAGGTGGAGATGAGGCAACAGCACTGCAGGAGTGCAAACTTAACGAACAAGGAAATTGAAGCGACTTGTGACGAATGAGGTTTAGTGGCTTTGTGGTGAAGAAACGGAGGGAGGGAACAATCATCATCACATGACGCAGAGAATGACACCATTGCACGTGACCAGATGGACAGAGTGTCCGGCACATGTTTTGTTCTCGCACGTGATCGACGGTGCATTCGTTAATGCATGGAAAATTCATGGGCTTCATTCCGTCGAGCTCTGAAGGGGTCAAAATGGGGCCGGCGCACCTTCGGACAGCGACTGGAGGCACTGGAGGGCCACGGACGAGGGGAGCAGTGGAGTCCACGGGGTGCTTGGTTTTGGACAAGGATAAGACGTGCGACTGGCTCACTGGCGCAGTACTGGGTCATTACTGGCTGGTGGCTGCCCGGCTCTCCAATTTATGCTTGGGTTACGTTACTGAGGGAAACACGATCCGACAAAATCCTGGAGCTCCAAGTCGGGATTTCTCAATCAAACACTTGCTCGGCCATTTTCTCATTCATCATCTTGCAGCTACCACCATTTTATACCCTCTTCAAATTGATTCCATCCACACCTCATCTCATCTCCTATTCTGAACCCTTTAGTGACCTGTTGTAAGCCATCCCCCAGACACTATGGCCTCCTCACTGCGTGCGGGAAGCTCCCTTCTGCGCACCTCGACCCTCTCCTCCCGACCTGCCATTCAGCGAGCCGCATTCAACGGTGTGCGTGCTGCCAGCACAAAGGTAAGCTATGTAACTCATTCTGAGCTCCTTATCGCTAATAAGGCTCCTCAAAGTCGCTCAAAGACACCTTCGCCGACAATCTCCCAGCCGAACTCGAAAAGGTCAAGAAGCTGAGAAAAGACTATGGCAGCAAGGTCATTGGCGAGGTCACTCTTGACCAAGTCTATGGCGGTGCTCGAGGAATCAAGTCTCTAGTCTGGGAAGGTTCCGTCCTCGACTCTGAAGAGGGTATTCGCTTCCGTGGAAAGACTATCCCCGAGTGCCAGGAGCTACTCCCTAAGGCCCCTGGTGGTGAAGAACCCCTGCCTGAAGGTCTGTACTGGCTGCTCTTGACTGGCGAAGTCCCCAGCGAGCAACAAGTCCGCGATCTTTCAGCAGATTGGGCTGCTCGCTCTGAACTCCCCAAATTTGTTGAGGAGACCATCGACCGTCTGCCCAAAGATCTCCACCCCATGGCTCAATTCTCCATCGCTGTCGTTGCCCTCGAGCAAACTTCGGAATTCGCCAAGGCATATGCTCGAGGCATCAACAAGAAAGAGTACTGGCAATACACCTTTGAAGATTCTCAGAACCTCATTGCCAAGCTCCCTACCATCGCCTCCAAGATCTACCGCAACATCTACAAGGATGGAAAGGTTGCCCCGATCCAAAAGGACAAGGATTACGGCTTCAACTTGGCCAATGGTCTCGGCTTTGGCGAAAACACCGACTTCGTTGAGCTGATGCGTCTGTATTTGACCATCCACAGTGACCACGAAGGTGGCAATGTCAGCGCCCACACCACCCATCTGGTTGGCAGTGCTCTCAGCTCTCCCTTCCTGTCTTTGGCCGCAGGTCTCAACGGCTTGGCTGGACCTCTCCACGGATTGGCCAACCAAGAAGTCTTGCTCTGGCTCACCAAGATGCAGGAGTCGGTCGGTGGCGATCTCAGCGACAAGTCCATCACTGATTACCTCTGGTCCACCCTCAACTCTGGCCGTGTGGTTCCCGGTTATGGCCACGCAGTGCTCCGCAAGACTGATCCCCGCTACGTCTCTCAAAGAGAATTCGCCCTCCGCAAGCTGCCTGAAGATCCTTTGTTCAAGCTCGTGAGCCAGGTCTACAAGATTGCTCCTGGTGTCTTGACCGAGCACGGCAAGACCAAGAACCCCTACCCCAACGTTGACGCTGTAAGTACCCGGCGCAGGCTGTGCCCACTGAACCATGATACTGACTGCATTAGCATTCCGGTGTCCTTCTACAATATTACGGTTTGACCGAAGCCAACTACTACACCGTCCTGTTCGGTGTTTCGCGTGCCCTCGGTGTGTTGCCTCAGCTCATCATCGACCGCGCCCTCGGCGCCCCCATTGAGCGACCCAAGTCTTTCAGCACTGAGGCATACGCCAAGCTCGTTGGTGCCTCTTTGTAAAGAGGCCGGGCTTTTGACCTGGAGCACTTCAGTGAAGTATACAGCGGAAATAGCGTAGTTCTACCACGGGCAACGGTGCACGGGGTATGGGTGGCTTGGGATGCAAGATTGCCTGTAGGCTATGAGCGTACCAGTCTGCTGTAGATGAGCCACAATGGATGGAAGCGTTTTTTTTTTTGGGAACCAAAAGTGCACCTTCACGTTTCCCGCAGCTCAGTTTCCCATTTCTAGCCTGTATTGAGGTCAAGAATATAGAATGTAGAATGTTGGTACACGTGTCAGCCACGATGAGAGTCCGGTGTGAGACGTGACGCACGGTCACGACCTTGCATCATCTCACAACTTTTTTTTAGCGCAAGGTTGAGGGCCCAACGGGGAGCTCAACGGACCCACAAGTGGAAGATCCATGTTCCAACGCGTTTGATAAACTCAGTGCGCAGGCCGCCAGAGGCTCCTTCGGGGGTGCCAGGGCCCGAGGCGTCCTAAGGGGTGCACGCACGCGCCACTTTTCCAGCTACCGGGGCAGTACTTCAGGACACGAGGCCTGTATTTAAGTAGGACTCCGTTCGGAGCGACAGGCTGGGGGGAGAGGGGGGATGCGGCTTGGTGGGATCCAGAATTAGCATAGAGTGTCTCGCCCGGCAAAACACTAACTTAGGGGCGATCGAAGAGCGGCCCTTGGTCTTCTGGGGGCCCAAAAAGGACCGCTGGGTTGTAATTGATTATTTTTGTGATTATCGTCCTCCTCGGTTGTTGTCGGTGTCCTTTCTCACGCCGAGTAGGTGAAGGAGGCTTATTTTTTGGCTGGAGGCAAGGTTCAAGATTGTGGTCGCCCCATCGTGCATTGTCAGACCGTCATTTGATTATCTCCTCGTGCTAGTGTCCTTGTTGGCTCCTGCCGTAATCCGTATATCGTTCCTGCATACATCCTTTCCCTCCTCCTGTCCTCTCTACCCATTCGATTCCTCCCCTACTCTCTGCTCAATACATCCTCAAGGCGACGGAGCCGGACAAATCCCTTGGTCAGGGCCTAGAGTATCACCTTTTTGTTCAACATGTCAACAGCTGTCGCAATGGGCGCTCCTGCTGCAGGGCCTCCCAAGATTGAGAAGAAGCCTATCAAGTTCAGCAACTTGCTTTTGGGCGCCGGGTTGAACCTGTTCGAAGTCACCACTCTCGGCCAACCCCTCGAGGTCATCAAGACCACCATGGCTGCCAACAGACAGGATTCGTTTGCTGGAGCCATGTCACGAATTTGGGGTCGTGGTGGAATTTTGGGATGTAAGCACAAGCTGAACGTCGTGGCGAGCGGACCTCGGTAACTAATTGATTTCGTTGTATAGACTACCAAGGCCTGATCCCTTGGGCCTGGATCGAGGCATCAACAAAGGGTGCTGTCCTCCTCTTCGTCGCCTCTGAGGCCGAATATTACGCCAAAACCTTTGGTGCCGGTAACTTCGCCGCCGGCATCACTGGAGGCATGGTCGGCGGTGTGGCACAGGCTTATGCAACCATGGGTTTCTGCACATGTATGAAGACGGTGGAGATTACCCAACACAAACTCGCGGCCTCCGGAGTGAAGCCCCCGTCGACCTTCCAGACCTTCGCCGATATCTACAGAAAGGAAGGCATTCGAGGCATCAACAAGGGCGTCAATGCCGTCGCCATTCGCCAGACCACCAACTGGGGTTCTCGTTTTGGTCTCTCTCGGCTGGCAGAGAGTGGTATCCGGAAGGCGACCAACAAAGAGCATGGCGAGAAACTGAGCGCCGTGGAAAAGATTGTTGCTAGCGCTCTTGGTGGTGGCCTGTCTGCCTGGAATCAACCAATCGAAGTTATTCGAGTGGAAATGCAGAGCAAGACAGTGGATCCAAATCGACCAAAGAACTTGACGGTCGGCAAGACCTTCAAGTACATCTACAGCAACAACGGACTCAAGGGATTGTATCGAGGTGTGACTCCTCGCATCGGTCTGGGCGTCTGGCAAACCGTGTGCATGGTGGCATTGGGAGACCTGTGAGTCGACCCTCTTCAGACTAACTTGACCATTGACTAACCTGTTGTGACAGTGCCAAAGATGCGGTGGAGAAACTCACGGGCGAAACCGTCACGGCGAAGCACTAAATCATAGAATATTTTGGAATGGCGAGGAGGACTATCTACCACTATATTGGACAAGAGTCGAGCCACCTTAACGGGCATGCTGGCCTTGAGACTTTCTTCCTGTTTACCGGCAATGATCGAGTTGTAGAGGACCAGGCATGCCGCTTCTAGTGTGACAAAAGCTGATAGAACACGGGACTTGAGACCTTGTGACACGATGAATACATGTACATGCATTCCTGTGAGATCTGGCCATCTCGAGGATTTGTCTGATCATGCTCAACCCTGACCGGTACCGGTCCTGAATCTCTGGTGCAGCCGCAACTTTCCGCGGTTATGCTTCCACTCTGCACTTTCCGCGGTTATGCTCCCACTCTGCATTTTACAACTTCAGCGACGTGGTCATTTCATAGCTACCCACGTTGACTAAAGCCTGCCGATTGTTGTCCCATTTCTCAAGCGAATATGGGTGATTTCGGGCCGAATGCGGATTGAGTAGAAAATGCGGAGTTGGTTTGTTGCAAGCACGACGCCGAGCCCCCATCTCTGTCAGCTGAATCTTGACCCGCAGTCTCTCCACGCCTAAGTAGAGACTGATATGGTGCTCAGTGTTCTCAACTGTGTTTTCCCAGTAGTTCACTACATGGTAAAGTTTTCACCGAGCTGGATAGCATGTGGGCTGGGATTCATTGCTACCGTAGAGAAAATGACAACGACTGGCTAGGTCGTTGTTGATTGTAGTCGTGCGGCTCTTTTTGGATTACGCGATATGACGCGACGCGAGGTCCGGGGTTGTTGCAGAAGGAGCAGTTGCCCCAGTTGTGCATGCCTTCCCTTTGAGTCCGAAGGCATTGATCTGCCTTTAATCATTGAATATTCTCATCTTTTTCAGGTTTGTCTCTCTCTCAACTCTTCCTGAATCTACCGCTGCTCACTCCCCGCAGCGGACCTGTCGACGGTGGATGATTCTTCCCGCTTTCTCTGTTTGAATGTCATGCTATCGGCTCAGATGACTCACCATACGGCGGTGTTTGCTGCCGACCTGGTCATGGGCGGATGGATCGAAGGTGATGGAGCAATAATGAACGCAGAGCTCGTGTGCGTTCAAACAAAGGAAAATCATGATGAGTCCGGGATAGGATGACTGGGTCAGGTCTGTTTGACATTCCCATTGTTCTTGTCACCCCCTCCGTCCTGTTCTTTGACTCATGTTCAATCACCCACAACAATATCAAGCTCTCCAATTACAGCTGTGGATTGTCAGGTTTGTCGAGATCAAAACTGAGTGTGATTCTCTCAACGGACCCATCTTGTCTGTCGACCTCGACAAGCACCCATTACTGTATCTGAGCAATGATTCTAAATCACATCATGTACAGCACTCTGCTGCTGTGTCTAACACTGACAGCCGACGCCTTACTGTGGAACATGACTTCCATCAAAGAGCGCCTTGACACCTCCGCCGCACCAGCCGCCTCACCACCCACCTTTCCCTTACCCTTACCGTGGAACTTGAGTTCCATAAAAGAGCGCCTTCATGCCACCTCCTCACCAGCCGCTGATCAATGTGTCTTTGCCCTGGAACCCTCGACCTCGACCGGCTGCAACAATGCTACTGCCCATGTCACCATTCCCGCTACGACTGCCTGCGTTCCGGTGGGACAAGAGGGCTTGATGGCGGTGTGGGTCGAGTCGTGCGCTGATCGCTTCCGTGCCTGTTCATTCTGGGACCAGGCTGACTGTACCGGCTCCAGCGTGAGGATCGACAAGGAGCATTTGGGGGCGAAATGCACCGGCATCAGATTCTATGTCAGAGGCATTACCTGTGAGGTTTGAGTATACAAGAGGGGGTTGCGAGGTTGAATTTAGATTGTGGTCATGGATTGGATTTTTTTGGGATTGGAGCATCTATGGTAGAACAATATATCTTTCGAGGTGCTTAGGAATGACCTTTCTTAGGTCTTTCGACTGCAGCCACTTTTCGCTGAAGAGTCGATCAGCATAACGATATGCACCGTCGCAGAGCACGGTGACCACCGTGTGTCCAGGGCCCAATTGCTCAGCAACTTCCTTAGCCGCCACCACGTTCAGAGCACTGCTGGCTCCAAGATATAAGCCTTCCTCGTCGAGGGCTCGGTATACCATTTCAATACTTTTTTCGTCCGCGATGTGCAGTGCCCCGTCAAGTTCCTTGACTTCGTTTTCAAGGTTATCCGTCACTCGACCTTGACCAATCCCTTCAGTGATGCTACCACCACTTCTCTCCTTCAATTGACCTCCCGAGCTAATGTACGAGTAAAGAACTGAGCCAGGAGGATCAGCGAGGAAGGACTTGACCCTACCGCCACTGACATCCTTCAGATATCGAGTCACACCCGCCAAAGTCCCTCCAGTGCCAGTGGCGCACGTGAATGCATCCACCTTGCCTTCGGTCTGAGCCCAGATCTCCGGCCCCGTGGTTTCAATATGAGCCCTTCGGTTGGCCGTGTTATCGAACTGATTGGTCCATACAGCACCATGCTCTGGATCCTCCTTTTGCAACCGCTCTGCATGACGCTTCGCCTGCCAGTTGTAGTTGTCTGAGTTTTCCCATGCGACGGCAGGGACAGGGTAGACTTCGGCGCCCAGTAATCTCAGCAGATCAATCTTGCCCTGAGACTGTGTGTTGGGCATGTAGATGACCAATCGATACCCTCGAGCTCGACAAACGTGAGCAAGACCGATGCCTGTGTTTCCAGCTGTGCCTTCAACCACTGTGCCGCCTGGCTTCAGCAGTCCTCGCTCTTCCGCATCTTTTACCACATACAGCGCGGCTCGGTCCTTGACGCTGCCACCGGGGTTTTGGAATTCGGCTTTGCCCAGCACGTTGCATCCCGTATCGGCGGAGATTTTCTTGAGTTTGATCAAAGGAGTATTTCCGATGGCTAGAGATTGTTGGTTAGTTTGCGAAGAGACAGGACTATTGGGTGGTGCAGAGAAAGTACCTCCTGTCAATTGGTCGACAACGCCTTGAGCTTTGGAGACTCGGACTCCATATGAGTTGGTGGCCTCCGCAGTCGCTGCGCGTGTCGCTGTGGTGGCGAAGCGACGAATGGAGCCCCTCAATACATTCGCCATGGTTCCGAGATTATGCAGACGGATATATGGCGCTTGAAATCGGCGGTTCGGGGAATGGAATAGAGACAAAGTCTGGCGAGCATCTGTTGGAAAAAAGTTGCCATGGCATCATTTGCGGAGGAGATCCGCGGTCCCGGCAAACAGCAAATGGGAAGGCGCAACAACCAATAACGACAACTGCTCTGCTCCACAAATATATTTCATAAAGAGACGACCTTCTTTTCTTTCTTCCTCTCATTCTCTATATTTCATTGAAATAATCATATACTTACACACAATTTTGCTGTTCGTATATGTGAACGCTGACAACGACAGCTTCTGAAAAGTATGGGTTTGTTATACTCGACTTGTATCAGAACCACATCATGCAAATGTCCATGTGCCGGTAGGTCACCTTGACATAGCCAGCTCACCAGGGCACAACACGCTACTCAAGTGCCGTGACTGATGCGAGTGCGAGGTGAGGTGAGTCGAGGTGCGGCAGTAACTGAAAGGAGGGTAAAGTGAAGATTCTGCGTGACCTCTGCCTCAGATTGGCGAAGAAATGGCTTTCTTCACTGTAACAGCGTGTGAAAAACAAACAGATCGCGTCAATGCCTGGCAGATTGAATCTGCCTCACTCACTCTGCAGATCCCATTGTGCACATATATCTCTGTTCTCTGACCTTTTCTTTCCTATCTTGCTTCGGTTGGTGTATCTTCCACTTCATACTTCACATTCTGGCAAGCAATCATGGTCCTAACTCGATCAGGTCTGAATCTTGAATCCCCTGCGGCAAAGCCGCGACTCCAGACCCGCGTATCTCAAACCCCCGTGGGGAGTCGATATCTGCCATCACTAACCCGCGCACCTGAGATCCACGAGGAGAGCAGTCATCTGATGGCGGCAAGGCGCCTGAGGCTTGTGTGTAGACGGCCTGCTGGTAGGACTGAGGAGCCTCCCAACGGAACCAACGACGTCATCATGGACGACGACGACGACAATCCACAAGCTAGCGAACTGACCTTGGACGAAGCAGAACGGAACAAATTCCTCCGCGATGCTGCCAATTTGTATGAACGCACCTTTGAAGAGCTCTTGCAAAGCAACACACAACTCGCTCAGCGCAACAAGGATCTTGCTGTTGCGGAAACCATGAACAAACAGCATCTTGCAACCATCAAGACGCTGCGAGACGAGGCCAGTGAAGGCAAACGACAGCTTGACGATATTCGTCTACAGGTCGCGGCCCACCTGGATGAATGCAACAATCTCAATAATGCAAAGGACTTGCCCATCGTACTCCAGCCCACTTTCGCCACTCACTACCCTTTATCGCCAATCGATCCCGCTTTAGAGGACGAGGGAGACCAGGGAGATCAACTTTGTCTTTTATCGAATACGTGGACTGGCTTGCTCGACAGAAATCGACGACCCAGCATCCTCATTAGCGACCTTTTCGTCTGGCATATCGACACCAGTTCTTTCGTCCATATGAATTCGCAAACTATATGCACTTGTCAAGTCGAGGCATCACTGGTCAATGACAAATTCACTCGCTCTGCCTTCTTCCGCCCTACCACCAACGCCATGATGACAAATTGGGACGAATCGATCCTTCAAGTTCAAGATCTGGTGTTTGAGAACGCCATGTACCAAGACATCTCCTCCTGGGAGCAACTCCACGCCTGGCTCGAATGTTTCAAGTGCCTCGCTGATTCTCGTCCCGGCACCATGAGGAGGATTCGATGTCTCTATGGCCGGACTGCGGTGGACAAGGATGCTTTATTTGCTGCATCGTTGGGAGTTGAGCCTTTGTAGCGACAACTGAAGTGAGTATTATGAAGCCTTCTAATGATTCATAAGCGGTGGCATACTTGGCTATCTCATTTTGCACGGAGCATTGGGTCAGAAGCAAAAGATCAGAGTAGTAAGACGTTGGAAGATTCTTGATTGGAAAGTGCAGGCAAGTTTGATGGATGGAATGCGACCACAAGAAAATAAAAACCGATGCAGAGAATTGTTGGTTTCAATGGATTTTGGTCTCATTCTGGGGTCACAGAGATCGCGCCGGTAGAAGGTGCCACAGTATAATGGCAATCCACACAATGAATTGAGACCAAGCAACATCTATTTTCTGAAGCCATTCTTTTGATACCGTGACACGTGATAGTATCTCCCAGCTTTCGCCTCCACTAACATGGTCCTCTAATCTTTACCGGTAGGAATTTTGAAAAAGACAGCCTTCTGACCTTCGGTCGCAGCCTTGTCACATCTGAAATAGCCCTTACGATCAAACTGAATGACCTCATCGACCTTGACATCCGCGACATTACAGTCCGCAACGGCCGAAGTAGTGAACTCGGTCTTTGGCGTAAGGAAGTCTTCCCACTTGGCCTCGTCCTCCTCAGACAATTTATCCTTTGACAGAAGATGATCAAACTCAACGAGCTCAACCGGAACAAGAGGTTGATCTTGCGACAACCAAGTGATCTTCTTCTTGGTCGCTTTGAAGTCACCGGCCAAGTTCAACGTCATCGACAATTCCTTGATGTTGTTGAGCGAGGCCACACCACTGGTAATATCTTCAGTCTTGTCCTGCGAAGCATATTCGATTCCCGACACGATCGCATTACCCCAATTCATCAACGTGATTTCCTCATCTTGTGCAAATGATTGTGCGTCTTCTTGTTCCACCAGGATGGTCTTGCTGTACCACACGGTTTTCTCGCCGAGGTCGTACTTGGCATGGCAGGGTTTAGTCTCCGAATACGGTTCATCCTTGTCGAGACCCTGGATCTTGCATACGACTAGATTGGTGTCGGCGAGGGCAGTGAATCGTTTTCCCATCACATCGATGATTTTCTTGTTGGTTTGCCAAATTGTGTGCCAATCCATGTTGACGATGTTTTTGGACGGGCCTTGGCTGACCATGAAATCACGGAGTCCTTCGACGGTCATACCCCGACGACGGATTCCTCGAACAGTTGGGAAACGTGGGTCGTCCCAGCCGGAGACGACACCGGCGTCGACGAGCTTGGTGAGTTTTCGCTTGGACATCAGGGTTCGCACGAATTGGATTTTGGAGAAGGTCCAGATGAACGGGGCGCGGAGCTCCAAGGCCTTGAGAATCCATTTGTATTGCGCATCTTGGTCGTTGTATTCAGTGGTGCGGAGGGCGTGTGTCACACCTTCGAGAGAGTCGACGATGGGACAGGCGAATTGATATGTAGGATATGCTTTGTATTTGTCGCCGGTACGGAGATGGGGGGTTTGTGTCTTGGGGCATCGGTAGATGACAGGGTCACGGAGAGAGGCGTTGTCGTTGGCGAAAGAGATCTTGGCCCGGATACACCATCTGCGTCCTTCATCTGTGCCTTTTCTCATTTCCTCAAAGTGAGCGAGATTGTCCTCAACACTGTCGTCTCGGTGCACACTGGGTTCACGTGCCAGTCTCATTGCACTCATGACGTCTCCTGGAGTGTCGTCTGCGAACGCCTTTCCGGCCTTGATGATCTTGAAACAGTACTCTTCAATCTGCTCGAAATAGTCCGAGGTGTGGGAGATGGTATCTGGCTTGATCCCCAGAAGGGCAACATCCTCACGGATGGATTCTTGGTATTCCTCCTTCTCTTTCTCGGTGTTGGTGTCGTCAAAGCGAAGGATCATCTTTCCACCGGGGTATTGAGTGTGGGCAAAGTGATCATTGAGGAGGGCAGCTTTGGCATGGCCAATGTGAAGGTATCCTGAGGGTTCGGGAGGGAATCGTGTGACTACACCGTTGGCGGCGTTGGGAAGTTCCATTTGCTTGACCTTAGGGGCCTTTTTGGCCTTGGGAGGGTTCTTGGTCGCCATTTTCGAGGTTGAACGAGAGATTGGATAGGATATAGAGTCAAGATGCGGGTTTAGGGTGAGGACAATGCAGAAATACAGTTGTATGTGATTCAGACAATTTTGAGGATTTCGTGCCTCATTGACTCAGCCTCGCGCGGGGAGAGGGAATTGCCACAGCCTTGTCCACCATGTTTGAATCATCGGCGATCGGCCCAAATCTACGTGCCTGCCAAGCCAAGAGAAGTAAAATCTGCTCGCGCTTAACCCCGTTTTAGATCGAGGGTGATGCTGCCCTATGCTCACAGGACACTTCACCTGTAACTCACCGGTTGTGAGGGGCGGAAACGCCCTAGCGCGAGTTGATCCCTTTGACTCAACCTGGTGGATCCCATTCTAGATCAAAAGCAGCGTCACTGGACGGACACTTAGTAGGTTGGCTGTAAACGAGTTCAGGCGCGCCAGGGAATCAGGGATGACAGCTATAGGGAACCCTATTGGTTAATGGTATTAGAAGTCTCTATATTACTTTACGGCGATCTACTATCTCTAAATGTTATCATATAGCCCTATCGATCTACTTGGGCCCTCTTACAGTTATGCGGTTAAGTAGGGTTTACTTCGTACGCCTGGTTCTACACCCTTTGGCCTAGTTAGTGTTTGACATGAGTGTCACGTGCCTGTACCCACCCATCCCGCCTTTGTGGTCTGTGAACTGCGCCCTCACTTACTTCCGCCATTCGCGATTTACAAGATCGACATCGACCCTCGCAGCGACTTGGACCATGGCTTTTGAGGCATGATATTATATACCATGCCTAAGAGAAGCCTCGCTTACTCACTTCATGGCTTTAGATCCGCCGCCGGAAACAACGGCCCGCAAGTACCGATCCAAGCGGCAAAGGCCGTGTGACCTCTGCCGTACGAGAAAAGTCCAGTGCAAGATCCCCGAGAACCACACGTGTTGCGAGCTATGCAAACGCTTAGACAGACGATGTACCTTCGTCATCGAACCGTTGAGAAAAGAATACCGATTGCGTCATCACGGTGAAGGGTCGACTAGTAGGCCTTCACTGAACATACCGTTGGTGGATCGTAACCGAGAGGTACCACTGCCTCCCGTTGTGTTGGACCTGGGGAACGATGAAGCCGAAATGGATATCGACGCAGGTTCTTTTTGGATTTCACCCAACCCTGACCACGTGTCCTTCAATCCGGAAGATGCTTCACAAATGGTTGAGATGGGTTGGGCTTCAGCGGATTTCTCCCTCACCACACCTCAGCAACGCTCGGATCTGCAACAGACTGGACACAATCTGACCGCAACTCCGAATTTAGCCATCCCAGGGCCGGAGAGCCCCATCAGAGCTTCAGTGAACGGTAACAACCAGCTCCAGTTACAAGGTGAAGAGGCCAGAGGCACATATCTCTCCAGCAACATGCATCATCCTGCGCAGGCTCTGCCTCTAGATTCTCGAAGCCGCCTGTCAAACCCGTCGCCTAACACACCACCTGCGCCAATGGCCGCAGATATGGAGCACTTAATCACCTTCCCAAGCAGCGATGCTTTTGATGGCTCGCCTCAATCGTCAGGTATTGGAGCAGATGGTGTGTTAGGCGACGGATTGGACTGGCCAGCTGAATTCTCTCTTGAGTCGAAACCCGGCTGGTCAAACCAGGTAATTGGTCTTTCCAGTGAATCAGACCCATTTCTCCTTCGTCACTACCTGTACAACGTGCATGACACGCACCCCATGTTTCGGCTGCATTTCCGAAAGATCTTGGATGACAAGGACATGCAGACCCACTTCGAAGAGCAGTCTGTACCCGTGGGCAACGTCCCCCTCCAATTTATGATGGTCAACGAAGAGATGTGGCAAGATGGTTTGAAATCAGTGGAAAGGATTGTTTCGGGACCCCACACAGAGGAAAGCGACTTGAAGCTTCTCAACGAAATCGTGCCAAACGAACTTGGCTCACGTTTACTAAAATTGTGAGTTTCTAAGCCCTGGCACGCCCTACGCTAACCGTGATTAGGTATACTCAATGCGTTCATCCTCGATTTCCTGTGCTCTCTCTGTCTGATCTCAGCCAACTTCTCACTGATGACTGTTGCATCGGTATCAAAAGCACCGTCTTCGCTCTGGCAGCACCTTTTACCTTCTTGGACGACGAGTTGAGTGTCTCTAAAGGCTACTCGCAACTTCCCACAGAAAATCTTTGGGCTATAGCGTATCGCAACTATCTCCGCCTCTCGCAGTTTTCCCATCTCTCGCTCCTCCAGCTCTCTCTTCTGCTTCTGGAGATGCCGCCGCTGAATTTTGCTGTGGCCGAGTCTCCGAATCCCTGGGCTCTTTCGTGCTCTGCCCTGGCTATCGCGGAGAGCTTGGGCCTGAATATTGATCCGCTCAATTGGCGGCTGCCAAGACACGAAATCATCCTCCGCCGGAGGTTGTGGTGGCTCACCTACGTCCAACACATCTGGCATGCTCTTGTGTTCGGCCGCACGTCGCACATCGATGACGCCGCCTGGGATGTGTCCAGACTCTCTCCCGACGATTTCGAAGGCACAGACCATCCAGACCCTGATGTCAAGAATGCGATCAAACAGCATATCCCGACAATCATGGCGATGTCCGATCTAAGTACTATTGCGGCAGATATCTTGAAACAATTTTAGTATGCCATACCCTGTCTCCTTCGCTGCATCGCCATGTACTAATAAACTAAATCATTCAGTACGCTCAAAGCAATACGGCAAACTTCATCTCTCACATCTTTGTTGGATCGTGCTAAACCTCTGCGTAAGCGTATGGAGACCTGGATGAAAGGACAGTCAGTGTTGTCAAAAGCAACATCAGATCTGAATGACGACGATCTAGAAAAGAGTGCACCGCTCAGATTGTCTCACATCACCTTGGAAATACTCATTTACAGAGCCCTTCTGCGCCCGCTGTCGTATGGCGCCTTGCAGTCCGCAGAACAGAATCGAGAGCCCACCTCATTTATCTTCGAGAACTGCTACGCCTGTGCGAAGGTTGCAGTGGAGTTTGTGGCTGCTCTCAACGCAAAGCACTTTTCCAATTATTGGCACCCCTATGCACGATATCAGCTTTGCTATATTTCGACATTCATTTTGATGAACTTTGCTCAGTCAGCCACACAAGAAGCTGCTCTCAGAAACAAAGCCTTACTCAGCAAATGGCGAGATAGTCTACGTTCACTTTCGCGAGCTTGGCCACTTGCGAAACTGGCGACAATGAGACTGGATGCCGCGTTTTGGAAAGGCCTCTCGGCCGTTGTGCATGGTGCTGGTCCGGACAACCCTGCTAGCAGGCTCCTCAAGGAACAAGGCTCTCAAACCTCCGGTTAAGGATGAGATCCTCGGTGCGACTTACAGATACGGATATCTCCGCTTACAGCACTCGGCTAAGTCAATTTGAGTCAAGATCACATAAGCCCCATCCCCCAGAGGGATCGCTTTGAGCACTGGGGTGGTCGAGGTATAATCACATTTGCAAAGCGATCGAAGAATTGCGACGCGCTACAGTGGTCATGCTTTGGATTATGATGGTGGTGTCTCTTTGAACAGATGCGCGACCGAAATCAATACGTTGGTTTGAGCGGAATAGCTTCGGCGCGTATAGTTGTGCGACTTTGAAGGAGTGTTAACCTACAGCACCAATCTACTGTCCGCGGGTTTTGAGATTAGACTGAGGTAGACATGCCTACCACTCATCGTCTCTTGGACCAAGGATTGCACCAGTCGTGCGGGATACCACGTATCGGACCTTTATAGAACTCGTTATTTCAGTACCCGATCTGGTCCACTATCAAACTGATCTGACAGTGTGTCATATGATCACGGACATTTGCAAGATTCCACAGTACTCCCTCGGACCGATGTGGGGGAAGTACAAAGATGTGGGCTGTGAAGCATGTTTACACTTTTCTAGTAGGAAAACATCATCTTCCACCTATTCTGCTCAACTCATCATCGTTGTAAATGAACTCTATGGCACCCCATCGGAGGACTGCGAAAAGTCGATAGCCTCGACCGCAACGGCATGGCGAACGAAAGACGAAAAGATCGCACAACAGCCCCTAAAACAAGGGTCGAGTGGGAGAAGTGTGAAAGTACTGGGTCTCGTCCTTTTGTCTTGAGGAGATTTGTTGGGTGGACCGGCTTTCCAACAAAGACATCGGCTTGTTTCGTAGATGTCGCGTCCTTTCAAGAAAGACCATAGCAGTCTTACATTGAAGTCAGAAATGAAATTGATGCAATTGTGCATCGTGCATTCGCGCTCATTGAGGGGATTATGAATATGAGGTGGCATCACGTGACTAAGGAGGACCCGAAACTGTTGTCCTCAATTTGCTCTGGTTCGCGTGTCCAAGCATGGATTTGAGGACCTTGAGAAGTAGAAATAGATGTAGAAATAGATGTTGCCTGTCAGAAACGCCTGCCGAACTGGTGTGTCGTATTTCATTCCTCGCTCGTTAGCTCTACAAATCACCCGTGTTGATTCCGCTCACGTTTCATCTCGACCCGCATCAGATAATGATATACGATGTGGCAATCATTGGTGCCGGTCCTGCTGGCTTGGCTGTGGCAGCTAGATTAAGAGAAGCCACTCCGTCTGCTCTCTTCACCGACGACGAGCATCGCAGATACTGGCGACGATTCAACCGGCGTGAAACCATTCAAACCGAATCCAAAATCCGGCGGCGATTAGCAGATACTGATTCGCGTCAAAATGCCCCCCCGGAAAGATCAATCATTGTGCTTGATGCTGTTTCCGACAAATGGATGGGTGCATGGGGAGAGAGGTTCCGCAAACTGCAGATCGATCATCTTCGGAGTCCGCTGTTCTTCCATCCAGATCCAAGAGATAGAGATGCTCTGTTGACATTTTCGCATTTTTCTGGGCGTGCCTGTGAGTTACAAGAAATTCATAACGTGGTGGGCAAAGAAATCAGCAAGCATCGGATCAAGAAGACCCGTCAGAGGTAAGCAGCGGCGGCAAATCTTGACTTTTGATCTGCCGGCTTTGACAAATCTATAGAAAAACCGTCCCACATCTTCGGATAGACGACAGAGACCGTGTCGATTACTTCACACCTTCCACTCAGATCTTCCATGACTTTTGTGAGGATATTGTGGACAGATATCATCTACGGAACGTGGTGGTGCAAGCAAGGGTCGAAAATATTGAGTACGGAGACCTGGGCGGGTTGAATAACGGTAAATGTTTCACCTTGACAACGAACCAGGAAGACATTTTCTCCAGGTTCGTTGTCCTCGCAGTTGGTCCTGGCTGTAAGCCCGGAATTCCCATGGACAGCAACCTCCAGCTGGGCGACGATTTGCGAGGTGTTTGCCACTGCCTCGATCCTGCAGCCGGGCACTACTTGCCAGAGCATGTCCTACAAAGGATTAACAAAAGAGTACCGACTTCGGTGGTGGTGGTTGGAGGTGGACTCACCAGTGCTCAAGTTGCCGATCTAATCATCAGGCGTGGAGTCACCAAGGTGTGGCTGTTATTGAGAGGAAGATACAAAGTAAAGCATTTCGACGTCGACCTGGAGTGGGTATCGAAGGTTCGCAATCAGCAGATGTCGGTCTTTTGGTCGGCGGATAGTGATGAAGGTAAGTTGGCAACCGGGTGAGCGTGTCCGTCACTAAGATCCCCGCAGAGCGTTTCAAGATGCTCTCCGAAGCTCGAAATGGAGGCAGCATAACCCCAAAGTTTGACAAGATTCTTCAAAGACACATTGCCAATGGCAGTCTTGCTGTGCTGACTCACACTCACATCGAAGACGGAATCTGGAGCAGCGAAAGCCGGACATGGTCTCTCAAGCTGTCGTCCGCACCACATCAGTTCCCGCATAGTATCGACCACGTCATATATGCTACAGGAGCAGGACCAAACATCGAGAAAGTGCCCTGTATCCAGCGGATGCGGCAGGAATACTTTGTCCAGTCTATTAATGGGCTACCAAAACTTACCGACGATTTGATGTGGGACAAAGATGTCCCATTATTCTTGACTGGCGGACTGGCCGGGTTAAGGCTTGGTCCTGGCGCTGCAAATTTAGCCGGGGCACGGCAGGGCGCCGAAAGGATCGCATGGAAGATCGACGAGCTACTGGACAGGGGGCAGGACCAGTCACTCGATAATCAGAGTTCAGTCTCGGATAATGTAGACAGAAGCTCTCTGGAAGAGGGTGAGAGGAAGACATTGAACATGGAATGGAGAGAGTACACCGGAGGCTTTGTCAATCAATTCAAGGCCTTGATGTTGGACAAAGACGGCTGAAGCCGGGTCTTCCTATTGACGTCGATGAAGTGTTACTGAGACTTCCATGTGGAAGAGGGGCGCGTGATTGTCAAGTCATGTCCTACCTAGCGAGCGATCCAGGAGGCAGGCAGACGCTGTTAACTGGGTTGATAGGCTTGATAGGTTGAGGAGGAACGTGATGGAATGGAAATTCACGCAGCCTTCACCTCTAGGATGGCGGGTACAATACGCGCTTGGGGTTACACAATCGCTCGCGCCAAATATGTCGGTGGTCAAGCACGATACAAGAGGACGTGGTTGAACAAAGGCATCCCGTTTTCACCAATAGGTATATTCCAAAAGCTTGAGAGTCCATGCTTAAGCTTTGCCTGCAATTTTCTTTTGCTCCGTCAACCAGATGTTTGCGATAGTTTCGTGCGTGCAGAACTCGACGCCGTCACCAAAAGATTTGAGCCACTGAATCACCCGCTCAGACATGCCGATAATATGGGCCATGCCGCTGGTGTCGGGATGCATCAGGATGGGGAAGACAAAGTCGATGGATCCGGATCCTTCATAATGGTCCCAGCACCAGAGGAACTTATCCTTCCACATCTGCTCTACAGTTCGAGTGGAGACGTAGCCCATGCTGTTGGCCAGATGGGGGAGGTACTGCAGAGGCATCATGTCTTCGTTATACCAGCCGCAGGGGATTTCCACCAGAGGATGTAGGCCACTTTCGGGGTAGGCTTGCGATGCGATAGGTGTAGGCTCCAGCCAGGAGGATGCCGGTTTAGAGAAATCAATCGTCTTGATCGGCGGGTCGTTGGGCGTGAAGAACGGTTGCGAGTCATGATGCATGAGCGAGGAGTTATAGAGAAACTTGTTCTTCCGGAGGAGTTTAACAGTGGTCTCGCGGATAGTATACATAGGGGCCCGGTACCCGCGCGGAGGTTTCCCAGTAAGCTTTGTCGCGACTTCAATACACTTGTTAAGGACGTCCGTCTCTTGTGTCTCAGTCATTTGGTAGATTCCTTCGTGTGAGTAGCCGTGGAGGCCAATCTCGGCGCCCGACTGGACTACCTTTTGGACAGTCTCGGGGAATGTCTCCATCGTGTGTCCGGGGATAAACCACGTCACCTTATCCGCGATGTCATACTGCTTTAATAGATTTAGCAGGCGAACTGCGCCCACCTGTCCGGCAAAGATGCCAGAGCTATAGTCGGCCATGTTGTTATCCGGATGACAACCCGTGCCGAGCCAGTGAGAGACAGCGTCGAAGTCGAACGAAAGCGCCACCTTAACCTTGCGAGGACGAGCGGATGGGGATTGAATTAGGCTTGTCGAGAGCGGGATGGTTTCGCCCGCAACACGATATTCACAGTCGGTCGGTTCACCTGCATTGACTGGGTCGATATCCTGTGGACAAGCACTCATAACCACAATCAAGTCGGCATGCGCCTGGAAAGTCACGTACTCCCCTTTTTCACTGGTCGGAGGGCGAATGATCAAATTGGAATGGTGATCGATGGCCACATTCATGAACAGGTTCAGTGGGTCGGGAACCCAGTCGTGAGCCATGTGGAAGTCGGGAAACTGTTGCTTCAACGCCCCATGCATGCTGTCCGAACAGTTTTCATGATAGCCCATGACGCCTTGCATTCGGTATCTCTCCGCATCGCAGGCAGACCAGATGAGGTCGTGCACACCCTTGGTTGTGTCGTTGACGAGGGTAAACATTGGCTTCCTTCGCGTGCTGTAGAGCTTATCTCCCTTGGAGATGGCCACCTTCAGGAGAATGGTACGCGTGTGTACCATGGACAAAAAGTCATTGGGGTCGTTGGGATTAAAGGCCCAAAAGTCCACCACTTGTTTACCGTGAGTGTTGATCACATCCAGGGTCTGGCCCCTTTGAATGGAGAAGGCCACTGCCTTTCGTGCTGGCAAGATTCCCATACTGGCTTTTGTGAGAAAAGTGATCAAGATTGTCCTTGGCGTGATTCAGGAGAGTAATCGCAGGAAGAAGGCTCTGACCAAGAGCACATCAAATAGTCTCCGTCAGTTTCCTTAAAAGGAAGTTCTATACTCGGTTGGAAGGAAAGACGGGCAACTGAAGCCCGTCAAGCCCCACATTGAGATAAGACTATATCGGCCGTGGCGGGGGAAGAAAGAGGCTATGGGGATGGATGCGCTCAGATCCATACTCTAGCTTAGATCTTTGCAACGTTATTGGTCAGCCTCGTCTTTACTGGAGGCTGAGGTGGATCCTTGCGAACGTGGCCGCTAGCGTATTGCTTAATGTCCAGGAGGGCAATCGGGCACGGGCGATCCCATTGGACCTTTTCATGACAGCGTTCCTGGTTGGAACAAGTTCTGGGCCGGTCGAAGCGCTGTTATTGATTGTCTTGGAGGTGAATATCATACATCTAAATCATCCTTTACGCGACGCTGTTTGCAACCTACTGCTTGTTCTTGGAGGAGCATCGAGTGAGCATGCTTACTGCACAGTGCGACATGAACACTTCCAGCATCGGCGGAACTGGTGCATCATGCGCTTTACACACTTTGTTCTTTCTCGGCTCGAAAGTGGCCCAGAGCATTCGAGGACCGTTGCGTATGCTCTTTACTGAGCCTGTATGTTGAACCCCCGGCGCATCTCCATGATTGAAACCCGAGCCATCAATTCGACATGAGCGGCCGAATATCGAGCCGCGATCATTTGTTATCAGAATTTATTTAGGTTTCGGGGGATAGTATCAAGCAAGACTCGGGCGTACGTCATTCGAACGATCCGAAGCAATCCACATATACACAAGTTTCAACAACAAAGCTCGATCAGCATGTCGTGCTTCATATTGCTCTTCTATTTGCCAAATTCCTTCCTCGGAAACGGAGAATCAGGAAGCATTGACATAGACTATGCTAAGGTATCGTAGAGGGATATGGTTGTAGGTGAACACGACGCTTCTCCTTCCGACGCTACTTAAAATCCAAGCCACTGGCGCATACCAAGCAATCTTTCTTACTCCATGACGTGAATTTTGAAGTTCTTCCTTGCTGAGAGTAGCCAATATCCCATGACAAAGACGATGAATGCCACCAAGACCACGGACAGGTAATTCATGTTGTCTGTTTCGGCAGGCATCACGTACGGGAAGGAGAAGAAGACCGTGGTGAATACAATCCAGAGAATCGTCACCCAGTTAGCGACCAGTCCCGCGGTCCCTAGGTAAAAGGGCCCCCTCGGCAATTTGGACCTACCCTTGATAAGAAGGCATAGGGTGGGGATCAGATAGGATAAGTAGAGAAAGATGACACAAGCGGAGACCATGGAGTTGAAGGCCGTCAAAGAAGCCATGTACAGACACAGCAGGATGGCGGTTATCAAAACACTGAGGATATGAGCGTTGATGGGAACCAGGAGTGTCTCGTTAACGTTTGACCACAGGCCGTGACATGGGATAGCATTGTCGCGAGAAAACGCCCAAGCGATCCGGCACTGCCACGTTTGGCTGGAAATGAGCGTCCCAATGCCTGACATCGTGACCAACACTTGGAGCACGATGACACCGGCGTGAGAGCTGACTGCCTGGGAGAACAATTCCAGGATGGGAACCCCGGTACTCGTGGTTGACAGTGCATCTAGATCTGTGGTGCAGAAGAACATGGCAATCACGTAGGAGAATGATCTATACTGGTGGTTAGTTACTCCGACTCGCTAAGTACAGCAATACCTGGTTTTGCTTACGTGACGAAGCCAATGCACACAGTTCCCATGATGGCCAAGGGAATCGCGCGCTCAGGGTGGTGAACCTCTTCCGCCAGATGGGTCGCCGCATCCTGTTCACTGATCAGTGCCAGTCCTTGCCGCGCACACCAGAGAGTCGACTCACCAAGCATGGAAATGCCCAACTCGGGTTGATCAGGCCGACAATGAAGGCAATGGCATCATTGGACCATCCGGTCTGGTTGATGAACTGAGCGAAAACAAACTTCGGCTGGTTGTAATGGGACGACGATGCCAAAACCGTAACAAAGGAGACGACAAAACCTGTCAGGGTCACGTAAAGGCTGACTGTGGCCACGGTTGGGAGAATTTTGCTGTAGATGTTAAAGGCAGCCGCTACGATGTTGATCAATTCGGCAGTAAGGAAGACCATCCAGCGGTCGATGACCAGGTCCGGATTGTTGAACTGGACCATACCCACGATCCCGGCTCCGACCGCGAGAGCGACCGATACGGAAGTGAATATGGCCCCGAACCAACTAAGATGGCCGGTCAGATAGGCGAGAAGCCTCCTGGTGCGTGGAGGTCCCAGTTGCGTGGTCCAGTAGTACTGACCACCCGCGTTTGGGTAGGCAGAGCCCAGCTCAGACAAAGTAATGCCGACGGAAATGGAGGCGAGGAAGAGGATGATGAGCCCATACACGATACCGACTGTTCCTCCACTGGGGAGGCCGACTACCTTGGCTATGGTCAACATGCGTAACGCAATAGGTACAGGGACAAGGCCTTACCATAGACGAAGAGATGGCCCACCAGGAGTTGGTCAATGCAAATCCCATGCCAAGTAGGGCGAGGACTGAGTAGTTTCGCAGAGTCTGCTGCTCATAGCCCATCATCTATAGACGTTTAATGTCATGACCGCTGCCCTAAGTTTGGAAAGACCACGAACCTGGAGGATCTGCCCCTCATCTTTGCTACTAGATTCTTCCAAAACCTTGTCACCGTCCGCCTTTGCGGTGAAAAGGCCGCTGGGACCTTTTTGCTCCATGTCCATGCTGTGCTGGTCAGTGGTGAGATGTCGAAGGCAGCGTAGCTGTGGAAAGGAGGTTATGTGAAGCGGTGGATAGAGCTGGGATAATTTCGTGTAGAAAGGAGGTATTCGTCCTGCTCTGATTTAATGCACTATATCTAGTCGGCCTCTTATCGATCAGCCCACATGTGACTTCAAGTGCTCGAGGGACCGTGCAGTTGGTACCGAACTTGTCCCAGCGTTATCGCTTATCGGCCGAAGGTGGACGTCCAACTCTGTTTGCCCACCAATCAAAGGCCTCGCTCAGGCTCAGTGGCCACTTCGGGCGTTCGAGACCAGTATATCAGATAGTGGACTTGATAATCAGACTCTTCCGTAAGAATACTATGAGCACTATGACCAGTTTGCCTGTAATCACACAGCTTCAGCTCATACTACCATCCGCTGTTTCCCAGAGCATCACGCAGTCACTTACCAACAACTGCCAACCTACCACAATACCTCACTTGATCTACACCAACATCTACATTGCCAGTCATCATGGTCGGTATTGCGAAGCTTGTCCTTCAAATCGTCAATTCACCATCGACGCTTCTGGCTATAGCCACCGCCTTGGCAGTGGCCTTTGTTATATACCGTCTATTCTTTGGGCCCTTATCGAAGATCCCTGGCCCATGGATCACAGCAATCACTAGCTACTATGTGATGTACCAAGAATTCAAAGGAGACAGAACTGTGTGGCTGGACGACCTGCACGTCAAGTATGGACCAGTCGTCCGGGTGTCCCCCGCCGAAGTCTCCTTCAACAGTGTAGGGGCATTGAAGGAGATTTATGGAATCAAGTCCCAATACTCCAAAAGCCACTTTTATGACATGTTTGTCTATTACAATGAGAGGAACACTTTTACCAGCCTGGATCGTGCCAGTGTAAGTAGTCCTTCATACGATTATATCATTTGGCGTTGCATGCTGAGAAATTTTTTCAGCACACGGCTAGTAAGAGACTGGTTGCGGACCGCTACGCCAAAACCTATGTCATGCAAGATATGGTGGCCCAGAAGATTGAACGCCACGCATCAGCATTTCTCACCCAGGTGGAAAAATCTCCCTTCAATGTCGACGTATATACCTGGCTGCACTACTACGCATTGGAGTGAGTATCCCTTGACCTTTGTGCCACCCAACGTTGACACCAGCGAAAACACGGTGCTGACACCTACGCCTCCAACAGCTGCATCACCAACCATCTATACGGGCAACGTGGCACAAAGACGTTGTCGGAGTCTGAACATCGAGGCTTGGTCTATGACCTCTCTGGCGTCAAACACCGAACGAGGTTGTACATGATATACTATTTCAATGCTCTGATGGCTGTTAAAGAATGGGTTCGGGCGACTCTCCGTAAGCTAGAGGGCAACTCGGCAGACTTCCACGTGCGCGGCTCCCAGCTCAATGATTATGGAAAGAAAAGCGTTGAGGGTTTCCGGACCGATCAAATGGAGAAAGACAAGGTGTCCACGTGCTCGAAGCTGCTGCAAGTCGTTCCCGACAACGAGAATCGGATCGCGGCCGAGTGTATGGACCATCTGGTGGCCGGAGTCGACACCACCGGCGACGCTATGTGTATCACGATGTGGCGGATCTCCACTCCAGAATATGTCCACATCCAGGACCGCCTCCTAGAAGAACTTAAGAGCATCGAACATGCCTTTGACCCCGCCACGGGTACAGCCTCCATTGCAGAGCTGGATAAGTTACCATACCTCGATGCGGTGCTCCACGAAGGCCTCCGCTGGCGCCCACCAGTGCCTATGACCCTATTCCGCGTCGTTCCTCCTGGCGGGGCCACGATTGACGGATTCAAGATTCCTGCTGGTACGATCGTGGGATGTCAGGCGTATAGTCTCCATCGAAAAGAGGATGTATTCCCGGATCCAGACAAGTTCGACCCCGATCGGTGGCTCACTGAGGATCCGGCTAAGTTGTCGGCCATGAAAGCCCACTTCTGGCCCTTTAGCTCTGGTGGAAGAATGTGCCTTGGCCACAAGTAAGTCCCACTCTTCTCTCGTGTCCTGCCTTCTCTCAGCCTATCTTGTCTCATTCTGTATGCTTGCTATCGTTCAGCAAAATGTCCCATGCCTCCCAGCCCGTTTGACCCCTCTATTGTGGAACAATTATCTGACGCTCGCCCATTACAGTATTGCAATGGTGGAGATGAAAATATTGATGGGCGCAGTCTATCGCCAGTATCGAACACTGGCCGTGCCCGAATGCACAGAAGAATCGATGCGCATGGATGATCAGTTGACGTCGGGCGTTCCCTACGCTTTGACATGCAAGCTATCATTTGAGAAACGTTAGCGGGGCTGCAATAAGTACACCGAGCGTATCGAGCTTGGTATTCATGTCGCTCTAGTCTTACCCTTGACCGTTCGTTACCTCTCAGATACTCTAATTTCCATAGAATATAATAGAAAGGCGCCCAATACTTAGGTATAGTAGCTAGCTATCTAGGGGTAATATAAAGACTATAATTACTAGTACTCCCAAAGGAATGAAGGTCTCCTCTCGGAGGCTCCCTTTAGCTAATATCCCTGGTATTCTGGGTCGGGGCATACCAGGAATGAGACCGTCACTGCAAGGGAGCATGAGAGCGTGAGTGGGAGGGTGAGCGGTGAGCGGTGAGCAGCGAGCAGGGGGTCTTAAAAGCGGCGCCGTCTGTCACCCTGAGCGTGCCAAGAGTCCGGAGCAGTTCAACGATTGCTTTGTGCTGCCAAGACTTTACCTTGGGGTTTCTGTCCAAATGCTCCACTGAAGTAAAACGTGACCTCTGAATCAAGCTCGCGGATTTGCAAAGGTTTGGAGTAGCAGTCTACAATTTATTTGCCCATCGACAATCAACACAACCATTCTTCCACCCTGTGAGCCATGGAGACATCTCGAGGCCTGAAAATGGCCTCGATGAACCTTTGCCGGTCTACCACATCCTCGTTCCTGTCCCCTCTCCTTTCCGCTCCCCGATCCACCATCCGCTCCTTTTCTACAGTTCCCACGCTATGGGCGCCCAGGACTTCCGCCAGCAAAGAGAAAGCAATGAAGGAAAAGGCAAAAAGGCGAAGAAAGAAGCATTCGACATTTGTGCAATATGACTTGAGACAGATGGAGCAGTTCAGCTTATGTGAAGCAATGCGGTGAGTGCAGACTCGATAGAATACACGAGTTCTGTTTGGTTCCAAGGCTAATTGATTCTGGCTAGCTATATCAAAGCGTTTGAAGTTCAGCGGAATCCAGAAGTCCCAAAGTACGATGTCGCCATCAAAATGCGGACGAAGAAGGACGGTCCTATTGTTCGAAATCAAATCCGACTTCCACATGCCGTCAAGACCGACATCCGAATCGCCGTCATCTGTCCTCCTGGCTCAGCAGCTGCGACGCAAGCCAAAGCTGCGGGCGCAGTCCTGGTTGGAGAAGAAGAAATCTTCCAGCGGGTCAAAGAGGGCAAGATCGACTTCGACCGCTGCATCGCCGTACCTGAATCGATGCAAAAACTGAACAAAGAGGGAATGCCCCGGATCTTGGGTCCTCGAGGATTGATGCCCAGTGTCAAGTTGGGCACCGTCGCCGATAAACCAGGTCCGGTTGTCAGAAACATGATGGGAGGAAGCTTGTACCGTGAGAGACAGGGCGTGGTGCGCATGGCAGTGGGTCGTTTAAGCTTCACGGCTGAGCAATTGAGGGATAATGTCAGAGCATATGTGGCGGCTGTCAAGAAGGATGCCGCTGGATTGAGTGATCAGGTTATGAAGGAGGTTGCTGAGGTGGTAAGTCATCATGCCAACGTCGTGTCCGATGAGGCTCCTGCTGACCAGTGACAGGTTTTGAGCTCGACTAATTCACCCGGCTTCTCGTTGAACGGAGACTACTACAAACCGGAGGAGGGAGCACCGACGCCCAAGGATTTGTCTGTTGCTTAGATAGGGTGATCTCCTAATGGCTGTACATCATGGGTATATGTGTTCATACTACCAGATTCAAATGGATCCACAAACGTCTCGACCAACATGTCAACTCATCCCATGTCGATCGACTCGCGAGCAGCCACCAATTTTGCATATCAGCCTTCGATTGAAGACCGAAGCTGGAGCAATCTCTGCTTCACTTTGATGTCAGGTTCGCGTTTGATGGTGGTTTCTAAACTTGACACCAAGGACTCCTGGATTTTTCGTAGTCTTGGATCTTGCGCGAGAATGAAGGGATGTTGTGGGTTGTGAATGTGTATGAGGTGTTTTATGATGAGCAAATCGTCGGTGCGCTGTCTCAGTCGAGGAGAGACGCCATTGTCGTCGTCGTGGTCAAATTCATCATCGCTGTCGTCAAGCGTATCCTCCTCCCAGGTCTCGCTCCATTCAGCATCTCTGCTCCGTTGTATCGAAGCGGTTTTTCCGTTTTGTTGGTCGGTCTTTGGTTTGGATATCCTCAAGTTGTTCTCCAGTTCATCGAGTCTCTCCGCGATCTCAAGTAATCCTCGGCCTAGACTGGCCTCCTTTGCCAACGCCTTTTTCTGCTTTAATAACGCCAAAATGTCTTCTCTTCTCTGCTCAACCTGATCTCGTACCCCTTTGACGTCGCGTTGAAATCCTAAAAGCCCAAGCCGGATCTCCTCAATCTTGTCCTCGCCTCCACTCAGCGTACTTCCTAATGTCAAGAAATCTTGATAGTTTTCATTGACTAGGTCGATTAGCTCTTTATTAAGGGCCTGGCTTAGTTCCCGGAGTTCGGTCTGCAAGTCTTCTAGAGTCTGAAATCTGTTGGAAAGAGTCGAAAGAAAGGCGGTTGGGTCGAAGTCCGGGGCGAGGAATGCTTCGCGGTCAAGGGGCTTTGGGAAGGGAAGAGGGGTATCATTGTCCGAGGCGTCTGGGTCAGAGTCTTCGCCGAACTATTGCTCAAGAGTCAGTCTGGTGGATGGCATCGTGGGAGGGTTCCTCACATAGAATCGACTGCTCATAATGAGTGAGGAAATAAGGGTTCACCGCGGAATTGGGGATCTGCAGGGAGATTCTGAAGGAGTGTGGGCTTTCACGTTCTTCCCATGGCTTGACGAGAAGGATCACTCTAGTGGGAAGAGACGGAGGCCAAAGGCGTCATTCACTTGTTACCGACCTAAGTTCTAGAGGTGAGGTCAATAATGTTGAATCAATTATCAGACACAGACAAGGATCTACGACGTGCATCGTGCATCGGCAATAGGCGGGGATAACGACTTGTCCCTCACCTTCCTTCTAAACTATTCTGTCAGTGACTCTTTCCCACTTTGAATTGTTTGACATTTGCTTCACCACTACAACTTCAACCTTGAGTTGGACGCTTCCAGTGTCCATCTGGACTTTACTATTCTCCTCCTCCTTAGGCCCATATTCCCTTGCTCGAGTCCAACCAAGCCATTGACTAGGAGACATACACCCCCAAAGCCATGGCTCACGCCGCCAGAGGCAAAGCCGCCCTCGAGGCCTCCGACTATCCCAAAGCATTGTCCCATTTCACTCTTGCTCTCATCGAATTCCCTACTTCTCCAGACAATTACATGCTTCGGTCGACAGCTTTCGCCCGTCTCAACCCTCCCCGCTATGACCTGGCTCTCCAAGACGCAGAATTCGCAGTTGCTTTCGCCAAAAAGCGTGGGAAGAGAGAAAAGATCCTCGCGACGCAGCAACGACGCGCCGTTGCCTTATTTGGCCTCGGCAAGTACGCCGATGCAAAATTCATACTCACTTCCATTCAGGCGTTGAGACCCGCAGACAGTAAACCCTTGAAAATGGAAGGAGACATGTGGATGGCAAAGGTTGAGAGGAAGTTGAAAGACGTGGCTGTCGAGGACCGGATGCATACCGCTAAAGAGATCCCCGACACCCGCATTCCTAGCGATGCCGAACTACAGGCAACACTTCAGTCACAACTTAATCCGGACAAATCGTTCAGGTTCCCAGAAGAAGGACCGTCGTCTACTGCCCTGCCAGCCGAAGTTTCCAAATCTTCAGACACACCCAATGCCACCTCATCCTCCCAGATATCCACCCCTGCAACTCCAGCCTCTGTACCGCCTTCGAAATTCCGTCATGAATGGTATCAGAATCCTCAAAGTGTAACCTTGACTATCTATGCAAAGGGTGTCTCAAAGGATGCTGCCCAAATCGATATCACAAACACCTCGGTGTCTGTGTCCTTCCCTCATCCCTCCAATCCCACATCGACGTTCGACTTTTCTCTCGACCCACTCTATGCCCTGATCGATGCATCTCAAAGCAAAGGTACTGTTATGTCAACCAAGATCGAGCTTATATTACGCAAAACGGTGGCGGGACAGAAGTGGCCATCATTAGAAGGCAACGAACCACTGACTTCACCGAACGGGACAAATACATCCGGCGCAACTGATCCGGCGGCACTCAAGCCCTCAACGATCGCGTCCTCTTCCACAGGTCCATCTTATCCCACTTCGTCTCGCAATGGCCCAAAGGACTGGGATAAGCTGGCCAGCGACCTTCACGCCAAAACCAAATCGAAGCGTCCGAAAGAAAAAACCAAGAAGGCCACCGATTCGAACGAGCCAACGTCTGAGCCCGAAGCCGACGACGAAATCGAATCCGACTTCGAGGGCGGTGATGACGTTGATGCCTTTTTCAAGAAGCTTTATGCTGGCTCCGATGAGGATACTCGCCGTGCAATGATGAAGAGTTTCTATGAGAGCAATGGCACAGCTCTTTCGACTAACTGGTCTGATGTTGGCAAGCGCAAGGTGGAAGAGGTTAAGAGCAAGGATGAGTGATTCGCGAATCAAGTATCCAGCCATCGCATCGTGTTAGGTGGGATTCTTGAGGAAAGTCAAACGATTCGTTACGGCTTCGTTGCGCAAAATGGAGGCGTTCGACTTGAGTCTGGTGGAGAAAGTCATACTATGGGCGCCTTGGGTGTTTTTAGGTTTGCGAGTATTATTCCATACCCTAAAGTTGCACAGTTATGATACATGATTGACGATATCATGGCCAGGTGGCCGATGAGTTAGTAGAGATTTAGGTTTGTCAGAACATGTTCAAACATGACCTACATGACCTGTCACAATAGAACCCATTCCATGTTCGGACAGCAGACCCATCCCTGCACTCTCATATTAATTTCCTACTCTTCTACTTCCATGGAGTCCCCAAAGCCTTGACATCCCTTCCCAGACCCATATCCATGATACCAAATGCACTCTACTAATACCCGACTCTCACCGACGAGTTCTGCCTTGTTGGACCGACAGTGTCATACGAACTAGTCGAGTAGAAAGTGGAAACCTGCGGTCCTGGATCTCGAGACTTGTACGACTGACCATACCACTGCTGCTGCTGCTGCTGCCAATACTGACTCTGACTCTGACTCTGACTCTGAACCTGATGCTGATAAAGTCTATATGACGACACACTAGGTTTACGAAACGCCGACTTCAGCGGACTCGCTCCAACTGTCTGATTTGCCTGCGTTGCTGTCTGATAAACATCACGATGTGAATGTGTCAGTAAGGTGTGGCCAGCTGCACGTGTTGGTACAGTAGGCGGCGCCTGTTCTTGTTGTTGTTGTTGTGATGGTAGTGGTGATACAGCTGACGAAAGTTCCATTGATTGGCCTGGCCTAGTCGGATGCGGATGCGGATGCGGTTGCGGTTGCGACTTGGAGCGGAAATGTTGGGCAATAGTGCCTAATATCGGCGGTAATGGTGCAGGACGTGGACTTTTTAATGATGATGCTGCTCGTCTTAGGAGTGGTTTCATGGGGAGGAAGGGCGGGTTGGTGTCATTATCAGTCGGTGTAGTGGAAGTAGAAGTAGAAGTAGAAGTGGAGGTGGAGGTGGAGGTATTGCTGGTAGTCCTCGAAGAGTCTAGTAATGTTGGTGACGAGCGTGTTTGCAGCAATGACAGCCTTTTGTTATTATTGTTGTTGTTGTTACTGTTGGTGGTGGCTTTGCCAGTACTCAATGCCTGGATCGTCGGATCAGCACTGAGCGGCGTATGAGACAATGTCGGTGACCACGTAGGTGGAAGAGGAGTCGGCAGAGGAGGAACTTCAGGTAAGGTTGTATCCTTCCTAGGGTACATTTCTTGTCGACTGCTCTCTGTCCTTTCAAGGTTACTATACAGCCGACTTCGTTGAGTCTGGATCGACGGTCTTGCTGATCTAGCGGTCACGAAGGAGCCAGATGATAGGGAGGAATGAAGAGAACAGGCTCGGTCGTCCATGTCGAGACCGGATCCTTCAGATACAGGACATGTTGGAGGCGAGTACCGCGAGTTGAGAGGAACGTTGACGTTATATTTGGATCGGTTTATGGAATGGCCAGTAGTTTGATGTAGTCGAGGTGGATAGATAGCTCGCTGTGACGAGACGCTATATCGACGTTGCATCCAGGTTTCGTGTTCCAAATGGTTGAATTTCCGTTCGGAGCAGAGACTGCGATTCGAGGAGGATGTGTCGCGACAGGGAGAGGAGGACAAGGGTGATAGTGGTGATGGGGTTGACTTGGAGCGAGCACTGAAGGCGTGTGAGCGTCTGGATGTGAAATATATGGCGATGAGGACGATTGCCATAGCGGTGAGAAGAGCCACCATTGATCGATGAAGTTTACAAGAAAGGCCATATCGCCATTGATTCTCTCGCAAGTCATTCTTCCAAGAAGCCAATGGCTCATCGAGACAGGTTGGCGCTCGAGTGGCGATAGTGAGGTTCCAACAAGCCAACACGACCCAGAAGAATATCAACAACTTGACGGCAACAAAGGTAACAGACTCAAGTCTACTGGGACGATTGTGAGATGTGATGAGACCGATATGACTACTGCTGCTGTTGTTGGTCATGCTGGAAATGGTGATGGTGGTGGGCGGTCGATACCGGAAGAGATGGAAACATCGAGCACCCACCACTATTGCGGTCAGAATTGACTGTGAAGATTGATCAGTGTCAATGGAACATAAGATAAGTTTCTTTCACAAGAACAAGAAAAAGAAACCAACACACCAGTCCAATAGAGCAATCAACCCCAAGAGCGATGGTGCTGCTCACCAGCTCTTTCACCCGCAACAAGACGGCCAGACATAGTATCGCACACGAAAGAATCAGGGAGAGGCATGTCAGAGCCAGTCTGATGCACTTCATTATCGTCTTGCGACAATAACTAAGCCGACACTCCAGTAATTACTGAGAGTCCAGGTTCGATTCCAGGCTCTTGGTGTTTTGTAGTAGATGAAGGATCAGGTCAGTCGTTCACACCATGGTTGGAAATGATCGTCATGATGAAGACATGTGCTCTCGCATCAAGGCAAAACGCCCAGACCTTGCCACTGAAATGAATGTAATGGTTAGTTACCAGAAGGCAAGGAGATGTATCACACAAAGAAAACAGAAGAGAGAGCAGGGCTGGAGAATTCCCCAGCGTGGAGGGAGAGAGGTTTAGAACATTTGGAATGACAGGCCAACTCTGCTTGGTCCATGCACAATCATTCGAGAGTTATGGAATGTGATGAATTTCTTTTTCAAGAACCAAGCTCTGAATCTCAATTCCTGGTAATCCAATCCCTGCATCTGTCATAACCACTGCTTATTTCATTCGGCTGCTTCGGCCAACGTTACTCGGTCATTTCTTGGTTCACGCCGTCATCACCAGTATCTTGTCTTTCCTCATCCACGCGTTTGGCGTGTTTGGCATCGAATTTCATCAGCTGAAGCACCAAGTCCCTCATCATATGTGAGTCCTTCTCCTGCATCGCTTTGAGCTCACAAAGCTGTCGACCGGCCACATACCATATCCAGGGGCGATGCTGACCCTTGCTATACCGTAAGAAATAAAGATACGAGGCTTTCAATCGTGACCACTGTGAGTGAGGACCGTGCCATTGATGCTCATGCCATAGCCGGTCATTCTTGTCATTTGGCAGGATTGCTTGAAACTGCTCGAAGATCGCTGTGTGGTTTGCGGCAAATGAGCTCGAGGTGATCGATCCGTTAGCCGTAAAGGAGTTCGTGGGCGCCAGTATCTTTTCCGCGTGTGCCGACAGTGCTTCGACTGAAGGTTGTAGACCTCCATCACCGAACAACAACCCATAGAGAACAGTATCTCGAGGTTTCTTATTGCCTTTGCCCCCCGCCAACTCCGTCATATTCTTCCACTCTGCAGAGAGTGAAGAATCATATGTAAATTCCGAGGTGAATTTCTGGAAATCGGTGGCAACTTTTTTTACATGGGGACCAGCGACATTGAACATCAGATGATCGATGATGTTGCTGTAATTCCGACTCTTGTGCTGTCCAGGGCTCTTATAAGCTGGACTTTCTAAAAGGAATTGCCCACAGGCCTCTCGCCGAAACGTGGGCCAGTACGGCAGCTCCCAGCCCTGTTTGCTCTGGTCAACAAGGTATCCGGCAAGCGCCGCAAGCTTTACCGGTCCGGTTTGTGAGAGAACTGAATATTCAGGCATGGCGCTGAGGCTAAGGCTGTATATGAGCTTTTCATGTTCACTTGAACACTGTCCCATCAAGCTCGAAGTGGAATTGAATTTGATGCATCCTTTCATGAAATCACTGAAGCTATAGGCTTGGGGTTTTCCAGATACAAAAATGTCTTGAAGAGCTCTTGACTTGTTAACCATTCCGAGTTGCTTTTCGCTTGGTAAGTCGGTCTTGCTGATATTATGGAAGCTATCCACAATCTCAGGGTCCCAGATAACGGTAACCATATCACCGTCGTAATCGCCCCCAGAAAGAAGGGAGGCAGTTGGGGTGTCGCCTTGTGTTGAAAATAAGATAATGTCTCTGTAATTCAAGAGCTCCTGATAGGAGACAGCTCGCCGAAGCTGCATATCTGACGATAGATATGCCGGATTTCGGGCCACAAGGACATCGATATTATTCAGCGCGTTCTGAGACCCCCCAGATCGAGGATCAATATTGGCTTCTGAGAAGCCGAGATATACCTCGTTTGGACGGAGTAGGCCAGTTGGGTCGGGGGCACAAAAGACTGTTGTTGAAAAGGGGAGACTGATCCACAGCTTCTCCACATAACTTTTTGTATAATTGTCGAGGATAGCTTTGACTGCATCAACAATCATACTATTCTCTCGGGGTTTAAACCCGGAGCCGAGGAGCATGCTGCACTGCTCTGCTCTGTCCGCCGGAAAGCACCCGATGAGTCTTCCAGAAGGGCGTCCCTGAAAAAACTCATTGAGCCAGAGTAGTAGACCTGTAGGGCTATTCATTGCCTGGGATAGCGTGCTTGTAACACTACTTATATCTTCAAGTAAGCGCCGTGCCAACACCTCGCGGACATGGCCGCTCCCGCGATCTTCGAGAATATTGATCAGCTGAGTATTCAAATGGCCCTTGGATGCATTAGAGCTGTGCTTCACCAATTCAAAGGTTCGCTGAGAATCGTCGCTTTCCGGTCGATCTCGGGGGTGAGGCTTGATCTTGAGCTGTGAATCAGAAACTTCGATCCAGAAGCCTCGTTCGCTCACTGGGTTGTCCTTGTCGTTATACTTGTTTGTATAGTCGACTAGCCATAGACCCTTCGCGCCACCTATTCTTCCTTGAAACGCACATGGCAGCGGGTCAGAACCGCCAAATGCCTTCCAAACTGCATTCGCATAATCCAACGACATTAACGCGCATCCATCGTTCATTACTGGCTTCCCCGGAGGATCTGGAGTGTAGACAAACTCATGGGGTTGCAAGGTGACGGTCGGGGTTGTTTTGGATAGACCAAGATGTATTCGAGAAAATAGTTTCAGATCGGTTGAGGAAAGGTTATCATTGAGCGGCATGTGCCACTCTATCATGTCTTCGACTGATATCTTGGAGTGGGCTGCTGGGTTGACGTGAGAGAGGTCGGGAAGACAATCTGGCGCTATTCCACAGCCATGTTCGGCGAAGAGGTGGATTTTCAAACGTCCGTTGAACCTTTCATAGAACCTTTCATTATCCTTAGGTTTTCTCTTCTTCTTTGCCTTTTCATGGGCCACAAAGAAAACTCTCCAGTGCCTCCCAGCAATTTCGAGAGATTCTGTTGCAAGCATGTTGCAAATCCGGTCATGGTGTTTCTCTCCTGGGGGTTCTGACAATATAGGTACTGACAGGACAAGGAATCGGTCTGAACCGAACTTTCTATAAAAACGACATGATTTGTCTTTCTGTATTGGGCTCAGGCGGAGCTTGAAAAGAGTAGGATCCTTTGAGCTACTCCACTCTAGTGAGCCGCTAAAGGTAATACTGTTTTCGGGTTTGCCGGCTCCCCGCTCTTCAAGCCCCGTCCAGTCCTGCAGAGGAGACCTTGTCGGGAAGGGTAGGCCTTCATACTTTGATCTAACCTCCTTAACCTGAAGCCAAAAGTTGTCCGGTGTGAGACTTGAGGGATCATGGTTAAAGTGGCTGTAGAATTCTGTTGGTGTCATGTTAAAATCCGATGCTAACCTCTCAATTTCATATGCAAGTATGAAGTTTTCCCCAACATTTGGTAGTTCATGTCGTTTGAGAAGGGGTTTGGCTTGCGCATCATTGACATCGCAAGAAGTAGGAGCAGGAGCAGGAGGCGAGGAGGCTGCAGGCAAGGGGATCTGACCATGGATCTGTCTGGAGATCTCATGTTGCATGAGTTCATCAAACTCCTTGTACTCCTGAGTAGGCCAGAATTCCTCCTTAAAGTCGCTGGTGGAGGGTTCAAATGATGTGTCGCTGCAGCTGAGAGAATCACGTCGCTGGTCGACATCGCTGAAAATGGCAGATTGTCTTGAAGAAGCCTCTGTGGTGAAAGAGATCGGCTGAGGTATAGGATGTGAGAATGTATCATCTGTTCGAGGAGCAAAAAATTGTGAGATTGTCTGCTGTCGTTTAGTGGAGGACTTTAAAGAGCTCATGGTTCTCTTAGAAGATTGGCCATCTCGATATTTGAGAGTGGGCTCATCAGTAGTGGGCTTCATTGTTTCTGGAGTGCTAGGAGCTGCGACAGAAGAGGCGTCGAGAATCTCATCGGCTGTCTGGAATGAGAATTGGCTGGATGGAGCAGTTGGGCTAAGGTCAGAAGGACCTAATGTGCGGGTGTAGGAGTCGGACAATTGGGTGAGGTTATATTCTTCCAGCAGCATGCGGTGTAAATACTCGAGAGCGCGCTTCCGATCATTTTTGCTCAGTTTTACCATACCCGAACCATATTGTTGGGTCAGGTCGCGGTTGATGGCACTTTTTGTGATGGACAATGCCGGAAGAGTTCCAGGAGTCTGCAAAGGTTTCCATTTCCAGTCCGAGAATAACTGAAGAATCTCGGTGTCAAATTGGTCCATAATGCCATTGATGCTGTCCGTCTTGTAGCAGAGATAGCGAATAAGGGAGGAGCACTTTCTCGAGACGCTTTCGTCTTCCCGTGAAGGATCAGCGTCCTGTCCGTGGAGGCGAGGCAAGCGCAGATCCAATCTTCCATTCAACCTGCTGATGGCATTGTCAACCATCTGGCCGATCTTAGGAGGAGTGACCGGGATTGACATGGTGAGTTTCTGGTGTGCAATGGAGCCGCATGCTATGAATGAGGTAAGAGATGGGTGGGACCAAGCAATGCCGAGCTCAGGGCAAGAACAGATCAAACGCCCGTAACGCCATGCGCAATTGAAAGAACCTGAAGGACAGGACGAGTTGCTCTGCTTTGGAGTGTTACTGATGCCTCAGGCAATCATGAAGAAGAGACGACTTTTGAGGGGAGGTTTGATTTGATGTTTGAACTGGGTGACTGACCTGGCAGCGGGACGGGGCGTCCCCTCAATCTGACGCTAAGCCATTGCTGTAGTAACCTCCACACGACGTGACGCGCAGCGCAGCGCAGCGTGTAAAGTGGTTTTTGTTCATGTGGGATATTGTTTGCCCACAAGCTCGAGCAAGCCACAGTGTAGTTGATTGAGAGACGAAGTTGATAAATTATGAATGATGGTCGAGAGGAAGTTTTTCATTTGGGAATGTGCCACAGGGTCACAGACAGCCCGTCGTTCTTTCCTTCCTTTGCCTCACATTTCCTCGATCAGAAGTTGCATTCGGTGGAAGGTGCAACTGTTTCATCGTCCCGCCAATCAGATTGTGACAATATCTTACCACGCCCGCCATGCCTTACCACGACTCTACACAATACCCACGATCTAGACACGGCACTGGCTGGAGAGGCAACTGAGATGGTCACAAAAGTAGAAAGTCAAAAAAATGGCTGCATTGTTTCTCCTCCTGTCATCGGGTGGGCTTGACAGGCTACGTGATGGCCATAGCCACGTTACCGCACTGAAATCTACAGTCCACAATTCCGTGGCGGTAGATTTCCTCCATGTCCAGGCCTGCTGCCTGCGCCTTGCGGCTCTCTCATCCATCAGTCGTACAATATAAGCCCGAGTGATATGGCAGATGAGCCCATGGTATCGATCAGTGGGGCCGAGGAAGATTATCAAGGTCAAGTGCCGTCGACAGCGATCAGCGACTCGTATTGGGGAGACAGACGTAACTGACAGCCTCCTCATTCGTTTCGACGGTGACCCTTAGGTTTCGAGGCGCCACTGAGCCAGTTAGCAATTACACACATGGTGTGGAAGGTGGTACCTACAAGCTGATTCGTCGTGCGACACCTTGTAGCGTCGTGTCATTCTCGGCCTCGGCCGCAGCTCGCTCGAGGGCTGCACGTCGGTCTTCGACGCTTCGCTTTTCGATTTCCTGAGGCGATGGGGGGAGTCGCTCATTCTGTAGATCGACCATGCGTGCATCTTCGAAATTGTGGATGGCCTGCTTGATGCCTTCGGCTCCCAGCATCAATGTGCCAGCGGGAAGACGGCCACCGGATGCTGTTTTGAGCTCGGTGACGCGCTCAGATTCCTCGCGCAAGACTTGGAAGACACGGGACAAACGTCCGATGGCCAGAATCTTGTTCTTGATGGCTCGGCGCTTGGCTTCGGCGGTTTCGGCGTCTCCAAAAGGAGGCGTTTCGGGTCCGACACTGGAACTGCGGGTGTCCTCTTCCAGTTCTTCCTTGGAACAGGTGTTGAGAATGGCAATGAGCATGTCGGTGATCTTCTCTCCGACAAAGGGCAACGACCAAGTGAAGACGTCCATGAAATTGGGGAGCCAATAGGGGTGCGGTGTGCAGTTGAACTGTCGAATGTTCATGACATTGTTCTCATACTTCAAAACGGCAGCCTTGTTGTTGTAGACATCGAGATAATTGGGGGCGCTGAAGATGGTCATGACGCTGGGAAAGCCGGTGGTTCGTGTCTTACGGTACATGCGATAGCCGGCATCTTGGGCTTCGTGGGCGCGGATGATGGATAGAAGGTTGTTCTTCTCGAGGAAGTTACATGCAGCTGGATAGGAAAAGAAGTACGAGCAACCTCGGACGTGATTGTGAACAAAGTATTCGCCGGTTTTTTCTTGTCCAAATTCTTCCAGAGGATCGGCCCAAAGAATATCGCACATCAGGCCGTGAGTTGGAGGTTCTCGGAACCGGTCAATCTGATGTGGTCAGCGTTTGTGGACAAGGAACTGCGAGGCTACTCACGGTTTTGATGTCGTCCAAGGTGTGTAACTCAGGGCTGAGACCACCGTGAATGCAGAGAAATTGCTTGTTCATGACGGCTGCCAGTGGCAACGCGCAAAAGGCCTCCATACAGGCATCGTATACCTTGTCCGAATACTTGTGCTTGCATTCGAGCTTGAACGTGAAGTAGTCGGTCAAATGTCGACATTCGTGGTTACCACGGAGCAGCCACAGCGAGTTAGGATACCAGATCTTGAGAGACCATAGGTATAGGACACACTGGTGGGGAGGCTCAGTATGATAGCGTGGATATATGGTTGTGTAGGCTTACCTCGATGCTGAAATAACCACGGTCAACGTAATCGCCGAGGAAAAGATAGCGGGTCTCAGAAGGGTCGCCTCCCACTTCAAAAAGCTTCATCAGATCAAAGTACTGACCATGGACATCGCCACAGACGGTGATGGGAGCGTCCATTTCCAACAGATTAGGCTCTGACTTGAGTATCTTAGCCCCCTCATTAATGATGAACAAAGCCTGATCTTCGGTCAGACGACCCTCGCGGCTGAAATGTTGCTTGAGAAAAGGGAGATTTGGTTTCGACCGATCCGAAGGGGAGAAGAATTGTTGGTCTGTTGGAGGCTGCATGGCGGGGGCTTGGACATCTGGCAAGAGGTCAGTATGTCGGTCTTTCATTGACGTTTAAGCTAAGGGGACATACCTTTGCAAACTCGCTCTTGAGTGCTCACTTGAGTTCCATCTTCCATGATATGTAAGGTGAAGTCAATCTCTGGCACAGGCTTCTTCTCAAGTACGGCCTTGTGCAAGGAGTCGGTCATCTTGACGGGTGGCGGCGCTCAAAGCGCAGAGTTGGAATAGCAAGACGCTGTTCTTCAGATTCCACAGGGTCGAGGGTCGAGAGCGAATTCGAATATGGGATAGGCTAGAGGATGAGAGAATTGGTCGCGTGCAGGAGTGTGGTCGAGGGGGGAGGGTAACAAAATGGGTTGAATGGGGAAGTAATGTTGTCACCGATGGAGAGGCGTTGGCCGAGGGGCAGACGAGGCAAAATGGTGGCACAAGGGGAGGATGACGATCAGAGGATTGCACTTGCAATGGCGAACAGAGTCGTAGGATGGTGTTGTATCGAAGATAAATGTCAAGGAGCAATTACAGCGTTGGAGTCATCCGTAGCTGAAGCTGAAAATCGAGGTGCGTGGAGTTGGAAATGGAAATGGAGATGGAGATGAATAGCGCGAGTATCAAGTTCCCTTTAGCTGCGATCAAGGTTGCAGGTTACAGGCGACAGGCGGTAGAGTCTGAGGGGCAGTTGGCAGGTAGCGGTAGCAGGTGAGTGAGCACACTGATACAACTGGAAATTATTGGGGCGGAAACACTGAGGCTGAAAAAATTGAGCTGACCTGGCGTGCCTGGGCCCTGCAGTCATATCATGACCCAATTTTGAACTGGTGGATTTACAAATTGCTGTGAATAATTGCAATTGATCTTGTGGACATGAATATATGGCGAGTAAACGCTGTTGATATAAAAAAAATTGGCCAGTGCCAGGAATTCACCAGGGAACAAAGAGCAGCGTTGAATCAAGCCCAAGTGGGGAACCATATGGCGTCGATGCCCCCTCGTGCCCCCTACCAAGGTGTGGTTATTACCACTGCCAATCTCACTGATTCGGTCTGACCATCCACGGATTTGGGCAGATTCACCGGGGATTTGGGCACTTTGCTGCACCTTGGAATGGTGTTGCCTTACCGAGTGGAGACGATTCGACCATACTGTAGGTCCTAGGTAGTTATTGCCTGGCATATGTGTAGCTGCAGGGTTTACACCTCTTCTTACCAGCTCTTGAGGGCGTCTATTGGTCTATGTATGGGTGGTGAGTCTCATGAGAGTGAAACCAGGTACCTACCTACATACCTTAGGTACTTAACCTTAAGTCTCACTGATTAGAGTGGTGCCTTAGTTCAGTAGACACTTCACCTAATACGTCGTTTCTGTATAACTAAAGCTGGAGGGGTTTGGAGTAAGGGGATATCTGTAGATGGAGAAGTAATAGCGGCATTCCCTCGGCCGCGGGCACCTGACCAGTGGCCCGAGGCGCCCCTCGGCCGCCCATCAACCCTAAACCAACCCACGTCATCTTTGGAGCGCTGCGTATTGTTTGCAGTTCGTTGATCAAGTCAAAAGGCTTCAACTACATCGACGCTCAACCCTCTTTGATCAATGTCACCTCATTGAATCCTCTGTTCGATAACATGTTTGACCCGCATCGTAAGTGTCTAGCCTGTTTGACCAATCCTCCCGCTGACAACCAAGCCAGAACCTCATCCTCTCCTGGCACAGATCCCCTTGACTGTGTCTCCATTCCTATCTCTTCCTACTGCTGTTACCCTTCCTTATTCCTTTCGTTCCGTCCCGAGTTCTCTTCCACCGTCCATAATCGACCAGAATACTACTGGTGGTGGGAAGCCCCAGTATGTCACCTCTGCTTCAGGCCATTCTGCTCATCCAGAAGACATCATCAAGTCATGCAAGACACTTCAAGACCATCTGAAACAGACCTCCCAGGCTGCAGAACGGGCTATTCGAGACTGGGAACAAGACATTAAAGATCGTGACCTGGCCGAAAAGAGAAGAGTTGCCCCAGGTTGGTTGGATCGTTCTGAAAAGATCCTGGAACCCACCCGGCCGTCAACAAAGCCACTCTCATCCCAGGACTTGCTGGATGGCCAACCCCCAGCTCCCATATCTGCCCCCGCCATGTCTCCCTCGAGAGAAGGAGAAGAGCTTGATAGAGCGTTTGGTGGCATGACTCTCCACAAGTGAGACCCCATCTGCTTTCCTACCTCACCTTCCGTGTCCTGTCCAGTCCCGTGATTTTTACAAATTCACGTCTGAGGTGCGCCTTGGTGAAGATGGAATTTCTACATCCTTTCAACAAGCTGCCAGCCACGCTGTCAATCTTCTCACCCATCTCTGGGCGGCGAATCTACCAGCCCTTCTGAATGTATGGTCACACTCATCATGGCAGCACAATCGATCAACCCAAATGATGTGACCGTTGACCCTTGGTTGCACCTGGTGGACAATCCATTTGAATCTTGGCAATCGACCCTCCTATTCCTCATAACCCTCGTCCTCCTTGTCATAATCATCATCTTCTTGGGGAAACAATACGCTAGAGCCATAACGGTGAGGAGATGCAACTGTTGCTGCCGCCACCGACCATCATCTTTAGGTCATGCCGAATTCTACGACCACAACCCGGCAACCACATCTTCGCATGATATGTTCCAGTCTCAAACCGGAAGCCGATGGCTCCCTTGGTCAACCAATGCCTCACCACCACATGTCACGATAGGGGCTGTCAACCAAAGCGCCTTGGCACAACGACGTCGAGGACTGTCTGCATCTCACCTTCTGTCGAACACAGCACCGTAAAACAATCACAGGCATCGTCCAAGTTTAACCAAAGAAATACAATTCAAATACAGTCCATGCCTCATTTGGTGGCACGACCATGGGAGATGGCCTGTCGTCAAGTTTACGGAGCGATATATCCACCATCAACGACAATATCTGTACCTGTCGTATACGAACTCGCATCACTTGCAAGGTACAGGTAGGCTCCAACCAGCTCAATAACCTCACCTTCTCGGCCCATCGGAATCTTGTCTCTCCAGATACTTTTCGTTTCGGGCGGGACGAAATTACTGATCTCAGTGGCAATGTAGCCTGGACTGATGGTGTTTGCCCGGGCAAATTGCACCCACTCAATAGCCAAGCTCTGCACCATGTGCTTGACCGCAGCTTTGGCTGCGTTGTATGCTGCCTGCAATTGGGGGATGTTGGCGATGTGGCCAGACATCGAGGCCGTGGCGATGAACTTTCCATAGTTGAAATCGTCCAGCTTATGCTTCTTCTGCTCTCTCCATATTCTCCCAGCGGTCCTTGCTCCGTAGAAGACTCCATCGATGTCGGTTCTCACAACATTCTGGTAGTGTTCAATCTCGCCAGTGATGGCTGGCCCTTGGGTCCAGGGAATACCCGCATTGGCCACGAAAATGTCGAGTCGGTTGTTGAATTCCTTGACTTGGGAAACAATGGCTTCATCGACTGCCTTGGGGTCCCGCACATCCACTTGATACGCAGTGGCTGAGAGACACAGGTCCATGTTAGCTATGACTAGCGCGCCGTTAGAAGCAGGCTTGTGACCTCCTTATCCGTACCTTTGACTCCAAATTCCTTTTCAATCTCGGCCGCGCGATCGATCGCCTTGTTGTTACCGTGATACCAGATGGCGACGTTGGCGCCGGCTTCAGCAAATCCACGGGCCACAGCCAAACCAATGCCCGCACCCGCACCCGTTATAATGGCCGTTTTCCCTTTGAGAGAAAACAGCGGCAAAACACGAGTGGCTTTGGGGGGTTCAGTGTTGTAATGCTTGAAAGCATTTCCGTTGATAGCGTCATCCATTTTGACGCACGGGTCTCGCGATCCTTACTTGCCCACCCAAAACAATATAGATTCGATTGCCCGACCCTAGGGAATGACACTATAGTAAGATCGAGCACTACACACGCCAAACTCGGCAGCAATCCAGGCTTATGTACCGAGTCGAGACTTTGATGGCGTAACATCAGTCTACGCCCATTGGAGCAAAGCTCTCCGCATGAGTTCCGTTCTGGGATTCGCCCTCCGTTTACAAATACAGCCCCCGAGCTACGACGTGCATCAGCGAGTTACTGGTACCAACACACTCTCATAGACCCATGTAGCCATGGAGCCATGTGTCCATCCACACTACTTTCATCTTCTAATTCTCCACACTCGGAACCTCATTCTCGCCAAGCTGGAAGTGTCGCGCTGGGATGGAATCTACCTGCCGGGACGCTCTTTCCCTGCTGGCAATGCCCACCGGGATTTTCCTTCTTCCAAAATATCATGTCACGTGATTATAACTTGTTTGTGGTGCAACAATTCTCTCTTCTCAATTCCCCCCAACAGCTCATATCTCACTCTATTCTATCAAACTTGTAAATCCAGCTATCATCGCCATGGATCCTGAATGTTCATGTCTCGCGTCTTTCCACTCCGGTAAGCACACACTAGAACCCAGCAAGCAGAGCCTTGTACGATGGAGTTTTCACGATCGCATTAGCTCTACAGATAAGTGGCTGTGGCTCCCTTTACCATTTTCATGCAGCGTGACCATGTGACTGACATTCCATTTTCTGTTGTCATCCCCCTACCAAGAGGCGTCCAATTTCCCACATTCTTTTGTCTCTACACACTCCAGACTGGCTGTTTTGGGCTCATAATCCACAACATGGCAGCCCTCTGTCTCAGAAACCCGCATGACTCCGAATCAAGAGTGGCATCAAACGATCGAACCTATCCACGATGTGGCCGTTAGCCGCCATCCTTGGAGCCGCCATTGGAGGCGGTGTTTTTCTTTGCGTCACAGGAATACTGGTCACCGTCTCTGTCCAGCGACATCGCCATCGTCAAGTTCTGCAAGCTCATGGTCTTTCGAGAGGGTTAAGCAGGTACCATCGCTCCAAGCTCAGCGCAACAGATAACAACTACGTCCACGTCACGCCCCCAAATGCCTCTTTACGGGATAGCTCATGTCTACCTGCTGATGCGGACTGGGTGCAAAGCCAAGTCAAAGATCGAAGGCAACATTATCACCAGCGAACTAGGTCCCACTGGTCTATCAAGCCCAAGGGTTCACTCGTGGATCACCAAACATCCGATATATCCGTCCTCAAAAGTCCAAAAAAGCGTCAGCACAAGAAAATTAAAAAGCAATTGTCCATGGGGAAGATTCATCAGCAGTCTCTACCCGTAATAGAAGAGGCAGTACCTCAGACAAGGATGACATCCTCGAATTCAGCTTTTGTCGCCGAACTCTCAGGCGAGTCACCTACAAGTCGTCCTCCCCAAGAGCTAGACAGTCAAATTAAACCAGACAGCTCGGCGGGATGGCCTCTAACGTCGGCATTGTCTGTTGGGGCGACTCCTCCACCAACGGAAGTCTTCTCAAGAGTGGCAAGGCCAAGTGTCATCCGCAGAATTGGAGGCTTACACCACCTTGTGACCCGAGACTTGCCAAATGTCGAAGCTGAACCACCTGTGACTTCGGACGAGGGTAGAACGATCCATCCGTCCGCGACCTGGGGCCCTCCATCAATGACCACATCTAATCATGGAGAAAAAGAATTCGTTGCGCCAACCACCAGAGCTAATTCGAGTTTCGATACTCTCAATAGTTCCCTTTTGACGGTTGTTCTAAGTCCATCCACAGTAACCCAAAGTGCGGATCACACGAGCTTGTCAGATTTCGAATTTGATCTGGAGCGGAAACGTTCAGCTGCATCCTTGAATATGGCCATGTGCAAACAGATGCCTCTGCGTACAGGTGTTGGGATAAGGACTGCGAAGTCAAGTGTAAGGTCCCTCCATCCTACCTTGGACGTGGTTGAGCAGACCTTGGACAATCCAAGCCCAGACCATCGAGATCAGTACCTTCCCCCAACAATGCCTCAAACATCCTTCTCCAAGAGGTCTCGTGTGGAGTACTGGACAGATGTAGATGCGGCTGAAACCCCCAGGTGGCATTTCAATGGGCTAGACAAGCAACGTCATTCAATGCTGGAAGCGTCCGAACTTCAAGACCTCAGGAGAATTAGCGAGTCCATGGCTTCGCCAGGAGTCAAGTCACATTCACTCCGTCCGCTCCGTCCACTCACTCAAAGACCAGCTTCCATAGTAATCACCAATCCCCTACAATGGCAGAAGCAGGACCATTTCCCGGCTGTTGATTGTCATCAATCCTGTCCAAACCCTGTGGGGGATGGCCTGCCTCAAGCGGACGAAAGGAGTACTGAAATGGCGTCTGTCCTCCACTCTATCTTAATGGACGAGGACAACGATAATGGCAGTCTACGAGGCAATGGAGATGTAAACCGGTACGAGTACGGAAATCCGCGGCCGTTTCCTCCTTCAATGTTGTTGGGAAATGCCACAGGACCTGCGAAAGACAACTCCTTGTCGCAACTTCAGACAAGATCACCTTCTGATGTTCATTCCACATTAACACCATCAGTCCACTCATCTCATGCAATACCATCAAGCGAAAACTCTGGAACCCCAAGGCCAGATTCAGACATTTTCAGCGCTGCATATGTCAACATGAATATGGACGTAAGTCGAGATCATCGTGGTGATACATGCCAGTGGTATCGTTCGCCCCAGCAATCCACGAAGCGTGAACCGACATCAACACCGCCTTCATCTCACTATCCAGAGCGATTTGAGTCGCCTATACTTTCATCTCCGGCTCTTCAAACATCGGCGTTGTACCCTCGGAAGGTGCGAGAGGGACGAGAAGTGAACATCAGCCACACCACCAGTGAAGGCAGTCCTGTGCAGAGCAGAGCAGACGGTCAATATCGCATACCTGAAGGGGTTAGAGCCGACTCTGCTAGCGCTAGGCGGCAAGGTAGAGCCATTCGGACGATGCGGTCTGAACGCAATCTTGTCGATATGACAGCCACAAGGACATCTCAGCACATCGCACTCAGCACTGGACGTCACAATACTGAGTTGACTGATCACATGTCTCCTCCAGTGAATAAAAGAATCAGCGGGCTTCGAGCGTCCAGCAGCAACTCGTCAATCAATACAATCTCGCCACACATCATGAGTAGGCCTCGTGGCAAGGCATCTTCAACTCGGCGTGTTAGGCTTAATGAAGACAGGAGCAGAATGGCCCAAGCAAACAGGATGCGAAGTGCGCACCACACAGATCGAGCATCGCCTTCTATCCCGCCGCACAGCGGCGTGTCGATCTGGGAAGATGTCAGTATTGGAAATCACAGTCCAGAGATTGACGTTTCGACTCCTCCACCGCTTCGGATCACATCACGGTCAGGGTCAGGGTCAGGCTCCAGAAGGAGTCCTCACAACCGACCGATGTACTTGAACAATGTCACGCAGCGAGATGAAGGGTTTCGGCACGGACCCCAGCGACAGCCATTTCCTCGTCAACACCCGCAACCTTCCAAGCAGTCAGTGAAAGATTTCCCGCATGAGTATGAAGAGATGGGAAGTTCTGTGCTTGTGCAGCGACTCGAACGAGCTGTCAGTGACGGCCGATGGGATGATGAGTTGCACAGCCACCAAGAGGTAGAACCAACCACCAGGAATATAGGGTTTGGACTGGGGATAAGCAATGGAAATATCCGAATCGGTGAGCCACAATCCTACCGACGGCATGTCGTGTATAAATGAGCCCAAATCAGGATCACTGAGACACTGGGCACGTAGTCATTAATTAATAAACATTTGATCCCTAATCTCAATATTTTCAACCACGACGTCAAGACTGATTGGACATGTAATTATAATATCGCCACTGCTCCTACTTGATTCAGTTCCTAGTCTCAGTTTAAAGAAGTCAATTGAATAGTTCGACAGAAAGTATAACTAGCTCTCCCTCTATGGAAAGGAAGATTAATCCATGTCCAAATATATGTCGTGTATAAGCATGCATTATATGCATACCGGAAGATCTCTGATATGGTGTTACATACATGTTACTTAGTTAGATTGGCGGGTCCCACCCACCCACACCCCACCACAACAGATGTGGTCAGACGTTTTTTATATAATGGCCGAGGGGGCCTATTTCCGGGTGGCGAGCGGCGACCTGCATATGGCGTATGAATGAATGGTAATAATGAGATGATGAATGAGTACGTAGGAGATCATCAGCTAGGAATGGAGTACGAGAAGGTCTGTTGTTACATGTAGTATGACGTGAACATGGGAGGAAAAGACGAAATGATCGATCAATAGATAGATAGATAGACCTCTAAGGGTGTAGAGGAAGCGATCATCACTGCAATAATTAATGATCATGGTCGATGGAAAGCTTACTTCAAGATCTTAATTCCACTCCACTACTTACATACATACATACATACATACCTACTTACCTTAGGTATGGCATCAGGCAGATTAGGACATAAAACTGCATAAGTGTAGTAATAATGGATTAATGAATGAATGGAGAGTCAGCTTTAGGCTTAGCTTCATCAGTTGTTTGACAAGTGTGGGGTTCGATTACTAAGGTACCTAAGTACGGAGTACTTAGATGTGTAGACTCCCTTCCCCAGTGTCCCTTTTTTTGAATGTCGTTTTTTATACCACGTGCATAAAGAGGTTATGCTTAAAAGCAGTAAGTACTTCTACATAGGTTAGTCCTGAAGTGCCTACTTACTACTAGGTAGGAAGATAGCTTACTTGTACGCGTGCGCGTGCGTTAAAACACCTCGCTTCCACCTTCCTACACTTCGTCACGTCCTCGGATCTGGGGTTCAGTGGGGTCCCATTGGATCTGTTTTTCTGTTACTTGTTTGCTTGTTCGTTTGTGTGTTTGTCTGTTCCTGGCTGATAATGCATATGATCTGTTTAGTTAGATTTATGCTCAGATTCAGGACTCAGGCTCAGGCTTACTCCGTAGGTTCAGGCTCAGGCTCAAAGTGGGTTCAGTCAGAGACTCAGAGTTTGGTTTCACTGGGGTTGGGTTGATCTGCTTCGCTCCGGGAAGGACGGCAAGGTCTAGAGAGTCGTCAGACTAGAAAAATTAACTGACTCGTTCAACAGTATTTCTCCTATTTGGTTTCATCAGTAGCCGTTAGCCGAAAGAAATCGTGTTTGTCAGACTGGCTGTATTCCCCAATCCCCAAGTGTCGACGAGCACGACATGACGCTCCTCCACTTTTCGTCCGTGGACCGATTCGATTCGATTCGGATTTACGGCACAGGGACTAGACTGTGATTGACGCTCGGCGCTTGTGTGCCGTGGGAACTTGATGTCTACGAGTAGGAACAGCTCTCTTTGGGGAGATCATGGGCTGGATTCATATATGTAGGCCCTACGTATGCGTGTCATGTTTAGTTGAATTGTCAATCGATTACTACGCGCAGCTTCGTCGCCTTCAGATTCAGGTCGTAAGTGTATTATTGCCTGTCTCTGGAAACGAATTCTCGGCGTAGTCATTCAGCTTCATGGCGAACAACAACCCTTTGGCAGAGTCATCCGCCTCGAGCCTCTCCGTCATGAATGATGTGGAGAGTCAGAAACACCAACCTCATCCATCAACATCAATCCCTCATTGGCGGCTGGTGGCAAGTCAAACACTCATCACCGAAGATGTTCTCAATCATCCATACAAGGGCGCTGGAACCATCGAAGATCCTTATGTCGTCGAATTCATCCGCCAAGATCCTCGCAATCCCATGGAATGGACTCAAGTCAAGAAATGGTTCATCACTGGCGTCGTGGCCATTGCCACCCTTGCTGTCTCATTGATCTCCTCGGCATATACCGGTGGAATGACTCAGATCATGGAAGAGTTTCAATGCAGTCGCCTCGTGGCCACACTCGGCCTATCACTTTTTGTCCTCGGCTTTGCCCTCGGTCCACTCTTGTGGGCTCCTCTCAGTGAATTATATGGCCGTCAAATCCTGTTTTTCGGTACATATGCTATCCTGACTGCATTCAACGCTGGTTGTGCTGGGGCCAATTCGATCGGGTCCCTGATTGTGCTACGATTTCTCGCCGGCACCTTCGGCTCGTCCCCTTTGACCAATGCCGGCGGTGTCATTGCAGACATGTTCCCCTCCAACCAGAGAGGTCTAGGCATGAGCATCTTTGCCGCCGCACCCTTTCTAGGCCCCGTCATCGGTCCCGTCATCGGCGGCTTCGTGGGCGAGACTGTGGGGTGGCGATGGATCCAGGGCATCATGACCATCTTCACCGGATCCCTGTGGATAACTGGCGCCCTCCTCGTCCCTGAAACGTACGCGCCCGTGATCTTGGAGCGACGGGCTAAAGCTCTCAGCAAGCGTACCGGCAAAGTCTATATCTCACTGCTTGAGCATAGACAAGGCAAAATCACGGCCGGCGCCGCCTTCTCCAAAGCTCTTGTAAGACCATGGGTCTTGCTGTTCCTCGAGCCGATTGTCCTTCTCATCTCCATCTACCTGGCCATCGTCTACGGCACGCTGTATCTGCTGTTCGGCGCTTTCCCCATCGTGTTTCAAGGATCACGTGGCTGGTCACAAGGGGTAGGCGGGCTTGCTTTCCTAGGCGTTGCAGTTGGCATGCTCATCGGGACCACCTACGCAATAATCGACAACAAGCGGTATCGACGGCTCGGCGAAGCCAGAGAGGACGGTGAAGCGCCACCGGAAGCCGGACGACTTCCTCCTGCCATTGCTGGAGCGATCGCGCTGCCCCTGGGCATGTTTTGGTTTGCGTGGACCAACTCACCATCGATACATTGGATTGTGTGCATCATCGGCACCGCCCCCTTTGGGTTTGGCATGGTCTTGACGTTCCTAGGCAGTATGAACTATCTGGTTGACGCATACACCATTTACGCTGCCAGTGTGCTTGCGGCCAGCGCCGTCATTCGCTCGATATTTGGCGCTGTATTTCCACTCTTCACTTCCCAGATGTATGCCGCACTCGGCATCCACTGGGCCAGTTCGATTCCGGCATTTCTCGCCCTCGCATGCGCCCCTTTCCCCATCATCTTTTTAAAGTATGGCGAAGCCATCCGCATGAAGTGCAAATATGCTGCTCATGCTCATCATGTCATGCAAGAGATGAAGCTGAGTAGGCAGAGGACCAAAGAACAGCAACAGCAGGGTCAGCTGACGAATCCGCAACCACTATCACAGCCCGATGATGAAAAGACAGAAACCGGAGAGGTGGATGTTCCAGTACGGTCATGAGGCATGCACCATGTTCCGTTCGTTTGACAGAAAATGTTCCATAATTGCAAGGTGTTGGTCGGAGCCTTATTGTATTCTTATCTTTAGACGGTCGGGAAAGGAAAAATCCGTGGACAAGGTCTTATTGCGTAGACCTTCCAGGCTAGAATAGGATCGATGAGGTTGACAACCACCTCAATTTCTCATAACTGTCATATATCACACTGGGCATTGATCTCATCAACATTCTTCTTCGTGATTGAAAACTTCGCACGACAGATGGAAGGATATGGTTTACAGTCTGGTTTCATCATGTCTACCCAACATCATCCACAGGTAGCGAGTAACTGCTGGATCTTGTCGTGCAAACGCTGAAGAGAAGCAGCTGTGATCTCGCTGGGATGTTGGAGTTTTTCCATGTCGGGGACATTCAACGGAAACGTCTCAAGATGCGATTCACAACCCGGGGTGGCCACTTGAGGGAATAGTTTGTAGAATGGTCTGTCAATGCGATAGTGGCTGATATCTTGGATCCGAAGGTTCTGTAGTCGGACAAGGTGTTGCAAGGTGGGAGAAGCTGGGTTGTGTATCATAAGTGCATTAGAGAAGGAGCCACCCTCAGTCTTCTCCATGAGATACATGTCCCACATTCGAAAGGTAGATGTTGCCTGGAGCAGGCCATCCCAGGAGAACTCTGGCTCAACGACGGTATGTTCAAGCGCTTTCATGCAGATTGCATCGACATCAACTTCTTGATCTTTGGAAATCATGATAATTTTGTTCCTCATCTCTGGCCACGGAAGCCAGTCGATTGCTGGGGAATGAGGAACCAACAGTTGCCACAAGGTGGGGCGGTAAAAGGGGTGCAACTGGTAGTATGTCTTTCTGCATGGAAAGTTGCGGAAGAGCTCGAAGTTATAAATGTGTTTATAGACCGTCATTAGTTTAAAGACTCTTTCAGAGGAGGGCCAAGACTCGCGGATCAACCAGGAGAAAGCCTCGGAGACGACATGGTCCTTGAATTCATATGACTGAGCTTTGAGGAGGGGCAGGTTCCGAGACAGAACATGCTGTACAGCGGTGATATGTCTGGACAGGCGAGCACTGTCTGGAAATGTCATCATCATTCGGCCGACTCCAAGACCGCTCCCAAGCAAGTCATAACATGAGCTTTCGAGGTGTAACAGTCGGACATCTGGTTCGTGTTGGTGCGCCTCCTCTTGGGAATTGATGACTTTGAGACATTCTCGAAGCATTTCCAACAAGGTAATGCCTTGATCCGTATCAGGATGTGGCATTGTGTAATGTGCGGCGTGGAGAAGAGCATCAGTATGACTGGGTTGATTGAAGATGGATGTTCCCAGGTCACTGATGGACTGAACCATACCCTGAACAGATGACGGTGGGTAGTCATACTTGACATTGGGAGCAGTGCCAGCCAAGGGATAGGTTGTCAAGTCGTCTGAGGCAGTGGTGACGGACTGTGAGACATAAGGAAGGCGAGAGAGAGGATTCTCGGCGAAGCTGGTGTTGGAGCTAGGAGAATCCGAGGCTGAGGCTGGAAACCGATTATTGGAGGAAGACACAGCCGTTGTCTGTGGTGGAAAGCCCAACTCTGGAGGAACAGAGATTCGAGCGGGAGAGGGCTGAGTGCTGACCACCGAGGCACACGCTTGGTACTTCAGGGTTTGACTGAGTTGCTGAACTTGGGCCAAGGCGGCGTCGAGTTGGGTCTGCAACTCACGCTTCTCCTCCTGGAGTTGTTCAATCTGGTCATTCTTCTGCTCGAGAGCGGCGGACAGGCGAGTGAGATTGGTGGTTTGGCGCTGGCGCCATCTCTTCTGGTTCTCACAATTTTGTTTCCGTCGCCTGACGGGATCAGTGGTGGGCATAGTTGCAAACTTGATGGTAAAGAGCAGAGCCAGTTCCTCGTCAATTAAGGCTCGAGACTTGATGGAGCTGGCGAGTTGTATATCCTGTAGACATAGTATCAAGCCCTAGTCATGGCTTGGTCGTTTGGCGAGAGATCGAATTAATAATGCGGTCAGGAACCGACAGGGTGCTAAATTGTACCGGAAGGGGAAACAATGGACGAGTGTGAACTCTCATGAGCACGCGATGCTATATGAGGGATAGCAAGGTTACCATCTTGACGGGTTGGTAGGAGGCCTGGCCATTCATGTGGTCTTTTTGTTGATCACGTGCAGAGTTAGGGAAGAACAGCTGCACCCAGCTGCACCTTGATCAGTCAGCACGGACGTCGACCTAAAGAGGACAACAGCGGGGTAAGAGCTGGGTAAGAGCTGGGTTCAGGAGAGTTTTGACGGTGTTCTGCAAGCTCAAAAGGACTGGAAATGGCATGACATGTGTAGAGAGGCTCAAGTGGTGGTGGGAGGGGGGAGGGGGGAGCTGAATTGCCTGCGCAAGAATATAAAAAGGTGGGAGGCAACCTTGCAGCAGCCTCATGTGACGCGCCAAGATCCGTGCCTTCCCTGAGTCGGAGGCTCGGAGACCACATACGGCCGTGCCTGCCTGTAATGAATGTTGAGGGAGAGGAAGGTTCAATGGTTGATTTGACCAAATGGCAAGTGCGACAAGCGACACGCGACAAGCGACAAAAGCGACGTAAAATATGGAAGTTCCCGTCTGTTTCCCCGCTGAGGTCCGAGGGGATTACTTAACTCCCAACCTCGCCGACTTGGAATTCTTCTTGTGTCAGACAAATTCTCTCACAATGCCATCACGCTGATCCTCATACCAACTCAAACCTATTCAAGCAGTTCTAGTCAAGATCGCTACTGGTCAGACAGAATGTCACGGCCCCCACTACGCTCACAGTGCCTCCCCTATCCTTGTTCACAATCCGTGACTTCGAAACGAACCCCAGATCCCAACGTCTCGATCAAACTCCTTCTGACCCGAGTCGGCCCCTCTGGCCCCTCGTGCCCCTCGTGGCCTCTCCTCTACCAAGAAAATTCCTAAAGCTTGATCAAGAATCCCTCCAGCTGTTCTTTTGTCCTTGCTCCCACGTTATGATGTCGATTCTCTTCCCAAATCTCACCTCCTTCGCCGAATTGATTCGACAAATGTCCCAAGAAGAAGTCGAGATTCTTGTCTGCTTGAGGGAATGCTGATTGGAATATCTCATACAGTTCCTTGACTTGAGGCTTGGTTTTGGCGTAGGTGATTTTGTCGGAGAACAGCTCGAGGTACTTGCGCATGTGTGCCATGTCCTGTTTGGCATCCGGTTGCCACCCCCTCTCAAGATGTCCGGGGATGATCTTCTCGGGTGCGAGTGCTTCAATCACGTCCAGAGTCTTGCTCCATGCCTCCAGAATCTGTGGGGTTTCGATTTCTTCGACCCTAGACAGGATGAATCATGCCTCTTTCTTGCTGTCAACTGCCCAAAACTTACCAAACATGTGTGCTTCGTGCATACACCGTGTCTCCGCAGACCACAGTCTTTTCTTGTGGCAGCCAAAACAGACAGTGATCCACAGAGTCCCCTTGCAGAGGTCCTAACAAAATGACAGGCGACTCCGGGTTCCCATCGAGATGGAAAAAGGTGAAATCAAACTGGGTAGGTTTCCGAGGCTCTTCTGGCACATTTTCCTTCCCGAACACCTGAGGCCAGTACTTCACCTTCTCGTCATATTCTCGATCGATGCCAGCACAAACATAAGGAGCCGCCAGGAGTTTGGAGTCCGGCCACGCGTCGAGGATTGGATTGGCCGAGAAATAGTGGTCAGGGTGGTGATGAGTGATGAAGACGGCCTTCAATGGGACTGAAGTTGTCTTCTTGACCCATTCAACCACCGACTGAGCATCTGGAACGAGAAATGGAGGGTCAATCAATACTGCCACCTGGTCTCCAACAATCAGCGTGGTTACGCTGGAAAGCCCTTTTTCGCTGGATGAATGGAAGAATGTCTGAAGAGGCGCCATGTTCACAGATTGCGACGATTTGCAGGTTCTGCCCTTTCGACGTCCACTGTTGGATTTCCATACTTATATCAACCACCCGGGAAAACCCCCCTCAAAGCCGATCAACAGGGTCAATGCGTGTAACCAATCATGATCAAGCATCTTTGTCATTCCCCGTATCCGATTTGCGGGGAACGACGAGGGGGACTTATGTAACCCCCGTGATCGCCTTCCCAAGACGACTCTTCGCCTCGAAATCCAAGCCCTACCAGAGCATGGACGACCGGAAAGTCTGTAGAATTGTATGCTGACGCAAGGGGGATTACTCAGTCTCGATCTCGCTGGGGTAACGGGGCAACAGCCTGCTCAGGCTAACCCTTATTGGCGTCAATGGCCGATTGTCAGCAAGGCAGTCGAGCTGAACATTCGCATATCGGTAGATGGACATGGGAACAGGTACTGTGATGCGAGCGTGCAGGCATTTGTGCAACGTATACCTTGCAACAGGTATTGTGGCATGCGGTAAATCTCACTACATATCTCCTGTATATTGGAATGCTTTTCAGCATCATGTCTCCACACGCATCAGCTCGGTAGTTGGGGCTTTATACGCGTTAGCTGGAAAAGCCCCACGTTATTTCTCCAATCTATATAATTTTTGGCCAAATTCCGACACCTCTATCCGTTTGTTTTCCACCATTCCTAAACCTTCATCTTGTCTCTTCTCTGTCGACTAGTAAAGTTACAGTACTATCTAAGTTGTTCTTTGTGATTCCCTCTGAGTTGGAGCTGTTAAAATCGCCCCGAACCACTGAAAGGATTCTTCGTCGACTTGGAACATTGGAACAATCAATCGACTCTTCACATCTATCTCACCTACATCCCATCCTCTCTCCACCATGACGAGCTTCCAATTCCAGGAACACCTCGGTGCATTGAAAGACAAAATCGTGATTCTGACCGGTATGTATCCCCATTGAGATACCCCCCTATCCCACCCCTCCCACCCTCCCACTCTCCAACCCTCCAACCCAACAATAATAACTAACATCGTATCCCCCCCTAATCAGGCGGAGCCAACGGCATCGGCGCCGCCACCGTGCGCTTCCTCGCCGAAAAAGGGGCCTATATCTGTTCCGCCGACCAAGATGCCGTCGGCGGCCAAGCTGTAGTAGACCAAGTCGTGTCGAAATATCCAGCATCAGGCAAACCTCGCGCTTGCTTTAAACAGACAGATGTCACTTCATACGAGTCCTTGCTCGCGCTGTTTGATTTCTGTATGCAGACGTATGGACGTATTGATTCTGCCGTCTCGTGTGCGGGAATCATCGAGGTGGGCAATTGGTTTAATCCGGAGTTGACCTTGGAGACGGTGAGACAGGTGAGTTATCATCCAGATTTTTGAGGTCTCGTTACCATGAATGCGTGGTCGTGTGTGAGACTCTGGGTCATGGTTAGAACTAATCACAAGTTGTGAATGATAATAGGTCCCACCCAAAAAGACCTTGGACGTCAATTTATTGGGCTCGTTGTATTTCTCCCGTATTGCTGTCGTGTATCTCAAACAAGGCAGCAAACCTTCGGATGACAAGTCTTTGACTCTGATTTCCTCGCTGGCCGGGTTTAAGGACACCCCTGGAATGCCACTCTATCAGGTATGTCATGTCAACCCTCAGCTTTCCTCGAGGGAATGATTCAGCTGACCCAATGACTTTAAACTAGGCCTCGAAACACGGAATCCTCGGTCTCTTACGTTGTCTGAGACCAGTCCTTCCTGAATCCAATGGTGTTAGAGTCAATGCCGTGTGTCCATGGTACGTCGCCACGGGCATGACGAGTTTGATTGAGGACAAGTGGCTGGAAGCAGGCCTGCCCGTGAACCAGCCGGGCGACATTGCTCAGATCATTGCTGGTCTCACTGCAATTGCCGGACTTAATGGCAAGGCCATCTATGCCGAGGGCGGCCGTGGTTGGGAAATTGAGGATAATTTGAACCGTTTGCAGCCACAGTGGTTGGGTGAGGAGCCTTCGGCGTCTCTTGAAGAAGGGCAGAAGGCGTTGATGGAATGGAGTGGGTTGATGAAGAATTTGTAGACGAGGATGAATATGAGGGGACTGGCAGGGCTAGAGAAGAGGTACCCTGGAGGATCGAGTGCTCATGACCGGATATGCGTGGTAGAAGGATGAAGAGGGAGAACGAGATAGATTTCATAAGTCGATGTTCCCCTTGACTTTTCACGCAAACTCTGACGGGCCGTTGTAGAAGTGATCCTTGTACTCACGGAGGAAAGCACCTATAGCCGACGAGTGTATTCACAATTCTGCCCGTTCCTGGACGGTTGACAGATTGTAAGGCATTCTCGGTCTGCCACCGTCTCGAGACAGCAGAGCCTGGCGCTCGCTATCATCGCCAGTAAGATTGGGAGTCAGATTTCGAAAAACCGGGGCGACATCTCTGACAGACCTATCCCCGAAATTGGCTTTGCTGATTCGCTCTCGTTCCATGGCTCTTCCCTTGATGTCAACGTACATGACCAAGGCGATACCCAAGCCGAGGCCTGCGGTGGCGAGACCGAGGTTTATGGGCTCTGGGTCATCTTCAAAAGTATGGTGCAACATAGCCTGAAGGCCGGACTGGGTAAAGGTGAAGATGCCAGACAGGCAGATGATAGTTCCGTATACGGTGCCAAATGTCGCATATCCAAAGACTTTGGCTGCATAGTCACTGTGAAGGAGACGATGGGTTAGATAGGGTTGAAGATAGACAGGATAGTAAGGAAAGGGATGCTCACGACATGGCAGAGTAATAAAGAGGTCGGAAGATGCAGAACAACACCACGTTGGAATACGCGGCCCAGTTGGTGGGGACGGCGCCGAGGATTCCAATGACAGTGCTCAGCAAGACCAACAGATTCAAAACGGCGACAGTGCTGCTGTGGTCGAGCAATGCACCAATAAAAGGAACGGTCGCCACACCGCCAACTGGGAGAGCGACATCAAAGAATTCAATCACCTTGGTGGCAGCTTCTTCCGAATTGAGCATGAAAACGTACTGAGACCAGATGGTAGCAATGAAGAAATTGAATCTCATCATCTGCAGGACGGTGAAGAGCATCATAAGAAGAAACCACGGGGACAGGAGCTGCTGTGAAGCGGGAACCCCATGCAAAACACCCCAAACACCCGAGGTGTTGTGTATGGCGTCCTCCTTCTTCTCATACTGGTCACGTTGGGCCTGATCACCGAGTAATTCGTTGATGGATGCAATGGATTGACGTCTTCGAACCGCTCGCTCGGATCTGACCCTCATTAGATCGGCCGCATTATCGAACTCATCGTCACTGTCATGAACGTCTTGAGTGGGATCGCTGGCGAGCTCGACCTTGGAGGTTAGTTCCGTGCGTGTTTCGTAACTGCGAGCTGGCATTAGGGTCAATTGGGTGACGAAAATGAAGACAGGGACCAGGAGAAAGAGGAGAAAGAACGAGCGGATGTTAAAAGAGCCTTCGGTCCATCGATAGACCAGCCGAAAGATCAGGAATATGGAGGCCGAAGCATCAAAGGCCCCTGTGATGAGAGCTAAGATGAGACCCTGATATCGAGGAAAGGCATTTGCAAGATGGAACGAGGGAACAAAAGTAAAGGTGCCTCCGAGAGCCAGCAGGAAACTCGCGGCCATGTAAGCGTCGAAAGGCAAAGAGCTAGCAAAGGCCATAGACAGACTGCCTAGTGCGATGAGAACGGAGCTGATAAGGCCGCAGAGACGAGGGCCGTATCGGTCCAGGATGCCGCCTACGAGAAGAGCTGAGACATTGGTAGTGACCGAGGCGATGACGAAGGTGAGATTCAGCCTGTGCCGTGATCGTGTCAGTAGAAGTAGAAGTGGCCAGCTGGAAGCTCAGGTGCTTGCTACTAACGCTTGGTCTTGGGCATAGCACAGCCGGACGTCTCGACGGAGCTCGTCTTCCGTGCATGTTTCCCGATAGACATCTTCTTCTGCGAGGATTGTTTTGAGAGCATCAAAACCAAAGACGATACCTGAAGCAGTGACACATGTGATGACTGCCACAATTATCTGAGCTGAATGAAAGGTCAGTCATGGTGTGGACAAGGACATGGAAGAGACGCGACAACAACTCACCAATTCTCTTTGGCTGAGAAACTTCATAAGCGGCTTGTGCCTCGAGTTTATCCTGGAAACCTTCCGGGCCGGATGGGATTGGGTCATAGCTCAAAGTATGATGACTTTGCTGGCGTTCGAGGGTATGACCGAATTCCTCGAGCGGTTCTTGGTCAACGCCTTCAACGGAAGAGACATGCTGAATCAATGACATGACAGTAACGACAGCGATGACAAAGAAAGATGCTAGAAATGGAGAAGAAGGATATCAAAATCTAGGCTTGTTAGGATCCATGATTGAGGTCAACATGGGTTTTGATGGTTGCCACCACACAAATGGCAAGGAAGTTGTGGCAACTTGGAAGTGGATGCGAGGTGAATGAAGGTGGAGATGGCCAGACAAAAGACGTCAGAGGTTGTGGTGGCGCCGAGGAAGAGGCCTTAGAGATACAATTTATTAGGGAGACGGAGTTCATTTCCGGGCGGGGGGCCGCTAGAAAGATCTCAGATTAGGCGGAGGCTTAGTGAAGATCATAGGATCTATAGGCGTAGGTATGCCTAAAGGAGGCTTGCAATACTCCCTGAGCCAATATTCTACCAACGTCCATAGATCTAAATTGCCACTTCATTATATGGTCTCTCATACTCTTCAAGCTTACACGCCAGCACGTATTTTGCTATATAACCACTCAATCTTCTCTGACAAGATGTCGTCCAACAACGAAAGCCCCTTTTGTAAACCCGTGGAACCCAAACGTTCACGTCGACCCATCGCCCTTGGTCCAGCACTACCACTACCATCACCACTAGTTCCATCTTGTCCGCTGGGAAAGGCAAATGGCCCAACGGCTGGCTTAGGGAAACGTGGACTTCCATCCTTATTCCAAGTAAAGTGCTGAGTTCGTATCGACCTCGCATCCCAACCCTTTTCAAAGTCGTGCATGCCATGATAAATAATCCAGTTCTCCTTATCGTCAGGGCTGGTGGTGAAGCTAGCATGGCCGACTCCGTAGACCTGTGCAGCAGGGTTCTCTTCAAAGACGCAGCCACGTGTGAATTTCGTCCATGCCGCAGGATCCATGGGATCTTGACCTGTCAGTTCCAACTGGCCCAGACAGTAGTTGCGATTGTCACTGCGAGCGGCCGAATAGATGAGGAATTGTTGACCGGTGTGTGCATTGGTGAGCTGCTGTGGTCCTTCGTTGGAAGACAGGCGATCATTGACGGTGCGGCCGTATGGAGTCTTTTCCCAAGGCTGATCTGGTCGGGAGATAATCTGGCGTTCTGATATTGTAGAAGACACAGTCCATGGGTTGGTCATGCGGGTGATGCATAGCATAGCCGGCCACGATATGTACTTGTCGTGCCAGCACGAGTAGATGTGGTATAGCCCTGTGGAGTGAATGAAATACGTCCCGTCAATGGCAAATTGGTCGAAGGTGTCGAGCTGGGATTTGAAAGTGTAATTTGACGTCCAGGGGTCCGAGCCAGTGGATTCGAGGACGAACATGCGATGGTTGACAGCTGGGCACGTGAAGTCGCAGAGCATATCTTGTATGGGGGACGGATGGTCTGGGTCCACGTCTGCGGTGAAGATGATGTACCACCGGTCGAGCTCGTCGAAGAAGTGAAGCTCAGGTGCCCAGAGCGAGTATGAGTACTCGGTATCAGGAGGAGGGGAGAATGCGAGTTTGGTTTCGGCATCGTGCCAGTCACTGTCCCATTTATGAGGCGATGAGTTGATTGATGGAGGGACAAGTAGATGGACAGAGGGGCTTACGTTAGAGTATTGCTGCGTAGGATAGTAATGTTGTCGTGGGTGGTATATGTCATATAGTAACTGTCGCCATGGTGGACGACCCATCTGATAGATATTAGCCACTGCTATGAAATGAGAGCGAATTGGAAACCAAGTGGATGATGTAACTTACGGATCCGCACCGACGCCATCCAGGATAGGATTGGTGTATGTACTTGCCTGAGAGGCAAGTTTTGACTGTTTGGCTATACAGAGTTGGAACAAGTATAATGCAAGGGCAAACAGGGAGGCTCGGGGGTTCATGGTTTTGGTTGTGAGGTTTAGGTGGACGAGGAGAATGTGGTGGTAGTGGTGGTAAATGAGGTTGGAGAATGACGACGTCTGCTCTTCAGAATTCCATGGCGAAGGATCGTCCCAAGGCCCTTGGGCCAAGGATTACCCATCATTCTCAACACGACTCTGATATGAAGGTATCCTGGTTACAAACATCCAGAGCTACACAAGATCGTCAAAGTACATGTACGTATCCCAATAGTTTGGGCAGCGTTCATTTACATTCCAGCCATGATCGAACGCGCAATCTGCCTCCTCTCCTCAACTCACAATGAGGCCGAGAGCTTCTGGTCCACCGGCTTGACCTCGACCAACAATTTCCCTATACATCATGTTAACTGAGCTCTTCTTTTCGTTGGCCACTACCACGACGAGACCTACCTGTGTTGATGCCCTTGTACAAATCTTGCAATGCTTTTTGTGCCTGGTCCAAGCCGCCTTTGACAATTGTCTCCTTGCGCTTGATCTTGCCCTCTGATAACCATTGGCTGAGATCTCGTAGGGCTCGGGGATATTCTTTGGCGTAGTCAAAGACGATGAAGCCTTCCATTCTAGAAGATGTTATTGGGTGGTCACAAACTACAGAAATGGTCTGGGTATTACCTGATACGCATCGAGACAATCATGAGATAGTTCTAGTCACAATTTAGAGGTCTCATCGATTGTAGAACATAGTTGTCTGCTTACCTTTGGCCCTTTCTGCACGGCCGAGTTGTATTGGCTGATACCTAGCCCTTGTGAGCAACTGCCTGGGGTATGGGCGAGCATAACCTACCGCCACACATGACAAACCGAGCATGAGGTTTTGCACGGGAGAGAGCAAGGTCGAGAATGTCACCACCCACTAGAACAGTTAGCAGAGACTCAATGTTAGCAAGATGACCTGGCTAGTGTTACCATTGTCGAAGAAAACATCAATCAAATTCTGCTGATGTTAGCCAATGTCAAGGTTATGATATCGCTGGAGGCTCCCCTACCTTGGTAGCCGCCCGAAACTTTTTGAAAAAGTCGGGATCCTTGTAATTCAAAGCACTGTCAAAGCCCAGCTCCTCAGTCAACCATCGAACCTTGTCATCACTTCCCGCCAGACCAAGCACTGTGGCTCCCTTGAGCTTGGCAATTTGCCCAACAACACTTCCTGTTGCTCCAGCGGCGCCGGAGACGACGACAAAGTCACCAGCCTTGACCTTGCCGACGTCGAGAATACCAAAGTAAGCGGTGAGGCCGGTGATGCCTATTAAGAGTCAGAGAAGAAATCAGATGAGCTAGTGCAGTGGAGTTTTATACCAAGAACAGCGAGTCCATCTGTGAGTTGTCCACCCTTGGGGACCTGGATCTTTTCCAAGCTCTGGGTCTTGTCACTGGTGGTGATGACGGCAAACTCTGACCAACCGGCCATGGCAGTAGCATGAGATCCAACAGGGAACTTGGGGTCTTTGCTGGCAATGATGGTTCCAATGACGTGACCACGCATAACCTCGCCAATCTGGACTGGAGGAACATAGGACCTGGTGTCGTTGAGCCAGCCACGCATGGCGGGATCGATACTCAGGTAGTTTGACTGAAATAATACCTGGCCATCTTTCAGGTCATTGGCGGTGGGTTTTGGGTTGTCGGTCTTTAGCTTGAATGTTTCTCCTGGGATGATGTCGGCTTTGGGACGTTTGGCCAGGACGACCGTCTTGTAGGTGGAAGACATGAGGGATGTTAAGAGGGTCTCGGTAGACAGGTGTCAAGTATGATGGAATTCGAAGCCTGGGATGGTTTGAGGTTCAAGGTGAGGTCTACTGTGCAGGAGTGGCTATATAATTGTATTGAAGACGTTGAAGTTTGTCAGGATTCAAAACACGTGAAGGCAAATGTCGGTAACGTGATCCAATGAAGAATGGAAGGAGCAGTGGGACAAGAGCGAGCACCTTCCCCAAGCAACAAGAGTCCAAATGTAGACTTCAGACCCTCAGAACAAGCAGCATTAATTACTTCAATTTGATGGTTTTGATCGACGTCTGGTCTGTTCATCGTGCCTCGGTATAACTTTGTGAGGCTTAATGACATGCGGAGATGTTGCCCAAAAAAGACACTGACCGATCTTCCCCACCATGGGCAGTTTTGGTCAGCGTCACAGATCATAAAAAGTATTGATTGATAATTATGGACAGTAGAAGCACGAGTAGGCGATGAGATATCTAACAGACGGCTTAGAGCCATAATTGATGCCTTGTTTACCAAATATTAGTGATGGCACTCGTAGGTAGGTACTGTCTATTATAGTGACTACATCAAAACGACCAAGATAGCCTTACACTCGACCTCAATACAACCCCTCAACCAGCGCCTTGACATGCGTGTACAATGCATCTTCTTCCGCCGTCTTCTCTTTATCGGCCGTCAACCCTCCAGTGGCCCTCGCCACAATGATGTCCACCTGATCCTTGCCCACCCCCTTCTCAGTCAAGGTCGTATTCACTCCTAGATCCTTGACCAATTTCAAGATGCGATCGCCCACAATATCGGCGTCTTTGACCGCATCTCCAGTCGACTGCTCCGATATATAGGGCAAGACTTTGGCAATGTTGGCCGCATTCTCAGGCGATTTGCGAGCCATAAGCTTGACGACATGGCCAAGTGTCAAGCCCGATGTGACCCCATGAGGAATTCCGTAGGGCGACCCCAGTGCATACCCCAGACTATGCGAAAGCCCGAGTCCGCCCCGGAGACTCTGGCCCATGAAGCCAAGACTCGAAAACGCTGCCAGGAACAAGCGCGTGATGGTGTCTTCGTCCTTTGGATCCTCCTTGTATTTGGTCAGTTGAGTGAAGAGTTCACCCACAGCCCCCAGACTGATCAAACGCGTTGGTAGCGAGGCGCTGGCGTGATATTGTGACTCTATAGCGTGATCCAGTGCTCGAAGTCCCGTCGAGAGCATGAGTTGTGGTGGCGTGTAAAGCCCGTACCCTACGTCGTAAAAGATATAACTCGGGTACACTTTGGGGTGAGCAATCCCGGTCTTGACCCCGCTGGCTGTAGTGTAGCCTGCCATTGCAGTCGCCTCGGCCGCTGACAAAGTGGTTGGGATCGTGATATGTGTCAGCCACTTGGAAAACTTTTCGTGAACTCGAAAAATAATGGCTTTGCTACTGTCAATGGGAGATCCTCCTCCAACTGAGATAATGGTGTCAATGTCTTGGTCTGCTTGCACCTGGTCCGTTGCTTCGTCCAGCTGAGCTATGGGGGCATGTTCCTTGATGTTGCTGAACGTCCCTGCATGATGTTTCGAGCCTAGGAGTTTCTCCAGATCCTTGATTAACGGCGTCTTGGTCGCCAGCGACTGGCCCGTCACGATGAAAGCCCGCGACGACTCCGTTGGTAATGCCGACAGCAGCTTTTCTTGAACAATGCCTGGTCCATAGTGCAGCTCCTTGAGTTGATGTGGTTTGTACAGGCCTGATAAAGACCGCGATGGGGGCGTTTGAACTGGAATGAGAACCGACATTGAGGATGAGCCAGGTCTAGGCCGAATATGCAGACTTGTTTGTAGAGCACGAAACGTCATTCAGACAATGTCCTCACCCTTTTATACGATGGAAGTAGACAAGACTACTATCCTGGCAAGAATACCTAGTATTGATATGAATCTCGTTCGACTCAATCGAGCAAACGTACGTCCGGCTGATTACTCAAAATCAAAGAGTGATTGGACCCAGGCTAAGTCAGCATCATTATATCAAAAGACATGTGTCAATGGCATCATCGTTTTATTTGTCTCAGGTACCTACTCCCCCGCATTGTCCAATTCCCGCCAGTAATCAAGTAATAAACTGCCGGCCCGCGGTTCGGTAACTGCGATCCAACCAATTCTTTGATCGTCCCCAACGGCCAAACATAACTCCTAGTATCTCACCAGCAGGGCTGGATGTCGGATTCGTCAGCATGATAACGACGGAGCTCCGACGATGCTCCTTAAGACTCATCAAAGGAAAGTGTCCATGATAGTTGTTTGAATGCATGACGACTCGCCCCGCGGTTCGTCGGGCGTTGCCACATCATTCCAGCCAGCTGAATCTTCCATGGAAACTACTCAGGTCATCCATCTCATGAGGGTAAAGAGAAAGCATTGGCAGGCGCAGTCTATATACTCCTCCGTTGTCATCTTCTGCACAACTGTTGATCTGGTCCACTCTATTTTGGCCCCTCCGTCCCACGCTCCGGTCCGTGCCTGCCTAAACTGAAGGGTGTCACTGGTGGTCACTCTGTGTGAGGCAAGTGCAGATGTATTTGACAAGGCTCTTTCCTCCCCGCAAATCACCCACTGCCACGATCGTTCCTGCCATCTATTTGCGCATTTCTCTTGACGAATCTCCCTTCACTGTCTCTTTTTTCGTCCACTTGTCCTCTCCATCGCGCAAATCTCAAGATCCAAGACTTCTTTCTGCCCATCACTTGTTTCCAACCCCTGCGAAGCCATGCCACTGTCTCAAGTCAGACACTCCTCCTGGCTCGCCGCCCTCGTTCATCGCTTTCCCATGGCTGGCTGCCGAGTACCATCTTAGACGCTCTCTCCGTTGCAAAACGACCGCCTACAATCCTCTAAGCCCACCATCCTCATCCACGTCGTTGCGCTACCCGACCAGCGCCTCCTCCGAGTCTCACCTCATGTCTCGCTGGTTTTGAGACCATGGATCCCGGAACAGACACGTTGTCTGGACACTACATTGAACAATGGTGCCTCCTCACCAGTACTTTCCCCCATGCCCAGGCAAGATCTCTCCCTCCGCCCTCGACATATCTGCGAAGTGACCATTCCAATCTCTCTCCTCTCCCTACCGCGCTTCATTTCCAACATTTCAACGCTTCTCGGTCCAGCTTGTCGAGACGTGCCCAAACCTCCTCCATTGGTGGTCGCAGCTCAACAACAATCCCTTCTCAACCCGTTCTTCATCGCCTTCATTCTCGCGATGTTTCCTTCCCTCCTCCAGCCTCCCGCCCTCTGGAAATGGACCCAAAGACCGGTCTCCCCAACCTCGACGAGTTTTCCTTTGCCTCAATTCTTTCAGCAATCGAAGAGGACATTGCACCCAGCGTCGACGCCGTTGCCGAGATCTTGGGTAGAAGCCGACTGGTCCTGGCTGATCAACATGAGAGCCATCTGCCACCTCAAGGAGAAATCAGAGGCCCTCCCCACGGCCTGCGGTCAGTTGCTGAGGCATCCTCGAGTGATGAGCACTTGGTCTCCGCCGATGACGTTTTGATTGCTAGAGAGGATGCTAGTATCTTGGACCCAAGCGTGCTTGGTTCTGCTGTCTATGGATACTTGGACCGTCTCCAAGTATTACCTCATTCGAGGCAACATCATGTTGTCGAACATGGTCGATCACTGAGTGGCTCAGCGAACCCCCGGGGTCCAACTGGCGTCAATGATGATGTCCATTATTCTAGCGTTTCTCATTCCAGCCTACAAAGCGGCAGCCATCAACCTCGTATGCTATTGCCACTGCCCTTGGTCGACCAGGAGCAGCGCCCTTGCAGAGCCACAAGCGCAATGGTCTCTGAAACGTTTCTTTCCCCAAGTGCCAATGCACACATCTCACCCGAGCCAACCCTAGATAATATCGACGGCCGCGACGAACTACGCTACCCCTACGCATATAGCGGCATGTCGAGCCCTCATCAAAGGACCTTTCGGGAAAGGATTACTTCCCTGGTCCCCACATCACTGATTCCCAATATGTCTTCGGCGACTCGTGGACGGCCGAAACGTCCAGTCAGTGCAGAATCACAGCTGAGAGAAATCCTCGACCGTCATCCCCGGCCCGGCCGCGCCAGAGATGACTTGTCGAGAATCGAAGAAACATCCGACATGTACGGATAAGCTGGCCACTCGAGTAAGGAGTGTGGCAGAGATGTCGTACCATGTGTTAGATTGGATACAGTCTCGAACCCAAATTGATCGTGGATGCCACAGTGAGAGAAAGAGAGAGCCGTTGCAAAGTGCGACTGTATCGAGTCTCATGTGATGCTCTACCGAGATCGCTCTGACATGCCTGCTCCCAGTATTATGTCCAACACAGGCATGTCTCTCTACGAAGTAAAAAGAAAAAAGGAAAGGTTAAAAAAACGTGTAGAAAAGGGTGTTTTATCCGCACTGCTTCGGCAGTCTCATGGTGGACGGCCCTATCTGGGTGTCCGTCATCTTGTGATGATATTCTTGATACCTGTTTGATGCAAGAAAAGGTATGCGCATCTGGATGCGTAATCTAGGTAGTCTTGTGACACAGACCAAGGTGCGAATTTTGCTGTAGTGTGACATGTTGCGACTGAGTTGGCAGCTCTGTCAATATGCCCTGGAAAATGTCGACCAACCCATACGGGCAGATGGACACACCGGACCACTCAACCTCCTTCATCGAAAGAGTCGCTTTCCCGTAGCCCCATCACCGACTCGCCAGGATGCCGATCCCTGCACTCCCAACAAACCGTGACTCATGCCTTGGAAACCAACACCACCACCTTCGCCATCGGCCTTATACCGACGCAGAGCTTCACGCAGATGATCCGGCAAAAGCCCCGCCCGGTGAGGATTAGGAATATATTCCTCGACCTGTCTCTTCAACTTATCGATCGCGGCGGCGTTAGCACGCAACTCGAACTCGGTGAGATTCCCTGCCTTGCGAACCTCCTCAAGGCGTTGCAATTCGCGTTGTCGTTCTTCCTTCTCTAATCTCCGTGTCTCATCGTATGCAACGGCCCATTCACTCTGCACACTGCGAGCGCGCTCGACAATCTCACCGACAAACCATTTCCCGTAGATCTTGATAGCTTGTAACGGCGCCGACGTCACCGACTGGGACACAATCGAGTTGACCAGGCGTTTCACCGTCGAGGTATTGAGCGACAGGGCTCGCCATGCATTATATCTCGAATATTGATCCGGATCCAGTGTCTCAGCAAGTCGTTCCCGCCGTTGTTCCTGTCTCGTTTCTTCCTCTTCCGCCTGTCGGCGTTCCTGCTCATCCATATTCTCCAACATGCCATCAATGTCGCCTTCATCATCTTCTTCCTGTTCGTTCGCACCGGACTTTGCGCTCACAACCGACTTGGCTCGTGATTTGGCTCGACCATCTCCATCGACCTGGCTGGCTGCATCGGTTGCAGCGGTCGCGGAGCGGACGTCGGCGTCGGCGATCTGAGCGGATTTGCGTGGTCGTCCTCGTCCTCGCCCAGGAACTTTGGTACTGGTTGCAGACACGAGACTGTTGGTGACACTGCCGGTTTCGGATCGTGCGCTTGAAATGGCGGATTGAGTGGCCGGAAATGATGTTTGGCGTAGAGGATGGATTTTGGGCCGTTTGTCTCCTCGGCCGGATGTGGAGGCTTGTGAACTCATCGAGGCGCGTTTCTTCGGGTTAGGAAGATTCATGTGCATTGGTCCGGGGGGTGAGGTTGCCATGGTCGAGGTGGTGATGGTGAGTAGAGGGAAGAGGGTGTGTGGTGAGGTGAGGTGAGGTGGTAGGGAAATGGAAGTTCAAGGCGCGGAGTATGGGAGTGGTGTCATGGAGGAGAAAACAGGCGCTGCGTTGGATGCGGGATTATGATCTGGATTAGAGTAGGCGATGGTAAGATTGGAGTATTGTGAATGCCAATGAATAGGTAGAAAATGGATAATTAAATGGATGTTTGACGAGAGATGGTAAATGTTGTCCAGGATCAATCAGTCAATTCCCCAGACTCGAGGCCATGACGCCAACCCCGATTGGGATGGGGTTGAGGCCGCTATAAGGCCACCCTCTGCCTCACACACGTGCTCACCCTACACGTGCGACAAGATGACATCTTGGGTGAGGACTCCCTCTGGCAGGTACCAAGACTACCTACTATGTACTCAAGTACATCAGAGCTTCTGGACTCAAACTGTTCATATCTGGACCGCAGTAGCTGTCAGACCTAACAGGATTACTGATATGTGGCACGTTAGATTGTCCAATACTGGGACCCAAAGGACCAAGGGCTTATATCTAGAACGATTCAGGCGTCAATGTGAACGTCAACGAGGGGATATTAAAACTGGCTCAAACGACGTAAAACACTATCTCCAGAATCTCTCACAACCTAGCCAAGTCAGGAGAGATCTTTTGCACGCCATTAATTGGTGCTGCAGCATCTGCCTTCTCAAATACATCAAGAGCCCTTTTAGCGACTTGGTCACCCCATTCTTGAACAAAGTGACCCGCCTCGACAATTTCCGTGTAATAGCAGCCGTTTTTCCAATACGTCTTCGCGAGAGCCATCATATGCTTCTGTGAGAAGACTGGGTCTTGGGTCCCACATGCCACGAGGACATCTTCTGTGCGGAACTGGTCAATGGTCTGATAGAAAGCCAGGCTCTCTTTCGAGATCTCCACTCCCGGCATCGCGGGGTCGACCATGACCATGTTTGGGAAACGTCTTACTCCGGCTTTGTATCGCATGTCAGGGTACGGCGCGTCATATGCATCCTTTTCGGCATTGGAGAGGTGCTTGCACGATCTGCCCATCAAAGCTCCGATTTTCATGTCGGGAGATCGATTGCTGAAATCTCGCCAGGCCAAAAATCCGGCCGAGGCCTGTTGTCCAAGTCCGAGGGTGGTGTTCATCACAATTAACCGTTTGAACCGTGTTGGCTCCGCAAGTGGCAGTGTGAGCCCAATCAGGCCACCCCAATCCTGCACGACCAGAGTGACATTCTGCAGATCCAGCTGCCGAATGAGATGAAGAAGTGAGTGCCGATGAAAGTCGAATGTATAAGTGCCTTCTTCCGTGGGTTTGTCACTTTGGCCGAATCCAAAGAGATCTGGACACACAACTCGTCGTGATGGCAATTTGCCGTTCGTGGTGTAATGCAAAAGCACGGGGATCATTCGACGATACAAGTATGACCAGGTCGGTTGACCGTGGAGACAGAGGAACGTTTGCTGCTCACCGTGGCTACTTCCCACCTTCTCGTCGATATAAGCCATTCGCAGGTTGCCATAATGGAGATAATGTGGTTCATACTTCCAATCGGGCAGATTTTTGAATCGATCCGCTGGTGTGCGTAGAAACGGAGTCTCCTGGGATGGCATCATGTCAAGATTGTTCAAATTGTTCACTTGGTCAATTGTTGTCCAACAAGTAGTATGTAGTTAGAAAGAATCATGTCCTACTGTGGACAGACCTTGAAAGGAACAAGGGCCGAGGTTCACGGATAACTCGGCTTCACAGTTGGTGGGGTACGGACTGATCAAGGGCCAGAGGACCTAGCTATGAGTGACAGTCATAGACAACGGTCAGGTCAGTTGAGATTTTATAGACTAAGAATACGTGCACATGTGACTGATCATAACCAAACTCCTTCTGTATGCCTGTACGCTGACGCAGAAAGTGTCTTAACTTTGGACCTATCCTACCGTGACCTTGACCTCGGTCGTTTCTGGCGGTTTTCTAGCGGCATTTTTCTGAATTAAGCCATATTCATAAGCAAGAGCCGCATATTTACATTTCATCCTGATTTGTTTGCCGTATCTGTAAAAGATGAATGGCGCTGGACTGCAAGATAAGGCCAGGAAGGCCGGAATCGACGATGCCCAGTGGATGCCGAGATTGTGGTACATTTGTCTTGTAAAGAGTGGACTACACCGTACCGTGTCAGCTTGAGATGAATTGAGAATTCCTGGTTCACGGTGACTTACAATGCTGCAGCCAAGACGGCACGAAGAAGTGCATTGGCAGCCAAAACTGAGGCGGCGAAAATCGTATAAGAATCCAACAGATAGTTCATGCCCGAAAGAAAGACCAAGACCGAACCGTGACAAAAGACTGCAATGCCAATCAGGCAGACTATCCAATGAATGGAAGGGTAATTGGTCCAAGCAAAGAGAAACATCCCAAGAGGTGTGATGACAGCGCCGAGCAGGCCAGGAGGTAAACGAACTTCAGGGACTTCGCCATCGGGTCTTTGGATGTGGTTGAGATATCGTCGGTTATCGTAAATCATATGTCCTGCACCAGAGATCATGCCGATACAAATACCAATGAATGGAAGACCACTGATACCTTGACTCCAACCTCGAGTTTCGGCAAAGACGACGGGAAAGGCTCCCAGGAGGAGGAATAGGGTAGCGTATAGAATGGCCATGTACACCGAAATCAACATAACTATTGGTTCGTGGAATAGTAATACCCATGGCCGGATGAGGACTTTTCGAATCTTTTCGGATGTGTTTTGAGATGTTCCAGACCTTTGTTCGTAAATGGAAATATGTCGTTTTCCTGTCAATTGAGATAGCTTTCGAGCTCGCCTTCGAAGAATCACAGGAGCATATGTCTCGGGAACGAGGAGACTACCAACGATCCACATGACAGCAGCGAAGATGGTCATGATGCCCATGACCCATCTCCAACCAGCGTATTCGGCCACGAAATTGGAAACAATAGGTCCGATCTAGGAAAAACAAAAATGAGCTTCGAGCATCACGCGAGAAGCTCTTGTAACTTACCGCCGGACCAATGAATGCACAAGCAGACCAGGCGGCGATACCAACGCCTCGGTCTTGAGAACGAAACATGTCGGCTACGACACCACCAGAGTTTGCTAGTGGCGAAGCACCAAAAGCACCGGCAAAGAAACGTAGGACGATGATGGTACTAATTGAATTCGACACCGTGACCCCAATATTGAAGAGTGTCAAGACGGTGTAGGTACCAATATAGCATGGCTGTCTGCCATATTCCTCGGACAAGGGCCCCCACAGCAGAGGTCCTGCAATGGTAAGTTAGCATGGATGAACCAAAAACAGTAACCGCTTATGGTTTTGATATACTAACCCAAAGCAAATCCCAGGATGAAAAAAGAGAGGCCGAGGGTGATGATCTGATCCGACACGTTGAAATGCTCTCGAAGTTGAGGCAAAGCACTGAGATATGCGGATGTACAATACGAAACTCCCAGCGTCGCAATTGCCACGATAGCAACACAGAACCACTTCCGGGATCCCGGCCAATTTTGTGGGTTTAATGGATCATTGGGTAGGAAATCAACCACAAAGGGTTCATTTTCTGTTCCATGGCCTGGATAGGCCGCGTGCCATACTTCTGGTGTGATGATGCTAGGTTTGATGACTAGTCGCCATAGGTTGATTTGGTGTTGTGGCAATAAGCACGCTGGGTCCAGCGCCTCAACTCTTGTGTCTTGCTGTTTGCTAGTTGCCTCTGTTGAATGTGCAAGATCATTAGGAGTGGTCAGCTCCTCCTCTTGGATCGGACTGGTGGTCATGTTATCGGCAAAGATGACCCGTTATCATGACAACATCGACTTGCTGACACTTGAGAGGTGTGAGTAGATGGGACAGCTCATGGAAATGACCATTGTCTGAATCACATCAAGCGGCTCCATGAAGATGAAGTCTCTGGCCAAGAACAGGCGGATGACTCCGCTGAATCGGCTTTGATTGACTTTTGGAATTACTAATTAAGGTAGTAACAACCTAATAGACACCGAGACCTGTACCAGGATCTCCGCACAATTTTCCCATATGAGACCAAGTTTTGTGGACCATCTATTCCACAATCCCTCTGATCAATTGTTGGTTCTCCGGGCCGACGGAGGACCACCGGATCATGGAGTACAGTTCAACAAAGCCTACAATTAGGCGGAAGGCGCCGCCGCTTTTAGAGGTGCTCTTCCCCCACAACGCGGGTTTCGGGTTTTCCCCCTCACTACTTACTTCGTATTTCGTGATCGACACCAAACATGACTACCAACCACCACCGCTACTCTGGCTAACGAAAATCCTGAAACGCTGCAGCCAAACTTCAATATCATTGCTACTGAATTTCTTAAAGCCTCAAATCTCCCTATAGACGGCAGCCAATCAAGAACTTCTAGCCGAGTTCCGCGAAAGGAGAGCGCAATGAATTCGCGACCTCGCAGCTACTCGTCGAGACATTATAGATATTCGTCAAGACCTCGCAGCTACTCGTTAAGATCTTATGACAATGATAACGGCATCGTACGTATATTCTTAAGGAATATACGTAGCGAGTAGCAGCTGCGACTAACGCTAAGTCGCAGGGCACCCTCCACATGGAATTTTTCTCTAGGGCACCCTCTCCAGCGCACTCTACATAGGTCTCCCTCCACATGGCATTTCTCTCTAGGGCACTTCTCTCAGGGCACCCTCCCAACTTACTCATGTGGCACTCCAACATCACTCGGAAAAACTCGAGCCAATCATATAGCGTAAAAGTTAGATTAAAGAGACGGCGACTTTCCATAGCCTGCGATATTCTCAGAGTGCCAAAGTTGCCAAAAAGCGGCTTCCATCTGATTTGCATATGTAGGTCTATGAATTAGGACCTCAAAGGGAGTGTAAAGCCCGCAGGATGTATGTGGTCGACCGTACGGGTCGTCCTCATGCCATCACAAAGACAGGCAACGCAACGGGTCAATCAACCAGACTAAACTAATAGGAAAACCACAATTTCATGTATCGACACCCAGGCCAATGAGTCATTGACAGCTCCATCATACCTTCTCTCCAATTCGAGGAGCAGTACCTGCCTTCCAATCCCAACGCTCATAGTACCGGAAGACCAAGTCATATCCATCCAATTCATGCACGATGCGATCCACACGGCGGTAGCCATTGATGTGCTCCATCTTATTGTTTCGACGAGCAATTTGACGTTCCAACATTCTCATCTCCGCGAGAGCGTCATGGTCCGCATGGTGTTTCTCCTCTTCGCTGCTTTTGGCTTCGAACAATGTGACTGAGAATCGTCCGGGTTTGAAAATGTCGACAGCATGCTGGATGATCTCGACGGTCTCGCGGCCCTTCTGACCAACGGGTACATTGGTCTCAAAGGATGCATATGAGCAGATCGGCTCAGGCGTGACATGAACGGTAAAGTAATGAGTCCCTTTCTCGCCGCGGGGAGCAGGAATGACTCCATTGGCCGAGAATCCACATGGAGTAAACAAATAGGCATCGACACGTGCATCTGGATAGTGTTCCTTGGGATAGATGGCGGACAATCCACAAGATTCAGAAACGATGGTGCCAAGAGCGTGGCCTTCGGTGGTCAATTCCTCAGGAAATCTCTCCTCGCTCATGGAGAGATCGCCGGCGTCAGAGGAGGTATGGCTGAAGACATCGACATGATCGTCTTCGCTCTTCTGAGAGCCTCTCCACTGATCTTCTGCGACCGCACTCGCATGGTCGAGGTAGAATTGCTTGGCATTCTCCTCGTCCAGATCAGTCATGAGAATCTCCAAAGTTTCATCTTCTCCTTCGGCCACCTTGGATCCGCGATCAACGACGAGGGAGGAAGGCATGTCCAATACCTTGGTCTCGGTGCCTGGGCTGTCCATGCTCTGTGGGCTCGCTGGAGGGGTCAAGACGGTATGCGGCTCGGTCAGGTACAGGTACCAGTGCTCGCCATTCATCTTGCCGATCATGTATGCGCTGCCTCCCACGAACAACTTGTCCAGGGTATGGACTTCATCACGCCAGCTACGATGTGGGCCATGCTGACGATCGGGGAACAAGAAGTTCTTGCGACTGTAGAAGACGCGATATGGTGGGGCAGCCACTACAATACCACGGGAGGGAGGAGCGGTCGAGCGTTCGAATCCCCCAAAGACGGTAGCAATTTCCAGGATGCGTGGGAGACCACATAGCAAGGTGGTGGTGCCGCAGGTCTTGAGGATCAGCTTGTGGCGGAAAACAAACATGCTGGATTCGGAAAGGAGGTAGGCATCGACGTCTTCGGACTCGACAATAGACAAGACCTTGCAATTGACGAGGTCAAGCATACCCTTCCAGATCTCAGCCGGGACGGCCTTGAGGCCCAGAGGCTGGGAGCATTTTCCAAGATCATTGGCAGATGGACTGAACCACACCTCTAGAAGTTTCTCGGGGCCTGAATAGAGTAATTAGTGTTGGTTCCTGGCTCTTCAAAGAGGCAGACTAACCTTCAAATGCATTGCTCGAGTCGAGGTCGACGGCGGCATCATGATTGATAGTCAAGGACGGCGTATGACTCCAACTCGAAGGCGAAGCTGTATAATGTGGGGGGATCCCAATATGTACCATATCCTTTCCGAAAATGGACAGAGTCCTCGGAGTTGCAAAGGCAGGGGCTGTGAAGGTCACTGATCTTTCGATACAGTGAAGCACTATCTGCCACCCAGACGAACAATGCGGTGTCCGCCTGAGGAGAGAAGGCCCACTATCTGTGGGAAAGATGGAGGCTGGCTTTTGCCAGCAGCAATGTTGGGGTTTTGGAGTGTATCCCGAAGGGTCGTTATGGAGGCCGGGAGGAGGAGAGGAGGAAGAAGATCTCTTGAATGAACGGAATTGTGGGCAGTTGTGAGAAAAATCGAGGGGCTGAGGCGATACTGTCGAGAGTATCTAGGTCAAATTTGGGCCCTTAAGGAAGCTGAGGGTTCCAAGGACACAATTTATTGATGTTTCTGATCTGTTGTTCGAACGGTAGGCAAGTAGCTGGTGTTATCGAGGTCTGAGAAAGTCAGTCGGTCAGGGCTGTGAGGCATGGCGAGGGGGGAAGAAATTGCTCACTTTGCTGGCTTGGACAGGAATCGTAGCAGGTCTTTTCGGCTCATAGAAGGGGTTGAAGAGATCACTGGTAGATTCTAAGGGGCTGATTCAGCCTAGGCGTTGTCACTCAGGAAGAGAGTGAAGAGCGCCAGAGCTGCGAATCTGCCAACGGTGGTGGTAAGCTGGAAGACCCGGTGAGAAATTTCTTCCGGCGCAGAACAAGGATGATTGAGTGATGCAGACGGTGCCTGTGGCTTTGAAAGTCACAGTGGAAGATTGCAGTGCTTAATAAGAGCGTCAACAATCAAGTTAGGTTGTTGACATGACAAGAGTAGTGTTTGTCACTGGCAAAGAAACAGAAGAGAAGAAATCAAGTCAGTTTTGTCGAACGCACAGCACACACACACACACACGCACGAGACAAGACGGGACCTGAGATGCGTTGGTGGCCAACAAAAAGTGCGTGTGGAGCAGAGACTGACCGCATTCTGCCTGCACCTGCCCTTGTTAGGCTTTGCTTGGGAGAGAGAAATGACGGAAGGTGTGGCTGAGGGAAGAGACTAGCTGACTACGAATACTACGGAGTACTACTTGGCCCCCTCCTTCCCCATTCCCATCAGTCGCCGTGTCGCCGTTTCCAATCAGAGCAAAAGCCGGCAGGCGCTAGTCTTGGCACAACAGGCGAAATAAATATCAAGAAAGAACAGAGAGAGCATTTACCATCAGTGTCCATGAAGCCACATATGTTCCCGCACGATAGGTATTATTGATCTACTACAGCCTGCTAATCAACGCCACCCTCTTTCCCCCTTCCATCACCGTCTCTCGACTTTCGCAATGTTGATCAGAAACTCTTTACATTAAACTTGCCTCCCTTCTCCAATGCTCTCTGATACGCAGGGAGAGCATGCACTCTGTCGAGCCAATTCTGCAGCTTGGGGAAGGCTTTGCCATCAAAATAGCCTCTTTGAGATCCGATGTCCATGGCCCAGATGGCGTTAAAATCCGCCAGACCGCGTCGTTTCCCAGCGAACCATGGCTTTTCGTCTGACAAGCTGTCTTCCATGAACTGGTAAAGTGTCTTCAAGTCTGACTTGAATCGCCTTATCATGGGTAAATACCAGAAGTAGCCCAAATATCCAAGAAACAACGGATAAACCTGGGCTGGCACTTCCAAGATGAGCAAGGCGTCCGTCTAATCGTATGTGGTCAGTCTAATGAAACAGGTGCGCAAGGCGATGATATTGCTCATTACCTTGTGGAGAACCGAAGCATTTGCAAACCGCTCAAAGAATGCATCTCGATCCTGGTCTTCCTTGTCCGGCGCCCACATCCCCTCGGCATACGTGTTTGCAAGATACGCCAGAATATGACCGGCCTCGGCCAGGGCTTCCTCTGGTTTGGGTCCAATGCACAGGATGGGGGCTTTGCCTGTAGGGTGCGCTTCTTTTGTGGGATACGCATTCATGCTTCGAGGGATTTTCTTTATCGAATATTCCAGGCCCTTGGTCTCATTTAGTTCCTCCAGTGCCCAAAGGACGCGGAGCGATGAGGAGGACTCGAGATGGTATAGGCGAGGAAACACTGTGTCTTTGTCAAACGCCATTGTAAGTACTTCTGTTGGATATCAAAGACACAAAACAGAACTGCTTGGGGAGGTAGACAGGGCTCTTAAATACGAATCTTTTGCTGCTATCAACCTAACTCTATACATACCTAGTAGTAGTAACCAACCCTTGGCGACACCCTCCGCCTCCTGTCCTGGGTGGCCTAATAGGCGTGTTAGGGCTTGAGGCCCCCTATTGAAGCGCCCGAGAGCCCCGAGGATGCCCAAGATGCCCTACCGATTCCTTTACTGAACATTGCCAAGGTTCGAATCCTCCTTGGCAACAATGAAACTTGCCATGAGGTACGAGTAATAAGAGATAAGAGTACGGCGGTGACAGTGACACTGAAGCGACGCCCGAGGGCCCGCCTCGGCCACTCCGCCTGCACTCCGGAGTTTCCCCTGGCCGCCCCCCCACCAACCTTTTTTCCCATCATGTCATCGTGTTTTCTGCTTAGCAATTCAAATTTAATTTCCATGTCACCACCATCTATCACTCATGCTTGTCCATGCTATACCACAGTCGAAACGTCCGGTGTCTTGTGAATGACAGTCATAAGGCATCTCTGTCATCATGGGTCTTGAAAATATCAAGCACATCGTTCTCATCTTGTCTGGAAAAGGCGGCGTTGGCAAATCCAGTACCACCATCCAATTAGCCCTGGCGCTTTCTCAACAAGGTCACAATGTTGGAATCCTCGACATCGATCTGACAGGTCCTAGTATTCCACGTCTACTCAATCTAGAGGACAAGAAGGTGACGCAAGCACCTGGCGGCTGGCTCCCTGTCAAGGTCCACGATGCACAGAATGTCCAGTCATCTGAAGCCAACGGCACCAACACCACTTCCTCTCCTCAATCCCGGGGCTCTCTTCATGCCCTTTCTCTCGCCTTCCTTCTCCCCTCCCGCGATGCCGCCGTCATCTGGCGCGGCCCCAAAAAGACTGCCATGATCCGTCAGTTTGTGTCAGATGTGCTGTGGCCTCCCAACACCGACTACCTCCTCATCGATACCCCACCAGGCACGAGTGACGAGCATATAGCCATTGTGGAAGAGCTGCACAAACTAGCTTCAAGCGTGCAGCCTGCACGGAATGGAAATGGAATCGCTCTCAATACAGATACAAAGCCCAAGCTGTCAGGGGCCGTGGTTGTCACCACACCACAAGCCATATCCACCGCAGATGTGAGAAAAGAGTTAAACTTTTGTGTCAAGACCCAAGTTCCGGTACTTGGAGTCATCGAGAACATGTCTGGGTACCTATGCCCGTGCTGTGGCGAGATCTCCAATGTCTTTAGCAAAGGAGGTGGGGAAATCATGGCTCGAGAGGCCGGTGTTCCATTTCTGGGCTCCGTCCCCATCGACACCACTTTTGGCGATCTCGTCGAAGGAGTCAAGATCGCTCAGAATGAATCAGCCTCTAACAACGGCACCTCAACCTCCTCCGAGTTGGTCGAGCGATACCGCGACTGCGGATTGAACCCTCTGTTTACGGCCTTTGCTACGACAGTTGATCAGAAAGTTGAATCCACATCGTGACCCCATGGAAGATGACAGATGCATCGGAAAATCTTATAGTGGACACTAGTCCGAAGACTACAATCCTGCTTGTGGCATCCGGCCAATTCATGCTAACATGTCTCAGCGCGCCTGGCCAGGGTATTGACCTCAAATAGAGGTACTGCGGACTTTTGATCGCCGGATATCACTCCCGATGGTGGCCTGGTCGCCATACTTGGAGAGCAAGAGAATCTCCGCCTGGGTAAAAGATAGCACCATGGCACGGCATCCTCACCTATTCCAACAAAACAGCTTGGAAATGACTGCCTCGAACCTGAGCTGGTCAACTGCGTTAGGAATGAGTCCTGAACAAACGATTAATCGTCCAGGCATTCATACATTCAGGACAAAGTGAGCGCAGACAAGAGCCTCCTCTGAGGTCAAAGTTGGAAACAACACTCCCCAGACATGTTTCATGAGAGATGTCTTGGTACCAATATAAACTTCATTTGAACAACTCTATGCCGAGTGCTCATCTATCCTTTCAAACTGTTAATGTCGATTGTCGGTCTGATGCCATGCTTCATTATGGGACTATTGAAGAAGTCCTCATAGTTGTGCAATGCGACGGTTTGGACTCTCGATACCTCCACCTCTTCTCGGCCTCGCGTGACAACATCCTCTTCATATTGATCCATGGCCTGGGTCAGAGTCTTTTCACCCGATTTGACGGCCAACATGGCATGAACAAAGCGCTCACTGTCTCGAATGGCGTTGTTTGCCCCTTGTCCTCGGTCTATTCAAAAATCAGTATACGCTTTGAAGACCCTGGCGACACCTACGAAAGGTCATGCTGTGGGCAGCATCTCCAGACAATGTCACCCTGCCCCCTCGGTTGTCCCAACCCGATTTTGGTCCCCAGATCTTGAAAGGAACCGCTTTTGCTTTGGTTTCAGGTGGGATCCATTCCACCGCTGATCGATATGGATCCGCCCAACCGTCCATTCTCTTCTTCAATTCCTGCACCATATCTTTGCCCTCTCGATAGTCGTCTTCCGATCTTGGCCATGTCGCAAGAATATAAAAGATCCAGGTCTCTGGTTTCTCGAGATCAGGCTTGTCAAGGAGGAAGATTCCAATGTACATTGACTTGGGATGGATGCCCACGTCCACAATGGGATGCATCATTTTGTCCATCATGACTGCCCTCTCGGCAGTGTAGGTGAATGAGAAATTGAGGAACGTATAAGGAAGAACAGTCGAAATGGCTGCGTCACCAAGAAGCCACTGACGAACCCACGATCCACCACCGTCCGAACCGACCAAGACTGAACCGGATTCGGAAGTGCCGTCATGGAAGTGAGCCACAACTCCATCTACATTGACTTGAATGTCGGTTATGGTTTTCCCAAACTGTCCATCAGAAACCATCGATCACGACTGAGTGTGCTTCTCACCTTGACATTTACACCCTGAGCCCAGATAGTCCTCGTTTTCTGAATATTGAGTCTTCGAACTCCAGGAAAAGGTGGTTCCACCAAGGTCATTCCGTTGTGTCCATCACGGATGATGACACTCTCGCGGCCAGCTGACTTGGAATCCAGACCAGGATCAGGCTGACAATCCGTCAAACGACGGAAAAGATGGTCCGGAAGAAGTTCGGCTAGAAATGGATGGCTCCAGGCGATTGTGACTCCCCAGTTGCGATCTCTGGGTTCGCTTTCTCTCTCAATAACGATGTAGTCGATTCCATTCTGTTTTAAGTCAGAGCCTTTCATGCAGAACAAGAGGAGACCAAACCTTTTGAAGTCCCTGGGCAATAGCCAAACCTGATAGACCTTGAATCTTGTCAAAAAGGGATTGATCAGAGGTGACATGGCAATCGAGGCAGTCTTACCAGCACCGATGATGATGACCCTGGGGGATTGTGACATTGTGATGATGATACACTTTGAAGTTTCCTTATCCAAACGTCGACTAAAACAGAAGAAGAAGAAGCTGTTTCAAAGAGCAGAAGAAACCACAGCAAGAGAACTTCTGATCAAGAGCAACTCATGGATCGCCGTCTAAGGTGATGTTTTTGGGCAGCCCTGTAGTCTTACTGTGGTTCTTACCGCAGACCGTGGAGGAATGTACCACCGACATGGTCTCAGACGAGCTGGAAGTCAACATTTGTTGTGTCATAGAAGGAGTGAGCCAACTGTCGGATCAGTGGTCCATGCTCAGTCGAGGCTCTGGCTTCCATGGTAGCCAAACAAGCCACCATCATGAGTTCTTTGTTGTTTGGAGAAACATGGGTCTTGGTTCCCACCAGCAGGGTCAAGGTTTGAGTTTGACAGATGGTCCAGGCCCGAGGCCCCCTGCTGACTGTGCAATTCGACCATAGTTGATTTCGTCATGCCAAAGTCAAGCAACAGCAAGATAGTCGAAGGTTTTGTTGTGGCTGAAAATACTGTACAATGTAAAAGACGAGGTGTTGGGTTGGAATATATATATATACCTATCTTGTGGTCGTTCGGCAGGGTCGGCTGCTTTCACGGCAACTTGATTATCTCATCAGCCTCATTCACATCTGTGCATTGTGAGACCTTTAGGAAGAGCAGCCATCACCATGACATGACATGACATGATCTCTGCATCTAGAGTACAGATATGGCGATTCTCGAATTAGGACACATACAACTTGCATCTGGATTGGAATCCTCAGATGCAACCGTGCTGCAGAAACTCCTAACGGTCAAACAAGGCATAGAAGCCTACAGCGGCCTACCGACTTATTTCTACCAACAAGTAGATGACTCAAGCATGATATTTGTCTTTGGAGCATGGTCATCCAAAGACTCTCACCAACATGGATACAACGGATCACCTCAGCAAACCCAGACACTCGCCTCGGTCAAAGATCAGATGACGATTGATTGGATGCAATATATGGACATTGACCATGAATCCCTTCCGGTCCACGCACCTGTCTTGGGTTTGATCAAAGAGACCCTGCCAAAACATGTCAACAAAACTGCCTTTGATCAGAACTTTGCAGAGGTGACTCAAAATCTCGGTGGTGCGAGATATGGTGCGGTTTCGGCGTGGAACCTCCGCAAAGATAAACATGAGCCGGACATTCGAGTTCATTTTTCGGGGTGGGAAAACATAGATGAAGCTATGACGGCTATGATTGATATTATTGAGCATGCAGAAGGATTTCAGGTCAAGCCGACAAGTTTGAATATTTTGTTTGCGACGCCGATTCACTTGGATTGAGGAATAGAAGTTACTTGCTTCAAAGGTCGTCCTATCTCACGACAATTGGACTCTATTTACGCTGTTATTTGATTTCATCTATAACGAAATGAGAGACAGTCGTGTCTGATCACTATATATCGTTTATCCTGAACATGATTTACGTGTCTGTGGTGGAAATAGCTGAAGTAACATCTATACTGTTTACCTCAATCCTGACCCCTCGTGCCCCTCTCCCCATTCTGGACAAGTAGTGCCACAGGTGACTCTCAGCCACGTAGGTCATTGGCCAGGCTTGCTTGCGTCCTGAGGAAGACATCATGAGACTCAAGCATCGAATCAGATGTGGACACCCGTGACATTTCTGATGGCAGCCTTGACAATACTTTCAACCACATCAACCTCAGACATGGTGCGCGGCGAGTAGACCATAACCCAGCCCTTATCCACAAACGACAGAGGAAATCTGTGAGCCCAACCACGCTCGATGACGGTCCTTGCATCTCTCTCAGTCAACCATACGTGTAGACTTGACTCTGCCGGATGGACATGAGCAATTTCAGTTCCTAGGATGGGGAATGTCTTTGTGAGTGGATTCAATGTGTCAAGAGATGGGTTCGCATAAATCGCGTCGGTGGATCCTCCTTCTGTCTTACTTGGCCTTAATTGAAGAATATCCGGATGTTTTGCGGCAAAAGTCGCGACGAGGTCCCGCATCCGATCCTCGACGCCCACTTCGACAATTTCTTGGTTGTATGGGATCTGTCGTTGAGGCATTGTTCGACTCTGCAGTGGTGGACGAGGGCCTTTGCGCACAGGTACAGCGCTTGAGTCGAGATAACTGGGTCCAGCGGATGAGAGTGAAGATGCATCGGTAAGGTCATCCTTGCCAAAGAGGAGGATCCGACGGAGGCGCAATTTGGTCATGCTCCAGTATCCGCGCCATGTGGGTGGAGTGCCTCCTGTGCCAAAAGATTTCCACGCTTGAAAGTCGCTGATGATCCATATTAGGGATAAGGTGGTGGCGATGGTGGTGCTTGTGATCAATGGGCGGGTCTTGATGGTGGAGAGGAGATGGTTCATTTGCTGGTTGACCGGTAGAGACATCGGATATTTGGGTAGTAAATAGTCGAACAAAATGTATGCCTTTTTCTTGAACAGTAAATATGAAAGATGGAAGATAGTGGAACTGTTGTATCCAAATGAGAACGAAGGGAGTGGGACAACATCAAAAGGACAATAACAAGATGCCTGATACGGCTGAAGAACTTCCGGATTCGCCTTTGATTCGACGTCCAAGTTCCCTGATTAGGCCTTAGCTCCAACCAACAAACATCAAGGATGAACTAAATTCCAGCCCCCCAAGGGCTATGGACCTTATCTGGGATAAGCACAGACACTCGTACGCTAGAGGTTTCGGGGTATGGTTCAGAGGGTGCAGAAGTACTCGGACGTCTATAAAGTCTCACGGACACCTTACTGATTTTGGTTGGGCTTTCCACTTGACTGCCTTCTAATGAACCACTCCTCTCCACATATGTGTATATCAAGAACGGTACACTCCACTCCGGGTCCATTCAGAGTCTTGTGAGCTATGTCTCTCATTCACGAGACACGGTAGAATCCATATGTGAGTTTGCCCTGGTGGGCTGAGACTGTTTGTCACTTGCTGAGTCCTCAAGATGGAGGCTCTGCTATGGAGCCGGCTCTTAGCTAACCAAGGTGAATCCGTGGTCCTGCAATATATGCTCTTTTCCCATCCACATGATACTATCAGAGGGCTTCGTTAGGTTCTGGAGGTCTCCGCTACGGTACTAGAGGACCACACGAGGTTGATCCACCACCTCAGCGAGGCAAAGGCCATCAAGTATAAGACTGCCCTCTTTCCCCCTCCAATATGGGCAGACATCAAAACTTATTAACACTCACAAACACTCACCAGCACTCACCAACGATCATAAACTTCTTTTTCCAACAGTATTTGCTCAACCAACACAAACTCTTTACACATACTTCCTTCATCTAACCATGCCTTCCACTTTGATGATGGTACTTGCCAGCATCCTCTCGTTAGGCACCATGGTTCAACCAACTGTCGCTGTTGACACCGACTGGCTCCAACGTCCATCTTCAACAAGCTGGACCACTATCACCATTCCGGCCACCTTGGTGGCCCGCAATCCAACCAACTCAATCCACGACTCCCACCCAGCAAAACAAACCTCTGAGCCCTCATCTTCTCCATCGTTTGGCAATCCCGTCCACACTCCCGCGGCCTTGGCCACCGCCTCTCCACCAGAAAATTCTCTCACAGACAAACCCGACGGAGAGTTCATGAAACATGTCATCCTTCCATTGGCACATCCCATCATCCCACCTGGAGTGCCTGCAGCCTTCCTCGACAGATTCTACGAGACGGCAAGACGCCATCGAGAAAAAACATCGCACTTCAATCCATCTCGACAACTAATCCCGCACATCGAACAAACTTCCGCATCCGAACATGCAAAAGCGGAAGATAAGGCAAACATTCGATTTTACAAGCGTTTCCTTGGACACTAGCGCTGCTATTTTGTCAGTTTGAGAGGTAGAAAGGGTGGTCGTCCCTCCTCAATGTCAATGGGGAGGGCTTCGGAGGAATGTATCGAAACATGTACATATGCACGCTAGTCCTTAGCAAGTCTATAGTCCAATCACAGCCTAATCATCACTGTTTGTACTCTAGAAATGCCCCGAGGCTCTATAGAGCGGTGTGCTTTCTGGAGGGTGCCCTAGGGAGAGTACCCTAGAGGGAGTGCCCGTGGGAGTGGATTCATCACCGGCTTTTTATGCCCACTTAAATAAAGATAGACGTGCTTAGTTGTCGTACTCAGGCTCAAGGGGCCATCAGAGACTTTGCCATCCTGTTCCATCCGAAACATCATCAATCTCAGCCCTCTTAGAGGTCCTGCTTCTGAACGGATCTTGAATGGTTCATCACAATGTATATCTAAATGTCTTATCTCCTTCAATGATTTTCTTGCCAGCATCAGCAGCCTGATTATCACGTCTGAACTTCCAAGACAGGAAGAGAACGATCAAGACTGTGATGACTTGCGTCGTAATGCAAGCGTAGATGCCGGGCAGATAATTCGGCGCATCTTGACTGCGGAAGACCAAGGCACCACCAATGCCTCCAATGCCACCCAAGGCAACAAACGTGGCAGAGCTAAACGCTCGCTTCCAGTGTCCACGGATATTGTTTGCTGGATCATTCATGAGTGAGTTTACTGCTATGTACGTATCTGAACGGCACTTTCACTCACCTTGATATGTCATTGCGGCAGGGATATTCGAGTTGGCCCCAATGACAGCGATAAAAACTCCCCTAGTTCTCTGATTAGCTGTGTCCGTCTTTCGGTGTCGAGCGCAATCGGTGAACTTACACATATTGACTAGCAGCACTCTTGCTCCATGTCATGATGGGCAATCCGATCAGTGCCAGTAGACAATTGAACAGCATGATCGGCGCTCGCATTCTGTATTTGTCTCCCAGCCAGCCTTGTGCCAGCATCACCAGGCCACCCAAAAAGTATGGCGGTGCGATCAGACACTGCGCGGCAGCAATACTGAATCCCATCTTGCGAAGAAGAATGATGGGGAGAAAGTAAGCAAAACTATATCCGATGATCAAAGTCATGCAATAGATCAGTCCGAAGAGCCAGATCTTTAGGTCTAAGCCATACGCAAGAAACTCCTTGAGCTTAAATGGTGTGCCTTCGGCGTCGTTGCGATCTAGGTTGATACGTGCGAGTACAAAGGATGTCTCAGCGTCGTCGATGAAGAACGGATATCTCTTCTTGGTTTCGGGAAATCCAACCATGAAAATGTAGCCAGCGATAGCTACAATAGCAGTGATGATGCCTTCCATAATGAAGATCTACAATCACAAGGTCAGTTCAATCTTTATCAGCAAAGGTAGCAAGCCTTTCAATATACAGAGATAACAAATCTTATAGGACTCAAGCATGTCCAGTAGAAAAGGATAACTCACCCAGCGCCAACCGGCTAAGCCTCCTACGCCGTCCATCTGCATAAGGCCATATGCCAGGATGCCACCGCATGACTGAAGCGTTCCGGCAATGAAATACCACATTGAATATCTGTATGGAAGGATGAGCCTCAAACAGACTTGCCAGCCTCGATTGTGCTGGAATCAGAAGGAGACATACCTCTTGTGCATCTCATATCGTGTGTACCAAGTACTACCCCATTACGTTAGCCAGCTGAAATTGGCAGTGGCCACAAAGATGATCACTCACCTAATGAAGTACAAGCACCCTGGATAGAAGCCGGCTTCGAGCATACCAAGAAGAGCTCTCAAACCTGCGAGAACTTGCCATTCCTGGGCAAAGCCAGCACCGATAAGAATGGCGGCCCAAGTCATGACCACAGAGGAAAGGAAAACGCGAGGATTGATCCATCGAATGAGCATTGCCGCGGGGATCTCGAAGATGATGTAAGTTGGGAAGAAGACAAGGGTTATGATGGAGTAACGCATGCCCAAGTCCAGACGGAGGTCCTGGGACATACCAGCGATATTTGCCGCCGCCACTTTCCAACATGTTAGCCGCTGTATCAGGAGAGGAAGCCATGGTAGTGGTTTACAGTTGCCTCTGTCCAGAAGACAGATGAAGAACATAGCAGCCACGATTGGCATGATCCGCCAATCGACCTTCTTCATGATTCTCTTTTGTTCTTGTGGTGAGAACCTCGCAATTGTCGCTCGATATTCCTGCATTGCAGAGGACTCCTCCTCCTTTTCAGGAACAATGTCATCCGCTTGCTCCATTCTGGATGCTTGTTTTTCGTCTTCATGGTGTACGACGAATGCATCATTCCCGAGCTTTTCGATCTGTCCACTTGCCATGATTTAAAGTCGTAAATCCTCCTACACGGGGGTGAAATGCAAGTATTGAAGCCTCGTTCCAACAAAAGAACAGACTCGATTGATCAAGATTTAGACGAGTCCAAAAGTCGAGGACTTATCAAAATGCTCTAGTCGCACCTAAACCTGGCGATCATTCTACCCTGGTCCATGTTCCAGACCCCTGATATCCTTATACTCTCGATGTTCGAGAAGCATTCATCTAGACAACCTCGCCCATAACCGCGACTATGGCCGAGGCCCGCTCAACGGTATCTATCACTGCGAGTTGATTGGCCCATGATATTGTTGGCCAAAAGGAGGAACCTGGGGTAGTTCTATTCCCCATGGGGCCCACCGTGGGTTGCGGTTCAAGGTAACTTGGGGAGCCGGGGAGCCGAGGAGCCATGAACTATTCGGTCACTTCTCCAGAGTATGGTTGGCTTTCGGATGGTTTATTAATGCATCGCTGTGTCGCTGTAGCCAAGGCTAGTCAGCATTTCATTGGTGTCTATCGGCAAGACGGGAGGATTCTGTGTTTATTGCTCCCAGCTAAGATTGTCTGGTACCTCTCTTCACTGCTGTGACTTTGGTTGCCTTCACATTCAAGTTAACTTTGTGTAAATATCAAGCCATCTCAGTGTTGGTCAAGACAACCAGAACTACAGACTGTGGTTAGGATAAGGACGTCGTCCCAGGTTGCTCTAGGTGAGTATACAGCCGCGAAGAATGCTCATTTCGGTTTCGTCGGCCTCATTCTAGGCTCCTGGTCTATCCTTTGTGGACTTGCGTTTAGGTATGGCTGCTGGAGAATTTGGACAGTTCAGATTGAAGTATGTTGCAGCCATTGATGAGACCTATCAACGATAAGAGATTCATATATTAAAAGGCACATATTGCTAAATGAAGCGGGATTCGCAGAATATACAGCAGTAGACAGTTGATATTCCTGCTGTTCTGCTCATCATAAAGGGAGTGACATCCCAAGACCCTGCTGAAGCATCACGTCCTCAAATACCGTTTCCCAGTCCGTTTCGATGTGTTGCAAGTCATCAGTACTCATAGAAAGACCGAAATCGTCGAGTTCGGATTCATTAAAAAGTGCAGGGGACCCTTCGTCGACAGCTTGAGGCGAAACTTGGAGAGTTGCAGCTGTCAAGTCTCGGTCCAAGCACGTAGCACCATGACATGGTCCATCGGTGGATAGGGTGCCACTCTCCAGCTGGGGGGTTTTGGAGGCTGGTATTGATGGTAAATCAAGACTTGGCCCGCTTTCAGCATACCTGGTCCGCAAGAATAATATCTTCCCGTCTCGATCTCTGATGATCTCGATCTGCGCGTTTTCCAATACGGTGGTGAGAAAGCCCATCACAAGGTCAACACCCGGATGAGCGGCTTGTAACGTTTCGCAGACTTTGAGAGATTCGAACATGGCTTCTAGCGGATTGTAAGCGGCGCCTGCTTTGTGTAGACGCACCCGAGGGATATGAGATAATACGGCAGGTATCTCGATCAGAACAACGGTTGGTGGCAGTAGATAGTCCAAGTTGTGGATCCGAAGATCATGACTGGCTTGACTAATTTCGCTTCCTGCCTCAAAGATTCGGGAGAGCGAGAGCTTCTGCTCTGGCGTGTATTTCAAATGCGGACTTTCTAGACTCACCAATGGTCGATGTAGAGCCGAGACAACTGCATGAAAGATTATGTGGATAAAACTTCGATGAACTGAGATGGTGGGATGCTGGCTCTCTAATGCTGACTGGCGCCGAGAGTAGTAGCGGCAGGAATCTGGTCTGCGCCGAAACCAGTCGTGAAGCTTCTTGTCATACGCTAGAACCTTTTCTGGCCTATCGGGCTGCGCTCTCGGAAACAACATCGTCCTTGAGTTGGTGATATTTTGTGTGTTTTGTGCTTTGAAGGCCTCCGAAGGCAACATTGAATACTGCCATGTAATGACCTCACCGGCATGGATGCTTAGATCAACCATGAACATGAACATTTCTGCCAGTGTGCTGAGATTACCGAGGCCGGCTATCGGAAGAGAACCTGATAGAGGGTTCATCTGGAGGCTTTGGAACACGACTTCAACAGTGTCAAAATCCTCATAAGTCAGTCGAGGTGTATCAAACTCATCGTCATGGATTCTCATTGCTCGGCTCATTGCCAATGCGATGATGCGGTCACGTAAACAACATGACCACCACACCCGTCTTCGAAGTCTATTTTCTCTCAGATTGTCAATTGTATCAGCTGCCTTTCGATGAAGCCCCAGTGAGAATGCCAAAGACGACGCAATTCCCATCCAATGCCAGGTACCTTTGTTGTCTACAGGTGTTTGAGACCATGACGTGAGAAGGAGGGCTGACTGCACTATCGTTAGTTGATCCGGTTCAGCGTCGAGGTCGTACAGTATCTGCATTATCGTTTAATATAGTCCACCTGTCGGAAATATGAATGTTTGGAATACCAACCCGAGTTTTGTCATGATATGCTTTCCTGGCATCTCTTTTGGCTGCAAACCCCAAGTCTTTGACATTTGCCGGGTCGATAAAAGAGACCCCGGCAAACATGATTGCCTGGTACAAGAGGATGCTGATCTTACCCCTTTGGAAAGTAGATGGCCTGTAGAGAGCTCCGAGAAGCTGCACCAAGTCTACCACAGGCAGGAAGGGATGAACGTAAAATACATAGCACTTGACTATCTCTTCTTGGAACTTTGCTGATGGTAGCTTCAGAGCACCCTTGCTGGTAAGGTACGCGATATCACATGGCTCCAGGTGATTTGGAAGTGGTTTGATGAAGGCCGGAAGAGTTGACGGAGGTGTTAGATCTGCCACTTGGGATGGAGTTGGCTCTTCGGGCTCTTCACCAACCATAGCATTAGATATTCGTCCACCCAGCAAGTCCGCATAGGAGAGTTCTTGGTGCAAATTGCTTGCGTTGATCGAGGTAGTGATAGGTCGAGCACTCTTCGTGCTCAGATCTGATTTTGGGACCGATATCAGTCCAATTCTTTTTAGAAACGCATCAAAGGATCATGGTCCGGACTTACGAGGACGAGGAGATGCTCCAGTCTTGATAGGTGCCAGGGATATCATCTCTTTTGGCGGTAGCCATCCAGCAGTATGACTTCGATATTCGCAATTCGGAGATCTTTTGGGCAGCGAGATAACGCATGTTTCCTGGATAATTTCTTTTTGCGGCGATACCATGATTTGCTTGCTGCACTCGACATGCTGTGAAAGAGGCCTCCTAGGTTTTCTGCAATAGACCCCTGATAGCTTAGCAATTTTCAACCTTGGGTCCTCGATTGGCGCAGCCATTAGTCAAAATAAAGAACGCACCTTCCACGTTTGCTTCGTTCAATGAAACAATCAGTCTTGCCATAGATGCAGTTTCGACAAGGAGCTCCGCATTGTTCGACATCACATCGAATCTTCCTCGCTCTGCAGCGACGGCATGCCTTCCCTGCCCGTAAGCCTTTTTCCGACATTGCCACTTGTTTTCAAATTGATTTTCAGAGCATCATCTGTTTCAGAGAATTCAAAGTAGGTCATTTGGGGGACGCTTGACCTAAGCTTTATTGAAGAACAGGGTCGAAGAGCGATGAGACTAGCAGCGTGGGAGCCAAGTTCTGTGATCACCTCACAACTTATTGGGTCGCCAATTCCAGACGACTAGCTGATGAGAAGGGTATGAACTCTTCCACGCTTAATCTGTACCGTGTCAATGAAGGGACTTCTGCAGAGAAATTGTGAAATTTGCAAACAGGATATCGAATCCTGAGGACGTTGGAGGTCCCCCGGACCCCGCGGTCGCTAAGATGAGCTCCACAACAGTAGCTCCACTTGGCCGGGGGTGGGTGTACGCCTGAGGTCTTGAGACCACCGAGACACCTCGGCCATGTAAGTCCGACCAATTGCTGACAGTCTACGATAGCCGTCATTCATAAATACGATCTTGGCGACGGATGGTCCTCGGTCAGGTTATAGCACGCGGTCAACAAGAGCCTAAACTTAGCAACAAACGAGAGCGAGGCCTTGCAGAAGACAGCCGTTTGCTTCGAGCCTTTTCGGGCCGTCGGTGTATCAAAGGAGGATAAATAGCGCTATATACCGAGAATACAGATGCATAAAAGTGACATTCATAGATCTTTGTCCTCCTGCGAGATCTGGGCGCGTTGCTATCACTCTATTGTGTTGCAAGGAGTAATTGCTATCAACATGCCATTCTTAGCGGAGAAGACTTTCAAAATCCCGAACAAGGATATCCTTTCCTGGATATTCGACGAACAAAGACACGATGTGGACAAACCAGTACGGAGATCAGTCCACGGTATCCAACCAATTCACTGATTGAATGGCAGATTTACATCGAAGCGGCAGATCCTTCGCAGTCTATCTCATCCAGACAAGCTCTATCGCTGATACGAAAACTCATTGCTGGCTTTCGAGCACACGGGGTAAAGCCAGGTGACTGTGTCTGCATTCATTCTTTTAACAGTGTGAGAAGATACATCCGTTTTCTTTGACGTCCAGTACTCAGTCATCGGCAGATCTACTATCCCGTATTATTTTTGGCCATTGTTGGCTGTGGTGCTGTGTTTGCAGGCACCAATCCTTCGTACACACCTTTTGAGCTGGTTCACCACTTCAAGACAGCACGAGTCGGTTTCGTGATCACTGAGCCCGAGATGCTTGCAGAAGTGAAAAATGCAGCTAAGGAGACAGGAATTCCATCCAGCGAGATTCTCATATTCGATGTGCAGAAGCAAGACATTCCAAGCGGCTTCAGCTCATGGTCCACGCTTCTGACACACGGTGAAGAGGATTGGATACGCTTTGACGACGAACAGTTGTCAAAGACCACCACCGCTGCTAGGCTCTTCAGCAGTGGCACGACTGGTCTCCCAAAAGCCGCGGTATTGACTCATCAGACTTTTGTCGCACAACATACGCTGTCTTATGAAGCGGAGCCACCAGTTATGCAGGTACGAACACCATTCTTTCCCATGCTTAACCCAAAGGTTGCTCTTCAAGCTAATTTTGACTGTGCTGAATAGATCATTCGCCTATGTTACCTCCCCATGTACCACGCCGCAATGGTGCCTCTTACTCATGTCTCGCCACTAAGGGCATATTTCCCGACCTATATCATGCGACGCTTCGAGCTGGAACCATTTCTGTCTCATGTATCCAGATATCACATTAGTGAGTTGGTTGTCGTGCCGCCGGTTGCACTTGCTATCATCAAAACCCCATCAGCAGCAAAATATTCCTTTGAAAACCTCAAGTGGGTAGGCTGCGGTGCTGCTCCCTTAGCCCTGGAAAATCAGCTAGCTCTTCAAAAGGTCCTAGGACCTCAGACCATAGTTGTGCAAGGCTGGGGAATGACCGAAACCTGCTGCATCGCAATGCGATTTGTTGGGCATGAAAGGGACAATACGGGCAGTGTCGGGCGTCCAATGTACAACCTGGATCTGAAGTCGGTCAAAACCCATACCCCTTTGATTTCACTACCGCTGACACCTTTGGTTCAAGACTCATTGACGATGAGGATCAAGATATCACAGCATACGATAAAAGGGGAGAACTCTGCATCAGAGGTCCCTCGATAATTCCGGGCTACTTCGATAATCCTGAAGCTAATGCGAACTCCTTTACCGATGATGGCTATTTTAAGACTGGCGACATCATGTACTGTGCAGCGTCAACCAAGAAGTGGTACATTGTGGATCGAAAGAAGGAGCTCATCAAGATTCGCGGATTTCAGGTTGCTCCTGGAGAGATTGAAGCAGTTCTCTTGTCTCACCCTCAAGTACTGGATGCCGCTGTGATCGGTATCCGAAAACCATCTGAGCCTGATGAGAACGAACACCCCCGGGCTTATGTGGTCCGACGACCTGGACCGGAAGGAGACGCGGTGAATGAAGAATTGCTTAAATCGTATTGCAGTTCCCGTTTGGCAAAATTCAAAGAGATAACGGGTGGAATCCAATTTATTGATGTCATGCCCCGGAATCCCACCGGGAAGATATTGAAAAGGGTTCTTCGAGATATGGCCAAGACGGAGCTCAGTGCTGGCGGTCCCAGAATCTAAGTTCAGGAGAGATAGGAACTCTAGAGGTCTCAAAGGCTGTAATCATTTCGTTTAAAATTACGTGTCGAGTCACGTAGATGCTAGAGCATTTGGGAGATAGCCACTGTCACTACGATGGAGTTCACTTTGTCACAGCATCCTTGAATTGTACCCTGACAGAATTGATCACAGCAGCATTCTAGAGGCTTAAGCTATGCGCACTATATCATTTGGCTCATAATCTTCCAATTTGATCCTACTACGGTCGGACGGTGCGTTGGGAGCTGTATCTATATTGTAACCGGTTCTTCGACATCAGACAACCTTCGCATCCTGGCATATTTTCACTATACTACAGAAAGGTTTGAAGGCGCTGAAATGACTTCCTCAACCTAGGGCCGAATATAGTACCCGCAACGAGTGTTCGGTCACTTCCTGTCAGCATCGGGGTGTTTATATACTATAGTAGCTACGCTAACCTTCCACAAGCCAAAACTGTCCGAGATCCCGTAAAAGGACAAGAGCAGGTTGTTACTTATGAGAGGATATATATCGAAATTGTCGTAGCATCGTCTTGAGTTTTCAAGATCGATGTTCATATCACAGAGTCGAGGAGACGGACTTGGCTATTCTAATAACATGAAACTTGAATTTGGTATCGGGTCTGTGCGGCCCCTTTTGAGCTTTCTCGTTGTCAGTTGCAATATCTGTACGCGGGTCAGCTACACAAACGGTGAAGAGAATGATTCGAGAGTCATGGTCGGCCGAACTTTCGCCTGGTTCACAGCACCAGGCTCCTCCATCTATGCTTTCCCTGCTGGAACGGATCACATTTGCCGCGGCGAGACTTTAATCCAGTACGGCGAGTTTCTCCGGTATTGAGCCTTCCAGAACTCCGGGCTTGAATGCGGTGAATGCTCCTGCCCTACGGCGATTTCACGGATACATAAATTTCCCCGCATGTACGATCATGACAATTTCCCCAACCCAGACTCGACGACTGATGTGACTTTGTAACTTTACTTGCCACGCGGGAGTCGCGCAACCTTTTCGACCTTTTTCCCCCACTTTTGTCGTGAGTATATCTCCTACGGATCCCACGAGGATCTGCTTCTGTGTCTACTTCGACGGTCTGCGCAATCTATCATCATGTCCGCTCCCGCTTCAAAAGGCCTGTCGCGGGCCCTGCGCCAGGTCAAACGACCCTCTCTCCCCAAAAGTTCTCTACGACCGACCTTTGCTATTTGCCAGCCGCGACGATCATTCAAATCTACTCCAGTGAAAAGGGAAGACACCAGCGAGCAAGGTCACAAGGTTAAATACACTACAGACATGTACCCGTCATTGAAGCGAGATTCGAGGTTTTCAGAAATCACATCCGATCATGTTCAATTCTTCAAATCCGCGCTGGGCGATGACGCCGCAGTTCTTGATGGTGTCACCAAAGATGCCGCAGATGACCTGGAACCTTTCAACAGTGATTGGATGCGCAAATACAGAGGAAAGACAAACCTTGTCCTGAAGCCAAAAAACACACAAGAGGTCAGCAAAATCCTCAAGTATTGCAACGACCACAAGCTCGCCGTAGTTCCCCAAGGAGGCAATTCCGGTCTGGTCGGAGGGAGTGTCCCCGTCTTTGACGAAATTGTAATTTCCTTGTCACGCATGAACAACATCCGAGGCTTTGATGATATCAGTGGTGTTCTTTCCGTCGATGCTGGAGTCATTCTTGAAGTCGCCGACAACTTCCTCGCAGAACATAATCACCTGTTTCCTTTAGATCTGGGAGCCAAGGGCTCATGCCAGATTGGAGGAAACGTAGCCACCAATGCTGGGGGCCTGCGGTTATTACGTTATGGTTCCCTTCACGGAAATGTTCTTGGGCTCGAAGCCGTTTTACCAGACGGCACCATCGTCGATGACCTCAGCCTCCTGCGCAAGAACAACACGGGCTACGATCTCAAGCAGCTTTTCATCGGCGGTGAAGGCACCATTGGCATCATCACCGGTGTTTCTGTCATCTGTCCTCAAAGGTCCAAGGCGGTCAATGTTGCATATTTTGGTCTCGAGTCTTTTGAAAAAGTACAAGCAGCCTTCAAGGAAGCCAAGATCCAGCTGAGTGAGATTCTTTCCGCCTTCGAGTTGATGGACGGTCAGAGTCAAGGTTTCGTTCACCAAGTGACCGGCAATAAAAACCCCTTGGAGGGCGAATACCCCTTTTACTGTCTAATTGAAACTAGCGGGTCCAACACCGAACACGATAGCGAAAAACTCGAAAAGTTTCTTGAGCATGTTATGGGTGAAGAGATTGTCTTGGATGGAGTGTTGGCCCAAGATGAATCCCAACTCCGCTCCTTGTGGAGGTGGCGTGAGGGCATCACCGAAGCCATCGGTCATTTCGGTGGAACATACAAATATGATGTCTCCATCCCCATCCAGGACTTGTATAAATTGGTTGAGGACACGCGAGAACGATTACAGTCGAAGAACCTGATCGGTGACGACGATTCATTTCCGGCGCTCGGTGTGGTGGGTTACGGACATATGGGTGATTCCAACCTCCACCTGAATGTGCCAGTACGGAGATATACAAAAGAAGTGGAAGAAGCTATCGAACCTTGGGTCTATGAATGGATCCAGAAACGGAACGGTAGCATCAGTGCTGAACATGGTCTGGGGATTGCCAAGAAGAAGTATATTGGTTACAGCCGGAGCGACAACATGATCAGACTCATGAAACAGATCAAGGATCTCTATGATCCCAACGGAATCATGAATCCGTACAAGTATATATAACCAATTGAAACCATTTATGGCCAGCATTAAGTGAAGCCGTCAAATCTATGACATCTACGTCGATCCTTTGTTCTTCATGCGGGGAAAGTCACCCTGTCCGAGGCTATCTTTTGCTCCAACTCCGTGGAATTCGCAACATCCATGAGGAGATTCAGGGATCAATAAATGTATTTCTAGTATTCATAGACGACTGGAAGAAGATTTCTAGAAATCGATAATATACGTGCATAACAGCCCAGGGTAACCGTCGCCCCACCCCGTTGTAACCATGGTCTCTACAGATCGTCTGAAAGAGATATGCATCCCGGTCGCTGAACATCCAGCATTCCACACACGTAAACTCCGAGTTGCCACAATTGGCGCTGGGTTCTCCGGATTGATCTTTGCTCATAAGATCCAACACGATCAGCCCGAGTTACAAGAATTCATCGAACATGTCATCTTCGAAGCCAACGATGATGTCGGTGGGACCTGGAAGGTGAACACCTATCCTGGTGTGCAATGTGATGTCCCAGCACATCTCTATGTAAGTGTTCGAGAAAAACAGATCCCTGGACACCTTTGATTGATCATTGTTTCTTCAGGCATTCCCGTTCGACCCAAACCCTAATTGGTCCAAGTTCTACGCCGACGGTGATGAAATCCTCGAGTACGTGCAGCGCACAGCGGAGAAATGGAATCTTAAGCGAGATATCCAGTTCAATTCTCGCGTTATTTCTCTCGATTGGCAGGAGGAAGCGGGTAAGTGGAAGGTCAAGGTGCGCAAGAATGGTCAGGAGGAGAGAGAGGAACTATTCGATGTCCTGGTGTCTGCTCAGGGCTTTCTGAGGTATGATCCACTCCTCACTCTCTATCCCTTTCCCCCCAGAGACTGATCTCTCTAACAGCCAGTGGAAATGGCCAACCATTCCTGGCATCCACGAGTTCAAAGGCCATAAGGTCCATTCAGCTGAATGGGACCATAATCACGATTACCGCAATAAACGCATCGCCGTCATCGGTAATGGATCCAGTGGTATCCAAATCTTGCCTCAACTGGCCAAATTGAACGGAACTCAGTTGGTGTCTTTCCAACGCGGGCCGACTTGGATTACACAATCGCTAGGCGAGGTTCTTGCAGGTGGCGAGGCGAATCCAGATCCAGATGAAGAAATGACCAATGGCACCAATGGCGATGTTGGTGTCGACATGGCAGACGTTTCTGAGAGCGACGAGGAGGTCGGCAGTAACTTCAATCCCAGGTACACAAAAGCCGATAAACGACGATTTCAAGACAAGGAAAAACATCGGGCATATCGAAAGATGTTGCAACAGGGCATGAATAAAGGGTTTAGAATTGTAGTTGTCCCCCCTTTTTACGTGTGTACTCAACTGACTCTCTAAACACAGTTCAAAAAAGGATCCATCCAAAACCAAAACTCGACCAAAGTCACCTTTAATCGCATGCAAGCCGCACTCAACAACGATAAAGAACTCTGTGACAAACTCATCCCAACATGGGAACTTGGCTGCCGCCGTCTTACCCCCGGTGAGGGCTATCTCGAAAGCTTCCTCCTCCCGAGCGTGAAGCTCGAAACCTCAGCGATCAAACGCATTACTCCCACGGGGATCGAAACCGAGAGTGGGACACACTACGACGTCGACATTATCGTCTGTGCCACAGGATTCGATGTGTCCCATGTTCCTCACTACCCCGTCACAGGACGGGATGGGATGACTTTAGCAGAGAAATGGCGAGATGAACCGGAAAGCTACCTCAGCGTAGCATGTCCATCATTCCCCAATTATTTCATCTTCACGGGGCCTAACGCGACAGTCGGCCATGGAAGTCTCATCACCAGCATGACATGGACGGCCGACTATATCCTACGATGGACGCGCAAGATCGCTCGTGAAGATATCCATTCGGTGGCGCCGCGTCAGGACGTCACGGATGAATTTGTACGCTATGGTGATGAAATCCATAAAGGTCTCGCCTGGTCTGGTGGTTGTAAGTCTTGGTATAAGAACCATCGTGTCAACGGGAGGGTTACGGCCAACTGGCCTGGAAGTGCTTTGTTGTACAGAGAGGTTATCACTTCTGAATTAAGAGGAGAGGATTTCGACATCAGATACCGGAGTCCGAATCGTTGGAAAGGGGTCTTGGGAAATGGAATTACTGAGTTGGAGGAATTGGCTGAGAGGCACGAACGAGATGGTAAAGAGGCCGTTGATTTGGCCTTTTATATCTAGAGTCTTGAGTAGGGTCTGTGCATTTTAATTCATCATCCATGATTCATGCATGACATTAAGACATGTTATTAATCGCCATATGCAATGTCCGCTTTTTCTCACTCTCACCAACGACCTTCCATGGCCCTTCCTTTCCCTTTGGACGACCCGTTCTGTCTTCCTCTTTCTTTATCCTTCTCTCGTTCCCGATCTCGATCTTTCCGTTTCGCGTGTTTAAGGTTTCTTTCCTTCTCCCTCGGGTCAATCACCACGAGTTCCTCTTCGTTCTTTTTCTTCCAAGTCAGATCCTTGCCGAGGCGGTCTTTGGCAAATGATAACGAGTGGCTCATCCACTGTGTTCCTTCATAATCATCATCGCTGCCAGGCAGTCCGTCCGCACCGTCTTGGGCTCGACCTGAGTTGGCCTCTTTATCCCAGGACGAGCATGACTGGCAGTTTGCAATGAAGTGCAGATCGCACAGGGTAGCTTCTTCCGTGTCGTCCATGTCAGGTTTCGGCTCTTCCTCTATGGCGGCACCCGACTTAGTTGGCAGAGATGAATCTGTAGACGAACTACTCTTGCCATTGGCATCGGCAGCCTTGCTAACCGCAGGATTCTGTTTCTGACCAGTAGATTTCGAGCGGGCCACGTAATTTGATACGGTTGTGCTGTGTTGGCTTTGGTCGGCAGCATCTAGGCGAGCCTTGAATGCTTTGAGCATCTTCAATGCACTTGTGTCCTCTTTATTGTTGGAATCCCCAGGCCGGGGCCGCTTTCGACCTCGTGTGCTTGTCGCTGGTATTAAGGACTCCAAAGCCGACTTTTTGTGCTTGCTTTCGTCCTTAGTCGTGGTGACATTCCGACGCATCGAGGCTTTTAACGCCTCGATTTCGGCTTGCAAAGCTGACGCTCTCGCCCCTGATTTTCGGTCTTCGACCGGAGTCGGTGAGCGGGACGGTGACTCTGGGTTGCGGAGTGGTAGTTGAGTTGTTGGATCGTGGAAAGATGGCTTGCGATGGTGGATGGGAGATGCGGAGGATGATTTGTTGGTTGGTTCTGGGCTGGCTTTTCGTTTCTGCGGTAATGTCGAGGCTACTGGTGGAGCGGGCGGTGCCTTTTTCCTTTCTATAGGGGCAGGCTCCTTAGTTTGCGACTTGCCGTTGGTCTTTGATGGACGGTCTTCCTCAGCCCCTCCACCCTCGATCAGGTTGGGATTGAACTTTGCTTTCTTTGGACGGACAGCGACTCCGGGCCCGTCGTCGCCTTCGTCGTCTCCACCAAAGCTCAACAAAGCCTTGCCGGCCTTCTTCTTGACAGCCTTCTTCTTAATCGACGTCTCGACCACTCGCTTTTCGATCTTTTCTCTCTTGCGCATCTTTTGCCAGGCCTCACCTTTGGGCATCTCGATTATCTCCGCGCGGAGGATCTTCTCGGGATAGAGAGGTCGTTCGGTCCCCTCGACCAATTCTCCCTCAGCGACCTTGACCACATTGTAAATACCTTCACCCTCGACTCGGCCGAACATGGTGCATTTCCCATCCAGTTCAGCACGGCAGTCTGCCAGCGTGATGAAGAACTGACTTCCATACCCGGATGCACTACCATCCCCAGAACCTTTAGCCATACCCACCAGGCCTCGTCGGTTGAACTTCAATCTCGAGTGAATCTCATCACCGAACCGGATCTTCTCTCCCTTCTCACGGCCCATAACCCTAGCCCAGTCGTCGTCATAGTTTTCAAATTCTCGATCTTCGTATATATTCGTTCCGCCCTCACCTGTGCCCGTTGGGTCGCCTGTCTGTATCACGAACCCCGGCGCGACTCGGTGGAACAGATTTCCTGAGTAGTCTTCATCGAGAACATGTTGTAGAAAATTCCGACATGTTAATGGTGTTTGCGTAGCGAAGAGAGAGATTGTCAATGGGCCTGCGGTAGTGTGGAGGAGGACGGTCGCAGTAGGAGGAGGTTCGGTCGTGTAGTGGGACGACATGGCGAAGAATTTATATTTTTAATCTCGGCATGGCAGAAGATAGACAGTTGAATATTGCACCTGCGAAGATATAGGTTTGTAGCGAGTATGTGAAGGCGCGTGCAATTCAATTGTTCTTTGAGCTGGTTCTCAGTCTTGATGTTGGAGAAAAGTTGTCGTTCCACGGGCAGAGTGGATCGGGGTTGTGATTCTCCGTATGATATTCTACAGCCAATCATTCACGCCCGATGTGTACACAAGTAAATCGCTGGGAGAGTTTCTGGATTGCATAGAATTGAGCAACATGACAGACCCTGAAACAATGTCTTCGCACCTATTTGATGTAAGTGATCAGTTCAATGTCTTGTTCAAAATTCACTTCCGGGATCCAAGTCCACATTACGTGTATATGAGAAACATTTGAGAAGACATTCCTCGGTCTTCCTCAACACTCATCACTACATCATTACCACAGCCTACTTCAGCCGTGTCAGAATGGACTCTTTCGCAGGCGATGAGATCATCTCCGATGCTGCAATGGCATACGACCACCAAATCCTGATTCGAGCCACTCCAAACGACATCTTTCCCTGGATAGTCCAGCTTGGCAAAGGCCGTGGTGGATGGTATATGCCGGCTATATTAGAAAAGTTCCTCCCTCGTGGATGGCCTGCAAGTCGGTCTATTCACCCACGATGGCAGACCCTCTCTGTAGGGGACAGAGTTCCTGACTATGGGTTCAGTGCAGACGACTATTTTGATGTTGTCAGGCTTGAACCACCAAAGTCCCTAGTATACAAGTCTGAGAGGTATGGCACTGTCTTCACTTGGGCTCTTCTTCTTCATGAGGCTCCAGCGGACACGCCAGGCAGAGGTCTCGATCAGCAGTCTCGCGTCGAAACTACGATGCATCTCAGGTTTCGTGGCAGGATTCAGAGTACCGGGTGGAGAAGAAAAATCATTGTATGGGCAGGAAGCTGGATGGATTACCTCACTACGGCGCCTATGTTGAGAGGATTAAAGGAAAGGGTGGAGAAACCTCACTTGACTTGACCGCCTTCTAGGATTGAGAGGGTTAACCGGCATGACTTGTGCTTTCATCTAAGTGGAGCGAATGATCGCCTTGTTTGTTCCATTCATGCACTGTGGAATATGAGTATAAAAGAAATCGCAGGGAGGCAGACCAGACTGCCTGGATGACATCCACCGCTTAATGCATTCTCCCAACTGGACCCATTCACTGATGAGGTCCAGCAGCTCTTCTCTCTCTTCCACTGAGCAAATACAAACTGGCTCTTACATCCAGCAGAGGGTCGTCGCTGGGTTCGACGCCTTGGATTCTGGGGACAGGATCAAAAATGGTAGTCCTTGACTGTTCATCATTATTGTCTGTGACTTTGTCCAGCTTGATGGTCCCAAGCTTCACAATCTTGCGGTCCTCGGGCCATTGCACAGTCGCATCATCTGTGACATCGCCTTCCTCGGCGATTTGTACCGAGTAGGTGAAGGAAACGCCACCATCGATGATACGGGTTTGTATTTCATTGTGCAGGTAGGCGGGATCCTTGGCCTTGGCTTCTTCATCTGAGATGTGGGACTCGCCAGCATCCGGCGTTATGCGGTAGCGGACCGTTGTGACTTTGCCGTCAGCGGCAACAAGTTTGAAGGCATTGACACCAAAGTACTTCTCTGTCGCAAAGCTTGCAGGGAAGGGTTTTGGAGCACCCAAGAAAGCAGCGGCGGAAGGAGTTTTGCTCAAAAAGACTTCGATTGGCGATGGACCAGTCGATTTGTCGTGATTGGCCGACTGGCCGACTGCAACGAACAAATCGTTGAACGCTTGGCCAGTCCGTACAGGGAAGAACGGGGTAGAATGCGTAATCACATCAGTGTGTTGGCGTTTCCCATCCTTTTCAGGCAGGGTGAAACGCAAGGCAAACCCTCTTGGGTTTGCATTGGCATCGTTGTCAGGAATGACTGGAATACCGGTAGAGTTTGAAAATCGAACGACCACAGGGGTCGAGGGAGTGTTGAAATGATGTGCGGACGACAAAGTGGCAGCCTCAGGAGTAGGAGTAAAGGTGCCATTGATCAAAATGCCCCTGGCATGCGCTGATCCTTGTGAGATGATTTCTACGTTCTATTGCGAGGATTCTTACCTGGTCGAAAGCCCGGAGGGGTTCCAAAGGTAGTCTTCAGGGTTGTGAGCAAGGTGTTCGCTACCTGATTGACCTGTTCGTCGGCTGGAAGAGGCATTGTCGGTGAATGATATGGTGGGTTCAAGTTAATTGCTGTAGGGATTGATTCTTGCTGGATGAATTGCAAAAACCCATCATCTCACCGAGGCCTGTGCCTCTACTTATACCTAGATTTGTGATTCATTCCTCATTTGAGCGCCGACCTACCTCGCCTGTTGTTCAGCAGGCCGGGCTGAACAAGTAAACGTGGACCACCAGGTGGGTGGAAGTCGACGGACCATTCACGACCGAGTGTTTAGTAAACTGAGTTCGAACCTCCATACAAATATTGGAAGTTTGGCAGGGTACGTATTCCCGAACGAGTCTCCTCGTAGTCACGTTCATGTGGCTGATTAGTCAGGAAGCACGAGATGGACCAACCACCAATGATTATCAACAAAAACGATGACAATTTCAAAGAAGACCATATGTATGCAGTGACGCAATTCCTTAGATAAGCCCTGCATCCCGGGCAAGTACTGATCCTGGAAATTTTTGTTGAATAGTGGACGCATTGTCGAGATGTGTGGAACAGGTACCAAGGTAGGGAGAATGTGAGTGATTGGATTGGGGCACCTTCAGGCTAAATTGATTTGTATTTCGATTTAGCTTGACGTCCAGAACATGTTAGTGGCCCCTCAGGTCTAGAAGTTTGCAGGGCAGTGTGGCAAATGCGCAAATAGGATGGTATGGATGGTGAGAGAGGTACATGCATGTAATAACCTTGAAGACCTGGACTGGGACGGCGCTTGGTGAGTCAGTGCTTGACTCTACTACGGTGAATCATCACGCCGCCTCCTTGTCACTCTTGTTCTCAGGGGGTTGACAAAATAATGGTCACATAATCTCGCAATACAGGCAGAGACTGGAGAGATCGCCGTTGACGGATTATGGGTACTTAGATACGAGTGATACATTTGACTCTTGCTGAACAATATGTGGTAGGTTTCGATGTGGAGATTTGTCAATTTGTCCACACCACGTCTCGACTGACCCGTCGTTAGCAAACACATACTGAACGCCCAGGTATCGATTCGATCACCTTGCTGTAAGAGATTCTTCCGTCGGATGAATCGAACCACAGTTATTGACATTTATCAGGTCGCAAGTGGTTCGATTGTGCAGAATGCCATGCTGAGCAAGAGAAGCACCCCCTCCTTCAAAGCCATGACATGGTGAGTGATGATGGGGAATTGGTCGATATCAGGCCCACGTCGCTAGACTAATCATGTACACACAGACATTCATCTGCAAAAAGTGCCGAAAGGCTTTCAGAAAAGACACTAGAGACTGGGATGATAGGTAAGTCATCATGACAAGTCTCGAGCGTCCAAGTTCAATTCTAAGTCGGATTTCAAGCGACGAATATTGTCCAAATTGCGACAATCATTTCGTTCTGGAGGCTGTCACACCAAAAGCGGCATTGAAGGTGGAGAGTGACGATGTCAGAATGGATTCACGGTGGGCAATGATTCAATTTTTGCGAAAAGCAATGCTCATGTTGTATCACAGGATGCTCAAAGACGACCGGACCCGACAAGCCGATCTACAGACCATATTCGACCTTAAAGGCAACGACAGTAGGCTTGGTTGATCTCTTGCCAGGGCCCTTGAGGTCACGAGACTTCCAATCAGAGAAGCCTCTCTCAAGCCAAGTACAGTCTAATCTAGAAATACAAGACAAACGACTGGGTCTCTGTGTCCAGACTAGCTTACAGGAAGTAGAGGTGGGATGGCCTCCTGGCGACGATGGAGAACCACAACACTGACGATGTTGGGTCCATGAATGGTTCTCCATTGGATACCAAACTCCAGTCGCTCATGCAAAGATTTTCGATCCACAATTCATCCAGTCCATCAGACATCTGCGCTTCCCTCGCCCTCAGCCAAAGGTCTCGTTGGTAGCGACGATGTAGCTGAAGCGCCGGGTCTACCAGGCTTCTTCTTTGCTTGTTCTTCTTGCTTCTCTGCTTCAATCGTCTTGACATATTGTTCGATTTGCTCCGACGGTAGCATTTCAATCGTCTTTCCAGGTGCCATGATGGCAATCTCAATATTCTTTGCACCAGTCTGGACCACCTCCAGTAAAGACTTGACCGTCAAGGATATTGTGGCCTCTCTGTCCATGTCGTCTTTGTGATTTCGCTCGAGAAATTCTCGCACGGTCTTGCTGGATCGGCCAATAGCGTTTGCTTTCCTATAGAGCAGTTAGAACACGGTGATGGTCTGATTTGAAATGAGTCATACCAGGCAGAGTAGATCCCAGATGGCTCGGTCAGGTAGAGCTGAGGCTCCGTACTGCCCTTGTCAAAACCAATGATCAATGTACTGATTCCAAAGGGCCTGACACCACCACTCTGTGTGTATCTTTGCTGTACTCCGGCAACGTATTTGGTGATATATTCAACAGATGCAGGATCCTCGACGGTTAGACGATGTGATTGTGCTTCGAGTCTCGCCTTATCGACCAATATCCGAGCGTCGGCGTTGAGACCAGCAAATGCCAGACAGACATGAGTGTCCAAGAGACCGATTTTGGAAGGGGTGATACGGGTGTCTTGCAATTTCATAGCGGATCTCTTTTCGCATCCCAGCACAACAATGTCTTTGCCCTTTACTCCAACTGCGCAGGTCCCCCGTTTGACAGCCTCCGAGGCATATTCAACTTGAAAGACGTGGCCATCGGGACTAGTTACGTTAGTATTGATGAAAAATAGGATGGAAATTGTGCGGACCTGAAGACTGAACGATGTTAGCCGAAGAGACCATGTGATGGAATGAGTGCTACAAACCTGAGAGCGCACGATCGTAGCCCGAAGCCATGATGGGGATCGCAACCTCAGTAGATGGGAATAGAGTTCAGTCAGTCACGATGAATGATTGAAGTTGGAAACGAGGGATGCGTAGAATGGCGTTGAGAAGAGGTAGATCGTTGGTGTCTGTATGTACTTGTCAAGGTGGAACGTCAACCAGATGTCCGATTCAGGTTCAATGAGATGGCGTACGCGGTGAGCCGCGTGCTTCAAAGCTGCCTTCAGAGCCCGGATCGGACAAACGTTTCCATAAAGGCGTCACTGCGCATGGCTCTGATCGACCCTAGAAGCCAACGACTGCCATAGTTCTAGAACCACCCGCCGTAGTGCCAAGGCGTAGTATTGCAAGGACTCCGATTGGTAGGAACTCCTGAGCTTCGACTTCAACATCGACGTCCCCAACTTGTCTTCCACTACCGACACCTACCTGGCTGTTGACCTTATGTTGATAGCTTGTTAGGTCCATCAACGTCCACAGCCATGGCATCCCTCCTACCAGTCATGCGGACACGAGTCCCGCGTGTTGCTACATATGCTTTACGATCTCCTTGCCGAAGTCTCTCAACCACAAACCGACAACTGCGACAAGGTCCTGGGACGGGAGAGAATTTCGAGCAAGCAAACGATCCCCAGGGCCGAAAGCTGACCCCGAATGTCTCAAAGACGAATGAGACCCCGACGGATGCCATGGGAGCTCGAGATAAGCCGCTGCAGGAGGCAGTGGCCGCAGCAGAAAAGTCCCGCCAATTACAGAGCCCAAATAGAGCAACTACGTGGTCAAGAAGTCAACAACCAAGAGAAATGGCAATGACTGGCCCGAGATTTGAACAAACCATCATCGAAGAGCAGGTACGTTACATGACTGAAAATCATAACCGGACGGGTACTAAGACAGAAACAGCCTGCGCCATTCGCAGCGATTGAACTCATCCACAAACAACCTGTGCGGTGGGTGGACGGAAAGAGCGTCGCATGTGATGGCGGTGGAGGACCTCTTGGACATCCCAGAATCTACATCAACGTGGACAAGCCTCAGATTTGCTGGTGCACATATTGCGGTCTGCCATATGTAAGTTAACGCGCAGAGCCACCGACCCAGGGATCTGTCTAACAAACAACAGGCATCAAAATCACACAAGAAGCATCTTGAATCATTACCATCCACTACATATCCTCTCGCACCAACAAATGACCCTGCGCAGGTCCGCTTGCCCACTTCTCCTAGTATGAAGGGAGAGATCCAAGGAGACTTCCCTCAATTGGCGGGAGAGCAGGAAGGGGAGAGTGTCAACAGCCAACCACTTCAGCAAAGATGAGGGATGTGGTTGGAATAGGCGGAGATGTACATATTGAGACTTTTCCAGGTGTTTAAACCATCACCTTGCAGGAGTTAGGTACTACCGAATGGCTTACTCGACCTCCGGAATGGTGCGATGATGGTGAGAGTATATACATGCATTTTAAGGGGAACGAAACGAGCCTCGATCGTGCTCTGCCTAACTCGATCTTGTTCGACTCTATTGGGCGGTAACATGCTGTAGATTGTTGATACAGATAATCCCCTGCTTGCCAAGACCGAACAAATGAGGCCAACATGACGTAGAACAGAAAGGGCCAGAATCTCAATCGATGTCAACTCATAGTTTACCACAGCAACTGTTGTCTTTATGCTAATCCTACAATTGCTCTCACGCCTCTCTCAACTTCTTCTGTACCTCTCACCGAACCTGATTCTCAACCCAGAACAATCTCCTGAATCGATCAACTCTACCCCGCTAGACCACCCCGCTGCTGACACTTGCTTGCCTTCGAGCACCACTCCAACCTCTCCCACCATGTCGTGGTTCCAGAAGACATTCACACTGCCCGCCAAGTCACGAGGCTCATATCTCATCACCGACCAAGTCGTGTCTGCCCTTCCCGAGTTGAAGGATTACAAAGTCGGCATGCTCAATCTCTTTGTTCAGCATACATCATGTGCACTCTCACTCAATGAGAATTGGGATAGCGATGTGCGAGAAGACATGAGCGATGCTCTGGACAGAATTGCTCCTGAGGATCGTAAGGGAAACCTCTATCGACATTCTGCAGAAGGACTAGATGACATGCCTGTAGGTATTTTCCTAGATTGGCTAATTCAAAAGGCTTATGCGTGGACAGGCACACATCAAGTCGGCACTGATCGGCGCCAGTGTCAGCATCCCCATCACAGATGGCCGACTGAACACAGGTACTTGGCAGGGCATCTGGTATCTCGAGTTTCGAGCGGCCAGGCATTCAAGAAAGATTGTGGCCACCATACAAGGAGAGAAACGATAATTATCCCAAACTGATGGCTGTGGGGTTTTTGGGCCTTGAATCATCTATTATGACAGTCTATCTCCGCTTCCAAGGCAGGTTTTGTCGTTATACTACTTGCTTCCGCTTCCACAGTAACCATGCAAGGACCATTGCCGCCTTGACCCCTGTCGCAATCCACAGAGCACCAGCATATCCGATGGTTGATTTAGTGAGCGCACCCCCAATAGCCGCACCGGCGAACAGGGCGATTGCACTCACCGCCCTCCGATTTCGATCCGGATCTTCGAGCAAGCCCGCCGTCAGCAAGTCGGGATCGCTCATCAGGTCGCAGTACAGACTGGTCAGGACAACGGTCGGCATCGAGTTGTATTTGAGAACACGACTAGCGACAATCTGTCCCGCACTCTGGAAAGCCAATAGAGCAATAGGACATAATTCAATCCATGGAAAAGTTCCTCGATCTCCAGCTTCTCTGGCAGTTTCATTGTGTGACTTTGACGCCACGCCAGACGAGATCAGCGCCGCCGTGAGGACCATAAAGCCCGTCTGAATGAGAAAGGATGACATGACTACCCACCGCTTCAATGGGCCCAGGTAGCGGTGGAAGCGAGAAAAGCAGAATGCACCAACACAAAAGGCCAGAACCGCGACCACAGATTTGACCCATGTATGTTTGGGCATGTCGGATGGTAGATCGCTGACACCTAGGCCTGCGAAGATGGTGTTTCCTAGAGACAGACTTCCGCGTTAATGACTGTACCAACTACTTGAATCTCAGGATATGACAGAGACTCACCTGTTTGCATACTGACGAAACAACTATAGGTGTTGAACGCGACGCTGTCAACGATGCCTGCCACGAAGAAGCATCCCAGTAGTATTGTGTCTGCCCATGCTGTGTCGATGTCAGAGGTGAACCGAGATCGCAGCCTTACTGTCCGCGGTAGACTTGATGTTGGAAATTCGGAATTTGTGTTCAGGGTCTCCTCCTTATCGGAGAGGGAGCTGGGTGTTTCCATGCTAGACCGAATGTACTGAGATGTTGAAGACCACGAGGGGTGTATTCGCAGATTTGTCACGAATACGATATCATGATATCTCTAATCTGTATATTCAAGAAACATCACACTAGAAGGGGCATCTGTCTCCTTTTATTGACCGCATGTCACAATTGGGCTATCGCAGAGGGCTCCGAGCCAAGGAACAAAGATCTCGCCATCATTCCCATTGAAAAGATTTGCCCCCATAAACAAATCCATTAATGTCTCCAGTTGACTAGCCAGTGAGTGTATGGGAAAGAAAAAAGCTACAGCTTTATTACTTGAGAGATTTAAAAAGTGGGTTGATACTGGCCTGGTATGTCGAAAATGGGTGCATACGGTAGAACGTTTTGCCGTAGTGAGATTACATGAGTCAAATGGCAAAACTATGCGGCGATTGGTTGATGGATCCAGCCTCGCAGCCTCGTGGCTTAGCCTTGCATCTCAGCCTTGCATTCCTCCAACTTCACAATTTGTTGTCGATCGAAAGATTTGCCTTGAATCCTATTCCACAATCGACTACTCGCCATTTGGGCCAAAGAATTCACTGAACCTCACTTCCAAGTCGAAACACATGGTGTACATCTTCAATCGTCTCGATTTGCACCTTTCGATTGCCCAAGCATCCATCGCTACCTAACACATATCAAGTCTCACTTTCCCCGACCTTGATGAACAGTCCACCTTCAGATCCACCTCGTCAAGATGGCAGGGCTCAGTACACCCAACCCTCGGCAGCAGCCGTCGAAACAGATGTCCTCGAGACTTCTAAACATGAAGGTTCGTTTAATTCTAAACCCTTCTCAAAACCAGACCAACACCTCTAACTTTGACCACTCCAATAGTTCATGCAACGTGCCAGTGCCTCCACCCCTACTAGCGCGACTTCGACCCCCAAAACCCAACCATCATACACAAATACTCCAACCACCGAACCATCTAGCAAACGTCGCAAAATCGCCAGTGCCACAGATTCTCCCTTTGCCTCCGACCCAGCCTCTCCCATAGGTACTCCTTCTGAAGGCTTTGGCAGGTTAGGAACTAGCACTTTTGTTCGTCCTCCAGGTGCCGAAACAGAATGGGTACTTGATCTCAACGACAAATTCTTGCAGCCAGCGGGTCCCGCAGCGCTTGTCGCAAATAAACATGTGACCAATGGTCAGGGCAAGAGTAGCAACAACTCGATCCCGGGCTTAGGCGACGTCAGTTCAGGTGCAGAATCCGAGGGGACGGACGAGGACATGTGGCGCAATCAACCTCCAGGCCGGCAAACCTTTGGTGTTTACAAAAAGAAGCAGAGAACACGGACGTCTACATCTAACCAGCCGACCGACGATGACAGTAACGGTGACTCTGATGAAGGCTCCGACTCCGGTTCTGATTCAGAGAACGGCTCTCAAGACAGTGATTCTGATTCGGCCGACTCATCACCTCGTTCAAAATCACGGTCAAATTCAAAGAAGTCAACGGGAAATCAAAAGACATCTACCCGAGACGTTGATTCAGATGAAGAAATGAGGCGTGTTCGTCGCGAAATGGAGCAAAAGCACAGCCGTATGGCAGGAACCAGCACGCCAAAGTCGACAAAAAGCCCGTATGGACCCCGTGGCAGCAACACCGGCTCGCGACCGCAGCATAAATCTAGCTCTCGACGAACCCCAGGTTCTGGAAGTAAGAGAAAACACGGCCAGGACACAGCGGCGAACGGGAACAAAAAGAGAAAAGGAGGCAGTGGAAGAGGCAGAAGCTAGACTCATTCCTCGCACGGCGATCTTTGAAAGTGGTCAAACACGGCCAAGACCATCGCGAAGCAATCCATGATACGACCTTACAGTCGACCTTTGCAGTCTGGCAACCCTCCAGCGCCCACAATGACAGCTTAATATGTTGTTTTATTCTTATCGACAGCTCGATACGCTGTGTATCCTTGTTATCAACAGCACATGTTAGAGTCTTTGGTCTCATCCCATTCCGTCAGCGACCAATGATGTCTCTAATCATTTCTCCAACGGTGTCCCTCTTCCTTCGTCTTGAGCGACTTGCCCTCACCTCTGGACTTCTCTCCCTCCTCCTGCCTCCTCGGGACCTAGACCTTGTCTTTCGTACCATGGTCTCCCAGTAGGAACCATTCCATCTTGGAAGAGGGCTGCCGCTCCTTTGGCTTGAAATGCGGCTTCTACGCCGACCTGTCTCCCGAAGATCCTCTTGGTCACTAGATTCGTATGTTGGAGTGCTTTCTCGCATAGCGGACGAGTCTGACTCGCTTGCCCTCTCGTTCTGTCGTCCAAGGGGGTGAGATTTGGATCGATGCTCAGGCCGTAGCCGGAAGGGGGACCCCATCGGAGAATCCTCTCGAGAGCGACCTCTGGGTTCCGAGCGACCACGAGAATGGTGTTCTTCAGCCCTAGTCCGACTCTGAATTGGATTTTCTTGTCGAGAATGATCTCTAGGCGGCACACGGTCACGAGAAGGATCCTCTTCAGCTCGAGTACGACTCCGGATTGGTGTTTCTTGTCGAGAGTGACCTCTAGGTGGCAAACTGTCACGAGAGGGACCCTCTTCAGCTCGAGTACGACTCCGGATTGGAGTTTCTTGTCGAGGGCCTCTGGGTGGTGAGCGACCACGAGAATGGTGTTCTTCAGGCCTCGGCGGCAAATGGGCACTATAATAGACCTCTTCAACTCGAGTACGACTCGGAATTGGGGCTTCTTGTCGAGAGCGACTTCTGGAGGGCGAGCGACCACGAGAATGGTGTTCTTCAGCACCTGGCGGCACATGGCCACGAGAATGGACGTCTTCAGCCCTAGTCCGACTTCGAATTGGAGTTTCCTGTCGAGTTTCCTGTCGAGGCCGACCTCTAGGCGGCCAGCGATCACGGGAATGGGTATCTTCAGCCCGAGGCCGACTTTGAGCCGGGGTCTGTTGTCGGATCTCTGGTCGAGTCTCTTGTCGAGAGCGACCTCTGGGCGGCGAACGACCACGGGAATGGACCCCTTCAGACCAAGTCCGACTTTGAGGTGGGGTTTCCTGTCGGGTTTCCTGTCGAGAGCGACTGCTGGGCGGCGAGCGAATACGAGAATGGACATCTTCAGCCCGAGTTCGAATTGGAGAATGGACATCTTCAGCCCGAGTTCGAATTGGAATCGGTGAAGCCTGCCGAGGTGGTACTCGAGGTGGTGAGTGTTGATGAGGATCGGCGTTAACAGATCGAGGCAGCGGTGGAATTGGTGAGACCTCTCGAGGAAGACCTTGGGGCGAGCGTTGATGAAACTCACGGTCTTGTTCGTTCTGTTGCCTGGGCGGGTCAGATCTTTGAGGCAGGTACGTCGGCCACTTTTTCCATCGCCAGTTTCCCTCAGTATCAATCCACCACTCGCCTCTTTCGTCTGGAGAAGGTGGAGGGCTTGGACCTCTGTAACCGCGAGATCTCCTTGTCGGCTCCTCCACATCTTCTCGTGGATGTTCAAGGGGGGGAGTGGGAGGTTGATGTCGGTCATTGTATGAGCTAGGCGGTGGAGTGCTATAGGTCCCTTGGCCAGATCGTTGCTCTCCAGCTGAAGGTCTTTCACTAGGACCTGTATTCTCAGCCTGTGTTGTGTACTCGCGAGATCGACTTTCACTGGGATCTGCATCCTCAGCTTGCCTTGTGTACTCATGAGATCGACTGCCACTGGTCAAGTAGTCAGTGAATCTTGGTTGCTATACTCACTGGTGCCTCTGGATGCAGAAACACTCACCTATGGCTGTCACCATGATGATAATCAGGTTCACGTCCATGTTGGCTATACTGGTAATGTCGGCGATGTCGGTCGTCTTCTCGATCTTTGTTGCGTTCTTGTTCATCGCCAGACCCCCCTGTGGTCGAAGGTGTGAACCTCACGGACTTGGATCTTCTGTGTTCATACCAGGGCAGGAAACCATGATCATCGTCACACTCATTCCGAGCCATCGCAGTTGGTCTCAGTTGTTCTTCTTGCACCGATGTCGTTGGCTCCAGTTATCCCTCTTCTTCCACGGCCAATGCGTGTATCTCTCACAGGAAGAGGGTGAGTATCCAGAGAGGCTTGCCTGTGTATATATATATATGTATATATATTGGGATGATCCCTCCGGTTCAATTGGATTGTCTCTGGGAGATGGGTCGAGAGGATGAAAGAGGACCAAGTGGCTATCGAAGTGATTTAAATACTTTGGAGCTGCGTTGGGTGCAAAAAGGCGGTTGAGAGGCTCTTTCACTTCAAACAACCCAGCCGAAGCTTGTCGAGGGCAATACTCACCTTTATAGACAATTTTCCTGTCACACACTCGGTTTGAACCAGGCAACCAGAACTGTTTCTAAGCCTCGATTCATCCACGGAGTCTTTCCTATTAGACACTTTGGACTACTTTGACGAATCTTGCGATTCATCAAAGACGCCATATCCCGCACAAGGATCGGGGCTTTTACTCTGCAGAGGACTTTACGTCGAGGGTCAATTAGTGTTTCGCAACCACTTGGAGTGTCACGAACCCCCGATGCCCCTTCTTTCCCCGTCATAAATTCCCCGGGTCGCGCTGCCAGGTTCAGTCACTTCGTCACACCAAGGCTCGGGGATGCAGAATCTGTTGGGATAGATGCATTGTCACCACGGCCTAATGACACCGATGTGACTGAAGGTGCAGTTCGGGTGAGACGAACCATGGATCATAGATCGCGCCTTGTCGAGTCTGAGGTTTGGCGTTCATGTCACTTCCATATCAGTCACCATGGGTGGTGACACTAGAAGAGGGGAAGAAGAAATACGAAAAAAAAGATGAGAAGGGACTTGGAGTTGACGATGACATTGGGAACCATACATTCATGACGCTCACGGGTCATATGAGCGGTGTCTACAAATCCGTCTCGAGCCATGTCATATGCATGAACGTTTAGGTTGGTAGGACAGCACGAGATATCAGTGTATACATACCCTTGCTGTCCTACCAACACATACATATGCCGGGGCACAAGCAAGTCTGGGGTTTCTTGACCGCTACCCCAGAGGGTTTGTCCAAATGATTTTTCATCGAGAGGACGCAATTACGATGGTCGAAGGCCAAAGGCACCAAGAATGGCGGTGAAAACCCACGGTTTGCACGGTACTCGGTGAGATCCATTCAGTGTCTTGTCTTAATGGTAACAGAGACTGGACGTGACAGAGAATATGAAACGGGACAAACACACACAGAGAGAGGCTGTGTAGGCTGATCGGGGCTTGAGAACTGTGGACAGCTTTCGGCACATGATGGATGACGGGCAACAGGCAGTCACTACCTAGTAGTAGGACGAAAGACTGTTGTTGGTTGTGCAGAAAGTCGAGAGAAACAAGAGTATGTGTGGATGAATATGCCTTTTAGGCAGAAATCACTCCAGACACGACGTTTCAGATGCCTGGTACCTGATTTTGAAACCGGGCGGTATCGAAGAATACAAGCCTGATTTGCGGGAATGTACCACCTCAGATGAAGTATAGAATGATAAAACTCAAGATCTGGGGAGAGAACAATGAATGGACAGAGACATTGCACGGCATGCATGACACGCCCATCTGCAATTGATTATCCAATAAACAATGAACAATGAACAGTACTTTATCCTCCTGAGTAGAGGACATGAACGTGTGTGCTCGTGTGTGCTCTGCTCAGTTCCAGGCAGACAAACTGTCACAAGTCCAACCATGATGGATTGGTCGAACGAATGATTATGCAACTACAACGACGGTCCTTTGCACGAACCAATGGTTATACAACTGATACGGAAACAGTCAAAGACGAGGCAGCCAAAGAATGAACAGGATAAGGCAGACATCCACCGCAATGCAGATAGGTAGATAGTGTTGACTGATGGTTATACTGGAACAAGATGGGGCATACAACATACAACATCAAGTACGCACGACACGAGACGCACGCGCGTGGAAAAATCCATGCATGGGGGGTTTGATTTGACTGTTCGGATTGTCCAATAGCAAAAAAGTAATTGATCTGCCCATCCATACCATTCCAACCCATCAATCCATCGTACATTCGTCTTTGTTCTTGATTCGATTCGATTCGATAGCTTGGAAATTAACCCCCGAACCCCCCTCGCATTCATCCAACCCAATTTGCCCTGCCCGGATCAAACGCCACCAACCACCCTTGATATCTACCACACACCTACACGCATACACAGGAATTGATGCCCTCCGAATTTGACGCCAGGATTTCCAAAGGACCGTTCACCAGGCAAAACAAAAAGGGCGGGAAGGGGAAAGAAGGAACAAATGATTGAAACGAATCCCCCCACCGCTTCAGATTAGGACCTGATGGTTTGCGTTGGGTAGCACTGGTCTTTCTCAAAAGGCAACCATATTTTTGTTTTAGCATGTTCAGCTCTCAACCTTGCTCTTCTTCTTCTGTTCAACCTTAAGCAATAAGGCTCGGTTGATGTGAGGTAGCACACCACCGAAGGCAATGGTGGCACGGATCAGAGTGTCCAACTCTTCGTCGCCACGGATGGCCAATTGTAGATGTCGAGGAGTGATGCGCTTGACCTTGAGATCCTTGGCTGCGTTGCCAGCGAGTTCGAGCACTTCGGCGGTGAGATACTCCAGCACGGCGGTCACGTAAACGGCAGCTAGAGAGGAATATGAGTCAGCGATCAGAGTCTTATGAGGGCGAGGCTTCGAGGAGTCATACCTTTTGCGCCCACACGCATCTTGTTCTGGGTGTTGTTCTTGAGGAAACGCTTGACTCGACCGCAGGGGAACTAGAAGAGATTCGATTAATTTGAGGTTCTCATCATCAAAAGGGGCGAAAATGGCAAGCTCCAAGCCTCAAACAAGGCCAAAATCTAGGATGACAGGTAATGGTGACAGACGATGCAAACAAGCTCCAAAGTGATTGATCGAGCTGTCGCGTCGCCTGCAACTTTGGCCTGGGATACACCAGGGAAGCAGAAGATGGATGCGGTGGTGCAAATGGGTGGCAATCGTACCTGTAGACCAGCTTTTGCGCTGTGAGATTTCTGAGACTTGACGGACGAGTCCTTCGCGCCTGTGGCTTTGCCACCAATGCTTTTGCCTTTACCTCCAGCCATGGCGTATGACAAGGATGACGATTTGATGGATTCAAGAAGGATGAATGGACGGCGCGACGATGTTGTGGTGGGAAAGAATTGGATGAAAGTGATGAGAATGATCGAGTACCAACGCGTCGGGTAGTGATGGTTATGGATCCAAGATTGACCAAGGTGGGTGGCAGGGAAGAGAAGCGCAAAATGCGCAGATGGTCGGGTGGTCGGTGGTTCGTGTAAAAGTAGGAATAACAGAGTGACGGCGAGCTAGTCCTATTTGGGTTGTAGTGGCCCGTGAGTTTCTTGGCGTCAACCAACGAAGGAGGGGCGCAACCACTGCAGCCTGCCCCGTGTGTGGGCGTGGGCCGTGACCACAGAGTCTCAACGGGTCATGATGACTCGTGAAGAGTGGTACAACCAATGCTGAAATCAGTAGAAAAGTCTTCCTGTAGTCATGTCAATAACTGCCTTTTGCTTACCATGAGTAGTCAGTCTGGCATTGGTATGCTCAGCTGTTGACGACCGTTCAGTACCTTTGACTGTTAGATGGGATGTTATCGTCGAGGGGGGTTGGTCTCAGGCTGCAGCAGACATGGCTGTTGAAGCCTTGGACTCTGCAGGCTCATTGCACGAGTCAGCCTACACGCGTAATTGGGCCTTGATCAATACTTCATCAAAGAACAGCCACCACGCTGTCTTGGTTGTTGATACTGGATTAAAGGAGACATCAAGAAAGAAGCAGGTCGTCGAAATGCCTCGTCTCCTTGGCACGGCATTACATAATCTTTCGTTTCAAAAAAGTCCATCTCTCAATGGTCCTCAATGCTCGTCATGTATCCCAGGCGGCATGACATTTCTAACCCCGAGAAACAACCTCTACCAGGTAATGAATTAAAACAAACAATAACTTCTTATTAAATGCAGCTCCCTCACCAGATCACTGCCAACTAGCCATTAAAACGAGTGTTCTTGTTACATCGAGCTCATTTCTCCAAATAGCGAGAGATAGAGAGTCACGGTCCTAGTCAACAAGCCGTACGTGCTCGGACCAGGACAATCCCCCAACCTTGCAAAACAAAGCACATCCTTCATCTCAAAACTCTGACATGACATCGCCCTTGGATACGCCGCCTCAGCACAACTCATGTCAAAAGTGTACAAACCTCAGCCTCGGTGCCAGCCAACGAGACATGGTCATCAACTCAAAACTGAATTGCAGAGAAAAAGTAATATGCTGTATGCCACACCATGAAACCCTGTCATTCGTTACAACAATCTTTTTCTGTAGTCCAATCATGCAGTCATGCGGCTGCCCTATGCGTCTAACTTTTGTTTCTTTCTCCTGGTTGGAAGAGGATCGGTTCATCTCGTTCGTGGATCGTTGAATCGTCATTGCTCTGCATGAGCGTCATCAAAGAAGGGGTATATGGTTTCGTGTTTCATTCGGCAATTGCTGATGTGGTCGTTCTGAGTTCGTCACTACCACGTCCGTTTTGTCGTCGAAACCCAATGGCATTGTTCACACTTGGGCCACGAGACTGACGGACTGGATTGCTGTTTGAGTTGCTGGTCTCAGGTCCGACACTGACTGTTCGCTTGCTGCCAATTGGCGCGGTCGCGGTTTGGTACGTCTGTGATTCATTCCAATCGGCTCCGTTGCCAAAGAAGCTTCGTTGGCGCCGAGGACTGGTCTGGCTGGGCCCAGTAGTGCCCATGGAAAGATTGGAAAATCCCGAAATGAGAAATGGTTCATCGCGATTCGTGCCTGGTGCGCTGGAACCGCCTGTGGGAGTCAATGTAGGGGTGGTGGAGCCTGCAGTGTCATTCAGAGCCTGGAGTCTTGCCCCGTTGGTTTGCAATGCAGCTGGGAAACTAGCCGACGACGGGACAGGGGATGGACTCCATGATCGAAGGTCTGCAAATGACTTGGCATTGCGAAGGTTGTTATCGGCGGCTCTACCAAAGGCGTTGGTGTCCACTACATCGAGCAGTCCGACCGAGGATTGACCGCGCAGAGTGTTGAAGGCAGGCGACTCGTATTGTCGGCCGCCTTCGCTGAAGTCAGCCGTGGATGATCTTGCCAAGCTCTGGCGGAGATTTTCATTGGAAGGGCCAAATGCTCCTGCGAGGGTTGGTGGGCTGACATTAGTAGTGCCAGGCGCAGGGCGATGAATATGAACTTGGCGCTGGTCACCACTTCCACGTGAGGTGTGCATTAAACCCATATGATGTGCAAGGGTGTGAACCACGCGTCGATGATGAGGTTCCAGGGTAGGTGGGAAGATCAAGACCTCGCGGGTGGGATCTCTTCTGAACAAGGTCATGTCGGTATAGAATTCCAAAGTTTTTGCATCATTCATATCAACGTCTATTCAAGTCAGTGGGTTCCAGAAAGGAAAGAATCTTAGGGTAGACTTACCAGGTTTTCCACCACGGTGAGACAGAGGCGATGGGGTGTTCCTTGACATGGAAGACATAGAGACTTGGTTGTGCAATTGAGACCCAGGAACAGGACGATGTTGTTCCTCAAGTTGTCCACGGCGTTCACGCTTCTCTCGTTCAATGCGTTCGCGCTCAGCCAGAGGAAGCATCTTCTTATATTCAACTCTCAACTTCCGTCCACTCAAATCCATGTGATTCAAGGCCTGGATGACTTGTTCGGTTTCTTGGGGTGAAGTGAAATTGGCAAAGGCAAGTCCTCGAAAGACACCATTATCAAAGTGATAATTGAATGCATAAGGGAGTGGTAGGTTCATATCAACCATCAGCTGCACGAGTTGCTCCTTCTTAACAGCAAATGGGATGTTTTTGATAACTATCGCGGTTGGGATGAGTTCATCATCGTCGTCATGCATGTCGTTTCGGCCGTGAGGTCCAGGTCTTGGGCCCATCATTGAAGGGTGTTGAGGGGGAGGTTGTTGCATTTGCCCGGGTTGGTCATACCACAGCTAAGAAAACAACTGTCAGAATGCGACACTGAAAATAAATGTTGGCTAGACTTACATTTGAGATGCCGGCGCGGCCGCGACTGGGTTTCACGCTTCGTGAAGGATTGAAGTTCTGATTCTGGTGAATCCCAGGCTGGCCATTCCCAAATGACTGCAAAGACCCGCCACCAGAGCTCCAGGTTTGAGCGGTATTGGGGTCGTATGGAAAGTGAACGTTGCCGAGACCTGAATTGTTCATTGGGCCTCCAAAACCATCTCTCATATTATCAAAGCGCATTGTGGGGATGGCAGCATCATTGCCGAACATAGGGGTATGCACGTTTCCATAGCCATCGTTTCTTATACCCTGGCGATTGATTTGTGGGTTGCGAAAGGCTCTTGGCGAACTGCCCGGGCCATCCTCATAGAAGGCTTCGGAAGGATTTGAGAATGTCGCCATCGCGTCGAGGTGATAGAGCTTTGGGTTTGTGGCGATAAAGGGTGGCTCGGACACGCGTGGAGGGAAAATTGGCTCCCGGTGAGGTCAGCGTGAGTAGCGTGTCTTCAGGCTATCTGATAGACTGCGAGATATATTGATGACCGCGTAAACAGGGCGGTTCGTCAAATAGTTGATTCGAGAAAATCAAGGATGATCGATCGCATACGAAACACTGGTGCGTGATGACGAAAGACGTCGAGTCTAAGAATGAACCAACACCTGTTTGTGGTGGAATCCTCGATGCGGAGAGTCAGAAGGTGACCAAGTAAGTACGATGGAAATGTCGGATTGGTGATCTGATGATTCTGAGATGTTGGAAAAATGTGTTACGTGGCTCTTGAGTTGCGGGTGTGGGTGCAGGTGCAGGTGGGTGATGCAGATGCAAAAGCAGAGGCAGGAGCAAGAGCGAACAATCGTGACTTGTCCAAAGTTGACGAAATAAATTGTCTAACTCGGCGAAATAGGCATATTAAGGATCGACGAGGCGGCGAGCCAGTGTAAAATTCGAAGCAGGTGTGTGGAAGGTGGAGGGCGATGGAATCAAGGATAGACAAGGTGAGAGAGAAGAGGGTACGACTCGAGGTGATTTTTTGTTCCGTTGGTGGATGAGAGCTAGAAACGAGGAACGAACGAGGACGCAGAAGTTTGAAGGGCACAAGGGGAACGAGACAAGACTCCAGGTTTGGGTTGTGGCGGGTAGACTCCAATGTGTGTCCTGTCCGGCCAGCACAATTTATTTGGCATAAACACCCACCAGAGCCTGAGAGCACCACCCACCTCCAAGGCTCCCACATCAAGTTGCGTCTAACCACAGCCAGAGAAATTAGGGGCACAGTCAATAATAGGGAGGGGTGGGAGGCCAGTGGTCCAGTGGGAAACCAGCCAGGGAGAGTGGGCGCTGAGGGTTCCCTGGTGGGTGCCCTTGTGGGAAGAAGTGGATGGTCCACGGGCCCACTACGAGAGCCTTGAGTGACTGGTTCAAGTGATGATCAACCACCGTCTTGCTCTGGCCATCACCAACTAATAATTTAATAGCCTCTTAGCTTTCCAAGCGCCAATTACGTTCGTGCCTAGCTTCCTTAGCATTATTGAGAACCATGCGACTGCCGGGGGGCACTCACTTTCCATCTTCCCTCCCCGTGAATTATATTCAGAGACTGTACGAGTGCTACTTACTTCGTAGTTCTTTGGACCTAATTTAGAGATTCTTCGGCCCCAGGCCATGAGCTCCAGCAGGCTCTGTCACACTAAGTAAAAACCATCTGAGTCGTCATGGACTCAGGGTCTCATGCGCCATGGCCAAAAAGCCTTCGGGGCAACTTCTCATCCTCGTAAATTTCCTCCTGAACTATCCTGGTCTCCACGTTTGATAGGCATCCTTGCTTTTGCCATGAGTCTAAAATGTTCATAGAGTTCATCTGACAACGCTTTCGTCTCCTTTTCTCCTTCGCTGCGAAACGCAAAAGGTTAACAGAATGTGGAGAGCTTTCCGGCCCGTTGCTGCCGTGCGCGCCTCCTCAGGACTCCCATCTTTGCCTCTCGCGTAACTTTTAGGTGGATGTTCTCGCTGGCTCAGGTAATCCTGCATTATATCTTTACCTACCCTTTCTGTCGTGACAACTTGTTTACTTACAATTCGATACGATGTCTAGCAGCCTCCTGGTCCCGTCCTCCATGGAGTAGTGATTGTTTGCTCAAAATTAAAGCTTCATGCCACCTAGGGATCGTACCTGTCTTGTACAAAGAAAAAACACCCGTTGTTTCTTGATCACCAGCCAAGGCACACCAACCGGAGAATTTTATTCTACGGCTGGTCCCTTGGTTTGTCTTAGGCACAAGAAATCCACCCTCATGTGCCCTGCCCCCTTGCCCCCAAAGGGCCGAGGGGCCCTCGCATCTCTCCGCTTCCACAGGTCACAAACTCGAGGCAATCAAACTTGTTCTTTAGCACCTTGTCTGACCCCCTTGGACGCGGGCCTATCGTGGACATCTTGCACAATCCCTTGTCCATGGAATCTCGGTTTCGAGACGTTGGACCTGTAGGCTGTCACCCATCATCCATGGCGGTCCCATTCCTGGTTCCACCACGCATGGTCCTTCGCACCCCAACTCAGCCTTGCACTATGCCCCCCCAGGGTTCGATCTTCAACCCCTTTGCACCGTTCAGGCATTTCCAACAATATTTTGATCACAGGTAAGCGGTCCTTGAGTGTGGACTAATAAGCCGCGTGAGCTCTGGTTCCTCTCCGCTACGCTTCACGCTTCTACCCATAGTTGTCGATTTTCGTCAAACCAAGCCTGATCCACACATCCGCAGCCCATCTTGGTCTTCAGTCCTAGACAAATCACAATGCAGTCTAGACTTTTGGCTCCATGACTGGCCGCCACCACAAATAATGGATGTCATCACAAGACACCATAATTCATCCCGAGTGTCGAATGCAACACGAGTAGTTCCTCCTGCTACTGGTGTATCAGATGATCCATCTCAAGAAGCGTCTCAGTTCACTCTACCACAAACCTTCCGTGGCGTGCGTGGACCTTACCCACGAGGCGGAAGCAGAGTCCTGACATGGTTCGCTGATAGTCGTAATGGGAAGTGATCGACCCAAAACGATCTGCACTAATCCCAAGCGCGGTATCAAGGGATCCAGGTTCAGACCCCAACCTGAGCCTCTCGAGTCTCCAGTTGCAAAAGAAGAAATCGCCACGCGAAGGGTACTCGTTAAACGAGACGAACTCCTTGACTGAGACCGGTTCGTCGGTTTGTGACGAGAAGGTCGGCTAACTGCTAGTTTGATAATTGGTAGACCATCACTCGATGATGGACTCGCATAGGCATTCCCAGGTTGCAAGATCCAGGTCAGCTCCGTGGCAACCGTTGATTGCCTTTGGCAAGGGATTCCCCCAGTGAAACCATTTCTGGCAGACCACGGTCCACAAGTGGGAATCGAGCGAGTGCAAAGGCCCAACGGCGTTAACATGTCTATCGACTATCCGATCCTGAATCTTGAAGTCTCATATTCGCCCCACTTGGAAGAGGAGTGAACAAAGGGAAAGCCTTGGGCGCTGGTTTTGGCCGCTTCAAACGCCTTAGGTTAGAAGCTTCCGCGGTGCCACCCGAGTGAAACCCTGTTAGTCCTGTGCTTTTGGTGGTGCCAGTTCAGCAATCACCTCTTCGTACCATTGTGCTCCATTCGGTTCGATGAAGTCGAAGTAATGGAAAGATTCAAAAGTACTTTTCTCCAACAACCAAGATTCCCTCTTGTGTCTGACTGCGTGTTCTGCGAGCCGGTGCTGAAACCATCTGACCTGACTCCGCCCTGAATTCTTCTTCTTGTTGCGCTGCTCAATGAAAGCCCCAACAAAGAGGATCCATGTGTGCGCGTCGACGTATGCCTCCAATTCCTCGTCACTACACTTGGCCAGAACCTGCGTCATGATCACCTGCAGATGTGCCATGATGGTTGCGGAGATGTCACGAATGTCCACCCCGTTGATGACGGCATCATGACCCAAAAGTCGCCCATAGTACAAGACCGCAAGCCCAAGAGAAGCCTGGGTCAGCCGGACTCCTTCAGACCATACTTGGCTTGAATACTTGTCATCCCTCAGATCCAGACTGGCAGACAGTGCCTGTCTCATCCCCCAGTCACTTTTGGTTACAAACCAAGCAAATGAGAGCTGCTTCTGCGTGGGCGATCCCCACTCTTCATCAGTGATCTGCTGCTCTGCATAGCCGGCCAAAGAACGACAGATGAGAAAGGCCTGTTGCACCTCGGGACATTGTACATTGCTATGCAATTCCATGTTGATCTCGATCGTCATTTTGGGCAAGTTCGCTTCAGCCAGCGCCCACAGACCGGCACAAGTCGCTGCATATGCGTCAGGATGGATAAAGGGGCGGCGCATCAGTCTGGAACAGATATCAACATCATCGACGCCAGATTGTATGAGCATTTGTATATCGGCCGTTCCTTCGACCAACCCTTTCATCAGGCATAGGTTGAGCATTCGGCCGTGAGCAATGATAGACTCTTCATCCCCGGAAAATATTGCTGCACGAAACAGCCAGTAAACATGGTTGATGAGGGTGGTGCCCATGGAAGAGTTCTTCTGCATCGACTTGTGCAAAGATCGTCTCAACAGGACCGAACTCTTGGTCATCATGCTGAGGCCAAGGTTGGTGGCCTTGGACTTGGAAGAGTCAAGCATGAGCATGGACATATTGTGAAGGTATCCTCCGACGCAGGCGAGGGCAATGCCTTCGTCTTGGAGACTGGCCAAGGCATATTTCCATCCGGCCAATGCAGTCTGTGCAGGAAGCCAAGTGCTGGTTTCGAGATCTTTGACCTTGATATCCCCATACATGCGCTTGAAGAAGGAGTTAAAGTAAAGCCCAGGATAGACGCCATCCTTCATAAACTGCAGGACCTGTTTGACCTGCGGGGTGACGGGAATCGCCAGGACGCCAAATGGATCCGAGTCGCCCTTGATGGGCGGCGGGAGCTTGGGTGACGGCGGGCGAACAGAATGCTCTACGGACACCTTCTTGACCACGGGCTTGTCGAAAAAGACATTCCTTGTGCCATGTCGTTGTTTCACGTGCTTAATGCCTTTCCGTTTCGGGGCAGGTTGTGCGGTTGAAGTCGATGGCTCTGAATCAGCATTGAGTGCTTTCTTGGAAGCCGCCTCACGATCGCGTTTCGCTCTCGCACGTTCGTGGGCAATGCGAGCGGAATGTGCCTTTCGTTCCGATACATCAAGTTCTTTCTCGCGAAGGCTCTGTTTCTGTGGCCCTTCCGTGACGAACCTGATTTTCAAGGGCGTTTCCTGAGGTGCCATGATCCCAGCCAGTCTTACAGATGGAGTGATTTTGTTCGCCTCGGCTTGGGCATTTCTGTCCACGGGAACAACATGAACCCTCAATCACAGTGAGCTGACCTTGGATGCAGAGCAGAAGAGCCCATAAATACCAGGTTGCAGATGAATGTAAAAGGCCTGTTGCGATCAGTGGAGTCAAATAGACAGCCGACGAAGTGGAGAAAGCGTGTGCATATGAGCAAGGACAAAGGGATGAGAGGGATGAAGCCAAGAGAAAGTCATAGCTAGGAATGGCAGTTTAGTAGATTACATATAGGTAACCGGCAAGGTTTATAGTCCAAATATGGGATCGATTAGATCGGGGGCCCACCGAGACGGATGAGGTGGTGATGTGGTGGCGGCTGACGGCAGCATGTATCGTATCATAGGGCGGCTGCGGCAGGTAGAATATACAGTCAGTGGGCACAAAGATGATCAAACCAGGTCCAGATATTCACGTAACAGATGAATCAGCGCCTCTGCCCCAGTTCGCATATAGTCTTGATCGGGGTCTGGACCTTTTTTGGGGACCAACGGTCTGCTGGGCTTCGAATCCGGTATGCCGTAACTGGGATTGAACACCGAGAGGGTGGAAGGGAATGCCGGCGATTTGCAGGGGTCGAACCTTTGGCAAATATGCAGTAAGTACAGGGTTGTACGTAGTCGCGTGGCATTGGTGTCAAGGTCAGTGATCGACAGACTACGAGAGCGCTCATGTCCTGATTGGAGAAAGGTATAAGATTTCCAGTAAGCAAGTGACTTTTTCCTAGACGTAGGATTTACGAGACATATGGGGGAATTTTGGCCAAATGCCGAGAAGGGTCGATCAAGAGAAGAGCTCAGGGACTAGGATTGGGTCCGGTAGTGACCTTTAGTTCGGATCGATGAGGAAGCACGGGAAGGAAAGAGTACCTAGGTCGATACTCAGAATATTCCCTGTGGGCCGCATGCAGTCTACCCGGGAACAAGTTGAGTGTTGCATCGCCACTTTGCTGGTGAAGAACTCGTCAGAATATACTTAGCGGGGTTTTGCGGTCGATTTGGTGGGTATAAAGTTGACCCGGGAATGCGATAATATACGAGGATGCATGCCCTAGCTTCTCGCTGTGTCAATGTCGCATTCGTCCGCGTGATACTTTGAGATCTAGGTGCTGTTAAGGTAGAACTTAGTGGACACCTATTTCCTAATCAGCCCATACTTTATATTGCGGGAAGTATCGCAAACATGTGCGGAGTGGCGGCAAAAGGTTGTTCAGAACATGGGTACGTCGACCATAGATCGTCCTAGCAAGTGAGAGGCTTGACATCGCAGATAGTGGTGGGTCATTCGAGTCGTAAAGGGAAGGGATCACTCTTTGACTAGTAGAAGGCCAGGACAGGCAACTGTGAACGATATGCCGCCTAGAGGAAGAAAAGAAGCGAGTTGAGGGAGGAATTGAAGGTGTGTGGTGGGGTTGGAGGCGGTTCTGCGCAGTCAGTGATCCTTGGATCCAACATAGAGAGAGTGATAGCGAGACCACTCAACCTTGATGCTGTGGACTGCTCCGCCTGTCAGATTCAGTATACGACGGTGTCGATAACCCTTCCAGGAAACTTACCTTGGCACCCTTGGATCGAGTCTTGAATACATACCGAGTGGTGGTATCGCCGATCGTAAAGATCTTTGGATTCTTGTTCTTTTGGCCATTGCCCTTTTGAGGTGATACTGCTGACTAACAAATGATCAGGCACCCAGGCTACGACTTTGTGTGACTGCCAATAATGATTGCCAATGACTGCCAAGAACAACGTTGGAGCATGCAGGGTCTCAGCGTCATGGAGCGTGGTGCATGGAGGGACTTGCGCAATTGATAGAATCTATTATTGATTGACGGCCATATGGCACTAGTAGTCGGGATCTGAATACATGTGGCATGATCTGGTGGTGACCATGAGAAATGCAGCTCGGTCAGAGAGTCTAACACATCGTCTTTATCAAGTGCAAGGAATGCTCTTGCCATATTGCAGATCAACAGAGTCTTCACGTGCATCATACCACGTGACCACTTCATACGGCCAAGTTTACAGTCTGAAGACGCTAAACTCTTCCGCTACAGCCAATCGTTCGTCGATGTCATAGCCTTATGGTAGAATGACTTCAATCGCACGGGCTTTGGCACTGGGCATGGAGCAAAGACTCAATCGTCTTGAACGTCTCGATTTCTCCACTTCACCATCATATCATCCTCACCACCAACGTCTCCTCCTGCTTGCGCATCTGCAATTGCAGTGTAGACTCAGCAACCTGCTGCCCTCTCTTTAACGCGGTTGCCAGTGGTAAGGCCGTCGTCATCGCGCTTGTCCTGACCCAACAGAGATTTGTCCGCTCCTGCCGCAGTTACCCTCCGCACTGATTGTGCCTCAACAACGCAAACCTGTTGAATTGCCAACTCTGCATATCGATGCTATTACTCCCACTCATTTCGACTCCTCTCATCGAGCCATCCTATCCCAAGTTTTCCATGCCCTGGGCGGTCTAGAGCAATTGGCTTGACCCCACTAGTCCCTCTCATTAGGGTCTTTCGTCTGGCTGCGCCAAAACGCGCCAACATCTACCGGCACTCCCATTATCACTCTACATCGCTTCCTTCCTGGCTTTGCCGTAAAGCAAACAACTCCTTCAGACTTTCCGCACTCCGACCTCATCCTCCGATAAATCCTGGTTTGTTATCTCCGACATGACCTCTCAAGGCCTCTCCAGAAAGAGGCCTGCGCCGGGCACCTCCCCTACAAACTACCCTCAGCAAGTCCCTCCACAGAACACAAATCCGATACCCCCTTACAATTCTGGCCTGGACGCCAACTTGTCCAATGAACAGTTTCTTCAATGGGGCCAAGGTGCTCACCAGCTACCTGCCTTTAATGATAACAGCTACGCCTCCAATTCCTCTACCTTCCCTCAACCCAGCCAACAATCCTCAACACAATTGACGAGACTTCCGATGGGACAGTTGGCCCCACGCAACCGTTCGGGTGACGAACCCAGCGGTTGGTTTGACCAAACTGGAGCTCAAGGCCCAGATGCGGATTGGTCCAACAGCATCGCCGAACTAGAAGCGAAAGCACAAATTGCCAAAAAAGAAGCCCAGGCAAAACGAAAGCAAATCCCTCCTTTTGTTCAAAAGTTAAACAGGTATGACTATCCCTGATACATCTCGGCTCCCGGCTAACCAAACCCAGCTTTCTTGAAGACGGTCGCAATACTGATTTGATACGCTGGGCCGACGATGGAAACTCCTTCATCGTTGTTGATGAAGAAGACTTTGCAAAAACACTAATTCCCGAGCTTTTCAAGCACAACAATTATGCCTCGTTTGTCCGCCAACTCAACATGTACGGCTTCCATAAAAAAGTAGGCCTCTCCGACAATTCCATGCGCGCAAGTGAGCGCAAGAATAAAAGTCCCAGCGAATATTCGAATCCATATTTCCGAAGGGGTTGCCCAGACTTATTATGGCTGATCCAAAAGCCGAAGAATCTCAGCAGTGGCTCCAGCAAACGAAAGGGAAAGTCAGACAACGATGCTAACGAGGAAGACGGCGATGAAGCAGTAGATGAAGTAATAAACACCACCGACTCCCGCGCCCGCACGCGTCCAGGTCAATTGGCTCTAGGGTCAATGGAATCGAGTCTGACTCAAGAACAATTTTCAAGCGTACAACGAGAGCTGCAGGCCATCAGACATCAACAGTCGCAGATCTCCCGCATGATGCAGGCATTGAAGCGGGAGCACGAACAGCTCTACGGTCAAGCAGCCACATTTCAGGATCAACATACCCGACATGAGAACTCGATAAACGCCATATTGACCTTTCTAGCCACGGTTTACAACCGCAGCCTACAAGGCCACGATGCAGTACCAGGCATCGCCAACATGTTTACCAATGGCATGCCTGTTGATACAAGCCAAGGCAACGTGGTTGATGTCGGCGACTTTTCGTTTGACCATCTCGAAAGTCCCGACAGTGGGCTTTCGAAACCTTTCCGGAAACAACCACTGCTGTTAACCGACGGTGTTCAGCATGGTCGAGCAAGTACCATCTCCCCTCGGCCAAGCAACAGTCCTTATACTCAGCGTGCTCGTCTGGCAGGCCAGAATGTTCGCCCAGCCCAGCAATCTGTCTTATCACCCAATGTCGAAGAAGTATTCGATCCTGGCGTAAACAGTCCAAACTCGATCCCTCAGCAGGCCAGTTCTGTCCAGGCTGCCACTCTCCCTCAGCGTGACATGATGTCGGTGATCCAAAACACAAACGCACGCAATTCGAGCGCATCCCCTTCAACTCCAGTCCAAGATTTCAACACCGTCCTCAACAGCCTCGAAAGTTCTGGCGGTACAGGACCCCTGAGTAATTCTCAACGGGCCGATGTTCTTCGAATGATAAATCAGTCGGCTCGGCAACCATCTGGCTCTGACAATGCTCTCATCAATTCCACACCACCCCCAGGTCCTACTAATTTTCAGCGTCGTCTTGCCAGTACGAATGCCGATCTCGACCAATTGGCCAAGTTGCAAGCCGAACAGGACAAGAGTGTACAGAATCTGACCAACCTCCTCCAACCGCTGAGCCCGACGGGGTCTATTCCCGGGATCAACGACGGACAATCACTGCCACCTCCACCACTGGATATTGACGACTTTCTCTCTCACAACGAGTACTTTACCGACTTTCCCAGCGACGGGAATGGAAATTATGAATTTGGCAGCACAGGCCTCCCGAATGCGAACCAAGGCACTGATGGATTGGATTTTTTGAATTATAAAGACGATGACGAGCTTTTTGGCAATGTGAATGACCCGCAAAATAAATCCGGAGTCAACTTCGATTTCGGTGCAGACGGTACTGCAGATGTCAAATATCCTGATGAGGTGGAAGAAGGAGGGAGAGTTGAAAGTGTGCCTAGCAGCGAAGTCACCACACCCAATTCTGCATCTAGTGAGACGCCGTACAACAAAAGTAAAGGGAGGAAGCTGAGTGGCACCATGGATCGTTCAGAGCAAAAGAAGAGAAGACGGTCATGAAAAATGTGTGTTCAATTGGAATCCAGCTCGTGTCCCGCCTGCACATGTGATGAGCTGGGCCAACGCAGCTCTTGCGGTTACCTGCCTCGAGGCTGGAAGACATCAGAAAACCATGAGATTTCCATGTCTCGATCTCGGCGACAACGACAAGGAGCAAAACAAAATCGTTCAATCGCTTCATAATAGCATCATGAGACGAATTGGCTGGATAAGTGAAGCAGGCGCTCATTCAGGTCTTGCATAACAATGAGACACCATTCAAAGCAAAGGGGGGCTTTAGTCTTGCGCTATTTAGGTCTTGGTAAATTAAAAGATCAATTGTTTCATTGCATCAAGTTTCGAGCTAAGCTGGGCTGTGCTCATTTTCCACTCGTATACGATCATAGGAGTACTGCTTTTCAGCGTTTTGTTGCTAGCCGTAGTGATCGTTGTGAGCAACACTCAGTACCCTAGCAACATAATCTCAAAAGGCGTAATGTTCTACTCAAACGTGGAATACACCTCAGGCATAAATGTGCCGTTGGCAATGTTGAAACCCGCGTTGGCAAACATGGTCTCCCAGTGAGTATCATCACTGAAGACAAATTCCGGCTGTCCATCTTCTGGTAGCGGCGTGGCCGAGATGGACATGTCATGCGGCGGCTGGTACGACCGAGATTGCAGACCAACCCCGACCATTCCGGTTGTATTGCTGTCGGTGGAATTTATCGAATTGACTATAGAGTCAATGAGCATCGATGAAGGGGGTGGAGCTGGAGGAGGGGCCGGCTGCACGACAGCAGGATGGTCATGGCTCTGATATTGGTTCAGTTTGGTTCGAGCAATGTCGGCCTCTTGCTCATTACGCAGGCGAAGCTGTGCCGCTTCGTTAAATTCCCGGAGGACCTTTTGTAGGAATCGTGCCTGAAGCCAGCAACTTGACTTGTCCGGCGCAACTTGTTTATTGAACGATTGCGCTGTAGTACGGATCGTTTCCACGGTGATTCCCTCGAGCTCGATCTGAACCTCCCTCGGCACGCAGAGCAGAAGCTGTATGACGAGGTTGGTAAAAGTTTTCAGCAGATAGAGGAACAAATAACGACTAACCTTGACAACGAAGACAGTCGCGTAAGCAATCATGACATGAATTGAGTCTTGGGCAAAGAATAAAAGTGGCGAATTGTCCGGTTGTGAGACGAGTCTTAGCATTTCTAATGCGTTCGTATGGCTAGCCCAAATCGCCGGGGCTTTGGTGGGCGGAAGCGAGGCACTTTGAGGAAGGGAAGGCTTCAGCAGGAAAGACCACAGCAATAATCGAAGGTGCAGGCCGTAAAACTGGATGAGTAGTATGTTACATCGTTCACACCTTGCTGCAGGAAAGAATCAGCTTGCTAGACGGAACACTAAGACATGGCGCACTCACCTGCTTCTGCGATTTCTAGCCAGTGGTCTTGCCAGGCTTGCACTTGTCTCTGTAGGATTGCAAGCAAGGGATCGATGTTCCTTGCAGAATCACTTTGCCCTTCCAGGAGCTCGAAGAGTCCTGAGGTCAGGAGACGGAGAGCTACGAAGGCACAGAGTAACACATCGCTGGGGAGAGCAAGTGGATGCTTGTACCAGGTGTTAGGAGCGGTTTCCAGAAAGTTGCTTCGATCAATCATTCGAGGTTTGCCAGTTTGTAAACTGATGCTAAGAAATGTCAACAATCTGGCCCAGATTGAAGAGCTGCAAACATTATTCTGAGCCATCAGCGATGATAATGATAACTAACCTGCGATCATAGACAAACAGAACGAGCCAAGTTCGTTCGGCATTCCGCCTTTCGCGAACCGCAAGTTCTGATTCCTCCTCGGGCTCTTCGGGGGAAAACTTGTAGTAGCCAAGGTCCATACACAATCGGATAGCGTATCCCACGGACAGCCATGCTCTTGTATCATCAGATTCTTTCCAGTAGGTAAGAATCAGTATGCCTTGGACAATTTCTGGGGATTTGTCTCCGCGCCGAAAGCATTCCATTTTCAATTTTTCTGCATGTTCTTTGAGATAAGGATAGACGGATGGGTTGAGAACCTTGGCGGCCACTGCAAGACATGCAGTGAGGAGAAATGGCGACTTTTCCTGAACCGATGTAAACGTATGTAAGTTGGGGTCTAATTGGCAGATGTAGTTGTTGAGTTTGCGCATGAAGCTAGAAACCATTAGCTGTACGCGTCTTGCATGAGGAGGATCGTGTGCTCAGGGCTTTCTTCATGGGCTGTCAATTTATCTCGAATCCGGGCAGGAGTCTATGAGCACTTGTGATTTCGGTGGTCTTGAAGGAAATACTTGCTTACACATCGAACAGAGACGTGGCAACATGGTTGTTAACAATGCCCAAGCTGAGTGGGTCTCTGGATTTGTCTGCTTTGTCTGCTGATGGTCTTCTCGCAGCCTTGGCTCCTACATTAGTGCTCAAGACCTTTTCTAAAGAAAAATCGCCTTTCATAGCATCTTTGTTGAGTAGGTCAGGTGGCTGAAATGTCTCGGACTGATCCCAGAAAGTCTGATGTTTGGACCCTTCTGAGGAGAAGCGGCGGAGTTGACCATCATTGGGATTTGTAGGGGTTGAGTCTTGTTCAGACAGCGAGGAGGCTTTTATAGCCGGGCGACGTCCTCGACGATGCTTTCGAAAGACGCAGTCGAGAGATTTGCGAATGCAACGATCGCATTGTGTAGCGCCTTGGTCGATGTTGATGTGGCACTTCATTTTGACTTTTCGGCAAGCGAGGCACGCATTTGCACTGAGCACAGTTTAGTATCAACACGCGTTATAAGCGCAGACAGATGGTTCAAACCTTGCATTTGGCGCAGTGAGATCAAACATTGTAGCCTCACTCATTTTTCAAGCAGTAAAGCGCAGATAAGCAATTGGATCCACGCCTTTTCAGAGACGTACCAACATAATGGAGAAAGTAGACGAAATCAAATCAATAAGGGGCAAATGGCAAAGGCTCATGGAAAGGGCGATGCGATTCTGGAGGGTTTTATTCTGTACAGAAAAGTTGTGTTTCAGCGCAGCGATGAGAAGACAACCAAACTGGTCAGGCTCGATCTGAGACCATTGGAGTCCAAGCAAATCGCAAATCGACGATCCACATCTCAAAAACGAAAATCGTACAGCTTCAGGCGCCGAGGTCAACTTTGGGAACAGAATTGCACCAAAACGTTGTGCGATGCAGAGCGGCATGAAAATGATAGCGGTGTCGAGGTGGGCTGGCATCGACCAGGGAGGGCTCATCGATAGGACTTCGAGGTCGAGGTCGAGGTCGAATCTGGAATAGTCCCTAGACGATAAGGGCGCGGGGCAAGACGCGGAAAGCATTCTTTGGTAAGCCGACACTGGCGAGTAGTGCTAGAGGAAGAGAAGGGGGGATGAATCCGGTAGTAGTGCTGGACGAAATGAGATGGCTTTGCAGCGTAGGGTTGAGGGTGCAGCTCGACGAGTGCCTGTGGTCAGAGGCCCGGCGTGCCAGGGTATCAAGGCAAGAGCTTGGCTTGAATAGGATAATACAGGGTCATGGACTTATCTTAGGACCAATTGCACACTGCACTGAGTGGCCAGGATGGATAAGGGGACCCCTGGTCGTGGGGTTATGGTGCTTGGTTGTCCGTTGTCAGTAGTCAGTCCTCAAAAGAGGAAACAAAGGAACAGAGAGAAGAGAAGAGCGTAACATCGGCGGTGGGGATGTGAGAATGTCACGTGATGAAGACCATTTCGACATGGGGGGTTGCTCCTTCCTCGAGTATTTCAAAGATGGCTTTGTCCATGGGAAGGCGCGACAATTGAAGGCGCAGTTGATGGAGACCTTCTCATCGTCCACGTCGCTTCATCATGACTGACGACAGCTGTCTGAGAGAGCCTCTTTCGAGGGTACCGCGTCCCTCTTATCAAGTCAAAGGTCTATCCGATCGATCGCCGCCGATATGTCACAATGTTTGAACGCCGGTCGGGTGTTGTACATGTCCGGCATGTCCCCCGCCAAAATCCCTACGACGAGCAACTTAATTGCCCGACCATGCCCACAATCATACAACATGGGCTCTCTCTAGAGACAAGGATATCCTCTGGCATACGCACTGCATTGTCATGCCCTCGTGTCTACACCGATAGCCATCAATTGCTCTCTATTAACCCACGCTTTTCTTGCTACGGTAGGTGCTGGCCACATCCATCATCCAGAAAGGGAAATTGCTGGCAAGGATGCAATAAGTCACAGACGAGGCGTCTTGGTAATACTTGGGCTGGCTTTCTATAGGTCCGGTGTTTCAGAGGTGTTTGGCACCATGACGACAACGGCGCGCAGAGACAGCATCGGGCATGTCACCAAAGCCCATGTCAATTTAATGACCGACACCATTATTGCAAATCTCCCTTTGGACGGTCTTCGCTCTGTCATGCGCTCAGTCCTCACAACCGATCCCTTATTTACATCTGCCTTTGAAGCACATACTCGGAAATATCTCCAGAAGGCGACTGTTCCAACCCCGGAAGAATTTTTCGCCTGCAACGAGGAACTTGGTTGGCATACAACCCCATCCTTTGATCAAGCACAACAACTAGTTCGCGCAGGTTTGGGGTGTGGTCTCGTTTTTGAGAGCTTGCAACAGATTAGACTCATTGTCGATCAGGCTGCATATGTGTTGATTGACCCAACGAGCACGGGCGGTCAGAAGTTGGCCAGCCGTCTGATTTCGGTGGATGGCGACATTGTACAGGCCATTACTGCGGTCCAAAAAGCGTTGAATGAACCCACAGGTCAAAGAGGTCTGACCTTGGCCGAGCAGGCCGACATTGGCTCCCTCTACCAGTCTCTCCTCCGTTGTTACGATGTATGGACACGCAATAATCAGGAGTTTTTCCTCGATCGAAGCCTCAGCCTAGTAGCTGAAGTGTCAGGGCAATACCATCCCCAAGACTCATCCATCGAAGATGCTCCCACCTCTATCACCAACAGTTATGATGGAAGCCTCATCGAGACCTTTGAGCTGTCTGGGGTCGCCCTCCCGAGGCTTTTTTCAGGACTGTGGCAGCTCTCGAGTCCTTCGTGGGGAGTTGCATCGAGGGCCAAGATTTTCCAACAGTTTTCAACCTTTGTTCACAAGGGATATACGGCTTTCGACATGGCCGACCACTACGGTGATGCTGAAATATTGTTTGTATGCCGACCTTGAATATGCGCCCGACGACCCTCTGGTGCTGACCGTTGTCAGGGTCAATTTCGGAGTTCCTACCCTCAGAAACAGCTACTCTTTGGAACCACCAAGTACTGTGTATTTCACCCTCTGACCATCACGGAGAAAGTTGTTCAGGATAATGTCAGTGAACGATGCCAAAGGTTGAAATCGAGTTCCATTGATCTGCTCCAGTTCCACTGGCAGTTTGTAAGTCCAATTTGAATGATCAAGTGTGTCACCTAATTGAAGAGCAGTATGACGATCCACAATACATTGAAGCCCTCCAGTTCCTGCAAAAGGATCCGCGAGTCAAGCTCTTGGGACTATGCAATTTTGACACGCAGAGAATGCAAGAAATCCTAGACGCCGGGGTCAACATCGTCACGAACCAAGTGCAGGTGAATAAGGTCTGCGATATGGACAGATCGTCAACTAACTCGTGTAGTTCTCTCTAATTGATTCTCGCCCTGCTTTCAAAATGGGTGCTGTTTGTGAGAAATATGGTATCAAGTTGTTGACATACGGGACATTGGTTCGTGCACCTCGGTTATACACCATGCTGACGGAGCGATCTGTGCTGACTGCGGGCTAGTGTGGCGGCTTCCTGGCGGAGAAATGGCTTGGAAAGCCCGAACCCAAACTCTTCGCGGACGATATGACACCGAGCCAGAGAAAGTACTTTGAGATGATTCAGGCATGGGGCGGATGGGAGCTATTTCAAGAGTTGCTACAGGTATTGAAAGAGGTGGCAGACAAGCATGGGGTGGCAATGGCTAACGTGGCGACACGTTGGGTGTTGGACTTTCCCTATGTTGGTGCGGTGATTATAGGGGCACGCATGGGGGTGAGCGAACATTGTGATCAGAACCTCGCCAGCTATGGATGGAGTTTAGATCAAGAAGACCATGTGGCCATTGATGGCATTCTTGCTAAGAGTCGGCGGGAAGAGATCTTTGATGTTATGGGAGATTGTGGTGGTGAGTATCGATGACACCGGGAGGGCTATTGTGTTTGCACCGCCGTGGTTTCGGCGTGACTGAAGCTGCGAGGTTGCAAACGGGTGATTTTCAAGCGGGAGTGGCAATTGGGATCTGGACATGCGACAATGGCATCAGTCGACATCCAGTCATTGGGGTGAGTTTGTCGTTGCTTTGCAGGGAGCAGCGGCAGCAAAGCGGCTACATTATGCATCAGTCTCGCGGGTATTATGCATGGAAGGGATGAGCGAGACGAAGATACCTAGACTGTATAGACTGAAACCTTGACCGGGCGGGAGATGTATCATTTCTCCCTTGAGGATGAAATGATCCCCAGACTTTGCCCCACAGTATATTGGCTCGCCTGGTGGACAAATGACCTCAACACGAAGATCGTAGAGCTCAAACCGATCGGAAGAGTCCAGTACATCCATAATTCGCACACCGAGTCGTTGACGTTGGTGTTGACAATGGCTGTGGCGGTTGTGGCGATGACGAAGCTGATTTCTCCAGCCCTCCTTTCTTGCGACACAGGGCGAAGATCCAGCAAGGAAATGCCCAGACCGGCGTTCAAGAATGAAGAAGCGCTATACAGGCAGAAGAAATGACGGACGCGATTTTCCCAAGCCCTGGAAGTTCTGCAGCGCCGGAAAGCTTTTAACAAGCAATAGTGGCAGTCCCACCCCCAGGATCCCCTCCAACGGCGGGCGCAAGGATGCCTAGACTGCGGCTCCTCCCGGCATCCGCGAGTCTAAAAGCAACTAAAACTGCCTAAACTTAGGCGCTCCACAGAGAAGCGATAGAGACATGGCTTATATTACGCCGGTCAGACATGCATCCATCGCTCCTTCCACACTTCAATGCACCGGTGATTCTAATCGGGAAGTCGGCACTGAGTCAACGTCGTGAGTCAACGTCGACTAATGCAGACCAACCACACCAACCCAAGCTCGACATCCGGACGCTAACAATTCTGCACCCTCCAGTCCTATCCTCTCGTCCTCATTCCTCCAAAACTTCCCCGAGTCGTGCCAGCATGTACAGTAGCATGTACTTGCGACGGTAAGGTACAGTACAAGACTCTGGAATGCCCTAGACCCTGATTGCAAGGGTCCATGGCGTGGTCTCCTGCACTCACCAGTTTTGAGATGGATGGCTATCGTTGTCAACAACGAGACCAGGCAGGGGTCCTGGGATGCCACCCATGGCTCTAGCCATTCGCTCGCCAAGTGAGTACTATACTCTACAAACATACGAGGTCTTTATCTTGACAGACCATCTTCTTACCAGTTTTCACCGTTACAATGTCTCTATGACCTAACAACCAGTGATTCCTCATATTCTGCAGATCACCCAGTATTTCGTCATCCAGCAATGAGCTCCAAAGAGACATATCCAGACACCAAGGCGGCGGACATGGGCGTGGTGGATACTGGCAGCTCAGAAGATGCCGGTGAGGGTGGTGGCCGTACTGGGCGTACCATCAAACGGGACCTCCGTCGACGCCACATCAACATGATTGCCCTTGCGGGAATGATTGTAAGTACATGGAATCTCTTTCGGCTTTTGATCTTCTATAGTTGGTTTTCGGCTCTAACCACTCATGTCGTCCAACAGGGAACTGGCCTGTTCCTGGCATCTGGCCAGGCTATTGCCCTCGCCGGTCCTGTAGGAGCATTGCTAGGCTTCATCTTTATGGGTGCCATTACCATCGGAGTCGCCTTGTGCTCTGGGGAACTCTCATCCTTCGCCCCTGTCACTGGTGGCTTTGTCAGACATGCCGGTACCTTTGTACAGCCTGCCCTGGGCACTGCTACGGGTTGGAATTTCTGGTATACTATGGCCATCATCGCCCCTGCTGAACTTGTTGCCTGTGCTACATTGATTAACTTCTGGGACTCCAATATCAACCCGGCTGTCTGGTACAGCATCTTTGCTGTCATCATCGGAGTGCTCAATTTCTGCGGCGTACGGTGGTATGGAGAGGTGAGTTAGCGCAACGCAACCATGTCTTGCAAAGCAGGCAATGACAAGATACTCATGTCACGACTAGTCCGAGGTCTTCTTCGCCACTCTGAAAATCCTGCTCATCGTTGGGCTCATCATTGCCGGTATCGTCGTCGATCTCGGGGGGAACCCTGAGCATGACCGGATCGGCTTTCGTTACTGGAAAAGCCCAGGCGTTTTCAACACATACCTGGTCCATTCCAATAAAAATACCGGGCGCTTCCTGGCCTTCTGGAGCACTCTGTTGTCGGCGTCGTACTCATATGTCAACGTCCAGGTGGTAGCACTCGCGGGCGCTGAAACCCGTAATCCACGCAAGATCATTCCCAATGCTCTGCAAATGACCTTTTGGCGTGTCGCCGTCTTTTACATCATCAGTCTCTTCGTCGTCGGTCTGCTCGTCCCCTATGATGACCCCAACCTAGGCATTAACACCGGCGATGCACAACAAAGCCCCTTTGTCATTGCATTCCAGCGTCTGGGGATCAAGGCTCTGCCGTCAATCATCAACGCTGTCGTGGTTACGTCAGCTTTCAGCTGCGGCTCTGCCTGTATATTCCTCGGCAGTCGAACCCTATATGGCCTGTCGGAGGCACATCAAGCCCCCAAGATATTCACTCGGGTCAATCGTTTCGGCACACCCTGGGTCGCGGTTGCTGCCACACTGGCCTTGATGCCCCTGGTGTACATGACCTTGGCCGATAATGCATCCGTGGCCTTTGGCTGGATGGTCAACATTACCACTGTAGCTGGTCTGATTGGCTGGGTCATCATCCAGGTCTCGTATCTCAGGTTCTACTACGCCATGAAACAGCAGGGCATCAGCCGTGACCGTCAGTCCGATTGTGGTCCTAAAAATCTAAAGAAGTCACTGACACTTGTGTAGGACTGGTTTACAAAAGCCCTTTCCAGCCGTATCTTGGTTGGTTCACGCTGATCTCAGTGTCTCTAGTCGTGATATTCTCCGGTATGCACGCCGCTCCCTCTCATTAGCTCCCACATGCCGCTAAAGCGGTTTCTATATCATCTCCTATCTGAAATTGCTAACCTGCGGCTCCCCTCCAGGGTACAACGTCTTCTTCCCCGGTCATTGGAGCACGTCGTCTTTTCTGACATGCTATATCGACATTGCCATCTTTATCTGTAAGGGCCACTCCTCCCCACTTTTGCTGGTTTTCTATTCGTCATCGACGTCCCTGAGTCCAATCGTTGCAAAAATGCATTGTACAACAAGACTGACACATGATTTAGTCTTGTGGGCCGTATCATGGTTCTATTTCCGTGGAGGGATCCTGAAGCTCAGCGAGGTGGACTTGTCGGAGATCCACAAGATCGATGTGGAGAAAGAGACTTTGTCATTGAAGAAAGACCCCGAGCTGAGTTCTTGGTGGAGAAAGTATATCATTTAGGGCAGGGAGATTGGACTGAGTCATGCCACGTGTTTGTTTCGTGTATACGAGCATGTCATCTGATATAGTATAGTGCATGAGTCTAGGTTTCTTAATTCTGGGGTATCATGGTCCACGGCGGCTCGGGCCTTTCCCAAGCTCTAATCAGTATTGCCACAGGTATGTACGGAGTATGTCAAAATGGAATTAAATCGACCATGACTATCCGGAAGATGTCTAATTTGACGCTTCATCTTATCTTTCTGTTTTCGATTTAATGATGGTGTATGGGGGCTAATGGCACAGTGACGAGGATCATTTCGCTGGAACATCGTGCCACACGCCTTTTTCATCCCAAACGCCGACCCGGCTATACTTTCCGGCCGAATTGCCATTGAGCCAGGCAAAGCGAAAGAACTCGGGTTCACCTGGATAGTCTCGTTCCCGCCGGTCCAGGGTGACATGATCCTGTTCCCAGTACAGCTCCTCGTCGGTATAGCCACGCCAGCGTTCGACATCATTGATGAGGATGCTGACACCATCGACACCCGTATCGGTCGGGAGGGATCCCCAGTTAAAAGTGATGTTCGAAGCATCAGCTCCAACGACAGCGGTCACGTTGGGTGACTTGGCACCCCACCACGACCCGCCACCACCATTACCGTTGGATTCACCCAACGCCGCAGGCGTCTGAATGATAGAATCGAAGCCCCATCGCGCGATGCCGTTGACAAACAATCCCAGCAACAGTCCTTGATATATCAGACTCGGACGTGTCTGGAACCCCGTGCCGGGCATGAATATCATAGCGAGAATATAATGATGAATCCGAAGACGCAGGCCCGGTAAGACCAATAGGATGATCAATGCTAATCCAAAAGTTGCGTAAATGGCAAGATATTTCGGCATATTTCCGGAAACTCGAATGAAATGGATCTGGGTGATGATAATAAGGAGGACGATGGAGATGATGATCCCCAAAGCGAGTTTGGCGCCCGGTTGAGCTAGGTCGTGCGGAGTTAATCGGCCAATGGGTATCAATGGGGCGAATGTATAATTGTTGAGGGCGCCGATGAAGGCAAATCCAAGGTATAGGACCGTCTTTTCGATCTGAGCGGTGATGCCAGTCAAGAGTGGGACGGCGCTGGTGCGATAGAAAATGAAGGAGACGAATGCTGCAGGGAGTAGTCTTTCAAAGAGTTTGCTTAGTGCTTCGTTGAAGTTGGCGGTATTGGGAGGGTCGGAAACTAGCCCGACGTGGAAGAACAGGATGACAAAGGTGCTGAAGAAGAAGACAGCGGGTGAGATGGTGAAGATGGAGAGGATGACCAGTGCAACTGCGGTGACGGCAAAGGTCGGCCATCGTGAGTCGGTGGGACATTTGGCTTGTGATGATCCCAGGGTTTGGAACGTGAAGGAGCGAGGGAACGTGGCGGGGAATGAGGTGCTTTCGATGCCGTGGGCTTTGGTGGATTCAAAGTTATGGTGTGATCCGATCAGGCTGGCGACGCCACATCCGCCAGTCGCATCGGTGATGACTCCAGCGTGGATGGCCGCTTGACAGATGAAGCTATCAGCTCGATAGACCGGTAGAGAGCCTGGTTCCTCAGGGTTTGGTCCTCCGACAACAAGGCCTTCGTATCGAAGGGAGAGGTTGCCGACGATTCGCTCTTCGTAGAGCATGGTAGCCATGCAGTCGGCAGGACATCGAAAGGCGAGGTGGGCTGAGGAGAAAGGACGGCATTGGTTCCCATTAAGACCGCAGCCACTGTCTTGATTCCAGAAACTGGCTCCACACCATAGGTTCTTAGGTCGACCATAGCCTTTAATGTAGCCTGAGGTGGAATGGTGTTTAACCATCAAAGACCAAGTCAAGAACCAAGCAGCATACAGGGCGATCAGAAGAATGAATCGATGTTTGCGACTAGGCGCAACATGGTCCAGCAAGCGGAGAGGAGCTTGTTGGATCTTTGGGAAATATGGATCGATGCGCAGAACTCGTGGAGGAACTGGCCCTTTGACCCATGTGGCAACTGCTCTTGAGGCTTTACGGACAGGCAGAGGAACCCATCGAAACTTGAATGAGGCGGCCGATTCGCGCAGCCAGACGGGGAGTAGTGGAGGGTTTGGAGTGGTTTCGGAGGCCTCGGAGGCGGTGCGGATGTGTAGATCTCGACTTTCAGAACGAGCATCAGACTCGTCGTCGGTCAAGGCAGGAATGTCGGCGATATAGGACTCTTCATCGTCTCGATATGGTGGTCTCATGTTGTGGGGAGAAGGGGAGGGGTTTGGGTGACGCCGAGTGGAGTGGGGAACGGCGAGTGAGTCACTTGACGTTGGAGCGGTGGAGTGAACCTTGAGTTCAAGGTTATGGAGGGAGAGTTAAAGGACGGATAATCATACAAAAGTGCAGACAAACACAGATAGAGCGATGCAATGCTATGTAAAGATTCATGAAAAGAGAGTAGTACAAGAGGTGGTAAAGCAAAGGGACGAGGAAAGATGAAGATGGTGATGCAAGCGAGGGTGTCAGCGATTACACTTGTTAGTGAGAGTATCCAAGGCTCGGCGACAGAGGCCGTGTTTCGGACCTGCAGGATACTTCGATAGGCGGCCGGTAGGAGGACCAGGTACCCATACCGGATGTTCAGGAACCCTGGATCCCTTGGCTTTGGGGCTTAGAGCTCGGGGCTTACGCCTGACATCTCTGGGCTGGGAATCTTCGTCCATGGTTCAGGGGAGAGGGATGACGCAAGTGGGGTCTACCATTCTTCGGAAGACCTTCTTTCCACAGCATTTTAGTAAACTTTACACCAAGGATTCACTATGAACACTAAGTAAAGCATTTTGATATAACAGCCACAAGAAATGACCATTCAGCTTCCGCTTGACTAATGTTTGGCATGCAGCTCACGCAAGACCCTCTGGGTCAGGGTAGACTCTGGTCCACAACATCTCACCCGTGCTAGGGTCCATGATGACCCCAAAATGAGTTTCTTCGTTGGTGGTTGGATAGGCACTAAGCCAGTCGACAACTTGAGCAAACGTGGATGCCGTGCGTGCTTCTGCTTGGGAAAGACTGCTCCTACTGGCGGTTTTTCGCAGTCGATTGGTCTTTCGCACATGAGAAGTCCACTTGGATGACATGCACTCCAGCCTCTCCTCACTGTCTTCAAGCAATTCTCCCATCCCACCGGCGAATCGAGATTTGGCATCATTGGCTGCTGATGATGCCGGAGTGAATCCCACTACTTTGGAGCCATGGTCCTCCACATCGTGGTTTGTCGCGGCGATAAAGTTATTTGATTGCCGTACTCGAGCGGATTTGTAGTCCTTCTCCAGTACAATAGTCGATCCACCGTCGCTGAATATCAGATATGCTGCGGTGGTACGGCGATGGGGTAGTTGTTCTGCTATTGTTGCGAGGCTTTTAACCTGGAGCTCTCTTCGGTCTTCGGAGATCATGTAGGATCTGAGAATGCTCGACATTGACTGACGAAGGCCCAAGAGAACGAGCAGATGGTTGAAATAAAACTTGAAATGGTCTGTTCTGGTGGTGGCATTGTGCAGTGCACGAAAGTTGAGAGACATGCTCAGGTGTGGGCGCACAGCTGTCAACATGCCAACGTAGCCAACGTATGTCAGACTACGAGCCAGGACATGGGTTGGGTCAGCTGACTTTGTCCGTACAAAATTCAGCTGGACAACAACAGACCGGAGAGGATCCATAGTCCAATCCAGGTTGCGAAAGTGCAGCATTGTGGGCGAAGTAGTTGAGTGACCGGGTTCGAGTGTTTTGACAGCACCAGATGTGCAGCCCATCAACAAATCCAAGATAACGTTGAAGGCCACCAATAGATATATAGATACATCGGTGACGTCTGCCACACCACGAAGCTCCGCTGTCTCAACGGAGGAATGGACACGCCTGAGAAGCAGCCTTGCAATGAGATTGATGGAGCTATGGTATTTTACGGGAATACCAATATCTCCAAGAAGATTGTTGAAAAGTCCGACCAGGCCATGGACCTTGTGCCTGTATGCCGTTGCAAGAGCTTTATACCGATCGCGAGGCTTTTGGGACAGGTCGATGGTAAAGACCGGGGCTGCATGCCCGGCGAGGTGACTCTCCTGGGTGCTCATTGTGAGATGACGTGGCAAGTTGATACCAGGCTAAGTTGGCTGTAGCCTTGCAACTCAGAAGAGCGGTGTTGTTCTAGACAACAATGCATACCTATTGTTCCAATAAGGTAATCGACCTACCTCGGGTTGTCATCATCATTTGGAGACTTTGATTTCCTTCGATGAAACGATGATGATGGGTGCGAGCGGGTGAACAGATTGGTTTTCCGTAAGGCTGCCATGTCATCGAAGGAAGGAACACGGTGACAAGGAACTTACCAAAACGGCAGGCACGACCATCATGCAAGTATTTGGTTAGGGCAGGTGTGCCGACAGACTCTCACGACCTTCCATCGAGAGAATGGATGCATACGTCTAACAACGACACCACTGACAAAAGAACGAGGTGAATTCCGACACATTCTTGCTTCCTCCATCCATCAGCAACTACGTCTGAACGGAGGTCTCAGTGCTGGCAACATATCCATCGCCCAGAGCATTCATCACAAGGCGTCCATGGCCACACAGTGGACGTTCCGCATTGGCTGGAGTCAACCCATCCTCCCCACGCAAGACCCTGGCTCATGCTTTTCACCTTATCGCACCCGCATTGCGCATATGTAATCAACGTCCCTCGTCGTCCGATGGCAGCGCAGTCTCCACCAATTCAGTTTCCGGCTGTCATCACCCAACCCGACCGGCACAGGCTCGTGGTCACCACTTGTGCCACCATTCTCTTCTGTGCTTCCCTCAGTGGTCTTTACTTCATCCCTTCTGGATCGTGATACAGTGACACCTTCTTATCCAACAGACAACATGGCTAGTGCGACGGACAAGCTCTCCCCCAAAGATGTCTCCAATCACTTTTCGCGGGTGACAAAGCATCGAGTTCCGAGCCAGGTCAAGCGTTTCTACCAATATTTTTCCATTCCTGGAATTGGAAATCTTGCTGGAGGTGATAAAGTCCCCCTCCCCTCAGGCTTCACATTCCCACCATACTGAACATCGGCCAGGACTTCCTAATCCCAATTATTTCCCTTACGATACTCTCGAAGCCTCCACCGCCGTTCCTGACAGATTTAAACCAACTCCCAATAACCCCGTCGACCCCCCAGCCACTGACCTTACCCTTTCAGCCCTGAATCTATCAGACCCCGCCGCTGCCTCTCGCGTGCTCGTTCCTCATGACTCTGCCGAGCCCAATCCTCTTCGGAAGATCGACTTGACCACCGCCCTGCAGTATGGCACCGCCCAGGGTTATCCACCCCTCTACAGCTTCATTCGTGAATTCGTCCAGGAACACCTTCATCCCAATGTCCCTTACAAGGGTGGCGCTGAAGTCATCCTGACCGTCGGCTCCACTGATGGCTTTTCCAAAACTGTCGAGGCTTTTAGCAATATCTGGGATTCGGAGAGAGACTGGATCCGGGAAAGAGAGGGTTTACTCTGTGAAGAATTCGCTTACATGAACGCCATTCAGACCGCAAGGCCTCGGGGTCTCAATGTTGTGCCCGTCGCCATTGACGACGAAGGCATGCTGGCATATGGCAAAGGCGGTCTTGAAGACGTTATGTCTAATTGGGATACAAACAAGGGCAAACGACCCCATCTGATGTACACAGTCACGTAAGTCACATCATCTTCATTGCTCTAGAGGCTACTAACGTGACCAGAATGGGCCAAAACCCCACCTCTGGCCTGTTGTCGCTCACTCGACGGAAAGAAATATATGCCTTGGCCCAGAAATATGATATTATCATTGTGGAAGATGACCCTTACTGGTATCTGCAATATCCGTCGGCGCTGGAGTTGTCCAACAAAGCTCGAGGCCAATCGACCAGTCCCAAGTCCCCAGCTGCAGTGAATTACAACACGTTGGACGGTGGCCGGTCAAGTGGTTATGAGTTCCTGGACAGCCTAGTACCCTCTTACCTCTCCATTGATGTGGACGGTAGAGTGGTGAGACTAGATACGTTTAGTAAAACGGTGGCGCCAGGGTGTCGACTCGGATGGATTACCGCGCAGCCGGCTGTCATCGAGAAAATCCAGCTGATCACCGAAAGCTCAACTCAACAGCCCAGTGGGTTCGTCCAGAGTTTGATTGCGGAGCTTTTGATGGGACCGTCCAGCCACGGTGACCCTGGAAAGGGTGGAAGCAAAGACGGTAGTGGATGGAAATTCGACGGCTGGGTCAGGTGGCTAGAGGGCTTGCGAGGCAACTACGAGAGACGAATGCAAGTTATGAGCCAGATCCTGGAGGACGGAATGTACCTGATTCAAGGAAGTGCACCCGGGCCAACAAAGCCGGGTCGTGCAGAAGAGGACGACTTCGAGATTGTCAAGAAGACCCAGCTGTACGACTTTGCCTGGCCCGCGGCAGGCATGTTCTTGTGGCTTCGAGCCCATTTTGACACCCATCCACTTTACGAAAAAGTTGGAGGCCAACGACTGGCCAACGCCTTTTGGGTCTTCCTAACCGCCAAACCGTACCTGGTGCTCCTGGCTCCTGGGGTCATGTTCTCCCCAACTCCCGAGATTGCCGAGCAGGTCGGCTGGCAATACTATCGGCTCTGCTTCGCCGCCGTCGACGACGAGCTCGTGGCCAAGCACAGCAAAGGCACCGTTGATGCTTTTGTCGATTACTGGGCCATTGACGATCCTAAGAAGATTGATGACTTGCTCGACGACGTTGGTGCTCGTGCCGCCAGCGTCGAGAACGCACTCCAAAATCAGGTGAGTATCATTATTCCATCGCCGCGCCTTTCGGTAAGGTGAGACTTGAATCTGACCTGGGTTATAGGCTTCTTTTGCGACGAATCCTATTTTCTGCTGATTGTAGTTGTTGTGCGTGGATATATGTATGTATGAGGATATATGTCTATGTCTCGTATATGCACCACTTTATATTTATACATAGACAAGAACGGTAACGTGTGACTGTTTACCGCGCGGATGAATATACGAGACAAGTCTTGTTGAGAATTGAGTCTGAGATGAGTCCTCTTAAGTATTCCGTTATGCATAAGCTTTTCCATGGCAGTACATCTTGCCTTAGCCGTGCACATGCTAGGTACTATATTAATAGACATAAAAATCTATGCAATGAGTTTCTGCCCTTCTGTTCATAGGCAGCATATATATTACAAGATGTCGTCAAATTCTGTATCATCGGCTTGCACTGTCTTGTCCAAGATCATCATGTCAATGTCGGTGCATCAATCCCGAACCAATTCCAACCTTGATCCAAGTCAAGATTGCTCTGTGTCTGTTGCGGGAATGGGAATCCTCCAAAGGGATACACATTTTGCATGTTGCCTTGACCACCATGCACGTCGCCCGTTAGGTTGGAGCCAGAACTCATTCCAAAGTCATTCAGAGCACCATTGAACGGACTCTGGTTTGATCGTTGGGGTGTAAACCCCGAACTTCCACCGACACTCGCAGACAAGGGTTCGCCTGGCACTTGCTGGGGAAAATTCATAAAACTGTCAAATGTCACAAATGGGTCGTCTGTTTCCGGCCACGTGTCCGTGCCAGGTGCAACCATGTTGGCAGATGTCTCGAACAGGGACGACCGATAGTCTCGGTCGAGTGTTCCCGTCATTGGAGACTGTTGGGTGCTTCCTGAACACATGGGAGACTGTTGGGTGCTTCCTGAACACATGGATGGTGGCGTTGGGAGGCCCGAATTCGTCAAATTGCCAACAACCGAAGCCCCGGCCGGCCTGGACGAGCTCGCAGGGAGTTTCGCGCCAGCTGGCTTGGTCACATATGTGCCAGCCTTGATGGGGACAAACTTCTTTCCCGGTCCGATTGAAATGGTACCAAAGTATGGGATCGAGACCTGTGAAGCTTCACCGCGACACTGTTCAGCTACATCGCACTCTCCGTTGCGAGCTCGAGCGATGACCTCGAGAGCCTGTGCACACTGTGCAGCAACAACACCTCCGGGTTCTTTCGATGCGTCCCGCAGTAGCTGGATCGTGTGGTCGATGAGCTCGGAATCTCTTTGGCCTTGCTCATGGTCTGTGGATACGGGTTGATTGCCTCGATGCTGATGAGAGTAGCCGCATAGGTTCAACAACAAGAGCATAGCGGCGGTAAATGATTGAAAATCGACAAGTTTACAGATAAAGGGCCCAACGGACGTGTTGTTGCGCAAAGCTGAGTAGGATCGGATCATTTCTCGAGATGCTTCAAGGGCTGCATGGTGTGAATATTGGTAGCGGGTGTTGGTGGAGGACCTAAGCATAAAAGGCATGTGAAGTAACAGTTTGGTCTGATGGTGATAAAACTGGGCCTGTAAACGATCAAAATAATGTTGCGGTGGGAGGTCTGGTGTCAGTTCAGTCGACCACCATTCCTCACTTTGTGAGTTGTGAAGTTCTTCGAGCTCTTGGTCCATCCTCAAGGTGGCCGAATATCCCATGGGCACGACGGCCTGGTTTCGGTCATTTATTTTGGTGATGATGGGTATGATTTTCATGGCGTACTCATCGGTGCTGAGGGCTGACGGTGACTCCGCTTGGTAAGTATAGGGCGCTACATAGGCCTCGCCAACCGAGTAGGGCAATCCAAGCATGAGAGACAGATAGCGATCACCCATGATCAGGTGACACCACAGATTGAGCTGACGGCGGTATAGGGCGGATGTCTTGTCTGGTCGAGCGGCTAAGCGATGGAAGCCAAGCAACTGGGCGAATGCGATAGCTCTGTGAAATAAGAGCCACGCACGTCGAGGTCGGCCCATGTTGATGTGATGTTTGGCCTCAAGCATCATGCACTCGATGCCCTCGAGTGTGGCGGCGATTTCGTCATCTGAGGTGATGAGTCGATCCACGGTTGAGATGTACCGTGCCATCAACTCGGACGGTTCTTCTTTGGTGTCGAGCGAACTCCAGTCAAAATCCAATGGTAGTTGATGAACGCCAAGGGCTATACAGAGCATAATCTTGGCCACTTCGGCTGGCTTGTCGGAGCGGAGAGAATGCGATACGGAATCTTTGATGGTTTCACAGCGACTGTCGCTTATCTCGGGGAACATCTGTCGCCAAATCGTCCACCATTCGTGTGAGTTGACAAGGATGATCTCGAGGTCATGGAGTGATGGTAGGAGTTGGCGAAGGGCGTCAAGGAGAGCTTTATTCTTGTTGTACTGGGCACGAGAGACGACATGCTGACTTTGGTTCGTTTTGATGACATCGTTGTCGAAAAGGGACAGGGCTGGAGCATCGTGGCGCACGCCGCCTGGGAGAAGGGCAGATTCTTCTTCTTCTTCGAGTTGTGGTTCGGCCCGCTGGAATGAACTTTTCAACGACTTTAAGACTTCGGCTGCCTGTGCATCGAGGTGTGATTTATTAGAGTCCGGAAGAAGAGAAGATGAGGAGTCGGTCTGAGCCTCTTTCTCGGGCAGGCGATGGAGGACCTGCTTCACTAGATCTTCGAGTTGCGAAACTCTTTCTCTCAGGCTGTATGATGATGACTGGTCTGAGACGGGCTGGTTAAGGGCCTGGACATCTGCGTGCTCCTGATCAATACAGGTGGAACCTCTGGCATAGCATTCATTGCACACAGCAGGTCGTCCCGGTTCAAAGTTGCATTTGATCTTCCTCCTCCGACACTCCAAACAGGATTTTGTTCCTTTTCTCATCTTCTTGCGGGGTGGTCCCTGTTGGTGGTCGGAACCGATCGTATGGTATGGCGACCCTGAGGCACTACCGGGGTGCGACATTTTGAAAGCTGCGCTCGAGGGTGACGAAGGTAATGGAGGACGACACTCAAAACAGGTAACGATGAAGGGAATAGAGAAAAGGTCGTCGGCGTGAAGGTGACAAAGTCTCCGAGCAGATCAGATTGGACGACCCAATAAGAGGGACTTGTGCCGGTCGACTTGATTCCAAAGGGTGCTCTTTGGTCTTAGGGCGACACTACCAGGCGAGTGAAGAGTGTGTGTTCTAGAAGGCTCACGGCTCAAGGCTCAGGAGAGCAAGACGGCTGGGCTGGCTGGTGCGACAGACAGTGAGTGACGATTGTTGAGGCCGGCCTGAGGAATGGCGGTATCCTGGCGTCACTCGATAGCAATGTGGATTCGTGAAGAATTGGTCAGCACAGAGACTCCCAAGAACGCAGGATGAGGCTGATGCGAGTTGATTTGGTGGAAGGAGCCACCCACGTTCAACATGCTGGGTCCTTGCTGGTCCTTCCTGAAACTGACGGTCGCATATGATTGGGTGGCGAGAGTTCGACCGCCGGCTAAAAGTTCGACTTTGTCCGTCCGTTCGGCCGAATAAATCATGCTCAATGCAGCACTGCTATTGGCCCCCGTAATGGCACCACCATCAGGGTCTCCATATGGCTGTAAGCCATTATGATTGACCCTGAGCTTTTGACTCACGGACAAGCCTTGTGACGCTTGTGTGGCCTTGTTGCCTTGTGGCCTTGTTTAACCTTGTTGCTAATGTCCCATTCAACAGAATTTCATGTGACTTTGAGGTGAGTCTTGCTGTCAACTGCCACTTGCCTCTTGTATCCCAAAGCCTGTTGCTCCTTCCGTCTCAGGGAGGAAAATATAACCCTAATTTGGCAGGAGGTCGAGGATTGAGGCTGGTCTAACCTCAATTAGGCTACCACTCTCTTTTTTGTCCATCTTTCATCAACCCATCGACTTTCTCTCCCTTCACTGCGCTTTTCGTCCGCCGCCACATGCCATTATCTCCTTTTTACACTTCAACAAAAACAGAATTCTCCGACCACTTGACGCCCACGGGCCAACTCTGCTGCCTGAAACTTTGTTTCGGATGCGGATCTTTCCCATTGCCGTCGCCAGTTCGCCAATCACACCTCACCATGTCGTTATTGTTTGATCCATCCGGAGTTACCGCTAAGATGGTCCCGATTGCGATCTCTTCAACACATGCGAGTACGTGGTAGGTAACCTTGCAATAACGTCAATCATCACCATCGTCATCTTAACGCGACGTTGGGTCAAAGCTGCCCCTTGACAACCTGGCCCATTTTTCACTGATGCCTCATCTCCACCATACATCCATGCCAGAGGAGCTTCGACCGAATACTTGCTTTATCCTGTAATCAGCCCGTGTTGGCCTTGGACCCCTACCCGACTCAACACTATCCGGCTTTTTTTAACGCCGACCAGGTAAGTGCCATAGCAATATCTCTGGCATGCCTTTGCTACATATACAATCCTTTCCCCCAGCCCATCTAGAGCTCTATCAAGCCAGCTCTCCTTCTGCAATCCGGCGTTTCGCATAGCAGCATCCCAGACAAACGCTCTATATCAAGCCTCGCTCACCATGGACCCCTCCAAGACTCCCGTCGAGTCATCTGCTGCGACTTCAAAAACAGATCTCACCAAAACGGCCGTCAACACCCCCCGTGGCGATGAGAAGGATGTCCCTGTTTCTTCTCAATCCAGTACTCACTCCCATGATATCAAGTTTGAGGGCATTGAGGGGGAGGCCCTAGGACGAGAGCTGTCGAGGATCGCCACATCAGACTACCCTTCTGCCTTTCCCCTTGCCATGATTGTCATCGCCCTCGTCGCAAGCGTGTTTCTAGTGGCTCTCGACATGACCATTGTTGCAACCGCAATCCCTCGTATCACAGATCAATTCCAGTCCCTCGATCAGGTTGGCTGGTATGGTTCCGCCTTCTTTCTCACTCTGGGTTCTTTCCAAGCAACATGGGGCAAGATTTACAAGTATTATCTACTCAAGTGGGCCTATCTTCTCTCCATCTTCATCTTCGAGATTGGCTCCTTGATCTGTGCCGTCGCCAATAACTCGACCACTCTGATTGTTGGCAGAGCAATTGCCGGTATGGGAGGTGCAGGTGTTGCGTCTGGTGCATACACCATTGTTGCTTTCTCTGTCCCTCCTGGCCGACGACCAGCCTTTGTTGGTATTTTGGGCGCCACTTTTGGTCTCGCCTCTGTCATCGGCCCCTTGCTTGGAGGTGTTTTTACTGACCATGTCTCGTGGCGTTGGTGCTTCTATATCAACCTCCCTATCGGAGCCGTTACAGTCGCTCTCATCACCTTCTTCTTCAGAACCCCTCCCGCCGCCAAACCTGAGGTAGCTACCACGAGGGAAAAGATACTTCAGATGGATCTACCCGGAACCTTCACCATTATGGTTGCCATTGTCTGCTACCTTCTTGCTATGCAATGGGGTGGTGCCACAAAGTCTTGGTCTGATGGTTCTGTCATTGCGACTTTGGTAGTCTTTGGCCTTGCCACGATTGCCTTTGTGGTCATTGAATACTTCCAGGGTGACCGAGCTTTGCTCCAAGGCCGTCTACTCAAAGACCGCACCATTGCCGTCATGTCATTCTACATTTTCCTGGTCGCCGGAGGTTTCTTCACTCTCTTGTACTATCTTCCAATCTATTTCCAGGCTGCTCGCAATGTCAGCGCTGCACAGTCTGGCGTCAACAATATCCCTCTGGTTCTGGGCGCCAGTCTGTTCACCGTCGTTTCTGGAGGTCTCGTCACAGCGACTGGTCAGTACATTCCAATCATGGTGGTGGGTTCTATCCTGTCCGCCGTCGGCTGTGGAATGGTCTATACATTGGACGTCGACAGTCCTAGCTCCGAGTGGATTGGTTACCAGGCCCTCGTCGGTATTGGCCTCGGTTTGATCTTCCAGATTCCCGTCATCGTCGCTCAGTCACTCGTCAAGCCAGCCGATCTCAGCTCCGTCAGCGCTATCATCCTCTTCTTCCAAACCATGGGTGGTGCCATCTGGATCTCGGCTGCACAGTCCATCTTCACAAACAAACTCATCAGTGGCGTTGCCAGTAATGCTCCAGGCGTCAATACTGGCCTCGTTCTTGCAACTGGCGCGACCGACTTGAGACACGTCTTTAGCGGAGCAGACCTTGACGGCATCGTTGAGGCATACATGGAAGGGCTACGAGGAGGCTATGGTATCTGCATTGCCTGTACCGCTTTGGCCGTTTTTGTTTCCTTTGCACCTCGATGGGAGAGTTTGAAAGGCAAAATCAAGATTGACGCTGGAGCTGGGGCATGAAAAGCCATCCCGCCTGAACCTGACGAACTTTTGATTACCTACAGCAAAGCTTTTTTTTGTCTTACTTGAAAGCATACACCGAGTTCTACGGACGAGTCTGCTTAATCGTCAAGGGTTTCCTTTTTTCATCTCTACAATCCTTTGGGCTCAACCTAGGATATGACCAGCGCCACGAACATCGAGTCCCTCATTGCGTTGCATTTCTGGGAAATTAACTATACTTTATGCAACGAAGCATCGCATTGCCTCCACAAGGTAGCATGCATGTATGTAACATCAATTATCTGCTCCCTAAAATCCAAATCAAAGATACCCTCCTCCTAAACAATCACACAATCGTTTACAGCCCTGTCGCTCCAATCCTCCTATCATCCGTTCTCGAAGTCACCCACATGACATAAGGCCTCCGGTCGTGCGATCATATGTTAGGCCCACCAGTAGGAGAAACTCTACTGACTTGACCTACTACCACTACTATGCACTTGACTCACTGAGCTAAAAACCCCGTTAAGTCCGACAAAGTTGACACTCTGTCACAGCGGCCCAAACCCCGTGGCCTCACCTCCCTTCCCCTGCAGTATTGCTCTGTGATCGACAATAAGTACTTCGAATACGTAGGTGGTATTTTAACTTACATGCCTGGGGAGTTGAGAAGGTGACTGACTGGTGGAAGGTGGATGGTGGATGGACGGTTCGGGTATTTGGTGATATCAACGATGTTAAGTCCGGGCGAGTAAGAAGTGACCAGGGGGTTTTGTCCCAACGCACTGAAGAATACGATGCGATGCGGTAGGGAAGAGGATCATTCGAGAGAGAGGGATTTTCGGCGGAAAAAAGAACCACCTTCTCTCAAAAAGGTGTAGACTAGGGACTTGGATAATGGTTGGTGATGCGATGCTTTTGCAGGGCAAAAGGAACAAAGATACTCCAAATGCGACGCATCTCGCTTAATAGTTATTTACCTACTAGTAGGTAGTAGGGAGAGGACACCGAACGGACTGGACTTTCATTCGTTATTGAGGCCTAAAGAGAAGAGGTAGGTCTAGTCATCTAAAATAGGTACTTGACTTGCTTTGTTGAATGTTTGAATTTTCTTGCCTCATTCCACCCGACCTCTTTTTCCTCTTGCCTCTGGCCTTGTCCTTATCCTAGCCTCCCCCTTTCCCGCCCTCTTCTCTTTCTGGCAATGTTGATCATGATACTTCCTTTGGATCTGAAGGAGCTGGAGTATCGGATTTCCCTGCTTGAGGGTCATCACCCGCAGGCGCAGATGCAGATGCAGATGCAGGCTCTGATGTCGAAGTTGCTGTTGCTGCTGTAGTTGTAGGTCTACCTGAAACAGTCGACGGTGGCTGCGAAGAAGCTTCAGATTGGACAGATTGATCGTTCTGAACCGTCTTGTTCTCAACGACCTTGACTATCTCGTCACCGAGATCTCCGGTACCGTCGATTTTGCTCAAGCGTGTACGGAATAATTCTGCGTCTGCAAGGAGTCTGGTACAAGGGAAAAAGACAAAGGGTCAGTATAAATAATTCGACTTGGATGAGGAGAGAGAGAGAAGAGAGGGAATTCTATACATACCTGTCTTTTGCGGCACTGGAATGAATATTCACATCTTGGTATGCCTTTGTCCATTGTTCTCGATAGCTTGCAAACACGGGAATCATGATACCTGCGACCACTGGTTCTGGTAGATGTTTCGACAGGACTTTCTGCAATGTTGCCGTTTCTTTCGTCAAGGTCTCCATGTATGGTGACACGGACACGGCTTTGTTTTTCGCCGCTTCTTCCCAATCGATGGCTTTCATGGCCTTTACATGCATTGACGCTCGACCCGACATGATGTCCACCAGTTTCTCGTGGATGCCGTTCTGATGTTCTTGAAATAACCGCTTGACTTTGTCAAACTCGGTCATGATGGAGGACGCCGTCGAAGAGGGTAGATGTCGGCGGAAGAATTCTCGAACGTAGGGAACAAGAGCGACGATGAAACTCAATGCCTGGGATGACAGAGCAAGATGTTTGGTGGTGATGTTCTTCAACCCTGCACTTCTGGTTGCGCCGGCGCCTAAAATGAGTTGCGAACTGCGAGAATTGAATAGTTTCAAACTCTCCAATAAGTGTGTTGCTATCTCGTGGCTCATGCTGGGAATGCCCGCTGCTAGATGCTCAAAAGCCTCTATCGTTTGGAGCATTGCTGTGGCTGACTCGGGAAGGATATACTTCTGATCGTCGACAACCGCACTGCGAACTTTTGCCGTTGCTGTTCCGTTGGCAGGATTTCCATTGGTCGTGCTTGGGCCATTGCTAGAGACGTGCCAAATGGTAGTGCTCTCAATCCACGTCGAAGAGTCATTGGTGCTACCTTCCATGGTACGGCTGAGAAGGCTGTTCTCATTGTCACCAAAGTCTTTGGCATCCCATTTATCGTTGTCCATGGTTCGAATCAGCTGTTGTTTCTGCGTGTCGCCAAAGCGAGCAACAAAATCTTTGATCTGCGTGTCGATGACCTGCTTCAAAGCTGTGCCAGTTCGCCCAGATATCGCCTCGCATTCATCCGCAAACAACTTGTTGAGAGCAAAATACTTGAGAAAGTCGGCCAAAGGAAGCTCCGAGTTCTGCTGAGCACGAACTTTGACTACCTTTGTGATTTGCGCCTGCACCAGGTCCACGCCTTCTCCTAGTAGATTGGAAAGATCGAGGGTTTGTTGCATCTCCGCTTGAACTGAACTTGTTGCTCTTGGTCGACCGCCAGTCGGACTCAGAACCCTATCAATACTAGCTGGATCAGGGCTCCTGGGCGGTGATTTAATCATATGTTCTGGCAAGTTGCTGGTTATATCCAGCAAAATCTTGACTTGAACACTAAGCCTCCTCAAACCTTCACTGATGTTTGTGTAAATGGTCGCCAACATCTGATACCAGTCGTCAGGATCAAGAGCTCGAAGATTTCTGGCAAGTGCAGAAGATTTCTCCTGCTGACTCAATTGTCTTCCTCCAGCAGTTGAAGCGGAGATACTGGAAGCATTGTCATCGTCATTGGAAGCTGGCAATTGTCTTCGTATCATGGCCTTCATCTCTCGGAGTACAACAGCTCGAAACGTCGTCGCTGCAGGAGTTGTATACCGGGCTCTAGAAAGACCATTCATCTCAGCTTCGAGATCGCTGCGGAGGTCTGACCCAATGTTCATGTATGCTGGAAAAGAAGACGGTGCTCTCCTCTGGCCAGGCCTAGCTTTAGTGTATGAGATGCCCCATCGTTGTAATGTCGAACTCGTTTCCGTTTGTTCGACGTGTCTTCTAATGTCACCGAGGAGACTTGAATGGAAACGATTCTCGTAACCCCGTCCAGCGCGCTGTCGTAAGTGATTCAAATCATCCAAAGCACCTTCCAAGGCTTTGATGCGGCGAAGATCACGTCTTTGGTAATTATGTTGCTGTGATTCGATTTGAACTCTGCTCGGTTTTCCAGCCATGAGTGCTTCAACTTCTTCAAGATCATCCAGGGCCTCATCTATATTCCCGGAATCGACTTGGCTCTCACATTTTTGCACGGCATGAACGATGTCTTCGAGTTGCATGATCGCTTGCGCAAGTTGACGGACGTTGTCCCGCCTTTGCTTCAGATTCACAACCTTCAGCCCGTCTAGAGCCATTTCCTTATCAAGTCGGGCCAATTCTTTACGGAGCATTTGAATCCGATCAACCGAATCTTCTGCTTCGTCATGAAGTTCCCTCAATGAGCCGAGGGCTGAGAAGAACGACTTTGAAGCCGTCGATATTGAGTTGATGAGATGTACCTCAACAGTATCCATGTACCAAGAGAGTTTCTCCTGCAGAATTGCATTTGTCGCCAGTGGCCTTCGGCCGGTAGGTGTGCCATTAGGATCGCGCACGATTTCTGATTTCTCTGAGACGATGTCAAACGTCCTGGGGTTTTCGAGGTGAAAGTCGTCCTCCGAATATACCGGAGGAATAGTTGACAGAGGTGTCACGGCTTGTCGCCGCTGTCCACTCTGCCGTCGTTTCAACACCGGAGCCTCTACTGGAGTCGACGCCGTCGAATTCATCGAACCAGTTCTGGAATGTCCTGAACCTTGTAGCCTCTTATTCAGAATAGCTTCCCAACTCTCCTCGTTCTCTTTCTTATCTCTCTGAAACAGAGATGTGGTACCTTCGCCATCGCTTTTAGCCCGTTGGAAGGCTTCATACAAAGAGCCAACTTGCTGCAGGTAAGGATGGAATTCCTTGGAGTCGATATGAGGGATATTGGTCAATGCCACTGGGGGGATGTCTCGCTGGGTGGGGACTTTGTAGCCGGTGGTAGGGACGGTGGTGCTTGCTTGCAAGCCAGTGCGCATAATAGGGTGCTGTAACAGGGTCGATATGGCATTCTGGCCGGCTTCTGTTATCGTGTGGCTACCTGCTCCTGAATCCAGGGTTCCACCAATACTGTTGACGGAGCTGGCGGTTGAGCCTCTGCGTAGATCAGATCGAGGGCTTCCATGTTGCCGTTGCAAGACATCAGGAAAGGGATATTGAGCGACGGGGGTTGTTGGGGTGGGAGACGCGAAGTTGCCTCGTGATCCAGGTCGCGCCGAAGTGGCCATTTGGACATTTGTGAGGTGAATGCGTCTATCCGCATCAGAACCGCCGTGGGTATAGGTTGCTGGACTAGGATTCGCTGATATTCATGGGCTCGAAGATGTACATTTCAGATGCCATCTTCCGTCCCGGCGTCGCTTTGTACTTTACTTTTAGTCTCGTCGTCGAGCCTGCGGCCATGGAAATAGACACGCAATGTCACGGGATGAGATGAGGATGAGATGAGATGCCAAGGCCAGATCTTGGACGGAGTTTCTTTTCGCCGATCCTCCAATGGGTCCAGGTCCACATCCCATGCAAGCACTTTGAACGCGACGCGCTGGTCGCGGGGCGGGACGCGAAATGGACAAAACGACGCGTCTCAAAGACTGCGGGCATCTCATCTCATCTATCGCTCCATCCCATCCCATCCCCTACTTTCCAGCAACGACGGTATCCTTCCCATCAGGTCACAACAGAGCCTCGCACCACGATGGATTCCAGATCAACCTATTCACTCAGCGTGCTCGCTCCTCTATACGATGCAGGTTCTGAACCTCGCACAGAACTGCAGAGCAAGCTGAAAGATTTTGTACTCGCATTCCAAATTGATGGGTCTTACATCTACCGAGACCAACTGCGGGAAAACGTGCTGGTGAAGCAATATTTCTGCGACATCGACCTAGCACATCTGATTTCCTACGATGAGGAGCTCGCACACAAATTGACGACCGATCCTTCCGATGTGATCCCCCTCTTCGAAGCCGCTCTCAAGCAATGCACACAAAGAATCGTCTATCCACAATCCCCCAGCATCGATCTTCCACAACACCAACTCCTCTTGAATTCGTCCGTTTCGCACATCTCGATTCGAGACCTCAATGCCACCAATGTATCGCATCTGGTACGCATTCCCGGTATCGTCATTGGCGCATCCACCATGTCTTCGAAAGCCACTCTTTTGAACATGCGCTGTCGAAATTGCGGTCATACCAAAAACCTCGTTGTCGAAGGTGGATTCTCAGGGATCAGTCTTCCGCGACAATGCGGCCACACCAAGGAACCTGGGCAAGAGGCCGGCGATTCATGTCCTCTCGACCCCTATTTTGTCGTGCACGAAAAATCTCAGTTCATCGATCAGCAAATCCTCAAACTCCAAGAAGCCCCCGATCAGGTCCCCGTGGGCGAATTGCCCCGTCACATCCTCATCTCCGCCGACCGATATCTGACCAATCGAGTCGTGCCTGGTTCTCGTTGTACCGTTATGGGCGTTTTCTCCATCTACCAACAAAACAAAGGGGCCAAGAAAGATTCGGCGGTCGCCATCCGGAATCCATACCTCCGCGCGGTTGGTATCACTACGGACGTGGATCACAACAATCTCGCTGCGACGAGCTTCTCGGAAGAGGAGATTCAAGAGTTTGAAGAAATGTCTCGATTGCCAGATCTCTACGATCGATTCGCTCGATGCATTGCTCCGTCAATTTACGGAAATTTAGATATCAAGAAAGCGATCGCTTGTCTGTTGATGGGCGGGTCGAAGAAAGTGCTACCAGATGGGATGAAACTGAGAGGAGACATCAACGTCCTTCTTCTTGGAGACCCGGGTACGGCCAAATCACAGCTCTTGAAGTTTGTGGAGAAAGTATCACCAATTGCCATCTATACGTCTGGAAAGGGCTCCAGTGCTGCTGGTCTGACAGCATCAGTACAAAGAGACACTCAATCTCGCGAGTTCTACCTTGAAGGCGGAGCAATGGTTTTGGCAGATGGAGGGGTGGTCTGCATTGATGAGTTCGACAAGATGAGGGATGAAGATCGAGTGGCCATCCACGAAGCCATGGAACAGCAGACAATATCCATCGCAAAGGCTGGCATTACAACCATCCTCAATGCACGCACATCGGTTCTTGCAGCAGCAAATCCCATCTTTGGCAGATACGATGATCTCAAGTCTCCAGGGGAGAATATCGATTTTCAGACGACGATTCTGTCCAGATTCGACATGATATTCATCGTGCGTGATGATCACGATCGCAATCGAGACGAACGCATTGCCAAGCACGTCATGAGCATTCAAATGGGTGGTCAGGGAGTTGAAGAGCAGGCCGAGTCGGAGTTTGGTGTGGAGAAGATGAAGCGATATATCCGATTCTGCAAATCGTAAGTGAGCTTCCAGATCTGGAGTTGCTCACCGGTGACTTCGTTTCGCATTGGGAAACATTCAAAGCTAACAGTTCTTCACTACTAGACGCTGCGCCCCTCGATTGTCATACGCAGCCACAGAAAAACTTTCGTCACATTTCGTCTCGATTCGAAATCGAGTCGCGCAAGCTGAACGCAATTCCAACGTCCGATCGTCCATCCCTATCACGGTTCGTCAACTCGAAGCCATCATCCGCATCACCGAGTCGCTCGCCAAGTTGACACTGTCAGCTACGGCGGAGGAACACCATGTCGATGAAGCAATTCGTCTTTTCCTCGCCTCCACCATGGACGCCGTCACTCAAGGTGAAGGCGCTGGAGGTATGGGCGGGAACCGTGAGTTGATGGACGAAGTTAGCAAAGTCGAAGAAGAATTGAGGAGGAGGTTGCCGATTGGTTGGAGCACCAGTCTAGGAACTTTGAGACGCGAATTTGTGCAAGGAAGGGGATACAGCGAGGCGGCTTTGGCGAGAGCACTGCACGTGCTCCAGAGGAGGGAGACAGTGAGGTTGCGGAACGGTGGCAGTCAGGTCTATCGATCCGGAGTATGATTGCTGTTGCTTGGTAATGACAGCATGAATGTATGTCCTATTGATGCTCGGTCTATCCACCAGTTGAATCAGAGGGTCTTGTTATGGTTAAAGCCCGGGTTTGTTTCTTTTAATGGGGGTGTTTGAAGGATAGATGCTACTCGCATATGAATGGCCGCAATGATTTCTATCTGAGTCCAGATGCCAGAAACAGAGTGTGTGCTTCTCCTACGACTGTCGTCCAAGGTTGAAGCAGTTCATCGCGTCCCATGGCACAGTAGACTGGCCACACTGGCCAAGTGACAGACGATGCACCACCATACTCAATAGCAATAGTAAAGGCAAGATAGGTCAGAAGAGGCCGTGATGGCCGAGGAGCTTTTCCTCGTCAGTAGCTTGGGTCATTGAAGGTGGACAGGCCCGTGTCAATGTTAGCTGGGAGGCGCGTAACTGGAACATGTATAGCCTCCTTGGCCCACGTTTGATACAGAATGCGTTCGGAAATGGTTTTCCCAAAAGTTCGGTTTGGCAAGCGATCTCGACAAGCGGATCGATCGAGGTACGATGGTGTCGTACATTGCATATGCACGCACCTCATGATAAATCGGAGTCCGAAAATCGGCCTACGCTCTGGATGCGAGTGGCTTGGGCAGCTTGAAGAACGAGACCTTCGTTGATACGATAGCGATCAGACATTGACGTAAATATTCGGACGGGGAGAGTCATGGGTAAGACATCGGATATCGATCAGGCGGAGTCCGATCAGGAGTGGACACACAGAAATCGGGCCATAAAATTTGACATGTCAGCCTGGCCCTGGAGGGTGTCGCCGAGGCTTGGTGTGACCGGTGAGGCTGAGAAGGATGCTCTAGTGTTCGTACCAATGGAGCTCTGGCAAAGTTCGAGATCATTCTATAGATCTGGGAGCAGCGGAATATGACAGATCTGTGGTCGATCCGCACCGGAGTCGCTTATGGGCTGTTGTGATCCCCTGAGTGGCGCCTGTCCGAAAACAGGCGAGCAGATCCGGTAAACGCCGCAACCTGATATGGCCTTCAAGGTCCACTTGAGCTACCGTACTGGGATATCCGAAAAGAACCCCTCCTCATCCGTGGTATCAAGTAACATCCCTCTTACAAATTCGGGTGTCATTGAAATGGACATCACAAAGAGCCTTGCTGAGAATGCCCGTGCACAGCGTGAGGTCCATGTTCAGGCTCACTCATAGGAATTTGCCGTGGCTCATCATGAAGTGGGATACCGGGTTCTGCACACCTATGTATGCCGAGGAGAGACGAGGGGTACTAGGTGGGAGCTGTTAACAGGGTTCTTCAAACGGGGGTCAGAGCAGTCCAGGGGTCACATGCCAGAATCCCTGAAAGGCGTTGGTCGCCGGCGGGGATGAGGGCTGTTGATCAAGCAGCCGGGTCAGGGCCAGGGCGGCCTAAATAGAGCCAGGGTTGCAGGAAGAGAGGCGGATGTCGTTGAATCAGCCATGCAGGATCGAGATGCAGATCGATCTCCTCCATTCCACAAGAGAGTGGGGGAAGGGAGGTGAGGACTTTTGTCTTGGACTGTAGGCATCAAGGACGGCTCTGCATTGATCCATGGCACTGGTCGATCCTCCATGCCCTCCTACGGAGATGACGGATTGCATGTTGACCAGGTATGCCCTTGCCAGGGTAGAGTGATGAAGAGTGAACAACGGTACAAAACGTGTGTAGAGTCGGTATTTTCTCGGTTTTGAGGTTTGAAATTCAGTCGCGTCGCACATGACTCATTACCGATTCCCGGAGGAAGGAACGAAGGGGAATCCCCATCACACCTTCCTGGCAATGACCAAGATGCTTGGCAATATGTCCAACAGCATCGTAACTTGACGCTCCGAAGCTGAGCCATTTCTCAAACCACTCCTCGTACACACGAAAGAACTGTCCGGAAAAGGGCTCGATTTCCCCAATTGGTTTCACCACTAGTGACTTTTCGAGGTGACTACTGTCGGTGTCGACGTGTTAGCGATAGGACAGCTGTGTGGCGCAGCGAGCAAGATCTAGATTGGGTCTCTCCGTGCGGGATAGCTTCTCAGTGTCAACGCGGAGGTTCTGCTGCGTCCAGGCACTTGAGCAGAAGTTGTCGTCCTCCAGGCCAACATCAGGCAGAAGATGGGCAGATACCGACGAGAGTAATGATCTCATCAGACTATATTGACTTTACAACGGTGACGGGTATGTGACGAATTTATGTGAACGCACGCAGGCAGATCAAGGTTTCATCTGGAGCTCAGATAAGCTCAGCCAAGATGTATGTAAGCTCTGAAGAAATCGAATCGAAACCCTAGACTCGTCCAGACGTGCATCATGATGTCCATGAACTTTTGAGTCTCATGATACTGACACTGATGTGCTAAAAGCCTTGCCAAAAAAGATCAAGATCAAGACCAAAATTATTGTGGTCCAGGTTGGCACAATAGCGCATTCAAGACTGGCAAGATTTGACGATTGCCACTCAGCTGAAGCAGATAGCCTTCCGACAGTATGTATACCGAGAGACCGCTCATGACAGCATGACATGCGTCTGGCACGGCCTCCCCATTGAGAAAGGGATCATGAGGGAGAACTGTTTCATTTGGCAAACATGAAGTTCCTTGCATCTCCTCGGGCAGGCCACAGCGCCTAGTCAAATTTGGGGGTCCGTCACACCCCAAATTTGCTGTAACACAAGATCGCAGATCGGGTTCGACAGATGGGCTGGCAGTCTGCCACACACGCTTCTGGGTCCGGATCCATGGGTCATGGGTCCCCAGAATGTGGTTCGAGTCGCTTGAGGGAGGCAATCAATGAAGGGCCATCGGTGTCCTGGTAGAAGCATCAGGGCTCCTTTCAACGGCCAATGTAAAATATTTGATGCAAGGTTCAAGGTCGCCGGTCAAATAATCGTCAAATGCACCAAATATGTCCTTAGTAGACTCGTAGTCGCCGAACAACAATATCACTCCTGGGGTTATTTCCAGTTCTTTCCTGTTGGGAAAAGTCTATGCAACGCAGCGTGCGCGTTAATGTCGGAAGGAGCGCACGGATTATCCCATAATGGCTACAGGGCAGGAGCATCCCACTTCGGGCTCTCGTAACCGACCATCAAATCATCAACTTCATCAACTTGTCAAGCTTGACCCTTTTCACCTGTGGCGTTGGTCCAGTCATGGACTCATGGCACTCCTGGAAGATGCCACGGATGCCTCCCTAATGGGTACGCCCATACGCCTATATGCCTTGCACCCACCTCCACCCGGACGCCGCATGATCATCCGAACCAAAAATCTTAGATAGGTTTGACCCTTGGCATGGAACATTGCTTCAGCACCCAGCAACCACTGGTGTAATGGCCCCAGGTGAAGATCATGGCGCTCTCCCGCGTCCCTGGATCTACCCTCCATCAGGTGGCCCTCCTTTGCATTCTTCAGAAGGCTGATAGGTCGGTTGTCTAGCATCATGCACTACTTGACCATCTCCCTCACCTTTTATGGCCCCTCGCCTCCATGCGCAATGCCTTGACGACCACCGATCAAACCAATATCTCGTGAGCAAAAGAATTGATACAGTACAAAGGCGGCATCCACACAGACTTCATCCGCACTATCGGATCTTTCCTTCCGTTCAATCAATTTCCTCGATGCCAGAATCTTCGCAGCACACCCTTTCAGATCTATTCCAAGGCTGCCAGAGTCTCAACCGAAGTACGATGCGTCAATCTGGTGCCTTTAAAGCGCCCAAGAAGCCTCGTCAACAAAGTCAACTCAGTGCACCCTCTCGTACACTCCGGGCGACTCATTGATCTTGCCATACGCATCAAGGCCGTCCTTGTCATTCCTTCTCAGGTGTTCAAAGGTCGGTGTATTTCATCAACTGTCTGCCCACAAAGGCACCCAACTGATGAGCCTTCGACTTCAGAGCGGGAGCTGATATCAGCCAAGGGGCTAGAACTCCGGTTTACCCGTCGACGGCGACACCTACTCAACAAGATCATGGAACTTGCGATTGGCCCTCCTTCCAGGATGACAGCAGGTCTTCCACTCCAGCACCCGCTGGTGGTAACGTTCAGCTCAGCCAACAAAGATAAAGAGGGAAATGCAGAGGCGCTGAGACTGCAAGACTTGACTGGGGTTTGGGCATTCGTGTCCCTGACAAACCCAGACATGGAGCAAAATCTGGCACCTCCGCGCATTGATCTCTTGCGTGGTCAAACGGCCGACTCGATTCACCCCATACAACAGCGACAAGAAGGAGATGATACTCCCGTTGCATACGCCACGTTTGCAGGCCTCATCATCACCGAGCCTGGTAAATACCGGCTGAGAATCAATCTCATTGACATGAATGCGTTAGGAGAGTCACTGGGTGATGAACGACCAAGTGCTGACCTGTGCAGTCCTCTACTGGAAGACCAAGGAAGTGGCGCTGGAAAGGTGTTGCGAGTTTTACATTCGCCGACGGTGGATGTCGTCGAGGACGGCCAACGCCAACACGTTTTTGACGGTGAGTAGACATCAGTCCTGGAGGACAGTACAAAGACTGATTGCCAATGTGTAGAAGCGGAACTCAACAATGCGAAGAGTCGACTACGATCCATCGGTGTCGACTGCTGACAATTCGAGTGGCGAGTGAAGCAGGCAGCCCGGCATCAGGATGTAGATCGAACAAACGGAATGGGACTGGTAGTGAAGATTAAGTTGCCAAGTAAGGGTACAACAATATTGAGCTTCAAGGCCCTTTACGCGTGTGACGCGGTAGTTCAGATGTCAAGACGTGCCAACAATGTCAGAATACGTCCAAGATCATCCTTGAGTACGTCTAGCATCCCAAGCTGTTCGACACGGTAAGGGTCTTGGAACCAGTTGAAGAAGCAGGGACTGTTGGAAAATGTTGCTAGGATTTGAGAATTAAGTAAGACCTTGAGGAAGCACGACGCATTCCAGGGTCTTATTGAGCGGGGCTGTTGAAGCAAAACTCGAAGCAGCAATCATATTGCGAGATGAAGTTGAAATTGTGTCTAGATATGACGATTTGAGAGCAGCTGGCTCGGCGTCGCCGATCATGGAAATTGAACATGTGTTTGCGAGTTTGAGTCTCTCGGTAGCCGGAAACAACGGCTGCCGACAGGTTGACTGGTGGAGAAGAGAACTAACGTTTATGTAGGTATGTACATCTAGCACCATTTAGGTAGCCCTGCTGTCGTGGTAGCTACCTACCTAGCCATATGTAGGTAGGTACCTTGTCAGGAACGGCTGGGGGATTTGAAATGGCTAGATCGTCGTCGCCACCCTGGTCACGTGGCCAGAAGTTGTCTATTCCTTGTCGATCTTGATATTGACCTCGAGGCGGACCTACGCGTACACATACCTAGTAAGCTTGCATGTGAATGAAAAAGAGCTGCACGAATCCAATAGCGGCCGGGGAGTTACTCAGAGTTATGGCGTGGTCTTTGGCTCGATTTGGCCAAGTGGAGCTTGATTCTGGTGACCTGATGTTGTGTGTGGATGGTTAGCAACCCCAGCTTCAGTGAGTTTGGTAAGGCAGACGAAAGCTGCAGTTTGGTACCAACTCAGGGACGTCTTGGCTGATGATCCTGTCCTCTTCTTATTACTCTCAACTGAAGGGGTGGATCGATGGATTGTGGAAGATGTCCAAGTTCATAGCTAAGCGAAAGATCGACGACTATGGGCGAACCTTATCGTGTAGCTTGTCCGCGGTTGGATGGCACACGGCAGAAGTACCAATGTCATGAGAGCATGTGTGGAGGGAGTCGAACGGGATTGGAAGGACACGAAGGGTCATTTTAGACATCTGCTACGGACATCTACTTCGCAGTAGATGAGGAGTCCGTCGAATCGAGAGAGGCGCTGGCGTACTTCTGACGCACATTGGGGGGGGCCATACGGAGTGGGAGGCAAGTACGTATTAGTAACCTACATCTACGAATTCAAAATGGCAGCACCAAGGAACGGACTTTGACAGACTTGTTGGACTAATCCTAGAGGCGAATTCAACGATGACTATCTCACTGCTACTTCTCCAGCGACCTTCTCTCCTAGTCAATACAACACCTTGCAATGCGCGTCATATAGGCTTGCGAATTGTGGAGGAGGGTCACTGCATGGGTCAAATTGAACCTTGTTTAAAAATACCTACCCGTAGGTATGCATACGCAGGACTCTTGATCTAGCAGGTACCTACCTTCCCTACCTCTTCGCCCCAGTAGAAAGTGCAAGTTCCTTAGGTAGGTACCTACTCGTACCTATAATTAAAGTATGTACGGAGTAGGAACATTTTTACCTATGTAGCTACTAGTAGCAGTAGGCCCTCACTAGCCCCATCAGTATGTACTTTTATTGGGTACCATATTTCGCACGGTGCCTATTCCGGCTAAACTTTTCGTATTTCCGCAGGTCCTGCCGCCCTACGGCGTCCAACCCCTTCCGCTAGACACTAAAGACCCAAATGCCATCTCGTGTTTCATGACACTGGATTTGACTTGCCTCGCGCCTATGCGTACCTAATGTGGACGTGGTGGACCTACACTAGCCTGCGCCTTGCTTGCAACCATTCGTATCTTTGTTGAATACCTATGCATGAGTTGTTGACGCTCTCATGCCCACCACCACCAACACCACGACCGCCACCTCTTCCACCTCCTCTCTCACAACATCGTAATCGCATCCGCATCCACCCCAAACCTCCATCTCACGACTTTACTCTTACGGCCCCACGACCTTCAACCTCGTCTCGCCCGAGACCTCACCCCTCGCCTCAAACCCACCCCTCCCTCCTGCAACAATCGACGATCTTGACATGCAGAGTCCCAGCTGAGATATTCGCCCAACTTCCTGGTCTGTGACTGCGGTGAGCATTTGCCTGCTTGCACCTTGTCTCATGCAGTCGTCCCGACCAGCCAAACACTCGTCTGTCTCGAGGTCCAGACACCCATAAACGCCCTCTCCTCGCTCCATCTAAGCATGAGTGAATCAACATACTCGTCCTTCCGGCCCAACCCCTTCAAGTTTCAAACCTCAGACGCGCAGAGCACAAACAACCAACCCCCACCGCAATCATGGGAAGACGATCGGTTCCTAGTGACACCTCCCATCCAGACTACTCAAGTCAATCCACTTGACCAAGCCCTGACGGAACAAAATGTACATGCTTTTCAAGCCAACCAACAGGCCTCCGCTCGAAATGCCCATATCAATGTGGCGCCTTCAAGCTGGCGAAATCTGTCGGGTCAAGACTCCTCATTTTTGCTCAACGGACTTCACATTAAGACCGATGTCGAGCAACCTCAAAGATCCTACTCAACTACTTCAGTTGACTCTGACACCCGGCTACGAACCAGCGCGTCAGCTTCGAGCCTACCTCGTCGGGCCCCGAGTGTACGGGCTGTCCTCCACTCCTCCGCCGGCTCCGTTTCCCCCGGGACCGCCATTTCTTCTCCTCAGATTGCCGCCATGCTCGATATCACTCCCTTGCCCTCTCCCACCATGGCGTCCATCGAAAGTTGGAAGCCGATTTCCAAAACCAGGTCTCGTGGCTCCTCCACTGCATCCTTGAAAGTAGAGACTGCGCCGGCCTTCTCGACCTCGACTTTTTCTCCCGGCTCCCCACGACGCAAGTACTATCACGGGCTGCAGTCACCCACCACGAGATCAGGGAGCTCCGATAGCCAGCACCTGTCGGGAGAGGACCTTCGCAACAGGAGCGTCAGCGAATATGTGCCCGAAGCTCTAGCGGTACAGAAACCACGAAATATCGTGGTCTCGACGTCTGCCCCACGTGTGGAGACCACAGCATCTACTGTGATGCACCGGGAGGAATATCTAGGCGAACAACGAGGAATTGTAAAGGCAGACTCGCTGCCGACAGCGACAGAGACCGACAATCTCCATGACGTTGATGTCACTGTCGACGATGCACCGGCGGCAAAGCGGCCCAAACTAGAGGTATTCCACGCGAGAAGCTTAGCCACAGGCGAGCCGCGATCCTATGAAGCTTTGCGACTACTGGGACAAGGAACTTTCTCCAAAGTGTACTTGGCTGTACGACAGGTAAATGATCGAAAAGACAGCGTCGACTATCGCCAGGACAGTGTCAACATGGCCGGAGTCAGGGCTCGGTCTCGACGGCTTGTAGCCGTCAAAGTTGTCGAGCACGGCCCGGCCGGCGGAGCTGATGCAGACCGGATCGAAATTGGCCTGAAAAGAGAGGTCGACATTTTAAGAGCGATCCAGCATCCGTCTCTAGTTCATCTCAAGGCTTTTGGACACGACGGCACAGCGAGAGCGATGCTAGTCATGAATTATTGTCCCGGTAACGATCTGTTCGAAGTCGCCAGCAAGCACCAGGACGTTCTTTCACCGCCTCTGATTCGTCGTATATTCGCCGAACTGGTTTCGGCAGTTCGATACTTGCATCAAAAGTTCATTGTTCATCGTGATATCAAACTGGAGAGTAAGACTCTTCCCTTGAAGGAAATGATGTTTGATCGTAGCTGACCAATCTTAGATGTATTGCTCAACATACCGGTCCGTGTTCATGCCGATGTCTCCGACTGGCAAAAGCTAGATCGAGCAGTTGTCACATTGACTGACATGGGATTATCACGGCGGATACCTGAACCGCCCGACAGTCCACTCCTTACGACAAGATGTGGAAGCGAGGATTACGCCGCGCCGGAAATCCTCATGGGACAGCCTTATGACGGGCGTCAGACAGATGCATGGGCATTGGGTGTTCTTTTATATGCCTTGATGGAGGGCCGACTGCCTTTCGACCCAGTTCCCGGGGCCCGTGGAGATCCTGCAGTTCTACGGGCAAGGACACCGCATCGTATCGCGCGATGCGAATGGGCCTGGGTCAAGTATGGCGATGAGGATGGTGATTGGGACAATAACAAGGGAGCAGAATTATCAGGGGCACGGGAATGCGTCGATGGGTTATTGAAGCGAAATACACGACGAAAAGCATTGAGCGATATCCGCGAATTGGACTGGGTTCAGAACGGGATCCAGGTGGATGGTGGCCTTCGATGGGTTGAGGAAGAATCCTTGTGAACAGGGGAAGGCTTTGGGAAATGCGACGTGCAGCACAACCAAAGCAGGGGTATGCGCTGTTGATGGATGATCATGAATAACTATGGATGTAACATAAGCCAAGGACTTGTTTGAGTACAACAAAGGATCGGTGATAGCGAAGTTGTTATTACTATACCAGAGACAGATTGATTGAGTAGCTTGGGACACATTTGAGATGTGCGATCAGCCGTCACTTGACGGTGCATTACGGTGCTCTACAATGACAGGGGTTTTGCCTTGTAGCTGGAGTTATCATTGTACATATTCCAGGTCTCGCTATTATTGATTTCTCTGCGTATGATAGTGTACAAGTAACAAGCATATCCGATATGCTTGTTCCTTTTCTTAGGCTATTTCCAGCGCCGGAGTTGAACATCCCTCCGCGATCCAATCAGAAATTTGAAATGTGATGATTGGCTCCTGCGCTGGTCCCCGCAAGGTTTCCGGGACGTTGATTGGCGGAATGGCAATACCATTGCGCTCCTGCTCCTTCAGTGATTCCACACCAGAAATTTCCCCAGATCATCTTCTCTCTCGACCGACCCTCGAACTTCCACACTAAAGTGCTTCAAGGTTTGTTGACCGAGGCAGACGATGGAAGTATGACTCAAGGCTCCTCATCATATGCTTTGAGGTCATAGTGTTCCTCCGTCTATAAACCAGACTTCGATACCTGGCCACCGCGCTCGACGAGCTCCAGCTCTTCGACCCTCACACCTCTCCATTCTACCCGGTAGAAAACACCGAGGTCCCAATCCTATCTCTCCAGGCAATTCTGGCATCATGTCGCCCTCTGCGGCTGTCAGAAGTCTCAGTCTGAGACAAGCAAAGAATCTCCTCTGCGCTCGCTCAGTGTATGCTCTTCTCTTCCCTTCCCATGGTGACAGCACCCATGACTGACCGCGTGCAGACGCCCATTCTCCTCCTCATATCCTTGCCGAGATGATTCGACTTCCGAGACCCGAAATTTCAACAAGGTGTCTTCAAAGATCACCCAATTCAAATCCCAGGGTGCTTCACAAGCCATGTTATACGGAACTGGATTGACCGAGGAAGATATGAACAAAGCCCAAGTGGGCATTTCTTCGGTGTGGTGGTCGGGCAACCCTTGCAATATGCATCTCCTCGACCTTTCGAACATTGTCAAAAAGGGCGTTGCCGATTCCGGTCTGGCTCCTATGCAGTTCAACACAATTGGCGTTTCGGACGGTATCTCGATGGGAACTACTGGCATGCGCTACAGTCTGCAGTCGCGAGAGATCATTGCCGATTCGATTGAGACCGTCATGCAGGGTCAATGGTACGATGCCAACATTTCTATTCCCGGTTGCGATAAGAACATGCCTGGTGTCATTATGGGCATGGGTCGTGTCAACCGACCGTCGCTCATGGTTTATGGAGGTTCAATAGCCCCCGGTTGTGCGGTCACCCAGAACAATGCCGACATTGATATTGTGTCGGCCTTCCAGGCGTATGGACAGTTCATCACTGGCGAGATTAATGAACAGCAGCGATTTGATATTATCCGTCACGCTTGCCCTGGTAGCGGTGCATGTGGGGGCATGTACACTGCCAACACCATGGCCTCTGCCATTGAGACCTTGGGCATGACTCTTCCCGGCTCATCTTCCAACCCTGCAGTGTCGAGAGCGAAACAACTCGAGTGTCTTGCCGCCGGTGGTGCGATCAGAAACCTTCTCAAGCTTGACCTACGACCACGCGATATCATGACTCGACAAGCTTTCGAGGACGCCATGGTAGTGGTCATGATCACAGGAGGTTCTACCAATGCTGTGTTGCATCTTATTGCCATGGCTGATGCTGTAGGCATCAAGTTGACCATCGACGATTTCCAAGCAGTGTCAGATCGAACTCCTTTTCTGTCTGACCTGAAGCCTTCTGGCAAATACGTGTTCAACGACTTGCATGATATTGGTGGCATCCCCACACTACTGAAGTTCTTGATTAAGGAAGGTGTCGTCAAAGGTGAACACCGAACTGTGACTGGAGAAACGCTGAAGAAGAACGTCGAGAACGTGCCCGATTTCCCGTCCGACCAGACCATCATCAAACCATTCTCACAACCGATCAAGGAGACAGGCCATATTCAAATCCTGCGCGGATCACTCGCTCCAGGTGGTTCTGTGGGCAAAATCACCGGCAAAGAGGGTTTGAAATTCACAGGCAAAGCAAAGGTGTATGATGCCGAGGACGACTTCATCACTGCATTGGAAAACGGTGAAATCAAGAAGGGCGAGAAGACAGTAGTGGTGATCAGATACGAAGGCCCCAAGGGAGGACCAGGCATGCCGGAAATGTTGAAACCTAGCTCAGCGATCATGGGAGCTGGACTTGGCAAGGACGTTGCTCTGATTACAGATGGTCGGTTCAGTGGCGGTTCTCACGGATTCCTGATCGGCCATATTGTTCCTGAAGCGATGGAAGGAGGACCGATTGGATTGGTGCGTGATGGGGATGAAATCGTCATTGACGCTGAGAACCGAGTTCTGGACCTCAACGTCGACGAATCAACCCTTGTGCAGAGAAGGGAGGAATGGGCTCGAAACAAACCACAGCCCAGAGTATTGAGAGGAACTCTTGCCAAGTACGCCAAACTTGTCGCCGACGCCAGTCATGGTTGTATCACAGATCAAGAGGAGGCAGTCAAGGTACATTCATAAACAAGCGATCTGAACGTCTAGCTGTTTCGTCGGATGTTTCCTTTGGGTGGAAATCAGAGTCCAAAAATACAATGGCGCAGACATGGAGAAAAAAGTGAAATGTACCAGTCTATGGAGGAGTAGCTTTTTGGTGGTGTAGACCAGGATTTTCAGGTCTATCAAGTCATGTTTGAATCTGTACAGTACCTAGCTCTGCCTAGGTAGGTAGGTAGCATTGGCTAGAGTTGACTACTTGGCTGTGAATGCGTGGTGGCAGTGATGAGGCTTATTTGAACAACAAGTAATGATCATATATTTCCCGTTGGTAGTGACTAATAGTGTTTGTTCGTACGGCGCTCTATACACATATGAGTGATTATGATATCAATAAACTTCAACGGAACTCTAATAGAGTATGCAAGAGAGTGAGCATTTAGGCATCCACTACTATTCTGTCCGTATCCATCCACCCATGTCCGCGTGTGCTGTGCTTACCTATTAATCATCATCATCAGAGAGAGGATGTCGACATCTCCACCCCCGCAATTTATTAAAGACGATTGATTCATCCGTTCATCCATCATTGGAAAAGACCTCTCCTCTCCTCTCCTCTTTCATTTCATTTTCCTGTTTTCCTATTACGATTTCTTTTAAAGAATCTCAAAGCTCTACCCATAACCGAAGAAAAACTATATCCTCCTCCACCTCTCCACATCAAAATGCCCACCGCAACCGCCAAAATCGGCTCGACAGTCGTGGCCACCACATCCACATGGGAAACCGTCGAAGGAAATATTTACTTCCCACCAAGTTCAGTCGATCGAACCGTTCTATCTGATTCCAATACATCGACCCATTGTCCATGGAAGGGCGATGCTAGTTATTACAACATTACCGTGCCAGGTGGTAATACGGTGAAAGATGCGGCTTGGTATTATCCTCATGCGTTCGAAAAGGCCAAACATATTCAGGATTATGTGGCGTTTTGTAAGTGTTCATTCTTAGTATTCTCGATCTTGTCTTCCTGAGCGATGTGCTTCATTTATGAGTTTATGCTGATCTTGCAATTTTCTCTTTTTTCTAGATAAATCCAAGGTCGATGTTTCGGTGGCTTGAAATCGGGATAATCGAAGCCTGAGTTGATGGAATCTAAACAAGTCTGTCTTATTCCAGGTCACTAGGACTTCGAATTCATCATAGGATCAAAAACTAGTCGTCCAATAATGAGGAATCAATCCATTGATTTGGTATAGCACTGACTAAAACCACTCGACCCGTCACAATATCCTATCGTGCCTCTGCATTCATTCCCTATATCATCGCTTTTTCTTTGCGCTAAACGACTTCAATGGATCGATCTTGCCTTTTGCTTTCCCCACCTTTCTACCCTTATGCACCGACTTGGATCTGCGTTTTTGATCTTTTCGTTTCTCCTTGCCGTCGAGTTTCTTGAACCCTACATACCCAACTGACTCGGAATTCAACGCCTTGTTTCCTTGAGCTGGCATCAGATAGTCCGGCACATGCTTCAAATGTGTCTGATGTCGAACCACGGCGCCATGTTCCCCGTCGTGTCTCAGATGTCGAAGATCGTCTGGATTGTCTTCAAAGTGTTTTCTCAGTTTCTCACTCTTGACCAATTCTTGTCGGATTTCCCGGGCACGCGCCTCATGCACCGCCGCCCCCGTGACTGCGCGCAATGCATCGTTCATTCGGTAGCGGAATCCGTCGACTTGAGACATGTCGAACTGGTATGGTTTGACTTCATTGCCTTTCTTCGCTTGACGAGCAATGATCTTTTCGAGAACTCGTTCGTCATTCTTGGATCCTGGGATACTCGTGTGTCGGTGCTTGCCGAATTCATCTTTGGGTATCACAAACGACAAGGCCATGCCGGTTTTTCCTGCTCTTGCTGTCCGTCCAATCCGATGCGTGTATGACTTGGATGTGTGTGGGAGATCAAAGTTGACTACACAGGCCACATTTTGAAAATCAATGCCTCGGGAAACTCCATAGTCCTTTTCGTGGTTGGCGACTTTGGCTTTCTTTCGTGGCTGATCTTCGCCGTCATCCTCATCACTGAGCTCGTCGCCTTGGTCTGCTGTGTGCGAACTGGACGTCTTCTTCTGTTTCTTCTTCACCACACCTCCGAGAACTTCTTGGTCATCAGCCGCGATCAAGATATCATACATTCCCTTGTTGTATTCGTGGACAACATGTAATCTCGAGTTCACGGGCAACTCAGCGTTGAGCACGCATGACTTGATACCGAATTGTTCTAGGAAGAGCTTCAATCGGTAGCTTCGGTCGACGTCTTCGACAAATATCAGGCACTTTCCTCTGACTAATTTCAACTTGAAGACGACAAACATGAGCAGGAACTTGTCCTCTTCTGCGCATTTGACAACATATTGAGTGATGCCTTCACCCTTTTCTTCCTTGTCATCAATCTTGACAACCTGAGCATCTCGACAGAACAAGGTCTTTAGCTCTTCCACTTCTGGAGTCAAGGTAGCGCTGATGAGAAATGTTTGCACGCCTCTTGGCATCAAAGTGGAGATGTTGTTGATATCATCTTCGTAACCGTACGAAAGAACAATATCGGCCTCGTCAATGACCAGATGGCTGAGGTGCTCCAGAGAGAGTTTGCCTGAGTTGAGATACTGGCTGGCCCTTGCAGGAGTAGACACAACAACATCGGGAAAGTCAGAAAGTACGGCGCTCAAAACCGCATCAGCAACACGCTGTGTCAGGTTCAAGACCTGGACATCTTTGGAACAGAATGCAGCAAAGTTGGTGTACGCTCTGTAAACCTGATCCGCCAATTCCCTTGTTGGGACCAGAACCAATGTAGATGTAACCTTTTGCTTTGAGGTCGATGATTTTCGGCGCAGAATGGACTGCAAAGTCGGAAGGACATATGCGGCCGTCTTTCCAGAGCCTGTCTTTGACTTTGCGAGGATATCCTGACCTTCTAGTGCGAGAGGGATGGCTTTTGCTTGTACGGGTGTTGGAGTGGAGAATTCGGATTTTGCAATGGCTTGGATCAGGCGAGGGTCTAAGTCGAAGGATTCGAAGGAGGAGACGGGATTCTGGACAGGTTCATCGGGTTGAGAGGAAGGGACATCATTCTCATCAAGTTTGCGCTTCATCTTGTCGATATAAGGCTGATGCTTTGGAGAAATGAGAGAGACCTTTCACATTGACTCCAGAGTTTGAAGACTGCGGCATGGGAAAATATTCAGTGAGGCTTATGGCAGAAAAAGGCGGTGACGGGGAAATATTCAAGGTGGAGATCTGAATGCGGGCCGCGAGATCAGACTTAGATTCTGCTAACCGTTTTAGGTTCTAATTCTGGCGCTGCTTTATACAAAGGGAAATCCTATTACTTCTGTCCTATGGACGAGTCTATGCCCATATCCACGAGGAATAATTTCAAATAAAATATCTGGCCGTCTCTTCTGACGCCTGTGTCATGTCAAATACTAAGAGAAACCATGGTGCCTTTTCATATATATAGCCAGTGCCATCTAGTTCAACACGCCCGATAAAGTGTATATGTTTTAGGTGGTTATTGTGTACGCACAGGAGTAGAGAAATCGACACATCGATAAGGACGGTAGGCATGTTGGGTGACAGGCAATTAAAAGATATATGCACAGACATATACCCTATCTCCTCATACATTAAAAATGTAGGTACTCGTATGAGTCGGGGCGGAGTGGCTCCTGCCCTGCCTTGGCAAGCGATTTGGAGTACCGACATCCCTCCTTCCTCAGTAATAAAAAGTTTCTCCGCATCCAACGGGAAATTTTGATACGACGACACGAAACGACACCCAACCGCATGCCCTGCGTCCATGGCTGCAGTCACCATTATGGACCATCCTACACGGTTGAAGGGACCCTCCGATGCTAGGCGGCGCCCTGTCGTCGATGCAATTCCAAAGGACGATGTCGAATTGCGTCTCGAGAAGGCTCTATTTGGCGACGACCTCGGATTTCTAGATTCTCTCAAGAAGCGGGCCAGTGACGAGGATCATGCTTTGATCAGGCATCTGAGCCAGGACTTGGAGGCTTCTGGAAACGAAGAAGACGAAGGACTGAGTGATGTTCCTGACGAAAACGTATGGAATCCGACCTCAAACGTGTACCACGATCAATCTGACCAGTCTTTTAGCTCTTCTTTGTCGATACCAATACCTCGACCCTCCCAGCCTCTGTCACACGAGATCTTGAATCGACTGCCACCTTCAAGCATGATTTAGAAACAAAGGCGGCTTGGTATGACAGTGATGATGACCGCATCACCGTGTCGCTTGCTTCCAACACACGTCTGAGGAAACTGCGAGATAGTGAAGCAGATGATCTTGTTTCAGGTCGAGAATATATCGCACGGTTGAGACGGCAGTATGAAATACTCCATCCGGCCCCGGAATGGGTCAAATATGCCCGAAAAAGAAGGAGGATATCCCATGACGCACAAGAACGGGAAGATGATTCGGACACCTCTATGAGTGAGGATGACAACGACTCCCTAGGGTCCGCCAAACCCCTCGCCGAACTCTTGCGCACTACCGGACCTTTGACTCGAATCGACACATCTTCGAAAGACGCCACGTCTAGACGAATCCTACGACCAGAGGTAATTGATATCCAACGAACGAAGGATATCGCTAGCACTGGGCCCTCATCCATCGACACACTTCAATTTCATCCTTATTACCCTCTCCTACTTGCAGCCGGCCTCAGTTCGACAGTTACCATCTATCATGTCTCTCCTCATCCACCAAACCCCAATCCCATTCTCACATCCCTTCACCTAAAAGGGGCACCGGTACACACCGCCGAGTTCTGCCGCCCCACAGTATCTCCCTCAGAAAGCGACCCCCTCCACGATCAAACTCGCATCTTTTTCTCCTCCCGCCGTCGGTACTTTCACACCTGGTCACTGACCACAGGATCTATCCAAAAGATCACCCGGGCCATGTACGGGACTGCAAGACACAGCCAGAGGACCATGGAACAGTTCAAGCTCTCTCCAGATGGCCTATACATGGGACTCATCTCGTCGGCCAAAAAGGGCGGTGGCGCAATCAATGTGCTCGACAGTTCAACCATGCAGTGGGTCTGTTCATGTCGCATAGATAGTCGAGGTGGAGTTGCGGATTTCGCCTGGTGGAGAGATAGCAAGGGATTCGCAGTGGTTGGCAAGAATGGTGAAGTCACCGAGTACGACGTTGAAACTCGAAGTGTGGCCAGGAAATGGATCGACGAAGGGGCGGTCGGCACAACTGTGATAGCCCTTGGCGGAGACATGGGTTCACTATCGCGAAGTCGAGACGACGACAAGACCTTCACCGGCGGTGGCTCACGATGGGTTGCGGTGGGATCCTCCTCAGGCATTGTCAACCTGTACGATCGACGTGCCTGGATCGAAGAGGAAACCCTCTCATCTAACACTAAGCACAACCGGGTTTCAATCCTACCATCAAAATCAAGCTCGGTCCCCTCATTACCCACTGCATCAGGCCAATACCGACCAAAACCCCTTCGCAGTTTCGACCAGCTTACCACACCCATCTCTCATCTGGAATTCAGTGCCGATGGTCAAATGCTTGTCATGTCTTCACGATGGAAGAAGAACGCTCTCCGATTAGTCCATCTGCCAAGTGCTACGGTGTACAGAAATTGGCCGACCGACAAAACCCCGCTCGGCCGGATCAGTTCCATCGCCCTCAGTGTAGATGGGGGATATCTCGCCGTGGGCAATGAACAGGGAAAGATCCGTCTTTGGGAGATTAGAGCATAGTTTATAGAATGAGAATAAGAAATGGGTGAGGCTAGTCGTCTTATCCTGTCCTGAGGCGTAATTCACCCGATCCATTTCAATCAGGCAGATCTGAGCATGTCCACTCTCAATTTATTCAGACTACGGCGATGACGAAACTCAGAGTCTGAGTCACTTATTTTCAAAGAGAAACTTGTTGCATATTGCTCTGATTTGAATTCTCAGGCCTCATGATCTTGGTTCAAGGCTGATAAGCTCAATTCCAGCATCTATGATAAAACAAGAATCAATGCTGGAGCATTAGAATCAACTGCCATCATCTGCTAGTCTAGTTCATCTCATGCACTTGTGTGATGCCCATTTGCATCTGATCAGCTCTCACCGAGAAATCCCCTTCTTCCCAATTCTGTCTTCGAAGCAACTTGTCGGCATTTGTCTATCTCAACCCAGGCATGAATTCTGCTGCACCTCGATCCAAAGGGTAATGAGCCCCAAGTTGTGTCGCGGTCTGCGGTCTCTTCAAGAGACAGGGCGACGTAAGGAGAGCACAAAAAGCCGCAAAATTTAATTTTGCTGTCAATCTAATGCGAGGAATCGTCCCCCGAGGATTTATTTTGCTCTCGAATCTCTCATACTGTGAAATGCCGTGCTGAAGTCTTCATGCAATCGAATGTTTGGATTGCAATCTCCAATGATGTCAGAAATGACGAACCTCAGTCACTGTCGATATCGATCGTGTCAACCATATTGGTCAGAGGAGATGTATCATTGACCACAGGACGATTTGCGGCCTTCCATCGATTCCTGCTATTTGCGGGGTCACTGGGATCGCTGGAACGAGCAATATTGGTCAGTGCCTTGAAGAGAACAACACGGCAAGGATGGTCGTCTTTCTGAAGGTATTCGTCGAAGCGCGGGTTGGACTTGGCGTATTCACCATATCCCAGAGAAATAATTTCCCATGCGATCTGGTCTGCGAGATACATGACTGCAGGCGTCGCGTGGGTCTTTGGTGTGTCCTCCAGACGTCGAATCAACCATGTGAAATCTTCAAAGGTAGTACTGTATACCTGGTGATACTTTTGAAGGCGATCGATGATGCAGTCTTGAAGCGGGTCGATGGCGAACTTGAGGGCGATCAGATAGGACTTCAGCAACGTTAGGTAGTCGCGACGAGAAGTGGGCACCTCGGGTTCTCTGTTGTAGAGCCAGTTGACAATGAGCTCAAAAGCGTTGCGGTCGTAGATGGTTCCCTTGAGGTAGTAGTCGGGTGTGGTTGACATGCCGCCGAGGACGTCAGCCACCGAGAACGCTGAGGTTCGGCTCACGTCGGACAGACCAATGGTTGGTGATCTAGATCTTGCTTTGACGCCGCAATCTTCTTCCTTGATTTCTGGCTGTGAGACTGGGCCGCCTTCTGGCTGTTTAGACATTGACTCGGCTCTTGCAGCTTTTTGTTCAGCAGTGAGAGGCGGGCCACACAACTCGAAGAATTTGGTCAGCGACAAGGCTTTGACGTGGACGAAGAAGTCATGCTCCTCTGGGCCAATAGCAATATGCACGGTTGGACCCGTGTACAAGCTGATTTTCTGTCTTTCGGATCTGTCACAGCTGACGCTGGCCATGCCATTCCGGCTGGCAGCTGGAGATGGCCGAGGTGTAATTTGACTGCTGAAAGACATGATGCCTACAGGCTCAGAGATAAAACTCGTATGGAAGAGATAATCTAGGTTGTCGATCTTTCGACGAGTGTGGTCAGTGTGATCTTGAGGAATCGAGAGTGATTATTCCCTAATATTTCGAGATTAGATCTGAATGCAACAGCTATCACAAAGGCCGTTGATGAAGGATAGAACGAACCTTTGAAAGAAATGGAGATCCGTGATGAGATAGTCTCAGAGGCCAAGATCGATTGGATCAAGAAGTTGTCGAAAGTGACAGGGAGATGATCTTCAAGATCGGGGAACAAAGATGGAGGTGAGTGTAGCCGATGAAGACGAGTTTGAGAGATCCTTTGAGGAGCGTACTGATGGAGTGAACACTATGGATTTGAAGGTCAAAGAGAGGGTTTGTCAGGTTTATCTTCCTTCAGATGAGGGAAAACATGACTGAGACCGCCAGAGGGTTTTGTGAGTTTGTTAGCGGTTAAAATCTCAGAGGAGGTTGGAGCAGATTTATCTGAGGCAGCCTTCACATGCTCCAGTTCATTTCTGATCTTCTCACTGGTCTCTGCAGATAATTTCAGTGAATTGTCAATGTCCCTTGTCAATTTCTCGACCTCGTCATCCAATGCCTCTTGGCGAGTCTTCACTGGTTCTTGTTGTTTCTCCCTCTCTTCTTTGTTAGGATTCGTGCTTTGCCACAGCTGCTCCAGCTCTTCTCCCCATCCCATTACATCTGCAAACTTCCGAACACCATCGTCGCAATCTCCTAGCAGTAACACATCATCCGGTCGAGAACCGAGTGAGCCAACTCGTTCTAGGTTAATAAGCACTCGAGGGGTGTCTTCGCTAACAAATGAAGGCAGACTTGCAAACGGCTGGACTGTCAAGCTCGTCCCCATCACAATCGCTAGATCTGCCCGTGCTGGAAGAGATCGCTTCATGTGGAATGCCTCTGGTAATGCCTCTCCAAAGAATACAATATCCGGTTTGACCAGCCCATTACACTTTTTCCGAACACAGCGCGGGACTTCCTTCTTGCTGATGTTATCCTTCATGAGCTCATCTGGATATTCTGTTTGACAATCGATACACCTCTGAGTCGCAAAGGATCCATGCGCTTCGACTATTTTGTCTGCAGGAACACCAGCTTCACGTTCCAAACAGTCGATATTCTGAGTGAAGAGTTGCAACAACATTCCCTTCTGGTGGAGCAGGCTGATAAAGGAGTGAGTGATCGTTGGACGGTATTTCCCAGGATAGAGTTCGTGCGCCAGGGTATAGAACGGATGAGGGTTCGTTCTGAAGTAGGAGATGTCGAACACTGCCTCAGCATAGGGAAGGTTCAATCGCGCAAGGTTGGCATATAGGCCTGTCTCTGGGGACCTGAAATCAGGAATGCCGGCCGAAGTACTTATGCCAGCGCCTGTCTAAAAGTTCACATATACGTCAGGCCACAAGACTCGAGGGTGGAGTAGGATGAGGCTCACCATGACCACAATTTTCTTGACATCATTCTCTTTAATATATCTCGCCACTCCCTCCAAGTTTCGTGAGATCAGGCGCGACGGTGGAACAGATTCATCCACGGGAGTCGAGTTGTCGTTGCCCATTTTGAAATTTCCGCGACCTGCGCGCTGCGCGGCGGGATGGCGATCTCTGCGACGGCGGCCTATGGTTGCAAGTCAAAATAGAGGTGTTCGGCCTGCTCGTTCAGCGACAGAACCCGTCAGCGACACATAAACAAATCTCGCTGGTTTGGATATGTAGAGATTTTGTCACTTATTAGATAACATTAGGATCGCTCCTTCCCACTGCCCACTACCAACCCGACTTGCCCCACGTCATTTCTCCATCAGCGAAGCATATCAAACATTAGCGCACTACGGAGGATCAGTATCACCAGCCCCGCTGCCCCCTGGCACACATTTGATCAACTTTGAGCCTTGACCCAATGTACGCGAATTCATATCATCACAACTTTGTATTCGTGTTCTTGATTTGAAACATGATGATAGCCAACGGTCATGTCTCAGACCATGAGCCCGAAACGGATTCAGCCAGCATTTATAATGCGAAATCCGTGTCGGAGATTCGAGCCTCCTTGGCCCAGCTTCACAAACAAGAGGCCAGCGTGACATCTCAATTGGACAGTTTACTCAATGCTCAGAAAGACCTCCAAAGGGAACTCGGACGACTCGACCTATTTCGAGCTAATGCTACCACTCAAGCCTCCAAGGCGAGGAACATCAGCAATGGCATGCTCTCCGACGCCGCCGCCAATGCTCAACGCATCTCAAACTCGGTGCAGAAACTCGACCTGGAACAAAACCACGTCAAGGCTACTCTGACCGTGGTGGAACAGGTCGGTGAACTGAAAGCATGTGTTCTTGGTGTCGCCGGCTCGATGGGTGCCGCACAGGACTGGGAAACCGCTGCAAGTTATCTGAGCAGAGCTTCAAAGATTCCTCCTCAAGTCATCAACGGCGCCTTTGCCGCAAGAGTCGTCCCAACCGCCGAGGTACCAGACGCTCCAGCAGTCACTCTTGAGACAGCCTCGGAATCTCTATGTGGATTATTCTTGAGAGAATTTGAAAAGGCCGTCAAGGAGAATGACGGTGCCAGAATCACTCGATTCTTCAAACTATTCCCACTCATTAACCGTTCAGATGTCGGTCTAGACGTGTACGGACGATACGTGTGTCAAGGGGTCGCAAGTCGAGCCAGGTCCAATTTAAACGCCGGCACTGGAGGAAATCAAAGCAAAGAAGGCTTCTTCTATGCCAACGCCCTTACCAAACTGTTTGAACACATAGCCCAAATCATTGATGGACACGGTGGCTTAGTGGAACATCATTATGGCCCAGGCAAGATGGCTCGAGTTATAGAACGTCTCCAGACCGAGGCAGACATGCAAGGCGGCATTATCCTCGACACCTGGTCTGATGAAAGAAGAATAGACCGCCAACTTACCGACGTTAAGTCCTACGCGTTTACATTCTTGGTCCAAAGTTTCATGTCCTCTCAACGACCCACGTCAGGTACACCACGGGCAGGTTCACCAGCGCCTGGGAGGTCAAGCGAGGACGAATCAGTCGATATGAAACAAGTCGATGCCCTACTCAACGAAATGACCATGATGCTCGGAAAATGGTCCTTATACACACGATTCGTCACCAACAAGTGTCGACTACCGTCAGATGAAAACACCTCGACACCAGCCTTTTTGACCAACTCCAGCCTGATGAAGAAGATTCAAGACCGGGTGCTAGCACCATTCAACGTCATGACGACCTTCTTCTTCCGCCGATCCGTCGAGAAAGCGTTCCAGCTCGATGAGCAACCGCCAAACCTTTCCTTGAGTCCCCATAAGCCACTCAATTCCAACCCACCTCACGTGAGCTCCGCCATCGAAGACATCATGTACATTGTCAACAAAGTCCTCCAGCAATCACTGGCGACCTCGCAACCCGGCGTCATTTCGTCAGTTCTACCAGCCCTGTCACGAATCCTAACCTCAGACTTCATCGGCATGGAACAACGCAAGATGCGAGACGAATCATACCCCAAAGCTGCGATTCAGGGACAACTCCCACCAGAAGCCACAATTGTGTCTTTCTTGGTCCTGGTCAACAATCTCGACATTGCCAAAGACTACGTCTCTCAAATCGTCCAAGCTCGAGTCAATCCTATAGCCGGCTCGAACCAGCAGCCGCTCTCCGATCTATTCCCCGACCCAACCGCTACGGCTGCCGTGACAACGGCTCTACAATCACTTTCCACAACGTTTACAGAAAAGGCCAACGAATTGATCTCGGACGGCGTCAACGTGTTGTTCCACAATGTGATGAAACCGCGGCTACGGCCGATCCTGATGGACGCGTTCCGCGACACCGACTACACGCTGACCAAGGATCAATTGTCTGACCTAGCGCATGAAATGACCGGTGAAATGGATGTCGATATTGACGAGCACGACCCTTTTGCCGATGCAGTTCGTATGCGCTTCCAACTTGGCTGGGACGCTCTGACTCGGCCGATTTCGCGTATCATGACAGAACGGACCTTTGACACCCTGCTCACTATTGTGGTCACCTATCTGAGTAAGATGCTGGAGAAGAGGTTATGGACTTATCAGGGCCGTGTCAACGACGTGGGTGCAGCCCGTTTGGAACATGATGTCAATGAAATTGTCAAGGTCGTCGTCAAAGCCCAGAAGTATAGCTTCCGTGAGAGTTTCCTCCGCTCCACCCAGATCTGTATGATTCTCAATATGGATGAGGATGAGTGGGAGGCTACATTGGAATCTGGTGGAGAGGTGGCTGACAAGTTGAAGCCCGAAGAGAGAATCCGCGCTCGGAATATGCTCAAGGACAATGCCATATAGATCACGTCTACAAGAAATCATCAAATTTCTAAAAGGCGTGCAAAAACACATTTTTGAAACCTTGTTTTGTATTTTTGAGTGAATAATATGGGTCATTTCTTCGTGCCACTGTTCACGCCCGGGACACAAAGTAGATACCCATTTGGAATACGCCAGCTCCTCGCCTTTCAGTTGACCAGGGTAGCATTCCATGGCTCTCATCTCTCTGTTGACGAGCAAGCTTGACTCAAGCTCTCGCATCCCCACTTTGATCCGAGTCGACATTGCCCCTGCCCCACCACTCAATACAACGGACTAAATCTATGCACGAGACATGACACCCCAAGCACGAATCTTGTTGTCAGTGTAACCAGAGAACAGAGTTTGGCCATCGGCACTCCATGCCAAGCTGACGGCATAGGGTTCCTGGGACTTCTTGCCCTTCTCGACGTATTCGGGCTTGAGCTCATCAACCTTGCTCTTCTTCTCCAAATCGAAAATGGTGATGGAGGAAGAAGTAGCAGCGCAAAGCCAGTATCGGTTGGGGGAGAAGACAAGGGCGTGGATCTCATCTCCAGCCTGGAGAGAGTAGAGGTGCTTGGACTCGTTCAAGTCCCACAGCATGGTGGTACCGTCCTTACCGCCTGAGGCGCACAGGGAACCATCAGGAGAGATGGTGACAGTGTTGATGTAGCCGGTGTGTCCGATGTGGTCGGTTTGGATGCGGCAAGAGGCGAGTTCCCAGACCTAGAAAACCGAGTTAGTCCTGGCTGAGACCCAATAGAAATTGAGAGATCGTGGTAGAGATCGCAGAACCATGCCTCAGTTCTAGGTGAATAATTGTCTCATAGCCTCAAGGCTCTGAAGTAGCAAATACAATTGGTGTAGCATCTTGGGCATGCATGGGGTGTGCTGGGGGCCATCTTACCTTGACCAACTTGTCCCAACCAGCAGAAACGATGACGGGGTTTTGAGGGTTAGGGGAGAATCGGACGCAAGAAACCCAGTCGGTGTGTCCCTTGTCGGTGATGGTGAATTTGCAGTCTCCCAGAGTGTTCCACAGCTTGATGGTTCGATCTCGAGATCCTGAAACGATTTGTCTGTTATCGGCAGAGAAAGAGACGGAGAGGACGTCGTTGTTGTGTCCAACGAAGGTTCGTGTGGTATTGCCAGTGGAAAGCTCCCACAGTCTCAGAGTCTTATCCCAGGATGAAGACAGAGCATAGGCACCGTCGGAGGAGATGACACAGTCGGAGACAATGTGTGAGTGACCGTGGAGGGATCGCTTGGGATAACCGTAGGCAGACTCGTCGCGGGTCAAGTTCCAGATGATAAGAGATTTATCTCTGGAGCCAGAAAGGAGCATGTTGGGGCTGGAAGAAGGGCTGTTAGCGAAGTTGCGCCATGACACTCGAGGATGGCTTTACTGACTTTTCCAGGCTGGTAGCGAGACTGGTGACCCAGCCGCTGTGACCCTCAAGGGTACCACGTTGAATGAGTTGTTCAGCCATGGTGCTTGAGATGGTTGATGTGAGTGAGAGGTGGGAGGATCAAAAGGTAAAGGCCTGGACGACTTGACGATTGCGGTCTCCAAAAGTCGCACTTTCCTGCAGCAGAGTGTGTGAAATTCAAAAATCTTGGCGTTTTCCACGAGTCGCCGCTTTTTGCCAAGGCTGGATCGAGGTAGGTGTGCCAGGTGGACTTAAGGGCAGCACCACTTGCCCACCAGGCTTACAGTACTTTTACTATGGAGTAGGTACAAGGACAAATACGTAGGAGTGCCACCAGGTACTTTGAGCCTGTAGCTTCAACCTAGAGCTTCATGCTCTGGTGACAGTCTTTGCATCTCTGAACTAATATGTAGGGATGAGGCCCGACCTATAGGCGTTTCCTTGGATATCCCAATACTTTTTATTAGAAGCGGCCTTACTGAAACTTTTCTTCGAGACTGCAGACGTTTTTTGAAGGATAGATATACTCCGTAAATGACAATAACGGTCCAGAAGACATCGGATGGTAGGTCACGTGACAGAATACTTCTCCCAAATTGGCTGCTGCCGATTGGAGATTCTGCGACTCGGCGCGGCGATGATGTCAAGATGATTTTAACTGTTGTTCAACTCATTCCCCCTCGCAACCTCCTCAATACCTCGACCCTCTGTGACATCCTCTCCCTTTTCCAGATCCCTGTACAGTCAAGTCTTACAAGATGAATCCCACACGAGTTCTTCAGCGGTCTTTGGCAAGGTCCAGCTTGGGCTCTTCAATTGCTCGCCGGGGCATTTCCACCTCTACAGCACGATTCAATGACCGAGTTCATTCCAATGCAGCAGAATATCGAAAGGATCAGACCGAAAAGGCTGATAATCCACATATGACCAACACAAATTCGGCAATCACCAACGACATGCCCTCGGTTGGCTCTGACAGTGCTCCTCCAGAATTCCTCAGCTCTGTCGACCCCAAGTTCGTCCCCCAAGACAAACATCCCGAGAATACGAAAAGAATGACGGGAGGAACACAAGAAAGCAACCCGGACAAAGTAAGCCAGTCCGAGTTTGGTGTTGGTGAAATGGAGGGCATTTCGTTTCGAGTTGAGCCTTTGAAAAGAACCGGAGAAGACGTCACCACCATGAGAGCAAGATTATTATGTCCGTCCTGCATTTACCCTTGAGTATAATCACAAAACGATTGGATGATGGCAGTACTGACAAGATGACCCCTGCAGACCAAAGCCGGAAACGAGGCACGTTAGAATCCGATCTCCTGCTTTCCACATTTGCTGCCGCGAATCTTTCCAACATGAATAAAGAACAACTACAACAATACGATGCATTTCTTGACGAAAACGACTGGGACATATATTACTGGGCGACGCAATCACCGGCTGGATCACCTACATCTTTGGAAACCGCTGAAGGGAGTGTCCAAAACAAACCGAATACGACGCAAGAGAGCAGCTCCACTCCAGCACAAACCCAACAGACGGACGCTTGGAGGCAAGGAGCACCTCGCAGTGGAGAGTGGGCGCAGACTGTTGGTGCTTTCAAACCTGCTTATCGACCAGTACCTCAACGCTGGAAGGAAAGTGAAATCTTGAAGCTGGTCCGCAAGCACGTCAAGGACCGAAGTGCGGGAGGAGTTTTGAATATTGGTGCTTCAGACAAAAACGCGGGCGGCGGTGGACTCGGCAAAATGCCTGAAGTCCAAACATTTGAATGATGTTGGCAAAAGTCACGTAGCTTGAGTTCGAGCTTGCCATGGACCATACCTGTACCATTATCAATCACTGCTATACCAACTCCTCAATGACGCGCGCACGCGTTTGTGGCTGATGTTCATCCACGTACTCAACGATCATTACAATTGGAGCGCGGACTATCCGCCCACTGGGTGATTGCTAAACATTTGCCGAATCAGCCGTGAGATCGCCATAGTTCACTTAAGTGACGCTCACTGAACAGATGAGATGAATTGTCAGCATTCGTAGACATCCATGACAGCACCCAATCTGATGCCAGAGTCGTTGTTGGGTCTCGTACACGTTCTTGGTCAAGTACGATGGATGTGATGTGGTGCACATAAGAATTTATGCGTCAAGTACGACGTCCCACTTTTCCTCCACTTCTGTCGCTTTTTTCCCTCTCGCAACCACCAGCAATCGCCTTTCCCTGCCATCCATTCGGGCTAACCCCCTGCTAATTGCCGGCCACAATTCCCTAGATTTGATCCAGATGAAGGCTTCTTTGCTCTAGCTGCCGGCATCCCGTCGCATTCAAGCAAGAGTAACTTACTTGATACGCCCGTCCTCGAGGCACTTACGGAGTACGCAGTACTGACTTAAGCATCTGCCCCACATGGACTGCCTATCTTGACGTGGAGACGTATGCAGATTTCCAACAAAATGACAATCGAGCGACTTCGCATGCTACTGTTCGCAGGCATGTTCGACATCCATTCTCACAAGAGATAAATATATTATTTTCTGTGGCATCTCGTTTATTTGACCCGCGGCCATACTGCTGGTTCCCTTGTGGTATGAATCCCATGATCCAGCATCAGCATCAAGGTGGAAGCTGTTGTCTCCCTGAATTCTGTTAGTAGGCGAATCGGCGTTTTCATTTCGCCAGTGAGTCATTACTCAGACTTTGGATGAGAAGAACGCAACAATGAGTTCCTTGGGCACGCCAGCCGGCGCAGCCGATACAGCCAGTCCAGCTCCTCCTTCCAGGCGACTTTCAGAAACGGATTCTCTGGTCCCAATTACTACCACCATAAGCCATAGAACATTGAGTCTGCACCCCACTAGATCTTGCTACGATGGACATAGCTATCACCGTGATCAAGAAGCCGACGCCGACAGTGGCTCGCCTCCAGATGTCGATGGTCAAGAGTCTTCAGAGAAGAGCTTCATGGTCACCGGCTTCGATGGCCCTGATGACCCAATGAATCCCAAGAACATGAGTGTTGCGCGAAAGTGGCTTATTGTGATGACTATTGCTCTGGGATCCCTGTGTGTCACGTGCACATCCTCGCTATATACAATCACATATGGTAAGAACTGCTGCGATTCTGATTCACCGTGTGCCCGAGCTGATAACTGGTGTAGACCAGATGAATCCCGAATTTGGTATCTCACGGCTCACTGCAACACTGGGTCTGTCGTTATTTGTTTTTGGTCTAGGGATTTCGCCCATGGTTCTAGGCCCGCTATCCGAATTTTACGGCAGACGACCTATCTATATCCTCGCGTATCTCTTCTTCACCATCTGGCTTATCCCCTCGGCAGTTGCAAAGAACATCGAGACCATGTTGATCGCACGTTTCTTTGACGGCCTCTCGGGAAGTGCGTTTTTGTCGGTGGCAGGCGGCACGGTGGGTGATATGTTCACTCGAGACAAGCTACAGGCGCCCATGATGGTTTACTCGGCAGCGCCTTTCCTTGGTCCTAGGTATGGTGTTGCGCCACGCCAGGAGATAATCAGTACTAACTGTCGACAGTATTGGCCCCATAGTGGGCGGATTTATCAATCAGTATGCCAGTTGGCGTTGGTCATACTATGTGCTCATTATCTGGTCGGGCGTCATGCTCATCTGCATGATCTTCCTGGTGCCAGAGACCTACATGCCGGTTGTGCTGCGGAACAAGGCAAGGAAACTTCGAAACGACACGGGAGACGACAGGTGGAAGGCTCAGATTGAAGTGCACGAAAAATCCGTCGCCATGACAGTGCTCCGATCACTTCCACGACCTTTCATGCTGTTGTTTATGGATCCCATGTGTTTCAATCTCTGTTTGTTCACGTCAATTGTGCTGGGAATCCTTTATCTGTTTTTTGGGGCTTTCCACCTCGTCTTCCGAGAAGTCTACAATTTTGAATTATACCAAATCGGCCTCTCCTTCGTCGGCCTTTTGACTGGAATGCTGATTGGCATCTTCTCGGATCCCATCTGGCAATGGAACTACAGGCGGCTACTACGAAACTACGAGGCCAAGACCGGCGAGCCAAAATCCGAACCAGAATTCCGGCTCCCTCCAACCATTAGTGAGTCTATCCTATATCTAGAGACAGCCTCGATGTCAACATTTACTGACCAAATCCCCAGTCGGCTCATGGCTCTCCGTCAGCGGACTGTTCATGTTCGCGTGGACCATTTACTCCAGCGTTCATTGGATTGTGCCTGAGATCGCCATTGCCATGTTTGGATGCGGCGTCATCCTCATCTTCTCGGGAGTCTTTACCTTTCTCGTCGAGGCATTCCCATTGTACGCAGCCAGTGCTCTGTCAGCCAATTCGTTTGCTAGATCATCCTTTGCGGGCGCATTCCCATTATTTGGGGTACAAATGTACCGAAAGCTAGGATTTCATTGGGCCACAACGCTGCTGGCTTTTTTGACCCTGATGATGGCACCGTTTCCTTACATCTTCTTCATCTACGGCAAGAGACTCAGAGCCAAAAGCAGGTTTAGTCCGACCCCGCTTTGAACCAGTATGGAGAAAGTTGCGACGACGGGAGAATTACTACGACTGTATAAGATGGGCCGGGGCCCCAAGAGCTTGGTCTGATACTGATTCTTGTCACGTTCAAGACCATGTTCGAGGATCACGTGATAAGCATATCTTCCGGACCCCAAGAAAACCCGAGGGGGAAGCGACAGACCCGCGACTAAGCGGCCCTTGTTTTTGGTCCAGCTTCGGTTCAGAGATCATTGGATCAAGGACAGGCGAGTGTAACGCAATACAGGATTCACCGGGTACCTGCAATGCGGCATGGCATGTCTCCGAGGTGGCCAGCCGCGACATGATTGATGGCGAGAATCGGTACAAGGATAGAAAAAGTTGGATAGTGTACCATTCAAGGAGGACCATTTCTGTCTCGCATGGACTGGATGTTTGTGATATGGGACTTGCAAGACATGACAATGGGTGTAGGAGCCCCCGGAGCCCTACCGCGGAGGAACCGGCCCGGGTGAATCGAACAGGCTATGGCCAAGCAGAAAAGAGCGAGCGACATGCGGTCAGGGACACATTGAAGCGGTTTACATTGGAATCATGGGCGGACCTGGCCAGGCAGGATTGAAATGGTTGTGAAACAGTGGACATGCTGCGGTGAAGCTTGTCGCTTGTCGCTTGTCAGTCTAGCATCGAGCTGGGTGAGTAAGAAGTTGACAGGCATGGGCTATTTGGCTATTTGGCTATTTGGGGGTTTAAATGGTGTTCGAAGCTCGGTGTCGGTGTGAGGACGTTTGTATTATTGTTTATTTTTATTTTTGTTACCATAAATACACCAACTAAAACATGGAACTGTACGATGTCATGGTCGATGCTAGACTAGGGCTACAGTTCTGCTTCTCTGACTCTGTTTGCTTACTCTGGTCATCTGTGCATTTGCCGAGGTTTTCCGGTCACGTCGGAAGAATCCGGGCAGCCTCGTACCAGGCTAGCCCATACCCGAGGCGCCATGATTTTTGCCGCTGTTCCCTCGGACTCTTGGGCAACGACCACGGCGATGAGAGCGGACATAAACAGACATTTGATAGGCAGGCATCTAAGGACAGGGTATGTATTTAGTCAAGTGGTGGTGATGGCGGTGTTGACGGCGGTGTTGACGGCGATACTGGGCATTTGATGGAGGCATTTCGGTGTTTCCTCTACCAGGGTAAGTCAGGATCGGTAGTCACTAGAATAAGTACTCCGTACTGTAGGGATCTCCAGACGCCTAAGCTCGGCAGGATGGAGAAATGGATAAATCGCCAATCTTCCCGTCGATATTTGACCTTTGGATTAGACCAACCAGAATGAATAGGATTGGGGGGCCTAGAATAATCATGTCAGAGTAATAGTTACAATGATCGTCAAAGGTGCTATACTGGCGTTCATAGGTACTCACATACTGTACCTACCTCCGTACACACCTAGGTCATGCATAGGCGTAGTCATTCTTTGACCGTCACAGACCCAGGCTGACGGTGGTGGCTGATGGGAGCTCTTTAGGCGTCATTATTGGTGGCAGTCTCGAGCTCTAGGGCGATGTTAGTGGCGGCTGGCTAGCAGGGATGGCCCCTCGGCCCCTCCATTCTTGCTCATTACAGGGCTCTACGCACTACGCACTACACTCCTACCACCTGGAAGAATCGAATACGAGCAGCGCCCTGCTCCTGCGGCCGGTGGTCGCTGACAATTCGGTGCCCAATTTGTGGGGTTTCCTTTGAGGATGTGCCGCGGCTCACTCACCTTAGGGTCTTGGTCTTGACGCCTCCGGATACAGATCAACTACCCTTGACTCGCTTCAAGAACTGTAGTATGCCAGTACGTACGCCCTGAATCCATGAGGAAATAATAGTCTTTGACGGCGCAATATCCTGGAAGAGGGTGTGAAATGGTGTGCAAGCTGCAGCCAAGTCCCCGGGTCCTCTTTTGCTGTCGTGTTTGAATTTATTAGGGCATTCTTACTGAAAGTATGGGGCTTATTAAGGTGGATGGATGGATGAACAACTCAGGCCGTTAGGGGTCGCAGGGTCTACGGAGTAGTGCGCAGCAGCGCTCGCATCAATATAGTGCCCCGCCTGGCGCCCGTCCCAGGTGCAGGTGCAGGTCGAGGGGTCCCCAAGGCGTCCTGGGCTTCAAGTAAAGTAAGTGACCAACTAGCAACTAGCAACTAGCAACTATTTAGTGTCGGTAGTCGTCATCGAGGGAGATTGATCAGAGCCACCGAAAAATCTTTTCTTCTGTCCTGCTTCATTCTCAAATTTAAAAATGCAATAGTGATTTGCATCCCCATACTCTCTTTGGGAAAGACAGAAGCTTGCTATCTTCAAACGCAGGCACCAGTTCTCAATTGACAAGTTCCAACCTAACAGCCTCGTGCGTCTCTCGTCTCCACGAGGCGGCACGCCCAGTCTCCACAGCCGCCTGTTTGGTTCGATCCATTACTCAACCTCGGATCCAGTGGCACGAGCGGTCTTGTCATGTGTATGCGTACCCAGAGTCCCTAACCCATGTGAGCAGGTGTCCCCGTGGGTCCGAGGGGCCGAAGAGCCACAGAGCCCAAGAACCAAGAACCAAGAACCAAGAGAGCCCCTCAGCCTCTGCTTCTCTGTTGCTCATCCCCAGGCGTGACAGTGCCAGGCTAACTAAGCAACCCCCCAGTGACCCCCTCTACGCATAGGCCAGACATCCACTCGTCCTGGCCTTCGACCTCGTCTCTCCCCATCGCCATCCCCTCCACTCGGCTCCCGCCCACTCCTGGTCCGTCCAGACTGACTGCAGACGAATACTAATCCCGCAACCCCTGTTCGCCTCTGCCTCTGTGACGCCTTGGACTTGACCTCCCCCGTGGTTGCTGGCTGGATCGCTGGTCACTGCGAGCCCGCTGTCGGCCTGCCAGCCAGTTGCACCTTGCGCCTTCCAACCTTGCAATTCGCACCTACCTACTTTTACTCCGCATTCTGCACCTGCCTTTTGCCCGCACTTGCGCAACTCACTTTGGTCACCACCTCCACCATCATCACCACCACCACTACCATTACCACCTCGTCTCCTCCACCTCACGTCTCCAGCGACGCCTTGGTCGCGTCTCTCCTCTACGACACATCTACTCATCCTGTCGCATCCCGTATGCGCCAATCACCCTGGCACTATCCTATTCATTACCACCGTCCTCGCCGAGCTAAGCCCTCGTGCGTCCTCTAGTGCTCGAGTGATGACTCGCACTTTTCACCTCTGAAATACATGGTCCTCATTACGCCCAAACCCTCTCAACCTCATCCCCCGAGCCTCCTACAACGATACGCTGTACCAGCATCAGCTTGTCCCCTTGTCACACATTCACCACGTCGCACAACATCCCACCTCGGTCGTCGCACCTTGCTGCGCCCACGTTCAAACCACCAACCAATACTCCAGTATCCTACCACGACCATACCACAACTCCACTCCTGCCTCGAGGCATAAAACGTCGGTCCTTTCACCCATCTACCAATCATCCTGGTCTATCCAACTATCCCTGCTGTCGGTACAAGTCTGACAGTCACTGTTGCACCGCTGAGCATCCCACCACCACCCACCACCAACAAGCTTGCTTTTATGGGCTTTCACTTTCGGCCCATCTTCCACCCAATCCCGCATTCGTCACTCACCGGTGTCACTTTTGGTCTCTGTACATGCAATCTTGCATCCTGAATGACTGAGCGAAAACCCCACTCCTCTTGATGCACTGGCTATAATAATCATCCATCATGGCGGTATCAGATAATGAGGATGATCGCTCTCGTTCCGGTTCGCCAGACGAAAGTGGAAACGAACGACCTACCGGGAATGGTAACATGTCTGAAGTCTCCAAAGATCAGAAGCCAAAGCAGAACGGCACCCCGAATGCAAAGGATCCGTCGCGACCACGACGGAAGAAGGCTCGGAGAGCTTGCTTCGCCTGTCAACGTGCTCACTTGACCTGTGGTATGTCTGCCAGTCCCTCCTCCCCAAATAGCCATCTAATCAATATTTTCTTACAGGTGACGAACGTCCATGCCAACGATGTATCAAACGAGGTCTGCAAGATGCCTGTCAAGATGGCGTCAGGAAAAAGGCCAAATATCTTCATGATGCCCCCAACGAAGCTCTGTTGCCTGGTGTCGCGAACAATTTCAACCATCCAGCCAAGCGATCATCAACAGTTTCCGTCAGTGAGGCCTCTTCTCAGACACCAAAGGCTCAGCAACAGACTCCCCAGTCATACTTTCAACAATCCCAACAGTTCAACAACTTTCAGCAGCCCACACAGATGCCTCCTCCTCTCCTCCACGAAAGGAGCATGAGTACCACCAGCTTCACCCAGCAATCCCCCATCAGCACCAACTTCTCTGGGGTCGGATCCCAAGTCACTCTACAAAGCCCAGTCGTTGGGACAGATCACCTGGGTAACAACAACATGAACAATCCCGCCTGGAACAACGGCCTCTTTGACGATCCTTCCATGTTCAACTTTGACATTGCCAGCATGAATTTTGGCAACCACTATGGTGCGCTCGAGTTTGGCATGCTGGGCCATATGGCCACTAACGCTGGCGAAACTCCACCAAGCGACACAACAACACACCGAGGTTCCATGCATCAACCCTATCACATGCCGCTCGGCAGTTTTAGTGAAAGTCCCACGGCTCAATTCCAACAGTTTGGTGACCCTATGATGACGGATTGGCCCAATGGAGGAGATGGTTATGCTCAGCATCGACACATGGCACCTAACGCCTTTGCCATTGAAGCTGGGGCGGCTCACTGGACCTCGCCCGACACTACTGGAACTCCCACCAATGCCATGAAGTTTGAGGATTCGCCGTTGATGACCAGCAATGGCCTACATATGGGGCCATCCACATTGGATCCGAGCCAGGTCGCTGGTCAAGACCACCGACCGCGTCTCCCACAGCCTCCACAAATATCGACCCCACAACTCAAAGCCAAGTCTCAATTACCGATCAAATCGACCAAACGACCTCGAGATCCTTCGGCGATTTACACCAGCGTCACCAGCCCCCATCCATACACCACCGGTTTTCATGCACTGATAGCGTATTTGCAAAAACGGTTTGCCACTCACCCATCAAAGACGCTTTCCATTGCCAAATCTTTGGCCTCATTTCGACCATCATTCATCGCCACCACAAAGACATTGAACCGCGAGGATTTGATTTTCATGGAGAAATGCTTCCAACGGACCTTGTGGGAATATGAAGGTTTTATCGAAGGGGTGGGCACTCCGACCATCGTAGCTCGGAGAACTGGCGAGGTAGCCGCCGTGGGCAAGGAGTTTCAAATCCTTACAGGCTGGACCAAGAGCGTTCTTCTTGGCAGAAGTCCGAACCTCAATGTTAACCGAGGTCATTCAGGTCAGACTCCTGGGACCGGGTCTGGAACGAATACAGCCAGACAAACAGGTTTCAACACCCCCACCCGAGGAGGTGCGTTGGACGAGAATGGAGAAAATCGATTACTCCCGGTGTTCCTGGCCGAACTCATGGATGATGACTCGGTGGTACAATTTTATGAGGATTTTGCCCGGCTAGCCTTTGGCGATAGTCGTGGCAGTGTGTCTGGAAAGTGCAAGCTTCTCAAGTATCGAACCAAGGATGACGAACTGGCGTCCAACCTGAATGCCGAAGTGGAAGCACGAACCGAAGATGGACAACGCGATAATCGAAGACAGGACACCAACAACGCGATGCGCAAAGGAAATGATTTGAAACGAGACGGCATCTCAGGCGAGAAGGGCATGCAAAAGTTGGGATCGGCGGATGGTAAGGTGGACTGCACATATTGCTGGACGGTGAAACGGGACGTGTTTGATATTCCCATGTTGATTGTGATGAATGTGAGTATTCCAGTGTTGATATGGTTCTTTTTGATGACGATGACTAACATGGAGAACAGTTTTTGCCTTGTATATAGGCTTTGGTCAATCTTGATGATACGGAAAAGTTTACAATTTGGGTTCATGAAAACACCTCTAAGGATAGGTTGGGAGGAAAGGATTTGGGCAGGATTTGATCGTTACAGAGTTGTTTGGACTGCAAGAACCCCGGTGTGCATGATTGATGGTTGACCGAGTTGGAGGCAGATTTTATGGCGCCAGTGATGGGAGAAGCGGAGTGTTTCCAGGTCGACTCATGGTCCAGAGCAATCGAGAACAGACGGTGAGCAATTGAATAGAGCTTGCAGCATTATAAAGTGTGTCCAAAGCAAAGCGACAAGATCAGACTTGAGCAGTTTGGACTTGGGGATTCGCACAGGTGGCATAGCTTCAGGTAGTTTGACTAGATGAATCATGACCACTATGGGTGTTGAGATGTTGTTGTTCCATTGAACTCAATGTAGTTGTTAATCATTCGCCCATCTATCAAATCAGTCTATCAAGGATGATTCCATCCTCCTCGGTCAAGAAGCTTTATTCAAAACCGCCCTCTCCACCTCGACGGCATCAACCTTGTTCACCCACTCAAAATCCTCCAACCAAGAATGATATTCCTTCTTGGCCGCCAAATACGATTCGCGCAACAAACTCCTCCTCGCAACCTCACAATCGAAATGAATATCATCCACCAAAGCCTCCAAGGAATCATAATCATATTCCGGACGAATAAACCCCAACATCAACAAATTCAACCCGGCCCCGTAGAAATCATGTTTGAATGATTGTAGAATATGGATTTCCACACTTCGGGTTTTGTTGTGGTAGAAGGGATTGTAGCCGATGGATAAGACGCATGGGTAGATTTTACTGGGTTGTTGCGGAGTGCTGAGCGGGACGGAAGTCGTTGTTGTTGTAGAAGAAGAGGGAGTTGGTGTAGATGGGGTTGAGGAGGAGGGCGTTCCTTCTACTGATGAAGGTAGTGATAATCCAACAAATCCGTAATACACACCGGATTCAAGATTGGGATAGGTTGATAATCCTTCAGGTGGGATATTGGCGGTTGGGATACCGAGCTGTAGGCATTCAAAGAAGAGAGGTTAGATGGGTATTCAGAAAGGGTGCTTTTAGGGTGAGATTTCTTCAATCTCAACATCCTTCCATCACTCTCACTCTCACTCTGAGGCGATGGCGATGGCGATCTCTTCCATCATTTATTGTCATTCCCATCATTGCGATTAAAAAATGGAAAGGCGCAAAATCTTCAACTTTTTGGTTTTTCTTAAACTTACCTCTCGACTCCCCCTCCCAAATCCTTTGATAATAGGTCCTTGTAATTTAATCGGGAATGGTGTTTCAGGTCCTGATTCAGGTCCTGCGAAGAGTTCGCGAGGTGTGTCGGGTCGTTTTTCTGGCATGGCGTCTTTTTTCTCCTTCTTGTTCTTTGGGATTGAGTGGGATTGAGTGGGATGGAGAGTAGAAGATTGGTGACTGGGTTTGGAATAAATGTGGGTGATTGATCTGTGTTGTGATCTTTGACCTATCACCCTATCTATCTATCTCTCTGGTGGCGATGGCGGGGTAATGGAATCCTTGGTGTATTTCAAGGTGATGTTGTTGTTGGTGTTAGTGTTTTAGATGATGGAGGTGGAGGTGGAGGTGGAAATGGATATAAAATCTAAGTCAAAGATATCATAGAAAGTAGTACTGTATGTACTCCGTAGTAATAAGCAGTCTATCTGCCTGTCTGTCAGAACCTTGTCGATCTCCACAAGACACCCACCCACCCAATCCGTCGTCCCGTCTTCAGACCGACCGAGGGGTTCTCGGCTGTCAACTCACTCTACTTACTATTAATTCTACCAGTAATAATGATTTATACTCGTTCCTTTCTAGAATATCATCAACACGGCATCCGAAAAAGAATCCTGCCAGCTGGAGCATTATAATCCGAATACGAATTTGGTTTTTCCTTAGTTGACTGGGATTCAGTTCGTAGATTCATGATCCTCTCTTGCCTCTCACATCGCTTGTGACTTGAGTAGTGCGTATATTATCTTGTTTCTATTGGGTTCTATGCATACTCGCAGTCGGAATTTCCCGCAACGAGGCTTGCGACATCGTCATATATAGTATACAGACAGCTAATCCTCTACCTGGGCCATATACACGATATCAACCCAGAAGACGTATGTTTCGCCGGACAACTCACTACATCACAATCCCACACTCGCACTCACCAGGCCAATATAACTTTTGATCATCTTAACATCTATACTCAGGTCCATGATCTAGACCCAACCATACTTTCCCCATCACCTCCTTCTCCTCCTGTTCTTATACCGTCGCCGAATACCCAATGCTCGGCAAATGTCCAGAGTTGCGTCTCTTCTCTACCCACTTCCTCACCTCGTCAACCCAGAACACTGTACTCGAAATGCAAATCAGGGTCAACAGATCCCAGAGACCCAGTGCCTCAGTTTGAAAGACACGTTGCAAAAATGGTAGATAAATCACACACAGTTGTCCTCCTAGACTGCCCGCCACCGCATAGTTGAACATCTTGTTGCCAAACAACTTCAACTCTCCAAACAAGACCGATTTTGCCTCGGATCGACATGTCAACGCATTGAACATGTCGAAAAGAACAAATGTCGTGAATGTCATGGTCGTGTCGCGTTTCGTCACCACACTTCGCCGCACCCGCGTTGCACCACTTTCGCCTGCTGCTGTCGGATCATTTTCATCCACCATCTCGTGAAGATAAATGGTCAATGTCCCAATCATGATAATCATTGCTGATGTAATGACCCGTCGGAGTAGTCGTCTTGTGAGCACGTTCGCGTTGCGTGGTCTTGGTGGTTGATGCATGACTCGAGGATCAACTGGTTCCACGCCGAGTGATTGTGCCGGTGGTCCGTCCATGAGAATGTCTATAGTCACGTTAGCAACCAACCCCTCAACTCTCAATACTTGTACTTACTGATCCACAGAATCTGCATCGCATTCAGAGGATTTCGGAATCCAAACATGGTACTGATCAGAATCAACGTCAACGCCGCCACGCTAGTGCTCAACTGAAATGTGATAAAGTTTTGAATGTTGTAGAAGATGCCTTTGCCTTGTTCAATGGCTCGTAGAATGGTCGAAAAGTCGTCGTCAGTCAGAATCATATCCGCTGCTTCTTTGGCAACGTCAGTCCCCAACAGGCCCATGGCAATACCGATATCCGCCTTTTTAAGAGCGGGAGCGTCGTTGACTCCATCTCCTGTCATAGCAACGACATCTCCCCGGGCCTGAAGAGCGCGGACAATCTTCATCTTGTGATCGGGACTCGTCCGAGCAAAGATGGTCGTGTGGCCGATTGCCTCGGACAGTTCTTGTTCTGACATGTGGTCCAGCTCGTCCCCGCGAAGCACCGAACGCGATGCCGACGATGGGCTGTTGATGGGCATTCCCAGGTTCTTGGCAATGGCCACCGCAGTCGTTTCTGCGTCGCCTGTGATCATAATCACCTTGACTCCGCCGTTCAACAATCTTCGAATCGATCGATGCACGTCTTTCCGAGGAGGGTCGTTCATCCCCACCAATCCAGCGAAACAAAGCCCCGTAAATACATCAGCCTCGCCTTTCTTGTCTCCGGATGGCGTCGAACTGCGGCTGCCTTGTTTTGCTCTCTTGATGCTGCCACTGGCAAAAGCTAGCACTCGTAAGCCTTCCTCAGCCATGGATTTAGCCGCCTCTTGTGCTTCCTGTCGTCTCTTCTGGTCAATCACAAATTCTTGGCCGTCCTTTGTGAGATAGGTATCACATCGAACAATCACTTGTTCCAAGGCGCCTTTGATGTAGGCCGTTTCTGAGCCTAGGCCATTAGTCATTTCGCCCAAGGCGCTTGCCACGACCACTCCCATCCATTTCCGGTCCGAACTGAAAGGGGTTTCCTTGACTCGCTGCCCGATTTCGTCACGGATGTCGTCTTCCCCAAAAGAATCTAACAAGTCCAGCATGGCAATATCGGTGGGTTGACCGAGCCATCTGCTTTTGGTGTTTGTCGCCGACATATCTCTAGTAGATGACAGTACGGCGGCGGATCCGGATTTCGTCTCTCCCAGTCTCCCATTGTTGGCCACATTTCCGATACGGAGTATGTTCTTCAGCGCCGGTGGAATCTGAGCGGAGACGTCAATTTTCAAAGGTCTGGGAGCGTCAAAGTGCCACATTTTCATGACCGTCATGTGACTGAGTGTGAGGGTGCCTGTTTTGTCACTGCAAACTACATTGACCGAACCCAGGGTTTCGACACTGGGTAACTTCCGTACTATGGCGCCACGTTTGGCCATGCGCAGTACACCTAAAGCCAGAGTGACAGTGACGATGATGGGGAGTCCCTCAGGAATGGCAGCTACTGCTAGGGAGACGCCAATGGTGAATAGATCGAGAGGCTTCTTCCCTTGGAGGAGACCAATGACCATGATGATGCCAATCACCACAAATGACATGTAGCTCAACTGCTTCCCGAGTAGATCCATCGCATGCTGAAGAGGAGTTCTTGGCGCCTCGATTTCTTGCAAGGAGAGAGAGATTGTGCCGAATTCTGTATTTCCCCCCGTGGCGATGACAATGCCTTCACCATGTCCTGAGCGAACCAATGTTCCCATAAAGGCAATGTTGTGTTGTTCATTCAAACGGACGTCGGCGCCCACGGTCCCTGCCACATTGAATGGATCAGGAGTTCCATGGCGAGCCTCGGACTTGAGGGAAGACTTGTCAAGAGCCGCCGAGTGCTTCTCCACAGGTTCGTTTTCACCCGTCAGGTTCGCCTCGTCGATGGTCAGGTCGGCCGATTTGGTGATTCGAATGTCGGCAGGGACTCGATCGCCGGTGGAGAAGACGACCAAGTCACCCAGAACGAGCTTGGAGGCTGGGATTGTGGTTGTGGACTTCTGTTCTGGGGGAACAGCGGCGCCATTGGGCACAGCACTCATCTCAATGCCGTCGGTTTCACCATGGCTTCTGGACAGGGCGGAAGAACCAGAGCCAAGGCCGGCCCGTCTGACGTGGGCATAATGGGGTACCAGGCGATTGAGGGCTTCGAGCGACTTTTCAGATCGATATTCCTGGACAAAGCCAACTGTGACCACAATGGTAACTGCGAGGGCAATGCTCAGGGCATCATCTCTGTTGCCGATGAAAAAGGAGATTCCGGCGGAGCCAAGGAGGAGTAAGATGAGAGTTTCCTTGAACTGCTTCAGAAACCGCAGCCACAAAGGTTCCGGCTCTTCATGAGGCAACTCATTTGGACCATCTTTGTGAAGTCTTGCGTGGGCTTCGGACTGTTGCAAGCCAGCCTTGAGCGACGTGTTCAAATGGTCGGCTGTGGCTTCGGGGGTCAAAAGGGAGTAGGACGAGGTTATTGATGACGAGCTGCTTGTGAATCTTGCAGGGGATTGAGATCGACTACTCGGAGACGAGGGTCTGAATTGAGGCAGAGAAGGGACAGAAAGGGTTGCCATAGTCTCATGGCGTTATATGCAGGTCCTCGAGCGACAGGCCATGCTCGGGGATCAAGGTGATTGCCGACCGCAAAAGAGGAGGCGGAGAGAGGTTGAGATGGCGGTACAGAACCTCTGCAACGAGGAATAGGGACAGTGGAGGATAAAGCGAGTGTGGTGACTCGCTCAGCACCCGTTCGTTGGTGCTAAGTCTCCTGGCTGACGTGAACTGTATACGAAGTAGACAGATGAGAAGAGCACGGGCATCCAGAGTGATGAAATTGGCTTCAAATCGAGTTCTCGACTGGATGGACAAAACGCGCGACCTGGCTTTTGATCATTTCGGGCTTGGTGGGAATCTTTGGCGGTGGGAGTGGAGTAGAATGGGGGTGGCTGACGCAGTGTGAGCCAGTAAATGGCGCCTAAAAGAACAGAGTCGGGGCCTGGATGCCTCCCTTTTTAAGCAGAAGCCACTACTAAACTGTGGTTGATTAGGTAAGAAGTCATAACTACAGTGGTACTTGGGTGCTGTAGCCTACCTAGGTAGGCATAGGAGGGCATCAGAACCTAACCAAAGTGGTAGTCATCCTTCTTCACCTGTAAATGGAAACTCAACCGAGACGCAAAGCCAAGAGGAACTCTCCTCTGGTGGTGTTTCAAGTGTACTAAGTACGATGCAAAGGACGCTAGCAATACCACTGAATTAGAGCTTGAGAGCCCGAGAGCCCGAGAGGCCACGAGCTCCACGTTGCCTCGGTCTAAGCTCCTTAATAAATGACCAAGATGAGTCTTGGGTAGGTGCCCATGCGTACCTCTGCCAACGCTCCTTCCCTACCACCAGCCACCAGCCACCTGACCACCCACGAGTCGCTCTTGCCTTGCCAGTGCACGTAGTGGCTGCCCCCCAAGTCCAACCACCCCATTTCAATTCCACTACTGCGCATCGCTCCTTCTCTTGAAGCCCAATCTGAATCGCATCACCACCTTCCGAATCCACATTCCTTTTCCCTCCCATCACCACCACCGCCTCCTCTCCTCAACCCTCTCCTCTCCAACAGAATCATTGCAAGGCCATTAACGCGCCTTTGATTCATATTCATCATCTGCAGCGCCCATTCATCTCTGCGCGGTTTTAAACCTACGGGCACTGCGCGTCTCTGGGGATCACAACAACATCCTCTCCACCCACTGGACGCGTCTTCGAGAACCTAAACCCAGTCGCTCTTTCACAACTTCATCCTCTCGATCTTATTTCCTGCATGCGCACATCCTCTCCCACGTCCACTATTCTTCCTCGCTCAGCATGTTCTACGCCGAGCCCCTCTTAACGAAGACCGGGCCTTTGGCTCGTGTCTGGCTCGCCTCAAATGTCGAACGAAAGCTATCCAAATCTCAGATCTTGCAGTCGGACATTCCTTCCAGTGTTGGCGCCATTGTCGACCAAGGTGCTGCTCCCATGGCTCTGCGCCTCAGTGGTTCTCTCATGCTAGGCGTCGTGCGAATCTATGGGAGAAAGGCTCGCTACCTACTCGACGACTGCAACGAAGCCTTGATCAAGATTCGAATGGTATAGTCGCCCCCTCACTCTTCTCAATATCCTCTCTAACCTTGTATCTAGACATTCAAATCTTCTAACAACCATGATTTACCCGCCCATGCCACCACCTCGGCAGATCTCAATCTGCCTGAACTACTCACAATCGATGACCTATTTTCCTCCATGGATTTCACTTTCCCACTCACACAACAACCTGCCCTCACTGCTGGACAGCCTGACGATTTGGAGGAGGATTGGACCAACTCACTAAACCCTCAACCCAGTAACACCCAGTCGCTACTTATTCCCGGCGAGGAGGATGGTCTCTACAACGACAATGACGTGACTTTGAATTTCGGTGACGATGACGTCGAGTTCAATGACACAACCGTCAGTTTCAACGTTGGCAGAAATGCACCTACCCCAAAGCCCGATGGCGATAATATCTTGGACTTTGACGAACCAGTATTACACGATGACGATGCTATCAGTCTCAACTACGGCGACGACGTACCTATGGTCGATCAGCCTGAGCTTGGACTCGATGACAACCTCCTGCCAGTCGGTGATGATGAGCAACTCGCCCTTCCTGACGATGAAACATTACAGCTACGACAGGCGGCAGCTCCTGCTAGAGACACTGAGTCCCCCTTGTCAGAAGCCGACCCGGAACTTCTTCGTCATCTGGATTCCACCTTCCAAATCCCACATGAAGGAGAAGACGTCGACGAAGTCGTCGCACGCCAGCCTCAACGCAGTCGAAAACAAAAGCCCATTGGCCCTGACATCGAAACCGTCCTGCACAATAGCCAGATCAAAGCCCAAGCAGAAGATCGCTCAAAGATCCTTCGGCCAGCATCCTTCCTTCCCCGTGACCCCATTCTTCTCACCCTGATGACCATGCAGAAGAATGGCGATTTCGTCCTCAACGCCATGAACGACGGAAAATCTCGGAATTGGGCTCCTGAACTTCAAGGCCTGCTCTCGTTCGAGGCCTTGACCAGATCTGGTGACCGAAAACGAAAGCGAGACAGTGGAATTGGTGGTTTGAGCGAGGACGAGCACAGTGAAAAATCTCCTCGTCTGGATCGGCCTGAAGATGATGACGAAGGCGTCCATCTCGATGACCAAGCTCCACTCCTCGGAGACATCCCCACTGACGACGGCGTGGTTCCCATCATGAGTGAGGGTGGTCCAGCCTTGGAGGATATTGTTCCTGGTGAGGACGATGAAGGTATTTACGGTGGTGATGATGCTTTCGACGACACAACCATCCCTCTGGTGCATCCAGCAGACAGTGGTCCCGTTTCACTAGGCACGAAGCATGCCGTCCACCTTCTGCGTGAGAAACTTGGTGACTCATCTGGCCAACCATCCTCGTCGCCCGCCAAAAAATCCGTCCTCTTACAAGATCTTGTTCCGGAAGGTCGAACCACAAAGGAAGACGCCACCAAGATGTTTTTCGAAGTCCTCGTTCTGGCCACCAAGGATGCCATCAAGGTCGACCAAGGCGAGAAACAGATTGGCCTGCCTCTGCGGATCCGAGCCAAGAGAGGGCTGTGGGGATCATGGGCTGAGACTGGTCCAGGAGACGACCCCACCAGTCAATCACAGGCTGCACCACAAGCGGTCAGCGTTGAGGCATGAGGCACATGATGTTTTAATGAAAAGGAGATTTCTAGGACGCACGACGGAGGCGCTAACACGCGCTATTTCTTGTTTTGGTGATACCCGGACTCGAGGTCTACCCTGGGAGATGGAGGAAAATCACCAAGGCCATGTACAAGTACCTTTTGGGCAAACAAAGAGAGTCTGCAGGGGCGCGTCGGCGCGTAGGCGGCAATGCTTTAGCTTGGAGTCAGTTTTGGAATCTTGGGTATTTGGGCTCAGCAAGGCCGTTTCGACATGACCGGGATTCAAAACACAGCGGTGAATTTTCAGCAAGAACGAGCACATGATCCGGGCTGCGATTGAGCCTGAATGATGCGTGGGGGTTAGAAATCCCAGTAGCTAGAGTAGATGGAGATATCTGGCTTGGTCCAGAAGAGCTTGAATACAGAGACAACGTTACCAGCCATCAAGCAGAGATTACATTACCACCGTGGTTCGGTATCTCTTAAGTGCTATACAAAGTATTGCCAGACATTCTTTGGTCTGGGTGTGAATTATATGCCGTGCTATATCTATACAAATGCGAAGCAACAGCCTCAACCTTCTTTGACCCAACTGCCATCCTCCATCTTGCCCTCCCTCTTCGGTCCTTCTCTCAACCACGTTTCGACGGCCCCATTCTTGGGATCTTCGTCAGGATATTCTCTCGAGCGCCGCACCTCCAGCACCGCATCTCGAATCCTTCGCGTACACTCGATGCGCAGAGAGATGGCATCAGGATGATGAGCCAATGACTCGGTCACCACACCGCGGGCCAGATCGTTCCAGGAGTCCTGCTCACTGTCTGGAATGAAGCCCTGGGCCTTTGTATCTGCGTCACGCAGTTCGCGCCACCGTTTTCGAAGGTCCCCAAACGTCGCTTCCACATCGAGCTCTTTGCCAAACGTCACCGTAATTTTCTTCCCAATTCGTGGCAGAAACCGTGGGAATGTCCGCGTCTCGTGCATTACTTTATCAGTCCCTTCAATGAACATGGGAACCACGTCTGGACATTCAGCCGGTTCCAGGATCAGTCGTGCGACGCCCCATTTAAAGTATCTCATTGTATATGCGTCGTCTGGAGTCTGATGGATCATGCCCTCAGGGAAGATGTGTACCCATGAATACGAATTGCTGGCGTAGCGAGAGGGACTGTGGTACCATCTTACGTCCGAGGGGTATGATGGGTAGGAGGGAGCGGGACTTAGGTCGCTGAATGGATCGACGATGTCGCGCGGCCATGAGGGGACATATGAGTTCCCAGCCCGACGGGGACTGTCGAAGAAGCGAAGTGATGGCTTCTCGGTGGATATCCTGGACAGCAGCCGGATTCCTTCGGTCATGGTGGCTTGGAATGGACCCCCATGAGGGGAGTATGCTGAACGATGGGTTGGAAGGACTTGTCCCAGGGTGAAGAAGTGAGAGCGCGGGTTGGATTTAAAGCAGATGTCATGACTGCCAAACGTCCAGCGGTGGTTCATGTAGCCGTAGTAGGCATGAAAAGACATGGGTAGGACTCCCCATATGATAGGATCGTCAAGCACGGATATGTGGTTGGAGACAGTCAAGAGGCCACGCTGACGCGTCTTGTAATCGGATCGAGATTTTAACAATTCGAGGAAGCGCGGGAGGCCATTGACAGTGGTATCGTTCAGGCCATAGAGGAAGAAGCGTGCGGCGGCACCGACCAAGAGTAATGTCTGATGGCTGGCATTGCGCCAGAAGAAGGAAGGTCGTTCCGGGTTGGGACACAGGTCCGACTGTGAATTGTAAATGCCACGTGGGAGGGGGTCATCGCGAGGAGGGGGCATTTGGATGAACCGCGTCGGAGAGGACGAGGGTGAGGGTGAGGATGAGGTGGTCGAGGGATTTGGAAGGGAGGATCGTATCCATGTAGGCCAAGCTGACGAACACCGAGAAAGTCTAGGAGACATCAACTTGTGTCCATCATGCACCGCGTTGAATCGCCGTGGTTGTCGCCGAGTCGGAGGTGGACTTGGAGTGGATGACTCTGGGAAATTTTTGGTGGTGCTGCGTGCATGATGGATTCTGGTTGGTGGAATGGGGGAATGGTTCGTTGATTGGCCGGACTCTCCATCTCCGCTCAACCTTCCAATTTTACGAAAACCAAACCCGCAGCTGCACCTGCCTTTTGGACATTCTTGAGGAAGAGAGGCACGACGTCGATCGGTTGTTTAACACTCATCAGAAGTCTTACTTGTCGACAGTGTTGCAGAAGGACATCTTGTCAACATGTTCCGACCTTCTGCTCCTCTGTCGGGAGGTCTGCTATGGTGCGCCATCCTCGTTCTTTCTCTGTCTCAATTCCAACCTCCTACTGACTCTTCTTCCAGGAAGATCCCATGGCGACTCTCATCAATGCAGAAAGCGCGTCAACGCAAACGGTTAAAGCTCGTGGACAAGGTCGTCGATACTGTCAGCATGGCTCTCCAGAACAATGGTGGAATGACAGCCAAGGCGGTGGAACGATGGTACAAGGAAATGCCACGTGAGGAAGAAATGCTGCCCAAAGATAAATACACCATTTTCGATCGAAAAGAGAAGAAATATCGAAAGGGAATTCACAGTATGTTATTGTCGAGTTTGGAAATGCTTGTTCGGATAATGCTAACGGAGGAACAGAACTACCCAAGTGGACTCGAGTGAGCCAGAGAGTCAATCCTCCTGGTTTCTAAATGTTTGTTTCATGTCCATGTCTCGAGGTTGAGGCCGAGTGACGTGGCAGAGAGACAGCGAACAACAAAGGCTGCTGTGTGGAAATATGCGACAGATTTTGGTTGCACACTCTCGGAAAAAACTATCTCCACACATGACAGCATAAAGAGGATATTTTGGAGAGGATGAAAAGCTGATTGCAGCGACTCAAATCTACCATGCAAGAGCCACCGCCACTGTTTTCCGAGAGTCATCAAATGTTGATTCAGTTGGCGGATGGACCGAACCCATGGTACCGTGTACCACCAGTACTGTACGACAGAGAGATACCTAGCCTATGAAATGTTCTATTGCACTATTCGACTCTATGCAATGAGAATTAGCTAAAGAAATCGCTCAGAAGAGGGACACACTCTGGCAAGAATTTTAATCAATATTTAACGTCTGGCCAACGAGAAATGCGGTTTAAAATACCCAGCCAATGTTGATGGCTCGACCATCAGTCAGCAGCCGAAGATGCCCTCTGAGTCAGCCTAAAGTGAGTCCAGCAACGTGTAAAACACTGTGTTTTGTGTATTTCAGAGCTTTTTGGATACCAGGCACCTAGGCCGAGGGCTTCTGGTACATGAATTCAAACCCTTAGAAACCCCTGGACTAGGCGTGTGGACACTCGGTGGACTGGCTGGATCTCGCTGGTCATCATGGGTCGGCTTATCAAAGGTAATGGCCTAATTAGGTGATGGGGGAAAGCTTAATGTAGATTCTGGCTGGGGAAAGAGCATCCAAGAGTTATCCCAATGCCTTCCGTAATCTGTCTCACGCTCTTGCCCGTTTCATGCTGTAACTGTAACTGGTACCTGCGCCGCAACTTCCTCATTTCCCCCCGCGGTTTCCATTACGAAGAAGCAAGTGCAGCTGCTCTCGAGTCTGGTGTCTTTCTCCTGCAAACACCAAGCATCTAAGCAGCAGTTACTTTCTTCTTCCTCCGACCTCGCAGCCACACTTTTACCACAATTCAACTACTAGTTGAGCTGACCTGTGTACCCCTCCGAAATTCACCAAATCTGCCCCGCTCTCAACGCTGCAGAAACATCTTCACCTAGAACCACTGAACCACTTCACCTAGTTGTCTGGTCACTCTGTCAAAATGGTCGGCCTGGGTCCTAAACGAAAGCCATCCCGCAAGGGTGAGTCTTGCACTCGAAAACACCACTCAAAAATCACTTGACCATCACTGACATGACATCTGTACAGGGTCTATGGCCGATGTGCCCAAGAGTCTTCTCGAAGAAATCCAGAACCTCGAGAACCTCTTCACCGTGAGTGCCGCAACATTGAAGAAGATCACCACCCATTTCGTTTCCGAATTAGAAGCTGGTCTCGAGCAGGATGGACGCAATATCCCCATGAATCCCACTTGGGTCATGGGTTTCCCAGATGGACACGAACAAGGCACCTTTTTGGCCCTGGACATGGGTGGAACCAACCTCCGTGTTTGTGAAATTACCTTGACCGAGGAAAAGGGAGAGTTCGACATCATTCAGAGCAAATACCGTATGCCCGAGGAGCTCAAGTCCGGCACTGCAGAGGAATTGTGGGAGTACGTGGCAGATTGTTTGGAACAATTCATCGAGTACCACCACGAAGATGAAGACCTCGCCAACCTCCCCCTCGGCTTCACCTTTTCGTATCCTGCCACCCAAGAGGCTATTGATCACGGCGTTCTCCAAAGATGGACCAAAGGTTTCGATATTTCTGGTGTTGAAGGCCAAGACGTGGTGCCTCAATTCCAAAAAGCCCTCGAAGAAAGAGTATGTCTGAAGCTTCGATGCCACTCTCCTCGTCTCATGCTGACCATGTAGAAACTCCCCATCAAACTTGCTGCCCTCATCAATGACACCACAGGTACCCTAATCGCCTCCGCCTACACCGACCAGGCCATGCGTATTGGATGTATCTTTGGCACCGGCTGCAACGCGGCATACATGGAGAACTGTGGCTCGATACCCAAACTCAAGCATTTGAACCTTCCTGATGATCTCCCCATGGCCATCAACTGCGAATATGGTGCTTTTGACAACGAACACAAAGTGCTACCCATCACAAAGTACGATACCATCATTGACGAGGAGTCCCCCCGACCCGGGCAACAGGCTTTCGAGAAAATGATTGCTGGTTTGTACCTGGGAGAGATCTTCCGACTTGTCGTCGTGGATCTGCACGAGAATAAGAACATACTATTTGAAGGACAGGACATTTCCAAGTTGAAGAAGCCCTACACCCTCGACGCCTCGTTCTTGAGCTTCATCGAGGAGGATCCCTTTGAGAACTTGCAGGAGACCCATGACATGCTGGAGGAGAAGTTGGGTTTGTCGGCCACGAAACCAGAACTAGAACTTCTTCGAAGACTGGCGGAATTGATTGGCACACGTGCCGCACGACTGTCGGCTTGCGGTGTGGCTGCCATTGTCACAAAGAAGAAGATGGAGAGCTGCCACGTGGGTGCGGATGGGTCGGTGTTTAACAAATACCCACACTTTAAACAACGAGGAGCACAGGCACTACGAGAAATTCTGGATTGGCCCAGAGGGAAGAAGGACCCTGTGGTCTTGTCCAGTGCTGAGGACGGTAGTGGTGTGGGTGCGGCCTTGATTGCTGCCTTGACCATCAAGAGAATCAAGGAGGGCAACACGATGGGTATCAAGTCCCTGGAGACCCTGCAGAAGTGCGGCTAGAGGACATGAAGGATGTTCCATTGTAGCTACGAGGTAGCTGGGTATTACATGTATCTACCTAGGGTACATCATCTCAAGGAAGACAACATCTTACTACTGTAGATGAAATGATCCATGATTACGCCAAGTCTCGGTAGCCTGAACCCTTGGAGACTGACATCAAATGAGATTTCCCCTCAGATTTGATGATGACTCCGAATCTCTAATCCCACCCCACCACAGTATATTATTCCCACTGTCGCTCTATTAGAAGTCGTTGCTCCCAGACTTCTCGACCTCATCAGGACTTGACGTCCCTGTCCGACTTCCTCTGCCACCTGTCTATATGCCCAAGAAGTACCACCAGAAATCTCTCTTGACCAAACCGCAGCCCAGCAGTCCTCCATCACTGTCGTCATCCAGGCCCTCTCCCTCTCATCAGACGGAACCGTCCCCACGCAGCGTCAATGATTTGATTCGAGAATCTCGACGCACCCAACTTCGAAATGAAGCACAACGCAATCCTCCCACCCCATCTCTAATCACATCAGTACCTCCATCGGTAAGAGCAGTCCTCGACCTCCCTCCTCCGCCACCTCCGCCCGAGCCTCGACTGGGCCTTCACGGACCAGCACGAACTCGCCGCATCCCCGGTCCGCCACCGCCGCGGTCATGGCTAGTCCACAGCATCCACGCTCCTGACAAGTACAAATCACCCATCATTGTGGATGGTAGTAACGGGCGTCGCGTGCAGGTTCGCACGAGCAATTTGCCCGGAGGATCATTCCCACCCTCGACGTCTCTACAGCATCTGATCTTGACCAAGATCGCAAGCCAATGGGCATGGCATGCGGAAAACGACGCCGACTGGCTGTACACGTTGCCCTCGAACCTGAAACAGACTCTGTTGAGTTATCTCTCGGTCTACAATGAAGCGCCTATCAATCCTCTCCGGTTGCTTTTTCCTGAAGATGCGACACCCGAATATAACGATCGAGACGAGGTGCATAGACTCGATATGGGGAATGCTCTTGGACTGTGGACTTCGATGAAAGGTTTGGAACGAGATCTCTTTACTAAGAATCTCCTTTCCAGTAATAATAACAATAACCCTGAGATATCACAGGCCAAGATTACTTCCTCTGAGACACCAGATCATTGGGATGCTGACGACGATAGTGACAATGATAATGACAATGGCGAGGACTCCGCTGCCACCAGCTACCGTTATGAATTGGGAACAGTGTCTACTCTCAAAACAAGACACAACTTCGCCAATCTCAAGCATTTATCTCTCGCCATCTCACCCTTCAACGTCAAAGCAGCCTCATGGGCATCTCTCCTCACCGTGGCCGGCGAATTGGGCACTCTGACATCATTGTCTCTGGCATATTGGCCACAACCGACATTCACACCGAATGCGGCGTCGACACGAATCACCGTTCGAGCCTTTGGCCAATCGGTCGTGTACGGCGGATCCAACATGTACACAGCGCATGATGATGACTGGCGCGAGGCAGCAGGAATCCTTCGTACCCTCAGTCGATCACTCTATTGTCTGCGATGGTTGGATTTGACTGGTTGTGGCGATTGGTATGCGGCTTTGCTGTGGTCGCCTCAACCCATGGCATTGGGCTCGGAGTTGTCGGCGGAGAATATTGGTCCTGAATGGAATGGAGGTTGGAGAGGTTTGGAAGAGTTGGTGCTTCGAGCCGGGTGGAAACCAGTATCTCCTCCTTCTCTTTCTTCTACGGCCGTAGCTGCTGCTGTTGCTGGATCGTCTGTCACAGTCGTCGAACCAGCATGGAACGTCGAACATGAACGTATGGTCTATCGCTATAACCAAGAACGACAGCGGTTGAGTGATATCCATACCCGGGCTCGAGAGGTGGCTAATCATCTCCGAAGGATTCGAAAAGCAGCTGGAGGGAGGTGGATCGAAGTCGACTGCGGAGATGCTCCGACTCTGTCTGACTAAGAACTGAATAGAGATGGATATATATGCAGTTTTGGTAGATGTGAATGAATCAAGAAAAGACAGGATCAGGATCAGGATCAGGATCACCTGCCAAAGAAATTCGTGATCCGTTGTGTCCCTGGTTCCTGTTTCTTAGACGGGCTCGTTTTCAATGTGTTGTCCTTATTGCTGGTGGCACTGCGTGGTTTTTTCGCCGTCGAGACCTTTGTAGGTGAGAATGACTTTGCTGGAGAAGGAGAAGTCGATAATTTGATTTGTTTAACCGAATGAGGGTCTCGTCCGGACTTGAGATCCTCCTGGTCATCATCATCATCATCATCCTGGGCTGATCTTTTATCACCAACACTGGCACCAACAGAACTCTGACTCTTTGGCACTGGAAGCGGAGCATTATCTTCTCTTCCATTGTGATCAACCGTATCTCTCGCTTCACCGGCTTCCTTTTTAACCTTGGTCTCCTTGTCCGGGTCTGCAGTCGTCATCGTCGTCTTCGTCGTTTTCTGTAACTTATTTGCCGCATTCCCAAAGAAATTCGCAATATTCTTCTTATTCTCCTTACTGTCGACGGGGACAATAAACGAAGCCGAGTTATTCCCCACCTTACCCACATCCTTATCGACGGGGTAACACTCCAATTCACCATCAAATGGTTTCAGCATGGCCTGTAATTCTTTAGTCCATTTATTCTTGGCCGGATTCAACCATAGTTTCATCTCATCGGAATTCGGGTCCAATATGACAGGCATTCGGTCGTGTAGGAAAGATAGTTGCTTATTCGAATCCGTCGTAATGATCGTGTAGGTATATAATTTCTCCTTGGAACCTTCTTTTTTCTTGTCGTTATTATCGTCGTTGTTGTCATCTTCATATCTAACACAATCCCATAATCCAGCAAAACACATAAGATTCCCGTCTTTGCGTTTGACGAAATGCGGGATTTTATCTTTTGAATTAGGGCCCTTTTTCAACCATTCGTAGAATCCCTGTGCTACCACGATACATCGTTTGCGTTGTTTCATGGTATTCCACATCCCGCGTGGTTCGGCAAGGGAGTCGTCGCGGCAGTTGATGGTGCGTAGCATGCTAGAGTAGTCAGGGGACCGTTTCGTCCAGAATGGGATGAGGCCCCATTTCATCACTTTGATTTGATATTTGTATTTCTTGTCGGGGGTGGGAGTGGTGAGGCTAGTGGAGGTGGAGGTGTCGTTGTCGTTATGGTCAACATGACGTTCGCCTTCGGCATCGCCCTCTGCCTCTGCCTCTACCTCTGCTTCGTCTCGTACTCCTTGATCAGGGACATCGGCTCGATATACCAGGCCATATGCGCCGGGAGGGAAATTGTAGGTTTCCCGTGCCTCATCGTCGTCGGGGGCTTCGTCGACGGGGAGACCTTGTTGTTGTAATTGATAGCGGACAAATGAGGCACGCTTTTGAGTTTTGTTAGAATCGCTCACTGTGGTTCCGTAGCAATGGGGGAACTGAGGCTGAGACCGAGACTTGGGGGGACTTTGGGTGGTCAGGAGAGGTCAGGACGGGTTCTACTTACAATGCCCAGTGCGTAACGACCGCACATGTTGTACCGGACGTTACAGTTACTGGCAGGTCGCTGCAAGTCAATATCAGTGCTGTGGGAGGCCAAGTGGCTGTCCTGGTCGAGTTGCGAGCATGGTCGTATTCACGTATTTTGGTGTTGAGTGTTGTGTTGCGGGGAGTCGTTGAGAGTTGGTGACGTCGATGGATTCTGGGGATAAAATTATTGGAACTTCAGAACTCCAGACCCTTAAAGCTAACTAGGTACTGAACTCATACCACCAATCTCGAAACTATCCAACCATCATCTCAGCAAATTCATACCCATTTGCTCTGACCACAACAAGGACTATTCTATTTCGTCCTGCGATATTCCTGTACCAATTCCCGACTGCGCCTAGGAGATCGCCATGAACAACGGTGCATGTTTTGCACAACGACTATTGCGGCAACGGCCAGCTCGAATTCATCGTCTGTCGCAGCCATCTCATAATGGCTTCCACAATTCCCCAAGAGTCGGGTTGGGGAATCGTCCTCCCCAGAGACTAGCTACGAGAATTCCTATAAGAGGAGTCAAAACTTACGCGAAGCCTCCCACCAGATTCCAACAAATGGTTATCGACGCTCGAACCCAGCATCCGGTGCTTTTCCCCTTCCTTTTGATCGCCTGCACGGGCATGGCTTCTATGTTGACGTTGATGGCGTATGATGAATACAAAAGGGAGAACTCGACTACTACACCATATCCCAAGCCGGTGGAGGAGCGCCTGCGACTGGCTCTCCATTATACACATCTCAACCCAGATCCCGACACGGCGGCGGGCTACTTCGTGGATGCGATCAAGAAGGCAGAAGAGCTAGGCATGGATCCATACAGTAAAGAGTTTGTGGGCATTCGAGTCCGATTCTCGGAAATGCTCGAGAATTTTGGACATATGCGCGCATCTATTGAGATCTTGAACGACGTGGTCAAGGACTTTGAGAAGAGACTATCAGAAATGGATGCCCATCCCGCCGCGACCAGCGGAGAAGCCGGTGCAGAGGGGGCCGAGGTCAACATCAGGAAGCACCTAGTCAAGACCATTATCCAAGCCAAAGTCAAGCTGTCGTCCATGTGGGAGAGCGAGTACATGCAGGACTCGACCATGGCCAAAAACGTACTGTCAGACGCGGTCGGCTTGATTGTCAAGGAAACGCAGGACCCGCAACAGAACAGCTTCACCGAAGAGAATGGAGCGGGATTGAGCACGGGAGAAATTGCGGCCGTTTTGGGTCAAATGGGAGATCTATATGCCACCAGTGGAGAAGAAGCCAACGCAGTCCAGGTGTACATGTTGACTCTTCAACCCCTGCGAGCATCCTGCAATGGAACCAAGTCATGCAAGGAGGTGCAGATTCTCAGCAACATTGCGACAACCATGACGACGGCACTGAAGAAGCCGAATGCCAAAGTCAACGGCAAGCCAGTGACGAAACAATCAGCTGCTGCTGCTCGTCAAGCCATCCTGAAATGGGCGGATCAAGCCATTGCCACCGCGGATGCAGTCAAGCCAGAAGACCGAGACGGAATCTGTGAGCTGGCACTTCTGTCAGCACAGATGACGCGCGCAGATGTGCTCTTGGACAGCGGCAACAAGGAGCAGGCGAAACAGGCATTGAAAAGCTTGTTGCCAACACTCCGAGAGAAAAAATTGACACCTCTCATCACTGTGGCAGAGGAGAGTCTGAAGAAAGCGGGTGGTTGAGCTTGTTACAGTCTTGGTTAAGCACCTCAAGGTGTCAGACTTTTCCACCACGGTCGGTTGATTACGCAAGGCTCCGAATATAGGACTCGTGTGGTCAGATCAGACTCGGGCGTCCATGCATGCGGTTGAACACCATCGACTCCGCGTACGAGGCTCCGAGACCTTGCACACTGTCTGCTTGCGTGTGTGAGACATGGAATGAGAGATTTACGAGGCTGAAGACGACGAGAATTTGACCATGCCGGGGTCTCCCTCCAAGGTTGGTCCCGGTTTCGCCATCATTGGCAGGGGGGTGGTATCTTGGGAAGGGGTTTGGGTGTGGACCTGGATCTGGAACTAGCACGATTGAGTCAATATCGCAACAAGGCTACGATGGAAAGTACCATTGGTAAGGATTGGACCAGGCAAATCCAAGATATCGCTCAAGAATAGGGACGAGCTCAGTAGAGGATTCCACACAAGGCTCTCGCGAAAGTACCCAGATGGGGGTTGTGCGCTGAAGCACAATGAGACACGCTCTCATTCTCTGACCCGGGCTTAGACGACGTCATGGCGTGGAGAGCAGGATAGTTGCACCAAGGGCCAATAGTACGCTCGACATGGAGGCTTGTGTGAGGGTAACGTTGCAAAAGGCGTGGAGGAGCATGGATGGACCCTCACGCCGTCAGTTGATCCTAAATTTACCATGACTTCCTGAGTTCGAGTATCTGAGCGGAGAGAAGGAGCAGACCACCAGAGAGGAAGCCACTGACAGGTGGACTACCAATAGAGTCGCATCGGGTAAACAGCTTTTCCGGCCGATTTTGAAGTGTCTTTGGTCACATGTGATATTGAGCAGCCACAGGCACAAAATAAGGCGGCCGCAAGCCAAAACCATCCTTGTCAGACCAATACATTAATTCCCCAAGGTTCGCATGGACACTTCTTTTTGGGACTAGCGTCAAGCCAAAATTGGAGCTGCGCCTGTGAAAGTGAAGGAATTGTGCCTCAGCTGGCCATTGCGTTGAACTTTCAGATTCTCTGTCTCTTCTCTGTAGCTTCTCTCCCTCAGACTCCAACAGCCACAATTACAATCTGCTAATGTCTCGCGTGACTCCTGAAGCTTGGTCCAATCATGTTCTATTCCTGGCATCTTCCTTCTCTCTGTCTCTAAGGCCACTTCCGTCATTCAGCCAATTTCCCCTACTACGCTCTGCCTTTGCTTCCTGGCGCAGACGCAGCCACCGACTCTCCTTTCCCATCGCAAACTCCACATGCGATGCAACACCAACACCGCCTCTCCTTCTATTGTTACCATCCATTCCATAGTGACATGGAGCTCGTGATATGCCTCGTTCAGACGTCCATCACCACTACCACCACATGTCCATCATCTTGTATATAGAGGTAGGTCTTCTCTCGCCATTCATGTCTTCTCATTCTCCAGTCCAACAACACAACAATCCAACCAACTTCCTTCGCTACAAAACATTTCCTTTGTTCTTTCCTACTGGTCTGCATTTCCTTGATACATTCGCTATATCAATACTTCAACATCATACTTGATCCACTTTTGACCTATACAACTCGTTTCAACTAATCAACCAACCAACCAACCAATCATCAAGATGCATTCCGTTTCCATCCTCATTGCTGCTTTTGCTGCTAGCGCTTGGGCTGCTCCTATGACCCTTGCCACTACCACCACTGATGCTCCAGTCACCACTTCCACCACCATTTCCAACTACTGTGGATTTGGCACTGTCAACCCTGATGGTTCTTGCTCTGGCCCAACCACCACAACCACCTCTGATTCCACCTCCACCACCATCTCTCACTACTGTGGATTTGGTACCGTGAACCCTGATGGCTCATGCTCTGGACCTACCACCACAACCGCCAGCACCACTAGCACCACCATCTCTCACTACTGTGGATTTGGCACTGTCAACCCCGATGGCTCCTGCTCTGGTCCAACTACTTCCACCACCTCGACAGCTACCTCCACCTCCACCCCCATCTCCCACTACTGTGGCTTCGGCACCGCCCTGGATGGCAAATGTGCCACTAGCACCACCAGTGCTTCTTCCGTGACTTCTACCTCTTCTGCCTCGACCACCTCTTCTGCCTCAACCACCACTTCATCCCCCATCTCTCACTACTGTGGATTCGGCACCATGCTCAACGGCAAGTGCTACACCACCACCGTCGCCACAACCACCACCCAGAGCAGCAGCAGTTCTGCCCCAACCACCACCACTACCACCACCACCACTCCTGTCACTCACTGGTGCGGATACGGTGTTGGTCGCAATGGAAAGTGCAACCCAGCTCCTCCCCCACCTCCAACTTCCACCATCACCACTGTCTGCCCTGCTCCCACTACTGTGACCGCCACTGCCACTGCCACCGTCACTCAAGTCGTCACTGTCACCGCCAAGGCATTCACTAAAGGTGTCTCCTTCAACGTCGGCGGTGACTGCGTCAACTGCCAGACCGTCACCACTGAGATCCTCGGCTGGCCAGTCACCATGGCCGTCCCCACTGGTGCTGTCTGGTAAAGAGACATTGCTGGACAATGTTCTCGGGTGGTCTCATCGAATTTGATCTGCAGCATCAAATCATTTGTTTATTGGTTGGGGTTTCAGCCCACAACAGCATTGCATAGCGCAGCAAAAAGCATAGCGATTGGAGGAATAATACTAGACATTACAGCATAGCATAGCATAGCATAGCACAGCACAGAGCACTCCTTAGACTTGATACCACAGCAATACTCTACAAGAATTAATTATCCACATTACTTGACATTCAACATTCACTTTCCAAAATAATTACATCTCCTTTTCTCTCACACCTTTTTCTTTGACATCTCCTATAAACTTGATGCACTCAAGAGATCTCTGTCATTCATTCATACCAACAACGGACAAGGCCAAGTATTTTCATTGCCTCTAACTAACTAACAGTATCGAGGTACATAAAAAAGACTCCCGCCCAGAACATATTGGACAAAAGAAATAGGTATCATGTTTCGCATGCACAGACAGAACACGTACAGAATCAACAGTCCACTCCACTCGACTCAACTCGAACCAGGCCTCGACTGAGTATGCCATACCACTCAGCCCGCCAAACCTATTCTCTCTCTCTCCCATGGCGAGCAGCTTCCCTTCGTGGCAATAGACTTCATGTACCTCAGGTATGGACAACGTCAAACAACGGCAGCATGGTAACTACCACGCGCAGAATTCATCTTCGTCTTCGTCCGTTCTCGCCAAATTCTTGATCCAACCGGATTCACCTTTTCAGTCTCGTTAACCCAGTTCAGCGATTTTCTTTCCTTTTCTTCATTTTCCCTCTTCACAATTCATCCTTCACATAATCGGTGGCACTGCTCACCGAGTTGCTGATTGCACTCGCTGCCTCATCCACACTGCTGCTGATCGCTTCCACTACCGCCGCACCGCCGGCTCCTGCCTGGCTTGCAATCGACTCGATGGCACTTCTCGCACTTTCCACCGCTTCTGCGATCCGCGATTGTGCGCTTTCCACTGCGCCTTGTTCCGGCCCATAGACCGCCGAGCTCAATTTGGCCTTGGCTGTGTCTACAAGACTTGCCGCCTCATCTCCAAGGTCTCCAGCCATCGATGTAATTGCGGCTGCATTCTCTCCCACCACAGATGACACGGATGCAAATGTGTCAGCAGCAGCGCTAGTCATCGACTCAACCACCCCAGTCGAAGAGCCATAGATGGCCAAAGAAATCGCATCTTGTGCGGATTGAGCCACATCTGCAAATGAACTCTGTGCTGCTTCGGCATATCCAACTTGAGTACCGTAGATGCCTTCACTAACCGCAGAGCTTGCTGTTTCATAGGTATCTCCCATAGCTGAGGTCGCTTGTTCGAAATAACCTTTGGAGGTTCCGTACAACTGTGCGCTGGCAGCTTCAACCATCGCACCAAGTTGCTCATTGACCGACTCCAAAATTGATTCCACCTCTGGTGGTGTGGTGAAGTAAGCGGAGGCAGCAGATGAGACCGAGGATGCTATTGAGCTGGCCGAGTCAAAGGCCTCGTTGGCATAGACAGAAGCCGAAGAAGCCACACGTGCATAGCCCGTGTAGTATGCTGAACTCAGTCGGCTCAATGCTGATTCGGTGAAATCTGGTTCTTTGCCCACTATTAGTTCCGAAACAAAAGACTGAATGATGATGAATTGATCATTGGCGTATTCCGTCACCTGGGCCGAAGCCTCACCAGCCTGGCTTGCCAAACTTTCATAGAATGGCTTGGGTGCGCCATAGACCTGTGAGCTAGCTTTGGCCACAAGTGATTCCCAATTCTCCGATGCCACGCTCGAAAGGGATTCTACTGCACCAGTTGGTTCTCCATATACCGCAGTGCTCGCGGCATATGATGCTAAAGACAATGACGAAGAGGCGGCCTCCACAGCATCCGAATAAACCCTCTCCGCATCTTCAAGAATGCTTTGAGCTGGTGCTGCGGCAGAATCTATCGATGATTTGAAGGACGCAAGATTTGACGCTGCTACAGAGGAGGCTGCAGAATACTGAGATGCAGCTTCGTTGATCAAGCTCTGATATGCTGGAAGTGGTGTTCCATAGATTCCGACCGACGCCGCACTGGAAATGCTGCTTAGGACTGGCTGAGGCTCGCCGTAAACTGCAGTCGAGGCAGCTGCGACAAACTCGGTATATTGTTCGTGGGCCAGACCCACAGCAGCGTAGTAATTCTTGCGGGCTTCTTGCAGAAATCGTTGGTGCGCAGGAGCGGTGGTATAGCCAACAGCATCTTTTGCCTTGGAATATTGTAAAGATGCCATGGAGAGGGATTCTTGCAGAGCTGAAGAAGCAACTGCAGCAACAGAGTCGAGGGGATTCGTTGTTGGCAACGCCTTTGATGCTGCTGTGCTTAAGGAGCTGTACTCAAGCGCCGCCGCATCGAGCCTACTGCTTGCAGCAGCTCGTGCGCCAGAGTAAGCCGATTCAATTGACGCAGATATTTGTTCATGGATAGGTCTGGGTGGCCCAGAGATCTGACTTGCGGCTGCAGCTTTCGCAGCTGAATAATTCTCGTCAGCACGTTTGATCGCCTCACTGAAGATGGAGCTCGCTTGGGCTAAAATCGAATCTGTGATGGCGGGTTCTGCACCATAAACCACAGAACTTGCTGCGGCAACGGCTCTTGTGTAAGCATCAGCAGCTACACTTGCAGCGCTTTCGGCACTACCTTGTGGGGCGCCATAGATAATGCCCGATGCTGCGGCTAATGCACTAGAGTACTGTTCGCCCGCAATAGAGGTGACTTTTTCCACAGATCCTTGTTTTGTGCCATAGATGGCCTCGGACACGGCGCGAGTGACATCAGCATATCTGTCCCCCGCTTCGTTGACAATATCTTGTAACTTTTCGGAATAGGTCGCTGCTTCACTGTCATCAAAGACATCATCCAGGATTGGTATCGATCCTTTGACTTCTTGAGCCATCGCGCCTGCAAAGACGCTTGAGACAGATGTAGAAGCAGATTCTGCCACAGTGGATGCGGAGCTCTCCACATCATCGATCACTTCGGAGGCTTGTGCACTGAGGCTGCTTGCCGAAGAGGGAACATCTTCAGCAAGGGCGTTGGTGGAGCTCGCCAAAATATTGGTCGCAGATTGAAGGGACTCGACAAATTCGTCGGCTGCGTCGGTAGCATCAGCAGCAAGTTGCGAGGTTAGAGACTCGACATCACCCTCACTTGTTCCCAACACGAAAGAGGAGGCTGAAGCCAACAGACCTTCCGCCACGTTGCTTGCATCTGATTGCATAGCATCAACGGAGGCTTCAGTTGCGACGCCAAGACCGGCAGATGCGGAATCGAGAATCTGTTGGGCGAAATCGCTCGCTTCCGAAGCGGCAGCTTCAAGAGGATTGGCAGGAGCAGACGATGTGACAGATGACAAGATCTCGGATACAGACTCACTTGCTTCGGACAAAGCAGAGCTGCCAGAGGCAAGAGCGTCGCTGGTGACGCCTTGAAGTTCTGCTGCCAAACTTGAGGCGGCAGTAATGGCTTCTGCCGGGGCCGAGCGAGCGTCAAAGTCGTCAGTCGAATCGCGTTCCTTGAGCTTCCACTGAGCAACACTCTTAAGCTTGATCAATTCTTTGGCAGCGTCCTCGGTGACAGCCATGCTCTCCTCAAGAATCTGTTGTGCAGTGGCGATGGCCTCTTCGGCGTCAGGGTGCTGCATTGCGACAATATGTACCTCGTTTCTCCACTCATCCAACTTGACTCTCACTGCGTGGAATCTTTCCCAGTGTTTGTAGGTGACGCCTTCCATCCACGCCCAGCGCATGCCAACCTCTTGAAGCGAGACATCTTTGATGCCGTCGAGGACCTCGAGGGTCGAGATAGAGGCGGCGCGGAGACGATCGATCAACGTCTTCTCAAACTTCTGTTCCCAATCCCGCACGTTTCTGGCACGTTGTTTGATCTCGACTCCAGAAGCACGGATGGCGCCTAGAATTTCTTCTGCGGCCAACTTGATGTCTTCAGCATTGGCTTCATCGGGTAGTGAAGCAATGGTAGACTTGATTTTAGTCTTGACGTTTTCAATTTCGTTGACAGTTGTTTTGTCCAGGGCGTTGGCCAAACCCCGGCCGAGTCCCTCGATATCGCTCTTGACCAAGCTGGCGACGATGGCCTCGACTTTTTCTCGCAAATCATCGGAGCCTTTGTCGGCGGCAACAGCGAACTTCTTTTGCCAATTCCGGAGATCTTCCGAGATTTGTTCCTCGGTGGCATATACGGGAGGTGGTCTTACCGGCTTCTGCACGGTTGGTTCAGGCTCTTCCGAAGTTGTGGTCAGAGTGGAATCATCATCTTCCTTGTCAAACATGGCATAGACGTCATCCAAGCTCGCCGGGGCGGTGGGGACTGAGGAGGCTGTTGTAGTTACAGGAGCCGACGTAGATGGAATGTCATCGACAGCAGCCTGGAGTTTGCGACTTTCCTGGTACTTGGCGATCCGTTCACTGATCATAACGAGCTGAGGCCTGACGTTATCAATATAGAGACCCTTGAGCATTGGCCAAAGGGTCCCATCGAAGAAGATGACGGCGTTGGACCATGCATGACGGCCGAAAGGGTAGGCGGTATCAAGGACGAAGGCTTTGGAAGTATTGTACCCTTTTTGAATCCAAGGTTGCGAGTACTCAAAGGCAGGGAGGAGGCGATGCTGATACACATCGAGGGTAGTCTTCTGTGCCGTAGAGTAGTATGGGGCAATAATGCCAGAAACCTTGTCGACATGAGGTCCCAATTTGGCCTGGTAGATCTCCTTTGCTTGTTTCTGTGCCAGGTGAAGTCGCGGGACGATAGACTTGTCCCACTGGGCCAGAGCATAAAGTTTGGCCGACTCAAGTTGAGGGGCAGCATATTTGTCGTAATTGATACGACCAATTTTTGTGGCAGGGCGGATCAGACGTCTGTTTGCCAAATCTGCATACGGCCGAGCCTTTTCAACATATGGGGAGGCATAGACATCGTAGTAAGGTTGGACATGGGGTTGGAGGTAGGACTTTGCGGCGAGATATGGTCGGCAGACTTGTGGTGAAGTCGACGTGAGATCTTGAGGCGAGGAGGGACATTGGAAAGCAATAGTCAGGATGGCGTACCAGACAGCCAACCTTTTTCATGGTCAGCTTGTAAGATTAACAGATGGAGTGGGAATGACATACCTGGCGAGGTTGTTTAAAAACCACGATGACCAACTCGAACGAGGCTTCTTTCTGGTACGACTAGGAATTGTTACTGCAGGCACAGTATGTGTGTGGTCGAGAGAGCCATTGGCATGACCATTGGGCCTGTCTTTGACATTTTCAATAGGCTTCCCATTTTCACTAACGGCCATGGTAGCTGCCGATGGCACTGCCCACTGGCAGCGGTCAACCTTTCAACCGTGCAGCAGATAGTGCAGATGCAGCAGAAGCAGTGTCGGAGAAGAATGAAAACGGTCACAAAAGAGTCGAAGCAGCGACGTGGTGGTCTCGCGGTCTTGACAGAGGTATGAAGCACAAGAGAAGCAGGGATATTGAGGGTGTAGACATCCGAGGAGGAGATGGCCTGGTTTGAAACAATAAGTTAGTGACGGCTGCTAACGTGTTTAGATGTGGAGGAGTGAGGGCGCAGGAGGTGTGAGTGGCTGCTCCAGGTGACGCGATATTCCCAGGCGGAGAGACAGAGCCCAAAGGAAGATTATGACGAAGGCTTGACACCTGGAACTTGGGATGATGTAGCCTGGGACGGGTCGTGACGGGGTAAATGGCCGAAGGATCGTGGGAGCCTATAGGCCTACGAGTAAGGACGCCACGACCTAAGAGGGCGTGCACGGGTAGCCAAGGAGCCACTCACCCACTATAGCTCACTGGAATCGTTTGGGATTTAGCTGTTGCAGTAAGATTCCTAGCTGCCTGCAAGAAATCCTGGGTAAAGCTAGGCGGTGCTTGCTGTATGGACCAGGACCCACTGAGCTATATGCATGTACCATGGCCACATGTACAAACAAACTTGTTCCTTCGTGGCTCTTTTTCTTTGATTGAGAATTCCAACCTGCTAGGGAAGTTCCAAGGTTGGCAAGGCACAAGCCACAGCGTCACTACAAATGCTGGATCCAGGCCACATATAACCTGTTGTATCGTGGAAAACCTGACTCTTATCTATCCATACAAGGTGAACCTGGATGAACCCTCTCTAGGACAAGGACATGACAGTTCTCTCTCACCTATGAAACCTGCCCACCATGGGCTTCGTGTTAGACGTTGCGAAGACTGTTGATCATCTTCCTCACCAATTACGGCTCAGCACGTGCCTGCCACATTCTGCGTGGTGGTACAATGATGTCATGAACACTGTGGCGACAAGATTGTCCTGGTGCTACGGAGTACATGCATGTGTGCTGATCCTTGTCATTGATCGAGATTCATATCACTGTATCTATGTATGTACTGCATCGAACTGGCTAACAGGTTTTGTGTCGCTATCTACATGTTTTCTGTATCGTGTATACCTAGTATGAGGTACATACCTACTGCCTACGTATCAAACTGTGCAGAGTGTTGGTTGTACTGGGATTGCAGGCACGCGTCGTGCAACAAGAGGGACCTCGTAGTGGCGGAAGGATCAACTGGGTGATTAGAACACGCGTTCCTTCCAGTTTGAATGTTCTTTTAATCTGCGGGTGGCTGCCTGCCCGGATCCTGTACACTGTCTACGGAAGGAGGCAATCAAGACCAGCACAGGAACATCAGATTTCAATCAAGTCCAAGTCATCGCCAATCTGAGTGACACCCACAGCCTTCTGAAAGCACGTGATCTACAGCCTTGTTTCTCCACGACAAGGCTGACCTGGAGCCTGCCCTCATTTCATCTCAGCCCTCCGCAGTCTGCATCTCCGTCCTCTTCCTCCATCCTCAAAGACCAATCTGACCACTCCAAGATCCGTCCTTCTCATTCAATCTTGTTCAGTTCTGACGGCTACCAGTTCAGTATTTCTATCATCCAAACCACATGTCCTAAATACTCCATTTCCGCGATGCGCTGGGCGCCACTCGTCCATCGTCACCCATCCTTCCGACACCATGCCTTTGGATGCCAACGAGAAACACTCAATAGGCCTCGCTCGCGATAGACCGCAAAATCAGAGCCACTCGGACTTCAACAACGAAGATGTTCAAGATTCATGTCGAATATGCCGCGGTGAGGGGACTGCAGCCCAACCCCTCTACTACCCGTGCAAGTGCAGTGGTAGCATAAAATACGTTCACCAAGAGTGTCTGATGGAATGGCTGTCTCATTCTCAGAAGAAATATTGCGAGTTATGCAAGACATCTTTCCGCTTCACCAAGCTCTACGATCGTTCTATGCCCGCCAATCTACCCATCCCTCTCTTTGTCTCTCAACTCTGTCGTCATGGCATCACTGCTTTCTCTCGATACGCTCGTTACCTAGTGGTCGGCCTCATTTGGACCTGCTGTCTGCCCTGGTGCATTCGACAAATCTGGCGTGGTCTGTTTTGGCTCGCCGATGGAAATTGGCTCGACGCTGACGATACCTATACCGCTCTCGTCAATACGACCAACACTTCTTCATCCTTTGCCACTCCGACCTCAAACCCAGTGGTCTCAGACTTCAACATTCCGCCATCCTTCGAGAACGTCAAATTTGTCCTACCCCCTATGCAGTTCTCCCTCGCCGATGTCGCTCGACTGCTCACCAGCCAGGGTCTGATTGGTAGACTGCTTCAGCTCTTCCTATCACTCATCCTACCTGGCTCTGGACAAGCCACCGGTCCGCCTGGTGCATCAGACTCACCCTATCAGTCTTTCCGTCCTCCCTCGCTTTTATCCGAAGTTCACTTTATTGCACACTGGTCCACCTCCTCGGCCATAAACAATGCCACCATTGACATCGTTGAAGGACAGCTGATCTGCATATCACTCGTCACTGCCTTCATCCTCGTCTTTTTGATCCGCGAATGGGTCATTAACCAGCAGCCCAATTTAAACATTCCAGATGCCGATGTAGTCGAGCATCAAAACCCCATTCCACCACTTCAGCCTGCAGATAACCCCCCCGCCCGCCAGCCTGGCCGACCAAGGGCTCATCCTCGCCGTGGAAACCCTCAAGATGGTGCTGGTGGGAGAGCTGATGGAGAACTTGCTGCCCGCCCAATTGCCGTCCCACGCGCTCGCCGAGCTCTTACAGACGACAACATTACCTTCGCCACCGCTCCCGGAAGTGACGTTGAGAGTCTTCATACTCTCCATCGAGCTGAAAGTACCCCGCCAACTTCAGCAGACCTTGTAGATCGTGAAGGCTTTGGTGAACTAGATTCCAGCTCTCTCAACTCGGAACACTTTATGTTTGCTCAGCAGACTCCCAACAATTCCATCCTCGTCCAGAGTCAGTTTGAAGTTATTCATGACGATGCAGAGGGTGAACATCCCAATCCTTCAATGCCCCATTCCCGAACAGACGACAATGTCGGATTCGGGCAATCTTCTGCTCACAGTGCTCCAGACGACCGTGATTCAAATATCAACCGGTCCGTTCTGGGATTGGACAACTTGTCATTACATGATGAAAGAGCCTTACAAGCCCAGGATATTGTGTATGGCACCAATTTCGAGACCGCTGTTCCAACCCCTGCGGACGTGGGCTCAGATGAAGCATTGGTCCCGCCTGCTGGTTCTAGCAACAACGATATCGACACGATTACTGCCGCTTTACCCCTCGAACCTCGCGGTCCGGACAGCCCCAGTTCATCCATCGTCGTTGCCACCCCGGCCCGCCTGGAGGATCCGATCGAGGAAGCTTCTCGACTGCAAAAGATTTCGGCATGGTTTTGGGAGCTCGATGAAAACCTGGACCCAGCACCTATTGAGGCCGCTAACGAAGGACATGATGTTGAGCAGGTCGTTGATGACGTCCAAGCGGAAGCTCCTTTCGTTCCAAACCACAATCGAGAACCAATCGTAAACCTCTTGCCTCCTGGCCCAGAAGTTCTGCCTCAAGCCCCTGAACTCCCAGAGCAAAATGCTGTTTTTGGCGTTGACCTCAATGATCCCAACGCTGTGGATGACGCAGAAGATCTTGACGGAATTCTAGAGCTCCTTGGGATGGAGGGTCCATTGATCGGCATGGTTCAGAACATCGTCTTCAGCCTTTTTCTCATCACCGTTACACTTTCCGCAAGCATCTGGTGTCCTTACATCTGGGGCAAGATTGCTTTACTGTTCATTTTGAACCCTGTGGGAATGCTGGTCAAGGCTCCGCTGTTCGCCTTGTCAAGGGCTGCAGATATCGTCGTTGATGTCATCTTTTTCGTCAGTGGCCTCGCTGGACTGGTGCTCAATCCACCGCTTAGACTTCTCAGGACCCTCGGCATGTCCGTTTTTCCAGCAATCGGCTCATTCATCAACCCTGAGGCTCTGCAGGCCTTTACTCTGGACCTGAGTCAGAAAAGTGGCACACGGCTCGAGAAAACTTTGGCTGGTGCCATCACAAACTTAAAACCAGACCTTCCATCGTTCTCGATGCTATCACACTACGCCTTGAGGACACTGAGAGCAAATATCAAAGAATTATTGCGCACCACTGGCACTTTTGTGCTGCAACTTCAGTCATTCCTCTCTGGTGATGCGTCAAGCCCGCGGTCCATCGCGGCGGCTTCTCTTCGATTTGTGTCCAATCTCCCGCATATCGCAACTACAACTGCGCATTGGTTTCTCGACTGTGCGTACAATCTACAAGACTTTGTCATCAATTTCAATGTGGAACCACCTATGCGGCCCGATTTCGTGGATGACGCCCCGGTGGCTTGGAGCACTGAAGACAGAATTACTACCATCATATTAGGGTACATCTTCTTCTTGGCTGCTGGTGTTGCTTTCCTGAAGCTGGCTCATCTTGTGCTTGGACTCCAAGAAAATGAAAAGGTCGAAGGCTACTTTGCGGACTCGCTGAGGCAGACTGGAGGAGTCATGAAAGTCATCGTTATCATTGGAATCGAAATGCTGGTGTTCCCTCTTTACTGTGGCTTGCTCCTCGACATTGCTCTGCTGCCACTATTTGCCGATGCCACCATCGCCGGCCGTTTGGCTTTCATGGCCCGGGCACCATTCACAGGTATATTCATCCACTGGTTCATCGGCACCTGCTACATGTTCCATTTCGCCCTTTTCGTGTCGGTTTGCAGAAAGATACTCCGCAAAGGTGTTCTATACTTCATACGCGATCCAGATGACCCCACTTTTCATCCAGTGCGGGATGTTCTGGAACGACCGGTACCGACTCAGTTAGGGAAGATCGCTTTCTCCGCCCTGGTTTATGGCGGATTAGTTATGGTCTGCTTAGGCGGAGTTATCTGGACCTTGAATTCGACGGGCATCGTTTTCCCTATCCAATGGTCGACCGCGGAGCCAAAGCTGTCATTCCCTATCGACATCGTCTTCTACAACTTCATGCTTCCTTTGTTCCTTCGGAAGACTGATCCATCCAAAAAGGTTCAAGCCATGTATAAATGGTGGTTTCGTCAATGCGCCAGGAAGCTAAGGCTTTCTGCTTTCCTTTTCGGAGAGGATCGTCCTGAGGAGAAGATTGAACACCCAGGGAGTAAACTGTCTTTGATCTTCCAGCTCTTGGCTTCACGCTCAAACACGCCTCGTGAAGGAAAATATGTTCGTGCACCAGCTTCTGACTCTGTGCGGATTCCTCGTGGCCAACAAGTCTTCCTCGACGTCACCGAAGACAACCAACGCCTTGATAATGCACCGGACCATGATCTCGGCATCCACGGCAGAAACGATGAGAGATTCGTCAAAATCTACCTTCCCCCCCATTTTCGAGCGAGAATCGCTACATTCATCCTCCTTCTCTGGGCATTTGCCGCCACTACCGGTGTTGCCGTCACCATTGGTCCTCTGCTATTGGGGCGGAGCATTCTTCACTGGTTATCTAGGTCGAACCGTCTTCCGAATGACCTATATGCCTTCACAGTGGGTCTACATCTGTCTGCAGCAATGGCATTTACAGCATTCTATGCTCGACAAAGTGCCGCTAAGATCTCTCTGAACTCCGGGCATTGGCTCAGCTTCTCTCGAGCGGCGATTGCCCAGGCTTTCTCTTTTATGCGATACCTCCTCGGGCTGGCGTACCTGGCAACTTTTACAAGCGTTGTTCTTCCAGCAGGACTTGCCGTTATAACGGAGCTCTATATTTTGCTTCCGCTATTCGACTATATGAGCTTACGGAAACCTGATCAGAGCTCCACAATAAGTAAGGATTTTGGTGGTCGTACTGCGACCATTTTTATCCTCCAGACTTGGACCCTAGGCATACTGTATCTGCGCCTTCTACTCCGTCTGTTTCTCACCTATTTTGCCAGGGATACACAGGCTGCAAGAGCGATTCAAGCAATTGGACGGAATGGGTACATGCGGCCAGACGTCAAACTGGCAACCCGGGCTCTCGTGATCCCGCTGACCGTGATTTTCACACTCCTCCTCGTGACACCGGTTGGAATTGCAAGGGTTGCCATTCTTGTATCACGAATACAGGATGAACAGACCAGAACTCAAGTCTATCGTGCAGCATATCCAGGTCTTCTTGGATTATGTGTCCTTTGGTATGCATGCTGGTCGGTGAAACAAGTGATCACGGGGTGGAGAATCAAAATTAGGGATGAAGTATATCTGATTGGCGAGAGGTTGCACAATTTTCATGAACCCAAGCCTGAAGTCAAGATCTTGAGGTTGGGGAAACAGACATGAATGAGGTTTGAAGGGTGTCTCGGCAGTGTTGGCCTCTAGTCGAGAATGGACATCGGATACATAGCGATTGCGAGTTATGTTAGAGAAATCTCCTGGGCGGAATTAATAGACGAAACTATAACTAGGTAGAGAATTGTGATAGCGATAAGATGTGTCTATACAAAGGGTGAAGCAATTGATTGTCACGCCCAATCCCAGCGCTAGCACTCTGGACTTTGATCTTGCCCTTATTGAGTGAGGGTAACTTCTCGGTAAAAGACAAACTATTCTAATCATAGTGTCTATTGTCAAATATCAGGGAATTTAAACAAATTGCCCTGATTGATCTCAATCTCGACTAGTGTAGATCAGCTATCCTAACGTCCATTTCTACCCCCAAACAACCCCGTCGTAACTCACGTGGCTGTCAAGCCCTTTTCGGGTCTGTCCTGTCTGTCCATCTATCTCTTGCATTTCATTCCAGTACTCGTCCGATCTGTAACCTCCACCCACTCTTGCCAAAATGTAAAGCAAAGTAAAGACCACATGCTCATGTATGCATATGTCAAGCCGTAGTGCAGAGCAAGGAGAACACTTTGAGCCTCCCCATACTTACAAGGTATAGATGAAATCCGGACGATTATCACCCGCGACCCAGATCTGTTCCGCCGATTTCCCTTCATGCATCCTGTCCCTCTTTCCAGAGAGGCGCTTATGGTTCTCGATGCGCAACATGACATGCATGAAGATGGTGCCACCCAGGAGGCAAACCACCAAATAAGCCAGGACGACTCCATGACCAGTCCAGAACCGGGGCGCTTCGCTAGTGATATAGATATTAGAACTGACCACACCGTTGAGATTGCCCCAGCCGACGACAATTCCAATCACCACACCTCGCTTATACACTCCCTCGATGTTGTTGGAGCACCATGAGAGTGTATTGGCGATCGTCGGGTAAATGCCGATCGCACCGAGGAATGTTCCGGCATATTGGACCCGTGGTTTATCCGTCGCAATCAACATAATGAACCCGACGATCGCGCTGGTGACGACTGCCATGTTACAGTACCCGCGCCAACGGGTGCGGTCGGCAAGCCAGCCGATGAAAATCGTCATGGACGCTGCACACGCATATGGCGGCACGGACAGCAACTGCGCATGAGTCCCTGTATATCCCATCCCACGAAGAATCGTCGGAAGGAATAAAGAGAACGCATATAGTGGTGCAAGACAGCCCATGTATATGAACGCATAGCCCCATGTTTTCCAGTCTTTGAGAGCTGCATAGATGTGTCTCTTATCATAATGTTCAGCGGTGCTGGATTGTTTATCCTCGGCGAGGCGGCGACGGATCCGGATTCGGTCGTCTGGAGTCAGGAACCGCGCTGTGTCTGGCCAGTCGAAGACCATCCACCAACAAAATAGACCGACGAAAACGGTCGCTAGGCCTTCGATGATGAAAATCCATGCCCAGCCGGATTTGCCGCCGATGCCGTCCATTTGTGCGATGGCCGCGGCCAGGAGGCCTCCAAAGGAGCCGGCAAGTGCTGCGGCAGAGAAGAAGGTCGCTGCGCGAACGCCGAGTTCGCTTCGTTTGTACCAGCATGATAGATAGTAATTAACACCTGTGGTGAGAATTAGAACTGATTGTAAACCGCAAGGCCGAAGTGGATCCTCTGAGGTGGGGAGGAGGAAGGAGTGATAGACGGGAACATACCTGGGAAAAGGCCTGCCTCAGCGAGACCGAGGAACCATCTTGCGGCGAGGAGGCCTGCGAAGTTAGTCACAAGGCCCATTAGGGTCATGATGAGGCCCCAGGCGACAATAATTCCGGTGAAAAAGATTCGAGGAGTCAATCGCTTGAGCATGACGTTGGTGATGGGCTCTGCTAGTGCATAACTAATCTAGAGATTGGTTAGCCTCAAGGGAGTGTATTTGGAAGTAGGGTGATTGTTGACAACATACGAAGAAAATAGTCAATGCCAGGTTATAGTCATGACCCTCCATGTCCAAGTCGAGCTCCATGCCTGCCAGACGAGCATTGCCAATGTTTGTTCTATCCAGAAACGAGAGGAGATATCTGTGTGCGTTCGACCCACGTGTTAGTAACGGATAAGAAGACATCAAGACACCCACAGGCGCCAAAGGCGAGAAACCACTCACAGCAAGCAGAGCCATGGAATCAACCATAGGTCGACTTTCCACATCAGAGCTCGATCCTATGCAATCAATTAGCACGCTGCAAGAGCGAGAACGTAAGTGAATACCCACGATTTTGGCTCTTTCCTCTGGAGTTTTTCCTGCGTCGGGGTCCGGAAGGCCGTCGAGAGACTCTGACCGTTCAATGCGGACATCTCGGTCATGGCTTTCCTTCCTCTCCGACGGAGGCGAGGGGGTGTTGTACTCAGCGTCCTTTTGGGTGGCAGCCATGGTGTATTAAGGGATAATGTCAAGCTGGTATTGGCATTCAAAACTTGAAAACGAGGAGCAGATCTCAAACATGTTATAGATTTGAGAAAGGGTCTCCCCCCCAATCTCTCCTCCACCACGGGGTCGTGCTGACCAACATCGTGGAGTAATCCAATCCACAGGGCCAGCGAAAATGGCCCAGTAAACCATGCCGTCACATTCGTTCCACAGATTCTATGCTTCGCCACGTCGTGGTAATCTCCCGCCCGACATGCAGAAGTTGTTCTTGCTGGACACGATATCCATCCACGAAGGGGAAACCAAAGTCTTGGTTTGAGCAACCACCGTTGATACTTTGGCGCCAATTCAAGTTGATGATTCGTCGTTGCAGTTCTATGATGATGACCGGGCGGCGGAGAATGACCCAGTGGCTGCATCGCCAAGGGCTTGGACCTCCTTGGCCATCTATTGCCGGTCGCATTGCTTCCATTCTTCAAAGTTTAAGCGGCCTTGGTGTAGCCCAGAAGCTGCTTGTATCGAAGGCTTGAGGAGGCTAAGATCGGCGTGGTAGATGTGCCAAGTCAGTGACACGCCCGTTGCTTCTGCATAGAAGCCTCTAGCCGAATCGAATCTTGCCACAGCCGAACCCACTTGCCGTGCATGAGACGAGATACCTCGATGGCAAATTCTACCCCATTCTCATATCTCTGAGAGAGGGATGCACGGGGTTGGATGTCGGACAGATGGAGTTCAACTTGCGGGGAACGGGGAACGACAATCCTTGCCTCTTTTTACGCAAGGTAACGTTGCTGAAAAATGCAAGATCACTCCCCGAATTCTACCATCGTGATCATGTATCTAGTTGACTAATCACGTTTGCAAAGACGGATAACAACGGCAGTGTTGTTAATGCTTGTCTAGATAACCATTGCTCTTGCGAGATTCGTCCGAAGTATGGCGGTGAGCAACCTCAGGCTAGTCTGCTTCAAGATCCAAAGTCCAGATAGATACCTGGATCTCGCAGCCGCGGCGGTGGTGAGATTCACTTGCCCAGCCGGTGATCTCTTTCGGTGACGATACCCAGTTCCCCACAAGGCAACTGCTACAAGGTCATCATGCCATCGGCCTTGCCATCAGAAATGTAAAAAGGTAGTTCGGGTCTGTAACAGCCTAAGGAGCAGTACGCTGTTTATGATATTATAGATTATGTATAGTGTTCATCAAAGATCTCCAATGCTTCGCTTTGCCTCCGACCCACTTTCAATAGATCAACACCTTTGAAATGCAACGCGAACTACGTACCTCGCGTCCTAGAACTAGCGTGGGCTAAATATGGGATAAAGAAATGTTGTCATGTCCAGTGCATCACCTCAGGATGCGTAGGAAGAAATTTTGCACATCGGCACGAGTCTGGCAACCACAAGATCAGTGGTCTGTTCTCTCCAACGATCACAAATTCCAGAAAAGTTCGAGCCTTGGGGGCGTTGTGTGTCAACACCCCACAGCTGTTGGTACTCCAAGAGTAAGCGCCAATGGAAGACCAGGTACTCCGCTATGCAGACGAGACTGCACAGCTTGATACTCGAATCGTGTGGCATACCAAAGCTGTATCAGGGCGGCCCCAGTCGCTTAGACTTTGTCGACCGGTGTGGTGGTCTTGTCTTCAAGACCGTGGGCTTGAGTGAGCCTCTTTTCTGCTTGGTCAAGAACATCACCGTGCACGGTAACTCCAAAGACATCGACGTCGGTGGTTGCGAATTTGCGTGCGCTGACCTTGTGTTCGAAAAGAAGGTCTAGTTCAGCGAACGAGCGCCCGGCAGGTTCTGGCACCCGGAAATAAGTGTATATAATGCAAAGGAAGCATGCTCCCGCCCTGACAAGGGTTAGTGACGATAATGCAGTCGTCCGGATTTGCTTACCAGAAGAAGCCAGCATAGTTACCCCAATTCCATTCACCGGGGTTCAACATGAACGGAGTGATGACCGAGCAGACGATACCCACAACATTGTACAAGTTGCGTCCAAGGACGACAGTCTTGATCTGCAATCTCCTAGTCGACATCTCGGCGACCAATGAGTAGCAGACTGTGCCAACAGACAATTGGTACACAGCTGCCCAGATGATCATGATGCTTCCAGTTGCCAGGGCAGCGGCATTGCGGTCCGAAGGAATACCGAGAAAGCCCATGATCATGAGCATGAGGAACAGACCGCAGAGTCCATACAAGAACAGAGTCCTGCGACCAATGCCCCAGCTCATTAAGAGCCACGCTCCAAAGACTCCGACGATGTTGATGCTGTACTGTCCAAGAGCAAAGCTGTACGAGGTCGATGGATCAAGACCGGCTTGAGTCAGGAAATACGAAGAATAGCCACTGAAAGAGTTCCCGGACAAGTTTTGGATAGCCCAGCACAAGCACACGATCTCCGTCCGACGTAAATCGGTGCCCTTGAAGCAGTCCCAATAGCTCGCTCCTCCTGTCAAATCTTGCTCGAGAGCGGTAGTATGAGCAATCATGGCGACTGTTTCATCCACATCGAAGTCGGTTTCCTTGTTGAGGCTGGTCAGTCGAAGCAGTGAGGCTTTTGCGTCAGCTACCCGGCCTTTTCGTACAAGCCACCACGGACTTTCTGGGGCCATGAAGATACCGACGCCTAGTGGGAGGGGCCACATCCACTGAAGGGCATAGGGAATGCGAAATGACCACTCAGACTCGATAGGGAGGCAAGCCTTGATGGCACCAATCCCAATGAGTTGGCCGATACCCCAGCAACAATTGACATAAGTGGTAAGATAGCCTGGATTCAAGTCAATTATCAGAGGAACCTTGGAAGAATGGGAAATAAATTACCTCGTAATGCAACTGGACAGACCTCGGAGGCATAGGTGATGGTCAGGGTCTGGAATACACCCCATGGAATTCCAGACAAGAAATAACCCGCAAACAAAATCTGGACATCCTGGGCGGTGAACAAAATGGCGGTAAAGGCCGCGACCAGGAGCAGTGAACCCATGGTCGTCCAACGATAACCAATCCATTCCGAAACCCAGCCGTTGATGAAGAGTCCGAGGATCTGGCCGACCTGAGAACCGTTCTGCAAGCCAGCTTGCCATGGGGCGGTAATCTCAAAAGATCCGTCTGGGAGCTGTTCGCCGAACTGCTCCTTGAAGCGTGGAAAGTTGTAGAAATTGGGTAAAAGACTAACATCGAAGCCTTCCATGGCAATGCAGGTACTGATTAGGATGCTCCAGCCAATAGCCTTGGGGTAGAGTCGAACACCCTGGATCAAAGTCATCTTGCGCTCATTATCAGTGGCAGCTTTTGCACCCCTGATAACGGTACTGTTGGTTCGCTCTGGGCCGTGAGTGGCCTCGTCATGCTTTTCGAGGGGGACCATGGTTAGGGAGGCCATGGTTCTGGGGCCCCGCGTTTGAAATGGTAACGAGGGTCAATATCTGGGGAGGATGGGAAGCTAAGTATGTACGATGTGTGTTTACATAGATCCGCGAAGAAAGGTTTACTGACCCTGACGAGGTCCGGAGAATTGTCGCCCGAGGGGGGTGGAAACAGTGGCAGGGAGTTGAGTTTTCCAAGTGGAGTCCGTACGGAGTAGAAGTTCCATCGTAAGAAGCGGGTCAAGAGTCCGCGAGAAGAGGATTTACACGGCACCAAAAGGCGAGGTCACCCGCATTCACCTGGAGGTTCGTCATGTCCGTTGAGAGACATGGATGTACCGTATGGTGGCAGGTGACACACTAAACTTGTGTCGTGCATTGAGGCGCGTCTGGCGAGCAGAGGATGAACTCTTCTGTGCTGGGAATGGGAATGTTTGCCTCTTCGTGTATCGTTGAACCAAGAAATTGGTGGGAACTCCGAAAATTACGCCAAGCCATATACGGCTAGTTAGTCACGTGAGTATCGGACTTCTGAGGAAGGTGCGACTCTCATTGGGTCTTTATCGACAGAAAGGAAGGTACGGAGTAGATGATGACCAGGGGAAAGAGGGGTTGGTAGTAGTAATACATACAATCGATGCCGATTTTGACTTGTGTATGAGTAGCACTTGAGAGTATGTGCTGTGTACTGAGTAGGTACCTAATGCATCGGAGACCTAGCTCCAAATAGCTAGTGACCCGCCGTGGTTGGAAGTCAACGAGATCGACGAAACATTTTGCCGCTGCTTCTTTCTGGTCATCAAAGACTCGCAGTCCTGCGCCTTTATATCGATACATCTCGACGCACACGCATATATTGATTGCAAGTTATGATAATCTATCTGAAGTTGTCGCTGCTTCATAGTCAGCAGCGTGGTCCGGTGGCAAGTTCGGTGTACTAATGTACGGAGTACCCCGTACTGCACTTTTCGAGTATGTTCTTGGGTTTTAACTCTCTATCCATTCCTCTCATTATTGCGTACTGTACAGTGGCACCTGTGCCTCCTTGGCTACGAGTAATCCTGCCCAACCTTCCAAGTGCTGGCTCAATGTAACGTTGGCAAGTTGCATGTCCCCACCCGAGTCGACAATCCTTTCCCCTCTCGATCTTGGAGCGTTCATACTGGTGGCTAATGAGTGGGATCATGTCCACTAACCAATTATCCTTTGATTCATGCATCCCCTCTTCTACTATTCATAAGTAGGCATACTTCGTTGAAAATCCGTATGTGGGGCTTGCTTGTATCACGTGACCACGCGCGACGCCTTGAAGTTCAGCAAGCTGGTCAATTTCGACCTCTTGAACTTGAAAAGCAGACCATCCAACGTGACCGACCAGAAATGCTGGAATCAAGTATACCTTCCCTTCCAGCTATAATTCGGCAGACTTGTGTTGTTAAGCTTGGCGATCCTTGATCGAAGCTCTGCGTTGTCGTCGGCCTGAATTTTGAATGAAACGAGCAAATCCTGGTACTTTTCGTTGAGTTCTTCGAGTTGGGTTTCAATGCCCTTGACGTATTGGAGTTTTCTTTCGCGGAATAGGCGTTGGGATGCTCGATTCTGTGCTCTACGTCTCTTTGCTCGGTTAGTTCTCGTGCCCGCCAGGTAGGAAATACCCATCGTACGTGGTGTCTTTTCTCTTCAGTCTCGCCGGCTTGCTTGGTTTGAGATTGATGGCGGATGTTGGTCTCCTGGTGCTTGTCTTGCGCCTTGGAAGCTTCAGGATGTTCTGGAACGATCTTCATATCGTTCAGGCAATCTTGATCCCACTGGAACCACATATCTTCTCTGAGAGATCTGGCATCTTCCGCCACGAACTGATCCTGACAACCGTTTAGCTTTGGGGTAAGTCACTGCGCTTGGGAGAACCGAACCAGCAGTGCATTGATTTCTGATGGAAACTCGACTGATACGGGGTCTATCTCGCTAGTATCCCCTGATGATGTACCCGATGTTGGATAGCTAACGGCGAAGTAGTCCATGACGGCTGCTATAAGGACAGTCTAAACAAGGTATATTGTTTCTTCCGATGATTTATTTACTTGAGATTTTGAATTGGAATAGAATGTACCCTAGATATAGATTCATATGTCGTGGTGTAGAGTAACGACATTAAGAAGCGTGTAGTGTTATACGGCTACCACTTACGGTTAGAACCTCTCCACAGATTGTACTTGTCTCCGATCGAGTAATTACTTAAGCCACATGGCTGACAGAGCGGACATCACAGTCTTGAGATAGATGTCCTTTCGTCTATTTTGGAATTCCCTTGGCCAGGACTTCATAGTGCAGATTCCCTATCTGGTAACTGTCAACCCGAGTTCCGTCCTGGCGGTCCTCACCTTCCCCCAGCGTCATAGAGCAGTGTGGCACAAAACCTCGTATTGGTCCACTGGCAAAAGATCGGAGAGTCGACCTGCAGCTTACTCACCACAAGACACGCAAGGTAGCTACTACGCTATAGCCCCTTTGTGTTTCAAGTGCGATGGGCCGATTATGGCGGTCGCCGCCAAGATCTGGAAGAGTCATCCCACCGGGCGACATTTTAAAGGGTATATGAAGAATTTGTTGACCAAACCCCCAGACTGAGCGGAAAGATGTTCTTTCAAGGAAACGCCGGGTGCTTAGTCAAGGGGAGTCTGGGCATACACATAAACCCATCATTCGGTTCTCGAAATCGGTAGCAGATTTACGAAGGTGATTGGATCTTTTCAGACCCCATATGTAAAATACCTCGGGGAGATGGTTAACTGCTAGAAGCGTTGGAAGTAGGGACATAGACGACTGCCATAATCTAGTGTTGTGGAGCCAAGGCCAAAGGCGAGGGATTTCGCTAAGATGCTCGGTTCGCCAGCAGACAGCCATGGTTTCGAAACAGCCACAAGGATAATAGTTTCAGTGGAATATAATCAACGGATATCCCACAGTCAGGTCGAGGTGTCACTTGGGAGAGGGGCCTATATTACATAGGGTTCGATACCGTCAGGACCCGAAGAGGTCAGAGATCGGCTCTCAACTGGGTTCCAACCAACCTGCATCAGAGCTCGGACGATATTTCCGAATCGGCTGGAACACTGGCTTCCATGATATAAGCACATCTTGCCGGCGGTGACCCGAGGAGTCCTATGTATAAAGACAGAAAGGTCACTGAGCTCGATGTAGTCAAGAGTTGCTAGGTCAGGAACCAGGCTAGCCATAGTGGCACATGGTGGCTAGATCAACGTCGTATCTGAATTCTGAACGAACGCCATCGGTGGCCCTACATGAGGCATGATGAGGTTGAGTTGCCAATGATGGGTTGTGTTCCTCCCTTGAATGCTGAATCCTTCTAGGCGATTGCGTATCTATGAAGGAAGCAGCGAAGCGACGTTCTTGCCTTGGGCTATTCCGGCCGCTCCTACCCGTTCGTTGTAGCTTGGTCGATCATTGTCTTGGCGATCCGCCTCGGATCCTAATGGATTTCAATGGATTTCAAGCCCTCCACCCCCCGCCCTCGCATCGATCCTCTTCTCTTCACCATCTCTTCTATCTACGCCACGCAACGTCATTGCCAATAGTGTGTCCCCATGGCCAGCTGCCAGCCTCATGCTTTCCTGTGTGTGACCTTCCTAAGCGGGCCACAGCTGCCACAGGTGCACAGGTAGACCTGGTCGGTGGACATGCCAAGCACAGATTAACCGGGGAGCTGCCTAGGACGGAGTCGACTTAGACCCTGCTGTCACCTAGATTGTGCTTGTTTATTTCGATAAGCCAAAGTTCCCATCATTCGAGCTGCCAAATACGGTCAGGTAGTTTGACTTCGTCTGCTTGTCCTGACATACAATGTGACTGTATGATGCGTCGTGGTCCACTTGATGATCGACGTCCATGCGTCTGTGTGTCTTGTGTTGCCACAATCCGCCTGTCACGACGGTATAGAAAGGCATACACCACCTCTCATATGCTCTCAATTTCCCATCGTGTAAGTATCATTTGCGAGCACCGTAAAAATGAAGTATTCCTTGTCTCTTTGCGCACTGGCTGCCTTGGCCGCTCAATGTACCTGTCAAGGTCTTCCTCCAGTCACTACCGAAGAGCTCCAAGCTCTCATCTCTCTGGACGACCTCGTTGCTGGTGCTGAACAGCTCCAGGCATTTGCTGATGCCGACCCTGATGGCAACCGAGCTTTCGGTGGTGAAGGTCACAATGCAACGGTAGACTATCTCTTCGACACTCTCAACGCCACCGGCTACTACAATGTCACTCGTCAAGAATTTGTCGAACTCTTCTCTGCCGCCTCAGGCTCTCTCACCATCGATGACGAGGAAACAGAAATTGGGTTTTTTACCTACACTCCAAGCGGGAACGCGAGTGCGCCACTTGTCGCCGTCGCCGAGTTGGGCTGCTCCAGTGATGACTTCCCTGAAAACTCGACCGATGCAATTGTCCTCATTTCACGTGGTGAATGTACCTTTGCCGAAAAGGCTTCCAACGCTTTGGCTGCAGGAGCCGTTGGTGCCATCATCTATAACAACATCGAAGATCAGATCGCCTCAGGAACTCTGGGTGGTGTCGGAGACTACGTCCCAGTTGTTGGCATCACTTTAGAAGACGGTCAATCATTTCTAGCCTTGCTCGAAGCCGGTATGAATGTCACAGCCGAGCTTGAGGTCAGCGCAATCCTCGAGAATCGAACCACATTCAACGTCATTGCCGAAACCCTTGGAGGCGATCACGACAATGTCATCGCTGCCGGAGCCCACACTGATTCGGTTTTTGAAGGGCCAGGGATAAACGATGACGGCTCCGGGACCATCGGAATCTTGACCACGGCTCTAGCCCTCACGAACTTCACAGTCACAAATGCAGTCCGCTGGTGTTTTTGGAGTGCCGAAGAGTTTGGCCTACTTGGTTCCACCTACTATGTCAGCCAGCTGAATCAAACAGCCAGCGAGATCGCCAAGATCCGTGCTTATCTCAACTTTGACATGATCGCCTCGCCCAATTATTATCTGGCCATCTATGATGGTGATGGCAGCACATTCAACTTAAGCGGACCTCCCGGCTCTGCCGAGATTGAATGGGATTTCCAGGCGTTTTATCTGACCCAGGGCGTCAATTACAGTGCCAGTGCATTCGACGGTCGATCCGACTACGGACCTTTCCTCGAGAACAATATCCCTGCCGGTGGTCTCTTCACCGGTGCTGAGGATTTGAAGACTGAGGAAGAAGAATTAGCCTACGGCGGAACTGCCGGGGAAGCGTACGACGACAACTACCACAAGATCGGTGACAATATCACCAACCTCGACTTGGATGCCTGGTTCCTCAACACCAAGAGCATCGCCAACTCGATCGCCTTATATGCCACGGGCGGAGGCCTGGACAGATTTCCCCCGGTCACGGCCCCTTCGGTCAAACGCCACTGGCAACCCTCGGTCAGGAAGGCCAAGAGAGCCGTTGCGCACCAGGGTCACTCGCACTGCGGTTCAGAGGACCTGGCAATCTAACATCATGCAGTGGCAGGACTCTATGACTTAACGACATACAATTATATGAAATGCTTCAAATCATTTCACTCCCTAATGATATCCATCATTCAATCCTTTCTAAACCACGTGGCCTTGCTTAAACCTGTAGTATCCGTATTCTAACATGCAAACTTTTTCACGTATCTATGTCTTTGGTCGGAAAAACATCGTCAGGGCATCATGTAGAGGCTCGCTCATCACCAGTCTCCGCTGCGGTGTGGTCCTCCTTCTCACTCTTTTCACGCTCTGCGTCATTTTCCTTTTGCTCGGTCTGCATTTCCCTCAACTGCCTCTCGACCTCTTCCCGATTCAAGTCTTCCAAGCCAGCTGTTTGCAAGATACGACCCATAAGGAACCGATACTGGGTGTGGCCATCGACGAAAGAGGACACATCGACGTTCTGGACGCCTGGAACATCTCGGACGGCCTGTAAACCCGCAATGCCATATTGCAAACTGCTGGTTCGATACAAAATGCCGAGCAGGTAGTCGTTGGTGGAATAGACATTGATCAGCCGCCCAGTGACCACCGACCGCATTTTGCGCCATGCCAGAGAGTCCGAGGGTGTTGCACTTCCAGCCAATACGACCGACTCAACCAATCCAAACGCACGACGCTCCGCAAGCTCATTCAGACATGAATATATCAAGCGTGAACCCAGGGAGTATCCCACCAACGTCACGGGTCGTTCGCCTTGGACTTTTTCGATCAGAGCATGGGCTAGAACCACACCTGCCTTCTCACTGCGTGATCGCGCCACGCTAAAAGGATTGTCCACCATTTTGGTCATTTTGGCTATTCCGTATGGGAGAGTGAGAGCCGAGGCCAGCGTAGCGAATATGGTTCGGCTGATGACCTCCTTCTTGGCCCACCCCCAGGCATAGCTTCGAATGTATGCCGTCAATGCACTCCCCAGGGCCAGAAGTGTGTCGAGCTCCCAGCGAAGTGCGAATCCTTCGATACTGTCGCCGATTGGGGTCCAAGGACTGGTTACTTCAGCCTCATCCGTCAGATAGCCCGAGACGCCAATGGCAACTCGGAGATGTCTGGAATTCTGTTTGTCTCCTGTCTTGTCTTGGAGTGGGATGAATGCAAAATCCTCCACTTCTTTGGCATACTTGTCTGTAATCTTTGCGGTCATTCGTCCTCCATAGGCACCAAATAGAGCACCGACCAGAGGGGCACTCCCAGCCATCGCTCCAAGATACCCTGCCGTTGCAGTGGCTCCAAGCCCAATCCCGCCCATGACGGAGCCCACGCCAGCGGCGAGTAGAGGAGCAGCAAGTCCTCCTGTAACACCTATGAGGATGGCACCAGCTGCGGCACTTAGCCCGACTTTCCATTTTCTTGACGATGCGTTCGCTTCGGCTCTTCTCTTGGTCTCTGGGTCGGCATCCATTTGCTGTTTAGCTGATTCGAGAAGCCCTTTGGCGACCTGGTTCTCGTCTTCGGTGAGAAGTTTCATTGGAAGCTTCAAGGAGCTTGTTACTCGGAGTAGTAGCACTCGAGATTCCGCGGTATAGGACTCCAAGCTGAGAAGAACGAGTAAGAGTGAATGGAGAATCAACACACGCTGATCTTGAGGAAGCTCCCTTAGCGGCGTTGGTTGAGGGGGGTATAGTTCTCGTAAGGCACCATCTAAGTCATCATCTTCCATGTCCTTGATAGTCACTTTGGTCTGAGTTTCTTGTTGTGGCGGAGAACCCTTTGTCCGAGCTCCGCCATCCTGTTGTGTGTGGTTGATGATTTCGCCCACACGTTGGATAACCTTGTCTCGCCAGCTGTCGAAATGAGTGATCGCAGCATCTTTCAGATCAACCAATCCCTCGTCAGACAGTTCTGCTTTCCTACGTTCGTAGTCCTTCTTTTGTTGGTCGTCGGACTTTTGTTCTTGGTTCACTGATGGCTCCGTTCGAACAGAAGAACCTGGGTCATTTGGTAGATGAATGTCATCTGTAGAGCGGTGATTGGCAGTTTCTCCGCCAGCTACAGGATCGAAATTGTTCAAGACTTCGAGTCGCATGAAACCCATGCAATTCGCAAGCAATAGGAGAAACTCTGAACGATCCTCATGACTGGCTAGAACGGTGGTGAGAGACTCTTCATGCTGCTGGTTCTCCTGCTCTCCGTGAGTCGGTAAGGCTTTGGCAACCTTGTTGAAAAGCGATGACATGCTCTTGGTTTGTCAGGTATTCGTGTCCTGATCAAAAATTAGGAATCTTCAAGAGATTTCGTCAGGCGAGATGTTGAGATATCAAGGGATGACGCGATGACATCACCAGTGGAGAAGGCCCCAGGGCCCCCTGCAGATTGTCTCTCTAAGTAATAGCGCCCGCTGGGTGGAACGCCCGAGGCGCCCCCTCGGCCCCCGCGGCCTATCTTGTACGCCTAAAGGTTGATCTTACCTCACGTGTCATCTACATTACTCTGTGCTGCTCGTCTTTGATGGTGGTTCAAGATGTGTTCTCTCGTTGATAGGATTATAAAACGACTTGGGAAGCAGAATGTCCTCAGTCTGCTGAATTACATTCGCACACCACCTGATACCGAGCCTGACTTCGGGGGCCTCCCCCTCGACTAGAAATCACGTGTTGCATGACTTCCACCTCCTTCGATGGTCAATCCATCAATATGCATAGAACAAGGTTGTCTCGTCCGAGCTTTGACGGATCCGCTTGTTGATCCTCATGAGCCATATCTTCATCATCCAGGCGCCAGCAGCAGTCGCCACCGAGAATGCTGCACTACTAGACATGGCAGTGACATATCGAGGTTCATCAGACTTTGGCCAGAGGTACTAGAATATCGTTAGCGATGGTAGCTTCCAGATTAAGACAGTGTCACTTACCGGTGTCCAGATGAACGACACATTGGCGCACGTATTGACAATAGCTAGCGACGAGGCTTTCTTCTCCTTCGTTTGCCCGCATGTGGCACCGACCCAGCCGAGAATGATGCTATTCACCGCGTATGTTCCAATAGAGAAGACAACCATAGCAAAGTAACGCGCCCCTGTGTTCAAGGTAGCACAACCAAGAACGAATCCAAAGACTGCTATCGCCTTGGCAACGGTGATATGCCATGTCCGCTCGTTATACCTGCCAGACGACCATGACCAAAAAACGGAAATGAATCCAGCGATCAGATATGGAGGACATGTAAGCACTAGAGTGATTGTCGTGTTGAATCCCAAAGTCTTGACCGCCGTTGGGAAAAAGTTCTTAAACCCATTGGCTGCAAGATGCATATGTTGCATAAAGGCGAATAGCCACAACTTGGGATCTTTAGCTGCTTCCTTGAGGCCACCCCAGGTCGAACTTGCGCCTTTGTTTCCGACAACATCACGCTCGATTCTCTCGTGAGCAAGCTGGCGCTCATCTGGTGTGAGCCATCGGGTCGTCAATGGGTTGTCAGGCAACGTGAAGACTGCTCCGATTGCAATGAGACCAGTGACGGAGCCCTGGAGGATGAAAAGCCATTGCCATCCGTGAAGTCCAGCAACACCAGGCTCTACTTCGCCTTCATTGCCTAGTCCGTTGAAGATTCCAGCTGCGATCAAGCCTGCAAATGCGGTAGCCAGGATGTTACCCGTATAGAGAATAGAAATGCGAGTGGCGATCTCCTTCCGGGTGTAAAATATGGACAACATATAAAGAGCGCCAGGATAATAGGGTGCTTCGACCACTCCGAGGAAAAACCGGGTAAGGAGTAGTCCTTTGAAGTCCTTAGAAAGAGCAGTGAGACCAGAGATGAGCGCCCAGAGCGTCATGCAGCCCGACATATAGTAGCTTGGTCGGGTTCGAGTCAAGAACATGTTGCTAGGCACCTGACCGAGAATGTAACCAACAAAGAGAATGCTGACACAAGTCTGGTATTCACTCGAAGTGAGGTTGAGATCGTCTTCCAGGTCGTCCAACCGTGCAAGGGCAATGGCATTACGGTCAAGATAGTTGAGCCAATACATGGCCCAAAGAGTCGGCATAATCCATTTGTCGAGCTTGCGTACCAAGGCTATTTCAGCCGGGTCTGTCTTTTCTTTGGCCCCGGAATAGTCGAGATCTGGATCAGATTTGATGGCCTCCTCGTCATGAAACACTCCTTGAGGTTCTTTTGTGGTACTGATCTCTTTGGTGGCAGGCACCGTTGCAGCCTCCACGGTCTTGGGATCTGGCTGACCAGAAGCCATGATAAATGCAATAAACCCAAACACTGGATGAGATTTTCAGATACAAGAGAATTGGGCAAGGAAATCTGGTGGAGTAGTGGCCAGACGATAGAGAAGACGAAGGTCAATACTGAGGATAAGACAACCTTTTTGTATCCATCCAGCGGTGCCAGATCTGCTGTTATGCTAAGACATGTCTCTGCATCATGCCAACATCCCCCCCTATACAACATCCCGTCTCATTCAAAGTCGGGTCTTTTCGACCTCAGCCAAGCATGGTCTAGGTAATTGCATCGACGAATGGAAGTGGCAATTGGAAGCCAGCGTCACAACGAGCACCTACCATTTGGTGCTTGGCCATAAACGACAATGAGGCATGGTACCAGGTGGAAAGCCAAAACTTGATGCCGGTGGAGGGAACACCCGCAGGTGGCCTCCCCGTCAGCATGAAGAGGTAACAGGGGTTGACCACGAAGGAAGTGATTGCGTGATTGTAATGTTGTCCAAAGGAATCCATACCAAACAGGCATCTGTTCAGGGTAGTCCGCCAAGTGTCTTGGGAATGAATATCAAAACGAGGGACAAAGCCTTGACAAGATCATAGTACTGAATAGTGGCATGATGCAATACCTACGCAGTCTACAACAGCTCATTGTTTTGCTGCACCTTGCCTGCTCCAGCTTTGATCCCCTACTTGGAGGTCTAGACTGCAATGCACTTCTCTCACAGTCTGGCAGGTACTAGATCTCATTCAGCCCCTCGATTGGAGTATGGTGCTAGGAGGGCTACTATGGGGATTGCATCAGATCACTGTCAGAGGCGGGGTCGAAACCTGGGGTCGAACTCCTTCAACCTTGATGCCCTTCGGTGACGCAGGCTGTTCGAGTGGATCGCCGGTCTCTAGAAAGTTGATTGACGTAGATCCGGCAGTAGAAAAACCTGCGAGGTTAGCATCTACATGCCCCGTGATATGCATCCTGATGGCTGGGCAGTGTTGGCAATGCAGCCACATACAACCTTGTGGACTTCAAGCAAAGCGCCACGCTTGGAAATGAGCGTCTCGTCTCGCGCATCGATGGCCAACCTTCTAAAGCCAATTTGCTCCGGCCGGTCTTGGTGTTCTCCGGGGAAAGAATTGTGCATGAGGCAGCCCCCGGAGGCGCCTAGAGAAGACGATAGATCTCATTGGCACAGCTTAATCAGATGGCTTAGTCTTGTCCGACGTAGCCCCTGGAACATGTCCGTACGCGAGAGCCTTGGTTACATCGCGACCTTCCAGAACATCTTAAGCATCATGGGCAACCCCAGATCCAGATTGTCATGGGGCTGTCAAGGCATTTGGCCTGCAAGACAATTCACATGAAGAATCTCTTACCCTGGCATGACAAGATCACCAGGCTCGTTTGTCGGCATTTGTCTACCTCTACGGAAGGAAGTCGGGCGATTCGACTTCTTGACCTTCGCCAGAAATCTTACCCTTCGTTACCTACATCGTTTGCAATCCCGAGACAAATATATAGCGAGCCTGATTCGGCGATACGCTAACGCTGCACAGACGACTTTACACTGCATACGCCTGCTTCCTGAAGCGACGGTGTGGAATGGCAAGACTGGCTGTCAGCACCATAACATGTGCTTAGTCTCAAGGCTTCAGGGTCGGGAAGTTGGCTGGCAGCTTGTGGTAGCTAGGTTCTCGACACCCGTGAGACCTTGAGTACACCGATAGCCCAAACCTCATGATACAATGTCCCACTACTGGTCAGACAATTGGCTCTTCCCCAACCACAGATACCTCTCCACGGCATTACCTATACAATACCAGGGTGTGTTCAGGGAGAACCCATCAAAGTTATGAGCCCAGAATGTCAGAACGAAGTGGACTGATAGCCTGAAAGGCCTTCGATCTACAGCTAAATGCTGCATCCGTGGGGGCGCTCAAAGAATCCCAGGCTTGTCCATTTCTAGACTGGTACCCATCTGACACTACAGGTGCAGTTACATGGGAGCTTCGAAGGAGTCACGCAGCTCAAAGCCGTGTTTCTGAGCCGACCAATTGTCATCCTTTGCCCCAATGCCCTAGGCTAGTGGAAGATAATAAGATTTGCTAGCTGGCTTCTGGAAGCAAGCAGAAGACCTAGACTCTCTATGGATAGGGCTAGTGAACTACAACGCGGATTCTGTTCTAGAGAATATCTCCCAATAGCATAGCTTCAAGGCCGTTCTCATTCAGGTGTTGTCACCTAGTCTCAAAGACATCACACGTTTTCGAGCTCGACAATGCCACACTCGGGCGCACTACGTCTCTCACCGACCCGTGAGCACTTTGATTGCATCGTTGGACGTCAAGTTGGCTAGCTTGCCCAACTCTCCTCTCACGGCCCCAACAGGCCCTCATCAACTGGACCAATAGTAGTCCTCCCAGCAAAGGTCTCAGAGCCACATTCACGGCCGTAGTGTGCAAATCAGAACTCTTTCTCCTTGTTTCCAGGGCGTAAAGTTGTGTTGAGATAGTTGAGCTCCTGCGAGTAGCCCATGAAAGTGTAGCATGACATTTCAGACGCAAAAAACAGTGAGCTCCCGGTAGCCTTGGCGATCTGAGGAGGAGATTTCGTTGGTATACCAACTCTCTGTTTTGGCCAACTCAATGAATGGTTGCGTTTATGGTGAAGTCACACAAAAGTGCATCATCTCGACTATAGATACCGCGGACCTCTTCTCGGGTCCATCTGGAAATAAGCAGCCTGAAACAGGTTATGGACTTCAAATACCTATCCTGCCAAACCCATCCACCAAGGTGCATGGGTCTTTCACTCCATGATATGCTATTTCATCAATGTCACGATTGAGCCAGTGGGAAGCGCATCGGTCCTCTTCGTGGCATATTGGAAGGGACAATTTCAGGTCCGGAAGGGTCGGTCGATGACTAACCAATGCCCGGATGCCAAATCAACGGACACTGTGGGGTAAAGCAATCCATGCGAAATCGACCCGAGGTACTCATGGCAATATACCAATGTGTAAAAAAGAATGCATTTATTAATCAGCTTTCTCGGAGCAGCCTCCGAGATCCTGACGGTGGAGTGTGTCGACCTGAATCCTGGTAAATAATCCGGAGAGCGAGCTCACGAACCTTCAGTTCACCAACCAGCATCACAAAGATACACCCAGTGAGCCAACAACAATGTCAGCCATCATCGATAAACCTGAAGTTGTTGCGGATGAACTCGCCATTCGCAGCCTGGTTGCAAGGTTCGCAAATTCTTGCAGCCCTCCTGATTACGATGCCTTTGCAAAGCTATGGGTACCAGAACAGACTGGGAAGGCTATATGGACACTGACCAAGCCTTTTGAGATGTCCGCAACCGGTGTCGACGAAATTTCGAAAATGCTAGATCGTCTTCTGAGCACCCGAGAGTTTTTCGTGCAGTTGGTTCATTCAGGTGTCGTGGAGGTTGATGGTGGAAAAGCCACAGGTCGGTGGATCTTACGTGAAGTGGCACGCGGTCCTGGGGAAACATACTACAACAATTTTGCGATTTATGAGGATCAATATGTCAAGTCCGAAGGAAAGTGGTATTTTGAGCGCCGAGATTACAAGTACATGTTTCTGGATTCGAGCCCTTTTCAAGGAGATTCGTTTCCTCTGGCTCCGAGATAAGGACTTCATCTCAGGCAGGGGCAGACGTAGGCAAGGCCGATGTATGAATGAAGAAATGACTGTAATTGTCAACGCAGAAGGTTATTGTGAGATGATCGTTGCAACATATGATTTCTACCTGGTGTCTGGTCTTAAAGTAACGGATGAGGTTTTTTATTTACGTGAGGTATGCTTGATGTTGCGAAGCAGCATCGCGAGAATTCTACATGATGGGCAAGCCCTGCTTCTACTACGTTTCGTATTTCAATACCCAGTATCCCCATATGGCACAGCCTCGTTTTTGTCAATCACAGTGAGCTCCTTCCCGATGCTGAAAACTGCATTTTCAAGATCGATGAATTTCTCTTCATCGGGGCGGATTTTGTCGAAATACTCCTGGTCTTCGTATGCTTTCGCCATCATATCATAACTATCAGAATTAGCTGTGTTCAAGAAGGTTGTCCCAGAAGGTGTGACATACTCCTCAATGAGGAACTCTGCAATGCCATCAAAGGTTGGGCCACTTCCCAATGCTTGGCCTTTGGCTTTATGCTCGGGGGTGATGTGAACCTAATTGGGATTTGTACAAATCAATTGGTGGGTGGCTTTCATGGTCATACCTGTGAATATCTGATGATCCCATATCTCCTAAGCCAGGAAGTGACCAAGGGACCATGGTGGTTGGCCCAGTGTCGGTGGAACTCAGCCTCCGTCATCCCCTTCTTACGAGGGACTAGGATGGACACTTTCGTATACTTCGAAGTCGACATTTCTAACAGGTGGGTTCGATGAGAGGGAACTTAGGTACCACTTGAGGGCCTTGTCTCCAGGATGTTTGTATGACTTGTTTTTATAAATCCAAGCTCTCCAACCAGCAGTTGCCAGTATGGCCATGCAAAGGGTGACATATGCTATCATCGCTGATGAATTTGCCGACTCTTTGCTCCAATCCGATATCAACCTCTATCGACCCGAAGACATGCCGCCACTTTTTAAGGTAGATGAGTGTTACTCCGACAATCACGATGGAGACTTTATGAGTCTTGGAAATGCGCGCCGTGTGAAGAAGATTGGTCATCGATCGCTCGAAATTCACATTTCAGCCTGGAACCTTGTGGCCACTGTATAAATATCTCAAATGGCTAATCGATGCTCTCAACCTCTTCATTTGGTATGAGACATCACATTTTTACAGATAAAAGACTGAAGTTCCAGAGCTAGTACCCAAAATATCTAGAAATACCCGAACGCCGACAACATGATTGCACAAAGCCAGATCACACTGTACACGGCGATGTCGCCAAATGGACACAAGGTCGCGATCGCGCTCGAGGAGCTCGGGCTTCCCTACAGATTGGTCCCCTTGAATATGCGAGCGATAGAACACAAAGAGCCCTGGTTCCTTGCCATCAACCCAAATGGACGTATCCCAGCTCTGACAGACGTCCTGGAAGACGGTACCGATATCAAACTATTCGAGTCTGCAAGTATCCTGCAGTATCTTGTTGAGAGATATGATACGGATCATATAATATCATATCCTCGTGGTACCAAGGAACATTATCAGACCAATAACTGGGTGAGGTGGCAACGCTTCCTTGCCTTCGTCCCTGATTCTAACACGCTTTCGCACCAATAGCTGTTTTTCCAGATGGGCGGGGTCGGCCCAATGCAGGGTCAAGTCAATCACTTCGTCCGATATCTTCTTTCAAGCGAGCCAGAAAAATACTCAAAGGATAGATACAGCAATGAAACCAGAAGGCTGTGGCGGGTCGTTGACAAGCACCTTGCAGAATCTGGCTCACGTTACATTGTTGGGGATAAGTGTACCATCGCTGATATTGCCCTTTCTCCATGGGCCAAGATACTTGGTGAGATGACATATCAAAAGTCGAGTCTGATGTAGCAAGGTCACTGATTTCTCATGAACAGATTTCGCTGGTTTGAATATTGACGAATGGCCGAACGTGAAAGCCTGGCAGGAACGTATGATGCAACGAGAAGCCGTGAAAAAGGGACTCGACATCCCAACTAAGGTGGACTTGGAAAAAATGGCATCGGATCCTGAAGTTTTCAAAGCCTACTTGGCCAATAACACCAGTTGGATCAGACATGGAATGGAGGAGGATGCTAGGCTGTAAGCTTCTTTTTGTGGCTTACAGCTTGTACTTGGAGAAAGTAGCGAGTTAAGAGACAGCACCTCTAGAATGAGACCTGAGGCCGAGATGGGGTACAATGCTTGCAGAGCTATCACCTTGAAAATAGTTTTTAATACGATACAAATGCCGTCAGTTCTCACTCGTCCCATCTATGGGAGATATGAGCCGGACAGAATTTCGTCGAGATAAGTGGAGAAATTGGTGCTGATAGCCCAGTCATAGCCGTATGGCATTGAGTCGAGATTCTCAGAGAGTGACAAAGCTTGATCCGTGGTTCCTCCGAGAATGGAGTCCTGCTCAGGGTCGGAAAGTTCTGTCGGCAAGATCTCATTGCAAAGCGGTTGTTTATCATGGTTGTTTTGGCTCCATAGAGAAGAGATATCGTACTCCAGGCGTGGCTCCGAAGGATGCTGTTGGAAGGCAAGGTTGTTGTTTGAAGTCAGATTGACGGGTACCGTAGAGTCTGGCTCAAACGACTCTGGGTTGTTCTCAACATTGGAGGCTTGGTTGTTCGAGGCTGACGATAAATTCCACAACGCCGGTCCTGATCGGTCTTCTTTACCAAAATGGGTGAGTCGACTGGCCGTGAGAGGATTTCCAGCTTCAGAAGACTTACCTGACGGGTCGGTCACCTCGAGCTGAGACATCGTTGATTGAGGGTTTGTCGATGTACCTGCAAGGTAATACTCCTTTCCAAACGGACGAAGGGTCGGTCGGCGTGGAGAAATCCCGCCTGTGAAGATACAAGGTGTCTCGTAGCGTAGACTTTGCTTTTGACTCAGGCTTCTACGAATATCTTCCAATCCACCTGCCAAGTCGGCCCAGTGCTTCAAGGGGATCTTTGACATGCCCCAGAAATCCACGAATTTTTGGTATATCAAGTATACCATTTCAAAGTTCGAGGTGTAAAGGTCCTTCTCCGAGCTATCACTCGCAGCCATGTCGCTACGAACTAGCTGCAGTGCCCCTGCCAACCAGATTGTGCTGGCGAGGAAAGGGTTAACACACTGATGATGATCCTCGGATGTAGCTCGGATAATGCTTATGACGTTGTCTGCTGCTTCAAAGTACTGTCCGAGGTACCTGTATTCTGGACTAGCCATTGAGCGCCTTTCGTGGTCCTCGGCAGTGGCTTGCGAAGGGTCTGGTGGTCCGTAGGAGTCGTTATCAGTGGAGTGTGACAACAACGGGATCGTGCGTTCCCACCCTGCGCGGAAGATGTGGTACTTTATGGCCATCAGCTTCGTCAACTGTGCCATAATGTAGATGCTATAGATTTCCGTAGACTTCAGATTTTGACCTCTCTTTTCAGGGCAGAGTTGATGGTGGGGTTTGAAATCCAGATGTTGACCCGTGTATTTCAGTTCTTTGGGAAGTGCCATGAGTGTACAATGGAGGGCGTTTAGAATCGTATTCAACCTGTTGATGGAGTCTTGAGGCTTTTGTGACTTTGAACTTCCCAATTCCGCCATGGGGGAGCTTGACCTAAGGTTATCATGGGCTGGACTGGCACTCGCACCGTGGTCGATGGAGACGGGGCTGGAGATCTTTTGTGCATCTTTCATAAGAGAGTTGAGGACAATAAACCACGCTTTTGGTGATTTGTTGTTAGTCGCAGCAAGGGATTTCCATCGGGCGATTGGATTCACGTCCAGTCGACAGCTCTGCTGAGGCTTACCCAAGTACCAGTTGTCATCTTCGGCCGGTAAGAAAGTCTCGTTCTGGGACCAATCAATCCCTGCTGGACAACGGCGAATAACACTCGCATAAACATCCATTTCCCATATCGCCCACCATGCTCGGCGCCATTCTTCCTCGCGGCACCATTGCTCTGGGTCCGAAACAAGTGAACTGTGGGATCTTCTCCTTTCGTCCGCGTCGATGAGGTGGAGATTCATCTCGTAGGCACTCCTGACACATACTCCAAGATATCGCCAGGCTCTACCTCTGACCCCTTGGACGAGTAGGCACTGTGTGTTGAGGATCATGGTCTGAAGCAGGGGAAGTGAAAGTGGCTCATCCCAGCACTCGGTAATAGCTTCGTCCATGTGCTTGAGACTTATTGCACGAAAATAGATGCTCGGTTCATCCTGAGTGCCTTTTAGATCCAAACCTAGGACAAGCTGATTAACAGCCTCATAGTCCAAACCTTTGACTCCCCAAGCGAGCATTGCGGCCAACAGAGCTGTTCTTTGGGAAGTCGTAGGGATTTGCCGGAGTTTCATTTGCCACGTTGGGATATGGAAAAGGCGAAAAGAAGAAAAAGCATCAAAGAATCGTGGGACGCTTAGGATTCTTGGTCAGTATGTACTTGCCCACAGAGTCGGTATTTAGTGAAATCAGTCGGCCACTTACAGCTTGTTCAGTTGCGGTTGAGTCATGCCCAGAGCCCGACATGTTACCTGAAAACTTTCGTCATAGATTGAGTCGTTATCATGTCGCGATGGGCTACTCTCCGATGGCTCTGGTGAACAGGTGTCGAAGCTTGGATGGAGTATAAACGACAAACTTGTGGTTTGATTTGCCTTGGGAGGGCTTTGTGTCGACCCTGACTGTGAGGAGGAATTGGGCGTACTTGAGTCTCCTATCAGACTCTCCGCTTGGGTTGGTACAATAGGAGATTGTGCATCTCCGTTCCTGCGCTGTTCTAGATCATTTCGCCTTATAGCTGGGATTTAAATCAGCGCGTTATTTCTACACACGGGGTAGATAGGATTGGGAACTGCTCACTCTGTGCACGTGAAGAGCGCGCATGTGTGCTCCCGATCTTTGGACCCGGTCTCTCAGACCGAGCAGGATAGATGCATGCCTGTGAGGTCTGTTTGCATATAGCACACTCGGATAGCTCTCGTCCACATTTTATTTTGCGCTTTCGACATGGGTAGCAGGCCAGAATAGAATGCGACTGCGACTTTCGCGAAGCTTTCGTTTTTGGTGAATCGGGCATTTTCGTCGAACAACCTGACATATGACTCTAGAACTGCACATTGGACCTCGGAGAGCATCAGGTTCAGGTACTATGGTGAAATTGAAGACTTAGGACCTACTTTTGAAAGAACTTGAACCAAAATCCCATGATGATCTGGAGTTGGAGAAGAACAGAACGGACAAGGGTGGCAGAGGCCTCTCGCCAACGACTTGACGTACCCCAGACTCTGATTGACTTGGTTTGGGGCACCCTCTCCACGTTCTGGGATGGAGGTTATCCGAGTCCGCGGGGGTATAGTCCAAAGTTCTATCAGGACGGAGAGGATGTCTCTGAGGGTAACGAATCAATGACGGGATATCAAATCCAGGGAGAGACCTCGCATGGACCTCGGGCGAATTTTGATTGGTCTGTGAGATATATTGCCAAGGGAATGTCGATTGCGGGAGGGGGTTTTCCCCAGTTTCACGTCGAAAAAGTCCTTGCATTTTGTACCGATTTCTTCCATCTGTCGAATGCAAGGTCATGAGGTATGGAGAGAATTGGAGATATGGCCAGACTTTCGATGGGTGAGGTAAGCCAGAAGGACTTTTTGCCATTTGGAGACGATTCCATGGCAGGAAATCACAAAACCAGGAACTGCCCCGCGTCCTCGTTGACCGGGCATGAACTCAACGCGAAACGTTTCCCGAGTGCTACCCACTAACTGGGGTATCATTCAGGGAACAAATGGAGGTCTTCAATCAGCCCGAGACTTTTCATCGGAGTCTATTGATGATGGTAAGACTGAAGCTACTGTCTGCCTACTGACCACCCCTCGAAGCATGGAAGCCGACCATTCTCTCCGGCGATATAAATGCTGTAGGTATTCTTCCGCTCCGGGGTTACCAGTGCCATATCAAATTCATAAGTAAAAATCGATCTAACCACAACGAACACTTTTTTATCATCAGACGATATGAGTTCTTTGGCAGGAAAAGTCATTGCATTAACTGGGGCTGCCTCAGGAATCGGTCTGGTCACTGCGAAGCTTCTCTCAAGCCGAGGGGCCAAGTTGTCCATCGCCGACATCAACGAGAAACAACTCGAATCAGTGGCGAAGGACATTCAAGCGTCTGGTGGTCAGGTCATCTTCACATCGGTTGACGTCAGAAAGCCATCTCAAGTCAAGGCGTACATCGAGAAAACAGTTGAGCACTTTGGTAAACTCGATGGCGCCGCAAATCTGGCTGGGGTCATTGGACCAACCGCATGTACAACCGATCTCAGAAATCAAAGCGACGAAGAGTGGGACTTTGTTATCGATGTCAACGCGAAAGGAGTTTTCAACTGCTTACGGGCGGAGCTTGCTGTCATGAGCTCAGGCGCATCCATCGTCAATGCAGCAAGCGTCTGCGGCCTGGTTGGACAGGCGACAAATGCCATCTACTGTGCCAGTAAGCATGCTGTCGCTGGTCTGATCCGAGCTACGGCCAAGGAGGAAGGCAAGAACAATATCAGGATCAATGGTGTCGCCCCTGGCTTTATCGATACTCCCATGGTGGATGAAGTTGAAGCAGCAAAGAAAGTGACGAAAGCAGATACAAGCATGCAAGCCTTGAACAGAAAAGGAAACCCCATTGAGATCGCGGCTATAGTAGCATTTTTATTGAGCGACGAAAGCACTTTTGTAACGGGTGCAATTTGGACTGCCGATGGAGGTTGGACTTGTTAGGTGAGGGGCTGGTTCCTTGAACATAGGATAGGATATAAAACGGGTCGAACTCGCGAGTTAATAAATCTCAGACCGACAAGTGAGTCCGCAGATGTGCGGGGAGGACTCAACCAAAGTGCTCCGCCAGTGCTCAGCCAACTACACTTCTATGCATTCAACAAGCGCAGAATAATACGTTGACTGCCAGATTATAAGTAGTTAGTTTCGGGCAGATTTAGTTAGAAAAAAATCAGACAACTTCTCAAGTCTCCCAATAAGCAGTAATGAGCGAATTCAAGGCTCTCCTGGTCATCCCATGACTTCCTCGACCCACCTTCCTGACACGTGCTCTGAGCGGTCGCGTGTAAGGTCGATTCGTAACACTTCTCTCGTTACACACCAACAGTGTGAGGGTTTACAGGTTGAGGCACTCCCGTAGCTTCTCTACTCCGTAGTTTGAATCCGGGACAGACCGGAGGTTTGCAACATATATTGTCAGGCCCGTGATGTCATGCCAAGCCTGTTATCATGAACAAGATACCTCAATTACTCAGTCTCGGTATACCGCTTCACTTGGCAAAGCCACCTGAGCCACCGCGCCCTCATGTCGAGGTGTTCAAGTTAGTAGTTCGTAGTCACTAGCCACCGATAACAGTGCTGTTGCTTATCAGTTCATGGCTGGTAACGGGTCAAAACCATCAACTAGGGAGGGACTTACCAAAGTATATGTACTCCACAGTGTGTGTTAAGGCGTTGAAGTTAGCAGGTACTAGCAATAGTGTCGCTTATTGGTTCATAGGTGGTGGAACTGAGTCCATTCTAGGTAACTCGGTAAGCACGTTGTTGAAGTACATGTACCCCACAGTGTGTGTTGAGCCGTTAGTGTCGCTTATTGGTTCATAGCTGGTAGTGGAATCGAATCCATTAACTCGGTAAGGACGTTGCGGAAGTATTTGTGCTCCACAGTGCGTGTCGAGGCGTTGAAGTTAGCAGGTACTAGGAATAGTGTCACTTATTAGTTCATAGCTGGTAGCGGATTCGAATCCGTTAACTCGGTAAGGACGTTGCTGAAGTATCTGTGCTCCACAGTGCGTGTCGAGGCGTTCAAGCACTCACGTTATCAGCTACCAACTATACATATACGTGGTATTGCTCATCACCAGACATGGTGATGGGTCAAGTCTGTGCACTACAGATGATAAGGATATGCGACTACTCAATAATAGTCCAACGGCCCCTCCTTGCTGGTCAAGTAGTCCATTCTTTCTACGTTAGGTAGGTGAGACTGACACCGGCACCTACGATAAGGGTTTTCCGAGGGTTGTTCTTCAACACACATTTTTTTATGTCATGAGGCGACTCGCGATCATTCCATTCCTTCTCCCACTTCAGAGAGACAGCCAAGGCTTTTTGTCCAACTTTACCCACAGATTCTATAATAGTGGAGAAGTCGACGTCAATTCCCTCCAGAATAGTCATTGGTAGCCACGTACCGTTCCTGCGCTATATTCTCCGACTTGTGTTTCTAGTTCCTTTCCGAAGTGCCTATCGCCACCAGCCTCGGTGGGTGTCTTTTTGCTTAGCATGCCAACCCAACCACAGCGCTCCGCAACTTGGCGACGACTCTTCTTGGATTCAAGATAGAGCTGGAAACAATGAACTGACTTTCGTCAAAGATATGCTCCATTCTGCGGCCTCCCAGGCTTGCGGTCAAGTGGACGGGCCAGGACGGGCCAGGATATGGGTATAAATACAATGTGACTACTCTGCTCTTATCCAACCTTTTTCGCCAGCCAAACACTTCGGAGTCAAAAGTGTTTCTGGGTTACTACTGTGTCGACATCTGTTCCCAAAGCATTGGCGCCATGTTTTCTGCTGCTCTACTCCTCACCAGCCTGGCCCTGTCGGCAGTGGCCTCGCCTTTCCCTGACCTACACCCACTTGTTGTTCGACAAGAGCTTGACAATCCTTTCAATGCCTCGTTGCCCAATGTGACCATCTTGGCCACGGGCGGGACTATCGCTGCCCGAGGTACTACAAACACCCAGACGATTGGATACAGCGTCGGCCTGGGTGTTCAAGAGATTATTGACGCCGTACCCGAGATTCTCAATATCTCTAATATCCAAGGATACCAAGTCACGAACTTAGGCAGTTCCTCCATGAATAATACGGTCTTATTACAATTAGCTGAGGCTGTGAACGAGGAGCTAGCTAAGGACGAAATTTCCGGCGTCGTTGTGACCCATGGCACCAGCACCCTCGAGGAGACCGCGTTTTTCCTCGAGCTAGTTACTAATACTACGAAGCCTATTGTGGTCGTGGGGGCCATGAGACCATCTACTGCGTTGAGTGCTGACGGGCCCTTGAACCTGCTACAGGCAGTGACGCTAGCCTGCTCTCCGAAAGCGGTAGGCCGAGGCGTCATGATTACTTTGAACGAGTAAGCTTCTTCCCATCGTCCTTAGCTGGCTCCCTTTACGGTCGCGTCGAGTACTCACAGTATCTTTTTTCTATAGTCGTATCGGCAGTGCCTGGTATGCGACTAAGATGTCAGCCAACTCCCTCGACACGTTTTACAGCACTGAAGCGGGCCAGCTGGGGTTCTTCATCAACCAGGTCCCGTACTTCTACTATGAACCTTCCCTACCTATAGGCAAAGTCTATTTTGACGTGAGTGGGGTCGAGTCTCTCCCGAAGATTAGTGTCCTCTACTCGCATCAAGATATGGATTCCCTACTCTTTAATTCGGTCGCGCAAAACGGAGCAGCTGGTTTAGTTGTTGCAGGGACTGGTGGCGGAAGCGCGTCTGCCGCTGCATATGCAGCTGCACAAGCAGTTTTTAACGAAACTGGGATTCCCATGGTTTGGAGTCATCGGTCTCCCGATGGGTTTGCGCCACCAAACTCGGCAGCTTATAGAATCGGCAGTGGGTAAGTGGAAAGTGGATGGATTCATCCGTCACCCTCCCCCCCTTCTTTAGTTATTCCACCTGGGCCTCGAGTTTACTGACACACACTCCGCGTAATAGGTTCCTCAACCCCCAAAAGGCACGTATCTTGATGCAGTTGGCCGTTCACGCCGGCTACGATAATCAAGCCATCCGAGACCTTTTCGCGCTCGGCTACCCCGCTTGATGAATTGCGACCTCGCAGATAATAAAAGTCGTCTTTTATATAGAGATTAATACTATCAAAATGAAGCCTCTTCAACCAAAGCCGCTCAACGCTTGGAACTGCCGTGTAAATCGCCTAGGCAAGACACTCGTCTTCGCTCTTGACACTTTCTTCCGTCCCTATTAGGCATCATCAGATCCGGAAAGACGACACCAGCTCCACCACCAGGCTCTCGCCGAAATAGGGGCGCGGCGGGCTCACACTGAAGATGGCGAGGTCCTCGTCAAACGAGAACAATGGACAAAGGAGAAAAATGAGATCAGCAGAGGTAAAGAGTACCTAGTACTGGGTGTGTCGCCGATATGGATTCTACACAGATGCTTAAGTCGCAGTGTGGTCGGCACGTGCTGGGTCGATCCTGGTCGGCCTTGTTGTGAAGGGGAAACTTTCACAGGACAATCAGGGAGCCATTCAAGCTGCTCGGCCCCTTTCTGCGCCAGCCTGTTTCCATTCGTGTCTGCTGCGCGTCTGTTAGATGGGTGTCCTTTTGAGCATGACTGCTTATTCGTGGCGTTGCTCGGGAGCGACTCTCCTTGGAGACTTGCTCGTTTGCCGGTTGCCTCAATGCTAATCGTAGGAAGGTACCTACCTACCTACCTAAAGGTGATCACTACTAGTTTACGGAGTAGGTTAAGTAAGTAGCTAACAGGGAGCTACGATTAGTTCAAAGTAATGTGCCTCCAATGCATCCTCGCCAAACTCGGTCGTCCATCCCGTCCATCAATCTCGCACTGAGTTCGAATTATCAGCACAGGACCATGCCGCCGAGCCTCCGAAAGCTTTGTACGTACCTATCTAGGATGCCAACAACAGAGCCGTAGGTGCCCCCAATCATAAGAAGAGTGCCTGACACGATGACGAACACACTCCAGCACACCAGCAAGGTCAGTCTGATGGTTCGTTCGACCTTGAATCTGGCCCAGTCATCGTACAGCCACATGCAACCTATGGATTGGAACGACATGAGCGTCCCTAGCAACGCACAAACAAGGGAGACAAGACCGCCGAAAACAGAGCTGGCACTGGCGATCACGGAGACGATAACGGCGATGCCACCTGTGCAGCCCAGCCAGGTCGCCCAGTGTCTCAGAGTTTTTTCCGTGAGGTGGTGACTGCCGCGTAGATGACGAACAAACAAATACCTACTTAGGTACCTACTACTTGGCTGGTAAGTGGATGACCAGGGTCGTGGTTACGATTTCGTAGTCCCGGGAAGGCAAACCCGTAGCAGATCCTCTTGATGGGTAACACCGGCTGATCCGAGCGCAGGGGAGACCTCGTACGAGCGGCATAAATAAGTACTTTAGTAGACGACAACTCCAATTGTCACATAGACTAGGTAGGTATGGTGACGTCAGTCTGGCAGATGATGAGAGATCGAGTGTAGTGCCGGGGTTCTCGCATCTCTGAGACAATGGAGAAGAACTTGAGGCAGGCGTGCCGGCGTAGGCAAAGACGAGCGAGGAGCAGGACGAGATTGCATCGACAAAGGACGGGTTATTGGTGGTTCTGTAGTTGGACACGAAGATCCCGCCTGATGGCGCATCAGCAGGGCGATCCTGGATACCGACAGCAACGGTGACAGTAGAAACCTGTAAAACATCAGTCCTTGTGAAGTAAAAGCGTGGGGAGGATAGCTGACTTGCGACCAGTATACATATCAGCCCAACCCAGGCGAGCCAGGAGATTTTGCTCAGCGTCTGGATGCTAGAGAGGCCAAAACCTATAACACCGCATCGACTCAGTACCTAAGGTAGGTACCTACCTACCTAGTTCGATACTAGTACTTACTGAAGAAGGTCGAGTACTTTAGGTATCGATACTGGTAGGTAACTCCGGCGCTTGCCATATCTGACACGGCTGTATCTACTAGGTAGGTACATTGACTGTACCGATCGAAGCCTTCCACAGAAATATGGGAACTTGCCTGCCAACGGTATCTACTATCTAGGTTAGTAGGTCCAAGTCAGGTAAAGTACTCCTTAGTACTTAGTAGGTAGTACTTACTTACCTACTTACTTTCTACAGCTTAATATTAGGCTCAGTACGGGTCGGTACCTACTTACTATATACCTACCTAGTTGAGTTATAGTACCTCCCAACTAACTAAAGTAAAGTAGGTACTCCTTAGGTAAGTACTTAGTACTTCCTACCTACCTACTTACTAAGTTAGTACTTCGTACTATAATACTAACTAACACCGAGTACTATGCTTCTGCCGATACCTAGGTAAGTACTGACTTACTTGTACCTAGTATTTATTGATACCACGCAAATCCTACAAACCAGATTGATCCAAGCTGACTCGGCCGAATTGAACCAGCCGGTCGGTCCCAAGCCGATCCTGAAGCGATTCTAAACCGTGTCCAAACCGGGCTGACTCTTTTTTGACTCTGATTCACCTGAGTTTCAAGACCGGTTCATGAGTTAGCCCGAGCCAGAATAGGCCTAAAGTACCTCAGTTACCTTATCCAGGTTCTGAATTTTCTACGGTGGAGTTCTCGGTCAGCGATGCTAATAATCTAGTACTCTACAGAGTGACTAAGAAGTTACCTAAGTAAAGTACTAGAGTAATTGCTAGTACTAACCAGGTAGCGACGTGACACCTTATGCTTCTGGGTCGCTCTTGCCAAAAATCATAGCCAGGTCGCTCTTGCCAAAAATCATAGCCAGGTCG